TTCAGCGCTACGGGGAATTTCATTGCTTAACGCCCATCATCTGACCAGCTTCAACACATCGACCAGTCTTATGTACTGCATCTGTCAGGCTACCCGTCTGCTCCGTTGCATATTACCATGCCGAACGAACGATCATTTACCGTCCTGCTTGATCAACCAAATCTTGTCCCGGTGGTGAATTACCACATTGTCTTCTGATGTTGCTCCAACATCGAATGTTGGAGCTACCAAGGTACTTCACAGGCTATGCCGTTCACTCCTGTCCAATCCCACTAATTTAACAATTTGCAGTGCCGAAAAGCCTCAGCACATCGTAACAAACTCTCATTGCCACCTGGGCAAAGCAGAAGCCTGGTTCAGGAAAGATGTTGCACAGTCGGAAGCTTTGGGACGACTTGACTGTGAAACGGCGACAAAAAGCCTGATGTTCTCAAAAGCATTCATGGAGGAGCAGAAAAAGTCCCCCCCTTCTTCCGAATGGACTTCTTGACTTCTTGTGGTTGTTCGGAATTTGACTCATGGATGGAAAGGGGGAACGCATACCACAAACTGCTAGAGAATCCTGCTTGATTACTTCATTAAGACAAGTGCAGGCTCAAGAAGAGAAGGGGGTTCAGAATGACAAGTCGACGGGCTTCAGGTGGTACATATCCCTCACAAAATTGTTCCACCGTGATGGTGTCAATCTGACCTTCAAGACTCGCTAGCATTATGAAGGAGAATGTTGAACCCAGCCTGATACTTTGAATGATTCCACGTGGCTACCTGAAAGGTTCTCTGGTCGACGGACTCAGGCATAATCCAGATTTTGATGCAGCTCATGTTCTGGAACGCCGAACCCCCTGGCCAAACACTTTCACCCTGTTTTGCACAAACTACTTATTTTCGACTGTCTCGAATCGTCCATATGGAAGGATTGAACGCAGCTGAAGAGCACGTCGAACAGGTCGTCAATGTCCATCGGGTGCTTTTCTCGCGGCTTCTGAGGCAAGGTTTCGCCTGAGAAGAGGATTTCCCTGCTTGATATTGGTATCCCGGGGAGATCAGAAGGCCTAACATTCTCATAGTCGGCCGATTCAAACCCAAAATAAATTCTTGACGTTGCCGATGAAGTTCAACATGGCTAGGAAAAAGTGGCTCTTTGAAAAATGGGTTTCAAATACTTCAAGGCAATGGGAGGCTCAGATGCTTCAAGGCGAAGATGAGGTCGGGACCATGATTCATACCTGACCGTGTGGGTAGTTCAAAGCAAATCATGATGAAGGATATGCCTGAATGCCTGGACAATGGTAGTCAAATGCATTTCTGGATTTTAAGTTCCACCAGCTTTGAAGATCATCTTGGTTACATCAAGGCTTTGACACGTAACAACTTGCACCACGCGAAGGTGTGATCTCAACGCAAATCTTGTCCTGAAAGAACAGGCACAATGCTCTCGCGGCGACGTAAAATCGGGGAAAACTGATCACAAGGACCAGGAGCTCAATCAACAGGGATTGATCGATGCAAGAATTGCGATCAAGGGCTCTTCAGGGATTGATTCCCATCAGGGGCTCATCACGGGGGCAGCAAGGCCTTGGTAAGAGGAAACACGAAGAAGTCTAGGGGCGGAGAAGGACATATTACTGGAGTCTTCATTACTATGGAAATGACAGCTACCATTCATCGTTACGGCAGGAAGGAGAGAATTGAATTCCTACTGTAGAGGGGGCAGTGCCTTGCTGCTTCTAAGTAATCAATGCTGCAGGCACTTGACTGGGACATGAAATCTGCCAGCTGTACCTTATCCATGCTCGCCTCCTTCATGAGTTCAATCAGCTGCACAAGTGTGATATCGACCATGCTCTTTGCTTTTGTGGTCTTGTTGTTGGAAATGATGAAGAATACCGTTCTCATGTTCAGAATGGTGGTCTTGTTGATGATTTAAACAATGTGCTCCGGAATTGGTGGGTTTCACAAGCTTGAGCTCGAGACATCATGTTCGTTGGTTTTCACCAACGACCATGTTTCTCTCTTGAGTTGAATTGTTGTGGAGTGGTCTAGGGTACAATCGTTGTTTCCTTTCCTTGATGAAATGTTCATTTTGATACTATGGGTTTGTCTTTGTCGTTGTTTCAGTTTTTGATGGTGCGAGGTGTTTGGTTGTCGGCAATTTCTACAATAGTTTCCATCAATAGCCTACATAGATCTCGTCAAATGGTTCCTTGATATTTGAAGCCTTTACCATCGATTTAGCTCCTCCCAAGATGTTGTGCTTTTACGATCTTCGTGGTGTTCACGTTATGCTAAGTTCATTTCCCATGACCTGCCCCAGCTTCCATTCCTTGGGGAGTGGGAACTATGTCATAGTCTGACCAATTTCAGAGTTGGGAAGATCTGCAGCTGAGATATGCCGAGAATCGAGAAGGCATGGTTTTCATGATTGTCCTGCAAGGATACATTTTTCGTCCAGGGAATTTATCCCACCCATTTCGTCCCGGGTCAGCTCATCAACCACTTCACTGTCTTGTCGGTCCCCTGTTCAGCCCCCCAAGTGCATTCCAATTGAGCAGCAATTCTGGATTCGACCTTGGCATATCTGCACGAGGTCAACAAAACTAAAGGTTCCATTCCTGTTCATTTCCACTTTGACGCCCAACGTCCTCATGGGTGAAGTCCTAGTCGAGACGTGCAGGGGAATCAACTCTTCATCCCATCGTCACAAACTGACGAGGCCATCTCAAGGTACTACCACTTACAAGGTAAACCCCTCTTCGATTTCCAGTATGGTCAGCTTGAATGGGAGGTCGATGCCCAAAGCACACATCTCACATCTACCCCCCTGTCACCAAGCAATCAGCATGGGCTTTCAAGACTTGAGATTTGGCTGTCACCACTCACGGTGAGAAAGGAAAACGATCATCCGCAGCATCTCCTGGTACTAATCTCTACCAGATTTCACATCCTGTCGTCAAGCACCACGACACGCTCGAGTCTTCCTCCACCAGCGAATCTGTCTTCATCAGCCAGTCTGCATCCATCAGCCAGTCTGCATCCATCGACATCTGCATTCATCAGCGAGTCTGCATCCATCGACATCTGCATTCATCAGCGAGTTCTTCATCCCCAACATCAGCATCCATCCTTCAATCGTCACCACAGCGTTCAATTCCTTCTTCTTCATCTGCATCTCCATCAATGCACCCCTACCCACACACTTTATCAAAGACAAGCCCTACTCTCGACGCACTTCACACATCGCACCTTGATCTCAAGTTGTCAACTCTCCTCTTTGCCTCCAACCACAACATGTTTCCCTCAATGTGAAGAGTGTGACCTTGTCAACGTTCCCAGCAGATACAAACGAGAATCCTAGATCAGGATCAAAGGACGCAGTGTCCAAAATTCCATCTACATGTCGCCACTACGGTCAGATCATCCCCCAGTTGCTGTTCATAAGCTCTCTGCAGGACGCAGTCACAGCACAAAGTCCAACCATCGGCTTGAAACCCTCGGAAGTACAGTGCGCGACATGGATCACCACACAACAATCCGCTCCAGCACCCTGAGTTAGCCTCTTGATGGATACGATGTGCAATGATGTCGCCGCACGAGAACAATCTCAAGAGATGCGGTGCCTGGCAGATGCAGTGATGAAGAACTCTTCAACGAAACAATCGCCTTGGTGGTCGGAAGGGTTGGAAGTACGAAGTGGAACAACACCACCGTCACACAAGAGCGTGCCCAATACTCTGCTCTGATGTTTCCTTTGCGCTGAGAAGATCCATCCTTGTTGCAGCATTCCCCATCAGACTGGCAGATGCTTCGAGACTGCCATATGACACAAGATCATCTTATCTCACAGCCTGCTCAGATGCAGATGATCTTACGCAACTCCACGGGCTACGGGCTCAAGAGAATCGACTGCAACAACGAAGTCCTGACAAAGTTAAGCGGGTGTGCTGCCGGACAGCAGCATCAGCCTTACCATCTACATCTGCCCGACACCTTGGGTATTCGACTGCTCAGACCATGAGTACTTCGCATCAAGAAAGAGCCTCTCGACCAGCTGGATTTGAGCTTTACTCTCATCACCCAACATGTCAGCCTTGAAATTCATCTTCATTCGTTCTGACCCATCTCCTTTTCAGCGTCAAGAACTTTCAAGGGCTACTAAGCCATCCCACGACACAGTGCTCGTAACACAGTATCACCTCTGACCTTCAAAGTTTCCCACAACTCCGGCGGACGAAAAGGTCCACAGTGCATCACGATCGTTCTTCTTGGACGTAAACGATTTGCAGTGGCCCTTTACATCTCCTGAATGCTCACGGTAATCTAAGATCCATGGCAACAACACAACAGTCTTTCGGAATTGGACTCTACGACAACCACTCTACAATCTGGCCGCGAGCTTCACCCAATCTTCAAACACGACACATTCCATGCAAACAAACTATCTGCATTTGGAGGTTTGTCTCCCTTCATCTATCTGGAGTTACAACGGCAACTCACTCTTCGCTTATTATGTTTTATTCGCTGTACAATTGGTAATACGACTTCGTCTTTAGCTCTCCAGTGACTACTAGAATCTAAATTTTCTTCTTGCCCTGACCAATTTTTTAAGCCTGATTCTCGAATTTCACCTGGAAGATCCGAAGCACCACTTACGTTATCTGCTGAACTAAAAGCCTAAAGAAGGTGCCGATATGACAAACCGGTATCGTATTAGTTCTCATTGGATCTGGATCATCAACAATGTCAAGTTGGGTTATGAAGATCTATAGGAGCTAGTACGGCGTGCACAAAAATAATGTTGAGCTCTGATTTCTCATCAGTTTTCCACTGCGTGTCTATGTCCGTCCCTCACCACTCGCCAAGTCTGCACATAACGGGGAATACCCTGTGCTCAGCTGGCTGGACTCTGCCACGTTCGTCCATAACTTTCAATGCGGTCAGGCAGTGGCATTGTCAACAACACTCGTTTTCCATCCTCCACCTACTGCCATGTCTCTCCCCAATTAAACCACAGTAATACTTTCACGGTTTGGAATGGACGAAGCTTTCTTACTCTTCTCCCACCTTGTTCTAGCCGCTACAATTCCAAGATCAACCTTCTCAAACTTCATTAGTAAGGAGCTAACTATAACCAGAGCTCCAGCCGCTATGGCTTGTCCAAACATCTTTCGAATGGTCTCTGCCACGGCTTCAGTCGCAATATTGACAACACCCTCCTCGGCGGAGGAGAAAACTGGAGATATGCGACCTGCGAGAGCCGACCTGATATAGTTATCCGGGAAATCATGACCGGATTTTGCAAATGCGTTCTTCAGTTCATGGTATCCTAGATTTTGAAACAGCGATCCTGCGATTGCCAGTGAGATTGAGACAGTACCAATCTGCGCAAGGTTGATAAAACCGAGAGCTTTCGGCACTTCCTTGACAGATGAGACTTTGGCTATAGCGACGGAATATGCGTTCTGCCATGCTAGACCTATACCCGCCGCCACCAATACTTCGTATCCGTATATCTTGCCGGTAGAAATATTCGTCTCCATCGTGAATAGCAAGGAGCTTCCGATAACGATGAGCACACCTCCAACAAGGTAGTAGAGATGATAACGGCCAAAGACCGGAAGTGAGCCGCCTGCTGCCATGACAAAGAGAATATACGTGCAGATGAAAGGCAGAAGGCGAACAGCTGCACGTAGCGCCGTATCACCTCGGGTGAATTGGAAGAAAAGCGGAGTATAGTAGAGAGTGATAGCTTGAGCTGCACTCGCACCTGCTGTGGCAAGATATAGCAAAACCATGATCCGCGACTGAAGAAAATGCACTGGAAAGATTCGATACTCGTCCGTTGTAGAGATTGAGAAAACTTGTTGTAAGATGTATGCAACCAGACAAAGCCCGAACATTATCCAGAGAACGATGGATCCCGCTGAGCTCCAAGCATATGTCGAGCCACTGAAGCTGAGGGCAATCATGAAGAGTACGAATACTGCAGCGTTCAGAAATGCTCCAACCCAATCAATTTGATTGACCTTCTCTCTAAATGTAAGATCAGGTCTGGCGTCGCGTGAGGGAAACAACAGGAAATAGACGGGCGAGAGAATGGCCGCAAGCGGAAGGTTGATATAAAATGCCTATAATAGGTCAATACAAGTTTCGATTCGAGGAAGACTTCGAACGAACCCAGCGCCAAGTTGCACTGCTCTCGGAAAGCGCACCACCAACCACTGGTCCGAGAATGGATCCAACTCCCCAACTGAGGCCAATCAATGCATTGTACAAGGGCGTTTCCGACCTTTTGGTGAACATAGATATGTAGGTCAAAGCTCTACAGCACATTAGTCTTCTATCAAAAAATCACAAGGAATTGATTTCTTACCCAAGATACATGCCTGCTCCACCAATACCTGCAATCACTCGACCTATAATCAAGGCATTAGAAGTAGGTGCAGCTCCACACACGGCACTACCTACTTCAAATACAAAAACGCTTGATAGAACAAGCGTCTTCACGTTGAATAGCCCGTAAGCTCGAGTGAATGTCAGGATGGTTGCAGCTGATGCCATCGGAAAACCAAGGCCGACCCATTGTAAGTTCTCGATATGGCCCAAATCTTCATATACTTGTGCCTGGACATCTGCCGCAATCGTTGTATCGAGGCCTAGGTTAGGTCAACGAATGGGTCTAAAGAATGACCAGACAAACACATACCGTACAGAAGTGCTCCTAGATACAATGCAATGCATGTACTGACCCATTTCCAGGGTGGAATGTGACTTCTGGGACTTGCAGATGGAGGGACATTGGTAGATGGCTCGACCCCCATGTCAGTCTCGTTTCGCAAGGAGTCTGTATTGTTTCCGGTCTTCATGTTCGACGTGTAGGTTTGATAGTGAGAGTGTAGCGTTTATGGGTCAATCCCATGAAGTAAATGAATATGAGAACATATATATAGGAGAGAACTTTTGCTTGGAACCTCATTCAAGGCCTCGTTAGTCAGAGTCGAGATACTCCTGTCTTCAATTTCGCATTTGTAAGAAAACCGGGCCTTCCCGTGAAAAACCCGATTCTGTACAGCTTCATTTAGATATCAAAGACTAACTTACCAACCCGACTTAGAGATTCATTGGAATGCTGGCTGAGATCTGCTAATCTTCGTAGGTTGACATCGGGGGCGTTAGTAAGGAATTCGCTGGGCACTCCTTCTGTGAACAAGCCACAAGTAGAATACTTAACATTATTGGTCGGGGCCTTAGTAACGCCAGTCACTAGTTTTGGACTCGGGATAACCTCAGCAAGAACGTGGCGAAGTCGTTGTCCCGGGTGCTGTGTTTAGGCGAGTCAGTCGTTGGTGATGATTGGTAGATCACAGTCAGTAATGACTACATTTAACAGGCATGTGCAGTGAACTGGCTGGAGTCTAATCTAGATACTTTGACACTTCGTCCTAGTCAAAGATTATGGTTTAGTAATCATTATAATCGTGCTGTACGAACTGGCACAGGGGTCATATAACACGGAGCTGGTATACCTGGACAAAAGTTCGAGATTCCGCCGCGCAAGCAAGGGCGTACCTTTATACCGGAAGATGGCTAAAGATGTCCACAACAAGTGTCATCTTTCCCTCTATGAGTGAACTGGCTACTCGACTTGAAGCTGCGTTTAATAGGACGCTAGCTTGTAAGACAGGAGTGCAAGCTCGTGCCAAGCAGTCTAAATTGCGGCTCTGATCAGTAATCCATCCAGGCCCACCGATTTCTAACGCGTTCAATTGGTCTACGCGAACGTGAAGAATTAATCCAATGAGTCACTGACTCCTCTACGGGCTGTCCTGTTCTTCATCTAAATTTCTAGGCCATGTTCAAGACTCTACGGGTAAAGAGTCAGGCCCGATGCGTTCCTTCGGCGTGGAGACAAGAAACCTGCACAAGAAGCACAAACCCAAGCGCAAGGTTTCGGAGCTAGATGAGATAGAAGCCAAGGTAAGAATAGTAACGTTCGTGTGTGGTAACCGGAATTCTAACGATTCACATAGCGGAGCGAGACCAGGCCTCTCGTGCTCAGCGAGCCTTCAGACAACGCAAAGAAGACACCATAGCATCTTTGAACTTACGTATTAGAAGTCTTGACAAGACAGTTGAAGATTTGAATTCGTGTTTTCTTAACTTGACTGATGAAGTCGTCGCGTCTTACTGGCTTCAGCACGATCCGACGGTGACTAAAGCAGTTCAGAAATCGATTGAACGCTTTCTTTTCATTGTTCGAGAATCTGACATCCACCAGAGGGACAATGAGGATATCATTGCTTACCAAAATTCAACTTCCGCAACCAATAAGCCACCCGCAATGGAGAAAAATGATTATGCATCTCATCAGAGCAGCCATCGGGATCCTATAGCAGTAGCCATGGAACCTATGCCCACTGCATCCCTTTGGAGGGGAGAAAATCAATGGTCGCTCTTTCGAAACATTCCAGGCGAGATTATGCCATCTCGCACTGATGAAGTCAATTTCATGTCACGGTTACCAATGCAAGGCCCAAGAATCTCGATCATGGCGACCTTTGCCCAAAGGCTGCATATAGAAGCAATCTGGTGCGGTTTACGGCTTGTTCATGCAGCTGATAGTTACTCGCAGCAATTCTTCCAGGTCTTCAACCAAGTTCCCGATTTCAACACACGTGAACGATTGAAATCAATTCTGAATAATATTTTCGACGTCCAGGGCAGTCCATTGCTCGCGGCTCCTCCTGAAAGCCATGTCAATATACTCTGTGCTGGAGGGTTGCCCTCTCCGTGGTTGAACGCTTCTGATGTGGCCCGATACTTTCGGATAATAGGCATGGACTTCGATGGCTCACAGGGTATTGTCACCTTCAAAGACTATCCTGGTACCTTGAAAAGAAGACTGCTTAAAGAGCAAGGACTGGGTACAACAGGCCACAGCTCTGTTGATGATGATGGCACCCTAGAATTGGATTACAGATATCAGTCGCCAGGTGTGGCAGCTCACCACAACAACCCAATTTCCAGTCACAGCGCTACTACGCATGGTCTCAGCGGGTTCTGGATGTCTACCAACGACGCTAGCTATACCGATCGAGACCATGGCCAATCATATATATGTATTGACGTATCGAGGCTAATTCAGGGTAGGTACCTATCTATTTCGGACTACATATTGAGTGTAAACTAATATTTGTTCTCTAGAGATTATACTCGGCACACGTTGTGTACAAAGTTATCCGGCATTTAATCGTGATTTTTTGGATCACGCACTCGCAAGGGCCGCCGTCAAGACTCGTTGCCTAAAAGAGTCAAGATAATCTTATTCTAGTCAGCCACGGTTTGTGTAGTATCTCAATAGGTAGTAATTTCGTACGCTGTGAATTATTCCACCAATTTAAGAAGAGATCAAACTATACGTAGCTACCCTAGCCTCCTAAGGAGGAAAAAAGGGCCGAAGACATCAAGACCTTCGCTGGATCGAACGGCAAACAATAAGTGTTATATATTTTGAATGGTCGTGGTTACTTCGATGTCTTTCGAGTCGGCTTCAGGGCAATATCTGATATCCTCCACAATATAATGCTAGTATTATACTTGCCGACTAGGCTCCGAGTAGTACGTATACTTACTATCTATCCTGGAACAATTAGTGTCGTAATAAGTAAGATATATTCGAGATTGATATACTATTCCTCTCAGAGTTTTCTTACCAAGCAATATTAGCAAAGTGAATAAAGAGAAGGAGCTCCTCTTCCGGTGCACACCATCGGTTGCCGTAGCACTTCCCGAGGCCAACACCAATACCGACTTTCCCATTAAAAGTACTTATAGTGCTTCACACTTCTTGATGTCAAGTACGATTGACCTTACTGAGCTCGGACAAGGCGTTAAATGCTGGAGCTCTCAAGTGGGGAGATGACAAAAAGATATGCGAATAACTGCCTAGCCTCCCGCCGTTATGTATAGACACTCCAGTTCGATAGACACTCCAGTTCGTGTAGTTTCTGATTTCTTGAATATTCTTCCCTACAAATGGTAGGACGACTGAATATATGGCATATTTCGCGTTGAAACTTAATTGATCTCCTGAATAGTATAGTCTCCTGCTCCTCTGTGACTAGATACCGCCTCGAGAGGCTCTCATTCTGATGATTTATCTACTACCATAGAGTCTAGTACATCAAGCACCAGGATATGACCAGGACAATGACACATGGGCACACCTAGAAGCTTTGCTGCCTTGATAACCGCTTGTGGAGTTGCACTACAATCCCAAGATACCGGCACGTTGTCTTCGTTCCAAGTACGGTGCTCAAGCTCCTAGGATACTAGTGGGGGGAAATGGCTCTTCCCCACGCCAAGTCAACACTACTCAAGCTTCTTTGCCACGGACTCCGTACCTGGTACGGTTAGATCACCCCGCCGCAATATGCACCTCGACATCATGCGGTGTAACGTCTCCCACTCCAGAAAGGTTCCGCAATGACGATTTTCAAAGCTACACTTTTATTCGCTTGGTCACTCGGCAGGGTTGAAGTGCTGCCAATATACAAAAGCTACAGGTTCTGAGTTCCTACTTCCTTAATCCTCCATCAAACCAATCCAGCCGTATGCCTGACTTCCCACAAGTACAGACAAGCTTAGCATAATGCTGAGTTCCTCCCTCCTTCTTGCGCTGACGACTACAGGATCTGCGACTAACCTCTTCGTCTCCTCGTATTCGGGAGAAATTACCTCTCTAGCTTTAAGTGAGAGTAATGGTACTGTAAGCCTCGACACCACCTTCTCCAACGCTGGATGTGGTCCAAATCCATCGTGGCTCACGGTTGACCCGAGTCGAGGCCTGCTCTTCTGCCTCAACGAAGGGTTGACCTCACCCAATGGCTCTTTGAGCTCTTTTACCATCAATCGCAACGGAAGCCTCACGCGCGTGCAGAACGAAACCACCATTTCTGGCCCAGTGAGTGGTGTCATCTACGGTAACTCTGCTGGGAAGCAAGCTATTGGCCTCGCTCATTATACTGGCTCGTCACTAACCTCTTATGATCTCGACGGTGATGGTCAATTCCACTTTGGCGAGTCTTTCACCTATAGCCTCTCGAAACCTGGGCCAGACGCGGCTCGTCAAGATTCGCCTCATCCTCACGAGGCCGTGACTGACCCGACCGGCCAGTATATCCTTGTACCCGACCTCGGAGCGGATCTTGTACGCGTTTACGGCATCGATTTTGAAACGTTGAATCTCACCGAACTGTCGCCATTAAACGCTCCTTCTGGCTCCGGTCCTCGTCACGCTGCATTCTACAACCCTTATAGCGTAGCGAGCGAGGATGCAACGACGTTCTTTTATCTGATTACTGAGCTTACCAGCACCATCATAACTTACTCAGTCACCTACTTGCCGAACGGGGGTGGTCTGACCTTCACTCAAACGGCACAAGTCAGTACCCTCTGGCTTCTCAACCACAACCGTATCAACGCGCCCGCCGGAGTGCTGATATCCCCTGATAACCGCTTCTTAATTGTCAGCAACAGGAACAGTACACTTTTCTCACTCCCCAACCCCGACGCCTCTAATAACACGCAAATTCCCTCGGACACGTTCACGACGTTTGAGCTACAGCTGGACGGTCGACTCGTCTTTGTGCAGGCTTGGCCATCCGGTGGTCTGTACCCACGGCAGTTCAGTATCAATCCCTCTGGTACTCTGATCGCGGTGGGAAATCAGCTAAGTGCAAATGTGGCACTGCTCTCGCGTAACCCAGCGACTGGTTTGATTGGAGAGCCACTTGCGAGGATTCCAGTAAAGGGCAATATCACTTGTGTGGTGTTTGACCAGGCTGGTGCTGGCTCAGCTTAAGTTTCTTGGTATGATAGTCTATCGAGATGGTGTTTAGCACATATTTATATAATTTCTACGAGTAAGAATAATGTCGGCTAAACCTCAATTGGAATCAATACCGATATATATCATTCTAAATCCATTTCTCTTGGTGTCTTATCCTGTACATCAGCCTCTCCCACTTAAAGGACCTCCGAATTCTTCCTAAATAGAATTCTAGGCTAGTTTTCTCCACCAATAGTCCCCTTGACACGATCTTCTACATCTAACCGCTAGGCCATTGCTAGTATTTCTAAGATGGGGTGTATAAATCTTAAATTAATATATTACATAGCTAGGCGTCCTCTGTTTACCTTTATATTCCCATAATTCGTAAAGGTCAACATGTTCTTCGAGCCTATAGCCCAAAATGGCCTGGTTAGCTCCTAAAACATCTAGAAATTCTCCAATTGCAGTATCAAACGTGTTCTTGTCTACACCCGAGGGAAGAAGATCTGGCAGTGATTAAAGTAGGGCCGTATAAAATAAACCTCGATGTGTTTTCTGATATTCAGGGTCCGAATATCTGATGGGAAGATTGTTCTTCTTGGAAGACAAGCTGACAGAGGAGCGAGAGAGCATGCTGGCTAGAATACAGAGTGAGCTTGATGCAGTGCAATTCAACTACTGAGAGGTTTGCAATTGGAGGGTACCGTTGTCCAAATCTAATACTCCGTACGTATATCGCCTCGCTAAATGTAAGTAAGATGGAGAACCTGCATTCGAAAATCTCCTACATCCCCAAAGAGTAGGAACTAGAGATTCGGACTTTCTTCACCGCCGCTCAACTCCTCTTTCTTTAAATCAGAAGGACCTGCGTCATTCGCATCATATTAGACATTCTTAGTCCCATTCCCATCTATAAGTACCTTCATTTGAAGGCCAAAGGGCTGTTTCAGGGAACCTTTAGAATCTCTAGGTATCGGCCTTCAAAATTCGGTTTGCAGTGTCGAACGCTCCGCAGAAGGTGTTTTGGGGTATGTCTTGCTTGAACAGAATATGTGCCCTAAAGACTGTTCAACCCAGCCATAACATGATGTCCCGACCACTGGACACTGCTGGGAATAATCGTCTCAAAATCATGTAACAAGGTACAAGCCGTTCAGATCCTCACTTTGTTGTTGTCGGCCGGCACATATGTCTTGTTGACCCACAGTCCTCTTCGATGCAAATACATCCAAGATCTGCCAGCCGAAAGGCAAGTAGTTGAGGGGGTCATGTGAGCGATTTGGCGCTGGCACCCTCTCCAACACAAAACGGGGCGCTACCGGGGGTTATTGCGTTTCATTTATCAAAACCTCTATTGGGTTATCCTGTCACCAGTCTCTGCAAAGCCCCAATACCGTGCGACAACCTTTACTAAACTCTTTTGTGGGGTTGAAAGAACGCCATGATCCTTGGGCATGATGCAGGACTCGTGCTGATTCGTCCTCAATGGACTTGGAACCCATGTTGCCATACCACCCTCGTCCGGGACTATCGCAATATTAGTGAGTGTGGCATCTGAAACCCTCGATTACCGTACCTGAAAGCGGTGATCGGGAGGATCAAGACGTCCCGCACTAATTTACTTTGCCCGCCATCCTCGAGCCCAGTCAAAGAATTCCAGCGCAGGCCAACCTGTTCTGAAAGTAAGGTCATGGTAGCATTTGTCACAGCAACCGGTCCGGTCAGCGATACTGGGCCGATATGTTCGAGCTCCTTTACCGCCTCTGAGGACCTTAGGCTCCCATCGTTACGACTAGCCACATCATCAAGCTGCTGCGAAAGGGTGTCCATGAACCTCAACAGAACGTCATGACCCGGCTTCGAGGCCAAGGTCCATTGGGTGAGTTGAATAGGGTAACTATACCCCATACGCCAGTAGTCGTCTCGACTGGGTTGACAGTCCGCTTCGATCCCAAACATAGCCCCGACTGGGTCCTGAAAGGAGTAGTCTGATCTCGTGATGGGATCGACGCAAGAAGTAAGATCAGAGCTCGAAATCCAGGAGGCGGGTTGTCGGAGTGGTTCGGTGTCGACATCTGAATACTGCGAAGAGTTAGATCAACCCAGGATTCAAAACGACGACAAAGAATCGGGCTTCTGAATCATGCGCACTTACAATGCCACCAAACCATTTCAAAACCAAGACACGGAAAACATCCGCTCGCTCAACATTGGACGGCAATTCTGTGAACTGCTTTAAAAATCTGGGCTCGAACTGGGTGATCATTTGATTGATGCCAGAATCCTCCCAAAAAAAATAGGCCATCTTGTCGGAGATTACATAGTTCAGCCATTTCTCAACGGCGACACAGAGCTCTTCCGGCCACGTGTCCGCACGACGGGTTTTCCAGGTTTGGTGTAGGAATAAGGGAATTGACGAGTAATTTATTTTGCGACCCTTTCCGGCTTTAACAGCGTCTGAGGCGACCTTCACTGCCTCGACGATCGTTGTTGGCCGAGCGTGAGAAGATACCCAATCGGATGGAATATGCCAGGCTAAATTAGCCCAATATCAGCCAACCTTGGTCCTCATAAACATCTTCATGAGCTATCCTCTAACTGCAAGCCTCGGTTCTCGCGCGTCCCATAGCATGAATGAGTACGTACCTCCACCGGTTCCATTGAAATTATGCACATGGTGATAAAGTAAGGGATATTTCTCCGCTAGCTCGGATTCGGTGCAAAAAACATTATGCTTTCGGGAAGAGGAGTAAAGAAAGCCAAGATAGGCCGAAAAGAGGAGGTACACGAAGAGGCAGCGTTTAAAAAGTCGAGAAGACCGCCAGGAGGAAATCATAGCTCGAAATGCGTGTATCCAAGAAGTCAAGTCAAAGTAAAGAAGACTAGTTCATAGTCTTCGGAAGAGGTGTACGAAATATGTCATGCTCTCATCATGGGATATCATGGGATGAGATACACTTCAGCTAGGCAGCCTCAACGAAAGGGATGGAAAGCTTGGGTTCCGCAGTGCGAGAACGAGCACAAGCACGCGGCAGTACCAAGGACGAAGGATTATGGTGAAGTGAAATTGCGCGCAAAAATAAAGCCTGAATTGGTCGCCAACGCTCCGGCTCCTACAGGCAATTCAATTTAAAAGTGACAAGGTGCTGATCCAAGCATCCCTCGAGTGCGTTCCCCTTGGTTTCGACGTTCTCACCCATTTCGGCGAGTCTAGACACCTTGAGGACGGGCCAATGGGACGGGTAACATTCAACACCTGATGGCTTTTTTTCCACCACGACCAAGCAGGTTCGAGCGAGGGAAGGAGCGGTCGCACTAGTCCGGGTTTGTCCACGCGCTTCAGCCCAAGCGGTACAAAACGCGACCCCTCAAATCTAACAGATCTAACGAACTTTAACCTTATATTCTCCACAGTTTATTCGCTCTTTCATCGGATGGCGCGTCTCTGGAGGTAGCTTAGTTCTAGCTTAAACCTTACCAGCCAGTTTTCGCGCCCTAGTTTACGAGGTTACGAAGCAACTACGTCGCCCCCTAAATCCAATGACCTTGATGTACAGTGCCACGTTCCTGAAGGATTTTCAGAACAAGTCGGTGCTTACGGAAACCAGGAAACCGCGTTTGATTCGTTGCTTCTAAATTCCTCTGGCACTCCCATGTGGATGACTTGCCTTGAGGTTGAGATTGTATGTCACGCAACTATTATTACTCCGTACATCCCCGCAATCACACCAAGAACAATTGCGTCCTATGTTACTCTTTTCGCGGGACTCAACCACAAAGGACGGAGTCGGAGCACTTACTATATGTACCTGATTCCAACTTCTGTATGCTGATCGGGAACCCAAGCGCTGTCTACTTGGAATCCCCACGAGTATGTGATCTTTCACACCAGGTATTCCCTTATCCTCCGTCTTCCGATATCCTACCCTCAGGTCCAAAAATGTCGCGGAAGATCAAGCTTCTCTCCTGTCTTTAAATGCGACTTTCAAGTTCGCTCATTCCAATTCGCGTCTCTTGACTCTTGACACACACCTATCCTTCTGAAAAAAAGACTGAAAAGCCCCGAATCTAGCCTATAACAAACACTTTTACGGATGTCCGTCGGAACAAGTGGTATATATCCAGTTCTCCGAACCATCCACGGAGATTCGAACCCGGCTCGACCGAAATTTATAATTATTCGAGCTGCATCGGTTACTACAGGGGTTAAAGCCGCTGCGTCGCCACGCTTGCCTGAGATGCGGCGGCGGCGAGGTTTATGTGCCGACAACAAGGCTTATAGGCTCTTACTGCGCACGGTGACGTTATATAGGCGTCTCTGGTAATAGGCATGATTGATAACCCTCTAGCATTATTCTTAAGGCCGTGGCATTCACTTGTTGTTGGTGCACTAGAATTACTCGATCCTATCGGTGTGGTGCACTAGGCTAGCCAAGACCAGTTACCCTTGATCTACAGCCTCGCAATCAATGCGCGAAGTGCCTGTTGTACGCCCTTCAAGTCCTGTAAGACCATCTGATGCCCGCTTGTCACGATGAACACTTCCGTCGATCCTCCTAAAAGCTTGCTAATATCGACTGATCTTTGAGGTGGACTAATTATGTCCTTATCACCAGCTACCAAAACTGTCGGACATTGAATGAGACTGTAGTCCGGGTCTTGATGATCATCACTTGCGACCACTTCAGCTGTAACAGCATATGCCTCGGGAGAGCAAGAAGTAACGGCCTGTGTCAATTCCTGCACGTGCACTTCCTCGTTCTCTCGATCTGTTGGGAAGTTCGTCTTGACAGCTATTTCTCTTACTGCTTCCATCCCATGTTGACGCGCTGTCGTTGCTAGGCCCCGCATACGCTGCTGTGCTTGTGGTATTCCTTTGATGGAACGGCCTACACCCAGGAGTAGTAGTCCGGTAACTGCGATGGGGTACTGCGCTGCATAATGGAGGCTGATGATGGCTCCAAGCGAGTGCCCGACGAGGAGGACTGCTGCGCTTTCACTCCTACTGTTGTTTCCCGTCCCGGTGGTTGCTGGGGTCGGAGAATATTTTTGAACATGTGCGATGAGATCGTGTAAGTCAGAGACATATCGGGCAAATGACTGTGATTTGTTGGTATTGAGTGGTGATTTGCCGAATCCTTCGATATCTACACTGATGATGCGGTAACCGGATGGTATAGACGGAAGAAGCTTTCTAAAAGTTTCTGTCGAACCTCCTAGACCATGTAGTAATACCGCAAGCCGACCTTGCAGGTTTCCAGAGGAGAAGTAGTGAATATAGGTACCGTTCGGTGTAAGATGGTGCCTTGATACACCCGTCATCATGTTTATCATCCTACACGATCACGAAAACAAAGCCTCAAGGAAGAGAATTGGATCAAAGGCAATTAGATCTAGGCTTCCTGGATACTCAACCTTCAATGACGGGCCATCTGATGGAGCAACGTCATTGGATCCGAACCTCGGCCGGATATCGAACTTGGGGTCAGCCGGGGTGACTCAATATCGCATTCCGCCTATCTTGATAGGCGTTTCCGACCCGCCATCAAATCCAAAACAGAATCTATCGTTGGCAGCAACAGAAGTGTCCTCGGCCGAGGTGTGCAAGCACAGGTCCGCTCATGTCTCGTCTTGGCAAAATCACTGCTGAGAAATCTTCGGCTAGAGGACCATTAAATGGAAAAGCATCCTAGGTTCGAAGCCACAAGACAATAGCATAGCTCCCACTACAATTAAAATTCTCGATATCACCAATCAAGGTAATGGTCGTTGAATCACTCACAGAGGCTATCGCCCCGGCAGGCATTCAAGCGAGGCTTGTCGCAACGAGAACATTCGATATCACGCTGCCACATGCCGAGAAGACCAATGGAAATGTTGTCCCTCTCAAGCATCCAGCAAAGAGCAAAGTCGATTTTGGTGCTGAAGTCTACGGGATAGACTTGAACAATCTGAGCGATGCTGACTTCAACTTCATCTCCGATGCACTACATAAATACAAAGTCCTGATTTTCAAAGAGCAGCCGAAAATGCTCGAGCCTCAAAGTCAATACTTATTGACCGCAAACTTTGACCCTGAGGAGACCACCGGAGGCTTCGCACACGGCGCTGACCCGTACCTCACTTCTTACAACAACGTCAATATCTACGGCATCCAGAGTCGACCTGCAATCCCTGTCCAGCCCCAAGTCCATATTCTCGGACGAGGCGAGGTGCCCGAGAGTCATTATCAATTCCCTCCAGGATTCAAGATCAAGGGCATCGATCATCACGAGTTCCATCTTCCTCCTCATATTTCTAAGGAGGAGCGAGAACAAGGCTCCAGTAGATTCTACCAGTGGCACTGGGACGGAGCACTGTACAACATCCCACCTCCTAGAGTTGGCTGCTTACTAGCTGTGCGAACTCCTCGTGGCCCTGACGTGACTGTTCGATGGGATGATGGGACAGGGACGGAGATGAAAATTCCTCCCGGGGCCACAGCTTATGTTGCGGGATCTAGAGCCCTTGAGCTCCTCGATGATGAGACAAGAGGGCTGGCGTACCACAGTAGGATAGAGTACGCACCGCACGCCTTCAAGTGGATGTCAACGGCCCATAGCGCTAGACTCGGCCATATCCTTGAGACTGAGGGACTAGAACTACCACGTTCGAAGCTCCCTCCTGTCGACAGAAGCAAGATCTGCATTTATCCAATGGTATGGACAAACCCCAAAACAGGTGAAAAGTCGTTGCAGGTTCATGGCCAAGGAGCTGTTAAGCTTTACCTCAAAAGTAGCCTTGAGGGAGAAGAGAAAATTATCGACGACTTGAAGCAAGTCAGGGATTTCATGCACAAGTACGTCTTTTCTGTAAGTGCTCTCTCATGTCCTGTTCGTTGACAATGATAACAGAATCATGAGGCCGGCCATATCACCGGAGAATATATATGCACATCGTCATGAAGAGCAGGATGTCGTTCTCTGGTACAACCGTGCCTTGTGGCATAGCATTGTAAGTGAAATCCCTGCTCGTAATCCTGGGAAAGCCGACTGACAAGTACCGTAAGACTGAATTTCCTGAGTCATATGGACCGAGAATCATGCATCAATGCAACATTGCAGCATCGGACCACCCTACGGGATAATAAGGCTCCATCGTACTCGAGGTAGAATTGACATAGCTGGGAAAGGGTGAGGGAATATGTGGTATCCCGGATTCGGCCAAGCTCCGGGAGCGATACATGTAGAGAATAGAGCGAAGTTCTCAATCATCGTCGGTTGTGACATTTTTCAGCTGTTCAAACGTTCAATCGTGTGATTTGAAAAACGGCCTAGGGAATGGTAAGTAGATACAGTCTTTGAAATTAGTCAAAGCCCAAGGCCGTGATTAGCAAACGACATCAAACTCTCAAACGTCTGTGTGCCATCTGCATCATTTACAGGCATATTCCATATCCAATTCATGTCTGCTGGGAGGTTCAAGGGCTCATCCACTCCAGCCTCTTGGGAATCATCTGCAATCCGTGGAGGCCGACTATTCACCTCCGATATACGAGTTTGTCGTTCTTGAGGCTGATAAGAAGTCGACGCAGTTTCGAACGACCGGGCGAACTCCGCAGCATCAAAGCCTTGACGTTGTCTCTTTGAAGTCTCGTGTCTCCCAATCTCAAGTGGTCTCTTTCGACTTTCTGCGCGGTTAACGATTTGCTTTTGCAAAGCATTCAAAACTTTGACACCACGGGCTGCGATCATGCTCTTCTGCCGACATACTTGAAGGTGCTCGATGGTTTGTTCTACAAGGTCCGCCCCATCCTGAGCACTCGAAGATGAGTGAAGAAGGTCAAAGTATATAACGATACATGCTGCGACCGAGAACGCTTGATGCGTCCACAGCATCGGGCTGGATTCATCTTTACTGTTCGCTAAATACTCCTTTAAAATTGTTTTGGAAGCTGCCAAGCATGTGCGGCGAGTGAATGCAAAGAGATGGTTGGAAAAACTGAGACCTAAGAACTTGCTTTACTCGTAAATTAGCCACCATCTCGAATTCGACTCCCGAAGCAAGGCTTACCGGTGAATCATAATAACCTTGTGGGCGGAACTCATCGCAATTGCTTGACGCGCCCAGGGAATGTAGCAGGGCCAGCTTTCATCCAAAGCCGTGTTTGCAAGAAATGGAGGTCTCGCCGTGGCCAAAGCTCGCATCTTTTTATCATGAACCAAAACTGCCTCATACTTTGTGTACAATGTATTGGACAGGGCCATAGCGTCTTGTAGAGCTGGCATAATTGCGGCGACCTGAGCCAGAAATCGACAGAAGCTGGTGATCGTTGGCTCTGCTTCTGGGAGAACCTGCATGGTTTCGTCGCCATTTTTCGGAGGGAGTGATATCGAGTGCAAGGGATTGATCGAGTAGGCTTCAGAAAAGGCAGTGCTAAACCAGTCTTGGGTACAAAGCTCTTGCCACACACGACGACCAGTTTCTAACTCGATTTCACCGTCTCGAGCGTCTTCATCAAGCCTGTGCAGGCCTAAGCTTTGAGCGATACGAACCGCCGCTGCTAGCATCACCGATTGTGTGTTCGAGTGGCCTAACATGTGGGCTGTGTTCGTCAATGTTGTTATGGCTTGAACCGCATGCAGGGAGTGGTTTGCAGTATAGTTTGCTGCATTCAAAGAAATGACGACTGCTCTGAACCATTTTTGGGAGAGTAGCCGGGCTTCGCTTTCATCGAAGCCCCACTTTCTAGCCTCGTGTGTCGGAGCCGAAGTGATGGTCCCTGCCATGATGGAAAATAATAGGGCTACCCATTGCAGATTGAGTCCTGTCGAATTAAGCTTGGCATGATGGTCGTCGTAGAATGAATCGAGCTGCTCCAAGAAGGTTGGCGTAAAATACGAACCATGAAACCAAAGCAAACATTCATTATGGTATTCCACCAGACGATACACTTGGCGCCGCGAAGGAAGCAGGATTTGCAACCAAGGCACGAGGTTTACGTCAGGATTCAAAGTACCATCGAGGTCTTGACCTGGACTGACGCCAGCTGCATCCTCATGCTCGGAGACTCTGAGGGCTTCTGGAGAGAGTATTGTTCGCTCTGGGTCTTTCATGCGACCCCAAGCCAAAAACTCTAAGACAGTAACTGCATCTTCAATCCCCGAGTCTTGGCTTGGTGAAGGCGATCCATTCCGCGCAACGACCCTGCCCACAAGTTGTTCAGTAGTAGCTGGAGTCGGCGACTGAACCGCTGTGCGTGACTCAGCCTTCTTCAGTTGCAAGGTAGCCTCGAGCTCAGCCACCCGACGCCGAAGAGCATTGAAGGCAACCTCATCGTTCGGGTGTCCAGAGGTGATTCTGCTGCTTTGCGCATTGAGTTCATCATCTCCAGCGCGTTCGCATTCGGTAGCTGTCCCTCGCCTGACACAATTATCGCATGGAATTTCCTTGTCGCACTTGACCTTGCGGCGCGTGCAAATTCGGCAGGCCAATTTCCTACGAGGAATAGTAGACATGAATGATTGTCATTACTATACAAACAGCATTACTACAGGTTATTTCCATGTCATTTTCAGATTGGTGTTGAGGCGAAGTCGGCAATCCTGAATCCTTGACCCGGTCTGACGGGCCTAATCACCATCGCTGTCATTTGATTTGGTACCTCGTGCGAGTCGTCACCTCATTAGCAAGGCTGCTCGAAAGCGGTGTTCTCCTAGGAGATAATTCGGGCACTTTGGGCCCGTCAGACTGTGAAGCCGAGTGGTATTTGGCCAAGGGATCCGTCTGACACACAATCCTTCGACTGATAAGGAACATTATGATGCCCAATAATCATGCATATAGTGTATTTCAAGCACATCCTGATCAATGCGATAACGATTGCCCCACAGCTCGGCCGATAATCCGAATACCTGTCATCGCCAGTTGATTCACGATAAGCTAATCCGAGGGTCATTACCGAACCCTCTCCCCTGCCTGAGGATGCGTACAACAAGTAAATGTTGGCTCTACTTGATAAATCACGGTCCTTGCAACTGATTTGCAGAGCGGAGCACACCAAGCTCGCTCATTTCGCAGCCATGTCTCCTGCCGCGCTTACACCGCAGCCGACATTCAAGGTTGTGCCGCAAACAAAATGCAAAGATCAAAAGTTCAACTTTGGTGCCGTTGTGGAAGGCTTAGACCTCAATGATATCTCTGGTATTGATCCCCCTATCCAAGGCGCGTATCACTGCTTATATGTCAAGCCAATGATGTCGAGAGACTAAAAGAGACAATATGGACGCACAAGGTCATCGTCGTCAAGGGCCAGAAAGATCTTGCCCCCGTCAAACACTGGGAGCTTGTCACCCGCTTCGATCCAGATGCCCATCAAATGCATAGCCATGGTGACATGAAAACATTTGAAAAGAAGGGTGGTCTTCTCTCAAAATCCCGTGATGTCTATGGCATTCCCGGAGCAGAGAATGTTCGTCTGATCGGGAAGGGTTATCAAGGTCAGGGCTGCAATTCCTCTCTAATTGGCAAGTGCGACAGGGTCAAGACGCTAACTCCAGCATTAAAAATAGGCCAGGATCACTACGGGCTCAAAAACATCATTATCAAAGGCTTAACAAACGATTTTCACGCTGAGCCCCCAAACGACGAAGAATTTCAAGAGGGCATCACACGCTTTCAAAGATGGCATATCGACGCCCCGCTATATGCTCGCGATCCGGCGTGGTTTACAACTCTTCGCGCCTTAAAGCTCCCATCTGGTCCAGACTTGACTATCCGGTGGGATGACGGCTCCGGATTGAGTATGAAGGCCCCCCCAGGATTAACGGCATTCTTCAGTACCTCACAGCTGTATAGCATGCTCAGTGATCAAGAAAAGCAGCTTGCTGACCACAGCTGGGTTGAGTATGCACCACATCCGTATATGTGGGTCGAGCGTTGCAAGGCTCCTCCGACAGGACTCGGCCTGAAATCTGAGGGGAAGGAACATACTATTGAGGAACTTGGTGAATACGATGAGAAGGATGTCAAGAGAGTAAGGCTTCACATCTACTCATGGGTTCCGGCCATCATGACTAACAGTGTATCAGTATCCTTTTGTGTGGGTCAATCCTGTCACCGGTGAGAAGGCGTTCCAAGTTCACGGCCTCGCCGCGCGGAAACTCTTTCTTCGGTCATCCATAGATGAAGAACCAAAAGTTATCGACGACGTAGTCGCTATTCGCTCGTTCCTGCACAACATACAGACACGCGTCCTGCGACCCGAGTACATATATCTCCCCAAGGTCGAGGTGGGTGATATAGTAATGTGGGACAATTATGGTACATTCCATACAGCTGTGGATTATCCCCTGGAGAAGTATGGTCCCAGGACCATGCATCAAGCCAACATTGGTGCAAGCAAGGGTCCTGTTGGCCCTGTGCCAATTCCGGTTGTAGGTTGAGTTCAATCCCAATGCAGACGAACAATGGGTCATGTGTATAATAAATGTTCTTCCTATTCAACTTAATGATGTTAGATGCTACTCTGAGTGTGTGTATAAGATCTTAGCGCGCTGGTGATCCGTAATCTCTAGGGGTTTTGCTTGCGGAGTGTCATTAGGTGCCAAGACAGTATTAGTAGCTATCCACCAGAAAATCAATATCAAGTAACAATCGTAAAAGATGAGATGCTTATGTAATGATAAAAAATTCCAGTAACTCGGTACCTACGACTCGACCACTATCCGCAAGGCTTTTTGGTCCGCCTATTTCGGATGTCCTATTAGTAGTCTAGACTCGAAGGTTGGCGAAGCGAGGTAGAATTGAAATTAGGCGATATCCGGCCATGCTCTGCAAAAGACCTCACCTGGACGGGGTATCATGCACAGGGTGAAACCTAATTTTCTCCAGGAAAGCATGCCCAGGGTGGTGGTAGACTGGGGGAGGGAGCACAAGTAGACGCCCCCACACTTAGTCATCATTGCAACCAAACCCCGTACAGCAAGACTGAACATCCAAAGATAAGGAAGGCCTCGGCCGAGGGTTATCAGAACAACTTCTCAATTGTAGACAACGTGCTGTAGCCAAGCTGGTGGACGATTTTCAATGCCTGTAATCCAATACGGCAGGATGATAAGACGCATCGCTTCCTAGCAACTGACTTGATTGGCGAATCTAGTGATTACCCAGGTTCGTTCAATGCGATAAGGGGACACCACGAACACCAGCTCTGCGAAAAGCATGTATATAACAAAGTTGGACCACAGCGAAGATTGATTGTGTACTACTTTACAACGCATGAGTGCCCTGTAGTCGACAATGGGGTTCTCCAGTTTCCAAGAACATGCAAAACGGGACTTTCAGAGTGTCAAGCATGCTTTCACCAGCAGAAGGGCATTTGTCAAGTTTATAGAGACCAAACCTACAGCTGGGGAAAATACGGAGGCGGTCCGAAACCAATGGACGAATGAGGATCTCGACATTAGTCCTCCGAGTCATCATACATGGGGGTGGTACGACTACGCAGCATTTTGGTTCTCCTATGGTTTCTCTCCTGGCTTGTGGTACCTTGGAGCGGCACTGCTCGCCAATGGATTGACTCCAGCTCAAGCACTTGGATGTCTGTTTCTTGGCTTCTTCTTCGGATCAGTCGGTATCGTCATGCACTCTCGCGCCGCTGCGGTTTACCATTTCGGCTTTCCTGTCGAGAGTAGACTTGTTTGGGGGCTCTGGGGATCATATTTCCCCGTCATTATTCGAGCACTTTGTGCGTTGATCTGGGGGGGTGTTACCATCGCAACAGGTGGATATTTCACCACTGTTCTGCTCCGATGCATTTTCGGCGACTCATACTGGAAATTGCCAAACCATATTCCGGAAAGCTCGCATATTACGGTACAACAGCTCATAGGTGAGTCCTTGTATGGATTTTTGCGTGATCAATTGGTCAAGCTAATCATACACTGGTTGTAGGAATTATTGTGTACTGGTTTATGACATGCTGGACACTTTCCATACCCATTCCGAAACTCCGTCGAGCATATGAGATCCAGATGCTCCTCACACCACCCACAATTATCGGTAGGTTCTTTCACGTTGTGTGCATGGTGAATAGCTTTGCTGATCTGCTGTACTGCAGGACTATTTGTCTTTTGTATGTTAACCGGGAAAGGACATGCACACAAAGAACTGTACGAGGTCGAACCCAAACATGGTGCAGAACTGTCATGGGCATTGGTAAGAACGGCGTCTTCCCTAAAGCAAAGACCTCGAAGCTCACTGGAATAGTTGGCCGCGGTCAATTCAGGTTTGGCCAAGACAACAACCCTCATGGTCAACCAGCCTGATATTGCCCGCTATGCACGTACCAAGATGGCTCCTACCTGGTCACAATTCATCATGTTTCCCGCTGCTAGTACTGCCTGCGCCGCCTTGGGCATTTATGCTACGCAGGCCATCTTCAATGCATGGGGAAACATTGATTGGAATCCGTAAGGGCTCGCGAGTTTTCCTTCCTCCCTCCACAGCACTCACTAACGACGTTTCGCAGGTGGGATCTAAATCACGATATGCTTGACCACGAATTCAGTCATGGCCGTAGAGCTGGTATCGCAATCATTAACCTCATATTCATCTATGGCAATACCTTGATTGAGTTAGGGGCTAACGTTATTCCATTCGGAGCTGATTTCATGGCACTGTTCCCTCGATGGCTCAATATCAGACGTGGCATGTGGATGTGCTATGTACTCGGAGTTTGTATCTGTCCATGGCAGATCCTTGCTACAGCCACAGGCTTTCTTAAATTCCTGAACGGGTACAGCATCTTCTTGGGATCGTTTCTCGGAATGGCCTTGACAGACTACCTTATTGTTCGCAAAGGTAACATCTTTGTTAGAGACCTGTACCAAGCTGGTGGCAAATATTGGTACTTCCATGGCGTGTCTTGGAGGGCAGTTGTGACATGGATCATCTCTGTCAGCTTCATGGTATGTGTAGTATCGTAGTCGCATGACGTTTACGATTGCTGATCAAATTCGAACAGCTTCCAGGATTTGCAAGAACTTTCGGTGCTGAGATTTCCAATGGCAATGGTTGGAGTCATCTTTATGCGTTCAGCTGGTTCTACACCTGCACCGTTAGCAGCGTGGTTTATTTTGCCTTGTCATTTGTCGGGAATTTTGCCAAGGAGGAAAGGACCATGCCATTTGAGCACCTAGCACGCAGTGAGACTCTAGAATCCCAAGCCGTTGAGACACAGAGCGACTTCTCCGAGGTAGCCATATCTGGTGAACAAAAAGTCTAAAGCAGATGTCGATATCTATCCTTTCCGGACTTCATACTGAGTGTATGATAATTCTTGCTTCGAAGAGATTGTACTCAGCACACGTTGTCTACATAGCTATCTAGTTTTTAATCGCGAGATTTTAGATCGCGCACTCGCAAAGGCCGCTATCAGTTGCTGTAGAGAACTCGTAGTCTCATAATAGCCAGAGATATGAGTAGATCGTCTGAAAAGCGACAAGTAACAGCCTTAGAGCAGCTTTCATTACGACGAGTTGTCTACTACTAGAGAATTTTGCACATTAAGCATCGGGATATAGGCAAGACAATGAAACATCATTACATCTGGCCGCTTTGCTGCCCTAAAGGCAGCTTGTGAGGTTGCACCACAGCTCAAAAGGATTCAAAACTGCAGAAAAAATATACGGAAACATGGGAAGCCATCATCAGTCCTGAAATGGGATGCTCAAGCTCGAAACACCATTTTCGTATCTCTAGATACATGCAAGAGTTTCGAGATCAATTGTTCCAGGCTGGTAAATACTCTCTGCATTGGAGTGGGACACTACCCCATAGATTCTCCACCTAGGCTGACTAGGTCCCTGTGTTGCTAAAATTTATCGCGTCAATCTTTTTTTGTGCTCTCTCCCTGGAAAAGCAGCACACAGATCTTTTAAGATGTTCCGCCTCGTTTGTCACCTTCGAGATTGAGAGACAGTTGTGCCGAAAAATAGCATTCTTTTGCCTCCAGGTCAACCACCCATCCGTTTCACTGAAGATGCGTTCGAAGGATTCAAATATAGTCGCTATAAAAGCTCCTCACTTCGCTCCACACCTAGCCCATAATCATGAAACATACCTGACGCCTGATTTGAGCTCGAATATAGTCTTCGGCGGAGCCGAACTTGTACACCAGTACCACTTTTATTCTCAATGGTATGATGCATTTTAATGGGTCCTGGACCCTCCATGTTTTCAATCACATCGAAAATTTGCAGCATGCGGGTAACTGTAAACATAACCTTGGTGCGCGCGAATTGCTCTGATGTTAAGGTCAGTATCAGTGCTAACGAAGGAGGAGAATGGATCTAGACCCACGGCCGATGCATTGTCTTGAGCCGCCACCAAATGGAATGAAATCCCATCCAAATTTGCGGCCCTGCCATCTTGAAGGTTTGTATTCATCCACATCCGGACCCCATATATCCTCACGATGTTGCATAGAGTATGTAGGTATCAACACCTGAGTGTCTTTGGGCACGAACACCGGGCTTTTGCCATCAGCACCGCCCCCTCGTGGCAATGTAGTGTCTCGGATAGCCACTCGCTCGTTCATAGGCACGATGCTAACAAATCTGATAGTCTCATTAATCACAGCTTGTAAGTATTGACAAGTCCAAAGCTTGTCAAAAGTAACGTCTGACATTGGATCATCAGAAATGTTGTGCAATATCTCCGCCCGAGTCTTTTCAAAGATTGCTTGATGTCGGGAAAGGAAGTAGAATATCCATCCTAGAAGTGATGCCGTTGTATCTCTGGACGCATGAAGAACATTCAGTAGTTCACTTCTAAGTTCCAGTGGATTCTTCGTTTCCCTTATCAATTCGTTCAACAGGACAAACTTCTGGTCACCCGAGAATCCCACACCCGCATCCTCTCCTACGGAAATAGTCTCCTTTACCTTTTCCGCCACAAAATGGTCCACAACATCTTGAACTGCTTTGCAGTGACTGGGAAACGACCTATCATAGACCAGCCATCCGTATTTGGCAAGCGCACCCCTTCGATCGATGATACGCTTGGCTTCATCAAGATGATACCCAAATTGTGCTATATCAGGGCCACGAGGGTCCCATTCTAGCTTTGTATAAGCCCGTCGGTCTGGACTTTGTGAATAGACCGACTGGCCGAAGAGAAATTCTGTCGAAATATCGAGGGTAAAGTTGGAAAACAAAGGGGCAAGATCCAGTTTACTGGTCCAGCCATCCTCGTCACTCACCCGGATTTTCTCAAGCAATATCTGGAAATGGCGCTCAAAGAGGCCAATATCCGCCACATTGTGTCGAGCAAATTGAGGCCTGATTAACGCTCTCGAATGCTTCCATTTCTGTTGTCGGTTGGTCATTACACCAGACCCCAACAATGATTTGAAACATTTCTCACGATGCGGCCCAATATCGAAATCCTGCGACTGTGCAGCGAACATCGCTTTGGCATTTTCTGCATCCCGCGTGACAAGAAGTTCATAGTCAAATATACCCGCTTTGACTGTGTGGACATGTTTTCCCATAGAGTTTAACGTTTCGTGCATCCAGATAGGTCCCCATTCCTCTTTCGTCGCTTTGATGCTTTGTCTCAACGTCCCTGTCCCAAATAATCCGATAGTGGGTACACTTGGTGGACGCTGGCATCCTCGTAGCATAGACTCCCGAGCGTTGTGGTGTCGAAGTTTTCTAGCGAGTACGAGTTTGTAGGCAAAGGCTATAACAATAGCAATCAACACTATGATGGTAGTCTTCATCCTGCTAGACGTTGAAGGTCGAAATGTTGGAAGTACAATCTACAACCTTAGTTTTCATCGTAAGTGCCTCTACTTCGAGTATATAGTGAATAAAGCGTATATATGCTCCATTCTGTGGCCCTGAGGGAAGTAGCCATTCCTAGGAGCTGGCAAAATTATGGAGCCACAGTACCGCATGCATGACGTATTGGGATGCGGGCCGGATAAGTTGTTGGACTGACCAAGGACATGTAAATTGCAGCACGAGGTCCACAGTGCGCCGGAAGTGTTCCTTGTTTCCGCTGATCGGCATCTTCGCCAATCTGTTGACGCGAAGCGATTCTGTCGATCAGTTTGGGATGACTTCCGGCTCATATGTCCGATAGATCAATCCTCCAAATAGCACACCAACGACCCGCTTCTCGGGAATTTAAGAAGGGTAAACCCATCGGACCATCAGTCTCGTTCTCCACGTGACACATCGTGACACATCGTGCTGGACAGCAGATCAGTAATAATCCGTCAATTGGCAGCTGCCGCACCAATTTGATGCGTCAATGGTCAATCATCGATAAAATTGCCTGTCTTGATGATGAGGCAATGATCAAACAAACAGGAGTTCTACAATATGCAAAGCGGATGATTTAGATCATCCTCTCAGGGCACTTGTATAGGGATTAGAATAGCCGCCACGATAGCGAAACCAGAGACCTTGAACCATTCATTCGACGATTATTTGCGGCCACCATATCGATACCATCTGTTTGTTCTTTCCGGCACCAGCTTCCATTTCCTTCCATCATGTCGTTAGCTCTCTGAGCTCTAGGTATCTAGTAGTGGAGTGGGAGCTAACGCCCCACAGGAACCAAGGAGTTTCATTTGAGATGGTTTTCGCGTCGCCACTGGAAGCTAATATCTTCAGATTGCTCTTGTGTTATAGGACGTATCCTTTCCTTTGTCAAGGGATAGGTAATCATGATCAGGTCATTCACTCACAGCCAAGGCAAACCTTTAGTTGATATCTCTATAGGCTTTGTGTTCAATATCAAAATCATATCAACACCTGGGAAATCAGATCGATCTATCTCATACGATATCTACGTAAGACAGTTTCATCAGTTTAGTAGTGACACCTTCAGGCTCACGCCATCTCGTGGCCTCAATACCAATCGCCACATCTTCAACTCCTCGGGGTCTTGCACGTTCGCATCAAGCTCAAACGTATACTTGCTCAGCAACGCGCATAATATTGTCTTCATTTCAACCTCCGCAAACTTTCGCCCAACGCAACCTCTGGGCCCTATGCATACAGTTAGGTATAGTACAAATAGGTTTTTAGTTCGGGGTCTTTCTGTCTTACCTTGCAAGAATGTCATAAATGCATTTGTGGTGTACGTATCAGGAAGATTTTTCCACCGCGTAGGGTCAAAGGTGTTCGCAGTATCTCCCCAGTATGTCGGTAAACGATTGATACAGTTTGCCATTAAATAGATCGTGGTTCCACCTGGTACAAAATATCCGCCCAACGTGTCGTCTTCAATGGTCTTGCGAACTGTCATAGGGATAGACGGGATATAACGGAGCGACTCTTTGCAAACATCCTCAAGATATGGCAGGAGATCAACATCTGCATGGTTAACCTTACTAACGTCTTCTCGAGTGTCTGCGTCGAACAGGAAGGGCATGTGCGAACGAATTTCATTCCGCAATCTGCCTTGGATTTCAGGATTTTTGGCGAGTAAGAGAAGTGTCCATGCAGCCGTGGTAGCAGTTGTGTCGTGTCTATGGTCCTGGGTCAGTAATGCAGATGCGGAGGGGGTAAAAGAAGGTCTAACCCAGCTCCTAGAAAAGTCATGACTTGATCTCGCATCGTCTCAACTGTTAAAAAATCCTCTTTTGATGCTGTCAAATTATTCTTCACGATCAATCCGATTATATCCTTATGGTGCACTTTTGAGCTCTCCTCTTCAGTTGAAGCCTTATTGTAAATGATCCGAGTTGCGTGATCAAGGATGATACTGCGCGCTTTGGCCATGTCGCGGTTGGCTCTGACTGGAAGTAACCGAACTAATGGTGTAAACGCTGCGAGGCCGTTAATAACCCGCGCTTGGATGTCAAACTCGAAACATCGGCGGTAAGCGTCACGCAGAGGGGCTTCAGGATTCGTCAGAGAGTCGATATCTGTCCCAAGGCCAGCGCGTCCGATAATGTCGAGTGTAGTTCTATTCAGCCAGTCAAGAACTTCGAAGCATTTGGTATTGCTGTTCTGTTTGTTCATTTCGATGTTCCAAAGGTTTGACATGTGAAGTGATTTAGCCCAGAAGATTGGCATCAGAGATCGGATTGAAGTAATAGAGAAGGCCGGAGTCAATGCTTTTCTCTGGACAACATGAGAATTCCCCTCTGCAAGTAGAACTCCTGTGTTATGTTAAAAAGTTGAATGAAGATAAGAACATTTGCAGAAAACATTACCTTCGCCAAGGATTTGTCTCATCCAAACCCGTGCCCGTTGTGGTTTTGGATAATTATAAGGGTTTCGGACAGTCATTTGCTTGATCGCATCATCATCGGTCACCGATAGACGCTCGCTTCCGAAAGGAAAGAAATACCGAACTATCGGGCCATGCTTAGAATGCCAGTCTCTTTGAACAACTCCGCACTCAGTCGTAATGATTGTGAGAAATTGACCCCAGAGCGGGAATCCTGGCACTGTCGGAACATGTCGTAGTTCAGAGATGTAAAATGGAAATATCCAGCAGGCGTAGACTGTATAAAGGGCCAGGGAAACAGGAAGAATGTACCTCAAAGCCACGGGTGTACTTAGTTCTGGCCAAATTCTGCAGCTCAGAAGGGCTATAACTGCACTGATGGCCATGAAAGGCAGAAAAGGCACGTTCAAAGCCATGTTGATGATGATGGCAGAGATTGGACAAAAAGAAGCAACAGATTAATGAAAATTTGAAGCAAGCAAAACATGTCATATACTCTTCCCACTAGGCCAGAGATATATCTGACACCTTTGATAAACGTGCGTAAAGATCGAAGAATGATGCAAGCCTACGAGGACATGCCATTCGTATGGATGAAAAAATCGAAATGGTTCCAATGACGGCATCTCTGGAACATCTCCTAGCTGTCCATTGATACACCTCCATGACTGCAGTCTTATGTTTGTGGATACCTGGTTCCCAACCAATCAATGCTTTTGGTTCCATAATTAACCCGTTCCACACTGTTGATAAAGTCGTAATCTTCGTCACGCTCAACCAATTCAGGACTTCTCATCGTTTCTAGTAAATTCTGTTGTGATAGTTTGAGTCAAATAGTCTTCGAAAGATGTGCAGCAATCCTACTTATTTCGGTAAAACGCCCTGGAGAGCCTTTGGTGTGAAATCAATATGCAGGAGAATGGACTCTTTATCCACTGCGGCAAAATCATCCCGGTTTACAAAAATGACCGATTGATATCATACTCTTATCAGGGATTACTAAATCAAGGCTGAATGGCTAGTAATGATAAAGGGTCCTTGTGAGCTCTGCCGATCATGAATATTTCTCGATCGAAAGAGCCCTTCAAATGTTCAAGCCCTGGAGGTTCCCCGACATATATTCAGAACACTCTACTTGAATTACAGCTTTATTGTCAGCACGATAAGCTTTATCATGTCTCTAATGAATTTAACTTACCATGCTGCGAGCACTTTTCTTCCTGTAAATCTTACCAAGCAAGAATCATCAGACATTCAGATGTTGATGGTCTCCAGCCTTCCGATCCTCGATCCATGGTCGATATTCGATGGTGTTTTCTCGAAAGTCATGGGCTACGAGGCAAAAGAATTCGCCTTTGCTCCTGGCCAAACACCAATGTCGACACTGAAAGAGACACTCCTCGTCATACTTGTTTACTACGTTGTAATACTCGGTGGACGTGAGCTCATGCAAAAGCGCAAACCTTTCAAGCTCAATTGTCTCTTCATTATCCACAATTTTTGTCTTTCTATAATATCAGGATCATTACTTCTGCTATTTATGCAGCAAATTATTCCTGGAATCTGGAGAAATGGACTTTTTGACGGTGTCTGTGGTGCAACTGGCTGGTCAGAGAAACTAGTGGTTTTGTATTATCTCAACTACCTGACAAAGTATCTCGAGCTGCTTGACACGGTCTTTCTAGTTCTGAGGAGAAAGCCTCTGACTTTTCTACATACCTATCACCATGGCGCGACAGCATTTCTTTGCTATACACAGCTTCTGGGTGAGACATCAGTCTCATGGGTTCCCATTACATTGAACCTTGGAGTTCATGTAATTATGTACTGGTAAGACTCCCGAAAGCCATAAACAAACCAGGCCTCCCTCTAATATAACTAGGTACTATTTTCAAGCAGCCCGTGGTATCAAGATTTGGTGGAAGCAATGCATCACCATCTTTCAAATCATTCAGTTCATACTTGATCTAGGTCAGTGGAATCTATTCCGGAGCAATCCTTGCTCTTTGTTGTTCAGAAATCAAACTGAAGTCTAATGTCAACATCAGGGTTCATATACTTCGCGTCATACACATATTTCGCGGACACATATGCTCGCTGGCTACCACACAAAGGGTTCTGTGGAGTGAAAAAGCAGGAGATGGCGGCAGTGACAGGCTGCACTATTTTGACATCCTACCTCGCGCTGTTCGTCGGCTTTTATTTCTCCACATACAGAAAGAAAAGCCCAAAGAAAGCTCTCCGTCGAGCTTCAAAGACAGAAGTTCCTACAGCAGGGCAGACAACTGAAATAGCAACCGACACACTGCTATCGGCCAGAGCTACTGTTTTGGACGCTATGAAAGATTAAGATAGGTTATTGTAAGGGTTCTCCAAGTGGGATGCATTTTTCTTTGGTCAAGATTGGTTCTCAGGCACTATCTCTCCTGACAAGAGCGCAAGTGATGAGAAAAACTGTTGGCATAGTTATGAATGTCTCGCTTGCAGCCCCCACCCATGGACGAAGTTCCAAAGATCACCAGGTTCCGGAGAAAACCATAGCATATGGACAATTTATCTCGTGTCGAAGGGACTATGAATGGGATGCATCCTAGGAACAATGCAAAATGATGGATCCAGGGCCTAGCAAATTATCGATACACTACTCCTTGGCTGCGGGAATACATCCGAGATTGTTGGAATTTTAGGTGCACCGCCACCTAGTTAGAGTACGCCACACAGCGTACTCCAAGGTGTCCAGCCACCCTCTTTTGGGGCACCCTGCCTCCTATAGCTAGGTGTATATAGCGGGCTCCCGACCCCTAAGGTTAGAGGGACTTCTCAAACATTCCATTCACTTCATACCTTGCTCATAGAGCTTTTTTGATATGCCGCTCGTACGTAAATTATGAAGTTCAGTTCTTTGCGAACACCTATGTCATATCTTGCGCCTACCTACCTACCGAGCATGTGGGATATAGAACGTGTCAAAATTCGTTAGAATAAGGTTTATTAGCTTGCTAAACCGGGCTCAATCGTCCGGGATAAAATTCCTTTGTCCGGTAGTGCTACGTACAACTGGGTCCAGGACCGTGGGTCCATACGCGGCGCAGGCTTCTGGATCTCGATCTAACACTTAGGGCACCACCGACCCGCATGTTGCATTTACCTTTTCACCTGCTTGCGAATAACCTGAGCATCTTGTTGGCTGTTTGTCATGATCTTGGCCCCAGGGTGAGTGGCACTATCAATGGCGATCAAGGTCTTGTTTGTCCTCCGACGGAAACGTCAGTACTTGGGAAAAACCAAATGCAGTACGCCGACTTTGGCCAATGCAGAATGTCTTTCGCGACCTGCGGAAGCGACTATCTTATCAATTGAAGATCTCTGGATCTGCGACTCACAATTCAGGAGTATCTTATCCATATGGATCTTCCTGGCATCGATCTGCTATCACCAGCTGATTTGACGCGGACAAAATCACACATTCTGTGTTGTCATTATCCATCTCAGTGTAGCCAGTGTTACAATTCGCTGGACCTATGGAGTCATGGTTCGAACTAGATTTGCCTCCAGAAACTCAGTGTATCAGAACGTTGTGGAAATTGTCCGGCCCTAAAGCCTCTCTCTATATTTTTCAAGAACAGCATAATAAATATCACGACGCGGACGAAGACCAGTATGTCTTTTGGGGCAACAATCGCAAGTGACACGATAAGCATGACGACTATTGAGGCTCTACTAGCATTACTTGAAGCTATCTGGTGCTTGTTCACTGGCGAGAATCTTTGGAAGCTTTTGATCCTACTGCTGCTGTTGTCGAACTTTAAAGTCTTTCCCTTCATATACCATTTGCGGATATTGAATGGTGTACGATTCCTGCTTCGGTCACAGAGGCCAGAACAAAAGATTCACGCCGAGCATCTTTTCCAGCCGCTGATCACATCATCGAACACTTGTCTCATGGAGACCGACATTTTCGGTCACAAGTCTAACAGCACCTACTTCACGGACATTGACATTGCACGAGTGCATTTGGTTACCACCATGTTTGGGGAGGGCATTGAGACAATTCGTGGTGGTACGACGATGAATGGGCTCAGCAGGAAGCCGTACAGCAAGTTTTCCTTGGCTCTAGGCGCGGTGAGCTGTACCTTTCAGAAAGAATTGCTTCCTTACGAGACTTATGACATGTGGACGCGAATTTTGTCTTGGGATGACAAATGGCTTTACATTGTGACACACTTTGTCAAGAAAGAGTCAGCAATATATCCTCGACGATCGTCACTATATCCCGAACAAGGTGTGAAAGATGCGTCAAACTTTGGACAAGATAAGGTCAACTCAGAAAGCGCCGAGAGTCAAGCCGCCGCTGGTGGGTTGGCGCGATACCCCATTGCTGCATCTGCTATGAGCAAAGTAGTGTTCAAAAACGGCCGACGCACCATCAAACCACGGGAGATGATTGCTGCGTCTGGTCTCTTGGGAAACAAAAATCATGGTGAAACTGAAAGAGAAGGAAGCATAGACACTGCAGCATGTGAAAATGCAACTGAGAAGGAACGGCAGCGTGGAATGCGAATTGCATCTATGTTAGCCAATCAGATTGATCTGGAAAAGGAATTCAATGGAGATGTGGCCCTTGGAAGACATCACGATGGATTCGGGGTCGAAGGAGTTGTGGCAACCCTGGCGCAGTTGGGCAAGATCTCGAATTTTCAACTTATATAGCGGGACTACACTGCAGCATGATGTGACCAATCCCCGCTTTCATACATCAAAGTCCCAAGAAGTATTGTTGGCTCCAAAATTTGTTCCAATTATGGAGACCGTTGGCCCTAATTGGGATGATCAACATTAGGCTCGGATACTTGAGCCAGATCGCCAATCGTTCGCTTGGCTAACCGAGAAAGACTTTCAGGGGCCGATTGTTTTGTGTATTCGTACGAAGTACGCAAGAGTGGGTAGCATGATCGTCCCTACCAAGATAAATGCCCCACATTATGTATTTACGCATTTCCGAAACGACTTCATCTGGTCTCATGCTATGCGAAATTAGTTCTTTGGAAAAGTTAGATATGTGTCAAATGTTTGTTCCATCTCAGTTCAGGATCCGCTTAGTCGGTGAATTACTATTTGCGACAATCGCATGCAGGGACGGCATCAATCATTATCCACCTGACATCATGAGCGCTTCGCACATGGCGTATAGGATGAATTGCTTTGACTGTCCAGTGCAACCATGTATGGATCAAAACTTCAATGGACTTGATTTTCCTTGTCGATCGAACACATACTATTATCACAAAGAAATTGGGGTGAGTTGATAGAATTCTGGAGCTCGGTTGCTGGAGATACATTGCAAACGACGCTGCGAGAGTTTTAGCTCCCTTGCCAGCACTAGCACACCAACCTATCTCGTTTAACAGTAGGAGAATCAGTAATCGGAGACTATGGGACACTTTGCCCCGGCGTATCAACAGGCGAGCAATGATGCATGGTTGAACGAAATGGTGGGAGATATCGCCTCAAGGGCTTCACCACATCGGAGTTCGTCGATGGGGGAGAGGAGTGCTTCTCTCCGAAGCTGGCATACAGCTCAGAGCTTTGCTCGTGGTACTAGTGAAGGAGACGGTGACTGTGCGGCATCGAAAACGGCGAAGAACTATGATAGATTTCATCATGGCGTCAATGGACTACTGCTCGAGAGTTCAGATCTGCCTCTTGATTCACCTACTGGACGTACAACAGGCATCGCGGATGAAGACTTTGTGGGGTCTTTGAAATCGCCTACAAAGAAGCCGGCAGTTCCAAGCAAGTTATCGAAAATTAGTCCAAGCATTCCGATACACTCGGGGCGGTCCCCGACCCCAACACTGCGATATCAACGAAAGCCCGATCTGAGGAGTAGTGCCAATGATAACCAGCATCTACCCCAACTCGAGAGACGATTATCAGATGTTCCGGAGTTCACTGGGTTTGACTCCCATCCCGCCGTAAGACCTCTCGAAAGCAGGGTGGCACTTGGAGAGGCAGCTGGTCCGACCATGGAGGACGATTCGGCGCAGTACCCTGGAATGCCAACATTAATCCCTATAGTTATAGGAATCTGTCTCTCCGTGTTCATTATTTCACTTGACAGAAACATCATCACGACGGTACAAGTCTCCTTTTCAACACCGCTACGATGGACTATGCTGATAATTGAAGGCGATTCCTGATATTACCGCTGATTTTCATTCATACGATTCCATCGGTTGGTATGGTAGCGCATATCTCATGACTGCCTCGGCATTCCAACCATTATACGGGAGGATTTACATGTCATTTGCAACCAAATCGACTTTCTTGGTTGCGTTGGCCATCTTCCAAGTGGGTAGTATTATTGTGGCAGCATGTCCATCATCAGATGTACTCATTGTTGGACGAGCCATACAAGGCGTCGGAAGTGCTGGATTACTGACTGGTGCGTTCGTTGTGGCAACTCATGCAGTTAGAATTGAACAACGGCCCGTGCTTTTCGCTCTTGTGGGTATCCTGTACGGAGTTGGAGCGTTGTGTGGCCCTTTACTTGGAGGTGCATTGACAGACACGATTGGATGGCGATGGTGCTGTAAGTTAAAGCCTTTCGTGTTTCAAAATAATCGCTCATCAACGACTTAGTCTGGATCAACCTGCCTATCGGTGCTCTCACATTCTTGGCTGTTCTGATGTGCTTCAAACCCAAGAATGTAGGAAAACGTCCTTCTTTTCTTCGCAGGCTCGTTACGCTCGACTGGTTCGGCAATTTAATTCTACTTGGAGCAATGGCAATGCTTTTCCTGGCACTTCAATTTTCGGAGGAACGATATTCGTGGTCTAGTGCACGATCCATAGGATTACTTTGTGGATTCGGAGCTACAACTTTGATATTTGCGGCTTGGCTCAAGTATCGTGGAGAATCTGCTCTCATACCCCCAAGGATCATCAAACAACGCACCGTGGCTGCAAGCTGTGGCGCAGCATTTCTGATCTATGGAGCCCTTCTCATACACTCATACTACCTTCCTGTGTGGTTCCAGGCTGTCAAAGGCACATCTGCTGTAACATCTGGGGTTAATATGGTGCCATATATGGCAGCCAACGCCCTGTTCTCGTTGATAGCAGGGGTCTTTGTGTCTAAGAACGGACTCTTTGCACCTCCTTCGATCATCGGTTGCGCCATTGGAACGATTGGTTCCGGCCTGTTAGCCACGATTGACGAATCAGTGCCTACGGCACGATGGGTCGGATTTCAGATCCTCACATCAGTTGGTCTCGGCATGGCAATTCAGCAAGGTTTTAGTGCAGTTCAAGCGATGTTACCATTGGAGGAAGTTCCCATTGGCACAGCAGCCGTTGTTGCTTCTCAATCTCTAGGCGGGGCCATATTTGTGTCGGTCGGTAACACTTTACTTCAGAATCATCTTCTGAATCAGAACAATGAGGGTGCTATTCCGGGAGTCAACATTCGTGTTGTCTTCGAGCTCGGAGCAACCCAATTCAGAGACGTTGTTCCACCAGAATCTCTGCCCGCCCTGATCGCGCTATATAATGACGCTTTGCGCGGGGTGTTTATCGCAGCGGTCCCTCTGTGTGGAAGCGCATTCTTGTGTAGCTTGTTGATGGAATGGAGAAGTATGAGACGGCAAGAGGAAGTAGGGGGAAAGAATGATGGGAAGGAAGAGGCATAAATGTTGGAGATATAGAGGTGCATCGCTATTTAGAGTGCGCCACTTGGCGCACCTCAGGGTGTCCAGCCAATCTCTTACAGGGCAACCTGCCACCTATAGCTAGGTGTATATGGCGGGCTCCCTGCCCCTAAAGTCAAGAGGAGCCCTCAAGAAATCCATCCACTTCATACCTTGCTCATAATAAATAGTTTGGATCAAGACACGACCAACATTCATCTTTTATGCACATTATTTCCGATCATTTAAATGATCATTCAGTTTTGTACCTCCTGACTAGAACTTGTCGACCTTCATCACTGTGATAACAACCCTCATCTCTTCACGCATTGTTAACCCCGAGGGCGGAATTCCAAGCATCGGCTATTTCAGGAAGTCAGTTTGTCATGCTCCACACAGATAAAGAATATGAAACTTACCAGCAGCTTGACCGGTCTTGCCTTTGGTGGCACCTCGCGCCGACGCACAAGCGGCGATCGCCTCTTTACTGGCCTGGCATCTGTCGTTGAAGCGGTCACACATGAAAGCGCTTATTGTGTCGATGTCCAAAGCTGAGCCATGCGTGAATTGTGTCTTATCGGCAGGCTGGAATGAGTCTTCCTTTCGGCCATCAAAGCCAGGTCCGAATACAATCGCGGGATTCGTACAGGATCCGAAGTCGAGACTTCCTTTGGCCGACCCGTTCTGCCCGGACCCACTACCACTTCCTGTATTCTGTGCCTTGCTTGGTTGAGTAGTCGCTGCAGCTGCATTGCCAGCAGAAGAGGTTTGGGCCGAGTTCTCATCCGTGGCTTTTCCATCGACCTTTCCTGAGTCCATCTTGCCGTTCATGGCATTGCCTGCGTTTTGAGAGCCTTTTCCACCATTGCCGTTGTTATTGGACCCTGCCACAACTTGAAACTTTGTACAATCATCCTGAGCACCTCTTTGCGCAACGGGCATGTTGACGGGCTGATGATTTCTTGCTGCAATCATGGTACATACACGGTATATACCCACGGGCAGACCGTCGGTGACCACAGCTTGGAGAAGACCTTGGCCATTTCCATCATCATCGATGCCTTTGAAGAAAGCAAACTTGACTGGGTCGGGGGGATTGTTGTTTGTAAAAGAGCCAATATCTTGAACTGTGACGTGGCAGTGGCCAATGATGTCGCCATTTTGATTTAGATCCTGAGGGGCGGTGTAATAGTTGGTGGTGGGATTCACAAAGAAACCTGCATCGAGGTGGGCTGTTTGTACCGAGATATTAAAAGTTTGATCGGCGGTGATTTGTTGGGCTGGTTGAGGGTTGACGATCACTGCTGAGATCATGTTCTTAGCGGCAGGGATTCTACCCATTGGGATACCATTACAGGACCCGGCCGTCAGTTGCTGACCATTGGTCAATGTCTGTCCGGAGCAAAAGTTGATGAAGTTGGCATTATCACTTTTTGGCTCGGAGTCAGTAAACCACTTTCTGGCTCGGGAAAGGTGTTGACTCACGTCGCTGAAGGTGATTGACCTGCTTTTATGCCATCTGTTCCCGGCTCTTGACCAGTCTTTTCACTCGCCTTCTGTATCAGATTGGAATCTAAGCAAGTCTGACTGTTCGACTGTCGTTGCTGTCTTGGAAGAAGTCCTGTGGCTCTGACTTCTCCTCGATGCAATGCTGCTCCAGATATCAAGCTGCCCGAAGCTAGGAAGAGGGCGATGTATCGGCAAAGCATCTTGGATAGATGGAACTCCAGCTATATTCAGGTATACAAAGTAAGACTTTGAAAGCTTGGCCACGGTCAACGCGGTGTAAAGTAATGAAAATGAATGTGCGAAATAGACTTTATAGGTCTTTGAGTAAAAGAACGCACGATCAACGTGGATAGAAAAAGAACGTGCGAAGAAGAATGAATGAATGAACAGGAAGTGAATGAGACTGATATCGACGCAGCATTTGGATGTCCTCGTTGTACTCGATGTGGTCTTATAGTCATGAAAATTATTGCCATTGGTAGTCGCCGTTCAGATAGATAATCCGATCTGAAACGACATAGATACGAACTCAATCCTTGCACACCAGGGCAGGGATGTCGCACTACGGATAGTTATTGTTATTTCGAGAACTTTAGTTAGTGGCCAGCTAATCAAGGGACAAAAGCTTGGCCCTAGGCTTGTTTCGTGGCTGAGCGAGTGAAATTGAGGGGTGAGGGGCTCCCTAAGGAGTACGTACTCGTAGTCTAAGGGCAAGCCTACCTAACTTTTACCTTGGGCCGAGATACTTCGCATATCGTGGTCCGTCCCGCTTGCAGCAATAAGGCCCTTGCACGTGCATTTAAGCTTCCATCAAATGTATCAGACCGGAACAGCTATGGGCTACTGCAACAGACAGGGACACCTTGAATCTCAGCGCAAGATTCTTGTTCTTATGATGGTAGCATCTGTTCCAGAAGGAGGACCAACAGTGGTTGGGTGTCCGATATTGCTTCTTTGGATGGTAATGACACCTCTCCTGGAAACAATCTCGACGCAGACACTTCGAAAGTGGGGGGCTTTCTGTGCAACGACTGGGATGAGTCTGCGTAGTGTGGACGTTCTAATGACCTCTCTGGAGCAATTGCCCATTAAAAACATTGAGGCAGATAGTTTGACTCGCCTGTAACAGGGAGAAAGTCTAACGACAGGCGCTTGGCGCCCACCACTTCCGGGTGTGCCAACTGCAGACCTCTAGCCGATGTTTGAAACGCAGACCCTGAAACTACAAAAGGCTGCACCATCCAAGAATACTCAACCAACATGATTACCGAGTGCCTCCCATCCTCTAGCTTGACACCGTACTAGATCTCTGCTCGGTTGTCCGGCATACTTGTTGCAGGCATGCGCTGCCTGGGTGAGTGATTATTGATCAACATCTGCTGGGAAGGAGATAGTCTAAATTCTGCTTTGCGTACCATGCCATGCTCAGTCCCCGATAATAATAATGGTCCAAGACATCTCGCTCCACGACGTGTTTGATTTTCTATCATGTTGTTTCCTTTTGGTATCTATAATCATTCTTTGCGGTGAAACGAACAATCTCCGCCTATAGTTTTGTCTTTGGAGTCTTCTGTGATGCTTCTGCCCTGGCCTGCTCAACCAATATTCTCCTTAATAACTTGCCTGCGTTGCTCTTGGGAATCGTGTCCACAAACCTAATTCCACCCCGGAGCTTTTTGTAAGGTGCTACCTTCGCATGCAGCCAGCCGGTTATTTCCTTGGCCAATTCGTCCCCAGTAGTGTAAGCCTTAGCTGCCACAATGTAAGCTCTGGGCAACTCGGTAGCACGTTCCGCACTGTAAACTCCAATCACCGCAACATCGTCAACCGCAGGGTGGCCGAGCAACAGACCCTCTAGCTGAGCAGGGGCAACCTGAAAACCGTTATATTTAATCAGTTCCTTCACGCGATCGGTAATGTAAATATTGTTGTTTTCATCTGCATAACCAACATCTCCAGTCCGGTACCATCCTTTCAAGTCGATCGATTCAGCTGTCGCCTTTGGATTGTTGTAATAGCCCTTGAATAAGTTAGGCCCCTTAATCCAAAGCTCTCCTTCCTCCCCTTGGGTTACCTCTTCACCATTATCCATGAATTTCATCGACATGGATGGAACTAGTTGACCTGATGCGCCAATAGGGCTATTCCAACCAATCCAGGTCTGACTTGATACTCCTGGTGACGCTTCTGACAGCCCATAACCCTGTTTGAGAGGCACTCCCAAGCGCTTGTGGATACTCTCAATTATGTCGACGGATGTTGGAGCAGCAGATGAGTGCATCATCCGGAGGGAACTTAGATTATATCGATCGACTAGTGGGTGTTTCGCCAGTGCGAGCGCCACGGGTGGAACGATATATGCCAACGTGATCTTGTTTTCCTGAATGAGTTGGCAGAACGTGCCCAATTCAAATCGTTGCATGATGTAAATAGTGATTCCTCGATATATAGGTCCGAGAAGAAGAACAGCAATACCTTGCATTTGTCAGCATTTCCACGCCATATGGAAGAAAGGAGTTATTCGCTGCATGTCTCACCGTAAATATGATACATGGGCAAGAACCCAATGGTCCGATCGGTTTGCCAAGACGTGAAACCTTCATCTACGGTTGCAGATTGCAGTATGTTTGCGATGATGTTCTCGTGCGTCAACATAACCCCTTTTGGGAGACCCGTAGTTCCGGATGAATATACCAAAAAGGCCAAATCCTCTTTCGGGTCAATCACAGGTCTGGTGGATATGGAAGAGGTCCTTTGCAAATTCGAGAAATGTCGAAATTGGCTCTTTGGATCTTGTTCTCCTAGAATAATGACCCGGGACAATGGCAACCCAGCAATCAAAGCCGCTTCCCGCGCAACTTCAATATTAGCCATATGAGTGGTCAAAGCTTTCGCCTCGCATGACCTCAGTTGAGCGGCCAGCTCTCCTACAGTGTACAAATTGTTGAACGGACAGACCACGCCGCCAGCCCAGTGGGTTCCGAAGGTGACGACAGCAACATCGGCCGAATTGTGCACAAACAAAGCCATGACGTCTCCCTTCTGCCATTGCCATTGCTGTTGTATTCCTTGCCCGAATTGTTCTGCATTGTCACGGACATCCTCGAATGTATATTGCTTTTGTGTTGAGCTATCTGAATATATCACTGAAGACCGAGTCAGTCCTCAGGGGTGATTGCATTATAGGCCGCTTGAACTTACCATGACTATCGGGATATTCTCGAACCTTGCTCTGGAACAAAAAGCTCCAGAGATCTCCTGTAGGCACAGTGATTGGGGGGTGAGAAGATTTGATCACCATCGTATCTAAATATCGGCGTTGGTGGGCAGACGGTTAGTAAGCGTAAGATACAATTATCCGGGGGAAAAATATGATGAGAAGGAAGAAAAATAAAGAGAACGACGGCTTGTATCCATGAGGCAAGTAATGGTCATGCTAAAGTTCTTTGTCGGCGACATGTGTTCTGGTACCGGAGGAAGTGGGCTACGCCGGCTTTGCAGTGTTCGTTGATGTCTCATGATTAGTCGTAGAGCCCAACCTCGGCCAGAACCTCCCTGATTCTACGCCTTGAACCGCCTTGATTGATCGGGTTACTAACATTTGGAGCTTGAAATCTCGAACTGAGCGGAGTATCAAATTGAACTTCAACCCCGGAGTACAACCATAAGAGTTCACGGACATGGGCTAAAGCATAGAGGATGAAAAGTAATCTTACTATAATAGAGCCTCGGCTTAAAACTTACTTGATATCTCCACAACATCGCGTAATCTGGGGCTCCCACGGGGTACTTGGCACCTCGTTAGTTCTTGACTAACTAAGAACTTACAGTGTATCCGTATGACATGCAGATTGTACACTCTGTTCAAGGAGCAGTCTAGCTGACTGGTTGATAGGGCACAGTAGCACGGTCCATGGGATTGCTTAAGGCTAAGCGAGAACGAAATGTCCACAGGCTGATTGGCCCCGGTTGTAAGCCTACCTCGCTGCCAAGAAAATTTCGCGATCATTAATCAGTTCCTACTCCGCCGAGGCATCGTGCAGATTCCGCAAGTCGTAGTTGATTGGCTCCTCGAAGACTACGGAACGCAGATGATATACCGTGCATGCGATAACCAGGTACGATATGTATGCATGTAGCGATAATGGCCAGGCTATCAGAACAGCAAATATGGCAGATCCAGTAGACTTTCACCGCTCGTGGAGATAGAGTTCCCGAGCTAGTTGTCAGACTACATTCTATTCAGCTGAAGTGGACGGCACGGGACATTTGGGACATGACAAGATCTTGGGGCTGCCGACACATGGTGCATCAACTGTATGTATGCAAGGATGGAAAGAAATAGTAGCCCAATCATTCAACTTGATTGGGGAAGATTATGGGCGATAATGTTGAAATCAGAACCCAGACTCTCAGCCAAGTATCCAAGCTCCGAAATCTTCCATTCTAGTTCACCAGAAAAGCAACAAATTACTCTAACAGTACAACGGCCCATGGCCCTGGGTGGAGAGCAGAGTTTGGTGCGGGACATCAGGAGTATTTTACTATAGAATATCCCGTCTGATGCGCGGACAGAGAATGAATTCGATTCTGCAGAAGCGTTTCCAGCTTCATCAACTATATATTCCTGCCCCATACTTGCGTTTTGAAAGGAGACCTCGTAACTCACTGCCTGCATCTCTGCAAAATTTCTCCCTTTTGACCTGTCTACCCTGAGTACCTCCTCCATTTAATCCCTTCACAAGATGTCTCGAGATATCAAAGACCTCATCATGCATGGTGAGGAAGTGGTTTCTCCTAAAGTCCAAACACCAGACATTACGGTTACAGTCGACCGTAAGACTGAGCGACAAACCCTACAGAAGATGGACGTCTTATTGGTCCCCGTAACTTGCATGATTTATCTTCTTTCGTTCTTAGATAGAGCAAATATGGGAAATGCTCGAGTGGCAGGGCTCCAGACCCAGTTGAAGCTGACAGATCATCAATATCAACTTGGTATAAGCTCTGTTCTCTGTGAAAATTCCAAAGTTGACCGCAGATTTAGTTCTCACTGTCACTTACATTCCCTACATTGTTGCAGAGATTCCCAGTAACCTTGTCTTGAAGAAGGTTGGACCCCGGCTTATGATCCCCGGTATGTGTGTTTGCTGGGGAATCGTAACCACATTACAAAGCCAAGTTCAGAACTTTGGAGGGCTGGTGGCTTGCCGTTTCCTCCTAGGACTTTTCGAAGGGGGACTCTTACCTGGGATTGTGCTGTATCTTAGTAAGGATTTCCTCGTTGACACTTTGGATTTCTTTTCCACGAAACTCAGGAGATTTTCCTTCCTCGGAAACGACCCACTGATTTGAATATTCTACAGGCGGTTTCTACAGACGACATGAATTGCAGACGCGCATCAGCTTCTTCTTCTCCGCTGCAGCCTTATCTGGTGCTTTCTCCGGTCTTCTAGCCGCGGGGATTGTGCGTATGGATGGACTTGGGGGAATGGAGGGTTGGAGATGGTGAGTTTGACACGTATTTTCTACAACAAGTGTTGACATCTTGACAGGATATTCTGCATAGAAGGTAGCATTTTCGCCAATAATACTCAGACAGGATAACTTTTACTAACACACACCAGGGATTATCACTGTCGTGTTTGGAGCAGCATCATTCTTCCTTCTCCCCAACACGCCATCACAGCTCCTCGGCTTCAAAGAACAACACGTCAAGTGCTGTGAGGCACGACTCCTTCTTGATGCTGGCACCGGTATACCAGAATCGACGTCTTTCGATCTTAGGAAGTCAGTCTCAGCCTTTACCTCTCTACATATCTGGCTAGTCACCCTTAGCCAGTTTTGCGGTGGTACTTGCTTGTTCGGTCTGGCATACTTCACGCCAAGTATTGTGGCTTCGCTGGTCGCATCATTTCCCTCCAAACCGTCACTTGTGGAGATACAACTTCTCACAGTTCCACCGTTTGTTATTGCATTCGCCTTCGCTATGGCTGCAGCATATGTATCGGATCGATATCGTCGACGTGGACTCACGGCGATTTGCATGATAAGCATTGCCATCATAGGCTGGATTCTGTTCCTTACTGCTTCTCTAAAGAATGTTGGCCAGCGCTATACGTCATTGATCCTCGTCATTGTTGGGATATACTCAACCGCTCCTTCGCTAATTTCCTGGATCCCCAACAATGTCTCAACGCATATGCGCCGCGCCACAGCAATCGCCATGTCTTTTATGGCCACAAATGTTGGTGGAATCATATCATCCTGGATATATCCTCGCTCCAGTGCTCCACAATACCATTTCGCTGCGAAGTTTAATCTTGCACTGACGTGCCTTAATGTTAGCTTTATGGTAGCGGAAGTCTTGTTGCTTCGCCATCTCAACTCGCGTAAGATCGAAAAAAGAGAGGAGTTGCTCAAAGACGTCGCTCATCTAACCCCCCATGAACAGTACGAGCGGCTTGGAGATACTCATCCGGATTTCAAGTACACCCTTTAAGGCTGGTTGTATAGCGGCAAGTACGCGGGGGATCAAAGGAGGAAATTTGAGATAACGCCCTGAGAGCAGGAGGGTATAGTTGGATAATGCGGTCAAATGGATGATCTTGTGCCGGGATGGAAGAGTGGGTGGGGTGCAAGACATTTATTGTGGCCCGTAACTTGGTGGTAGATGCTATGTGTCGAGTCCTTAAACGCAATATGCGAATGACTGGAGATCGGGTGGACTGACAGTTTCTTCTCCCATGGGGAACACACTCCCCGATCCTTATGCCTCATCATACTCCTGGTCATATTCGGATCGATCGCAATTACGTAATGCTGGATAGCTGAGCAAGACTCAGCTGGACTTCAATATCTGCCAACTGTTTACCTTGCCATAGAACATAACTGACTTTTCAGAAAATTTGATCAATCTGCCCATGTTCCCGTATCTATCCTGAACCGTTCTGATTGGGACATAGCGGAGTTGAGGGAAGACAGGTTATGCAGGCACAACAGCCGTAAAAGCGTTCAGGTTATCGTGATTCAGAGGCTCTTGGCCAAGGACATAGTGGCATGACTTTCCGTAACTAAGATAGGTCGTTATCAGAATGGCGGTTCAACACTCTGCATAAACGTCCACTGCCTCATTCTTTTTGCATGCAGGAGCGAAGACGCGCCAAGGAAACTATTTGCTGCCTGGTGAGTGAGAGGTTTGTCCCGAAGCACACCCTTCAACGAAACGCGTGGCATACCAGGCGTCTCAATCGAGTGTCTGCAGCCGTTCCCCTTTCGTTCACCATATTGACTGCACTCGTCGCGCTAAACATGTGAAAGAGGATCTCCTCTTTCGGGCACGGGTTAGATGACTAGCCATAACATCGATGTCCTGCCATGACTTCATGTCGGAGAAATATAGCTCGTTTATTCCAACTCGAATCGCACTGCCACTTTACCGGAGTATCCGGGGCTGCCACTTCGCCCTATCCATTTTGATCATTGACAGCTTCCAATATATAGTCGTATTTTTGCGAAGAATAATCCAGGAGACTTTTGCCAGACGATGGAAAAATATGTTGTGGACGAGCCTCGTCGCCAATGAAGGCTCCATCGCTGTTGTTATCTATCGTCTCCTATTCACCCAGAGTCTGGAAAGCAATCTGTCTCCATAATTTGCGAGTCCCGTCGCTCTTTGGGGGTGTCAGAGGAAAGTTCCGGAACACACACCGCTGCCTTAGGTGCCGAAGCGGTCGAAGCAGCTCCAAACTTCCTAACGCATCCGTGAAGGTTATCCAAGCGGCGACAAAAGGTTTGCAATGCTCCTGTGTCATTCATTTCCGTAACGTGTTTGTTTGTGCTACCCCTCTCCCAGCCCTAGGTGTTGGAGGCATGTGTGCATTTCGCAGTGTACCGGAACCGATTGGTAACCATAGACCAGGCTGTGTCTTCTTGATCAATCCAAGAGATGAATTTAATGCTAGGATCGATGTAACCCTGGATTGCTTAGAGCTATAAGGAGAATTGGCCGGAGCTGAAAAGTTGGAGGAACTATGAGATCAAAAGAGGTTAAGGAGTGTTGCTTTTTGGCTTGGAACCAAAATGTATGAATTTTTTGAACCCATTGCTCTTGGAGCTGTCAGGCTTCCGATTTGATCTCAAATCCGTAAATCTCTCGCCATTTGGCCCAGTCAGTGCAGCAAACTCGTCAGGCGGAGGTTCTATGTCTGCCAGCGTCGGTTTCTTTCTGCGATTGAAGACTGCAGAGTATACATGGAGCTTGGTGACGGGGTTGTTCTCGTTGTTGGATGAATAGGCTACATCGGGCAGTACAGCACCACTGTTTTCGTCAATGGCACCTAGCAGTGTCTGTGGGGGTGATGTACGACGAGATTGAGGCCGGGGATCACTGTACAAGTGAGTGTGTGAGGCAGTTGGGTTCAAACGTTCGTTAACGGGACTCTGGGATGTTGGCGGCGTTGAACTGTAGGACAAGAAAGTACAAGACGACGAATCGGATGAGAAAGATTCTGTCGAAGACGGCGTTCGAAGCGACAGGGCCGGAATTATTATCGGTTGGTGCTTAGGTCTGGACATGCTCTTGGCGTGTGGTGATGGTGTTGACCTCAATGATGATATGATAATATGGTCACCCGATGTATGAACAGTCGAATGTGGAGGGCAGGTGAACAAGTGTAGCAGTGGGCAGGGCTAGATGACGGGCATATTGGGGAAGATGGCAGAGAACTCATTGCGGAGAAAGTTCAGGCTTGGTGGATAAATATGCAGGTCATCTAAGGGTCTTTCAACGGCGAAGCAAACAAGGATCTACAAAAAAGTCTTGTCCTGGCGTCACACAATCCGGGTGCTAATAGTTCAGTAGTTCCCGTTTGGCACGCACATTCGAGGACGACATGCCTAGAGAAGGTTCGTGATTGGGATCCTCAAAGCTCTAGTAGCCGAATGCCTGGGAGTATCACGAACTCCGGCGCCCGGCAGTGGTGCCCCGGAAGCGAATTATTATGCGCCACATCAAGCCCCCGGGCGATGCCAAAGGTTCTCATTGGAGAGCCTTAGGGCCAAGAGCAGATGGGCCGGACATTTGACGTTTGGTGGCTTCGTCAATGACGAATATGGCTGACGGCGGTAGACTTTTGGCCTGAGTCAACCTCAGGGAGTAGATTGTCGATGCTACCACAATCAGAAGAGAAGCAATAGAATTCTTTGTACTCCGAGAATCACATCATTGATGTTTCAGCTTTGCTAGCGACGTGCCTGAAGCTGAATGCAGGCGAGCAAGTGTGCCGATCATTAGCAGGAGGCAGGAATACAGGTACTCCTATCTGGAGCTTCCCTCTGTGTCTCCACCTGAACCTACAGGCCACGAGTACAGGGAGCCTGTGACCAAACTTGGAAAATTGAGATGTATGAGTAAGTCGCGTTCTCAATATACTGTGTGGCAAGCCCAGCCATCACCTCCAGGCATCACGCCTGCTTGAGATGGGGTTGTACTCGCAATACTTACCATCCTGGGTCGACAATGGATTCTTCAAAAAGGTGCATACTTAATAACGACCAGGAGTCTCCCATGAGAACCTTCCGCAGGCATTCATGATCTTCAAGTTCAAACGTGGAAGCGTCCAAATTGTTGGGCGGAGTATCCGGTCTGATTCGCAGTATGTGTCAATGCGTTCTATGCTTCTCCGTAGTTGGCGAATCGAACATCCCAGTGTTTCTCCAGCCTGCTGAATCTTGGGCTGAACAATCAACGGCACGAGCATGAGTGACTCAGTCAGTGCTACGTTCCCATGATTATCACATCCAAGTCAACAAGGCATGTGTGCCGCCCAAATCCACCCGCCGCCTCCCAAGCGCAGATGCCTATCCCAAGCAGAACCGGGTCCATACGTCCTCCGTCATGTCCTCGATGACATCCCCTTGGTGACTGAAGATGGGCGGCAGGATGTTTCGGTAACATGTGTTGAGTACTGGAGTAGGTTAGAGGACATTTGATGTGATAAAGTGCGCACTCATAACAATCTCAGATAACAACTTGTATATCGGAACCTCTGCCGCCGAGATCCTCCATCTTGTTGCAATCCCATCCGAAGACGTGCATGATACTACCGCTCCCACCTTCATTCTTGCCTCCCGCCTTCAACCCAGCGGCCATGCCGTTTCCAACGAGTCTGCGACTGCTCCTGGCATACAACAAATCTTAGTCTTTCCAGGCCCTTCGAAGGCCTGCGTTTTGTGCAATGGTGTGGTTTCATTCTACTCGCTTCCCGAGTTCAGCCCTGCTTTTCCGAACAGAGAGCCCGCCGGAGTGCAGTGGATCGGCGGAATAGATGAAAATGAAGACAAGGAACACCCAGACGGTCCGGTGGTAATGATTGCCAATTCTCGACGAATCCTGCAGGTCAGAGTCGGCGAAAGATTACGTGCGATCAAGAATAATATCGAGTATCCAGGCTGTCTTCGTTCAAGCAGGCGAGAAACCATCGCTTGTGTCGCCGACGACACTAGTTACGCTCTACTTGAGGTCGAACACCAACAAAAAATTCCTTTGTTTCCAATATCTTCAGTGCCTGAGGTCCGTGAGCCGACGCCTCCTCCGAGTCGATCTCCGGCCACTTCTCCCCCTCCTACCGAGTCCGGACATGCGAGAAGCACAAGTATGGGCAACCTCGTAGGCAACACCATCAGTAACCGAGACAATTCCTCCAACGAGCCAACGACTGGTGGTCCCGACCAAGGGAGCAGTGCTCAGTCTCCAGTTCTCTCACTGCCCGCAACAGAACCTGATGGAACCATCAAAGGCCGCCCACGAGCCGCAACGGATAGCACCCCTGCCAAATCTGCCAGCGTCAGTAGCCTGGGATCCCTCCAAAAGCTCAAGCCTCATATCCTCTCTCCATTCCCAAGTGAGTTCATGCTCACTACGGGCACGGCTGAAACAGAACCAGGAGTAGCTATGTTTGTCAATCTGGATGGGGATGTCGTTCGTGGGACCCTTGAATTTCAAGTTTATCCTGAAGATCTCCTGGTGGATAACTTTTTTGTCCCGGAGAATCCTACCGGCCCAGCTCCAGACGACGACGGGCAGATCATTTTTGCCCTGATACGAAGAGGTGAAGGGACCACCATCGTCAGAGGCCTTGAAGCTCAACAGATACAAAACGCTGCAGATTCAATCCACCCCAAGTCTTGGATACCTTTGCCTCGTGTCAGCACTCCACAGCCACCCAATGCTGGCCTCCGACACACGCTCAGTAGCCATGCGCATTCTTTCGGAATTGCGAGAGACTTGCTTCAACTTGTCCCATTGTCGCTTGGGCCTCTGAGATCACATCAGGACCATGACCCCAGGACACAATCTGCCGTTGAACAACTTGAACAGGAGCGAGCACTCTTTGAAAGCGTGTCTGCACTGACCCACGTGGAGACCTCAGTTGAACTGGTCACCAAACGTGCTGTGGAAGAAGCCAAATTTGCAACCCGGCTAGGCAAAAGCTATACCAAGAATCTTGTGTTCCAAGGGAAAGACATTTTCATGATCCTTCAAAACCCACTGATCTCACAATTGGAACATCGATTGGCACAATACACAGTGGACGGCCGCGTTGCGGACCTCAACCCAAGTCAAGTCTTTGGTTTTCTTGCGAGCATTCATGGTCGTGATCCAAAAGACGAAACGGAGTTCTTGACACTGAACTACATCAAGCAGAAATCAAGCCTCATCCTGTTCTTGTACTTACAGTCCCACTTATCAGCAAATGACATCTTGAGAGCTGTTGAGAACACCCTCCATGACGGTGGCCTCGATCCCCGGGTCCCACTTCTCATGTTGTCTCCTCTGGCTGGTGAGGTTCTGTACGGGCCGGAAGGTATCTGGCTCCACCAGGGAATGACGGATCTCCTCGATGAATTCCAAGCCAAAGTTTCCACGTTCGAGGATGCCCCCATTGATTTCTGGATGATGATCCGTCACTTTCTCATGCTCTGGCAGGAAAAACGAGGATATGGCAGTATCAGCGACGAGAGGCACATCTTTGACTCGGTCGATGCTGCACTGCTGCACGTCCTTCTCCATCTTGACCAAACTCTACCGCGGAATAGTGGCGCACAGAAGTCAGTCGGAACCAAACTGAACAATGTGGTGGATAACTGGAAAGGTAATCTCGATCGAGCTGCATTCCTTCTTGAAAAGTACAACCGACTCTTTGTCTTGAGTCGACTTTACCAGAGTAAGAAAAAAGCCCGCGATGTCCTCGCAACATGGAAGCGGATCATTGAGGGCGAAAAGGATTTCGACTATGGAGATAATATCGCATATGTCGAGGAAAAGTTGCGGAGATACCTGGCGGTCATACGGGATGCTGACTTGGTCCAAGACCATGCTCTCTGGCTTGCTCGGCGCAATCCTGAGCTTGCTGTTGAGATTCTCACCGACGATTCAGCACGCGTCAGATTCAATCCCCAGCAACTCGTGGCATTATTGAAACAACAGGCACCAGGCGCAGTTCAGCAGTACTTGGAGCATCTCGTCTTTGGCAAAGGACTTGACAAGTACGCTGACGATCTCATCGGGTACTACCTTGACTCCGTCCTCACCGTGTTGGAAGATTCTGAAGTCGCTCGAACGTCACTTGCGGAAAGCTATTCAACATACCGTGCGCTTGAAACGCCAAAGCCCACCTATCTTGACTTTATCAATCAAAATGCACCTTCTGAGCACTGGTGGCAATCTCGACTTCGCCTCCTTCAACTGCTAGGTAGTGGTGCCTACGCCAGTGATGGCGCTTCGGGCAAAGATTTGACATATTCGGTGCCAATGGTCTTGGAGCGCATGGCACCCTATTCCTCATATCTAGTGTCAGAGTCGATCATTCTCGATGCTCGTCAAGGTCGACATAAAGAAGCTCTCAAACTATTGACCCATGGTCTTGGCGACTTCGACACTGCAATCCGCTACTGCTACTTTGGGGGACCAGCACCATCCCAGTCACAGACCATCGATGCCGGTGCGCTTCCATCTCGGGCACAACAATCAGCGCTGTTTGATTTCCTGTTCCACGAATTCCTCACCATAGCAGACCACGAAGACCGTCTCGAGCGCACCAGTCATCTGCTAGGCAGATTTGCGAATTTTTTCGATCCTCTGACCATTCTCCAGGATGTGCCCGACTCGTGGACCGTGGAGATGATGTCTGAATTTTTGGTGCGCAGTTTCCGTGCTGCAACCACTGAACGCAATCAAGCCATTATTCTCAAGGCTCTGAGCGCCGCACAGAATCTGCAGAAGCAAGTGGAGTTTGTCGAGGTCTGCGAAAAGTTTGGTGCACACTTTGATAGGGGCCCATCCCGTGATAGCACAGGTGGACGAGCTGGCGCTGCTGTCGATGATGTTGAGATGGCGGTCGATCTCGAAGTTCCATGATACATGGTAAGCCAAGTGGTGAAGATTTGCTACATGGTGTGAGGGTAATGAAGAACCAACACGAATTGCGGTTTGGTCGCGCCAGAATTAGAAAGATTAAACATTAGACTCAGCAGTAGCGACACTCGGGATGAATGCCGACCTGCTGTAGGCAGAAAAGACTAGCTGCCGAAGTGGTTCCTCTGAAAGGGATGGCCATATGACAGACGAAGAACAAGCGCTAGACTGTTTACTTGTTCGTGCTCCGTTCCCGCTTGCTCGCTTGTATTATCTCGGCGTAAACAGAAACGCCAGGTCATGAATAGCCCAAATACTATAGCCCATACCAAAACGCCACGCTACATCATCTTATAAAAAGCCAAGGCACCTGGTCAAAAATCTGAAACGCACGACAAATTGTAGATGATGAGGACTTCTCACTGTCAGCAACATCGCCCACCACCTCTGGACGGCGGCTTTCTAAACACATCTTCCCACTCGGTCAGGCCAGACAGGAGGCCATTGCGTTGCCTCTTGCCATGACGTCTGCGAAGTGTGCCCGAGGTGCCATCATCGTTGGTGATGCCACTGCGAATGCTTGCGCCATCGCCATAGCCGCCGCCATCGCCGTATTGGATGCCGCTGGCTGGGTCGTCCGGGTCGATCTCTCCGAGCTCGATTTTGGTGAGAATGGTACTGCCAAGCCGGTTGAAAAGCTCGTCGACGTTCTCGCCTGTAAACGCCGAGACTTCCATCGTTACAGGCACCAGGGCTTTTGATGCCCACCGCGACGCCTGGTCGCTACTGACCTCCCGGCCTTCAGAGGATATCGTCGCTGTCCACTTGTTGCTCGTGCCACCGAGATTGATCGAGTCTCCTCTGGACCGGTTGGTTCCTGCGCTTGTACCACCCGTGGCTGTCTCGTAGGGGAAGTATGACTGTCTGCTTGATGCGCTGGATGGTGTCGTGCCTGTTGGTTCTGGCTGCCGTTGGGTACCGCCGTTAATGTGGATATTCTGCCGCTGAGTCCCGTCTGCCAGGTCGGATTTATTCCCCGCCAATATCACCGTCAGGTTTGGACTCGCCAGAGCTCTTGCGTCGCTTAGAAACGTAGGGAGTGCATTGAAACTCGCGAGGCTCGAGACGTCGTAGATGAGGATTGCGCCTGCCGCCCCGCGGTAGTAGCTGCGACTGACACTGCGGAAGCGTTCGGTGCCGGCGGTGTCCCACAGCTGGAGTTTTATTCTGCGCCGGTTGGATCCCGAGCCGATCTTGACGATTTTGGAGGAGAACTCGACGCCGATGGTCTGGGAGGACAGGACTCGCCATTCAGACTTGACGAAGCGATGCAGGATGCAAGATTTGCCGGTACCAGAGGGGCCGATTAGTACCACTTTGGCAAGATAGTCATACATGCTTCCTAGTTCCTGAGGGAGATATATCAGTCTGTGGACCATGCGCTAGGGGGTTTATCGAGCGCAGACTAGATCTGGCACATGCACCGCCACATACCTGGTGGGAGTCCGGAACTGAACTGATATCAGAGGCCGCTGACATCCTCCTCGGACGCGCCATGTTGAATAGTCTGTCTCTCCCTGCATCCGAGAGCCTCGCTGGCTCACATATGCTTATCGTGGAATAGTAGAGGATAGTGGCCTGTCTCCAGGATGGCCTGCAGAGGACGGGGTCTTTTGACCCGGGGCGTGGTAAATGATCTGACGCCAACGCAACCAATCATGGGCGTTTAAATGGCCAAGGCTCGCTCAATCGGAGTCCGCATTATCTTTGTCCCGACGTATCTGCCTTTCGGGAAAATATCGGAAAAATCATCAGCAATGACGTATGGAGTTGGTGGGAACAACAACAACGTGACTGCCATTCCCAATGTCGACGCGAAGACTGCCAGTGAGGATCATTCTTCAATAGTTCTCTTTCACAAAGTTAGAGTGTACATACAGCTCAATTTTCCCACGAGAGACTCCTGTAACGCTTTGCGGCAGTCATATTCATTGCAGAGGATCTCCGGGGACGTTTGTTATTGTTACTCCTGCTCACAATGGTTGTTGCTGCTCAAATGGGCAACTCAGAACGGATGACATGCAGGTAGCCATGAGCCAGGAACCTCCTGCTGTCATACAGCTTCTATGGCAATACTGGACAAGTTCGACGATCATAGCAGCATGCTTTTCGAAGCTCGTGTTACACAGTTACACTCCTGGCTACCCTTGCCCACAACGCGTCAAGCAGTCCAAACACTTTCCATTCACGGGATTTCTTCTCCTCGCAAGACTACTGTCAGTACATTGTCATCCTGAATGGCTCTCACAACACGCTCCAGCTCGAAATGTTCGTGAGACTATGGTACGATCAAATTTAATCTACGGTATCCCCTTTAGGTCGAATTCTGTCACAGCCACCTTATCAATGACTCGGTTTTCGCTGAGAGGATCGACCTCATCCTGCATGCACCGGTGCGGGGGACTTTGAATTGAACTTGGACTTGAGCATCAAAGACACGGTTTGTTTGAGCTGTAGGTACCACTACCAGAGTTTCCATTCCTTTCATCACCGCACGGAATATTCCGACAATCATCCCTTCTGCTGACCTACTCAGGATAGCCCGCTCGAGGTCCTTGGTTACATATTGGCAATGGTCCTCGTCAAGGATCAATTCAGAACAGGTTTACGCCCGTAGAAAGATCCTGCCAACGCATCTTTTCTTGTTCAAGTATTGGCACGAAAGCTCGTTCATATGTCCTTCCGGAAACTTGCTTCCTACTGCACATTGTGTTTTCACAGGGAGTTGACGCTCTGCATCAAAAATCGCTATCATGCGCTTGACGCTTCGTGGCAGATGGCTTGTCGATACTCGAATAGACAGTGGAGGTTAAGCGCCATGGCACTTCGCATTATTGTGAGTTTATACCCTAGTCAAGCAAGGATATTCAAACCGTGGACTGCATAAGCGACTACAGGCATAGTCAAGGGTGAGATACTCCACTGTTCACTCTCCGCTGTTCTACAGCTGGCTTTATACTTTGCATTATGCTGTCACACCACTTGGCGGCCAAAGATCTGGAATGTACAATACCCGAACTCATGGGGACGTCAAGACTTATTGGGGTTGATCGTTCCTTGAACATGCTTAACCCATGCCGATCTACTCTTCGAGTATCGACATTGACAGCCAGATTTAGATCCCAAAATCCCGCGAGAGCATCCCGAAGTGGTCGCCTGAGTGCAACCAGACACCAGATGCACCTCACTAATTAAGTCATGGTGCAGTCGAACACCTGGAAGGGTCTGCTTTCCAACCCCGCGGAAAGACAGGCTCGTCTCCCAGAGGCAGCAGCGTTCTGGCTTTAATTTTGCTGGTGAACGATTGGAACCGCCAGCTGAGCTACGAGTCCCGGTTAAGTCTTCGATACCTTCTTTTCAGTCGCGCTAAATGACAATGGGAGAAGAACTCACGTGGCGGATTGTAAGTGGTTGTGAAAAACTGATGATTGTTGTTGCAAGGGTTTGATTCATGCATGCATATGCACATGCGAGTCGACGCATGGAGCTTCCCGCACCCATGGTATCGGCTTGCGCCATGCATGACCGCCACCAGCCAGCAGGCAATCCTTGTCTAGCTTTCTTCATGCTGAGGCAAGATTTCGAGCAATTTGATGTAAACATCAATGATGGTCAATCCTAGATTCAATGACTTGATGAAAATGCTGCGGACGGAGAAGTGGGACTTTACCGGATTGCTGTACGGTCGCCAATGAGAATTTCACCACCACCGCTGGTGATTTACTATCTTTCCGCAGCTACGAGGACGGCACGCGTGATTGACAAAGACTTCGCAGAAGGTGTGTCATGTCTAGAGAAACACCGTCCTCCAGAACAAGGAGACTCGGTGCTTGAGCCGACTTCACATCCTGTGGCCGGTGCTTGCTTTCACCTCAAGCCACGATGAGTATCCAAATGCAAGGCGCCTTTGACGCAATATCGTTGCCTATCACTGCGATGGCTTGCACATTTATATTCATTCTTTACTACGTCACCACTGCGGTGACAGCCTGGTATCGATTACGGCACTTCCGAGGACCATTCCTGGCATCATTCTCATACCTATGGCTCTTCCGTGCGGCTGTGTCAGAACAGGCATACAAAGTCCATCTCGCAACGAGAAAGCACTACGGCACTGGCCTGGTGCGTATTGGACCCGACATTCTCATCACTGACGATCCGCAAGTTCTCCAGCAGATCAATGGTGTCCGTGGAGGTTACAAGAAGGCAGACTGGTATGGGGTGATGAGATTGGATCCTTTCGTCCATAGTATGATTAGTACACGAGATGTCGCCTTCCACGATGATGAGAAATCACGCGCAGCAGCTGCGTACTCGGGACGAGACGTTCCTTCCATGGAGCACGATCTTGATGGTCAAATCGAGAATCTCAAGAGTTTGCTACGCAGGAAATACGTGTCAACTCCTCAGCAGAATCGGCCCGTGGACTGGGGTCTCCTGGCACAGTACTTCACGGTCGATTCACTAACCACTATGGCATACGGTGAAGCGTTCGGGGGCCTGGCGACTGACACTGACGTTCATGGTTACATGAGAAGTGTGGAGGAGAACGGAATTGCCTTTGCCCTATGTTCCGATGTGCCTTGGATGGGTAAGATCGCCCTCACGGAATTTGTCATGAAGCTGGTTGGACCCAAAAAGACAGATAAAAGAGGCATGGGCCTCATCATGGCGTGAGTTTCTCGTTAGTGGTTCTTGGACACCAATCTAATGTTGTGCACGCAGTCTGGGAGAAAGAGTTGTTGGACAACGATTCACTCCCAACGCAAAAGACCGTCCGGATATGTTGGTAAGATAACATCACGGTACCTTGTAAACTTGTGCTCACCAAGTATCCTTCAGGGATCATTCATCCGGCGTGGCATGTCGCAAACCCAATGTGTGGCAGAGATATTGACCGCACTGATAGCCGGGTCCGACACCACCGCAAACTCGATTCGCATGGGTCTTCTCCTCCTCGCAGCCACGCCACGTGTATACACACGTCTTCAGAGGGAGATCGACGAAGGAATCATGAATGGTACCATCTCCTCTCCGATCAAGGTTGCTGAAGCCAAAGCTTTGCCATACCTCCAAGCATTCATCTGGGAGAGCTTACGATTCTCCCCACCTGTGGCTCTTCTTTTCCCCAAGGTTGTGCCACCGGAAGGAGACACGATAGATGGCAAATTTGTCCCAGGGGGCACGAAAATCGCGTTCGACTCGTGGTCCTTTGGCCGGCGTACTGACATCTATGGTGATGATGCTGGAGTCTTCCGTCCGGAGCGATTCCTCGATGTCTCTGGGGAGAGGAGGCTTGAGATGGAAAAGATTACTGAGCTTTTGTTCGGGTTCGGACGCTATATGTGCGCAGGTAAGGTGTTTGCCTTCATGGAATTGAACAAGATATTCGTCGAGGTAAGGAAATCCAATATTTCTCCCTTCCTCAAAGTGGTAGACACTGATCAGCGGCAGCTCCTTCGAGATTTTGACTTCCAAGTTCTTAACCTCGAAAAACCTTATGCGATGTCACAACGTGCAATGTTCGTTATTCGGGACATGTGGATGAGAGTCACGGAAAGAGAATGTCGTGGGACAAGCAGTTGTTAAGCTTCTCATCAGGAGACACAGATTGGGTTTCAGGCAACAAAGATACCGTGAAAGTCACTTTAGCTGCGCAGCAAATTATGTTGTGCTGAATTGAGCGGGCGGCAGACAAGATATGGAATATATCGCGTACACTTCCACTTCCACTTCCGTTCATGTATCCCAGAAGGGAGGGAGGGGGGAGAGGGGGAGACGGAGACGAATTGACGTGCAAGACGTATGAAGACTCGCGTTCAGAGGTGCAGGAAATTCTATACTTCGGAATTTACATACGGACCCAGTCATTGCTCTGAAACCAAAAACGCCCATCTGCTGTTAAACCAGCGAAGGTCAAAGAAACACTGAAAGAAACTCGTCTGTTTAGTTAACAGACCTTAAGGTCCTCCAGCCTGCCGAGGACTGTGGTAACACCACACGCTTCTAATAACGCCTCTAAATCCTCAAGATTTGTTACGCTGTCATTTCTTTGTGGCTTTCAAGGCCACCATTACAAGAGTGATGAACGTTTCATCGCTCAGCTCGCAGGGTTCGCAGCTCCCAAAGTCCTCCAGTGAGTCTTGATTTCAGGAAAAATTTCAGCGGCCCGTGCAGGGAAATCTTCCACATACTGGCTCCACTCTGCTTTGCCACGGTCACAGAGCTTGACTCCACCAAACTGTCCAGATGCTTGAGCACCATACGACAAACGGTAGTGGCAGTAGTGGCAGTGACCCTTGTTCGCATTCTGGAGCAGGTCTACCAACCCAGTGAACATCAATCTATCGCTCTGCTTCAGGATATCCGAGTATCGAGCATCCTCCACATATTTTGCATTGGAGTCAATGCGGTTCCAGAGCTTGAAGTTCTGGCGCGTCGCAGCCACGACGTCTTCAGTCTCGGAGTTTCCTATCGTCAGACCGTCTTCGACGAATCGGTAGCGTCTCATCATCATGTGGATGGGTCCACCAAACGGTCGTATGAAATCAATCACGCATCGGTGCGCGGGCGAGTGTGCCCAGGCAACGTCCAGTGCCCACAAAACCTCGCGAGCGCGTCGGAACGATTCTTTTCGTAGACTTTCATCGACATATGCAAAAGTACTGTTGGTCTCGCCTTCTGCACGATGCTTGTGGAAGGCCACCGCATCGTATAGAGTGTCTCCCAGCTCGGCGAGAATTTGGAGCTCTTCTTCGTTGAACCAGATTTCGTTGAAATCGTTACACCTCAACGCAGCAGCAATGGTGAATCGCACCAGAGCATCGCAGTCCCGCATACGGAACCAAGTCTTCGGTGATTGAGCAAGGGCATTGACGTATCTGCGGAAGAGCTCCGAATCTCTTCGGTTGCTGCACTTGTCTCCCGTGATCAAAAGGAATGCTCGATATTCACGAGCCATATCCTCAGCACCAGGGGTGCCCCCGAAAACGGTGTCGAGTAGCTCGTCTAGTTCAAATCCTAGGAGGCTATTGCCTCCAGAAACATCTACGAGACCACCACGAAACTCGGCAATGATGCCGATCTCAATGATTCGTGCGAATGCAATGTATCGTTTCCAGTTCGTGAAGTGTGGGATCACGCATCGCGTGTATTCCCATGCGCAGGCGAGAGTTTCTCCAATCACTCTCTCAGGCAGGTCGACACTCTTCAGATCATTCTCAATATCCGCTGGATAGAACCAGGTATCGCAATGTCTTGGGGGGGCTTTCTTTTCGGCTTTCTTCGCGACTCCATTCGTTCCATTTACCTGAACTGCAATGGGCGTAACATCGTTGACGTAGCCATTACTTGGTGGATGCTCTGCCACAGGTGCTTCCATGACTGTTGTGGCTGACATGGTTCTTGAAGGTCCTGAAAGAATTGGGCACTGTGACCTTCTGGCTCCTGAAACTCTATGAAGGTTTGATCAGAGTCTTACGGATTTAAATCGAGACCTAAAATCCGGAAGGAAAAGGGCGACAGTCAATGATTCTCTCTTGGACTCCAGTCTTCGATCCCTGACTCCATCATTGAAATATGTCACAGCCATTGGACTCGGCAGGGGACTTTATCTTAGCGATATCCGGATAGCACTGTCTGGCTCGGTGTTCATCGACCCATTCGATGCAGGTATTATGTTCTTGAACGGATTCCTGCATTCTTCAGTCCCAAAATCATTTTATACCGCCGCTGAGGGCGATCATCTTCGTCGGATCAGGCCCAAGAGTCCCCACGCCCGGGTTAAGGCAGTGCGTGAATCAGAAGGCATTTTGACAACGAACAAGCATTATCCCTGGTATGGAAGAGTGTCACCGGTCGAAGGCAGCGGGCCGCACCGGGTAAGATTGATGCGTTGCATTACTGCAGCGGCATCGGGAAGTGGATAATTGGGTTTCGTTTGCCGTAGTCTGATTTCTTCCCTCGTATGCTCATTGAAGTTTAATGTCTGCGACTTGTACCTTCGCGTGATTGTTATCATCGCAATGGCCTTGAGTCAGAACCTTTGCAGATCTATGATCTCAATAGCGGATGTAAAAAGGCGAAGCGGCTCCATACCGATGGCGCTTGGGATTTTGGCCAGACTTAACACTAACAAGCGGTGAAGTGTTGAATATTAATACTCGAGGAGCTAGATAATGTCAGGATGAGTGGGGTCGGCCCCACGTTGTTGTGTTGTCACCAGCATGAGGTGGCGTCCGACTTCCACCAATGATTTTGGGCAGCATGAGTTCCCAGGATTTGTCCTTAATAGTGAACTAATTGCACTCAAGCCCGGCCTCGACATCGAAACACTGTGACGAAGTCTACCTTGTCCCTAAGTGCCTCGGCATGCAGCATGTAATACATCCTTTGGATCGCTACCCGGCACATGACTCGTGAAGCAGACGATGTCGACAAGAGGCACCTAGAGGACATGGAATGTTTCTATTCACCTGCTATTGGTAGTGAGTGCTCGTAATCGAAATATAGTAACATAATGATAAAGTCCGTCTGAAGCGAGCCGGACCAGTCGAATCAGCGTCATTGCCTTTTTTCTGCACTGGCGGTTCCTCAGATACCGGGCAGCAGCATTTAAACGAGGGGGATCAAATTAACACATTGGACAAGCATTGGCCGATGAATTGAAATCTAAAGCAGTACCCTCTTCTTGATGATGCGTTGGCAGCCAGCGACGACTCAACTATTATGCAAGCGTACAAGTTCGTCCTTATGTACAAGCTGCTTGACCTTCAGAGGTTGAGCGATGGTAGGATGGTGGGACTGAGGCTTTTGGAGAGAAAATGTGCGAGGTCCTCATCTTCGAGAGTAGCCCACCAAAACTGTAGTGGGACCGACCACACCGATGGAACGTTCCGACCTTGAAATTCTAGTATCCAATTTATGTTAAGTCCTAGCCTGGGGATCAATGATAGACTGGGTAGCATTGTAAACTGTCGCCCCTCCAAAGAGGCACATTTCTCTACACTCCAGTCTTCATGTCGCTCGTACAACATACAGTGGATGAACATACGGGCAAAAGATAGCTAGCTCACAGTCACACACGTGCATACCTATCTCCATCCTCAAGGCTTTGATTCTTCACACTTCGTTCTATTTAATGAGAGAGAAAGAGTGGCAACTGCGCGGCTTGGATATTTTGACTCCGTGCGCTTCAAAAGGCAATCTCTTTTGGCCATCTCTATTGTATCCGCCGGCTCGAGAAACCTCGCGCAGAGGCTCGAAACTAAACACGTAACACGATCGATGCGGAGCTACAAACCAATTTTCGGCTGATGCTCTGAGCAAACGAAGAAATCAGGACTGGGTCCTTTCAAAAGGTCGAGCTGATGTGTTTAATCATGCGTACGGCAAATAGGGCAGCGACCCTGTAAAGTAACATGGCAGCGATATTTCAGTCGAGACTCAGGGATGAGCCGAGCTGTGCGAAAATGACCATTATCCATGCAACTTGTGGTGCTGCGTGATACAAATAGTATTGCAAGCCATGATATTCAACAATATCAACGCCAAGCTCCGTCCATGTTGGCGCAGAGGGAATGGGAAAGTACTAGTTGTTACCAATTGATGATAATTGACAGTTCATGCGCTTAAGAGATTGCCCAAACAAAAGTGTAAAAAGGTGCATGATATTATTAACATTAACTCGCGAACATCCTCACGGTGAGAATCCCAGCTTCTTCGGCCCAGTTTCTTAATGAATCAGTGCCCTAAGAAATCATAGATAGCTTGGAACTTTGCACATCCTGAGTCCACAGCGTCCGTTTGCTGCTTGCTCAAGACAGTCAAAAACTTGCCCTGAGCATTTGGTCCATCCTCTGCGCGAACACCACCTCCGATTTCTCCCATAGCCGTAGGTACGGTTGGCCAAGGTGGCCTGCCAAAGCCGTTGGGATCTTTGGCGAAGTCCGCCCAGACCTTTTGCACATATGTACTCAATTGAATCTGGAATGGCGTGGCACCAGTCTTGTTATATGTTCCAAGGACAATGCCGATCTCAGAAGCATGGTACACACCTGCATCCACGAAGATCTGCGAATTTGGGAAGCTTGCGTTGTAATAGTACCGATAGCTAGGAATGCCAACTTGTGCGGTCTCGAGTGCCACCAAGCGTGCTGGACATTGAAATATGAAGTCTGTGTAAAGGGCAGCCAGTTGTCTGAACTCGCTGGAATACCCAGAGTATGACGCAAGCAAGCCCGCGATTTCCGCATCAGTCGCCAACGGGAAGAGCCCACGAACAAATGATGTGGCATTGGCGGCGCTAACGGAGTACAAACGACCCTCATGCGCGTTACTACCTCCCAGAATAGGCACTCGCGCAATCTTGGAACTTCCAGGGTTGGAATCCAGGCGGTTTTTGCGGGCATAATATGCACTAGTGACATTGTCGTAGATTGGAACCCAGCCAAGACGGTTTTGTTCATTGTAGTCCTTGATCTTGGTGGCGGGTAATGCACGCATGCATGCAAGAATTTGTGGGTTATTAGTCTGAGACGCTGAAGAATTGCCGCATCCCATGGCAGCAACGAGAATATTCCAGGCCGCAGAGTAGTCTGCTGGGACTGCACGGAATGTCGAAGTTCCAGATTCCATGATAGCAGCACGGAAGGGAACTGGCTGAGGTGGTACTGTGAGCAGGTTATCGACACTACAATGAACAGTTGCATTAGCGCCCATCCCGGATCTCGTCGGCGACTCGATGAGAGTTTGCCACAGAAGGTATGCAATGCATTGAAACGGGTGACTTTGACTTACCTCGCAGCACCCGCACTTTCTCCGAAAATAGTCACTTTGGTCGGATCACCTCCAAATGCCGCAATGTTGCGTTGAACCCAATCGAGGGCCAACCTCTGGTCCAGAAATCCAGCATTTCGCTCAGTGGCTGGTACCTGAGGAGACCCTGAGAAGCCGAAGACGTTGGTACGATAATTTGGTACCACAACAATAACGTCGTTGTTTGCCGCAAGGAAAGAGCCATCGTACTTTTCAACCGCATTGGAACCATAGAGAAGGCCCCCACCATACAGCCACACCATGACTGGTTTTGGCTTCCATGCCGGCTGAGGCACATAGACATTCACGCTGAGGCAATCTTCACTTTCACCTGCTGGGGGAGGAGGTGTATTGAACCATTGAAGGATCGACGCCCGTCGCGGATTTGGATAGTTAAACTGTTGAATGCATGCAGGTCCGGTCTTTGAGGCATCTCGGGGTGTCTTCCATGGAGTTGGGCGTTTGGGGCCAGCGAATCGCACAGGCTGTGCACCAAATGGAACACCGAGGAAGGCATTTATTTTCGTTCGACTTGTAGACACTGTTTGACTAACGCCGACAACGACACCGGCGTCAGTATTTGCTGTGGGGCGGAGGTTCCAGTCCACCCAGGACTCGGTGGTGACGTCTTCACTTGATAGTGCAGATAGAGGGAATAAAAAGAATGACAGAAGGACCGCAACGAGGGGATAGATGTTCGCCATTTTGGCAAATGTGAAACTCATCGCTTGCTTGAAACCAAGATCAAGACACAGGTTTGGAAACGATCAATCGACCAAGAGTGCTTCCCATGTGATACTTATAACAAATCATAAAGGCGACAGATCTGCTTGCGCCATTCCTCCTTCTCTTTTCGATGTGGAGTGATTCCACCTGATGGCCGCTATCCCATGGCTCGAGAAAGAAAGAACTTGTCTCCAGCACCTGGGATGAGAAGTAGCGAAATACCGAGAAACATGGCTTGAACGCGAAATGCGGAGAGTCCAGGCAAATTCAATTTCGCTAGCCAGCCTGAGGTTAGGCTTGTGCGCAGTCTTGACCTAGCGAACACCAAAGTATCCATGCTCCTCGTCGATTATATGAGTTCTCGTCCTATGTCTGCCGTAAAGAATGAGAAAGAGAAGGTGAACTTGGGAGAAATCTCCGGTGGAGGCCAAGATTCAAGCTCATCCACCGGCATGCTATCCTGAAAGCGATTGAAATACCGCTCTGGCGATTGGAGATAGACTCTGAGAGCTCCGCCCATCGACCCAAGAAAAGCAGGTCTGGGTGGTCGTGCGGGGTATCCCTGTAGGTAATGATCCCCTTGAATGCTCATTTACCCTGGCAGGGGTAGAGACTCCAAGATTAAATCTCCTTGAGAAAAAGAAAAAGAGATTGCAAAGAGCACCGTTGTTCTAGGAATCGGATAAGAGAATATTTCGATTAGCTACAAAGCTTAACAACCCCTTGTCAACATCAATCTTAGGTTCAACGAGGAGGGATTCGGGCCGCTGGGCCTCGAGTAAAGAAGCTGCGAAGCTCGTATCGAAAGGTAGGTACGTGATACTTTCGCAATGGTTGTTCTTCCCACCGGCTCAGGCACACCCAGTCTAGAGCCGATCCCCCGCATCACGGAGTAGGTGATCCGTACGCCGTGTCTATTCTGGTTAATGATGGGCAGAACCTTAGATTTCGACATCCTGCATCTTGACCTCGGCATACCCTTCATCAGCACACACAGCCTCTCCAAATACTGGAGTCAGGTCGTGCGGAACGAGATATGCGTCTCGGGACTGGGAATCCGACGCATGATCGGAGAAAAGTCCTGGGAGTTGGAGATGTGTGAGTGAATCGTCCTGAAAACTGCTCTCCTGGCTCTGTGATCTATGTTGCGATTCGGTATGGGGTGTACTGTCATCAGGGTTTTGGTACGGGCCAACGTATGGTTTGCTCTGATGGCGCGCAAAAGTTGATACACGTGTATGAGTAGTGTAAGTGTCTGCCTCAAGATATGTCTCGCCTGAGGTAAGACCTGTTAGCTCTGGAGGCGAAGGCTCTAGATGTTGGTCTTGCATGATAAAACTTTCATGGCTTCCAGAATGATATTCCAACCCATGGAAACTATGATGAGTCTGCAACGTGGGTCGGAATGTAAGAGGGGAATTCCAGTGAGGTGTTTGTGACTGCTGGGACGTAATCAACTGGTCCTGAATCGGTGATCGTGGATTTTGTGACAGTTGATTGCTTTCAACAATATCTCCTGCAGAAACAGCAAGCAACGCAGAACGGAGTGCTTGGTCTTGATCATCGACCTCATTCCACGGCTCATGATTATTTGAGCCAAAGCTCATGGCATTTTGAATTTCCTCAGCTTCATCAACCTCAGATTTGCAAACAGGAGATTGGTCAGAACTCTTGGGCGTGCCACCAGATAGTTGGTGATCATCGTGCGGACCTGACTCCATTCCAAGTTGCTCCTGTAGAACTGTGTGGTATTTCCTGTCAAACCTTGCCAACGGTGGCCCATGAGCTTTCGTGGATGAAGTTGGACTTCCTGCCATATGATCTAGCAAAATATAGCTTGCCTTGGAAGAATCAGGCATTCCCAGTGCGGAGCGTGGCATTTCAAAGATGTTCGCTGACGTGCTGTCTTTGTCGTGGCTAGGTCTCCCAAGCCCATTTGGAACCTTGAGCCCAAAAGCATAGTGATTGGTTGTGTCGTGAAGGTGATCGAAGGTAGATTCAATACCTGCCGTGCTGTCAAAAGTAGCATCTGCCCGAGCCAGATCTGGCCTATCAAGCGGTTTAAAGGAAAGAAAGCCTTCTGGATCAATTTCGATGTCATCCTCAATCCGTGGGTGGTGCAAGTGACTTGGCCTACATGCGTCTGGGTCTCCGAAAAAGAAGTTTTCGCTCATAAAGGGAGCATTGCTAGGGTCTACTTGGATCAGTGCATCCATTGCAAGAGGAGGCATGCCCAGTTCAGCCTCGGGTGGCAGAGGGCTGTTCGTGGCGAAGCGCTCAGGTGGAGCAATGAGCTTTTGCCAGAGTGTCGATCCAAGAAACCCAGCCGGTGCTTCAGAGAACTTCCAGAGAAGGATAGCCATTAGTTTTGGTAAAGGATTCCCTGTCTCGCCTGGGGGAGTAGCCCAGATCTCCTGCATGATGGTCAAACTCTGGAAGAATTCACCAACTCTTTCGTTCGCTGCTTCAATAGCCGCTGGGTCCTTAGAATCCTCTGCAAGTCTTTTGGTTTCCGTAAGTGATGTGAAGGTCGATGCCCACCATCTAGACTGGAAAATGGGTCTCACTTGTCCATGCTTGGAAACAATACATTGCTCCGCCATGGGCTCTCGGATCTGTTCCCCATTCTGATATACAAAAGTCACGGAGTGCCAATGGCAGTATTTTAACTCTTGGGTTGCGCTATTCAACAATGCCTTGTCCTCGGAGCCAAATTCTAGCTCAAATCCGATGCCGAGCTTGGAATGAGGAGGTGGAAAATTGTCCATGAGTTGAAAGCTTACATCCAGTATCACGATCTCACCAGGGGCCGGGCCAGACCATTCTTTCATGTTGTTTTGTAAGTGAGGAAACGACAGCCTCCAGTCGATGATATTCTCAAGTGGCATGGATATTCTGCTCTCTGTTGCAGTCTGCAGCTTCGTATATTTGTGTATTGCATGTTCGGGATCACCTGGCGGGCTAACCCACATTTCGAACTTCATATGCTGAAGACTGAATAAATCGAGCATCGAATCGAGCATCGAATCATTGGAGTCTGGTTCCCAACCACTATCTTGATCAGTCGAGTTGAATCTATGACGTTGTAATAAATATCTTCGACCACGATGTCTTGTAGCTTTTTGTTGCTTAACCAGGTGCTCTATAGAATTATGATAATATTTGCGGCCGTCACTTGAGCCAACCTCGCCGGATAATCTGGTGGGCTTTATCAGAAGGTCCCCTAGATGGAATAAGCTTGGCTGGTTTGAAGGTCAGTCAGCACAACAACTTACACTCAGGAATACCCTTGAGGAAGCGATCAAGAACTTGAATATGGCTCGAAACTTGCTTGCGCTCTCTCACTTCACCTGTTGCCTGAAGAATATATTCTGCAATAAGCATGTTACGTCCGAACAGCGTAGTACGTTGAGAATATTTCTTTTTTCCCATCCATGGAATTGCTACCAGGGCTGTGAGCAAGTTAGGACTATGTTCTTGACATCATGAAAGTTGCGGCTTACCATCTTGAAATGCAGTCTCAATTTCGTCAGACCATACTGGCTTCCCATCTTTGCCAAATTCTTGTCTCTGGCGACCCATGTATTCGAGGTATTTAGGATTATGGAGAAATGGCCTCTTCGGGTCATATAAAGCTGTAGGCCGGCATGGTACTGGGTGCTCGATAATACGCTCTCCTTTGATTGCAAGATTACTGCTATCATTGGAGCCTAGCGTTCGTTCTGGGATGGGGAATTGCGATTCTTGTTTCGAACATGGTGCCTGGTTTTCAATGCCTTCTCGCCTTTCGATTGTCGGTGACTGACGCTTGGTCTGACGATTTCGGGAGGCAGTCGCCAGTGATTGGAGGTTGCCAGATGACTCTGCTAGAGGGAAAGCTGTAGGAACATGCAAGCCGACGCCCTCAGGCAAAGAACCTACGGTATGCAGAATGTCCATCAAAGCGTCATGCGCCCAGTGCGTTTTTAAAAATGCTCAGCAGAATGGAAGAAAAATGCAATGGAGAGCAGTGAACAAGAACAAAAGACTTTGGAATGAGTGTTTGGGAATGCTTGAGGATGAACGGAGTGTCGAATGTTGACAACATTATATGAACTAAATCCGCAGATCGAGTGCTCGTGCAACCCAGTCCTCCATCCTTCACAAAATCGACCAGTAATTGATGGATTTAAGACCCACGGACTTTGGTTGTTAGACTCGTCCAAGGAAATCACCAGTAAGCAAGACACGCAATTTCACGATCTTTGCAATCCTTGCCGCAGGGACTCGAAGTGTGAAGGACGATGCAAGGGATGGGAGATGGGCAACGTTCGCCTTCCCATATCTGCCAAGTTTTTGATCGACAAAATCGTTAGCATCAGACGAAAGAAAAAACTACCTTTGGCACGAATTAACGATGGAGAAGTACTTCCTTTGTGAAATTCAAGCGAAGCTCAAGTGGCATCGCGGCATGATTGGATGATTTGGTCGCCAGCTGTGGCAAAAGCATAGAGTCAAAGTTGACTTGCCTCTTGACGGCCATTCCGGATGAATACTCATTCTACGTAGTGTGCATATGACTGAAGGATAAAGTCCAAAAGGGCTGGCTGGTAAGTCTGCTCGAAATCGAAACGCATAAGAAGGTTCGATGTGATTGAAATAATTCAAGGATGTCCGGCGCGACCTGCATTTTGTGTCTGCAAGGGATAATTTGGGGGTGGGCGAATCTTTTCAGAGTGGCTCAGCATCGTCTCGTGCTGCATCAGCGTTGAATTTCTTACGGGCCGAACCAGTCAACTTGTGGTGAGCCAGAATGTTTTGATGACTCTGGACTTTCTTTTCCATGGCGCGGATTTCATCTTCAGGAGCAATGTTTTCACCCTCTGCAAAGTCCAGAACAAGTCGACGGCCAAGCAAATGCGTGTTTTCGAGAGCATCCATGGCATTTTCGGCTTCTTTGGCCGTGACGAATTCTGCGAACGCAAAACCCCTGGCAGTGTTGTCGAACTTTCTAGGAAGACGGACAGTGCGCAACTTGCCATAGGCACCAAACAATGCACGGATGTCTTTCTTAGTGGCCTCAAAAGGAAGATTTTTGATGATGATCTTGGTCTTCTTGGCATTTGCTTTCTTGGAAGCATCGTCCTTCCGTCTCTCCTCTGCCGCATCTGTCGACTTTTGGGATGCTTGAACGATGATTTCATGGCCCTCGACCATCCTACCGTTCATGGCCGCGATGGCCGCGTCTGCTTGGGATTTTGTGCGGAACTCAACAAAGCCAAATCCCATACTAAGCACCTCTCCAGGACGTTTGGCATCAGTCCTCGTCTTAACCCTAGCTGAGAGAAACCCAGAAAGAGGCTTGAAAGCCTCGGCAAGTCTTGTGGTGGAAGTGGTAAAGTTGAGGTTGCGAACGAATAAAGTGGCTGAAGGCGTGCCAGACATGTCCACATCGTCACCTTTCGTGTCCTCCATCCATATAGGACTTTTTTGACGCATCCAAATGCCTTTCGGTGCACGCTCGAGGTACAACACTGATCCTTTCAAGTTGCGGTATGCCAGTTGCTTCATTGCCAATGTTGCGAAAGAGGGTTCTTCATACTGGACGACTGCCATCGTGCCAGTCGGAGGGAATACTAATCGACTGACATTGCCATACTGACTCAGCATTTGTGAAAGCTCTTCAGAAGTGGTCCCATAGGAAAAGTTCTTCAGTAGGAGCGTACAGTCATCTCGCGACTGGTCCGTAAACGCCTCGAGATTCATGCCTTGGGATGCCAAATATGTTTTTGTCTCCTTGATCACACTCGTCTCCGCGTGAGCTTGTTTTACAGCGGCGTTTGACGATGATGGATCGAGCAAATCTGATTTGGTAACACCGAGTCTGTTTGCAACTGATGCCAACACGGCATCTGGGTTCATATACAATGAGTTCCAGCTGAAGGTCGAATTGGTTGTCTCCGACTTCCGCTTCAATGCTTTTTGTTGCTTCAGTGGCAACTTCGAGATCTCAAACTCATTCAATTTCTGTGTCTTTTTATCAGATGCTGGAAGGATGTGCATGAGTCTCCCCTGGAAAGCTTTTCCGTCTAATTGGATCAGAGCTCTCTCTGCAGCGGAGGGCTCAATGAATTGCACGTAGCCCAGACCCTTGCCCGTGGACGTCCGTGTGTCCGTTACAAGGTGAACCTGTACTCCAGTCAGAAAACAATAGCCATGAAGGGTTTTTTTTCGAAGTAGAAAGGCAGAAAAGAAGTCAGAAGTGAGAAGCATCTACTAAAATACTCTTTCCCGTTCACATCATATGCACAAAGCATAAGCTGTCCCTATCAGGAAATCATCACGCAAATGGAGTGCTATTTCAACAGAGGGCTGTTTTCTTACCTCAGATATCCTTCCATACGGAGAGAATGCCTCCCGAACGGAGCTCTCCGAAGCATTGAATGGAAGGTTGCGGACAAATAACCGAGCGTTTGGAATGGATATTGCTATCGATGTCTGTTGATCTCCATCTTCATCGGTTACAGGCTTTGCGGAGTCCTCCTGAGGATCGGTATGGAACGGATCTGCTGGCTCATCCAATTCCGCCTCCACGGTCCTTGGGAAGACATCCGGATTTGGATCTTCCCCCTCGATGAGATCCAGCAGTCGACTTGTCTTTCCGCGAAGCCAGTCACTGTCGGAAGCCTGGACGATTGGAGACTCCGCTTGAAGATTGTCCGCAGGATCTGGCGTTCCGGGTGGAGCATCTGACCGAGTTATTTCTGCACTGGGGCCTTCCTTCTCTTGTTGAACTTGAGAATTGTGCTGTCGAGCCATTTCGCCGTCGTCGCGTGCTTCCCGTTTGCGCTTCTTCAAATGATATTCTTGGCTATCCTGAGCTTGGCATGATCGACGGAGAGAGATAGGAGCAGCCTGCCCAGAAGCATCCCGCTTCAGTTCCACGGGTTTGGCCAGAGTTACCGATATCTTGGACATCTTGACAAAAGACCTATTAAAGTATTTCACCGCCGACTTCGCAGTCTCATGGTCCATGAAGCCCAGGAAGCCGATACGGCGGTCTGCCACAACATGGGAATCGGTTACGGTGAATTTGGAGGAGAAGTGTGACCGCAATTGTTCGGTTGTCATGGAGGGAGGCAATCCAGAGACGAAGATTCGAGTCACAGGCGCGGGCTCTGTTGTTGAATCCATCATGTTCGAGAGTTCATTCATTGCAGAAGGGATCCGCGACTGATTGAAGGGTTGGAGACTGGAAAGATGCAGGCACAACTGGTTGCATCGATCCTTCACATATATCTGGGTATGCAAGTGCAGAAAAAAAGTTCATTTCGAAAGTGACTTTGCAACACCGAATTCGCGCCGCCCTAAGAGTCTGACCCTTCTTGGCTTACGCCGCTTTGAACACTCGTTCTTCTCTTCCGAAGTTCCAATTTCCGAGAAAGCCATTTGGCATCCAGTTCTTCTGATGACAGCCATTGAGGGAGAGATGCTTCGGGTGACTACAACTCTAGGAGTCTCTCATGACTTGAGGACTATTCGCGTCGGAAACTACGATGGAGGCTTAAACAAGCCTTCGAGTGTCCCAGACGGATGGTAGCGGCTTTTACACAATGAATCAACGGAACCCCATCGAAATCGTTTCCTAATTGAAGACTATGCGGTCAGAGTCGCGACACTGAAAGAGGATGAAAATGGCTCTATCGCATTAGGTAGGATTTGTGGTGCATGTACATCACTGCCGCCAGGATTCATTATCGAAGAACAAGAAATCAAGAAGTGATGCTTGTTCATGATGTTCTTGGATGTGATACAAGTGGTTCAATTCAGATCCTTCATCGGCCATCCGAAAGCCTTCCCCACAGGTCGTTTTGACGGCCATCGCATATGACCTTCCGTCCATTTTGTCTGCATAGCTCTTCAGTGTATTGATCATCAATTGGATATCCTCCGGCATCCCACGAGGGGGTACAAATTGGGATCCTTCTTCGACGAGGTCTTGCAACCTCCGGCAAAATTCCGAGACGGTTTCTTTCAGTTCTTCCATCATGGAATCTTTGGAGTTCTTCCAGATTCCGTCTGTGAGCTCCAAGAATTTCGACTGTACGGTGAATGAGTGTCTGATTTGCAACCAATACGGAAAGGGCAGAGAAAACACCACTCTGGACGGGAGATTTAGAAAGTGATTGCATATTGCTTTGACTGCAGACCAGCAAGACGAGAGAAGAGCTTGTCGATCTAATCCCGTGATTTCTGAAGATGAGGATAGTTCACCGTTGAAACCCCCGTCTAGCATTGGCACGAAGTCATTCTCTTCCAGAGCAACTTGTAAGATATGCACCCGGACAGTATGGTAGCACATCGCCAACAATGCTGCGATAATGTCAGTGAATTAACTTCATCATCATATATCAGTCCCAGAGATAACTATCTGGCGAGGATTGCTAGACTTACAGGCTTGCGGAACCTCCTGACGGAAGCAGCTTCCTACTTCTGCGAGATCGCTTTCAAGCGTTGCAATCCGCATTGACAAGAAAGAGGAAAGGTTAATGGTTGTTTCTAGAGCAGAGCTATGCAACGCTTCCTTGGTGATATCCGTCATCCGCTGCATTCGGACGAGCTGCACCAGATCAAAGTCTGTCTGGTAGTCTGCGGTCTCCTCAAGCGTTCGACAGCAGTGTTCGGCGTATCCACCATATTGTATGGTTTCAAAGTCCGAACTGCAGGTTCTGAATCTAATGACTCGTGAATCAGCGTCATCTACTGATGAGGTGTGCAGAAAATTGACGAACATGGATCCAAGCCAGTATGCTCCTAAGAATAGCCTTCTTTCTGCTAACGTCCTAGGTTTAGAGCTGAACGTTGAATCTTCGTTTTTGCTTGCCATGCCTGAGGATAGCTGTGGCTCTTTGTCCAGTCCAAGCTCGGCAATGAGAGCAAGAACCATGTGGAAAACTCGAATGCATGGTGGACCATTTGCCCTATCGACATGGGACCTGCAAAGCATCGGAAGTCAGAAATATTTCAGCAAAATGGAACAGGTTGCGAAAGTGCATCCTGGGAGTAGAACTCTTACCAAGCCAGGTATACGAGGAGTCCCTCCAACATTCCCACATCTTGAGCGAGACATGTCATGAACCTCCGGCAGATTTCCTCTCGAATCGTGCTAACGAGACTCGAGTATTGACACTTATCGTGTTGGCTCCTCGCAGCCATCAGAATGGCTAGGTAGAGTATGGGTTTCTGCTGGGCCAAACTCTGTGCTGTTGTACTAGAGGCGATCCTGACGAATGGAAACAGCGGCATCATATCTGAGCAAAACAAATTCAATGACGAGGCAGCGTCTTGTTCGGGCAACAACGCGATATCCGTGGCAGGAGACGTAGTGTCTCCACTTCCAGGACTGCTGCTTTGGAGGAATAACGAGGTTGGCGACGTGCCCCGCAGGTTGCTTGAATGTGTTGAGAGCATCTGGGACATGGAGTCGACTTTTGATTCCAGCCGAAGGATAGCCCTATTTCCCGCCAGATGAGCACATGTTCAGAGTAAGCCAATGTGGATGGTCACTTGCATCTCTTTGCTTGTCCGACTGTTGGACAGTTTATACGGCTGACTACCATGTTTTTGAATCGTGCATCCCTTGTTCAATCTATGACATCTTGGTTGCCATATGTAAGTATGATTGGGAAGCGAAGTGCCGGATGGGTTATTATCTTGAGGCTTACCGCTTGCACTTGCTTTTCCCAGGTTCCAGTTCGCACTTGGATTTTGCTTTCGCACACGTCTGACATGCTTTCAACTCTCGTAATCTTGGTCGGCTATAATTCATAACTTAATGCTCATGCAGTTCGAACTTGTCTCGCAAACCGGAAGTCCAACGGATTTACTACGTGGTCGGGGTCGCCACTTGAGTAAATGGACGGGTGGTCTGTGGCTGAAACGGTGTGCCTCGGTGGCCCAGGGAGTCCGTATAGTCGTGGTTAGTGATGCTGGATATGCCTACAGTGCAGGTCCCCAAAAGTTCCCTTACTTTGTATCGACCTCATCGAGCTTTGGAGATCTTTATGAATTAAAACCGGTCTGTTAGAGACCATGAAGTGTACCCCCAGAAACATGAGAGGATAGCCCTCCAAGCAAGACGAATCCATGTTTCAACCCCTTTCCACTGTTCAACAGCCTTGAGTTGTTGATTCGACTATCACGGCCTCCCGAGTTCCCAGCTGGTTTCAAACCATACTAATGGATCCTTCCGTCTTGGTGGGCAAGTAAAGACATACAATCGACATACATTGGTAAACTAGTAGTCAGTGAGGGGCCGAGAGCTTTGTTCCTGTTCCGGATAGTGCATTGTATAAACAACAACACTCTTTCTGACCCCTTTCTGACCCCTCCTAGGCCATAAACAGGAAGTGACTAACACATAGACCTCGGCTCTAAGCTCAGCTTGGTACGGATAAGGCATAAGATAGCCAGCTTCGTCAACAAGTAGCCCGGGACTCGGCAAGCCCAAGCCAGTCTACCGATACTTCATATGAACTTACTGCTACTATAATTGGATGCGGTATTTTGAAACCCCGTGCATCCCGCCTTGTGGAGCCGTTTGTTGTGTTAGAAGCATTCGTCCTTCATTTACTAGCATGACCTACCTCGTACCTCGTACCTTATATCCACAGATTTGGGTACGTCGCGTATCCTCTCGTTTACAACCTGAGCAGACAGCTCTCATGAACTTTCGCGAGCCCGTGATATCCTAGGCACCGATTCACCGGGCATCATGGCGCACCCAGATTAACTAACATATGCATGTCCGCTTTCGCCAGATCCATCTTCTCAACAGCATTCCACGGAGCATAACCGTGTGTGGCCCAGGCTCAATTAAAATGCCTGAGGTGCAGACCGTACACGTCTGTGATAGTGCTGCGTCGTTTGATCAAGTGGAATTCAGCAAGGAGGCCTGAGGATAGGGATAGCGAAGAGATATGACGACCCATTGGTCAGTTGAGCGGATCGTGTGTCACTGCCACATGCCATATTTGAACAGAAGGATTGAGCAATAACAGGCGACATGCTAGAACATATACTGCCCCGTGCCCACTGCAAATCCAGTTACAGTTGCCGAGTTGCTGATACTAGTACAAGCCCATCCTTCATCGTCTGAGACAGATATAGGATTGAGATAAAAAACTTTAATTCCCCAGATTGGATGATGGGTCCGCACGAATCCCAATCACATATGGGACGAGTGAGCCATGAGATAGCGCCTTCAGCAGGATGGACATATGACTTCCTCCTAGATGCAAGTCGTCGTGATCGACGATTGCCCGAAGGCAAGGGTCTTTGCTTTTAGTGATTGCCTTTGGATTATGTTCATAGGGATGGAGGTGTGGTGGCTAGAGGGTGAACGGGAGCTCATGCATGAAGTAGTGTTTAGTGTCATGTCTTGGATACCGGTCTAGTTTTTGGTGGTGAGGAGCTAATGAGCGCTAGACTATGAAGGAAGACGAACATTTCCCTTTGGCCACTTCAGTATACGGTATAACCCAGGGTCTACTGACTCTGAATTGTTGACGTCTGCTAGCCCCGGCCAGCGTCTGGTGGTGGAGGAAATATCTCTGCAGCCATTGACCAGTGCTCTGAATCTCTGGGGACGGGATCAATTTTATCTAGGTCGTTAGGTATTGATCTGTGGAATGGAGTCCTTATCAAGGATTCGATCACCTGGGGACAGACGGGGCGAGGAGGCTCCACTGCCTTATTATTCTGATCACGTGGGAGATCCCAGTTGGGCAAGTGCGCCGGGCCTTTTCCCGAGTTGTCAGGATCCAAAGAAACAACAAACAGGCCCCTTTAGAGAACTCCGGCCAATTACTCCGACAAACCATCACCTTTGATTATCTGGTACGGGGTACCCGCACATCTTTAGCACACGTTACAGCGTCATGGCGTCAATAGAGAATGTTCCGGAGAAGAAGGTCAAGTTGGAACGTACGTGGTCGCATGCTCATCATTTCTATGCCGATTGACTAACCCGGCCCAGCCCAGGTGAAATCGGTGGACATGGTGAGCACACGCATCCCAGCGGCCTCGGACGGTGCGGACTGAATCTAATATACTGGTCAAGAGTGAGGACATGCAACAAGAAGCCATCGAAGTTGGTAGGGTTCAGACGGGGATCCTCAGAAATGGAACCGAGTATTGATTGGTCGGCAGCGCAAGAAGCAATGGAGAAATTCAGTGTTGAAAAGGTGAGGATGATATCGCTTGGTCGCAGTCTCTGTCTCAATACTAACGCATTGAAAGGATATTGCACAGCACATCAAGAGAGAAGTATGTTTGGAGAATGAGCCTGCATTCAAGGGGTGATATTGACGCGCCGATGTACAGTTCGATTCAAAGAAAGGAGCGACATGGCATTGCATCGTGGGAAGAAACTTTGGTAGCTTCGTGACACATGGTGAGTACAGTATGTCAGTGTTGGACCAACGGTATACTGAACAACCTTGCAGAGACTAAGCACTTCATCTACTTCTACCTGGGCCACGTTGCCATTTTACTCTTCAAAACCCAATGAGCGATGCGATGCAGGATTCGACACGACTGGCGCAATGAAAAAAGATGCATCTTTGTTGTTGTTACTGTTTAGCGTTGTTTTCCAACCAAAGGACCGACCGAGATGAAAACCAAGGATAATCACCATGGCCATGGTGAAGATGCCTCAAGTACAGGGAATGCTGGGGAGGAGAGGACTTGTAACAGTCAACAGCCACTCGACTAGATACCGGGGTGGAAAAGGTGTGGAAGCACCGTATACACATAAAACACCGGGTCAAGGTCACACAGCGGGCGACGAGAACATTGAGGCCAGTGCCAATTCTCATATCTTTAACTGCAAGGCTGTGGCAATGCTGCCGCAAAGATGTCACAAGGCTGTGGTGTGACCATCGGGTGCCAGTGATTGACTCCGCCGCCTTCGGGTGGATCAACGTATTTCCCGGATCCCCGTTCAACCAGACCACAGAAACCGATGCCCAGAGTCACTAAAGTGTTAGGTGTGCGTCATGGCTACCATCCTTCGTCTTTTGACTGGCCGTCTTTTCAAACTGCGCCGCGTGCTGCATCATCATCACCTTCCGGTTTGCGTTTTAATTTGACGCGCCTCTGGTGATCAAGTGTTGGGCTCCGACGCCGCCGTGGTTGCCTTTTCAAGTTGAACAAACACCTCCCAAACGCTCCCTTCCGCCAATTGCGCAACCCATCGTCGTTTATTCCTCTGACCATCATCACCCATCATCAGCCATCAAGGACCTCGCCCCTCGTTCTGCGCCAAACAATCAAGCGTGTTGCAAATATGGCTTTCTTCTTCGTCGTAGGCACCAAAGGTATTGATCCTCCCGGCGGCTACCGTCGATGTCAAGTCCATGCGCCGTGCTAATGTCGGTGCTCTAACTCCAGACTTCACCAAGCCACTTCCCGGTCACGAGGGCATCACAGCGCAATGCTACAACTGCGGAAATTGGGCGGCTCATCCGATTCAGTCCTGGGACTGGTTTACCTTCTGCTGGGTGCCCATTATTCCACTGGGATCGAAGCATAAAGATGTATGACGAGTGATCCATTCCAAGACTACACATCCTAACCAGCTTTTACAGCTTGCCTGCTCGATTTGTCGATTCCGTCAAGATCTTAGGTATGTCCAATGGCGCCTGGAAACATGGGAAACGTCTAGGGTTTAACACGCATTAGAAATCGACCCGATGTCGGCTCACAGCAAGGCCAAGGAAGCATGATGCCCCAACAAGGACCTCCGCAAGGGTGGAACAACCCTCCTCCTCCTCACGCATCGGGCGGCATACCCCCTGGGCCTCAACAACCTCATTACAAGTAAGAAGGAGGGCTCATGAATTTTCAACTGTGTATAAGAGTAGGGCGCCCGGAGTTATGATTTTTGGACCCTTTACCCGCCGAGTGTATTTGGCCACTAAGGCGTATGGCAATATCCATGCCCCGAAAGAAGCGTTAAGCAGAGCCGACGTCATTCGGAGTCAGACTGCATTTCCACGGTCAACATTCCATCCAGTATGCTGGGAAACACCTCCGTCAGGATCGAGAGTCTTCACATAGGCGACAACGCAAGCGGGTCCTTCTGCTGCGGCCGGTTTGCGGACTGCTTACGGTGACGAATGTTTCTCGTTCAACACTCGGGCAGTCAGTCGACGAACACGGCTTCTATGGGCCTGGAGCAACGGGTCTTGCCGCTCCTATCAGCTTCGTCGAACAACTCATTGAACGAACAGAGCGTTGCCTCATCGCAGCCTATACACTGTGGGTACGGATTCGCTTAGCCATTGACCGTGAAGATTTGCCAGTCGAGTAGTTGATTATCTCTTTGCAATTCAAAAGCTCAGATACTTGCAGGGCTAAATTGCTCTCGCTTATGCATTTTGATGAGCAGCATCTTTTCAAATTTTAATAATGGTTGTTGTTCCCCATCAATTGCAATCTCATCGTCAATCTTGCCTCCAAGTTGAAAATTGACACGTGACATGGCGGAAGTTGAGTCTTGGCGGTGACTCCCAGCAATTCCCCCATATGATTTATTTTGACAATTTATGACTCGAGTTTTGATCTCTTTCCCTCTCACATCGACGCGTCGCTCCCCATCCGCTGCGTTCTCTGCCACACACGACGACTCATCCTGCGCTCCGCCGCAGTCGAGAGTTGCCTTGATCCACCTGCAGATGAGAAATTCGGAGTAATCTTCAAACAGTCGACCTGTCATCTCTCTCGAGGGAGACCACAGGACTGCCCGCGAGGGTCCGGCATGATTCATCACCATGCTCGCAATCTGGCATCAGAAATTGACAGGGCTTCAAGAGATACACCGTTTTCTCCTGGAGTATTCCCTATGGAAGAGCCGTTGCGGAGATTGTTTGACGCCCTCGAGGTGGACCTACTTTAGTGCAATCGCAGCGGAAGATCTTGATTCGGTTCTCTACCCAGGGTTCAGATGACTAGACTTCAATTCGATTCCGATTACTCTGGGGAGCGGCGCATCTTTCGTCCTTTTTTTGAGGTATGTTTGTACAGTTTTCGTCGCTCCACTACAGTTCGGGATACTACTAACAAAATTTTGTTTTGACCAATTTCCCCACGCTCTCGTCACTTTGTCAGTGTCCGTTGACGCCATTTACACCGGTATGTCCATTGACGCCATTGGTCTCGGCTCTGGCTGCGAACTCTCTGAAAGTCTCGAGATCGACCCGCCGTAACGCACTGTCTTCAGTCGCCTCGAGATGCACCTTGGGCACACCGTTTCTGCTGATTTTTCCATCTCTGAATGCGCCGAGTGCTTCCAGCCACCGAGATGTGCATAAACACCACTTGCAACCTTCTCTGAGCCCTGCGATCCGCAGGTCGTTGCCCTGTGATGCCGAGTAGTCCAGGAACTCTTCTGTGACGACACCTGCCACTGCATGATTCCCATAGTCTGCCGCACCCGTCCTACAATACCCGTCCCGATAATATCCGGTCACTGGTTGGTTGGAGAAGAAGGCAAGAGGTTGTTTGAAGACTATAGGCGGGAGTTCAGTACAATGGGGGTGAAATAAAGGGAAAAGTCTGAGGGGCTTCCAGCACGTTCCCAGACAAAGTCATATACGTACCGTTCAAAGGCGACATTCTGGTCTCTGGTGCAGGCTGAGGTTGTGGTGGTTGCGGGGTTTTGTTTCCTCCAAGAATAGGAATTGGGAGAACCCTCGCCTGGGGATTGTTCCCTTGACTGAATGGGCGTAGCTGTCGACTGATCGACCTGAGCAACTTCATGAATATACTTGAGGTGAATACTGGTCGGGGTGAAAGGCTTCGGGGAGAAAGAGGTACGACTTCCACGTTGAGATGACGAAATGAGACTTGGAGTTCACGTCCGTCTCCCCGCAAATGCGCCGCTTTTATTCACCTCTAAGTTTCCTATGTAAATCCATAGTCCGCTCATTGACACCCGGCGGCGTCATGACCCTCAGAAGAGCTGGGTTTACATTATGTGCCTGCTCGACGAACATGGCTGCCTAGGTAGTAATTGGCCAGTGTACTTGATACCTAAGCATGATGATGAAACATGTTCTTCATGCACACCACACTGGCACCTGTAAAACACTTTACTACCCAATCGATTCAGAGTTTGAAAACGAGTTGGACGAGTCTGATCTTGGTGAAGATGTCACATATCCCTACGAAGAAGAGGGAGCAATATACTGCGAAAATTGCGTAAAAGAATCAGCATATCCTAAATATAAAGCAAGTTCAGATTAAATTCTTAAAGTTTGTCCCCAACAATGTCAGATAATCAACTATCACCCGGAACGCCATTACATATTCCCCCTTCCAGTCCACTATCATCTACATAAACAGAGGCCAGCAAAGTTGAGCAGAACCTTGTCTATGCGACGACTTCGAACTCCTTTCGCTCCTGCTCCGTGGAAGCCAACGTCCTCACTGTCCAAGCCCACAAATCTTCCTGCTTCGACTCAACATAACTGTCAATGCTGGATGGAATCTCCTTTCTCATCTCATAGTAAACGCCACTTTTCATCGCGGCACTGCCGTCAGTTGCGATGAAAGCAAGATTGGCACCGGACTGCTGAGACGTGTGGACGTTCGGGTGGAATGCACGGCGCAGGAGCGGGATCAACGCGGGCAGAACATAGTGCCAGACGAATCGGAGGACTGGGCCTGACTCTCGCGCCAGTCCCGTGCCGGGCATGAGACCCGGGTCGAAGGCGACGACGGTGATGTTCTTTCCTGGCAGTTTGCTCACGCGACGGGAAAGTGCGTACGTCCAGAGGACGTTGCACAACTTGCTGGTCGCGTAGCGCTGGCGGCCGGCGTAATTGAGGGCCTCGCCCTTCGGGTGTGCGAGCTCTTCGGCGGTGTCGTAGATGGCGTCGGGCAGGCCGGATTTCTGGGCCGGGTCGTGCGTGCCGCTGGAGACGACGACGATGCGACATTTGTTGGCGAGACTGGGCTGGAGAAGATGGAACAACAGCGCGTGCCCGACGTGGTTGATGCCGAAAGTCGCTTCGATTCCATCGCTGGTGTACTGTATCTCACCTGGGAACTGCAGACCGGCATTGAGGAGGAGATGTGAGACTGGTGGGAGTTGTTGGTCCTTCAGCGTCTTCACGAATGCTCGTATACTCTCATGTTTGCCAAGGTCGAGCGAGAGAAATTCGACGTTATTCTGGCCATTTTTCTTGTTGATTTTGGCGGCTGCTAATTCAGGGTCTTTCCTTGCTGCAATAACCACTTTTGCGTCCTTGAATTGTTTCGCAAGAATTGTGGTGGCGTGGAACCCGAGGCCTGATGTACCCCCGGTGACGATGATGCTGTGGGTGAATTTTGACATCTTTTCGATGGCGTCGTAAGGTTATGAAAGAATACTGCACAGCGAGTATGGGATTGGTGAACTACTACGAGCGCTTTCCTTGTCCTTATATATTCATTCTTCATGTCCAGCTATACTCTTGCAAACCCGGCAACCCGAGATTAATGTCCATTGTACGATTAACTCCGATGTTAACTTCTAAGTGATGAAGCGTAGATAAGGCTCATGGGCTCGAGACATAGTACATTCCCGGCGATAATGCACTTTATGGACGAAGGGCTGCCACTAATTTGCAGCCATCTTGCGGAGCATTTATACTGGACTGGGAAGTAGATTTGAGGTCAAAATCAATAAAGAGAATAATTCGCTTCTATTAAACAGCACCTGATGATTGGAGAACGGCACCGTCGCTTTGAGGGGCCACAGCCTTAGACAGGGGTCGCCGAGGATGCCCACAGCTGCAATCGGTGGCACCTGTGGACCCCCTTAAGGTTCTTGTTATGCGATTGGGGAACGGCACCGTCGTTTTTCCAAATTCCCTCTATTTCGAAGCCCTCGGCACGCACCCGGTTCAGGCTCCCACCTTAGTCACCATCTGATGTTCTGAGACGCCTCTGGGCTCTCCTTCTCTTCCCATCGCTGAGCCTTTGACATGCTCTTTCGATCAACTCCATTATCCATAATACATACTATGCAACTAACAACCTCCCTTCAGGGACAGACGCCATGACGATTCGTAAAAGCGATAGGATGTGGCTGGCACCAACCCAGCTGTTTCACCCTTTACCGGAACATCATGTCATCATTTGCACACAGTGTCGTTTTGCCGTCCCACCCCATGCAATCCCCAGGCACTTGAAGGAAATTCATGGCATTCACAGAGGGCAGCGCCGGCCGTTCCTGGACTTCGTTTCGAAATTTGACCTGAAGAACCCTGAGGATGTCGCATTTCCAACGGAGGCGGAGTTCCCAATCCCAGCATTGCCAATCCATAACGGATTGCAGTGTACTTTCCCCGAATGTTCTCATCTCTGCGTGGCCGAGAAAAGAATGCAAAGTCATTGGCGTTCCGTGCATGGACGGCCTGGTATACCCAACCAAGATTACAAGTATGCGCCACTACAGACATTTTTCCGAGGTAACATGTTAAGATACTTCACGAAAGCGGCCAGTGACTCAAAGCCGCCCGCCCATGTCGAGAGCCATTTTCTGTTAATTCGCAAAACCCATGTGGACGTGACATGTCTCGATCCAGATATGCAATTGCGAGCGCTGACTCTTCCATTTTCTGACGAAGCGCTGGCATGTCATGTAACCTCCCGAACGGGTCCAGCGCTTACTTCACACGAAGAATCACTTCTTCAGCATTATGAAAAGCTCACTTATAAGACGATAGCGACCGACGTCGAAACAGAATACTTGTGGGGCACTGCTCTGGTTCAAATCGCATACCATCATGACTTTCTGATGAAAGCTTTGCTTGCCTTGTCAGCTCTGCATTCTGCGCATCTGACCAACAATCCTTCTGAGAAGAGTGAATACCTGCTGGCCGCCAGTCACTTTCAGGATGAGGCCATGGCCCCATACCGTATTGCAGTGGCAAATGCGGACAGGGCGAACTGCCATGCCATTCTCGCATTCACTCATCTGCTTGTTTTGTACTGCTTTGCCACAGAACATGAGCATGAGAATCTCTTGCTGGTTACAGAACAGAGAGACGACATCACTCCACTGTGGCTGAGTTTTCTTCGAAGTGGATGTTCAATGCTTTGTTCAGTATGGGAAACACTGGAAATCGGACCGGTCAGGGCTTTGGCCGCAGCTTGGGAAAAACAATTCGAGCTTCCGAAGTCGATCGATGTCCTCATAACGAACACTCTAAATGATCTGCTAGAAGCTGTGCCATCACCATGCTCTGCACATGCTTGGTCGGAACATGAATGCATTGAATATCGTGATGCAGCATCGTATCTAGCACTGGCAATATCATGCTCGAAGACGATAGGACATCCCTGGTCAGCATGGGACGTTTTGCGAATCTGGCCAGTGAGGTTATCCGAAGGATTCATGACGATGCTTGCCGCTTCTCATCCAGGAGCTCTGGTCCTTCTTGCACACTATTGTGTATTGCTCAGGAACATCGAAGACCAATGGTATTTTGATGGCAGAGCAACGCGAATGATTCGGGCAATCACAAAGCGTTTGACTCCAGAATGGCACCAGTTCATTCAAAAGCCACTCAATGTGATTGAACCCACATTATCATTCTCAATGGGAGCCTATCCGATCATTCCAGAGAACAGAGGATCGTGACCTCCGAATGGGCCCATTAGTATATCACCAAAGATTTCCTCATCCACGCTGGGTGATGAGAACAGCGTAAGCAAAGGGAAATCCCATTCAAACACAAATTGTTCTGGAACGAACGATTCGAGCTCCCTTTGACCAAGATTGTTTCCCGAAGTCCAGAAAAAATTGACAGGCGAAAGTGGCTTTGGTGGCGCGTTCACACCGGTCTCGTCTTCGGCGGGTTCATTTTGCAGCGCACGTCCATATTTCTGGATACTAAGGTGGAGAACTTGCAAGTACATCTTACTCGTGTGGGTTCTTCCGCCACTTGTTGAACCGCCTTCGACCTTGTTCAGCTCATTTAAGAGCATATAACCATCTTGCAAGAGCTTTCTCTTGGCTGTGTCATCGTCCTCAGGCAAAAGCTGGGTCAACTTAAGCAGCAAGAGGAAGCAGAATGCACATTTTGCCCACACAAAGTCCATGGCAAACCGGAAATGAGACAGATAGTGCTGTGGCTGATCCAAAATGATTCGAAGGTGCTTATTAAGGGCATCCTTTGCCATGAGAAGGACCTCTTGCTGGGTGGACGACATGGAAGCGATGTTGTCATTGCCCATTGCGCGGACCGAATTGCACAGGACCATGGCAATAGACCAGAGTTTTTGAATCTCCAGATTGAAGAGAAGTACTGCAGTTTCGGCAGTTTGAGACCTAGACATGATTTGTTGCCAATCTTGATACCAAATTGAGAAATCAACCTGGGCATCACGCACAATGTCCATTATCTCCCCATCGGCAAATATCTTCCCATTTGATATTGAGTCATGAATCCGAGCCCTCAAGGAATTCAATTCGACTTGAGACAGCAGTCTGAGATCTAGAATCGTCGAGAAAGGCTTGTCGAGCAAGACTCTACATCGACGAACTTCTCCCTTGAATCGAAATCCACGGAGATTTCCTGCATCCACATGAAGAATCTGCTCAAGAATGAGCAGCTCAAACCATGCCCTGGACCTCCGCATGAGCTCCGCTTCACTCTCACGGTACTGGAAGGTTTCTGAACCCTGACTTTGTCTTTCCCTGGTCACAAGCAGCGTCATGAGCTCGGGATATGCATCTTGCAGATTGAGATCAAGTCCCATTCTAGTAGCGAAAGCCAAAAGGAGAGAGCGCTCGGAAACATAACATGCGGTGACCAACAGCGCCTGAACTGTTTCGAGTGAAGTATACTCTGGGGTGACAATGACGAGATTCAGCAGCTTCTTCAGGTGAAATTGAAGAAAGTTGCACAGATGAGAATCAGCGTCACTCATGACACTGCAGCCAACAGTGAGAATTGCATTAAATAGCAGGGAGCTTCGATTGCTGATTGACTCGAATGTATCGTGAGAGGGATCGAAAATGGGCACATATCGATCGCATCCCTGGAAAAAGGCATTGAAGAACAGGCGAGCTTGATCAAGGCTCAGAACACCAGTAGCCACAAAATTCGGAACTGGTCTGGTTTCCACCTCAAATTGCGATCGTGTGCTATGGTTTATGGGCATTTCATAGGCAGATCGGAAGGAGGGTACAGACTCAGGAGATGCAAATGTTTGTGGTTGTGACAGTCGCGACTGTGTTTTTTCCAGATGATTCAAGTGGACATGCGCATTTGTGCTGGAAACAGTGTCTGGTTCATCGTCATTTCCAGCACCATGTGAATCCAATCGGGCTTTCAATTGTTCGAGTTCTTTTTCGATAGCATTGAGCTTTTGCTCACTGGGGTCGGATGGCCGTTCCAAGAAAATACAAACCTTACCGTGACTTCGACAGCTATAACCCCGTCAGTGTCTTCCTTTAGAGTGATTCACAGCAGTGCGACCCTTTCAATGTCACAGTTCACAGAAGGGCGAAGTCGGAGAGAAGCGATCAAAAATTTATGCTTGTTGCCTCTCGACATCCGTGGATTTGGGTCAGAGTGGCCCAGATATTCGAACTTACCGAGAGCAAGGGCGTTGGCCATCGCACTTGACTTTCGAGGCCCGACAAGACCCACACGCTTTCTGGTAGCTGTTAGCAGGCAATTCAACAGGTCGACCACGGGATCGATGCGTTCTCTTTCTGACGGTGATCCAAATTTGTGGTGCCAATGCGACTTACTGGAATTCGCTTTTTGCCGACCGTGTTTGGACTGGGAAGGCTTCCGTCCATCGTGGCAGCCGTACTTCATAACACAGGCGTTCAGTTCCAAAACGCTACAGAACGGGAGGCATTCAAAGAAGACCACTGAAAGAAAGGCGCGAGTTTGATAAATCGAGGTTCCTTCCTTCCTGCATGTCGGTTCTGAAGTCCCGAGCAGCTGCGTTTGATTCGAACCTCAATTGAAGACTGGAGAGCAAGCTTATGGGGAAGTTCCCACCCGGAGAACAGGGGGCGCCTGACCTAAACTTCCCCTCATTACTGTTGCTCCGCACCACCTGGGCAGTTCATGTTTAACTATTTCTCCAGCCTCCTTGGGGGATGTGCGCCCCCACACGCCCATATCAGTCGAGTTCCGGGGGGTGGACCTCCAATTCCCGGTCTGGTATTGTTGGCCGTGGGGGCCGCCCTAAGTACCCAAGTTTCGTTAGGTAGGTACCTTAGCAAGCCATTTCAAAGTCTTCAGGGCCCGAGAAGCGGCTTGGATCAAGCAAGCCCCGAGACCCAGGGAAGTAGCATTGAGTAAGCTATATCGAATCCGGCAGGTTGCAACCTTTCCCTTTCGTCTTCGACATACCTCCTTTCAGACCACAGATATCCCATCGCTACAATGCTTCAATCCTATGTTGGCTATTTAGTCAATTCCGATACACATCTAGCCAAAAAGCAGGGAACATTGGTGCCAGACCCAAAAGACCGCATCATTTAGTAAGAAGTGGCTTGTGAACTAGTACACATAAATGAAATCCTCGTTCTCCCAGTCCGTCTTGTCATCAAACGCTTTCTGCCCAATGGTCTCATCTTCTTCGAGACTATCGTCCACATGGGTCGCAGATGCAGCCTTGATCCGTTTCATTGAGTGATCAACGATGACGGCTTTCTTACCCATCCTTTCTCTCCTTGAACCATGCTTTTTGTTGAGAATCATAAGGTAAAAGACTTGAATCGCGTACAGGCCAAGGAGGACGATAAACATTGCCAGGCTTTGTGCCACTGTCAGTCAAACACTTGATAGTCAAAACAACCTTTACTTACTTTGACCTCAAGCCTCGGTGATACAGTGGAGCTTCCCCTGTCGTGTAAAGATTTGGTCCAAGTACCTAAAGATCTCATGAGTTATTCGCTCCTTTTTCAAGGGCCGCGCGACTCACATTTCCAGCACACTGCGTTATGAAAAGTGCTCCTGTGGTGACCTGTAACGGGCATTAACTAGTGCTCAAAATATGGGAAAACCAAATTCCGCCGAGACCAACCTTTTTCTTTGTCTCCCCAGCAGTGTTGGCAGCAGACCAGGAATAAATCAAGGGCGTGATTCCGGGATATACGGAAATCTGATCAGTCACGTTAGCGAATTGCAGTCTTGATCGATTTGTTTACTCGGAAACCCCACCAGATAATATGCGGCGAGGAGCGGTCCTTTTGCCGAGACATCACGCGGCAAGTAGATCAACATGACACAACCCGCAACTGGAGGAAGACTGAGGAAGGCGAGAACCGGGGATTTCCATTTCAGAAGAGTCGCCACATATGCCCCCAGCAACGTCGCAACAAGTTGAACCGCTCCGAAAGGAATGTTGAGAAGAATGGTTTGGAAGCGGTTGAAGCCGAAGTTTTTGACGATCAAAGGCCCGAATGTCGAAATGCCGCCACTGGGGACTGATATCACGAACATCATTGCGGCCCAAAGCCAGGTCTTCAGGTCAAGGGCAGCCTCTTTCACATGCTTCCACTTCCATTCATCATTCTCAATGCCTTGGTTATTGGCCCGAAGCCTCTCGATTGCCACAAGTCTGTCATCGCCGTGGAGAAAACGGGCTGTCATGGGCGAGTCCGGGAGGAAGAACCAAACAACAGCTGAGTAGGCCACTGTTATCAGACCGAAGAACATGAAGATGATCTGATAGGATTTCAGGTGTGGGGAGTCGATATGCCCAAGGCCGTAGGTCAACAGTGAACCCAACATGTTGGTTATTCCTGATCAAGAGTCAGTTGATGGTCTTGCGGTCGGATCTATGGGAATTCTACCATTCATGGCATACCACGCTCCCAGGCGAAGTGGCTGCTCTCTTCTTCGCCACCACATCTGAGTAAGGCTGATAAATGCTGGAGCAACACCCGCTTCAAACAACCCCAAGAAGAATCGGCTTGCCAGGAGACCTGAGGTAAATATCAGTACGACAAAGTTCGGTGTACCGCAATGACAACAGTAAACACGCCACGTACCTGCAAAATTGTGCGCTGCAGGCATCACGGACAATGTGATGCCCCATAGAAGAACGATAACCGCAAGGAATTTGCCAAGAGGCATCTTGACAAGAAGATATGCGATCAAGGGCTGAGACACTAGCTGTGCCAGGTACACCACCGCTCCGAGCCATGAATATTGGTGTCCAACAAGGCCGGTATCTTCGACAAGTCCAAATACCGAAGCATATGCGAGGGTTGCTTTATCGAGCGCCTGCAGAAAATACGTCCCGAGTACAACGGGGAGGATCAAAAGATCAATTTTCCTCAGCACGCGAGCATTGTTCTCGGGAGTCAGGACGATGCTCCTGCTCGTTTGGCTCAAGAGCTCGTTGGCCTTGTCTTTGCTCTCATTCGCTTCAACATGGTCAAGTTTCGCCTCAACATGATCTATAGGGTCTTTGAACGTCGCTTCCGCCATTTCCTAGAAGTTATTCCTGGACAACCCAGATTTCTGTGAGTGCAAATGATGAAGAAGTGTGAAAAAGCCTGGCCGGTTACGAATTGACATGGCCTGGTGCAGCTTGCGATATTTATTCGCACGGTGTTGGGCATGGTTGTTTTTCTTCTCTCGAGACGGGTCCTGGTTAGCGAGCTAGCCTCAGACCACGACACCATGATCTCCGTCACCCCCAGTATCTAGGATGAGCCAACGTCCCATCCGGGGAGGAAACTATGCGGGGCAAAGTCTGGGAGTGCAGGGATCATCGGATTTCGGGAGCATCTCCGATAGCATCTCTCCCTCATCAAATAACTCCACGTTCCATGATTGGCTGGTGCGCCACGAAGGACTCGCATTTAACAGCCGAAACCCGATCAATTTCAAGGTGCTTGCAATTGCCGAGTGGACCAGGGAGCCATTTCTATCCAGTTTACGCCAATCCGGACATGGCTGATCGGATATCTAAGGAACTCAATCATCATCCCGGCGAGTCTGCACCCGTGACGGCAGTCGTCATGTTTTTACCATTATAAGCTGTCCTACCAAGGCTTCAGATTTGATAGTGGCTCAAACCGAGCTAGCATTGGCTGAGGGCAGAGAGATTTTCGGCATTGCAATGCATCTCGGCATCTCCATAAGTAGTGGAAAATACTGCTCCTCTCCTTCTCCTTCGAACATCTCATACCAAGAAGTACACCATGCCACAGCTAGAGACTGTTCTTAGAGCCTACGAGGAGGTGACCTCAAAAGTGCAAAACCCAGCACGGATTCATCTAAGGTCACAGGAATCGGGAACTCCTTTCGACTTCACATTCGAGGCCTTGCGTCCAAACTTGTTCCGGACGACATTCTCATCTACGACACACCCTCTGCCGCCATATCCCTCGGCAGCAGAACCCGCAGCTAAAATTGACCACACGAAATTAGTCGTTGACAAATCCACTTCCGGTTATGCCCTAGAGCTTGAAGATGTCGAAGTCACTTTAGAGTGGAACAATGCACCATGCGTTTCTCTCGGCTTTGTGGGATCGAAGACAAAACTTCATTCTGACCTTGACTATCGTTCGTATGTGATAGATGGCCAAGGTGTCAGTCACTACGTCCAACATGATAGGAAAGCATTGCATGTCGGTCTTGGAGAGAAGTCGGCCCCAATGGATCTTACTGCAAGAGGGTTCCAGATCTCCGCCACAGACTCCTTTGGCTATGAAGCATATGCCACCGATCCACTTTACAAGCACGTGCCATTTCTTGTCAAGGTGACTCCTGAAGGGTGCGTCGGCATGTTTTCGACCAGTCATAGCAGGGGCTCATGGGCTGTCGGATCAGAGATCGATGGTCTTTGGGGCCATTTCAAAGTCTACCGACAGGACTATGGTGGACTGGAGGAGTATCTTCTTGTTGGGCGCACGCTCAAAGACGTTGTTCGAACTTATGCCGAACTAGTTGGGTTCCCACTGCTCGGTCCACGGTGGGCATATGGCTACCTCTCGGGCGGTTATAAGTACACCATGGGAGACGACCCTCCGGCCAATGAGCAATTGATGGATTTTGCCGACAAGCTAGAGCAGCATGATATTCCATGCTCAGGCCATCAGATGAGCTCCGGTTACTCAATCGCTGAAAAGGAACCTCGCGTCCGGAACGTCTTTACCTGGAACAACCACCGCTTCCCAAACCCCGAGGAATGGATCGAGAAATACCATGCCCGGGGTATACGACTGCTGACCAATATCAAGCCTTTTGTACTAGACTCCCATCCCGATTACAAGTATTTGGTCGACAACAATGGGCTGTTCACTGATCCTCAGACTAAAAAAAATGCCGAAGCGCGGCTCTGGAGTGCGGGCGGCGGCGAGAGTGGAATTGGCGGCCATGTCGACTTTACCTCACCTGCGGCCTACGAGTGGTGGGCTCGAGGCGTGGAGAAGCTCAAAGAACAAGGCATTGATGCGATGTGGAACGACAACAATGAATACACGTTGCCAAACGACAACTGGCAACTCTCTTTACAAGCCGTCCCTGGAAGGAGGAAGGACGCCGCCGAAAACAAGGTTGGCTTGTGGGGTCGAGCCATGCAGACAGAGTTGATGGCCAAAGCCTCATACGAAGGTCTCCTCCGGGCCGAAGGGGGCATTCGACCATTTGTTTTGACAAGAAGCGCCAGCGTGGGAACGCTACGTTATGCGTGTAGCTCATGGAGCGGGGATAACATGACGAGCTGGGAAAGCATGAAAGCTTCGAATGCATTATCCATAAATGCAGGCATCAGTCTGATGCAATTTTATGGCCACGATATAGGAGGCTTTGAAGGACCCCAGCCTTCCCCCGAACTGCTTCTCCGATGGGTTCAGCTTGGGTGTCACCAAATCCGCTTTGCAATTAATTGTTTCAAGACGAGTCCTGAAGACAATCAGGCAGGCGAAGTCATTGAACCATGGCAATATCCTGACATCATTCCGAACATACGTGCCGCAATCAAACGAAGATACGAAATCATGCCATACATATATTCATTGGGACTTGAAAGTCATTTGACTGCGAGCCCTCCACAGAGATGGATCGGATGGGGCTATGAGTCTGACCCAGAGGTTTGGACAAAAGTCCTGAAGAGGGGTGAAGAGCAATATTGGTTCGGCGATACATTGCTCATCGGAGGTGTCTATGAGCCTGGAGTTGATCATGCAAAGTTATACCTGCCTCGAAAGTCTAATGATGGCGCATTTGACTTTGGCTACGTCAATCTGAACGCGCCATACGAGTATCTCGCAGCAGGCCAGTGGGTCACAATTGCATCACAATGGCGAGACAGCATCCCTGTGCTGGCAAAGATCGGTGGCGCCATCCCGACCGGAAAACAAGTGCAAACGAGAATGCCTGGTGAGCTTCGTCCGAAATGCCAGCGTCTTGAGGAGGATGACTACCGAGGTATCGAGATTTTCCCGCCACAAGGCAGCTCGCATGATAGGATATTCTCCACTACCTGGTATGAGGACGATGGGCAATCTGCGCAACCGAAAATCTCGTCCTGGACCGTGTCTTACAGCTCTACTAAGGAGAAAATCATCGTAGCACTGAAATCAGACGCAGGCAATGTCTTCATCCCGCCGTGGACAGAAGTTGTCTTCATTCTGCCACACCGAGACTCAAGATACATTGAGTCAGCTGGTGGATCGATCTTGGAATGTGTTGATTCGAGTTCTGGGAGAGTCCAGTATAAGATGCTGGTGCCGGAACATGCAAGTCGACCTATCTCCAACGGGCATCCCTGAAATTCACCCAGGTGTCAGCATCAGCGTCGATGTGGACTCAAGTCAAACAGTGACTGAACTTAAGTGCCTGGATAAGCATATCAAACGCTCTACACTTCCGGTACCAGTCTTAATACTAGTGATCCAACTCTCAAATTTTCGAGGTAGTCTGTGATGCATATGTGAGTAGAGAGTCAGGAGTCATGGGTTGGTTACACCCGATAACACTCGATTTCACCAACGAAGCCTGTAAAATTAGGGAGCGATCGCTTAGAGAACGCGAGACATCTACGTACAAAAGTGATTGCAACAAGTGCAAAGCCAGAGCAACAGGTCCGATAAAGACCTGCCTTTTTCACACCTTCCAGTTTCCCTCCAGTGCTCACGGGGCCATGAGTGTAAGATACACTCACCCAGTAATAGAGCTTCAATTTCCTCCTGGTTGTGCACCGCACCGGGTGCAAAACGCCGAAGTGAGTCTCGTACCACAGTTCCCGCAGAACTCTCCAACATTGTTATTCGCCGGCCCTTTGACTCCTTCCATCACGGGCTGATTCTGCCGGTTGCTCCCTTCCATCATCAACGTCGGTCCACCACCAGGCGCATTTTTCTTTCGCTTGACAATGTAAAAAGTCAAGACAGCAACCCATGCGATGAAAATAATGCTCGCAATGCTAATCATTGCGTAACTTCCTTGTCTGAGTGGGACACACTCGGACCAAGTGGTGCTGGGTTTGGCCCAGCAATTGTTGAAGGCACCATACAGGGCTCCACCGATGATATAAAAAACAAGCCAAGCGATGCCGAGGCCCACTGGCCACCAGGGACTAAGTGCATTGGAGTTGATACCAAGATATGAAGTAGCTGGTGCATTGGAAGATGTGTTTACCCGCTCCATGGTGGCTATAGTGGATTGTCTGCAGTCCGAGGTTGGCGAAAAGCAGAAGATGCGTCTTGATAGAGCGTGCGGTAGACTGGTAGAAATTGGTGCATATAATGGTAGGCAGCTTGTGCAACGTAATAGAGACGGACAACAGGTGTGCTCACGGTCCGAGGAGTGTTATCGACAGGAGCGAGGAGTCGATAAACGATTCCTTTTCAGAGTATTAGACTATCAGCACTCTCGAAAAGGAAGAGCAAAGATCTAAATTGTGGAAGGCCTAGGGCGCCCATCCTTTCTGGTTGTCAGTCCGAGACTGGATTATGACTGATCATGTGAAGGATTGTGTAGGTTTTGAGACCCCTGCTCAATGTGCCAGAGCTGATATACTCGTACTTCGCAAAAACTGCCTAGGCCCCAGACCAGTCAAAGGAAACCCTGGAGTGTCTAAAGCTCACCCTCGATTGGGCGTCCTGTCCCCTCCTTCGTATCTCCTCACTGTAGCTTGCGATCCTGGCAATCAGTGAGGCTGAGAAACGCCCGCTCTAAAATTTGGAATACAAACACTTGTTCGACACGCAGACTTGTGCAAAGCCATCGCAATTCAGCATCCGAGGTTCTGCAGTAGTGTGTGAAGCTCATCAATCATCCAATGATGACTTTTTCCGGTGCACAGGGACCTTGTCAGTTGCCTCTCTTCTTTGATTTTTCTTTCAAGCCTGTTCCGAAAACAGTATCCTGGTAAAGTGGAACCCCTCGGAGGCGAAGCCAGATTGGCTGATATAGAGTCCACCTCGAGTCCTTCGCAGCCCCATTCACAAATGTTCTAGGAAGTAAACCTTCGCTAGTTTGTACTCGTACATGCATGGCGCTCATTGTCAATCTATCAAACATGTCGTAAACCTGAATCTCTATGGTCAGCGTTTCAGACAGTACGTATACCCTCGTATTGGTTTGTGGTGGCAGAAATCGAAACCGTAAGGCTGTCTGGGTATTTCTTGTCATGGCTAGTTGTGGCGTCCCTGGGCTTTAAATTTACCTCACGCCTCTTCTAGACACGCTTAGAATTGTAACTACTCACAGATACGAGAGTTGTTTGGAAAAGAAGTCGGCCAATGCAAGTGCTTCCTAGAGGAAACTCGTGAACCGAATTCCTCAAGTTTCTTTTTCAAGCTATACACCAATTTGCAAAGTGCTCAATTACGTATTTGATGTCTCAGAATCAGTTATTGGTACATAGCAGAGGGCTGACCTCTGCCAATAAGGAAACCCTGCGGCTTGGTTGCGTAGCCCTGGTTAGAGCTAGAATCGATACAGTCCAAATTCGTCACCAGGTCTTTCTCTTTCCCGAGCAGGCTCTTGCTGTTTCGTGGAGTTTGTCCAGCGGACACTGATATCATCATGCTTCTTACTCAATGCTCCATTCCTCCCCAAAACCTGAAACTTCAGGTCCGCGGATCCGACGAGCACCTGAACATCAAACTCTGCTCGATAATATTTTGGCTTGAAATTATACCAGTGCCGGTTCTTGAGCTTTAAGTCCCAGTAATCTGGAACCGACTCGAGAGCACAAACCGTTGTTGCACCATCCATCCGCATACTGGTGGGTAGACTGTGAACAGGAAGAGCCGACATGACAATTTGGGTCTTCCAAGGCAATTGCTCTCGACCTGGATCCAATTTGAGTCTATAGTGCTGCTTGATGCCCTGTTTGACGGATACTTTGTCTCCCTATTTTGGTATTAGTACCAAGATCATTGAATATGTGAAGAAAGCCGTAATGGAACCCACTTGTTTAATAAACCAATCAATTTGCTGCTCAGCCCATCTTCTTTTGTCTCGTGGATCTTCGGAAACTGGCTCCCCTTGATGGAACATCGGATTGTAAGGATGACGCGCAACCACGCCGTAGGAGCTACGACAACATCTTTCCACATAAACGTTTCTGTCCGAGATAATTTCTTGTACTCTATCCATCACGAGGCCTCGGACGACAGCAAGCTGAGGCTTGTCGGCTTTCAAAATCGTCAGGTTTTGTGTGTTGACGGATCCATGGGCTCCGAGTTCAAAGTGTGACTTGAGTCTCTGGTAAAGGTATGGTGAGCTCCCAAGGCCGCCTGATAGAACCAAATAATTTATTGTCTCCGTTGGATGATTATGTTGCAATGTCTGGAGTTGTTCTTCGAGAAGGCGCACAATTCTTGAGACTTGTTGGTCAAAAATCTTCTCTAAGTCCTCTTTTGAGATTACCATCATCGAGTTCTCTATATGAGCATCAGGATCATCGAACCCAGGAGGAAGACAAGAGATCGGAAGTGTCAAATAGAGTTGGCTAAATGATTCACTCCCATAGTTGCGTTTGAAGGTCTCGAAACGTGAGCTTTCTCGCATTGTATTACGAGCAATATTGTCTGGACCATCAGGTAGCTTGTGATGGATACGTCTCAGACGCTCTCTCATCAGAATCTCGACTTTGAAATCAATCAGAGTTGAACCGATAGGCTGCCCTTCTACCCAGGATAGAGGCTCGAGTTCTGTTTGTCCATCCTCCTGAGCTGCAACTTTCAGGACATTTACATCAGTCGTTCCACCTCCAGCATCACAAATGAGGAAGACATCTCCCTTCTGGTACTGGTGCTTTGAAGCGTACACGGCAGCTGCTTCTGCCTCTGTGAGAGTAATTCGGGCTGTGTGGTGTACTTCACTTCCAAACCCGGCCTGTCTGATGAGCAACTCGTGTTCTGCAACCATTGCTGGATCTTTCCATGTGGTGGGGACACTGAAACAGAACTCGATCTTTCGTGATTGAACTCTTGGAATAGTTTCCTTCAGATGCTTCATCACTTCCTTGTACAGACAGCTGAGAAAATCCCTAAACCACTTGCGCGCTTCTTCAAGGCTGGGGGCATCTATTTGAGATGCATTGAATTCTGGATCGAGATATAATTTGAATAGCTCCGTATATTTGTGGTGGCGTATGGTAAAGTCTGCAAAGAAGCCCCATGCGGCTAATTGGCCTGATCTGAGATCATACGAGATCTTCGAGTCAACTTTGTCGGCAACTGTCCCTCTTGTATTTCCTGGCCAGCTCTGAATGACTTCTGGACGTGCCCATTCTGGTGCAACTGAGTACGCGACCCCAGTACCTGCCACAGAGTCAATCTTCTGGTGCTTAAAAAATTGATATTGAATACACACCGGTCATACCAAAGTCCACGCCGACGATAATGTCCGGTTTAAGCGCCATGTTAATGAAGATTTTGGCCGTCGACCACACTGAGAGAATCAAAAGAATTCCGCCATACTCAAGGACAATTTTGATTGACAGAATTCGATCAGATTTCTAACGTCTTCGTCCGAGGTAGATTGAAGCTCAGGTTGTTAGTCCTGATAGTGACTGGCGTAATTTCAGTGCTGGGCACTAGGGTGTTTACTGCGTAGAAACGAGCACGCGAAATCGCGGTGGCTGGAAACAGGAATCATTTCGATCCTCATGTTCGTGTTACAAGCTGCAATGCCTGATTAGGCTGGCGGTTAGACAGTCGAGGACTACTCATTGTTTGCAATCCACCCCCGCAACCGCTATCAAGCCATAAACTGTCTGTAAAACCGTACATATTTCTCTCAGGCAGTTCAAGTTGCTCTATTTTTGCACGTTCCAGGAAATATCTACTCGAGAAGAACCAGTCACGGAAAGCGACAGCATGGCAACCACTATTATCATTACCTCCACCCTCACTTCTTCGCTTCTATATCCAACTACAATAGACAACTCCGTGACTAATTTAACAATAAGTATCATCGAGTTCAACATTCCCAACACTCCAAATCCTGAAGGCTCGAGTGCTATCACTTCTTCACCAACAGTACCGTCGATATCAACAGTTTTCCAAACAACCACTGCCAGTGCGCCACCCTGCCCGCAAACCTCACCTGCCAAGAGTTGTCCTTCAGTGTCTGGTCCCATTGCCGGGGCCGCAGTTGGAAGTCTGGTTGGGGGAGCACTGATTGCTGTTCTTCTCGGGTTCATCATCATGAGCTCTCGGAACCGAAGTGGACGGCGCAAGAGGTCCACTCGCTTGGAGAAAGTATCTCCGCCGAATGAGCCGAAAGAAAACCAACCTGACACAAGTATTGCGGCATGGGAGAAACATCTACCGCAGCCGGAAGCTGACAGCGACCTTCGTTCGGCCGTCTCTGCTCTGTTTGATCAGATTGAAATGCACGTCGAACAATACTATCAGGATGTTGCTGTCAAGGTCGACGCTTCGATGAAACCAGATATCGCACAATTTGACTCAGGCCTGTACCAAGTTTCAATATTGGATTCACTGGCATCAACGCGTCGTCCAACGACGCTCATCAAGCACACAATTGCTTACTTCATGGTCTCCAGTATCTCTGTGGATAGTGATTCAGCCGTTTCTTTCTTGCCCGCAGCCTTCACTGCCTTACCCCAGTCAATGAAAGGTGCGACCAGGACAGGGACGCATTCTGGTACGTGTCAACACATCATTCAGATCGTTGGCTAATCTGGGAAAAGCGGTCTTTGGTGCTGCATATTGCAAGTGGCGTGTTTTGACTGCCTACCTGAATCCTAAGCTAGAGAACGATTCAGCCTACCTAGTCGCTCGAGATAAAGCGATTACCACCGCAGCAGATAAGTTCTATCGCGCATTCTCCCCCTGGGCTCGCGACAGAGAAGGAACCCGGCGCAGCAACCTAGTCAGTATCATGAAAGTGGCAGCTGAACTTGGTGTGACCATCTTCTCCCAGCCTTCAACTCTGGTCTGGGATTGGCGTCTGTCTCGTCATGGGGAGCAGTCCCATGGTGGAATGAGGCTCGTATTACGCCCCGGCCTAGTTCGGACGACGGCTGTCCAGGGCCGACCCCTGGAAACGCCACAAGTGATAGCTCCACCATTAGCGTGCGTCTTGGATACGAAGTAGGTTTTTGGCTGGGCTCAGGAGGAGTAACTCTCGGAAGACCACAGCCGCATCCGTATTTTGATCTGTTCGGCAGGTAAACCGTAGAGAGGGTGGCCAGAATTGGTGGAGTAACCAGCTTGGGTCTCGTATTGATGGCGATGTTTGAGGATCGTAATCTGGGGGTTGACGATCTGCATGGGAGGTGATAATCGAAGTTGCGTTTCTTTTAAACGAGAGCCACCCTGACCTAGCAGCAGCAGCGCTACCAGGTCGATACGAGGACATAACACTTCTTAGTAATTACCAAACACCGAGTAAGGTGTGCTGCGCGTTGTCGGAAAATATTCGAGGTACTCCGTAAGCATGGTAAGGAAACCTTGATCATGGTGGTCAAGATATCCTCGGGTGATTTAGTCTCTTTCCAAACATCGTTGCTGGTCTCAGTCTGTCCCTCACACGCTCTCACGACGTCTCGGAAACTCAGGAACTAGCATTCGTTTTCTAGCTTTAGCATATTCCATCGTGAGTTACTGGGCTAATCCGCCGCCTATCCGCGTGTAGGAGGTTCTATCGAAATAGTTCAAAGGCTCTGGCAGGGCCGAAAGTGGCATATTTATCTGGGGGCTTTCTCCTCCGATACAGATTTCCTGTGAAGATAACAATGGCAGATCCTTTCTCAACGGTTTCTGCCGTTTCCTCCGGTTTTACGACCTCCCTTCGGATATTCCAGATCATATACGAGATTCAAGCTGTCGGAGAACAAACGCGAGATCTGCTGGAGACTACGAAGTTGGTCACAGAAACAATCACGCAGGTCAAGAAACTGCGTCATCAAAAGTCTTGCCTACTCAATGATACCGAAAAAGTCTACATTGACAATTGCATCTCTGCATCGGAGAACGCGGTCAAAGATGTAGCCATCCTCGCAGAACGGTCGCGCGCCGATATGGTGACCAGACAGGGTCGTACTAAGGATATTTCGTTCAAGAGTCGAGCACTATATGTGCTCAAAGATTCGCCCAAGGTTCCCACGAATATTAATAGAATGTCAATTGCTACCCAGGGCCTCAATGCTTCCATGGGCATTCTCTGCAGCCGAACTGGCCCTATCAAAGCAAACTTGTATCGAAGTCACAGCAGCGCAGTCGATAGACGATCTTCCACTCTCAAACCACCCCCGCCCTATGAGCTTGTTGAATTCCTTCAGCGGCGAACTAAGTCTGATCCTGAGCAGTTGCATGAGTTCGCAAGAACTGGGGAATCATTGGCAGGAGAAGTTGAAAAGACCCCGACTACACATCATCATGAACATGTGATCGAAGATATCACGACACAGGCGAGATATAAGCAAGTTGTATGTCCTTCTGATTACCACAGTGCTCCACAAGTCCATGAGGAGTCCCTGGGAGGGCCCACGTTATCTCTCGCAGGAGTAGAGGAAGGCGCCTCGAACTGCAGGAGCCCCGAGATTTTGGCCATCCCAAGGCATGGATATTCAGGCTTGCCAGCAAGAACTTCTGAAACACCATTTGAGACTCGTGCGACGGCCGCTGAAATACTAAAACCCATCCCACCACCAATTCCTCCAAGACCGAAAGGCTTCCAGGCCAGGGTGATTGACCCTTTTTTCAATACGTCAAACTTACAATATCAAGGAATGCCTGACTGCTCGCCCAACCAGATGCGAAAAGCCCAATGTCGATATGAATTGGGAACCACGGCACCTCAACGCAAACCGCCTCCAACGCCGCCAGACACGACGACTCTTGCTGAGTTATCCTCCATCACAATACAACACTCACAAGAGACAAACCCATCCGCTAGATCGATGCAACCGAACTGCTATGAATTAGACTCAAATGCGGGAACCGGTGTGGACTTCATCGTGCAAGCAACTACAAAGTCTCCTCCAGCCACTAGTTACTTGCTAGATATGCGCTCCTCGCAGTCATTCCTGTCTGCTGAACTGTCCGCGGCTTCGTCATCCGTGTTGACCCCAAGTTTCGAGGTACCTGCAGAATACATTGACGATACATATATCCAATCGTTCAGCAGCTCTCCGGCTCCGACCCCGCAGCGGCAATTATCCCACGGCCGCAGATGGTTAGAAGATCATGCTTTGTGATATGTCGCTATGCCAAGAATGAGCTTCGAGCGGTTTTAGAAGGACATGCTACATATTTGTCTGATGTTCGCATGATATCTAAACGAAGGGTATCGATGCCTGGCGATAGGGAGTTCGTTACAGGAAGGGGCGCTCCAGCCAGGGGTGAGGAGCTTGTACGGCCCACCTATGAATCTCGCTCATCATTTGCCCCTCGTTCGCTTTGAATGAAAACCAACAATGAATCGATGAACTAAGTTGGCGCATATAGCCCTTAAGGCTCATGTAACAGAATGACACTTTGTAGCTATGAAATTGTGCAGATCTAGGCTTGCCAGCCCCCAAACGATCATAAACAGTGGACAAAAGTTAGAGTCTTCTTCTGTAGGATGTCTGCTTTTTGATGTACTCCTCTTTCTGGTTTTCCGCCAGCAAACCTCATGAAACTACCAAGGTTGTTATGTCCGAGCTGTGGAACCCCTTTTTTTCAACTACAGATAGGGCCTACAAGTGCTGTACACGTTGGAGAACAGTTTCTTATCAAGGCTGGGGCTCAACTGACGAGGTTCAATGCAGTACATGAAAGTTAAAGGATTTTGGTCCTAGCGTCGTTTAGTTAGATGTCCCCTGAACAAGGGTTCTCGATCATCATGCCACACTGTGAACTTTAGGGTGTCTTGAGAAAGAACGGTGCACAAGGTAGCAATTGTTGTGGATTCGATACACGAGATGCCTAAATTTCTTGCGCATTGTAGCGAACGAGGCTGTGCATCCCTTCGGGGTTCCGGCTTCCCGCATTTGGCCAATTCCGCGAGGTATCTTTGATTTCAGCTTGTGTGTTATCTACCGAGGTAGATAAACGAGATCCATTGGTCGAAAATTCAAGGCGAGGCTGATGAAATGCTTGCGGATCGACATACAGAAGTACGAAAGCCTTCAGCAGCATACCAGTGCATGGCCATCTGTTTGCATCCATTCCAGCAGCACAGGTTCAGGCGTCCAAGCTGGGAACATCAGACTCGTACCTTGGTAGATACTTGCAGTTTACGAGGTACGGTGAAGTACCAAGATGTGCCTATGAATACCAAGGATTTTTGGTATACGAGTACGAGTAGGTGAGCACGAACTGGTATCCCATAATTAACTACACATCGCGCTTATGCTACCGAAAACATGGAGGAAACAAGTCCTTGGCTGAAGCTTGAAATTCTCGCAGCCGCTGGCTGCCTGATCAGTATCCATTTAATGGTGGGTTGTGATAGGCTTAACAACCTCGGTGCCAACCTCGCTAGGCATCGCTCCTATCTCTGGCCCGGCTTAGTTATCTGGGTTTTGTGGCTGAGCCCTTCATATGCTCGTCGCAGGTCAATAGTTCGGGTTCGGTTTGAAGTTGTGTTTGGAAACAACTGCGTGAATTCAGCTGTTAAGCATGACACCGCCCGGAGACTCGAACAAATAACGAGCGACTCCTACTAAACATTTACTTCGACCGTCAATAACAATGGAACATCTGTGTTAAGAGTTTGCGCCACGTTTGACTTTATGAGATAGACCGAGAAACTTCCTCGAGTTTGAAAAACAGATGGGTAATCAGGAACGTGAGAAGCATGATCATGGAACGCAAAGCCCATTTAGAAACGAAAGGCAGCAAGATCGCCCTTATTATGATTACCAACAAGCAGGCGGCCAGGACGTAGGCTGCGTCACACAAGAACGACATCACTACGAGAGTACGGTGTCTTCTGGATCACGACCATCATTCAATCCATCACAGCAGTCATGGAGTCCATACCCGGATGACCCGCCAGCGTATGGTGCTGAAACCCCAGCATCTCTGCCGCACGCCATAGAGAGGATACCAACTATCCAACCTACGTTTCGCGAAGTACCACTTGAGAAATTGATTGCAATTCCATCTGCCACTTCCAAAAGAGCATCGCAATTCTTGAGAGCTTACTCACCCTCACTGGCGTCCTTCGCGATTTCAGAGGCCGAGTTCCTGCAATTCCTCGACACCTTGAATGATGTATGCAAGACATCACCACCACTAGAAGTACTCTCGATTGTGGGAAGCATCGTTGGACTAGTCCCGCTCGCCACAGCACAGATCGCCGGCACGGCGGTAAACATAGCCGCAGATGTGGGTGCCGGTGCTCTGACGTATGGCAGGAGCGAGATGGAATTGCGAAAGGCCAACAAAGAGCTCTTTGTGCCACGAGGCTTGAAAGTCGAGATTGCTAAGCTCGATGCCGTGGCGCGACTGGCAGGAATACCGATACTCGACGACAGCGGGAAGTTCAACAAGAAAGTGCAATTGCTCGGGTCGATCGATGAGGTGGACCTCGATATCAGCACCACACAACGACGACTTGACGCCATGCAGCCGTGGATCGCACCCCTTGAGATTCATGGCCCACGGGCTTCAGTCACACCCCAAAACAAACTAAGTCAATTGAATACGAGTCTCGACGAGAAGATCAAGATGAGGAAGGAACAGAAAATGCTCTCCAAGCGACGAGAAGTGCTGCAAGACTATGATGACGACTCTAAAAAAGTCCAGTCCAAAGTCGAGAGAGACACGCGCAGGGCTGAAGAGGACTTGGCCAAAGAGATGGAGAAGATCCAGAGAGAAATTGATCGGGCCGAGTTAAAAGCTGATCGCAAGCCTGAAAAACAGCAGGAGAAGATCGAAAAGCTACGACGGAAGATGAACGAGGCTGTTGATGAGAAGGACAAGGAACTTGCCAAAATCAACCGTGGTTATGACAAGGAAGTAGGAAATCTGGAGAAGGATAAACTCAAAGGCGATAAGGAGCAAAAGAAAATGCGGGAGATATTATGGCTGATCATTCGGAAGGCCGATAAGCGGGAGAACACCATGCAGGACTTCATCGTCAGGCATTTATGATGTTGATGGAGAAAGTGATTTTTCAAGAAACAGCCCATACAAAACATCTAGAAACATTGTGGGACAACAGGCATTGTTTGGTCATTGAAATCCCCACATATTGTTGACAATATTGAAGCATATAGTAGCCTCAACACTAGCCAGATTGTGCTGCCATAAGTAATAAAACTTGTAGACCATGTAATTGTATATTGTGGATGATCACGATCACATCGTTGTAGCGGGAGAGTGAAACATTCCTCGGTGCCGAAGGTTGTTCGAAAAAGGGTATCTGGTTTAGCTGTATGAATTCCCTTTCAAATAGAGCAAGACGACCAGTGAGTAGACCAAGGTAGATAGGTTCACAGGCCCTTAGGTTGGTACTATTCCAACTATAGGCTCTGAACGAAGCACTTCGCGCCCGAACTTATTACGTTACAGAAATCTATGCGTTCATTTTCCCGGCGAAAGACGTGCTCTTTTTCACTAGGTTGTTTTCAAGCAAGCATCCCTCTCTCCATTCGGAACTTATCGTATCTCAGCACTGCTCCGAGTAGCACCTGCGCACCAAGCGCACAATCTTCAGGACTGCAGTACTCACTTGGCGTGTGTGATAGTCCTTCTCTCGTTGGCGTAAATATCATGCCAGTCGGACATCTTCGACTGGTGTGGAAGCTGTCATGCCCCGCTCCACTGACCATATGTTTCCACAGTTTCCCGTCGTTCGCAGTCTTCGGTAGATCTACGAGAGCATCTTCTGCGGCGGATTCGATCACACTAATGCAGTCGTGATGAAATGTAACTGCTGGATTAGCGGCGAGCTGTTGCCATTCCACCAAAACCCCTGCCTCGCTGTCTTCTGCGGCGATCCTTCGAAATGTCGTCAAGCACTCGTCTTCGATGTTAGCGAGCTCGCTATCTAAATGATGGCGCATATCAAGCGTGAATCGCGTAGTGCAAGCCGTGGTGTTGATGCTTCCAGGCTCCGTCTCGACAAGGCCCGTTGTGATCAACCCGGAATGCGCCTTTGCGATCTTGTTCGACTCGACGATCATTTTTGCAGCGGCCAGAACGGAGTCTTTTCTTGCCTCCATTGGAGTTGATCCAGCGTGGCTGTCTCTACCCTTGATGCTCACTTCGAACCATTTGTAAGCTTGTCCGCCGCTGACAACTCCGATCTTACGCCTCTCATGCTCCAGAACCGGACCTTGTTCGATATGGAGCTCAAAATGTGCGGCGATAGGCTGGGATTCGTATGATGCGGGAGTAACGCCCAAAAAGCCGATCCGTTCCAATTCTTCTTTCATGGTGTAACGATTGCCATCCTGACTTGGCGTAATTTCCAGACAGTTCCAAGCCAAGTCCAAGGGTATATGCCCCGACCACACTCCTGAAGAAACGGTGATAATCGGGAATCTGGCACCCTCCTCACTGTACAGATACTGCATCAGGATGTGCACTTGGAAGACCTCGAGGTGAGACTCACTTGGTCCAGTTGACAACACCAATGCTTCCTTCACTCTGATAGTCATTTTCATACAGCGTTCTCAAAACCTCCAGACCAGCCACAACGCCGAGTATCCCATCATACCTTCCCCCGGTGGGCTGTGTGTCCAAGTGCGAGCCCATCATGATGGGCGGTGCTGTTGAGTTCTTCCCGGGGCGGACCGCAAAGATGTTGCCCATCTGGTCGATTGTGATTTTGCAGCCCAGAGACTCTGCTTCTTGTACGAACCACTGTCGTACAGCCTTGTCAGCATTGCTGAGAGCTAGACGCGCCATGCCGGTTTCTGTCTCGTGTCTGAGAACACTTCAGTATGATGACATGGATGACAAGACAAATTTTCACCTTACGATCCATAGGAGTGTGCCTTTCCAAATTCACAGGAATGATGGAGTGAAGCCATCAATCTGCTGCCATTGATCTTCAGAGAAATTAAATCATTTGCAGAAGCCGTGCCTGAGTTTGTGCCTTGGAAGGCTTCCTTCTGCTCCTGAGAAAGCAGCATTGTGAATGATCGTACTGTCTGTCGTAGAACCGGAGATAGGTATTGGATATTTTATTATGTGCTGTACTTGGGACAGAGGTTCAGATCGACCTGGCTTAAAAAGAATATTTTTTGCATCATGAAATGGGCCCTAGCCACATGTTTGCTGCAGCTTTGACACAAGCATAGTCCGCGCATAGGGCGGCGAATCTAGATCTTACAGTATCAGAGTGGACCAACGGGCATCGCCCGAGGCTACCAGACAAGATCCATTGACGGTCATTGACGCTGTGGCAAGGCCATGGCAAGGCTGTAAAAATGGTGTAACGACGCTGGTAGTTGGTAACGTGTAATTACACTTGGCCGTCGGGCGACGTTACCACTTCAGCCAATTCGGCCAAATAACTCGTAAGTTATCGTATCAATTGCGGCCGTCTAGTTTCGTTGGCCTTCAAGGTTAATCACGGCTTGACCGTGAGAACTCAGTCTTGGTTACCAAGGGCTGTCAGTCCATTATGCTCTTCAAAGCTATATAGGGCTTCGGAAGACTTCTCATGGTGTTGATGGGTTTCTTGATCGGATATAACGCGAGCAGCGACAGAACTCAGCATTACGAAGCCGGCCTCGCGAGAATGTGATGGGCAACATGAGTTGGGCAGCGAAAACAGAGCGAAAAATAGCACCACCTGTCACGCTTATGAGAGTATCTACAGACGCTGTCCAACATGACAGGCCCAAGGGCACCCCCGTATTCAATAAACATTGGTTAGCCACCTGCCGGGGGGTTAAGTGTTTATTAGCCACCTTGGTAGGTATCTAGGTAGAGATATTCAAGCGGTCATTACATTCCTTGGCGAGCGATGAATGGATACGCTCGTCCCTTTTAGTATATCAAAACCTGATAAGGACACGCCGTTGTTTTTAAGCAAATTTCTAACCGTCCTTCTGCCTACCAGGTCCCATCGGTATGCATCCAGCCGGGTCACATTTTCTCTATGGGCCGCAAGCCCGAAAATATCGATCAAAACGGCAAAGACCATGCGATTTGTGCCGCCAGCGCAAAACGCAATGCAAGATCCCGGGCTCTGGAGGGGCGTGTGAGCTCTGCGACAAACTCGGACGCAACTGCACATTTATCTTGCAGCCTCTGAGGAAGGAAAGAGGGCCTCCAGAATCTCGGTCACATTCAGCGCAGCTTCAAACGTCACATCCTCCAGAATTTCCATCGACGGTGCAGCACCATGACTCTCAATCTGATTTCGATGCCCACCAAGGCGATCCGATGCACATTGATGTCAGCGCGTTTGAAACTGATGATCTGGAGTTCGGCATTGATGCCAATCCGGAGACTTTGCCACTTGTATCCGACCGGCTATCTTTTCCGGGTCAGGAGCTACCCGACCCACAAGCTGGAGGAGCTATCGATTGGTCATACCTCAACTTTCCCATTTGTACGTAGATTTGTTATTCTTCAGATGTTATTCTTCAGATGTTCATGACTGATTCATACGACCATACCCAGCTCCCCTGGGGAATCATTCCACCTCTCCACGACTATTGTCTGCAGTCAGTGATGGCTCGCCTCAGGCATTTCGACTGGACCACATCTCGCCAGTTGCAAGTGAACGACATGAGCAACGTAATGGGCCAGTGATTGCCACCGACTCGAGCGACGACGTGCTCGAAAACTCAACACACAACGAACTGGAAGCACCAAGGATTGGAGAGTGGTCTAGCGACTTCTCTCTTGATGAACGCCCTGGCTATTCCTCCCAGCTTATCGGCTTGTCCGGCGAGACTGATCCCTTCCTTCTACGACACTATCAGTATGATGCACGGGACACATTTCGGATGTTCGCACTGGATTTTCGGAAAGTTACAGATGATGGGAATATGCTGGGGCATGCTGCATTGCCTCAATCATCCCAGATTCCCTCCAGTGACGTACCAATCCAATTCGTCATGACTGATGAAAAGATATGCAACGACGATGTCAAAATCATGGACAAGGATTTTGCAGGTTCCAGCACTGAAGCTGAAGATTATGCATTGTTGTACAAGATCGTACCCATTGACTTGGGCTCAAGACTCCTCAAACTGTGAGTCATTGTCCAATGTGGGGCCAACAGCCTGGAGCTGACTCGTGAAGTTTCTTTAAGTTCATACAACCTTCATATCCGGTTCTTTCGTCGCACGATCATAATGGCGAGTATCGAGATTGTAAATGTTCAACGGGTTTGAGAGCAGCAGTCTACGCACTGGCCGCGCCATATTACTTCCTCGATGATTATCTTTCTGTGGACAGAGGCTACCAGCAGCCTCCTACAGAGGAGCTATGGGGTATTGCTCACCGCGGATTTCAGCGTGATTCCCGAAAGCCTCATCTGGCGCTTGTGCAGCTTGGCCTACTGTTTTTACATCGGCCTCCTCAGAATTACGCCGTTGCGGATGTCCCAAGTTCATGGGCCACAGCTTGTTTGGTCCTGGCTGCAGCGGAGACACTCGGGCTAAATTTGGACCCTTCACATTGGAAACTGCCTCCATATGAAATCAGGTTACGGAAGAGACTGTGGTGGCTTGTCCACGTTGAGCATACCTGGCGTGCACTGGTCCTAGGACGGCCATCGCATATTACCGACTCAAATTGGGATGTCTCTGGGCTGACTGCAGATGATTTCGACCTTGATGACATTGCGGACCCAGAAACTCGCAACTGTGTCCAAGCACAAAGCCCCTTTTTCATGGCACTTTGCAGCCTGTCCACGATTGCTAATAAAGTGCTTGACGCTCTTTAGTGGGTGACCCTCAAACTTTTGTCTTACCCCATAACTTATTCTGCCTTATTAACTCAACGCGCGTAGTTCCATCAAGTCAATCCGAGATGCTACCAGCGTGGAGGCTCTGCTAGGACGCGCACGTCCCTTGAGGATGCTAATGCAACAATGGCGAGACGACCTGCCTCCGGTCGTCTTAAAACCCACCAAAGAGCTGGTGGAGGACGATGCGCTCGACAACTGCGGTCCCCTTCGTTTGACATATTTAACCCTTGAACTACTGGTCTTCCGAGCACTCCTTCGTCCACTGGCCTTTCAACCTGGAACAGGTGAGCAGGAAATGTCCGAACCGCGTTCTACTATCCTCCAGAATAGTCAATCATGTGCCAAACTCATTCTGGAGTTGGTTACGGCTCTCAAAGCAAATCACTTTGTCAATTTCTGGCCATCATGTAAGTAGTGCCTCGTCTTGTGCGACTCTATGATGAACAATAGTCCTGCCCTTGTTGACGTAATAGTCTTTCCCATTATGCTGACTGTCAGTCCTGAAGACACACGATATCAACTGTCCTATATGACAAATTTCGTCTTGCTCCTCTTTGTGCAGTCGCCGTCAATGGCTGTGGCCAAAGAGAACAAGATGCTACTGGACAAATGGCGGATCACTGTCCGGATGCAGTCACGAGCTTGGCCTGTTCTGAAGCTGGCAGTCATGAGACTTGATGCTGTTTTCTGGAAGGGACTTGATCATATTGTGACTTGTGCTGGAAAGGACAGTCCCGCGATGTTGCTACTCAAAGGACCACCCGAGAATTAAAATTGGCTGTCAACGTTGAAGAAGAGGCCAAGAAGAAGACCTTTCGCATGGACTCGTCCCAAGCCCGGCGCCGTTTTCACGAGTCTCCGTGAGCTTCGAGCAGGTATTCACTCTCCACCAGTCCAACTTGTGAGCGAGCAACTTGAGGGTATCAATGTTGATGCTCGAAGTATTTGTCGGGCTTCCCGGCTGCTGAGTGTTTATAATTTGCCAGGAACATGAATAATGATCCTCGTAATTCTAAACCTGATTTTGCTGTCTCAGAAAAGCGGATATTGATAGTAAAAACTATGTGGTTATGATTCACAGCTATACTGTCTCATACATGATACATGCTAGAGGAGACATGCGAAGGGGTTGTATATCCCTATGCTTCACGCATGCAGAGAGCATGAATAGTGTGGAAGGCGCAAGATGATCAACGAATCTAGTTCCTTGATTTCTAAATGCCTAAGGCTCGAGAGAGATTCTTGCGATAACACGCTCTCCAATGATAGCCATATTATGTCTTTCATAGTGCTTGCGATACCCGCAAGAGATCGCAGCCCAACGACTGCCAACCAAACACAGATGCCCCGGATAATCACTAACACTTCTCTCCATGCTCCACCTTTCTGAAGACGACCGAACAGGTGTCGTTGACGGGCGTGATCATGTAATAGTCCTTGAAATCCATATTCTCTGATGCAGGCAACACAGTTGGCTTGCTTGTCTCATAGGTCTTATACAAGTGGCTGATGGCCACCTTGATGGTGACCATGGCAATGTTCTGGCCGATACAGCCTCTCGTGCCCTTTCCGAAGGCCATCCAAGCCGTCTTGGCACTAGCAGTTGGCTCGTTCCAGCGCTCGGGCACAAATTCCAAATTTCGCTCAAAGTACTCTTCCTGACGGTGCATGCTGTACGGTTGGGCTGAGATGACGGTCGAAGCCGGGATGAATCTATCCAAGAGCGTGACTCCGCTGGCAGGCACGATACGTGGCTCCGAAGCTGGGATGGACGAATACAATCGCAACGTCTCCAGTACGACACCATGCAGATAAGGCAGCTTGTCGACTGCGGCGAAGTCGTCCAAGTCGACATTTTTGAGCTCCTCGTGAAGCTTGGTTTGTTGCTCTGGATTTTTGGAGAGGTGGTCAACCATGAACGTGAGTGTGGTGCCTGTTGTCTCGTGTCCAGCCCCCATGTGGTCCATGACTTCTGCAGAGATCTGCTCGCGCGATAGATCCGACTTCAGAAGTTTGGTTAAAAGGTGCGATTTTTCCGGGTCACACCGGTCCATCCATTTGTGTGTCATATCGTTGATGAACTGCTCTGCTGCCGCCGCATCTCTCCAGCTTGGAAGCAGGCTCGCAATACCGGACGAGTATAGAAAATTTGTAAGTTTTGGGAGCTCAGCAAACCAGTGAAAAGTCTCTCTTCGCATATGCCAGGCATCAAACACTTCGATGTCGTGGCCTTGGAGCAGGTGACTTCCATTCTGGTCGCCGAAGAAGAAACCAGAGATGACGTCTTGCGCCATGTAATTAAAGAGATAGAACACATCGACGTGGTTGATCTCCGAGATATTCTTCAACATCTGTCTGACGCGATCATTGATGACAGTCAAGTTCTCAGGCCGTAGCATGTAAGCCTTGGTGTATTCGCCACCGAGAAGCTTTCTCCTTGAGCTATGGCGTGCGCGATCTGGAGTACTGAACATGTTCTTCGCTCCATACGCCTCGAAGGCATTATAGAAATGAGTCTTCTCATAGTTGTAGATGGGACCTACTGATGGTGGGTGGTTAAGAGATATCTCGTTTGGGGCTAATCGAACCAGGGGACCATATTTGCGATGCAATTCGTGGATATATCGGGTTCGATTCAGGTTGATCGTCTGGTAGAGAAGAGGGATCTTGGTAAATCTTGTGATTAATGGACCAGGAACATCTTTCAAGGCTAGTGACTTGTAGAAGGCGGATGAAATGAGTGCCACAACACCCACCGCTAGAAGCAAGACGAAGAATGAAATCATGGTCCCTTATATCAAACCAGGCGTTCATGTAAATCAAACATACATGTTGACAGGCTACGAAGGAGGGCCCCTTTCTTACTATATCCCCAGCTCGAGCAGTATACAATCTGAATCGTCCGCCAAGAACCAGGTCCCAAGTTGTTCGCCCAAGAGCACTTGCAATTGGCTGGAGCTTTGGTCAACGGCGGATAATTGAATCCGATACGCCCTGAGGCCATGAGAGATACGATCGGGACGGCCGTCAGTAACGGCCACTCACTGCCACGAAGAGCCAGCGAAGAGAGTTCTTATCAGGACGCCATCATCATCTTTTGTAAAGCTCTGATTATCCGGGCAGATAACGGGCCCGTAGAGTGTTGAGGCCTAGATAAGGTTGAGCTCTGATATCTTCCCGAGGCGGGGGATAACAAGCGTTTTCTCGAGGCTTAACACCCTCATAGCGTATCTATCCACTGATTGGCTATCACAACGCTCTGCCGTGTCCACTGTATAAGGTAGCCTGCAGCAGACCCGTTGCAGAGAAAGGCACTTAGTAGACATATAGGAGGCATATAAATCTAAGCATCTCTGTTGAGCAATTGGAATCGAGCCTTTATCCCCTCTTTATTACTTCTGAAAAGATCCACTCTTCTACCTTGGATCCAACGATGATGGGCGACTCATTACATTCTCTCAAGGAGCAACCGGCGCAGCCAACAAATCTTCAGCATGGTGCTCTATCCGCTGACGAGCTCGAGCTTCGTGCTCAGGGCCACAAGGGAGAGCTTCCCCGAAATTTCTCTACGCTTTCCACGTTAGCCATCGCCTTCCTCTTGACGAGCGCCTGGATTGGGTATTCAGCAACTTTTCCATACCCCTTATTAGCCGGTGGTGGGCCGTACGTGTTTTGGGGCCTAATCGTCGCCACGATCGCATGCTCCCTCATCAGTAAGACCACTTGAAACAGCCCGAGCTGCTTTTGCATTTCGCGAAATTTAGACTGACCACGACCCCTAGCTGCCGGATTGGCAGAGTTGAGCTCTGCGTACCCTTCAACAGGAGGACAATACCATTTTACATTCATGGTGTCATCCGAAAAGACTCGGGCAGGCACTGCGTTCGTCGTGGGTTGGCTCTCCGTCATTGCCTACTGTCTCTTCACGGCCAGTGCGACCATTGTTTGTGCCCAAATCACGGCCGCAATCGCTGGCTTCTGGCATGAGAACTACGTGGCAACCCAGTGGCAGATCTACTTGATGTATATCTTGTACCAGGCGGTCGCAACAGCCGTAGTTGTGTTGTTCCCCCGACAGCTACCCAAAACGGAGATTGGATTCTTTCTGATCAGCGTTTCCGGCTGCATTGTCTTCTTTATCACTGTGCTTTCCGCAAGTGAAACCAAACAGCCAGCCGAGGTCGTTTTTACCGAAGTTGTCAATGTTACCGGCTGGAGTGATGGAGTGTCTTTCATCTTGGGGGTGGGAACGTGCATGTACGCTTATATTGCCACGGATGGGGCGTCGCATATCGCAGAGGTAAGTTTGCAATCACAGCAGAAGTATAGCGCAGCTTTAAGCTGACAAACTCAGGAAATCCCAAATCCTGGTAAGGGTGTCCCTAGAACGATGATGCTCAGCCTGGGCATATCAGCCATCAGTGTCATTCCCTGGACTTTGGCATTCCTCTTCTCGACCAATGACCTCGAAGCTGTTGCGTCCTCCACCTTTCCGATCCTCGAGGTCTACCAACAAGCTTTGCACAACCGTTCTGGAGCCACTTTCCTTGCTGTATGGCTTCTCGTCATCTATTTTGGCTCGGTTGTCAGTGTAGTCGCAGCGACGGGCCGTCTCACTTGGGCTTTTGCCCGTGATAACGGTCTTCCATACTCACCTGTCTTTGCGAAGATCAACCCCACCCTCCAAATGCCAGTCAACGCCACGATCGCTGCAAGTGTGTTCGTCGCCTGCTATGGTGCAATCTACGTGGGTTCCACGACAGCCTTCAACAGTTTCATCTCGATGTCCATTCTGTCCCTCAATGTGACGTACGCGATTCCGCAAGGCATCGTTTTCTTCCGAGGACGAGAACAGGTCCTTCCTCACACTCGCCAGTTCAACCTGGGCAAGGTCTTTGGTCCTTTTTGCAACATCTTTTGTGTGTGTTGGGTCTCCTTGTACACCGTGTTGTTCTGCCTGCCCACCTTCTTACCTGCTGAGGCCGAGGCTATGAACTATGTTTCTGTCGTCGTAGCTGGTTGTGCTTTGATCATTATTATCATGTGGTTCTCTGGGAAGAGAAAGACGTTTGTCGGACCGGTAAGCTTACCCAGTAAAACCGATACTAGTACTCCTCTGAATGTTGCACCATGGGAAGACTTACTGACAACCTCTAATGCAGATTATAAATATGGAATTGCTCGAGGCGGCTAAAATCCACCATATTGATGCCGAGACTCAAGCGACGGTCCTGACTGGCGAGAAACTCCTTGACAAGAAATGATGTACAGTAAACAATACAAGTATTGGGGTTTTTTTGCGAACAGGAATTTCAAAGAAAGAAATGTTAAGCTAGAATGAAGAAGCCTATAGCTATGTTTTAAACCCGATTCACAATTTCTCCACGCACTATGCTTTAGTCTTAGACTCCTCTTGCCTTATTGTAATCTCTGTTTCGATCACACATATAGTTGGCAAATAATTCTGCGGCTCCCTCACACGATTTGGGTATATGCTAGCGGCTATTCAGAAGTCCTACCTCGTTCAGAATGGTCGACCGCTGAGAGAATGAAAGCCTTTTTACTTATGAAGATCTGTGACTTCTCGCTCAGCGTTAGGTTGAGCTATGTATCACTCTATTAAATACATTGTTGAACTCAATGCAAAAAAATTCGTCATTCTACTGAAAGTACACCTTTGACCAAATCCTCAGCCTCGACCGCCACTCAAATCACCGTGCAACGAAATCCAACGAACAGCTCAGCGCATGCGGTACCCCACTTGTCAATTGGTCGTCCATGCGCATACTCTCCTCAGTGACTCCAGGCGTGACCCGGGTCTTGTAATGCATATAGACGGCGGCGACGATCAGTTTCATCTCGACCATGGCTAGATTGTGGCCCAAGCACATGCGGCCTCCAGAGCTAAAGGGCCAGAAGTGGTTACGCATAGCCGTCAGATGTGCAGCGTCCTCTGTCAGCCACCTTGTGGGGTCGAACAGGTCCGGATTTGGGAAGACCTCTTCGACACGGTGCAAGCTGTAGGCCTGACATCCGACCGTGGTCCCGCCAGGGATGACATGGTCTGAGATGACGGCGCCAGTGGGAGGCACAATGCGAAAGAGCGTCATGGGCACCGGTGGACGCCAGCGCATAGCCTCATGGATCACGGCGTCGAGATATGGGAGTTTGTCGAGGGCTGTAATTGGAGCCGTACGTGTCAACGGATCGAAGGCGTCTTTGATACTCGAAAGTTCTTGAAAGAGCATGTCTTGTACGTGTGTATACTCCGGCGTCGATATCCGCCACATCAAGATGCACATCGCATCACCGGTCGTGTCGACGCCCGCAACAAGGTGATCCATACATTCAGCAGCGATAGCGGGCTCGTTGTTGGGGATCTGATTGAAGAGTTTAGAGCATGTCGAGATGGTGTCTTTAGTGGTCTGGTCACGACGGAAAGACGAAACGCTGACCTCGCCATAGTCGTTCAGTCGGTTGCCGCGGACATGAAACGCCGTGCTTTGGCCGCTAATCTTGCGCATAATGGATACCAGTTGCGTTTTGAGCGACATGGCCCAGCCGAAGTAGTGTAGCATGTACAATCGTGCACGGTGTTTAACTCCTGAGAGATCGTAAACGATTCCTCTGTGTTCGGGTGCCGACAAAGTTTGTGTGCCATAAATCCCATACAGATGGTTTGTGATGGAGCTAAGATAGGTCAGAGTTGTAGCGTGTGTGAGTGTGTAGTTCCACATACTCAAGTGCGTAATAGTGTAACCAGGTGTAAACATCGAGGACGGGTCCTTGGCTCGAGACTTGCTTCATGAACGCCGAAGCATGCCCACGTACTTTGTCCGCGACAGAGGGCTGCATCACGTAACTCTTGGTATATCGATCAGCGACCAGTCTCTTTTTGGCCGAGTGCTAGATTATCAAAAATGAGTATATCGATAAAGTTGGCGAGGAACGGAGAGAATGTACATTTGGCTTGTCTAGACTTGTGAAGGTGTTCCGCGTATTGTAGTACACGAATAGGTCGTAGAACGAGCTTTTTGAAAAGGTTGACTTGATGCCATAAATTTCTCTCAAACTCTCGTAGTTGTTGAACGAGACTTCCACTGGCGAAACTCGCACCACCGGCCCATAGCGGGAATGGAGTTTATCGATCTGGATTGTTCTGTCACCCTTGAATTCGTGGTACATAATCCATAGCTGAGTCAAGGCGGTGATCTTCGGCCCAGGAATTCTCGATAATGAGGCGAAGAATACTCGATGGATTAGAACTGTAGCCAGGGAAATGAGTGCACAGGCAAGCACAACCACAATCGGGTGCAGCCCGACGAAGACTATTGACATAGCCATTCTTGACGAGGCGTTGATACCTTTCGAGCATACTCAGGCTTCAAATAAGTATTTATCATCACTCGCCATATAAAGGAATAATCACGATGCCTAGCCATGGCTGTCCGTCCACATTGTGGGGTAAGATGGTGGTTGTTGGGCGTTATCAGCTTGCCCGTCGTCGGGACCGGAGCGTCCTTATCAACGGCCAACTTGAACGGGGCTATTCCCGAACTGGACCCGAGTGTTGACTCAATTCTGAAGCGGGCGAGACATTACGCAAGTGGCCACAATGCAATGTAACAGTAGAATTCCGAAGTAGAGCTTCTTGGGGCTATGTTCCCCCAGTTGCTTCATCTGATGGAAGGCCAAGCAAGTAACATTTTGTGCATTGCGAAAGTGGTATCGTGCCTGGTTTGGCGGGAAGTCTCCTAGCCAGAGCAACAGTCCAGATGCCAGGACTTTCAGTCGCAGTGAAGGAAAGACTCCTCCAGTGAGGAAAGAGTGCCAGTAGCCAAAAGACAGCCAATGCCGGAAACACTTGACGCAAATACTCAAAAACTACCACGCTGCATGTTCCCCTGTTCTGGTAAAAGGCCATCGAGCGTCATCACAACATGATCGAACCGGCGCTCCAAGCCAGGTCTTACAGTCATACTATCGCTTTCCATATGAAACACGATTGTGACTTTTCTATTCAACGTGCCAGTGAGTGAAGCTCCCCTCAATGCACTCGTGTCACTACCCTCGGCTGCTGCCAGCAGGGAGATGATATTGGTATCGTCCCCCATGGGACTTCCGTAGAGCCAGGTCGCTTTCACGAGGACGCAAAACAGGCACAATACCGGATTGACTAACAGAACGATCACCAATAGCGGATCTCTTCGGAGTGTCGGTACAGTACGAATTGTGAGAATGGCCTCCGCTCCTTTTGAGTATCCTGTCAAGGCACTCATTTCCGTGTTTCGGACACCGCCAGGTCGATCGATGGTATCCAAGCTGGTGATCCGGGCCCAAGCCATCGTGGCTGCCAGCGCAGGTACGGTGTTGACGGGCTGGAAATATCTCAGTTCACCATTTGGTCCCAAGCTACCATCGGGGTAGGGGAAATCAAAAGCGCCGGCACGATTGTGCCAGTCGTACTCCCCAAGAAAGGTACTGAACATCTCCTGCAGGCCGATGGCGTTGTTTTGGAGGAGGAACTGGTTCTCAAGAGTGCTCTCGGGTATCAGATCCGCTTGGATGAGCGTTATGTTGGTCGACGATATCCACCACGTGGCTCTAGCCTGACGTCTCGACTGTTCGGTGCGGATAGCTTCGGAGAAGAAAGTCTCGTTCCTTGTCGTATTCCACGCTGAAAAGTACATGACGGAGAAATTCGTCAGAAAATTTCCACTCATGCCTGCCCACATTGCGTTGTTAGCCCCATTGGTGTCGCCACCGTTCTGTGTGGCAGGGTGATCGAATTGATTCTGCACATCTACCCAGAAGTCCTCGCTGTTTCGTTCTTCTGAGGTTGGATTTATCATTTCTGACACGGTTGCGTTGACAGTTGCCGATAGAGTCAGGGATTCTCCACCATTGAGACTGGACTGAAGACTTGTGAGATATGAAGGAAATGGAGAGTCAACGATTACACCGGTTTTGTTGTCCTCTGGGATGTACATGTTAAAGCCATACGTCTGGTTGAGCTCAGGGCTGATCCAGAATGGCACGTAGACGTCGGAGAGGATGGAGAGGCCGTCACCTATCCTTTGTTTCCCGGGTGTGGATGAGAAGCCAAAAAATCCATCACCATGGTCCACAATAATAGTGCTTTCACCCCCGACGAATTTCTTATATGCCACGCTCAGCAACAAAGGCAGGCCCAACAAAAGGAAAAGAAGGATTCGGTAAGCGATGTGGACGTGCCTCGATGAGAATGGGTCTTTCCTCAATAATGCATCGAGATCTTGGATTGAGGAGCCACTTCGAGTGGCAGTATGAATGAGCGCAGTGCGGAGCATCAACCCTTCAAGGCACATGGCCATGATGGCGAGCAGGAAGCCGATGCCAATCAGTTGGTTGATCTGGCCCAGCCATATTGCTAAACGGGACTGAAAGACGATCAGCAGAGCTGCGGTAAGGCAGGCAATCTCTGTGCAAAACAGCCATACGTCCTTCGTGGGTATGCGGTCTTTGCGACCTGGCTTTCCGCATCGTGCGGGTAATAGACTGGTTTGGAAGGTACTCGCACTGTCCAGCCTGACGAGCAGTTGTTTACTGTCGGTGCGTATATGATTCGGAAGGGAATAGTGGTGGTTAACAGGAGTTGTGCTATCTGCTCTCGCCATGGTTATACGGATCAGTTGGCAAAGCTGCAATACCTCGCAAACCTCTTGCCTGCATCAAACAGGATGGCACATCATTTTTAGTTGATGCTGAGTGGTAGGCCATGTGGCGGTTCGGGATGGTCTATCCTTTACAGGCATCTCTGAGACATACCTATGGGGGCTAAGAAGTTAGTCCGAACGCCTCTTAAGCGTGGGTCACAATGAATTCGTCGTGATTAAGTCAACACTGGGATCGATGACCCCATTTCGCAACCGCCTTACCAGGCAACTCAGGCATTTATGTCGTGGCAACGAATAGACTCGCTCCATGTAAAACAGATATCTAGATGAAGTCACAGATAATTCAGCCAGTATTGATGGGGCACCGACGGGTTTTCTTGTTTTGTGTTGTGTTGATGAAGCGAGCGTTTAAAAGTGTTTTATGTTCGTAGCTATGCTGAAGCCTCCAGAAGGTCTGACTGGCGGAGACAGCGCTTCAAGCTCCTCAGGCGCCAAGTATACCTTGCATGGGCAGCCGAGGGGCTAATAGGCGTATTCGGTGGGGTAGTTAAGGAAGTCTTTTACTGCGTTTCCCTAGTCGCCCGTGCCTTTGTACCGTCAATGCGCTTCGACCGAACAATTTGTGAACATCCATGGATGTTACTGGAGAAGCACAGTTACTAGGGCTCTCGAATTATCTTTGAGAGCTATGATTTTCTGCCCACCCGCGATTCCTGGGGGTAAGGCTGAGAGAAAGAGGAGTCCAGGGAGGTGGGGCCCGAGTGACTTCAATCGGTGGTTGACGAGTAGGCCACGATGCAAGCCATGCTGGCAGGGATTCTTTGCCCTCAAATCACCAGTACACTCTGGTTATCGTGAGGATAGGAGCTGATGGATTTCCATGGTTTCACATCCTTGGTAGTCCAGAGAAAGCCAACAGCCGTTCAAGCATCCTAGAATCATCGCATGCGAATACCTAACAGGTTACCTCATGTGTTGCCGAAGCCTCACCCATTGACTACCTAGGTAGGTATCCGTACTATGTCATGTCTGAAACCTCAAGAACTGCCGAGCCAATGATACTTGCCTACGTAGGCGAAAACGACAGTTGTGTGCCGTGCTCCTGGCTGAGCCTTACGCAGGGTGTAACTTGTCCACGCACTGGAGGTGGTGACTTATCTTCATTAACGCTTCTGGAACTATCAACGAGTAAGGGCAGTTTCTCACAGAAGATCTACTCCCAGAATCAAGCGATTACTGATTTGCAGTACCCTTGATTGCGACCTCATCACCAAGATGAGTACCAAACCCGGGGACTTCGAGGCTGAGATTATCGGATCGGACTCGAACAAGGCTCAAATTTCTACAAAAATCACACAGTCTGGCGCGCCGGAATAACAAGCTCTTATCCTTCAAGAGCTTCGCGACCTCAAGGAGTTGAGGTTGCAAGCCACAAATGATCCGGCATTGAGGCTTCAGGCTCGCACAACCCTCTGCTTGCAAGTTTTTGGACTTATTGTAGGGACCCTGTTTGGGGTTTTTGCTATCCTTGCCTGGATTTCTGCAAACAAGTCGAATGAGCTAGCTTCAAGCTCGAACACGCTATCCTCCGACTCGAACAGGATGTCTGCAAATGCCAATTTTATGGCTTCGAAAGCAAACGAACTTGCCGACATTAGTAACCAACTGGCTTCATATGCCTGGGATCAAGCCAGGGTCGCAAACATCCTGGCGTTCCTTGTCTACTGCGACATTGTAAGGACTCGATGAAAAGGGTGATTCCGACTACGCTTCGACTGGTTGACACCTTGCGCTGCAGAGGACAGATCTCGAGGTCTGCACACAGTTACAGACGACATTCCCATCGTACATAAACAGCATTGCCGACAACCTCTTCGTCAATGCTCCACCAGGCCCGACAATTTCGGCGTCCCCGGCACCGATCAACACCGTGCAAGGATCTCAGTAGAGAGCAAACACATCATCAGCGTCGCTGAAAGGGATCTCAATTGGAATTACAGCAGGCATAGCAAGCCCTGTAGCGGTAGGGATGATTTGCCACCGGTATTTAACTTATCGGGCAAAGATTCGACCCAGTGCAAAGCTATCGCAAGCGAGCAATGACCAAGAGATGGAAAAGCACAGGAATCGGGCTGCAAGGGGGCCTGCAGACTAATATCCTTGCATGCAGAGCACGTTCACGATCAGTGACTAGAGGTCAATATCAAACGGGTCAGGATTCTGATCGCCTCGAGACCTGCGTATGTTGTAGACAAACGTGACAAACAGCGCAAACGTACTAGTATTGCCTCGAGACTCCACCGTAGTCACTGCTACGGTGGATCATTTGAGAGCCCCTTGGTGGTTTAGTTTCCCCAGAAATCAACCGTGGCAGAATAAGTTAAAGTGTCCACAAGCTGCGATTCGAAAAGGACCAGATCACCACCACCGAGCAATTCCTCTGACAGCGTCCTCTTCCTCCTTGTTCGTTGTCAATCCCATATTCGTTTCCTCGAAGTAGCGCTTCTTCATCGACCTCTTTCTCTCTCCTTCTTGCGACCACACAATTCCCCCCTCCCTTCCTCTCTACGACAGCAATCATGGTATGCAATACTCCCACTTTCCTTTCCTTTTCCGGCGACCGTCGCGCGGTGGCTCTATTGAGAATACATCAAGGAGCTTTGGGAGCAGAAAGAAGCGACAAGTCTTGTAGAACGATGGGCTAACCAAGATTTCTCCAGTCTGCACCTAGACCATCATCGCCTTTGACTTCAGGACCCGAGTCTGGAGCTGATTCGACACCTTCAGCGTCGAAGACCAGTGGTTCATCAATCGCACGAGCAGGCTCACCACCTGGAGGACCGCGATCAGCCATCCGTCGACGCGCAGCAGCCGACCACAAAGAATCCGTCAAGAATGCAAGACCAGCATCCACGCGCTCGGCAGGTGCGGGCGGCTCTAGTGGAACCATGCTGAGATTATATACGGATGAGAGTCCCGGATTGAAGGTGGACCCTATGGTGATTTTGTTCTTGAGTTTGGGATTTATTTTCAGCGTGGTGGCACTACATCGTAGGTTGAAGGTCTGCTCTGAGGAGGATATCCTGCTAACGTCGAGCCTTGCACAGTTATTGCAAAGATTACCAAGAGATTCTCATAAAGTGCAAGCGGACTGGGTTCTTCCACGGTTGATTGGTGTTGGAATGGCAGCAGAGACGAAAAGCATCCTGGGTCACTTGACTAGCAATGCAATGCGACGTGTACACTATTTTGGGTTGATCAAAGAGGACCTTGGCTTGTAAGCCAGGCGTTGCAGATTCTAGTCCAGACATGGCAGTGCTTGATCTATGAATGAGAACTGGATCTGGAAATGCATATATTCGTAAATCCAATTCCCATTCCCGTTCCCAGATTGATTAGTCAGAAATTGGAATTCTCTTTTGCCTTGAACTTGGTTGCCTTGCATGTGACGATTTCTCAGTGACCGAACAGCACTGACAAGACAGGAACATTCCACTCCAAAATCAATGAATGAGAAACCCGAACTCCATCCATCAATCCTCCGCAGACCCCGCAGAAATTTGTATAAATATTGCCCAGGAAACACAAGTGGCGGCAAGGGTATCCCTCCCCAACTCCATCTCCCTCATCCCACCACTTTCGTCATCCCTTCACCATGACCGACCCCAGCCAAACCCTCAGCAATGGCTCGCAGCGTGCGGACCAGCCTTCAGACTCCCAAGCAGATATCAAGATACAAGATCCTCCCGCTCAAGACAGTCACCCGTCCTCCAACGGCCCTCTTGTGAGCAGCAACGGATGGGATGGCAAATTGCGCATGCCACCACGCAACGCCGTCCTGACCAACCCAGAGATCCTCAGTGATCCCGACTACTCCGACCCCGATGCTCCTCCGGTCGACCAGATCGAAGCCGATGAAGATCTTTTAGATGATCTGGACCCTAACGTCGAAGACATCGACCTGGTCCATAGCCGTGTCACCTCCATCCCAGCCCTCAGACTCGAACGCTTTACCAAGGTTATAAGGCTGTGCCTCCGCCAGAACCAGATCTCTTCAATCCAGTTTCCTGCCAGCCTGGGTGACACAGTGCAAGAGTTGGATCTATACGACAACCTCATCTCCCACGTCAAGGGCTTCGACGACTTCAAAGTCCTGACCAGCCTCGACCTGAGTTTCAACAAGATCAAACACATCAAACATGTCAACCACCTACGGACCCTAAAAGAACTCTACTTTGTCCAAAATCGCATCTCCAAGATTGAAAACCTCGAGGGTCTCGAGAACCTGACCATGATCGAATTGGCCGCCAACCGACTGCGCGAGATCGAGAACCTCGAGCCCTTACAAGCCTTACAAGAACTGTGGTTGGGGAAGAACAAAATCACCGAGATCAAGAACCTGTCCCCTCTGACACACCTTCGCCTCCTCGACCTCAAATCCAACCGCCTCACATCCATCTCCGGTCTCGAATCCCTGTCCAATCTCGAAGAACTGTACGTCTCCCACAACGCCATCACCGAGATCTCCGCCTCCTCTCTCTCACAAAACCACAAACTCCGTGTCCTCGATATCTCCAACAACCAGATCTCGCATCTCGAGAATCTCAGCCATTTGAAACACCTTGAGGAGCTGTGGGCCAGCAGCAACAGATTCAGTGATTTCCGGGAAGTCGAGCGGGAGTTGGCCGACAAGGAAGAACTCGAGACGGTGTACTTCGAGATGAATCCGCTTCAGTTGATGGGCCCGGCTGTCTACAGGAACAAAGTGAAACTGGCGCTGCCTCAGATCAAGCAGATCGATGCGAGTAAGTGTGGTTTCTCATATGTGATATCTAATATTGGCGCTAACCGAGATCTGCAGCATATGTGAGAGTCTGAGAGATATACAGTCTTGATGGCCTGCAACGAGATATGATGAACCGACGAACACTACCTATGACGGAGCACCGCGCTCAATGATTCACGCATGACGGCCGTCTCCATGAACGGAAACTGGCAGAAACCTACAACACGACAGACTTCACCACTGCAGCAGAATATTTGCTGACAATCGGCAAGACATTCCCAAAAGTGTCCAAGGTGGAACAAGTCTCCCAATCAAGACCGCAACGGAAAGAGCTTTCGGCTTCTCGCGCCAACATAGCTTGTCCTGTATCGGCGGCATATCCAGGAGAAAGAAATGCGGAAAATCCCCGGGCATCACTACTCAAATGGCACTCCGCCCATCTTTTCTTTTCTATTTCCCAAGCCAGGCACAGGGTCGACCTGCACCTGTGTGTTAGTGACCGGGCGTCTACCTAGGGTTGCCGTTTGTGGGGTTGTGGGCGTGAGGTGTACGAAAAAACATTGCACCCTTCGAGAACGGACATTTATTTAGTCAGTTCACGAGCGTAGGCGCGGTATGGACATGAGTGCATGATAACTTGGAAAATAGGAAAATAGGGATATAGGCTGCATAACCTGAAGTGTCGGCATCAGATCATAGGACCTAGCGTGCATTCGAATGGGGGCAAATGAAATTATGAAACCAATCAGTTGAATACCATGAACAGAGAATTCTCGTCAAGCCCCGGGCTAGTAATCTGTGTTTCGATGCCTCCACCTAGGTTTGCTTCCACGTAGCAGGGATGAGAATAGTCGATAAGGTTCAAGGTTGTCACAGACGACACGACATTTAACTTGCCTGAACTTGCCCGAGGACTAAATGCGTAGACATGTACGATTCAACGAAGGAGGAACAATGGTATATCAAAGCCATTGAGTGCACTGACCGAAGAGGAAGCACATCTCAGTTCATGCGGCAACGGCCCTTCGGTGATTCCATCTATGCCATCCAAATCCACGACCAGGTGACAGAAAACGACTGCACCTTGTTTCCCGTTCCGCCGCAAACCACACAATAACATTGTCCAACGCCTTGGAACTCCGACCATAAACGCCTACGTACAACATGACGGACGACGTGCGACCGATTTCCGCAACCCCTGAACGTGGCATGGCAGGGCATGGTAATGCTGGGATCCCAGTTGCGATTCTCTCTGTAATCCCATTTTTCAAGCCAGGTTGTTGTGACATGTACATCGTCTTCGAGGCCCCGGGTTTTTGAGAAGCACGCGTAAAGTGGTTTCACCTTTCAATATATTAGAGGCGCCCAGTTACTGTTTTCTCCCGCGCCGTTCTAGGACCCGTTGTTGCTTTTCATACACCAGAACCATAAACTAGACTGTTTTTCGTCGCAGGCATCAAGATTGGGGAAGCACTGCTCTAGTTCGTGCTGTGCTGGTATATGCCGGACACTATGCAATGATCACGCTCGAAGGGTTCTGTGTGAAGGATCGACAGTCAGTATGGATTGTCCTGCTTGTCAGGGGACAAAATGTCCAAAACTCACCTAGTGTCAACTGTTCCTTGGGCTTAATTCGCTCTTCTCGCATCTTCTTGACTTCGTTGGCAAACACCACCTCGGGTTTGGCCGTCGAGTCGATACAGTTGGCCTTGATCGAGACGAGGATGCCCCCGCCGACTTTCAGGAACAAATGTGCGTTTAATCCGACAATTCGGGCTTGATCGGGCTGTGCAACGTCGGCAAAGACGACATCCACCATACCAACCAGCATACGATAGCGCAGAGGATGTCTGGCGTCTTCGATGATGGGAATGACGTTGGTGCGGTGGGTGGCCATGGTGATCAAATCGCGACCACTTCGGTGAGAGAACTCAACGGCATAGACTCGTCCAGTAGGTCCGACAATATCGGCAACGTGACTGACTGATGTGCCTGAAGCTGCACCGAGATAGAGGACTGAAGAACCAGGGCGGATGTAAATCTCTTCCAAACCTCCTAGAATACCAGCTGCCAACTTGCTGCGGAAAGGGTTCCAGACTCGGTATTCCGTTTTGAGAGCGGGTGCGGCATCGGTCTCGGCTTCACCGGTCACAGCTGGGGTTGGGTTGTCAATGCTGACACGTTTCTCGCCGTAAACAGACTCGCCGGGTGTCAGGTTCTTGGTGACCAGGAGATCTTCCTTTCCACCACGAGCGACGAAGACACCGGGATGTCTATGAGGTTCCTAAGATTGCGCAAAAACAATGTGTTAGTTAGGCTTTCCGATGTGCCTCAAGCTCCAACACAACAGGATTTGATGTCCTTCGATGAGTCTTTGGAGCGAGAAGGTGCCATGATGAACCCACAATGATGACTTTGGCACCACCTCGGGCGCCAGGCTTTCCACCTCGACCACCACCTCCTCTGGGAGCCCCGCGGCCACCGCCGAAGCCTCTGCCACCGCCTCGACCACCACGGTCGCCGAAGCCGCCACCTGCAAGAGAAGAACAAGAGTCAGTCAGAGATGTGATTCTTTCCCACGCATTTTCTGGGTATCCTGCAGCCCATTCAGAGAAGAGCTATACCTCTGCCACCACCGCGACCGCCGCGATCACCAAAACCACCTCGTCCACCACCACGGCCGCCTCCACCACGGCCCCCGCCAAAGCCTCCTCGTCCACCTGGAGCACCTCTTCCACCGCCTCCACGGCCTCTGGGCGCACCGCCGAATGCCATCTGGTCTGTTGTTGTGAGAAAAAGTTTGTTCGTTCGATTAGGGAAAGAGGATGAGCGAGTGGGCAGGAATCGAAATTTGTCTTCCTCGAGGAATGGGAAGATGAGATGTCGGTGTGATATGGATGGAGTAAAGATGTAAGGATTATGCAAGCCTTGGAAATGGACTCTTTTTTCTTCCGCGAGTAGCGCAGTCCTTCTTTTGCCTTCTTGCGATCGGTCGGATCGAAATTTGGAGCTCGCACTTCAAGGGCAAAGAAGTCGAAAGTTGCAGCAAAAGCCTGGAGAAATTATTTCGGTCTATCCCTGATTAGGATTAGCTCGACAGCATTGCCAAGACTGAGCTTCATTGGTGGAACTGGACTTGCCGTACCGGATGGCCGCAAACATCACTCCTTCCTCCTAATGAATATGATCAAAGGCAATGGATATTCTATCAAAGGGTGGTTGTGAGACTGGGGGAAAATATGTATATCCTTGATGGAATCCTTGATGGGGCAATTATATTACTTCTCAATGCCGTGTAGTAAAAGAGTATCTCTGCCATCACCTCTGTGGGCTGGTTCTTCAATATTTGAATTTTATATTCAAAACACCGCCTTATTTGAGTCACTTCTCCAACGTTCACCCTCTCGCCACATGGTCAACCAAAACTGCTCATCAAACCCTTCCTCATCACTTCCAATCAACGGCTTGATATTCTCTGGATACACCACATCATCATCACAAGTCCCTCCACGCTTCGCCAGTGCAAACATCGTATCACCACTCGTAACGATGCGACCGCTCCTCTTAGCCTCTTCCACCTCGGCTGCCGCTGAGCCGATGCCAACCATCGCAATCAAGAAATCACTCGGCAACATCGACCAGCACTCGTCGTCACCATTCCCCGGTAGGAACATGTCTCGGAGCGTCTGCTTTGTCACCACCTTGAGCGGCATCTCTTTGGCCGCTTCTCGAGCAGTGCCCCAGTACATGACATTATTGCCTTGATAGGCATTGTCCAAGAGTGGTGTGTCACCGAGCCCCACGGCTCCGCTCATCATGTCATTTTGACCTGGTTTGTGCTGCACCTTCTCCACGTCCGGGGAGTCGCAATCGTAGTCCTCGTCCGAGATGAAGATGTTGTCGTTGGTGTGATATGCGTCATTTTGTATTGGAGAAAGCTCCTGTTCGGGGATGAAGATGTTATCGCTGCTGTAGTATGTATCGTTTGGCGTCGAGGAGAAATCCAACTCGGGGGAGATTGGTTCGTTTTTACCTGCCGATGGTGATGTTGGTCGGTCGGTCTCCTTGCTAGAGGCGGTCGGTGGTCGAATGCGTTCGTAGCTCAGCCTACGGCTGCTTGAGTCACCAGCTGTGTTGATATCACCGCGGTATGCACCTGATGAACGCGAAATGCTGCCTGACAGGGGTAATTTCGGGTAAGTTACACCTGCCGATGGTAAAGCCGAATCTTCAACCTTGGCCCTGGTCGGGGTTATTGCAGAAGGGTAGCTGAAATCCATTGGGTCAGTCCCTGGCCGGTTCCGCTGGTAACTATGTCTGCGGACAACCGAACCTTCAAACTTGGTATTTGTTGGGGTTGTTGCAGAGGGATAAGTGAAATCCATCGGGTCAGTGCCTGGTCGATTGCGTTGGTAACTATGTCTGCGGATGCCCGAGCCCTGACTGGTACTGGTGCAGGAAGTCTGGCTTCGTTCACCGAGGCGGGGAGAGGAACTGAAATCTATGGGATCTCTTGTCGATGTGAGTTTCCTCTTGTGAGATCGTTTCTTCGTTGGCAGTGTAGTGCGGCGGGAAGGATCATTGCTTGCAGGAGTGAGTTTACAGTCAGACATTCCCTTCTCTATTTCTTCGTCCCCATCTGAGAACCAGGGTAGGCCATTTTGATCACGATCTTTCTGCAAGAAGTCTTTTCGTGCGTTAGCGACCAGAGTGAGTAATTTTCCCCGCGAGAATGAGGTACTAGATGCTGGGCTGACAACCATGATCGACAAGGCTTTCACCTACTGGCGTCAATTCTCTGTCTGCAGTGATTTCTTTGCAATGCCAGTCGTCAAGTAATGGACTGTGAACACAGTCTTTCACGACACTGCAACATCTGACCATGTTAAGATATCTGTCGTGACTGGATGGACCTTGTTTGTTCCACTACGGATGCACAACCCCGAAATGTCTCCTTTGTTGAAAGACTATAAGGCTCTGTCTTCGGCATGCTGGTTGCGGAAGTCTGCCTCTCAACACCTTTGTTGTTCGTTCCTTGAATACTTTCAATGTTCATGCAACCACTTCAAACTTGGATCTGGACATGAGTATCGACTCTCTCGTCTCATTCCCGCCTCGGTTTCCGTCCGAACCTTCATTGAGTTCATCGCACTAACTTTGAGAAGCTCAGGATCACAGGAACGGGAACAAAATCACTCACTACCGGCTTTTATGGTATTGTGAAGTTTGTCTCTGTGCTCATGTCCGCTTTGTTCATTGTCGACTTCATTGGTCGAAGGCGGTCGTTGATAACTGGTATCTGTCTGCAAGTTAGCACTCTCATCTATGTCGGTGCCTTGGTGCTGCTAACGGAATGAGTGTCACTTGCATTTCAAGCCACTCAACCATCAAAAATGCTTCAACCATGGCAATTGTGGCCATCTTCCTCCATGCGGTTGTTGGTCTATTGGCTGATTCAGTGCACCTTACCTGATCAGCTCGGAGATATGCTACAAAACCCAAGTTCGAGAATGTTTTAGTACTAACGATATCATTCATTCAGAGGTATCGGGATCTACCCAATCTGGATCCGTCTCCCTCTGTCGCAGCCACATTCGTCGTACCTCTTGACCTTGCGCTTCATCCTCGGCTTCTTGACCGTGTTTCTCTCTTTTGACTTTGAGACGCAGTCTTCCTTGACTGCCACGCCCATTGAAGTCTAGGGGCCACTCCAAGGGTAATTTTCCGTTCACACCTCCATCGCCGGTATCTTCTGCTTCGGAGCTAACCCAGCTGTAACCCGCCTTCAGAATAAGGTTGGCATAAATTGTGAAAGTTCCCCACCCAAGACGTCGAACTTCGTAAGGTGGCCATTGGACTATCACCCGCGGATTGCGAAATGTTTGATGCTAGTTTTGTCAGCGAAAATTCAGGCCACAAGAGCATTCATCGTACTAGGAATATCTGGACTTCTTCAAACAGATCACTCCTCGATGGCCGTATGAAGAAGTTCCATTGGTGCTTGTTGTTATCTTCGTCTTCTGTCCGAATCATGGAGTGCTCGTTGCCGATGTAAACCGTCAAGGTCTCGACTCTGGATGCCGAGTCGTCATTTACCGCTGTTCGATGCTCGACTCGCCTTTCTTCATAAGCAACAGGGTAATAAGTCTCTAAATTAGACTCTCGAACAGAATCAAACTTTGCCGCCGTCAATGTACGGCACATTGGACATTTCGTCTCAATCTCATTGGGCAGAAGCAGGACGGCGCGATCATCTAGGCCCACCGTCGTCATCTGCGTCGTGATGGACACATCGGCCCAATGAGCCATACATGATTCACATAGAGTATGATTGCAGCGTGTTTTCACTGGCCTGTAGAGTAAGAGCTGGCATATGGGACATATATCATCTTGGTCAATGTCAACTTCTGGCGTGCTTGCTGAAGGCGTAGGCTGATCATCGTCTTGTTTCAAGGCTGATGCTTTCCGTTTCATTCTCCGGTCGTGTCAGTAAGTTTGAGCTTCTAGAAGCACGGCAAGAAGAGTGATTCTTTTACGGAGGCTGTAGGCTAGATGTCATTGCTTGCGTACCTAAACAGGCAGTTGCCCCTCATGTCGTCAGGCTGAAGACTGTTATGACAGCCTGATTGTGCTTCGGGGCTGTCCGGCGAGCGCAGCCGAGATAGTCAGTCACGTGAGCAGCCTCTACGTTGGCGCAATACCGTCTCAATAGCAGTGCCAAGCTCCCGAGTGTGTCTCATGTTCCCATGGTCTTGAGACGGGGCAGTTACTCATGCTTTGCTTACAGGATCAGTGGCTTCCATGTCCACCAGGACGAGAACGAATTTGAGCTCGGACATCTTAAGAGTCAGATTATGTACTCGGAAAATCCGACTTGGTGGTGTCGAAGTCAGACTCTATGGCCGAACTTCTTGGGCTGATAGCAAGCTGCGTGAATATCGTTCAAGGCCTTGATGCTATCTGCACCGCAGCCAAAGAGAATATCCATCTTGGAGAAAGCGCCCGAAAGGAGCTTGTTATCCTCGTGGGCAAAATATCATCCTACAGGGGTATCATCGCAGGGATTCAGTTGCAAGCAGAGCTTGACAAAATTGCTGGATTTGATCGACTTCTGGCTCTGAACCATGTCAATGGACCTTTGAAGGCGTGCGAGGAGGCGACAATTCTCATCAATAAACGTATTGCAGGTCTCTCCAAAAGAATTCATTTCGGTAAGATTGTCGATAAGGCGACTGCCATAAGTCTACGAGCGTTTGATGATGCTCTGCCAGTGCTTCAGCTTGCCTTGCATGCAGACCAACGGTGAGTAACTGTTTCTTTGTACAAGTCTAGAGAAATTAGATGGAGTAGACTGGCCGCGGCGGAACTTGCTTGGCTGAAGCGCTTGTTTCATGCCTCGCTACGATGTCGAAGCGTGACGAATAAAAGCGGATGCTTTGAATGTCTTGTGTAATACTGCTGACTATCCGGCTAGGGTTATAACGATCGAGGTTGAGAATTATGTCCGGGCGATTCACGAAGATTTGTCGATAGTAGTGTCAAATACTGACGCTATCCGAGATGAGATCACTGAAATGAAGCAGTTGATCGAGGGTCAACAGTTGAGCAACCTTAGTGAACTCGAAGCTTTCGAATTGAATGAAGTCAGACAATGGTTGAGTAAATGCGACCCAAAAAGCACCTATGAGCAATGTCTGAATAAGATCTCCGGCGAATCTGGGAGATGGTTTCTGGAGCGTGCTTTCGATGATTGGCTCGAGAATGGCTCACGGGCCAAGTTGTTCTGGCTAAAGGGCAACAGCGGGCCAGGTGGCAATACTCGAGCGAAGGTGTTGTGGCTAATAGGCAACAGTGGCTCTGGGAAAACTACACTGCTCTCCGCGGCAATACGGCACCTGAGAACCAAGATACCGTGGGCAACAAGGCCGTTGTCGGCGTATTTCTACTGCTCATTTGCTGTGAAAGAGACTCAAAGCGCTTCGAACGTACTTGGTTCGCTGCTTTCTCAGCTTCTTGAACAAGTCCAAGGGGTTTCGGCAGCGATTAAAGCAGCTCATGCTTCCAGTCGACACCAGGAATCTGGGTCGAAAGGTCCCAGCATTGAGGAACTCGAAAATCTTTTGACTCGAGGATGTGCCTTGTCACAGAAGGATATACTCTTATTTGTCGATGCTCCAAACGAAAGCGACGAGGCAGAGGAGATCCTAGAAAGTCTGCTTCGCGTGGCTAGAAAATGTGCAAATCTACGTTTAATGATTGCCAGCACCCCAGACCTGGATCTGCAACAGATGACTGGTACAACTCCGTTCATCCAAGTTGATATGAATTCTGGCAATGTCAACCAGGACATTTCTGCGTATGTCGACCAACGTCTCAGCCAAGAAAAGCGATTGCGCAAACTTCCGACCTTGGTGCAACAGAATGTGCGGCTGGTGTTCTCAGAGAATACGCAGGGGTCATTTCGCTGGGCAGAATGCCAGCTAACCGCACTGATCGAGAACGCTCGTTCGATTTCACAAATCGAACGTGCTCTGCAAAGTGTATCCCCAACCCTCGAGGGATTGTACATTGCGACGTTGGATGCCGTTCCATCGTCAGATCGCCCGTTGCTAAGAGCTGCTCTACACTGGCTCATGTTTGGCGAGCGACCACTCCGAATTGAAGAAATTGGCGAAGCCATGGTTTTCAAAGGCAACGGTAGCTCAATCCAACCAGAAGATCGATTGTTCCCGGAAAGTGCTGAAGAAATCTTGAGAAGATGTCCCATGCTCATTGAATACAATGCCTCCTCCAAGTATGCGGCACTTGCTCATTCGTCCGTCCAGCAATTCTTGGCTTCTGAGCAATGCCGCCTGAGTTCCGTTTGGGAGTTTCATTTCGACCGAGTCGAGGATCTTGGGGCATTGGCCTGTCTTACGGTTGATTATCTGAACCAGCCTGTATTTAGATCTGGCTACTGCCTAGTCAAACAAGATGCAAATGTGCGCATGAAAGAGTGGCCATTGTTGAAATATGTGTCATCAACATGGCCAAGCTATGCGACACAACTTCCCTCGGGTCAGTATAAGCAGAGAATGGAGAACGCCATGAAATCTCTGTTTGCGACTTTCACTCTGCCGAGAGGAGGCAACTTTGGATCTTGGGTTCAGATCCATCTGCCAAGGCATCTACACCACAATCAATGTCTTTCGCATCCACTCTATTACATGGCACGCGCGGGCATAGATGAAGTCGTTGAAATGATTGTGGCTATGGAAGGCAGAGGTGTTCTCGAGCTTCAGGGAGGCAGCCGCGAATCCACACCACTACACGTTGCGTGTGCATATGGACGCACCAGCACAGTGAAGTTGTTGCTAGAACTTGGATCTGATCCTAATGAGCGGAACGGGTCCGGAGAACGAGGACTAGCGTGGGCGAAGGTGCACAAATATTTTGATATCTACGATCTCCTGCTCCAATACGGAGCCAAGCCTCTGGGAGAAGAATATAGAAAGACTCTAGGGTACTGAGGACACCTCGGTCGCAACGAGGCACTGTACAGCTAAACCACTCCATTAATACCCAGGTACATAGTGGATCACTTCCCGGCCGTGAACATGTCACGTGAAAGTCAGTCTCCCATCACGTGGCCGCGGATGCGGCGGAAGCTTTTAATCCGGCGACTCGGGATATCATTAAGTCATCAAATCATCGCGTTTCGTCTTTCACGGGGACTCGATAGGAAATTTCATGAGATTAAATCCCGCGATTGGATCTTCTTACAGAGTCCACACGCCACACTGCCCCTGGTCCCTCGAGGAAACCGACTCGTCCAAGTGTGATCGAGTAGCCTGATACTCCCACTTGCACGTTGAGCTTCTGAGAGTTCGGATTTATTCTGCGGTCAATCGTCACCATATGTTTATTTGCCTCGCCCATGTCAGATTTCCCCTGAACCAGACCCTCTCAAGGCTTTTATCTGCTGCCTGATCCCGACGAGTGCCGACTACTTCTCCCACGCTCCCTCTCCTACATCTGGCCCTCTCCTTGCCAGATCTTTCAGTTCAGTCACAATCCGACCTGCACATTCCTTTAATTTCAATCCTGAGGATGCCTAGCCGTACCCTTCCCACCCTCCTTCAGGCGGAGGTGGAAGCACACAATACCAAAAAGTCATGCTATGTCACAATCGGTGAGCGCGTCTTCGATGTCACCGACTTTCTCGAAGACCACCCCGGTGGTCCTGAATTCATCCTGGAATATGGCGGCAAAGATGTCAAGGCCATAATGGAAGACGAAGTCTCGCACTTCCACAGTGAAGCCGCGTACGAAATTCTGGAAGAGAGTCTGATCGCTTTCGTCACCACTGATGCTGTGCTGAAGACCGCCACCAAGTCGACACACCCTGACGAAGTGGTACCATTACCTGCGACCGCCAATGGAAATGCCCAGTTGAAAGAGCAAGGCGTAAATACTGAGGATCTCCCCTCTCGCGCGGTGTTCGAGACAACGGGCATGTCCAGCGCAGAAGATTTGTCTAAAGACACCGACTTGGGCGCAGACTGGAAGACACACAAGTTCCTCGATCTCAACCGACCACTGTTTACACAGATGCTGTTCAGCAAGTTCTCCAAAGAGTTCTACCTCGAACAGGTTCACAGACCTCGACACTACCGTGGTGGCGATTCGGCCCCTCTGTTCGGAAATTTCTTGGAGCCCTTGAGCATGACACCGTGGTACATAATTCCACTACTCTGGCTTCCACCCGTCACATATGGATCCGTCATTGGGTTCGCAAACCTTTCATCTCCGTTCGTCGCTGCTTCATACTGGCTACTTGGTCTCTTCCTGTGGACTCTAGTCGAATATCTCCTCCATCGCTTCGTTTTCCACCTCGACTACTATCTTCCGGATCACCCGGTCTTCCTCACATTGCACTTTCTCCTCCATGGTATCCATCATTATCTGCCCATGGATAAATACCGATTAGTCATGCCTCCGACGTTATTCTTGATACTGGCTACCCCATTCTACAAGCTTGCACATACCGTCTTTTGGTACGACTGGTATGTCGCAGTGACAGTCTTCTCTGGAGGCATCTTTGGATATATCTGCTACGACTGCACTCACTACTGGTTGCATCACCGTTCGTTGCCTTCATACGTGCGCGATCTCAAGAAATATCATCTGGCTCACCATTACCAGAACTTTGAGCTTGGGTAAGTGTCCATCTTGACTTGTGGATCTCGAGTAACAGCTAACACGCGGAACAGTTTCGGAGTCACCTCCAAATTCTGGGATTATGTCTGGGGCACCCAGCTCGAGTACGCAAAGCCAATCAAGTCGTCCTAGACTAGACTGGAAGTGGTTAATTTGATCAACATGGCTCCGTTCTGTGCGATCGCATTGATCATCCTTTCTCAGTGGTTTTCTTCAGATCCTGTACAATAAAAGACAGAGCAACCCATGTGGCAATCCCTATCTTAATCCCAAGTCACACCCAATTGGTTGAATGGATGGCGTCCGGGAGATTGAGCAGGAGGGGGCAGCATCACGGCTTCATGTATACCTATTATGGTTATCACCAATAATATTAATGTTACGACGAACGAATCCTTGTTCGGACCTTTTCCTGTGCTCGGCTGACTCTGTTTGTGCCCTATCGTCGATTTTGAAACGGATCAAAGTATACGCATCTACTGTGAACGCCCCTTCAAGCATTGATCAATGATCCGACCATATTGCAGACACTCCTCGTCCTTGAACCGACTGGTGAAGATCTGAATCGACAATGGCGCCTTGTCGAGGATATCGGGTAGGTCTAGAAATCGGGTATATCAGCAGGGTGGCTACCGAGTATCAAGGGGAGGGATCACTCACAGTCTGCGCCTGGTTCTCCCGACTTCCTGACCACAGCCGTCGGATCCAGCTCCTTCGAGACCTGCGAGAAAGGAACAACACACGCCGGATACTATCTCACTTGTCAGCTAACCCTCACCCCTACATTCAGCACTCTGATATGGGATATACTCACATCTAGCACATTGACAAAGACTGTATAGAACGGCCAACCAAAAGTATCATGCACGACGGCCGAACTTCGGGCGACCGGGCCGATAATGACATCGAGCTTCTTCTCCATCCAGATGTTCCGCGTCCACGATTCCTGCAGCTCGTCCCGCTTGAGATTAAGCGCCGCGTATCGGTGGAAGGGATCGAGGTCCGTCACGTCGGTCTTCACAAACTCGAACTTGCCGAAGTTCGCAGGCGCCTCGCGCGTGCTGACAGAAGGGACAAACGGCTCGCCGCTCGATGTGATGTGCCCGATTAATGTCCGTCCGGGATCGAGCGCCATTAGTTCCCACGCGACTTCGGAGCACGCGTTAAGCTGGGCTAGGGACGGGGCAATGGGGATAAGCTCGTGGCCTGCTTCTTGGAGGATCTGGACAGCCTCCGCGAGAGCTCGCTTCACGGGTGGCTGGAGCGGGTAGAGTGGCTCTTCTGGGAAGATGCCGATTCTCAGTCTCGAGCGAGAGGGAGAGGTGGCGAGGCGCCGCCAGGGTATGTCCAAAGCAGTGACGTCTGTTCTAGCGGGAACGGCGTCGATGATTGCTCTGGTCAGGATTTCAAGGCCGTTAAAATCGTTACTGAGCGGTCCTGCTGACACTAGCATGGCTCGAAGACCAGGAAGTCCCCATGAGGCTTGTCCTCCGGCGGGTAGGCGTGCTGCTGTTGGTCTGAAGCCATATGTGCCGCAGCAAGCGGCGGGAATACGGACTGAGCCTGAATAATACGATTAGCCAAGTCGAACGACAATTTAGCTGATGCCTTTGTCCTACCTGCAAGATCTGTTCCGATTCCCAGAGGCGAGCCACGGAAAGCGATGAGTGCGCCTTCACCACCACTCGATCCGCCGGCTGTCAGCATGGTATTGAATGGATTCAATGTTCGGCCAAATATATTGTTATGCGAGTCACCCGTCTATGATGATATCAGCAGACAGCATGTATCCCGTACGATATCCAACCTTACCGCCACCGTTTGAGGAATATTGGTTTTCACATAGACAACGGCACCGAGCTCCAGCAACATCTCGACAAGGTGCGAATTCGACTCCGCCTTCGTCCCCAGGAAGGAGACATACCCGCTACTTGCCTCTTGACCTTTCACCTTGAATGTGTCCTTGATGCTGATTGGAAGTCCATGTAGAGGACGGAGTGGCTGCTTTCCCTCGGCGCGAAATGCATCCAGAGCTTTCGCGCGCTCCAGAGCCTCGCTGAAGAATACCTCTGTGAGGCAGGATAGCTGGGCTTTGTTAGACACGCCGTTGCCCGCGACTGGTCTTGATACTTACCAATTGTTGGGCGATAGCGGCGCGCTTGCAGAATGCAGTCGTCACCTCGAGCGAAGTAAAAGTGCCAGAGGCCAGTCGATCCAATAGCTCCGCGACCGAGTATTTGTCTGTGATCTCAAGTTCGCGCGTGGAAAGGATGCCCGATTTGCGAGGGACATCGATGTCCAAGATTCGGTTCGGATGGCTTTCCAGGGGAAGCGAAAGCTCAGAGAAGATCTCTGCTGAGAGTTTCCATTCATTGGGGATGTCGTTCTTGCTACGCTCCTTTTTCTGGGCCACGATCTTCTCCCATTCTTGAAGATCCCCAGGCCGACCTGTAGTAGCGGTATTCACGTCGATTGGGTTTTGCGATGCCATCTCTTAGCTATTTGTACAGTTGCACTCGTGGCTGAAATGTTCAAAGTATTCAGGTACATACATCGAGACATTGAAACCAGTTCAAATCATGTGGGCAATACCCAAATTATATGTATATTTGTCCCACCGTTGGCAGGACAGCCATCGTGAGATCCCATAGCATCTTCGGCAGTCGTCAAGAGTTCTCGGCAGTCATTTGGAGAAGATGTATGACTAGAAACATAGCGAGATGGGAGCAAAGTTTCGATGTTCACATCCCACCTAGTATTATGGAAATTGCCCACAATGGAGTTCATGGACTCACCGGTGACCAAGAAGCAGAGGGGGGTCACGAGAAGTACCTACGCCTGGGGAGTTAGCCTAGAACCGACTAGAAGGCAGCTTGTACCTATTAGACAGGTAGCAACTACCTAACTGACTAGATAGCTGATGGGAGCCCCGTTTGCTCTTTCTACTAGCTACCTGAGGGACCTGTGGGGTCGTGATCATGAGTAGAAGGCCAACATTTAAATGTACTGTGGGGAGTTGGGGGTGGCTTGAGGTGTCCAGGTCGAGAATGACTTGGAGCTCTGTGGGCGCACTGGAAGGCAAGTGACACCTGGGAGTGGTTAGTCCCCAGAGAGCCATTTGAATGCCAACGGACAACCCCACTGCAATTAATTGGACTTCCAAAGGCTTTGGTCAAGTATATCCTTACTTGAATTAGGCGCAGTTAGGCGTTGAGATAACAGGCTTATTTCGGTACTCTCGGCCAACCATATGACCCAAAAGCCGCTCCCCCGTGCGGTGTCCGTTTAACTAAGTACCTAGTAACCTAACTAGATGGTTACATGGATGCCAATGTCGTCCCAACTACTTCCACAGCTTTATCTTGTCATCAAAACGGACGGAGCGTTGATATGTGAGAAATTGAATCTCGATTACGACTTCTCACCTTCAGGAAGTTGGTCCTCAAAGGCAAAGATATAGTATATGTCATGAATTCACCAGCATTGCGATCATACCCCAGAACCAACGCTCTGGGGTCGGCCAAGGTCGACTGCCACACATGCTTGCGATTGAGAAAGCGTTGTGATCGCCAGCGTCCACAATGTGGCCCTTGCATTAACGGAGGCCGTAGTTGTGGTGGATTCGTCATGGACATCGTCTGGAAGAACGATGAAAAGCCACGACGAGCGCAAGGGGAAGGGGGAATCGCCTCAACGCCCTTTGCTAACGACGGCGACGGAGACACAGAAGCTTCATATCTGCCAATGGCTACAACTACAGCGACAACCAGCAGCAAGCCGGTACGCTTCGTGCAGAACGGTGCAAAACGGAGGCGGAAGACGAGCAAGTTGCCAGCAGTCATGAATCAGTTTATGACGACGGTTCGCGCCTGCCCTCAACCAGCCGATGAGCAAAACGAGCGGCTCAACTCGTTTATCCCCCCAGTCTATCCTGCTTACGAAGATACCACCGTTATCAACGAACCGGACGAGTCAGCAGACATCGTCATCGACAGCCATTGGCCCGAGGTGATCCCCGACTTCCTCGAGGCCGTGCAAGGCACTCCCAGCTCAACTCATTCTTCGCAATATGATACGCCATCGGAAGTATTACTGCCATTTGATAGTGTCACCTCGCCTCAAAGTGAGTTTCAGTGGCAGGGCCCAGACACAGGGCAGATCCTGCAGCTCTACAGTCAAGTGTCGCCACAGACGATGGACATATTCCCGCTATCACCAGGTCCTCTCTTCTCTAGTCCTACCCAGAAAGCCGCTGCGATTCTCGACATGTGTGAGTATCACATATGCACGCCTTTTTGTTAGGAAATCTTGGGATATACTAATATCTTCATATGACCAGACGACCAGGAATTTTGCATCCTCCCACTGACCGGCGATTGTGCGAGTAATCCATTTCGCATCCGGCAGGACAGTTGCGAAGGCTCAGCATTCCTCCTGCACGCCATGCTCGCCATCTCGTCGCAGCACCTGGCGAAGAAGAATAAATCCGTCGTGCTAGCGACCGAGATGTGGAACCATCATGCTACGGCGCTACGGCTGTTCAGTCAAGCTTTGGACCATGTCCCCGTGGCTACATTACTGGATACACTACTGCTTTTGGTGAATTTCGAGGTGAGTTGGTCGATATCATGTACCTTGTCATTGAAAGTTAACATTGCTTTAGGCCACACAGTCGGCTTCCAGCACGTGGGCAATTCACATTAGCGGCGCACAAAAACTTCTCGAAAGTATGGGCGGCGTCAAAGTCTGCCAGAAGGGCTCCAGAGCTCGAGCGCAAGTTGCCATGATTGTTTGGTACGAATGTCTCCACAACGCGAAACAATGCCTAATGACTTTGCTAATCACTTCGTGATCTGTGGACACAGGTGGGACGTAACGGTCGCCATGATATCGCGCAAACGGCCACTCCTCGATCTCGGATACCTGGAGAACCTGATCCTCCACGGCGAAGAAGACAGCTGGACGTTCTTCACGCTGAACGGCTGCCCCGCACAGCTAGTCATGTTCATGGCGCGCCTATCGATCCTCGCCTCGACGTGTGAGAAAGTGCAGGCCTTGGCTGTGGAGTCCCCATGGGTTACCTTCAACACTGTGCCTGTGGAGGCAATAGTTGCCGAAGTCATGCAGTGGACGAATCCTGAAGGTGCAACAGCCGAAAGTATCGCGTGGACGGATGACGATCCAGAAGAGAGGCTGAATCGCTTCCACTGCATCGAGGCCTGGCGTAATGCGATCCTCCTCTACGCTTATCGAGTCTTCTACCGTCCTCAGACCAATTCAGGTCTACGTTCTATCACTCATCTCGCGCGGGTGGTCCTTGACCACGTCCGCTGCATTCCCGAGTCGGATATCGTGCAGAAACAGACCCTCCTGCCCGTTTTCCTCGCGGCATCCGAGTCCGGCGATGAGACGACACGGAATTTTGTACGGAATTTCTGCGGCCATTGGACCGCTACGGCGAGGTACAGTATGTTTGGCACGGTGGGAGCGCTGCTGGAAAGCATCTGGGCTGATTGGGACGCCGACTTGAGGAAGATTTACTGGTGGGGAACAAAGGTCGGCAATGGCGATCGTGAGTCGCCTGGTGGACAGAGAGGTCTTGTCTCGGAATTGCTTCTTGGCTGAGATGTTCATTCCCCTGGTCCTTCGAACACTGAGTACTTGGAAGTCATCCCGGTCCAATGATATCTTGGTTCTATCTATCGTTCACCCAACACTTTTCAGACGTGCTAGATTGAAGCTAAGTATGGCCATTTGTATGCGAGGTTTGCAAGGACGGTCGGGACCGACTCAGTGACCTACGTCGACTGCTTCCGCTTGACGCTCATCACAGTTGTACATCTCCCAAATCTCTCAAATCGATGATACTTTGCCATCCTTCGACGAGTTTTCTCCATCTAGCTCTGATTTCGGAGAGACTTCTACAGCCGATATAACGTCACCCTGGAGGGCGGCATTCCGCCTCTCGGTCAACAGCGCGATATCGATCTTGGGGCCGGTGAACACACCCCGCTTGGTAGTGAACCACAATGAAACCACAAACACGACCAGGCCAGCAGAGACCACCGACACGTAACTCATATTCTGTGGCGTCACCGGCAGAGAGGTTGGAAAGCAGTAGAGAATATCGAGAAACACGACCCACGCGATGGCAATCGAGTTGATTGGTACACCAAGGCGTCCGAGATTGAAATGGCGTGGTGGAAGAACGCGGTCGCGGCCACGGTATAGGACTATGGCCTGTGGGATGACGCACGATGTTTGCAGGAAAACAATACACGTGCTAACCATAGCTGAGAACGCTGTGGTTGAGCCTAGGAAAATCAGACCGTAGAGCTAGAGGGATCAATGTCAGTGGATGGCGCTCGCATAGTTTTACCTAAAGGGGCATGGCATACCGTGATGAAACTTGCGGATAGCATCATTGCATTTGCTGGCATCTGATATTTTGTGTGCACATGGGCCCAAAGGTGAGAGTAAGGTAGAGCTCCGTCACGAGAAACGGCCCAAAGCGTCCGGGATGAGGTCGTAGCTTTGCGGGAGTGTTAGATATGATGTCTTGAATGCTTGGGGGTTTGACTGAGTCATGTACATACCATTAGCTACCAGGTTCCCGAAGAAACAGAACGCAAACATCGCCAGCAAAATCGAGGCTGCCACCCGAGAGCCAGTTCCCTGGTAGTAGATTTCAATCAATGGAAGGCCTGCATTGGTATTGAAGACCGCATCCAAGTCGGTGATGGAGTACATGAGAGATACCGCAAAGGGAAATGCAGTCAATAGGCCCACTAGAAGTGGCCAGATGATGACGCGTGGTACCATTTTCGCCGGGTTTGCGATTTCTTCGCACAGATGAGCCGAACAATCGCTACCCAGAAAGGAGTAAACAGCATTTCCCACAGCAAGCATGAATGACCAGCCATTACTTGACCATCCAGTGCGACTGGTGGCATCGGTAAAGATGAATGAGCCGTCTGCATGGTTATTGCGACTGACAATGAATAGTGTAAGCATGGTGGAGCTGAGAGTGCAGACAGCTACCACAAAAAGCATCTTGTTGAAAGCCGGAATCCAATTGGAACCAAAAACATTTGCAGCAACCGAGATCCATGTAAGGGTGACATAAATCAGGTATTGATGCCAGTTGTGGATCTCATAGTTTGGGTACCATACTGCAACGATCTCAAGTATCATGGAAGCGACGAAGTTGGCCACGGATGCTGCTCCCAGCCACCAACCGATGATACTCATCCAGCCGTTCCTGGTAGGGCGTTTATGTCAGGATGCTTCCATCTTTTCTTGACGAATCGAACTCACATGTAGGACGCAAATGGCTTATATTTGTCGGCCGTCACCATGAATGACCAGTAGTATTGTGCACCTGTCGCAGTATAAGTGCTGATTCTTGAGGCAGAAAGCTGGGAGACATGCCTGCAATAGGGTAGGCACTTGCAAGCTCGGCCATACCAGCAGAAACAATCATCGTCATGCCACCAGCAATGACGAGGGACCAGATAGTGCCTGCTGGGCCAGCCTCGGTCAGACTGATGCCCACAGAAGATCCTGTGCCGAGCCAGGTGCAAGTGAGGTCGAAGGACAATGCAGCAAGCGCCCAGAAGGTAAAGCGACGGGGCATGGTACGCTGGTAGCCAGCTGCCTCGAGCTCGAGGTCGTCCATCCGGACCTCTTGCATATTGGAAGGCGCCATAATTGCGTATATTGTGAGGATATGTTAATGAAGTTATCTTGCGAAGAGCTGTACTTCTCAGAATGAGAGAGCGATATCAGATCGAGTCAGAGTGCTGCTTCTGTTCCTATCTATCACTTATATCTTCGTCGGGAGAAGCACAGGATTGCTTTATTTCATAACGGGCCAGATTCCTCAATGAGCAGCGATAAGCTACCCAGGAAGGGAAGTCGGCACATTTCTTGATAGAGCCTGGATTCCGCTTGGACAAGGCTCACGTAGAATGTAGTTCAGACGCTCTCCTGGTCGATGAAGGACACGAGACTGATTGTGTGGGAAACCAAGAGCATTACGAACTGCTAGCGGGCAACCTCGGATAAGGGGGTTGATGGGACGGAGCAAACGAAGATTGAATTGCCTTGTATGGAAGGAGAGATGAACTTGGCGCTTTCACGAATCGGACCTTATCTCTTCCAGCGTCCGAATCGTGGGGATAAGAGGAACCTCTGCTTGGTTCTCTTTTACGACCTATCACTGGCACCTCGGCATAGGAAATGCTTTCAGCTATCTCCTAAGATCTGGGTATTATCTCTGTTACCTAATCCGGTAACAGAGATCAGACCATTTGATCTTGTGGTTCTCCATCACGACCAAATTGTGGAAAACTAATCCGTGATCTCTGGGATAATGGGTCACTGGATCTTTTTTGGCATATCGACGACGCTTAGCTGCTGTATCCCTTGAGGGTCTAAACTAAGGATCTGAGATGAGATCCTAACTACCAACCTCTGCCTGCCATCTTCTCTTGGCTGCTAAGAGTCGCACAGTTAATTCCAACCATGGCCTCCCCTAGACCCGTACTGCACTCGGCAAGGACCACTGGATCTTGATAGTGAGTTGTGGCTTGTACAATCGCCCGTGCCCTCTTTGATGCGTCCCCAGACTTGAAAATACCGCTCCCCACGAAGACTCCATCACAGCCCAGCTGCATCATGAGTGCGGCGTCTGCTGGCGTAGCAACTCCTCCTGCTGCAAAGTTGACCACTGGCAGCCTGCCCAATGTCGCTGTCTCTCTCAATAGTTCAACGTCGACTTCTATCTCGCGTGCCATGGCCCGGATTGCATTGTCGCCTCCTTCCGCTAGAACGGCCTTTGCTCGAGCGATCTGTTCATTCAACAATCGCATGTGTTTGACTGCTTCCACCACGTCACCGGTTCCTGCTTCGCCTTTCGTTCTGATCATTGCAGCTCCTTCAGCAATTCTTCTCAGTGCTTCTCCAAGGTCCCGACATCCACAGACAAATGGCACCTTGAATGCACTTTTCTCAACGTGGAATCTGAGGTCTGCCGGGGTAAGGACTTCACTCTCATCGATGTAGTCGACCCCAAGAGCCTGCAATATTTGACATTCGACAAAATGTCCGATCCGAGCCTTAGCCATCACCGGTATCGTAACGGCAGCCTGGATCTCTTTGATTAAAGCAGGGTCAGACATTCTAGCCACACCTCCCTGCACTCTGATATCGGCCGGTACCCTTTCGAGCGCCATTACAGCACATGCTCCAGCTTCTTCTGCAATGCGTGCTTGCTCTGCATTGATAACGTCCATTATCACCCCTCCCTTTAGCATTTGTGCAAGTCCTGTCTTGACTGCAAAACCTGAGAAGGGGGAGCTGTTGTCGCCCATGGCTCTCTCTGAATTTGGGCCACTTGAGCGTGAGGATTTTGTGCGACGTGCTTCTTCGGAGTCGATGCTGTGCTTGTCAGAGGAATATTTTGTGCGTGCTGTAGCTCGAAATATATTTCGATACTATTATAAGCTCAATATGTCTCCATATTCAAATCAGAACAGGCAAGCTAATTCGTAGTCAACAATATCATGTCCCAGTATCTGGCAGTGTGGAGTTCTGGAATGCCGGAGAAGTCCCCAAACTCACATCGAATCTGATCAGCATGTTGCATCAGGATCGAAAAGCTGTCAGCGCCTTTCCTTCCTAATTTGACATATCCGAGTGGTGAATATTCATTGCTAACTTGGGTAATCACCCGACCGCAGTTGTAATCCCTGAAATGAAAGGCGAGATCTGAGCCGAAGGCCAAGCAGCCCTGCATATGCTTCAAGGGCTTTGACGCGGTGGAACATTAGTTCGTGTTTTGCGAACGGCAGCCAAAGATATCGTTCATGAACTCAGTCCGAATCGCAATGATATGATCATACTAACTTTTAGCAATCTATTCTCTTACAGCCTCGCTCCTTCACCCAATGCCTCAGCCACCAAACGTACCGCGGCCTCTGCACATCCGTAGGAAGACTGATATCCTGCACCGCCAGCGCCGTAGTTGTGCACAACCCACATATCACCTATTCTCTCCTTTTCAATCCTTGTGCCTTTGTCTCTCACCGGACGAAGTCCCACCCCATGCCGAATGACATCCAAGGCCTCGATACCCTTTCCGCCTGTCAGCTGTGGACATGCTGCCACCGCCCTCTTCATAATTCTGATTGCTAGGTTTGGGTCGGGCTGACTTTCCCAGCTTCCTTTTTGATAACAGCCTCCCAGTATAGTCCCACCACCCGCAGCACGGGTCATGATGTAGCATGCTTCGTCATCACCATCATCCGTGCCCGAGAAACTGATCATCTTGCCGGCATCATTACGTACGACCACTATCTGGCCCCGTGCAGGGACAACAGTCGTATCAGCCACACCTCCTAGCTTAGCCGCACCGAGTCCTGTGCAGTTGACAATCAAGTGAGGTCTTCCTGCGATTGAGGGGGAGACAGCATCCAGGATATGCTCGAACACTGCACGCTTGAAAATCACACCATTTGCAAGACATTGAGAGACCAACCACGGCAGGTAGATGGCAGTGTTTATGCAGACTGATGTGAATGCAGTGGCAGAAGATATCGACGGATCCAAGTTTTCCTTTGGCAGTGAACGAAACTGCAGTTTCTTCGAGTCAGTAAAATTATCTCGGTTTGTCACTGGGGTTGAGGCTGACATTTGGCACCACATCTTTGAACCAGGCATTGGGCGAAAGTAATTCATTGAACCAGGCTGCTGTAGCTGATTTGGCATCGACGGCACGATTATAGATTTCGCATTCTGTCTCTCTCCATCAGTGAATCCATCGTACGCTGGCTACCATACAACAAACCTTGAAAATGGACCCCTGCCTCTGGTTTGTTCCGAGCAAGATCCGCAAGAGGAGCCCAGGTATCTTTATCCCATTGCGCAGCTGGTGTACCTCGTTCTGAGACCCTATTTAGATTCCGAATATCAGAAACCTGTCCCTGAATAGTCCATATACTCCCTTTTGGTTTTTTACTTACGGCATATAATTTCCCCCTGCCCAGGGTGAAGCATATTCGATATCGTAGTCTCCAGGCATATGCTTAGCGGCGACCACGATGTTATATTTCTTCTTCTTCGATAGTAGCAGTGCAGTCGTGAGCCCTGCGGACCCCGCCCTGAAGTAGTGTTAAAACTGATCAATGGCCATTTCGGTGGCATGATCCATAGTTGCCATGAACGTACCCGACAACAACAATTGTTTTCTTTGCCTTCATTTCGCCGGTAACAAGAATTGATGACTCGGTCCAAATAATAATCTTGATTCTCTAGAATTAAGGCACAGAATAGCTTTCCAGTTTGGATATTTTTCTTCTCCACGAACCAATATATCAAAACTGATCGTGTTGTGCACAGCTGTGTGGAGTCAAATCTCGCCGATGCCGAAGTTTCCCCCCAGGAACCAAATACAAGACCGAGTGACTCAGATGTATCCTCGCAACGGGTTCATTCCTCCAAAATTTGGCGAAATCTTTAACGCCAAGTCGTAAACTACTGGAGATCTGTAGCTCGAAGCCATGGTTTAGCTCGCTGGGGTGGCATGATTAAGTTTCCCGTCGGTAATGTCGTCACCTCGAACTCCCAAACTCAACTTCCAGAAGGGGTAATACGCTTTTGATCGAGGCTCGGCGCAACCGAGGACATACGGAGTTCACCCTTTCATGCAAAGCCTCGAATGTAGGAGCGGAGAAAGGCGAACCTGACACCTCTTAAAAGCGCTTGGGGGAACGGGACCGATGGGTAAGTAAACATCTAACTCACAACGATACACTCCCTTAATCATATCATCTCAAATTCCATAAACAATCTCCATCAAAGATGGCCACCATGGAGAGAGTCTTTGGCGACTATGAGGCACGCAAAGCCGTGCTCGCCAGCAGCACCAATCCGTTCGCCAAAGGAATCGCCTGGATTGAGGGCGAACTTGTCCCATTCCACGAAGCAAGAATTCCACTGCGTGATCAGGGTTTTCTACACAGTGATCTCACATACGATGTTCCGGCAGTCTGGGACGGACGGTTCTTTCGACTAGACGACCATTTGGACCGCCTAGAACTAAGCTGCAAGAAAATCCGCCTGCAGTTGCCAAAGCCCAAGGCCGAGATTAAGGAGCTGCTTTTCCAGATGACGGCGAAATCGGGGATTCGCGATGCCTTCGTCGAGTTGATTGTTACACGGGGCCTCAATGGTGTTCGCGAGTCGAAACCTGAGGATATCGTCAACACCCTGTACATGTTCATTATTCCCTATGTGTGGTGCATGGAACCCGAGATCCAGAGAGTCGGCGGCAGCGCGATTATTGCACGGACAGTGAGGCGAGTCCCGCCTGGTGCGATCGATCCGACCGTGAAGAATCTGCAATGGGGCGATCTCATCCGCGGCATGTATGAAGCGAGAGACAGGAATGCGATGTATCCGTTCCTCACAGATGGCGACTCGAATCTGACTGAAGGTTCTGGCTTCAATATCATTTTCATCAAGGATCGGGTCTTGTACACACCTGACCGGGGTGTCTTGCATGGCGTCACGAGGAAGAGTGTCTTTGATGCGGCTCGTGCACATGGCATTGAGATTCGGTGCGAAATCGTGCCCGTCGGGCTTGCATACCAGGCAGATGAGATCTTCATGTGCACGACAGCGGGTGGTGTTATGCCTATCACCACTCTCGACGGAGAGAAGATCAACGGTGGGAAGATCGGGCCCATCACAAACGCCATCTGGGACAAATACTGGGCTATGCACTGGGATCCAGTGTATAGTGCTGAAGTTGACTATGCCATGTTCAAGGGCAAATTATAAAGAGGCCAGCCTGTGATATGAGGAATCTGCTCCAAAAAAGGACAGGAAAAAGTAATTACCAACACCAGAAATCTTGTAGCTAGGGATATTCTCCCTGACATAAGCATTGGTACTTAAACTGCCCTATGTCGGCTGGCTAAGCATCTCAACTGCCTTCAAGTGGTCAAAGGACTCAAAAGAGGCGTCTTCCCCTTAATTCAGCCCTCGTTGGCACACTCTTCGGAATTCTTGCACAGGGATTAAAAGATCGATTATATACGCCTAGGCTAGGCTCGAAACTTGGGAAGACTCCGCAGGCACGTCGACACAGACTGTCATTTATAGCATCAACGGTTCGTTTCCATGAATTTTTGGAAAATATTTGCCGTGTCCTAAAGAGAGGAGGAGGGGTGGAATCAGTGGTAGGAATTATAGATGTAGTTAATCTGCTAGTTCGGGTGGCACACCATGTTGTCCCGTGGACAGACTTTAACATCCCTGCAGTGATCATTTAATCTTACGTCGTGACATAAAACGGCAATCTGGAGTTGGATTCAATCAAATAGCCGTGTTTGAAAGAGTTAGATGCATAACCACTGTCATCCGTCTCTGAACATGGGAATGTTTGGGGACAGTTGGAACTTGTGTCATTAGCCTCGATATATGTCGTCGAATCTGTGCTTGCTTACCGATTCCTGACCCAATGTCCACGCGAACAAACAATAGTGAGTTCAAACTCACCCAATTTTATCGACATGATAAGGCAAGATCTTGGCTTGACATGCTCACTCCATTTGTCATGATTGATCACCGAGCCATCTACCTTGCCAGAGAAGACCTGATACTCGCCACGGATCACCTGGGCATTGCCTGGTCGATCCTCAAATTTAACCTCGAGAAAAGCCTTGAAAACCTTTTTCGAATCATCAGTAGCATTCTTGTTAATAATGATGAGGGGGCCATGTGGACCTTGAAATGCTCAAAGGTTACGAACGGTACTTCGTAAGTGGCTCCATGTGCATCCTCAAAGTTTATTGTGTCCCCACCGAGGAGTGAAATGCTTGGAGGAATATTGCCATAGACCCTAAGAAAGAGAGACAACATGAAGCAAAGCAGTATGCTGGCGAAGGGGTTTATTATGCTAGAAAAGGTGTCGATAAAGGAGAGTCTTCCCAGGGAAGAAGCTTACGCATGATCCAAAAGATACTGTGAGAAAATTCTGATAACATCGTCCCTTTTCGTCATTAGCATAGGTTCTAACCAGCCATTTGAGACAGACATTGCGTACCTATGACAACAAAAGCACAATAGTACAAAGAATGCGCCAACAAATTCTCCTGGCAGGCAGTTGTTCGACATCTGTGAGTTACGCGTCATGGTCTGCTTTTCGAGATGCTCCAACCTCGTCAAAACTCTCTGGTATTTCCAATTGTTGTTGGATACACCCGGCTGAATTAAACACCGCTGATCATCGGAGGCTGTCTTGGTGATATCAATCAGACTTGCGCCTGTGCGCTGTGAACATGTGGCATTTTCATCAAGCGTTCCATATGACGAGGAGATCTTGTCATCGATGCGATCAGCAAAAGTGTCAAAATGAGATGTAAGAGCACCATCGATACGATTCAACTGCACAGATAAATCCGAGCTGTTCATTTCCAATTCTTCAATACCAGAATGTTCTCTGCCGAGAAGCCTCCTGGAGTCCTCATGGTATGCGACAGATAAACCCGAGACCTGTTTTGCGAGCCCACCTATCCGAGAAGTGAGCGCATCGTTAATATTGTCAAGTCTTGCAGATATATGGGAATTCTTCGTTTGCAGCTCCTCAATTCCAGATTTTGCTTTGTGGAGGAAGTTGTGTGACTCCTGGTGGTGCCCTGCAGACAACTCCGATGCGCATCTGTTCACAGTAAGCATTCCCGCGTGTGCTCTGACGAGAGTTATGGCATACAGAATACTGTTCAGTATAGTCGCGTGCGTGCCCGCCTCGACCCTATTGTTGTGCTCTTCGAAATCTTTCTCGCCTTTGAAAGCCCACTTCAGTGCGCTTCCAACCTGTTTGCGTCGACTTCCGGTAGCCTGCGGCCCAAGAGAGCGACTGAACTTGCCATGCTTTTTCCTGAAAGTCTGGTCTCGCTCGCGTAGTTGTTTTGCAGTTTCCGCAAGGGCCGTAGACCCAGGTGAACCTCTCTGAGAGGTGACAAAATGTTGTTCGAGTAGCACCGAAGCAGCAATGCGATCTTGTAGACTGCCATCGGCCTCTTGGAAGGAATCTTTGGCACCACCATCTCGGAGAGCGGCGGTAGCCTTAGCGATGGCTTTCCCACCGGCGACAAAGTCGCTGGGAGATATGCCGACGACAGACATCAGACCTGCGAAGGCACAGAGTCATGTCTGGAGAAGACAAGCACATAGAAATCCAGAAGGTGAAAATTGAGGAAAGAAGGCTGACACTCGCGAAGTGCTCGCCACTGCCAACAAGTCTTCTTGCAAGGCGTTCTTGCCTAGCCGCAGCTCGATGCAGGGCGTTGCATCAGTATCCAATTATGTGATGCCAACACCTCGTCGAGCTAACCTCGCCTCGTTAGTGGAGGGGAAGTCTTTCTGGTTCAGCCTTGTTGGAAAGCCCCTCAACTTCCGGAAGATGAGCACCCTTTCGAGAATAGGTTCGACTACATGAAGAATTGGATATCGAATAACTGGTTTATTAGACGATCATTTCAAAGTTGGAGCGCGCCAAGGCGCTGCAGCTGCATCAGCCACCCAAGTTTCAAAGTACGGATTGCCTAAAAAGCCATTCCTCACTCCCCTGTTTTGTGGGGAAAGTATGAGCATCAGATGCTCTTACTTCTGTGTGGCTTATTCAAGCCACCCAAGTCACTTTTCCACCAATAAATTTCAATATCAGCTAACTAGGATACCCCTTGAGTAATCTTACAGGTGGAATCAGGCGGCCTCGGAGCTCGCGTTCGGCCTTGGGTACATGCTTGAAGTATCCATAAGAAGAAAGGGAATTTGCATAAACCCGAACTAGACCCTTGTCCCTGATTGCTCATTGTTGCTTGGACCTTGGTTTGCCAATGTGCCCGAATAAGTTATGCAGGCTGTGTTGCTCTGTGAGAAGATAAACGCCGAACAGTTGACATCCGCTGCACAATTATTGGCGCAGGTCAGGTAGTCTGGCGAATTTCCAGCGCTGATAAGGCTCGTCGCCCGGATCGAGTCACCGCAGTAACGATTGAAGCCGACAAGCCCGTTCTGCGTATCGAATACGGAGAATGGATCGGACTGCATTGAGCAATCATTAGGCCCGGGAGGTTGAAAATTGAACCAGAGCTGAGTGCCGAGTGTGGGTTGCTGGAAAGATGCGCTTGTGTCGGATACAAGGAGGCAATCTGTGTAGTCGCTACTTGTCGTGAAACCTTTACAATATGCCAACCCGGCACACTGAGCTGCGCAATCCTGGTAACTGGTGCCCACATAAGTGGAAATACCGCCCCCCAGCACGGCTTCATCAGGGCATGAATACCAATCTTTGCCAGATAATGTGAACTGAAAGGTAGCAAAGTCACAGTAGTTTGAAATGGAGGTTGTGGCAGGCGCACTTGAGCCTGTCGTAGTCGTTGCAGCTTGGCTTGTCGTTGTCGTTGTTGTCGTTGTTGTCGTTGTTGTCGTAATCTCGCTTGTGGTTGTGGCCTCGCTTGTCGTGCTCGTAGTACTGAATTCACCTGTTGTGCTCGTGGATCCGCTTGTTATGCTCAAAGTGGATTCGCTTGTCGTGCTCGTAGTCGTTGATCTACTTGTTGTACTCACAGTTGTGGATTCACCTGTTGTGCTCGTAGTCGTGGATTCACTTGTTGTGCTCGTGGATCCGCTTGTTATACTCGTGGTGGATACGCTTGTCGTGCTCGTAGTCATAGATCCGCTTATTGTGCTCGTAGTTATAGATCCGCTTGTCGTGCTTGTAGTCGTGGATCCACTTGTTGTGCTCGTGAATCCGCTTGTTATGCTCGTGGTGGATTCGCTCGTACTCGTAGTAGACTCACTCATCGTCGTAATGGTCGTTATTGTCGTGAGGCCGCTTGTTGTCATTGTCGTCGTAGTTTCGCTTGTAGTGGTTGTTGCCGGCTCACTTGGAGTAGTCGTCGTTGTAAGCGGACTTACGGTGGTAATCCCGCTTGACGTTACTGCCGATATCGCTATTGTGGACTCTTTTGTGGTAGATACTGCTGCACTCGTCGTGGTAGTACTCTCATTGGACGAATTTGGTTGCCTCTCTGTTGCGCTGGTGCTGGTAAGCTCGCTAGGACCGGTGCCACTGGGCATTGTAGAGATCGTAGTAGTGATAGGTTCTTGGAAAGTAGTGGTTAGAGTAGAATGTCTCGAGCTGGCGGTGATAGAAAGTCCTCGCGATGTGCTAGAAAGGAATACTATATCCGAAGTGGTAGTGGTAACACGCTCCGCCAACGTAGTCGTTGTTCTAACAGTTGGTTGGGACGGTGTGCTTGTATCAGGCGGCGTAGAAGCGGCCGCTGTCATCGTTGAGGTAGTAGTGGCTGAGGGGGCTGAGAAGGGCACGATTAGCGTCTGGGTTCTTTAAAATGGTGTATTCAAGACTTACCACGTGCTGCACCAACTCTGAGTGGCTGAGCGCAATTAGAGGGATCCTGAACTACATATACCACGTTCGCGAGGAGACACCAACCCCCAGCGCCCTGTATCTGTGCAATGCCGTTGGGAAAAGACCAATTGTAGAATCCAGATGGCGTACTGGACTTGATAAGGGGTGAATCTTGTCTACTTTGGCTTCCGACGATCATGCCTAGTGATCGTACTAGAGTTCCAGATACGGAGAAGACTGCAGCGGAACTTTTGTCCTCGGTCAAGAAAACGGTGTTGTCAACACGAAAGGCCATATATGTTTTCACTTCCGCTCGGCGATGTTTTCTCGCCGCAAAAAGGTCAACTTCGAGCACAAACGCATCAGAAGGAAATGGGGTTGTTAGCGTGGTACTAGAAGTTATGACGGACAAGACACTAGTAGTCGGTGAATCCACTATGGGCGTAGTGACAATGGTGTTGCTGGTACTAGACGACGTCTGGCTTTCTGAGGGCGTCAAAACGATAGACATCGTCTCGGATGCCGTGGTTAACGATGATGAACCTGCGGCCGTAGGGGTCGTAGAGATTGACGTTAAGGACCCTCCCGTATCGCCAATGCCCGAGGATGTTGTGGAGCCAGAAGATGTAATTAGCACAGGCGTTGAGGACGCAAAAGGAGTTGGGATGCTGGAGAACTCTGTGGACAGAATAATGGATGTAGAAGAGGAACTCTGTGACGGTGGTGGTGAATTTGAAGCAGGCGATCCAGTTACCGGAGATGACAAAGAGTTTACAGAAGAGGTAGTCTGTGACAAAGGTGAGGTGGCGGAGCTAATCGGCACAGTGGAAGACGGCATTACGGTAGAAGTGCTGTCGGCTAAAGTCCTTGGTGTGATAGTGGTAGAGGAAGTTGACTCGGTCACTGAAAATGAGCTGCTCGTACTAGAAATGACCACTGATGAAGACACCGGAATGGAAAGTAAAGTTGTGCCGTCGCGTGTAAAAATACTGGAAGGCACTGACCTGCTTGTTGTGGACGACGTGGGTAGCGTGCTGCTACTTGAAACTGTACTAACAGAAGTAGTACTGCTCGCAATGGTCGTCGAGCTGGTCGCCGAGTCCGATGGCAAGTCCAAGGCGAGGAAAACAGGTGTAGCACAAGAGTCAGGCTCGGTGTACACCGTGATGGAACCTAATGCATCCATGCAGAAACCGATGGAGCCTTGCAATTGGGCCAATCTACCAACAAAGAACCAAGTGCGCAGGCCAGCTGGAAGATCGACACTAAGTTGAATCTTGGAGTTCGTAAGCACAGGAGTGCCTATGTACATATTTCTGACGACGAGCGAGTCATTGTTCGCTCTAAAGATTAGCGTATCTTCAGATAAACCTGAGCTGGACACCACGATGCCGTTGTTATTGCTGTCAAATGAGAGATACTGCGCATTGTCCTGTCGTCGAACTAAACCGGGTGGAGTCTGTAGGACCAGAAGTCGGAATCCGGATCCTGTAGGAGTTATTGGAACACTCGCGGCGGTCGAGCTAACAGATACAGTCGAGCTGGTCATGATGGCAAGACTGGTGGACTGTGTAAAACTGCTAGTAGTGCTGGCGATGGCAGATGAGATGAGGATGCTGATGCTGGTAGCACTCGTTGGCAGAATCCCTTTCCCCATGTTAATTCAAGTGGTTCCTAAGTGGAGAGCGTGGGTCACGAGTCAGACAACTCACCGGAGGAGGTATTTGTGAATATCCCTATCCCAGAGGAGGTATAAATGGGAGTGCTAGCAGCCGTCGTTGGTGTCAGTAGCCAGTCTGACCAGGTTGAGGGTGGAGGCCCTTCGATACCGGTGCTAGAAATTGTCAGCATAATACTCTTTGGATAGAATATCATTGTCGAGAGCAGCAAGGACAACAGACTGGGACGAGGACAACTGACGGGCCATTTGGAAAGATGAAAGGCGGAATCGTGTATTTGATAACCTTGGTTACAATGACTTCGAAATTAATAACCGTTGGTCGAGCACAGGTCCGGGTGATAGTGGCAGTCCAAGCTCTACCGGGCACGACCGTGGTGGTGCTGGTGCTGGTGCTGGTGATAACTTTTCCATCGACCTTCCAGGTCGCCGTGCGAGGCGGGATCGGAACAGTAGAGGGCGGTACGTGCTGTGGAAATTCGAAAATGTAGATGCCGGGGGCGGATACGGGCGTTTGTGTAGAGCACACGGCAGATGCGGTATGAGAAAAGGTGGCTTTTGATTCGAAAACCCACACTTCGGGAAACCGACGACACAGAGTCTGTTTGTTGAACATGTGCATACACTCAAGGACATCCAAGAGTTGTATCTTCTGTCCTCCAGGGCCTCTACATTGGTCACAGATGCCGCTCCCCTTGTATCCAGGAATTGCAAATGGGCTCAAATTCTTGTAGGGTGCGCTCCACTCCTTCACGATAGTCGTGTAGGCCGATGTCGTAGAGGTAATAGTGATAGGTTTTCTCCACTTACGAGTTACCGTGGAGGTGACGAATGTGTTTGTGACGGTCTTTGAGGATCGAGTGACCAAGACATTTTGATCGGTTTTGGTGATGGTAGACACAGACGATGGTGAAGCCACCGGGCAGGGGATAACGGTGGAAACAAAGCCATAGGTCGAGTACGAATAGTGAACCCAACACTTGTTCTTGACACAGACCTTGGAGGAGGATTGACATGTAGACACAGGTTGATATTGGGCAGTAACTGTAATGGGTAGGGGTGTTTTCCATTGCGAAGGAGAGGGGCATGGGGTGACAGTAGCGATGGCAGTCGACTCTGGCTCCCAAGCGCCGACGAACCCAGCACCAAGGTATGCCACGAGAAGCAAGCGCCTCACTGCAACGAACATATTGTAAAGAGACACTGGGGTCAGACAGGTCAAAGCCGGCAGCAAAAATGAGAAGTGAACGAGAGATACATCAGAGAACTTCGACAGTATGCCCTGGCTGCCTTTAAAAGAACACTGTCTCTGGGTAGAGCGCTCTCAGAGAGGCGTTGATATTCGCGCGTCGTTGCGGAGGCAATTTGCTCCATGAAAGTAGGTTGACCTCTAGTCAGAGTTCAGCTGCGAACATCCCCGAATACAGAAATGAACAAGATAGCAGCCTCTGCAAAAATCAAACAACGCCAGGTGTCAAGCAGTTCTAGAACTCGGTTCGTTGGTACCAGCCAGCGCCAGCAATCGTTTGTGACGGCCGGACTTAATTTCCACCTGGAAGATGGGCATTGTAAACAAACGCCTTTAGCACGTGAAGCATCACTAGCAAAGGCGCAAGGCCGGACACGTGTACTTCATCATGCTGTAGCGCCTGTCATATCTCCTCATAATCAATGGAGACGTTCCCGAAAACGTTGGACGGCGAAGCTAGCGGTGAAGGAAGGGATTAGACCCCTAATATGTTCTTCATTTGGTAGAGATACGCGCATGAAAGTGGTGGCACCTTGTTTGATGTCTCTGAAATAGACAGCACCCAGGCTCGGGCATTGCTGGTCGGTTACTTATCAGTCACGAACTCCTCGGTAGCTTAGGAACCACAGTTCGCAGTCAGGAGCACCAGCTGGCTCGTGTTTTGGGATTTATTTTCCGTCACAAGAATAGTTAGCGGCTTCAGAGAAATTGGTGGAGAGAAGACTGGCGAGGCAAGGTGATGCACGTGACTCACACGTGACCCCTATGTGACTTGCTGATCTTGCTGAAGGTACAGCCTAAAAGGACTTGAAAATGCTTCAAGGTGGCCAGAGGCAAATACAAAGCATGAAGAATTTGTCTCTATTTTCCACTTGATGCAACTAGACTTGGGGAAAGCTCCACCAATCGACGGACGCTTCAGCCAATTCGTGACTGATCATGCAGACTAATAATGCAGTCCAAATGCTCACATTTCTGACTGGTTCGTCAACTAGTACACGAACCTGCGACATCACACTGCCCAGGCCATCATCCTGCTATGTAGAAGAAGACATGCGTTCTGATCGGCTATCTTGCGAACCCCAGAGGTTTGAAAACATGCGCATGAACAAATATCATCCCCGGAGCTGCATAGGCGAAACACCACCTCTGCGGAACCAAGCCTCCAGGCCTGTCTTCCACGCGCAAAACTCTCCATCCAAATGCGCCTCAATTTTCAGCTTGCGAGGCTCCAGCTTCATCGTATCCACGGACTCTTCGTCATTCTCTCCCTCACCACCGCCACTTGCAAATTCGTCAGGCTGAATTTGACGCCGAACCCTCGGATCAAACAGATCAGCCATAACGACGTCGTCATTGTGGTGATAAGTCTCCCTTACACGGATGGCCCGCACTTTGTCCATGCCCAGAGGACGGACGTAGGCGTGAACTTTCTCCAGAGCATCGACCATGGCTTGTTCGCGGCACTGGATGAGGAGGTTTCGGCGTGTCGTGGCGTCAAGAGTCCATTTTAGAGAGCGGATGGTGACGAAGGGGATTTTGCTGATTTGAGCGAGGAGAATGCCCAGGGCATCGAAAGAGCGAAACTCGGCCGATATTCCAATGGTGGCTTCGTATTGCGGGGTATCCGAGGTGAGAAACGAGCCCGTCTTGCGGTATGAGTGGCTGCGGAAGGATGTCACAGAGAAGTCGACGATTGCGGCTTCAAGGATTTCGATTTTTTCGGTTGTCACGTTATTGATGGGGCCGTCGGAGACTTGTGACTGAGATGTCACCTGTGCTAGAGGCCTCAATGTACTGATGATCTCATCGGCAGTTTTGCGCACTTCGTCTGCAACCTTGACTTGGTTTTGGCCTTCTGAATGAATACGTAGCACTATCGTGGCGCGATTTGCCGGGACCGTAATGGAGGATTCACCGTCGAGCGAGATGGAGATAGGCTTTGGGGCCGAGAGGTATGATGGGATACCAAGTAGGCATAGCACGGTCACAATGGACTGCTTGACCCATGCCGAAGCGATCATATTGACTCGAGTATATGTACTGGATCAGCAGAATGATATATACTGTAAGTTCAGAGAATGAAATGACATCAACTCCGAGAGTCGAAGTAATCTGTGGACGACCACGACTTTGGCCCTGCTTTTGCAGGATATGTGAAGGCAAGGTGGCTTCTTCCTTCACAACGGCAGCAGGGGTCTTACCTCATTGAGATCTGCTATTATCTTGATCTCATGAATAATGGAACTCAACTGGGCTTCTGTGTTGCGAATATTTAGGCACATGATGTTGAATAGAAAGGCCAGATTGCTAAAGCCTGGAAGCTACTGACTCAGCAGCCATGCACTAATTGGTCGAGGAGGTGTTACCACAGCAACCTCATCAACATCGAAGTGAGGCGCTGGATAGCAGCCAGTTTCAGGACTACTACTCGTAAATGTTCAGTACTGGTTGTTCAGTCAACTATATCCAATATCAATCCTCGAAGTGCCTGCTTCACTCGGAGTCTTCGCAAACCTTCCACCATTCGTCGTACCATACAGACTGTACTTGTTAGAAACTCAACTTCCCAAACCGTACAGCGGATGGGCCTCCCAATGTACTCGACGTGAATCTCTTGCTCACCCTTGGCATTGAATTTCTTGATAGTGTTCCAAGGACCGCATATGTATGCAGTATCTTCGTGATGAAGTATAACACGGCATTCTCAAGAAGTAGCGCAAACTCGTCAGCCAGTCCCAAAGGACGATAGATCCAGCCTGCCATCGCAATATCCCGTGTTCATCTTGCCACCGAGAACATCATACGACGTATACCATTCGCACTGCTTAACTCGGGCCCGCAAGGTGTGCACGCCAACACAGGCTCTCAGCAACGCAGCCAAGTCGAAATACGAGGAGCACTCGCCATAAACTATGCGCGGGGGACCATGTGTAAGTTCGATAGTGTCTCTGTAGAACGTAAGACTGCTGCCAGCCAGGCGCTGTTACTCATTGGTCGGGACAGTGGCGTTGGTCGAAGCGGGAAACTTACTGTACGGAATGACGAGTCTTGGGACTTATCCCGCTGCGCCTGGACGTATCAGGCCGGAGGCATCTTCCATTCACGAAGAGCATGTTCGTAGAGAATTTGGGATTTCACAAGATACGGTGTAAAGAATTATCAGAACGAGATAACTTTTCACTAGAACACTTCAGAGGGAATATTTTTTTTGGAAATGATTTGTTCATTGGTGATCACGCAACCAAGTAGATGCCAGTATCCAACCACGGCGAAGGTTACGGGATAGACACAGTACTGGCGTGATTCTAGATATCATACCTCAGGACGGGTATAGTATGATGTGAATTCTTCGTTAAAAAAAACATGTTGGTAAAAAGCTAGCCGCGGTACGGCAAGGCAAGACAATGTGAATATGTCAAGAAAGGCGGTGTGCATAATATGTGCAGGTAAGTCGTAGAATGTATGTAAGTCACATGGGTGGGATGAGACATTGCCCTTGATCGCATCGAATCTCATCTCATCTCAGCATGGAGTATTCCTCGTCTCACATCAGATTCTTTCCCACTGTTGTCGATTGAAGCATGGCAAAGTTCACTCCTCATTTCCGCCTCTCACAGATGAGACGTCGGCGTGGGCGCGACCTTGTCGTCGTCCGAGTCCGACTGCCAGCCGAACAAGACGAAGGGATTGCGCGCACGGAGACGGAAGGCTGAATGCTTGGTGCTGGCGGCCTCGGGCTGTGAAGCGCGGATGTCGATCGAGGGGGCGGCGGTGACTTGGGGAACTGTGTGGGAAGTGGTTAGCTTGTGGTTTTGGGATTTTGAACGCTTGTCATATAATGAGGATGATGACGGGGCAGTGGAGGGGGGTTGTGCGATGGTGGGGGTCGCTGAAGCCATGCTGGTATAGGCTGCATTCGAATAAAGACTTTCGGCATCAGCAGGAACGGTCATGGCTGTGCCATCAGACATGGTCATAACATATCCAGATGCGGTTGAGTCTGGTCCAGTTGGTGCAGAGGTGCGTGTTGCGAGCCACTCTGAGCGAGATTTGTTGTTGTGTTGTCCCCAGGATCCGCTTCCATGCCTGCCACCAGATGACGATCCTTCGTGACCCCAGGCAGGTCTTCCAGATCCATACTCGAGAGGTGCACCTCCAGTGGTTGTAGGGTATTCAACAGGGGAAACAGTAACAGATTGTGACTCACCTTCATCACGTTTGGTATATTGAGTTTGGTACACGGTTTCGTAGACAGTCTCGGTGACCGCGTCATACTCCGTCAGGGTGACAATACCTGCTTGATTTTGAATAGCTGGCACGGAAGTGATCTGTGGGCCTGTTTTGGTGACATGAATGATTAGCTTAAGACTTCCGGCATTCAAACGGGGGATTTCAATCAAGGCCTCACCTCTACCACCTCCACCTCCACCATTCTGAGGGGCTCCAGTTTCAGCGATGGGTTGAACGGTGAAGGTTTGGGTCTCAATACCAGGCCCAGCTGTTGAGCCGGTATGGACAGTCAAGAACTCCGGTGCACCAGTCTCAGAATGAGTTGCTTGCGAGACACTAGCTTCGCTTGCAGCACCAGCTACTGGACCTGTGGCTGAAGCCGAGAAGCCGATTGTTGAGCCTGTTGAGCAAGATGTTAGCATTTCAGAACTGCTGGATGATGGAGCTGGTTGGGAGAAGGTAGGGGTGGCAGTGAATAAGATGGTCTGACCTGAAACTGCAGTAGGATTGGAAACATCCACCATTTGTACCTTGATTGCGGCTTGGTCAACTGGTTGATCAATCCAGGCATTGGAAACAGCCTTGGACCAAGCTTCAACTCCAATGTTGTCAACGATATCAATGTCCATGCAGGTGGTGTAGAGTTCTTGTTTGCCTTCAGGAAAGCCAGGGGTTCCAGGAAGAGTCGGCCAATCCCAGACCCAATAAAGGGTATATGGCTTGCCAGTAGGGGCAGTGGTTGGGATTTGAATATCCTGTTGGCACCAAAGATCATTACCCATGACCATGTTGAAAGGATGACCATATGTCACTTTTCGCTCATTGGAAATGAAACCACCATTGATTTGATAACATTGGCCATCGTCAAAATTGCGAGTGGACAAAAGAACACCACGACGATCCCCACCAGTTTGATCTGCATTCCATACTCGATGAATTGCAAGGAAAGAGTCGTCGGGACTGGGTTGAGTGGTTCCATAGACGTAGACGGTACCTCGATTTTGGGGTTTGCCAGGCTGAGTATCGGGAAGACTGACGTGACCATTTTCTTGATATCTCAAACCGACAGCTGAACCAGGAGCGGCCTGCAGTCTTGGACTACCGTTGGTTTGAGTTTGGGAAGTTTGAGTGGTTTTACACATCAAGTCTTGGGGTTCGATTTGATTTGCTGGGCGACCATCCGGGGGAATCAGGTTGACCATGGTAGGATCACTAAACTCAGGGGTTCCACGCAACACATTGCCACGGGGGAAACCAGGTTGACCAACCATTGTACCATTGGGAGCAATGACCATCAATTGTTCAACCCAAGTGTGTGCGGCGACAAAAGGTGTAAAGGTTGTGAGGGCGAGCAGACCAAGAAGGCCGCCAAGTATTGAAGATTGCGAAGGCATGCTTTGTTGGGAATGGGGATGTATGCTTCGAGGATTTGCGGATTTGCGGGATTTAAACTGGCGAAAGAAGTATTTCGATAGTATCGGAAATGGGTTGGGATTCGATCCAAAAAGGTTGGGTATCGTTTGTTGTTGAAGCGATCAGAAAACGTGAGAATTTGTATCCTGTTTGAAGTGTAAAATGCGTTGGTGTAGTCAAGAGTCGTCGAGATTCAAGAAAGATCGTGATGGTGATAATGTGCGGCGCTGCCGAAAGCCTGATCAAAGGAGTGAAAGAATGGACAAAGAATGGTAGAGGACGTGTTAAAGAGTGACTAAGTTAGCATTGTCCTTTGACAACAACGACGCCTTACAATGCTTGCGCAAGCATTGTTCAGAGAGTCTGTGTTGGCAGAAAGAACAATATCAAGAATGGTAGGACGATAAGCGAGGAAAACGAAGGTGATTCACTTGCGACCAGCGACCAGCGGATAAGTGAAGTGTGGCAAATGTTCACGAAGACAAGACGCCTTGACCATCAAGATGGACTGTGGGGCAGTCATATGGGATATGGGAATTTTTGGATCGGCATCTAAGCGCAAGGAGCAGAGTGGAAACGTTTGATCCGAGAGCCTCAATCCATGATGATGGACCCCTTACCAGGAAGTAGCTTGCTGAGGAACGAGGTCAAAGGCACAACCTACAGGGGAGATACCAGTAAGGTGTGGCATGGCATACAAGCTTCAGGTGCATGCAGCCAACGCATGATGGGTGGCCATACGAACCTGCAATCAAGGGTCTGAATGTGAGGTGGTTGGTGTTTCATGACCTCTTCCACTCGCGTGGTGGACCAGGGTGTGGGTTTGAGGCTTGGTTGGTGCGGATTGATTCTGGAGATCTGCGATAAAAGCGATAAAGCTTTGTGGATCTGGGACCATCATTGCAATATTCAGTATGCAACATGGAGCCTTGTTGCTAGGCATATGCTGGTTGATATTGCTGTTTGTATTGGTCTTGAGTGCAAGTTCTCAGTGAAGTCGGGACTTGTGAAAAGAACAATAGTTCCCAACCTTCTCACCGCGTGATGGAATGCGACCGACACAGTCCACGAGCCAGCTGTCAAGGTTGATTGCGCAATAAGTCACTCTGGGGCAGATGACCACGACTGGCTTGAACGTCGAGGTCCTTTCGACCCCTTTCATCTCAGAAGTGACTTGGTACGATGGAGGGGGAGGGGAATCAGGGGTTGCCAGAATTGAAGTGAAGTTACTTCAAACCTTAGTGCGTGTTTCAAATGAAGTTTAGCGCCCGACTAGCACCGGATTAGGGGCCACTAGCCACAGATAGTTGCTCGCTCTCGGCCTATCGTGCCATGTCAGCCTGGCTGGATTTCGAACTTCTTCCTGTCAAAAGCTCCGAGCTCGACTGACCTTGCTCATGACCTCCTCAGCCTCAGTGGGCTAGATGTGGCCATGCATTCCTCTCCAATCCTTTGACATGGAAACATCTCTTTCTTTTTGTGACGCGTTCTATATTCAAACACTCGTTCATTGTACCTGTACCTCGTCCACAGATTGACTATGCCGGGTGCCAGATATTTTCAGATTGCAGTAGCATTTGTAAGACTATCTTCTCAGGAACCGAAGCAGTATGCAACCCGACTCAGCGCGTCTAAATTGTGTAGCTAAATAGCTATGGGGTCTGACTATCAAACAAACTGGTGTGACAATGAGTCTTCCTAATTATACATGGTTATCCTCACCTCACCTCGCTAAAACTTGTCGCTTGCGGAGTACCCAGGTATGGCTTTGACTCATGACTAACGAATGGAGCTGTCTAGACCCCATCGGCTCTGTCCTTGGTATGACATCACATGTGACCAAGGTGATACATCAAAGGGAATTAAGGGCAACTTGCCAGATATCCAAACGATCAATGATGTCCGCAGTCTACTGCACCAAGCACCGTAGGGCCAAGTGAGCAAGATCCAAGGCAACTCCAAACACCCTGCTGGACTCCTGTACACTTCTCGCAAATGAGCTGTGGTTTTGCACGGCACCCTAACCCAGCAAGGTCGCCCGTGGTTCCGAGGTCCCAAGTGATCGAGATTTAACGGTGGGTGTCGCGTGCTCCTTGCAGGTGGCAACCCAGATCTTAAATTTGAACACCAATCCTGGATATCATCTTATCTTTTGAAACCGCTTTTCGTTCGTAGCCAGGCCTCAAAGTCGAGAAGATCACCATTCAACGAACGATCCTGCGCAATATCAGCACCATAACCTTGGTTCACAAACCAATTGAACATGATGCCAAGTTCAGGAACGGCTTTTTGGAGCAAAGTGGCCACGAATCCGTAACTGAGTGGCATTGGCCGGCCCAGCACTTTCCAGAAAACCTCATTGGCCTCTGCTTGTGTGAGCTCATCACCCGCTAAGCTGATCGCCGTGTTTTTGTATGCATCATCTTGGGGTGCAGAAATTGCTTGTGCTGCAAACACGCCGATATCTGCTGTCGAAATCAATTGTAGTTTCTTTGTCCCCATTGTGTTCCACATCGCTCCAAACACGCGCCCACCAAAGTTGGGGGTCAAATTCTCCATAAATGCGACTGGGCGCAAGATTGTATAGGTCATGCTGGTTCCACGAGTCTTCTCTTGGAGGTGCTTTTCGGTTTTGTACTAAGTCCAGAGTTAGCTATTCATGGTCTCTAGATTCTTCGCTCGAGTCGAGTCGACTTGCCTTTGTGATGAAATGGGGTACATTGGTAGCATCCACCTCTGATTGATCTGCTCCGCCACGGTCGACTGAAGAATAGACAAAATGTTTGACATCATGAGCCAGGGCGGCATCAATCAGATTGGTTCCCTGTCGGGTCTCCTGACCCTCGGTGTTCTTTTTCATCGACGGGAGTACGACGCAGAAGACTGCGAAGACTGAGCCCACTCCCCCTGCTTTTGTGAAGATGCTTCCAGCATTCTCGAGGTCGCCTTCGACGAGGGTAACTTTAGGATTGGCTGCCAGAGCTTTTGCCGCAGCGGAGGTGGTCTTGCGAGTCAAAGCGAGGATGTGATGGTCATAAGGAGGTGGTTTTGCTAGGAGGGCTTTGATGAGAGCTCCTCCCTGCTTGCCGGTAGCACCTGTAACGAGGATATTGCGAGTAGACATGATTGTGAAGCTCAACGTGGTATGTCGGGTCTTGTGCCAGTTTCAAAATCGTCAAGTGTCGGAAAAATAAATTTCCAGCTGGAGATGCAGATGCAGGCAGTCACGACTCACGACCAAGACTTTGATGACGTCATTTTCATCGTGACTCTTTGGGAGTCGCGTCAACACACCGTGGCTCGGACGCGTCGACTTCAGAATCTAGACCTCATACTGCGAGGAGCCGGGAATTGATAATCACAGCTGAACAATTGTTCCAGCAGAAGTACTGGATAATTTTCGGCCTGAGACCACAAACCTGAGCCCTATCTACCACTATCGGAGCTCGCTTTTTGATACGCCGGGGTTGAACTTTGGAGTCGTGCCGACTGTTCGCACGAACACCTTGAGAACGATTTATCTCATTGAGCACATTAAGCACTCCTGCAATATTCCCAGCTTACCTTTTGAAGCCACGAGTTAGGGAAATGTAAAAGCATATCTCTGGTCCGCAACTCAAAACTTGCTCCATCCATGCTGCTAGAGTGTCATGAATGAACCAAGCGAGAAACCCCTCCTGCCCTCATGCACATATTGTTTCAACTTGCGTCACCATTCATGAAGTGATAACCACCTTGACCGGCACTCTCCCTTCGTCTTCTCCCTCCTTCGCTTGGTTTGCAGCTAACCGGAAAGCCTTCTCGCCTTCGGAGAGTGGCACTCGATGAGTAACGAGATCCTCCGCGACTCCGTCTAGCTTGCCACTAGCAAACAATGCGATTGCTGCAGGATAGCAATTTGCGTAACGGAAGACACCAATGATATCGACTTCTCTCAAAGCAGCGGCTCCTAAGGGCAAGGTCTGGGTAGGTGTTCCCATTCCCACCAAAACCAATTTACCACCGGCCGTGGCTGCGAAAATGCCAATCTGGACACATGAGGGAACGCCAGTGCACTCGAAAACTCGATCGAAGCCGGCATCCAAACCTGCTGCCTTGGCCAACTCTGCTGCTAGTTCCTGGGCACCTGACAAGGTCTCTTCAATTGTGGGTGCTGGTGGTTTTCGTGGTAGAAGGTAGGTTTTAAGTTTATGCCTGCCGCCAGCGAGAGCTTCAGCGATCTTCAATCTGGGCGCATCAATATCGGCAATGACAATTTCTGAAACCCCGGCAACCGACAAAGCCGCTGCTGTCAACATTCCTACAGCACCAGCACCGAGGACCAACGCGGAAGAACCGACTAGAGGAACACCCGCTCCCGAGCCAGCAGTCTGACTGCGATTGAGGGCGTGTAATGAAACCGCCAAAGGTTCAACCAAGGCGCCTTGTTCAAATGTGACATTTTCTGGGAGCTTGTGGCACATATTCTCGGGCTGTGAAATGGTGGTTTGCAAGGTGCCATCCAGGTGGGGAAAGGTCTTTGCTGATGATCGGAAGGAGAGTTTTGGACACAAATTGTAGCGACCGGCTGCACACAGACCACAGGTATGGCAAGGAAACCCGACTTCGAGAGCCACTCGATCTCCGACTTTCAAGACCGACGAGGCAGTCTGGCCATCTTGTGCTGGAGGCAGGGCTGTGACCACACCCGAGGCTTCATGACCCAGAACGAGTGGTGATTGAAGTACGAAATTGCCATTTCGGCCATGATTATAATAATGTAAGTCTGAGCCACAAAGTCCGGTCGCTTTGATTGCTATTTGAACCTCACCAGCAGCGGGAGCGGGTAGGCTTCGTTCTTCCTGGGGATGGATGTCAGTTATGAGACGACCGACTATTTGCAGTGGCACTTACTGTTTTAAGATCTTTGGGGCCATGAAGGACGAGCGCCTGGACGCTGTTTGTGCCAGACATACTGAATTATGAATTGAAGTTGTGATTTCAATTATGAGTATCAGTCTTAAAGCCTATCTTTTGTTAATCACTGTCTTCGACAGCCAGTAATGAGGTTGAGCAAATAACTCAAAGCGGTTATGAGGAGAACCCCCACGCGAGAATAATGGTCTTGGTAAAGTTTTTCTCCAACTCGTGAGCCTTGCAGGACTCGGAGTTGAAAAGGCGGGGACGGGCAGGGCATGTTTTGATGGTTTTGAGGAATTGTCGGCGAAGAGGTCCGTATGCCGTGCCGTGCCACCAATTTATTCGATTGCCGCAAGGTGGGGGTTTGATAAGTCTTGAAGAACTTGAAAGGAAAAGATTCACGTTGAAGGTCGCATTCAGATTAAGATTCAGACTGATGTCACATGTCTTCTGTTCAGTCGTACCTTCCTCCATGTCACCCGCGGGGTTCGGAATATTTCTTACCACCGGATTAATTCCATCGTGATATTTACACTCCGGCTTCTTCAATATCTGAGAATTTCCCCAATTTAAGCGGTACGGCTTCAAACGCCGGTCATTTCTACCATAGCCAGGCTTGCCGTAAACAATTTAGATCTTGCAATTGTTGCAACTGCTAATTCAATAAACAATCCTACGGGACTTGGGCGACTGCCACCAATATACACCACGCAACACGCTATCGAACAAGAACAAGAACATTCCGGTTTCGCTATTATCCATTCCGAATTTTCAAGACTTTATATACCTGCTCAACCTTCGCATGGCCCAGAGAATATTGTCTCGGTCAAATTTAATTCAACGACATCTCTCCACCATGCCCAAACCAACAGTACTGTTAATCGGCGGACTAACCCATACCAATAAAGAATGGGAAGCCTTCAGCTCAAAGTATAATCTCAAGGAGTTCCGCAAGGGTACACGCGACGAATTTCTCCAAAATTGCAAAAACGGTGATTACGACGATGTGGTTGCTCTCTATCGTTCAAATACATCAGTATCAGAAACCGGCCCTTTCAATCAAGAACTGATTTCCGCACTACCCAAGTCGATCAAATATATATGTCACAATGGTGCCGGTTACGATAACATCGATGTCGATGCAGTCACCACCAGAGGTCTACAAGTCTCGAGTACACCCATCGCCGTGGATGATGCCACTGCTGATATTGGCATTTTCTTGTTGCTGGGTGCCCTTCGACAAGCATGGCCCCACTTGGCCGCTATCAAGGCAGGAGGTTGGAAGGGAAAGGCTCCGCTTGGCCATGATCCCAAGGGAAAGGTGATTGGCATCTTAGGAATGGGAGGTATTGGCAGGGTAAGTCTCCAATAGCAATCATGAGACTGGCTGAGCATATCCATTCTGATCATTTCCAACAGGCATTTGCTCACCGAGCACGAGCATTCGGTGCAAAGATCGTCTATCACAACCGAACTCGCCTATCGCCCGACCTTGAAGAGGATGCAACTTACCTATCATTCGATGAACTCCTGGCTCAGTCTGACGTACTCAGTCTCAACTTGGCCCTTAACCCCAAGACTCGCCACATTATTTCCGCCCCCGAATTCGCCAAGATGAAGGATGGAGTAGTGATTGTGAACACGGCTCGAGGCGCATTGATCAAGGAGACAGACCTGGTCGCGGCTCTCGAAAGTGGAAAGGTATCCGCAGTAGGACTGGATGTGTTTGAGGATGAGCCCACCGTGGAATCTGGGTTGGCACAGAACCCTCGTGCTTTCATCGTGCCTCATCTTGGAACCAGCACAATCGAAACTCAGCGAGACATGGAATTGTTGGTATTGAACAACTTGGAAAATGCCGTCGACAAAGGATCTTTGTTGACACCCATTTCGGAGCAGAAGGGTAAATTCAATAATGGGGGTCCATAAAGTGTCAAATCTGGGCAACGACCCTCGATAGATCATAGAGGGATAGATGATAGAAGGGTTGCAATACCACATTGACATCAGCCTCGTTTGCCACAACCCTCAGCCTGACACGTGATAAATCCATCACGTGCAATCTCGAACCTCGGCTTAAGCTTCACATGTCAATTGCTTTCCCCGGTTTCCATGAAGTCACGTCCAAGTCCTCGCAACACATCATCCACCACCAAAGCCTACCTCGACCGCAACGCACATGTCTTCTTGGGACCATATTGCACAAGACCAACAAACACATTAGTTCTTCATCGCCACCACTGGTGCAATTCACATTGTCATGAAGGGTTTACAGACCCCTCCATGCAGCCATACATGAGTTGACATCGTACAACAACAATATTCCCACCCTCACGATCCTCGCCATGGCGGTCCAGTCTAAGGAAGACCCTTTGATGCTCATCTACAACCACTATCGCACTCTCCTGCGGTCACGACCTCGAAGAACCCCGAAATCCTTCAGATTCGCAGCCACTGCAGCCCTCATCATCTCCATCCTCTCTTCCAGCTATGGTGGCTACAAATGGTGGCAGCGGAGATCGCAAGACAAAGCTCAAGGCCGCAAACTCCTGAGGAAGAATAGCGGTCTAAGAGGAAAGGGTGGCGAGCGTATCATCTATGTTCCCAAGGGGAATACCACCTCCAAAGTCATAATACATCCCACCCGTCCTACTACCTTTGATGCTCATCGAAGACTGTTTTTGACTCCTCCACGAGTCACACGCATCGGGAGTGGTGCTTCCACTCCAGCATATGGCCCTCCGCCTCAGACAAAACCAGGCCTCAACCTGGCATTTCTCCATCAGTTCCTCAGTTTGTTGAACATTATGATTCCCCGATTTCGAAGCAAGGAGACTGCTCTGCTACTCAGTCATGGCGTCTTTCTGATATTGCGGACATATCTGTCTTTGGTCGTGGCCAGATTGGATGGTGCCATTGTTCGTGATTTAGTCGCCGGTCAAGGCAAGCCTTTCCTTATGGGCATTTTAAGATGGCTCTCAGTGGGTACCCTAGCATCTTATACGAACTCCATGATCAAATTCCTTCAGTCCAAGATCTCCATCGCCTTCCGCACCAGACTGACGCGGTATATTCACGACCTTTATCTCAATCCCAACCTCAATTACTACAAACTCACCAATCTTGATGGCGGCGTAGGACAGGGAGCCGACCAGTTCATAACTCAAGACCTCACCCTCTTCTGTACCGCTGCCGCATCATTATACTCTTCCTTGGGCAAACCTCTGGTCGACATCTTTGTATTCAATTATCAATTATATAGATCTCTCGGACCCTTGGCGTTGACAGGCCTTCTATCCAATTATTTCGCCACCGCAACCCTACTTCGACGGCTCTCCCCGCCATTCGGGAAATTAAAGGCCGTGGAAGGAAAAAAGGAAGGTGACTTCAGAGGTCTCCATTCTCGACTCATTGCCAATGCTGAAGAAGTCGCTTTCTATGGTGGTGCGGATGTCGAAAAGGTATATCTGAATAGATCATTCAGAGAGCTCAGAAGCTGGATGGAAGGCATTTACAATGTCAAGGTCCGGTACAATATGCTTGAGGACTTCATCCTGAAATACTCCTGGTCGGCTTTTGGATACGTCATCACCTCTATCCCAGTCTACCTTCCAGCATGGGCAGGACTCGATACATTACTCGAGATTCCCGGTTCGACAGCTGCTGAAATCTCCGAATCAACCCGCGAACGGTCTCATATGAAAGACTTCATCACCAACAAACGCCTAATGCTCTCCTTGGCGGATGCTGGTGGTCGAATGATGTACAGCATTAAAGATCTTTCTGAATTGGCAGGTTACACGTCGCGTGTCTATCAGTTAATTTCCACATTACATAGAGTCCATGCTAACGCCTATGGTTCACCCAATCACCGACGCAGCCCGGGCCGCTTTGAATTGTATTCTCTGGCAGACGTTCAAGGCACTGTACATGCAGGCTTTGATGGCCTCAGGTTAGAGGATGTTCCGGTTGTCGCTCCCTCGCTCTGGCCATATGGTGGTGATGAATTGATCGAATCTCTTTCCTTCGTCGTCCATAGTGGCGAACACCTCCTCATCTCCGGCAGCAACGGCGTAGGCAAGTCAGCCGTCGCCCGTATCGTCGCAGGCTTATGGCCAGTTTATCGTGGACTTGTTTCGCGACCGAGATCCAATGGTCAAGACGGAATAATGTTCCTCCCACAACGCCCATACCTCAGCATCGGCACCCTCCGAGACCAGGTCATTTATCCACACACTGAACTCGACATGCGTGACGCCCAAAGAACAGACCACGAATTAGAACGAATACTAGAAGATGCTAAACTCGGACACCTAGTAGCACGCGAAGGCGGTTGGGATACACGGAAGGAGTGGAAAGATGTTCTTTCCGGCGGTGAGAAACAGCGCATGGGTCTTGCAAGGCTATTCTACCACGAGCCGAAATACGCATTTCTCGATGAAGGCACTTCCGCCGTGTCCAGCGACGTCGAAGGCCTGCTGTACGAGCGATGCAAGGAGAAAGGAATAACCGTCGTGACCATCTCGACACGAGCGAGTCTGAGAAAATACCACACTTTCAACTTGATACTTGGGCTCGGAGACGAAGGCTATGATTGGGAAATGGTGCGGATCGGGACCGAGAAGGAAAAACTCGGGCTCGAAAAGGAAATCGCCGAGTTGAAGGAGAAGCTCGCGATGGTGCAGCAGTGGGAGACGAGGAGGAAAGAGATCGACGAGGAATTGGGCAAGGTGCTCGTTGTGGGGAAGAAGGAGGAGTTGAAATCTCCAGACTATATTGCTAGCAGTGGTGAAAACAATGACGCCGAGCAGAATGCACGGGGTTCAGGCGAAAGTTCTTCTTGAACCAGCTGCTGTAAGATATATACCCGACCCTCAAAGGTGATGCAATGATAACTGTCCTTATTGAAGAACGCAATACCAAGTATATCATTCATTAACCCCTCATTATCTCTCACTGCCCCTGATCACTCAACGATGCATATGTCTTTCACCCCCCTACTCTAGTCTTCCTCAAACTCGAATGCGCCAGTAAATAGTTCCTGAAAAGAAAAATGCCTGAAAAGTTTTCTTGTCACAAGTAAATGATCGATTGTGTAGCCTGATATGTGACGCGGTCTTGCCGACAGGATACCAGTCCCTGGCTGATGAGAGGCGCCTCCACTGAATCTCCCGTGTTCACCTAGTTGGATCTCGATCCTTGGGTGGAGGGGGTAAGCAGTACCTATAAGTCTTGACCTCAGGCATGAAAGTTCACAGGCAGAGATTACCCTGGTCCTCAAAAAATTTAATCACAAATCCGGGTGGAGTTTAACTTTTGGCTTCAAAGCCTGACCTCAGTTGCAAGCTTGTGTCTTCTGCCTATCATACGAGCTGCTGAGTGAGGTATGGACAAGGGCATTCGTCTGCGTTTGAGAGAATTTTGCTATTGATTGTTCGTACATGATGTTGCTAGAGACGAAAAGCAAGCCCATCCCACAGCAAGCTAAACTCGCATCAGAACTGCTCATCGTTCACTTTGAGTTTGGATCCGCTCGAGCCGTTTGCAAATCTAGTTTAAGCCTTATCAACCTCTATGTGGGGCAGCCCAATGTGCTCAAACTGATACTCATCGCTCGCCAGCCTCCAGATATCCGAGAAGTTGATATGCACCCAGTAGTTTGTCCGGGTATGTGCTTTGTCTCTTTCCTACTGTGTTGATTCCCCACTAGTCGATCTGTTTTACTTATGTGCCATCCATTGACCTGTTATTAGATATACAGTAAGGAATTACGGATCCTCAACCCCGCCCAGGGTCATGCAATTTTTGGACATTGAAGACGGAAACAGCCCCGAAAAATTTCCTAAATCAAAATGGCATCGTGTAGCGAATGCCAACTTTTGCTACACAAGTGACCAATAAAGGAGACAACTGTCAGACTCTGGCTAAGAGAGTTGCCAAACTTGTAAAGGGACTTGTAGTGATCTGTAGTGCTCTGTTTAGCAAATCACAACAGAGACGTAAAGCAATTACGAAACTTGGTATACTTTTAACTCAACTTCACCTCCTCATCGGTCCATGTCCCGGATCGCATAGTAAGCCGTAGTTGGTTCCATAACAGCGACGACTTCTTATCTGCTTCCCTTCATGAAAATGAAATAGGAGCCCAGGCCGGAGAACTTCGACTTTCTGAATCATCTATCGTGCTTACTACTGGGCTTGAGTACTTAAAACAGCGTTCAGGAAGGCGTCCGAAAATTCAACAAGCTCGTCATAGCAAGATTCAAATGCGTCAAACCCCTGAAAGAAAGGATCCTTGACCTCCGCATCGGCATGGCCCGTAAAGCTTCCGAAAAGTTTGATGTTTGCTAGGTGAGCAGAGCTTCGAAGCTCATCCCTTAGGCGCTCAAGAGTCGATAAAGTGTGTTTGTCCATTGCGAGCATGTAGTCGAAACTCGTGAAATCTGCAGGGTTAATCTTTCGAGGTTGCCGTGTCGGCACCTCAATCTGGTGCTGATATAGTGTGAACACGGTTCTCTGGTCTGTTGGCTGGAGCCAAAAGTCTGTGCCTACTCCGGCAGAGTCAACACTGCCTACTTTCACATGAGCAGCAGTCTTGCTCTTGAAAATGGCCTCAGCCATTGGTGAGCGGCCTTGGTAAAATGAGTTGATGTACTGTAACTGACAGCGAACATTTTGACTCACAGCTATTTCCATAATCAACGAACAACACTGATATAACGTCATGGGTCTGCTGCTGTAGCTCAATAGTCGGAGTCGGTAGCTGAGGCTTACGTTGATTCGCCAAGTCTAGACGACTTAGCCTCTGGACAACGGCCGCATCAGCTAACGGGTCACTGGCTATCATCGCCGGCGCGGCTACAGCCAGGTTATCGTCATGTGACAGAGCATCGATCGTGGTCTCTGCTTGCTGTCGCTCGCGACCGCGGAGACCAATAGAGTCGGCCACTTCCCAGAGCCCGTCAATGAAGGTTTTCAGAAAAGATATTAATTCCAAGAACTTCTTCCTGTCACGTACACTCCAGCGGACGAGCTGGATCAAAGAGGCCTCTTTCTGTTTCTTTTGAATACTCTCATCTAGCTGTGTCGGCTGAATAGCATGATCAACCGATACTTGCCGGATAGATTCACAGAATTGCGCAAATGAGTCTTGGAACACTGCGTTTGGCCCCTGCCGAAGAGCACCATGGACTGGCTGTGCCCTGCTTAAGCCGAAATGGTTTTTCAAACGCGACTCATCCTGAAAAAGGAGCACAATGCAGTTAAGGTTGTTCTCGATCTGAGATCTGGCCAGTGCAAGCTCGAGCCCTGAAACCAATTTAGTTGGTGATGAATAACATACTTGAGCCCACATCAGAAGGCGGTATCTCTGACTATCAAACATCTGGTTCATCAGTGTGATATCGCGCCCAAAGGAAGAAGAAACGTCAACCATCTCAAGCACGTCAAGGCAAGTGGTGAAAAGACCAATGAGGCCCACCCCTGCGAGGGCCAGACCGACAGCTTCTGCCATCCGCAGCTATGTCATATCACGATTGCCTCTTAGGCTACCTGGAGGCAGACGTGTCGCAGAGAGGTAGACTTGTTTATGTAGTTTCGGCCGAGGATCCTATGTAGGCTGCATCTTACTTCGAGGGAAAGAAGGGTCACCAGACCAGTACGTAACTCAATAAGCATGAATCTGATCGAAAGTGTTCAGGGATGTGTCTTGATATCTGCTTAGTGCCAACGGCTGCAAAGAAGGAAACTGCGTGGGATGAAGGTACTCAATGTGACGTAGAGACTTTAAGTATCTAGAATACGTCCCAATAAGTATCGAGGTGTGCTAGAGGCATCACAGCAAGTCAGTGTGCTGGTGGGGTCAGATGCCAAGGAGAAGCATTGTTGACCTCCGTGAAATACTTCGTGTTAAGTCGAGCCTCGTGTCTGCATCTTGGCCCTCGTATCTGCAGCTAGGTATTTATGTCTACCACTCAGTTCCCAGGTCTGCGTTCAACTCTCGTGAACAATCAGTTCACCCACAGCTCTTGGCAGAGGGGAGAATAATTTCCTGCGCGATGCCAAACAGCCAGGGTGTAGCATGATCAACTATCGGTCAAGGATGTTTCCCCTCTGCCTTAAGCCCTTTGGTAACACCCATGACTGAAGACTCACACACACAATATGGTCCGGAGCTGACAAAATAACACCTGTGCTTCAACTGAATCCAATGTTCTGGATCTACTCAATACTTCTTTTCAGGAATCAGGAATGAATAATCTAGTATAGGGTTATTCTCCGGAATATGGAGCTAAGTTGTGTTGTTTGATATCAGTTTACCTGAAGAGGGAATACTTTAATTATTAGGTCGGGCGATCTTTCGACACAGCGGCCGTCGATACATAGGAGAGAACATGTTCACCAGCGAGTCAAAATATTTTTGGATCTATCGTGACTAAGCAAACGCAGTGGTATTGACAACAATGATCGGTTTAAGTCTGGGCGTAAGGCTTATCTAGTCGATGAAACCGCCGTGGAAAGCATGATTCCCAGTCGACCACGACGCTGATGATGATGATGATGATGATGATGATCTGGATGATGAGGTCTGCTCGGGTCCTGTTGCTGAGCCCTTCGCCTTTGGTTTGCTCAATGGTTTCGATGACAGCACGGAGGCTGTGCGCTTAAGACTCGCTTTTGTCTTCTTGCGGATCGAGACCATGCGGGCTGGAGTCGTGGGGCGCTGTAGTGTGATGGCCTGCACGGGTCTGAAGCTGATGATGTCGGTGTGTTGATTGAGGTCGGAGTCGGAGTCGGAGCCGGAGCCGGACTTGGTGGAGGTTGCGGATAGCGAGGGCGATGCTGGTGCTTGATTGTTAATGGCATCGAAGGGCGAGAATGTGGAGATGGGAGTGTACGCTGCGAATTTGTTGGTTGACTTCACTGGGGTCGTTGCTGCTCCTGCTGATTTGTCGATTGTCTTACAGGGAAGCTCAGCAACGACAGGCGAGGTTGGCGCGGGTGAGGCTGAAGTAAGCACCGATTTGGAGATAGTAGGAGGTGACGATAGTTCGGTAGATTCGACAGCCTCACTCACAGTTGAAGAGCGATCACACAGCGACTCACCGTCCAAGCCGAGTGTTAACCATTGACTTACTTTTTCTTTGCTCTTTGCTTCTTGCTTGAGAAATTCGGCTGCTGCGGCATATTCATCATCGCTGTCCTCGCAGGAGTCGAAATCAGAGTCGGAATCGGGATGTTTACCATGGCGACGCAGCGAGATTTTCGAGGCGACACGACGCACCAGGTTCGTGGTTTTTGCTTTCAAACCCAGGGTTGCATTCGCACGAGATTTATCGACGTGGGTCGCGCTCGTGTCAGGCTCGCTCGAGCTTTCATCCGACGACAAAGACAGCCACGACGACGATTTACGACGATGCTTTCTGCTCGAAAAGTCATAGGCAAAACCAAGCAGACGACTGGCTTTGGAGGGCTTTACGACAACCTGTCTGTCAGGCACCCTAGGACCAGCATTCCAACCACCCAACCCAATCACCGCGGCCTGCATATTGATCTCCACACCGCCATAGAGGTCAGGAAAGGTGTTTTTCAGCTTGAGCAGCGCAATGATGAGCTTGCGAGTTAACTCCCCGCCGGGTTGCAGGGGCGACATTGCTGTCAAATGCCAGTACGGGTCTTGGAAATCACGGAACTTACCTTTGCTGTCGATGTCACCGTACAAAGTCCAGGGGTCTTCAAGCAGGACATCCCAGCCGTACTCTCCCTCGTATGCCAAAGCCTGTTCGATGCGTGCGTCGATGTGGAGTTTCATTTTCTCCTGTAACGCGGAGAGGGGAGAGTTTTCGGCGTGTGCTCGTTTGAACCCCCGAAGATGACGCTCCGAGAAGAGTTTGCCTTTGTTACCTTTGGCGCGGTGAGCCCGGGCATCGCATAGATTTTTGAGTGTTTTAGTGAGTTCTGCTCTGGCGCGGGTCAGATCTTCATTCTCTTTGATGTGGCCAGAGTACGGGATGACACGCGAGTGGATCGACTGGATGACCTCCGACAGAGGACGCTTGGGTTGATGTTTTACGGCTACTTGTTTTGATTGAAGGATGTCGAGATTGCCGAGCAAGGCTGTGCGTGCAAGGATGAGGTTATTTGCTGGGTTGCGATAGTCAGGGAATGCTGCTGTGGTATCGTTGGTTGTGCTTGTCGAAAGGGATGACAGGTCTTCTGCAATGGGCAGTGGCCAGGTCATTTCTGAAGTCTCGCGAACTTGGCCAGCACTAAAAGCCGTCTTTTTGCCCGACTTGCTTGTTTGAATTTTGGACCAGCCTTGCTTCATGTTAGTCGCTTTCTCGGCAAGGGAGGCTTGGCTGACCATGAGTGACAGTGTCGAGGTTATTGAGCGTAAGGAACGACTGTTGACCGCTGCTTGTTCAGAAAAGTTAAATATATTGGTAGGGACTACAAATGGTGCGTAAGAGTCGAGATAGGAAGAGATGGATGGGAAATGAATCGAAATGTACAAACAGGGAAAATCAGATATATCTCGAAAGGAACAAGGTGGAGCTTCGGGTGATGGGCTATACCATGGTGTTGGTGAAACAAAGGATTTTCGAAGGACCAGGATAAGGGGAAGAGAATGTGGCCTTGTTCATCGTATATGGTATTTAGCATGATGATAAAGAGCTGTCTTCATGTCAATGCTAAAACAATGAAGCCACCTTTGTCGAAATTCAAGAATGGCATTGAACTTCTGGGTGAAGATCTCGAATACGATGGACACCGAGAATGTGTAAGCGGGTGCCTTGTGAGATCAGATAGGGTCGGAAATTGCTTTCTCAAGGTCACTTCGAAATGGATAATCTGGAAACTAGGCATGGTTAATTGTACATACCTTTATGGGTATAGACTACCTAGGTAATTGGTAGGACCGTGTGATCGAATCTTTGTCACCTTCGAAATGAATGTACCTTCAAGCTTCAATGTCAATGTAATGTGCCCAAGCCTCATGGTGATCTAATGTCATGTTCATGGCATGTCGTAAAGTCATATACAGTGTCAATCTAACTGTTGATGCTTTGAGAATGTGTCCCAATAACGTTTGGTACAGAATAGGATCGAACTGATCCCATGTTCGATAGTCATTTGATGTAAGTCGAACGTTGTGCGGAATTGGTCGTACGTTGGAAGTGGTTGTTCAGATGCCGTTGAGCCCGAACAGGTAACCTAGCTCTCGAACACCTAGCCGAGCCACATTACGACCGGCAGACTCGTCGAGAGCAGTTTCGACCAGTGCACGTTTCTTTTCCTGTAAAGCAAGAATTCGATCTTCCACAGTGAATCCTTGTTCCAGAGGCTTGTCCTCAAATCCTTCACCACCAATCAAAATACGATGTACAGTTACATCTCTTTGTTGACCGATTCTGTAGCACCGATCTGCGGCCTGGTATTCGACAAAGGGATTCCAGAAAGGATCAAGCATGACGACATGATTGGCGACCGTGAGATTCAGGCCAGCATTGCCGGCTTTCAAGCTCACCAGTATGACGTTGCAATGAGGATTGTCTGTGAACTCGAGTACAGCTGCATTTCTGTCGCTTGAAGACATTGATCCGTCGTATCGAACATAGTTGCGGAAATCCTTGTGATCATACAGTGGAACTTCGAGTAGGTCGAGGAATGATGTAAAGTTGGAGAAAATGATGGTCTTTTCGTTCTGACCCTTGGCTTTGATTTCCTCAAGGAGTTCAACAGTCTTGATAGTTTTTGCGGATGGCTCAAATGTCTTTCGTAAACGTCTCAAATACTGACGTTTGGCTGCCTTGTTCTTCAGACCTTCCTTTCGAAGAACTGCCAAAGTTTTTGGTGGGCCCTTTGGTTTGAACATTTTGGACTTGGATTTGTGAACAGTTGACTTCTTCTTCTTCTTCGACTGCTTCACTTTAGGCTCCTCGGCCAAATCCGAATCCGCTTCACAGTCGTCTGGAACGATGAATCCGTCAAGATCCGAATCTTCGTCCTCGTCATCCTCCTCGCTCTCGCTTTCACTTGAAGAGTCATCATCCTCATCGTCATCGTTTTGAGCTTTGTCAAAACCTGCTTCTTCAGCTCGAGTAGGATCGTGCACCTTTAGAAAACTGGCAATATCAGTCACCTTCTTGGAATCAATCTTTGCTCGACAAGCAGGACAGGTTGGCATTGCTGGACGACCATCCTCTTCATTGTTGGTAAACTGATCAATAATCTTACTAAGACAATCGTTGCAGAGGGTGTGGCCACATGGAAAGACAACTGGATTTTCTGTACCGTCAAAGCACACAGGACATTCGAAAGCATCCTGACCTTTGAGACGAGCAACAACTTGTGGTTGGAGTTCTGCAGCATTGCTCAAGAGATCATCAGGACTAAGCGAGCCTGCCACTTGAACCATGAAATCACTGCTATCCACAACGAGACGTGGATGACAACATGCTTGTCGCAGTCGAAGAAGCAGAACAAGTGCATTTGAATAATTCCTTCCAATGCCTCCGTTTGCACCTCGGCTGAGAAACTTATTGAATTGAATTTGAGCATTGACTTCCAGGGACTTGTAGAATGTCAATTCATCTTCACCAAAAGCGATTCTTTCCTCGGATGTTGTTTTTGGTGGCAGCTGAAGAATAGGTTTGCCGTCAATCTTAGATTGTTTGGTACGACGCAATAGTATTGCTCGAAGGAGGGCCTGAAGAATTTGCATCGCTTTCTTTGCCTCACGCTCCACTCGACTCCGCTTCAATGGACCTGCAATATCTTTGGAGAACTTTTGCCAGTCGTTGTAAGGTCGAATGCGAATGAATTTGACAAGACTGTACATCTCTTCCACATTGTTTTGCATGGGAGTACCGGATAATGCCCATCTATAGTCAGCTCTGATTCGACATGCTGCAAGCGCGGCCTTTGCAGACCTGTTTTTGATATTTTGGGCCTCGTCCAAGATGATTCGGTGAAAGTGGGAACGGTCACTCAAAATAGGGCACTGTTGAGAAGCTGATGGTTGTGCGTCAGGCACCAACTTCAGCTTCTCCTCCCAGGCGAGTTGACGTTTTAGCTCAGCTGCCAACGTGCCGTATGTGGTAAGAACGACATCGTAGGACTTCATAGCAGCCCAAGAAGCTCGTTTGGAGGCACCGTGATAGACATAGATATTCATATGCGAACTTCTCTTGACGAACTTGTTGATTTCCCTCTCCCATTGATGCATCAACGCGACTGGGGCGACGATCAGAGTTGGTCGAAAAGTACCCGGGGCTGGGGGACGGTCAAGCATCAGTGCAATACTTTGTACAGTCTTGCCTAACCCCATGTCGTCCGCTAAAATTCCGCCCTTGTTTGAGCCTTCCTCCATTTTTCGCATCCATGTCAGACCTTTCAGCTGGTGAGGCATTAGGGTTGCTTTGAGGTTCTGTGGAGGTCGAACCAGTTCCTCTTGGGTGAGTTCTTCATCAGGTCTGATGTTCTTCATAAGCTCCTCCAATTCCTCCTTTGTTTTGGTGGGATCGGCATATTCATGGCCCAGATCCGTATACGGCAGGGGACGGGCGTCGAAGGGGTAAGGGAAGCCGGGAACTTCAGTGGAACTGCCCAAGGCGGAAGTTGAACTGTTGTACTCGGGGTAACGATAGACGGGGTTGCCACCTAAACTGGTGTAAGGTTTAGAATCTGGAAAAGCTCCAGGCATAGCTGCCGGAGCGGAACCAGGCATCGTCATCGCTGGAACATTCTGTGTACTTGCATATCGTCCTGGCTCTGTTTTGATCTCCGATTTGACAGGATCGTAGGTATTGACACGAGCAGGGATTCTTCCTGTAGTGGCTGGAGTTGTCAGCCCAGCAGGTCCACTTGCAGGAGTGAACTCAGGCTTGACTCGTATGACAGGGCCCGAAGGGGATGGTGACATGGGGTTGTTCTTAATGACAGGCGTTGAAGGAGATGGAGAGACCGGGTCATTCTTAATGGGGGTTTTACTCCAGGGATCACGGCTGGGAGTAGCGAATAGCGCTGATGATCGTCGACCAGAAGGGAGACCTGGTTCAGATTTGACGGTTGGAAGTTGTTGATTGATGGAGCCGTTGGTCCTCAGGAACAACTGAGAATACTCAGCGCTGGGGGCAGATGGGTTCTTTATCTTGGTTGCGTTGTCTGTGTCATTGAATTCCTGAGATAACTTTTGTGCCAATTGAGCATCAGCCTCTTCCTGCTTTTTTCTTTCCTCCAGCTGGCGCAAATATTTCTGTTGTCGAGCATTCGGTCCACGTTTGAAAAGGATAGACATCAGAGGGTCATCACTCGTGTCCGAACTGTCATTGCTGTCGGTGGAAGCCGATGAAGATGGGGCAGCAGACAGATTTGGACTTGTACGGCGAGACTTTGACTCGGGCTCATCGTGATCATAGTCAAAGTGCGTTCTCTGGCGTTTTCGAAAAGATGGCTCATGACTGGGGAGAGGCATCAAGGTCTGTGAGCGATTGAAAGAGTGCGTCGTGGAGTTGGTAGCACTATGGGTTGGTGGAATGGCTGTTGCTTCATCTGTGATATCTTCTGGGATGTCAAGTGAATCCATCTCTGGTGAGGGTTGATCTTGAGAGGATTCGAGAGAGCGCAGTTGTTGACGGAGATTCTTCAGATTGGCCTTGGTATCTCGAATAGAGTCCCGTGTCTCCCGGTCGTCTTCACCACACTCACCATAAGAGATGGAGTGAACCAGACTGGCGAGCATGCCTTCATAAAGCGATATCTCGTCTTGAATGGCCTCCACTGCCTCGAGGTGGGTGGGATCGGGCTCTGGATCTTGGGCCATTTTGAAGGAGTTGAACGAGGATCAGATGGGTGAGACCATGCGTTGGCAGGCAGTGATGAGGTAGGCAAACTTATGCAGGAATTGTGTGCTCGGGTTCAGGCAAAAATGGGGCAGAGAGGCTTCTACGAGGTGATGGGTCGAAGAAAGTGACGACGCACTTCAAGGCATAGCGGATGTCGTTGTACAAGAACACGGATAGTGGTGCAATGGGGGCGCCCCAAGGAAGTGGTTGTAGAGGAATAGCAATTGAATCGAATTGAATCGAATTGAAATTGAATGTAGTGCAGGTGGGTGGTGTTGATGCGACAAATTAATTGGGAGTGGCAATCGACGTCACAGTCAGAGATGGAGGAGACGCGTCTAGGCGCGTCTCAAAGTCGGCAGTGACAACTGAACTAAGTGTGGAGTGCCTGCCTGCTGAAGGCTGAGGGGGTGAGGGGTGGGCGCCTCGGGCACTGTAGTGGCCTCGGGCAACGGGGAAGCGCCTGGGGGTCCCCGTGAGAACTACAGCAGCCTCGTAGAAAGACAGCCTCACTTTGGCTTCGCAATGCAGGTTTCAGGTGCCACCAAGGCAGAATAATGACAGTGTATCAAGTAATAGATTAATCCCGTAATTATCACATGCCCTCAGATACCTAATAGCTATCTCTAGTCGAACAATTTACCTGTTCTACGCATGCCCTACCAGGGCCAGTGAAGTAGCGCGTCCGGCGCCTAACTGGCTGATTTGGGACGCGTAGAGTGCTTGGGCACCTTCATACTCGGAAGGCAGGCCGTTCCATCTCTTGCCTTGTTCTGACGATACACAATTGTGATAGATGTCCCTGGTTGCCGACAATCTGTCTTGACTCATTGCCTTGTAAACATTCCAACCGCACAAGGAACGATCAGCGCAGTTCCCCAACGATAGATGCCGCGGTGAGTGGCATGTGATTGCTGATTCTTTGCCGAAGATGAACTTGGAGCTTGTGAAATCAATGACCCTGGCAATCTTCTTTCTCTTCTAACCAGTTGAGGATGCGAATGTTGCCTTAGTCCCGTAGCGCCAGATTGTCGAGAAGTCTGTATCCGTAACATGATGGTTCACAATATAGATTTCGGAGAGGTGTTCTGATTGTCACCTGGCCGGTGAGTGCTGAGTTGAATCCGGGGGGGGGATTGCCTTAGGGAAGGTACATGCCTAAAACATCGACCTGGGTAGAAGCGATAGGGCTCTTAGGCGGAAATTACGTATATCTGTCCCCCGCGTTCCAGCGTCAATCCAAGGGCTAATAGTGGCTACCGAGGCTAACAACTGCTTAGTGGCCAAGCTAATCACTACTAGTAGCTCCAGGTCGTTGTATCAGCTACCAGAACCACCAGACTGATCCAGCAAAAGAGAACCCAACGATTTTTTATCTCTCCCAAAATCCCCATCACCTTTGTCTATCGCAATCCATAATATTCATGGCGGATCAGAGCCAGAGTCCTTCTTCCGCAAAACGTGTTTCCAGAGTATCCAGGGCTTGCTTTGCTTGCCGTGGCCGAAAGAGTCGATGTGATCTGTAAGTCCATCCACTTCCTGAGAGTCCTCACGGTGGCGGTGGGCCGATCGCGGGTTCAAGTTCTGGGGATCCCTCCAACCCCAGCCCCAGGCGGTTCAGCCCCCGAGGGCCCCAGAAACTCGGTGCTGCACCACCAACCCCGTCGCCTGGGAATCGTCACTCGCCGCCCTGCAACGGCTACTGCTTCTCAGCTTTTTGCGAACAGAGCAATAGCCGTCGTCGGCAACCATTGATCCTCTCATCGTCCATCATTCCATCTTTCTCGTCAAGTCATGTCCACTGACCTTCCACTAGCGAGGCTTCAGGCGGCGCGCCGCCTTGTGGGAGATGCAAGAAAGAGGGTAAAGAATGCGTCCTAGGCACTTCCAATCGTGGCGGGAGTCGCATCAGAAAGAAGAACGTCTCCTCCACTTCCACCACCACCCTCACAAGTACCTCTCCTTCGCTTCAATCACATCCTGCACCTCTATCAACCATTCAGGAGCCCAGTTCCCGTCCACACCCTCCTCCACCGCCCTTCCTGCAACCGTCTCCGTCCCACGAATCCCTCCGCACCCCGATCGAAAGCGCACCCATCAACGCGCCCGGGGGACAAGCCAACCTTACCGAAGACGATGACTCGGCCTCGACTGCTGACAGTACGATTGGGAACACCATCCCCAGAAACCCCTCAGATGCTTGGCAGTTGTTGAAAGACGTCGCCAACAGAGAAGCCAGTCACCTGAATGTGGGATCCTCTGTCCATGGTCAACCCGAGATGTCAGATCATATCATGCGCAATGGCTCCAGATCAGAACCCAGGGGATCAATCAACGGTATACATTCCGGCGTCCTTACCTATCGTTTGGTGCGTGAAGGCTATCTGAACTCGGACATCATCCATGAGTTGGTTAGACGTTATGCTCAACACTATCACCCGTATCTCCCTCTGGTACCGCGAAAATACTTTGATCCCGCACAACTTGACACCTTCGCTGTCAACGACAAGCATCTTTTGACCGCTGTTCTCACCATCGCCTCCAAGGACCTGGTCGAGCAACCCAATATTCACATCTGCTGCTCCCGATATATGCATGATCTAATCTCGGGAATTGCTGCTGGCCACGACTGTGAGGTGGAAGCGGTTGAAGCTCTTCTTCTGCTGGCAGAATGGGAACCCCAAGGTCTACGGAATCGGATTGAAGCTGTAGGCCGAGGTGAGGAAGATCGTTCGGCCTGGATGCATGTAGGCATGGCACTACGAACCGGCTATTTTCTCGCTCTTGACCGGACCGCATTTCGACAGGAAAGTGCAGAAGAGGCACGGATCGATGGTCGAAAGCGACTGGCCTGGGCCAATTGCTACGTATCTGATCGACTCATCTCGGTTCGAATTGGCCGAGCTTTCTGGTCTAGAGGCCCGGGGCCAATGACGGGTTTATCATCACAAGACTTCCCATCTCTACAGCCTCTCAGCCCTGGCGACGAGGACTATGCCAAGATTATGCAAGCGACCTTGGATTTGACCCAGCTGTATTCTAATGTTCATGACATTCTGTATTCAGGGATGAGGACCAGCGGGCAGATGATGCTCATGGGAGACTACGTCAAGTACGTGGATGACTTTAGGAATGCCATTGCACGGTGGAATACCACCTGGGGCAAACTTGAATGCTCGCCTCATATCAAAGTCACACTTCAGATGTCGTATGAGTATCTATGTCTCTACACCAATGCTTTCGTCTTTCAAGCAGCTATTTCCCAGGCAATCGCGAACAAACCCAAGACTGATCCGCAGTCCCTGAGAGATCACCTACGAAGTGTTTTCAGCAACATCGGTGCAATGCCAGATGCTCGCTTTATCTGGGCCAGTGTAGCAGCAGCCAAAGCCTATCTGACTTTACTGAGCACACAGATTGACCCAAGCAAGCATCTAAGGTATTTACCACTGCGGTATTATCTGTACAGCATCTACTCGGCCGTCTTTCTCTACAAGGCACGCTCGTTTGGGGTCATGACGGGTTCAGAAGAACAAACCGTGCGATCATTAGTGTTTGCAGCAATGGAAGTGTTGAAACGAGCATCGGTCTCACCACAGGATCCAGGTTCGCGCTACGCTCGACTTCTCGAACTTCTATGGTTGAAGCCAGCCAAACCGTCCACCCAGATGTTTCACCCAGTCCAATCGCCTGCAGCCTCCGACACTCAACTATCGTCGAGTGGAAGTGTGCGGGTTGATGCTCATGGTTATATGCAGTATAGTCCAGCCAATGACTTTTCCTGGCTTGATCTAGAAGCCGTGGGAGATTTTGTATCTGGAGACCAGGTGGTTCAAAGCAATGGGATGCAATTGCTGGCACCCATGGGAGGATATCAAACGACGCCTAATTACATGGCTGGTGGAGCAGGTCAAGGCATGCAATGGCAGCAAAATCCCGGCAATAATGGGATGAATTGGCCAATGGACTGGAATGGAAATTTGTTCTTCTGATTCGGATTTCTCCCTTTTGGGAATTGGGGGTACAACCAGAAACCAAGCTGATGAGGGCGCAGTTCTGCCCGTGAAATATCCCACGGCTATTGAAGCAAAGGCCGGGCCATCGTTCTGGATTGATGACCGACTGTAGCCGATTGCGGAGACGAACTTGTCGATGGCCAACCCCGCATCTATCACCAAATATTTCACCCATGACTATTCCGGCCTCTGACTTCTCCCCGCGGGATCGCTGCGGCTTTCAAGTGATTGTTGCTGCGGCTTCCCACCAGTGATATACCCGACATTCTCACATCGAGCTACGAGTTGCTGTTTCGCATTTTCAAAGTGGCCAGTGAACCATGTCGGTGGACAATGAAATCAAGGGCCGACTTGCCCTCATAACAGGAGCGTCTGGAGGGTGAGTTGCTATTTGAGTTGAATGCGGTATAGTTGAAGACTGACCAGGTGTTGGCAGTATTGGCGCAGGCTGTGCGCGCGACCTCTACAAGTATGGAGCTCACCTGGCTCTCACCTATTCCAAGGGCAAAGCCAACATCGATAAGCTCGTGAGCGGACTTCAGACCAACTCAGATCAGAAAGTGTCAATACATCAAGTGGACATGGGATCCACCGAAGATATTCAGAGACTGTACAAAGAGATCGAATCGGAACATGGCCATGGACCAGACATCTTGATAGCAAATGCGGGCTACGGAGTGCGAATACCCAACATTGTTGATATATCGATTGAAGAGTGGGATCATACCATCTTGATCAACCTCCGAGCACCGTTTATCCTTGCTAAGCTGGCTGTGCCTCATATGATTGAGCAGAAGTGGGGACGGATCATCATGATGGGCAGTATTGCGGGTTATGGTGGAGGTATCAACGGGTGTCATTATGCAGCATCCAAGGCTGGATTAATGGGCATGGTCAAGAACCTCGCCAACAAACTAGGCAAAGACGGAATCACAGTCAACGATGTTGCTCCAGCCATGATTGGAGAAACGGGCATGATTCCTGACGCCAAATTCCTCGAGGGAACACCTGGAGATGTTAAAAATATACCAGTGGGAAGACTGGGGACTCCACAGGAATGTGCCAATGTGGTGACCATGTTGTGCAAGACGGGCTACTTGACTGGCCAGAGTATCCTTCTGACTGGAGGATTGAAATAGTCGCCAATTAATTTAATGGATTATCCAAAGAAGAGCATCCCTACAACACGCACGTGATAACATTCTCCACGTGATTCTCACGTGACTCGTCCTTCACCGCCCACGTGCTTCAACTCCCGCTTCCTCTGGTCCCGCCAATTTCCTCTCTACAAATCCAAGTTCCACTCTTCCGCCTCAGCGCATTGATTCATACTGCCATTTGATCGACCAGCCAGGCTTTTCTTCTTTTCCTAGTTCCCAACATGACGTTCCTTTCTAATATATCGACATTGAACTCTTAAATACCATAATATCCCTTCCTCAGGTTTCCTAGCCCCGATATACTCGGTTCTCTGGTCAAGAGGACACTCTCTTGCAACCACCCGCCTTTGTATCGCCTCCCTCACCGCCAAGGGCCCGCACTGGAACTTGAGGCTTCTTCAGTACCACAATCCCAGCATGGACAATCATGGCCTCACTCCAACTGCTCAGCACTTCGTTGAACTGACCCACAATCCTCATCACCGACATCCTTCCAAAGACCCTCATCAGCCTATGCCTAACCCGCATTTACTACATGGAGAGGCAATGACATCTGCTATACAAGAGGAAGACATGGTCTCTCGCCACCGAACAGCTTCCGCTTTCGACGCTGAAAGCCAGTCGCCTACCAGATCTGCCTCTGATCCTCTGGAGCTCTCCAGGCGTCTAAAATCAAGAACGGAACTCGACCGCATCACTGCGAATACTGCTCGCAAGCGTAATGCTATCTGCAATCCTTTGGTGATGACGGGACATGCGCCTGGTTCCAAGTTGGCAGAGTTCTACGAGTCACAGAATGAGCAGATTCAAAGGCTATTGAAACCCGTCGACGAGCATGTCCGTGAAGCCAGGGATACTCATACTTCCAACCATCTCCGTTTTCAGATTGCCGTCTATGGAAGCTTCATCGCCAACATCATTCTAGCTGCCTTACAAGTATATGGAGCTGTTGCTTCAGGGTCTCTGTCACTATTCACTACCATGGCCGACGCCATCTTTGACCCTCTGTCCAACGTCACTCTGATCCTCTCCAACAAAGCAGTTCAAAAAGTCGATGCCCGCAAATTTCCTGCAGGAAAGGCACGTATAGAGACGGCCGGAAATATCGTCTTCTGCTTCATCATGACGGCAGTCAGTTTCATCCTGATTGCTTTCTCCATTCAAGAACTGGTCAGGGGCTCCGTGGAAGAGACCAAAGATTTCCATCTTCCTTCAGTCATTGCGGTCAGTGTGGCCTTTTGCACCAAACTCGGTTTATTCCTCTACTGCTGGGCATTGAGAAATCAATATTCCCAAGTGCGCATTCTATGGGAAGACCATCGCAACGATTTGTTTATCAACGGCTTTGGTGTGCTCACTTCTGTGGGTGGCAGCAAACTTAGGTGGTGGCTGGATCCTTCGGGAGCCATCATTCTCTCGGTGTTGATCTCCGTCCTATGGTTACGTACTGCGTACTCGGAATTCCAACTCCTGATCGGAATCACCGCAGATACCGAAACTCAACAACTCATCACCTATGTGAGCATGACTCACAGTGACCACATCAAACAGATCGATACTGTTCGAGCATGGCATTCCGGCCCTCGATTGGTGGTGGAAGTCGATGTGGTCATGGATCCTAACGAGAGTCTCCGTGTCAGTCATGATGTTGCAGAGGAGCTACAGATGAAGTTGGAAAGCTTGCCTGATGTCGAGAGAGCTTATGTCCACTGCGATTTTGAGACGACGCATAAGCCGGAGCATTTCCTGAAGAAGGAACTATAGTGTTGAGTGTTGAGGATAGTCTGCAAGTGGAAGGCCCGTGTTGTCGGATTACCATTGCAGATATATGCGTATAATGACCGTGACGATTGATACTCCCCATAACTTGGGTTGAGAGAGGGCTTAGACGCCCATAAAAGATGCCACTCAATAATGATAAATATTATTTCTAGAACCCGGGCCTTGAACTGCCATTTTCGCTCCTCATTCCGAAGACTTGAGCTCCATCAACAGTCCAATCTCCCAATGCCCCCTCCCCCCGGACGCCTCTACACCCTAGACACTCAAAGGCTGCGCCTCTCCAGGCTTCGCATCGTACGAGATTCTGCCCGCTGGCAAGAAAAACAGCGCGACAAGCCCACCACCCCGAACCTCGGGATAATGATGCGTTCCCGGCCCAGGACTCGTCCACCCGGCGCCCTGCCACCCCTGCATGCCCATCAACTCGGCGCCGTCATCGATCTGCACGACGCAGTTGATCTCCCCGTACGGATGCTTGTGGTACTGGCCGCGGTACGCGTCCTGCGACTCCATGTACACGGTGGTGATGGAGATGAAGTTGGACTCTGCGCTCGGAGCGGCGATGCGCCCCCTTCGATACCGTGGCCCGTCCAGCTCGTCCTGTGCCACCCAGCCCTCTTTCAGGCCGACCCGCATGTACCGGCAGAAATCTTCGTAGTAGGCGTTGCCCGGCCCGTATTCCGCGTTCAGGCGCGATTCGAGCGCTGCGCCGGGTGTGCTGTGCGGTGGTGAGTATGTGTGGGTAAGGTGGAAGGGGGAAAGATATTGGGGAACGGTTAACGGTTGGAGGTTGGAGGTTGGGGACTTACAGGTCTTTGACTTCGCGGAAGAACTCGTGGCAGCGTGCGACGAATTCTTGAGCGGTTGGGTATTGTGAGAGGTCGAGGAGTGACGCACCACCGTAGCCGGCTGCTGGGGGTGGTTGTTGGGTCATGGTGGTCGATTCTATGTATGTATTCAAGGTTGTGTAGAGTATTGGATTTCTGTAACAGAAAGTCGTATGGAAGTTGGCCGTTCGGGGGATATCGTTCTTGCCTCCCTGGGTCAAGATGCTCCGTTTGAATATCTTTTATTCTTCCGGTCTCCACCTCTGAGTACCGATGGACGAGTTTGTTTTCACTCTCTATCCGTTTGTCTTGCTCTCAAGAGGCGGTGCGTCTTCCGTTGCTGCCCTAGTGAAGTTTGATATGCCACGAGAGATGACTGTGTAATCCCCGAGTTTTTGATTACCCTCGTCCCAAGAACGTGGCTGCTCTCAAGGTAAATATATTTCCGTGGGATGCAAAAACCACTCCAGAGTTTATGAAATCGTTGACGACCGATGACTGGTGCACACAGCGTGTTCTTCGCTTGATTCGCTTGTCTCGCACTACACGTCACCTTCTTGCGTGCGCAGTAGCCAAATTGTCGAGATTTGATGTAAGCACCGTCAGCAAAATCGCATGCCGAGGTGGCTGAATCTCATCGGGAAGTCAGGGTAGGGTTTACCCCGGGTTTCACGCCTATCTGCCGATAGACACTGCCGACAATCCGATTTGTGGAGGTCCTCGAGGGTCGATGTGGCTGGAGAATTCTCCGATTTGTCCTTTATCATTCGAGCACTGTGTGAGGTACTGCGGTACTATCTGGGTAACTACCTAGAGGGTGATAGTTTGATGTCCCGTACATGAGATTCGGACACTTTGATATCAAATGCGCTAACTGGTTGGGGCGGCCGTGTGTGCTTATGCCATCTCATGGACCTGTTTCCCATCTGTTTGCTCTCACGCCCACGGATTTCATTCTCCTCACCACCTCGGCTTACAGATATCTGTCCAACGCAGTCAGTGTGTCACAGTTTGGATTGTGTGACGAGAACCGGTAAATCAAGCTGGCTTCACTGTCGCTTTGGCAATCTGGTGCCGTGAAGTTGAACCGAACTGTCAAACTTATGCTTCAATCGCCGTGACATTCTCTGTGCACCCTGATTATGCTGATTGGCTGAGCGACGCTGGCTGTGGTGCATATATATACACATACAATTTGCCTCGTCATAGGCAGTGTTGAGTTTCACTCGTCAAGGGTCTGGGACTGCCTCGGGTCATCTATCTTTTTACTTCTTTCAAGATCGGGAGACTTCTCAACCTACCCCTGGGTTACTTCATCTTTCAAACCCGGAAGATAAACACAAAATGGAGATCGAGAATCTGGATCTCGCAATTGTCGGAGCAGGATGGCACGGCTTGGGTATGGCAAAGACATACTCCGAGGCCTACCCAGAAGCGCGCATCGCCATCTTCGACTCTGGAAAGTCTGTTGGTGGAGTGTGGGCCAAAGAGCGCCTTTATCCTGGATTGAAGACCAATAATCTTGTTGGGTCATACGAGTTTGGCGACTTCCCTATGGCCCTTGACCGCTTCGGATTACAACGTGGTCAACATATCCCTGGCGCGGTGGTTCATGAGTACCTTCGACAGTTTGCAGAGGAGTTCAACTTGACATCGCGCTTGATATTCAATACCAAGGTTGTGTCCGCAGAGCTGTTGGAAGATGGAGAGTGGGGCTTGCAGGTCTCGGATGTGAACAACGAGTCGTCAGGAACAATAAAAATCAGAACAAAGAAGTTGGTTGTTGCGACTGGCCTGACCTCCAAGCCCAATATACCCACCTTTCCTGGCCGAGCCGAATATCAGGGTAATGTGTTCCATTCTATCCACTTGAGAGACCGAGCAAAGGACATTGAAGCTGCTAAAGAAGTGGTTGTACTGGGCGCAAACAAGTCAGCATGGGACACCTGCTATTCGGCAGCAGTATCAGGTGCACATGTGAATATGGTGGTCAGACCTGGAGGTGGAGGCCCGAGTTGGGTGTGGCCTGTCACTTTCTCCCCATTCCAGCTGTCCATCCAACAAATTGCAACGACGCGCTTATGGACGTTATTCGAGCCCACTATCTGGAATGGAGAAGCTAGTGGGTTCTCATGGGCGCGATATTTACTTCACAGCACGTCGCTTGGTCGGAAGTTTGTGTCTATGTTCTGGAAAGCCCTGGATAAGATTGTCCATCGTGCTAATGGCTACGACAATCATCCCGAGCTACAAAAGCTGAAGCCATGGAGCACGACTTTCTGGATGGGTAATTCCTTGGGCATTCATAACTACCAACAGAATTGGTTCGATCTTGTAAGGAAGGGGCGAATCCATATCCACGTCGCAGACGTTACTTCTTTGTCTGGAAAAGGGGTTCACTTGTCGAACGGCGCAGTCGTCAATGCAGACACATTTGTCTGTTGCACTGGATGGGAGGTTCTGCCCCCGATCAAATTCATACCGGAGACTCTGACTGATGAACTTGGGTTGCCGTCGTCCGCCATCCAACCCAGCGAGGTTCAAGTTCAGCATGCTCGAGCACAAATCCTCGAGGCTGCGCCGAGTCTACGCGCTGGGCCACGAAAGGTTCTTCCAAAGTCGGCAGCGGCACCAATTCGAGTTCATGAACACAAAAACGGCGCAGAATCGACGCGATCGAATTACCAACTGTATCGATTCTTGGTTCCTTCAAGCGCGAAATTCTTCAAACACCGCAACATTGCATTTATTGGTTCGCACCTCGCCCTGAATGCGATAACAGTGGCACAGGCACAGGCATTGTGGATCACCGCATTCTTCAACGACAAGGTCGAGAGTCTCAGACATTCGAACATTGATCATGCAGATGTCGAGTACGAAACCATCTTGCACACCGAATATGCACGGCTTCGACATCCCGGGGCAGGAAGTGGAGCAGGAGAAAGATGTCCAGATCTCGTTTTCGATGGGCTGTTGTACACGGATTCGTTACTGCGAGACTTGGGGCTTGAGGCGCATAGGAAGAAGTCTTGGTGGAAGGAACTGGTGCAAAGATACCTGCCTGGTGATTATCGAGGATTGGTCGCAGAGTGGAAGCGCAAGAATATTATTCATTAAGGATTTTGGGCCGTGCTTTCTTAGAGATCGTGGATGGAGCGACAGCGCCTTTGCTTGCTTCGCTGTCCATACTCCACTACATCAACGGTGACAGAAAATTCATACTACTCAGCGATGAGTATGCCAGGTTATTCATTAACGCTCTCAACCAACCTCTAAAAGCCTTTCAGATAGTCACCCATGAAATACCTGTGGATGTCTTCTGGAGACACATTCCTGTAGCCTATGATTGCAAGTAAATCAGACGTTTTACTGTCACGTTGGGAAACCAAGTTCTCCAAGAGGCGATGCTAGTTGCCGTTAGAATTTTTTTGAGCGGCATGCCCGGATATCGGAGACCAACCTGATACAACTTGTTGTTCTTGTCGTGGAACACCAGGAAACGCTTGTCTTTCTCTTTGTTTTGTCCGTACTGGAAGCTGTCGTCGATAGTCACGGTAAGGTCGTCTCCTGACGTCTTCTTGGCCTTTAATTCGTCAAGCTTGCTGACTTGAATGAAAATAACACCTTCTGCACCACCTTATGGCTAGCTGTCAACGATCAAGGCCTGACCCTAGTGTGGTATTGCTTACCTCCATTCTTGACGGTGTATTTAGCCGCATAGTAGTCTGCTGACTTTTGGCCGAGATTCTGGCTCCAGCTGACTTTGATCTTTTTGTCACCGAGAGATTGTGCGGCAATGTAGATTGAATCACCCCTTCCAACAACGGAAGACATTGTGATGATTTCTTGTTTGCGAGAAATAGGGAAGACGTAAAGTGAGATAGGGTAGAGTGATATTGGCTATACGAATAAGATCAAGCACGAAAAGCAGTCCATTGGAGCGGACTTCACGCCTGTTGACAGAGCTTCTTATACTCACCAATCCGTGGGAACTTTGTACAATCATCACGCCCGAGCTGAAGGATGAGGGGATCAAGCATAGAACCAGACTTGTTCAGTATGTGGAGAATTCTGCGATATTCATCAAAGGCACAAGTCTAGACTGCCTTTCACAGCCAGCCACGGGAACAGCCAAAGTGGTTGGCGAAGGAAGTATTGAGCACACCTTGAAGCATTCATGGTTATTGGATCCCATGTCGCCCGCACCATATAGTATATTATCACAGCTTTCGGCCAATTCTGCGTACCTGACCATCTGGCTGCATCTAGATCTTCGACGTCGTGCATTAGCGTTTTCACGGACAAGCCTCTGAACCTAGGAGGACCCGATCCCGCAGCCGCCGGTTCCAAATCGAGCGGGGATGGCTTTCTTAAATCGACCTGGTCTTCCCAGAACGTTCTCGCAACAACCTTAAACGTGGTATCGCTGGTAAAATATCCTCGAATGGGCCCCTTGGATCAACCTAATGTTTAACGAGAAGTGCGCGGTACGAAGCGAGGGCGTCAGCCAGCCCATTCTAGACATCTAGGCGCCAAGCTCAGTCCAACCCGCTCTCACCTCATCCCATAGGTCTACCTGAGGAGTCTTTTGAATATACCTGTGTCAAAATCGTCCTCTGTGAAAGGCACACTGCCTCTCCGAGTTCCCCCGTAGCTATGCAGGAGAAGGCGAGATCGGAACGACGGCCTGCCCAGAGATGAGGAGACAGAGATCAGCATGAGAACAAGCAATTTGATTGACTCGGAAGCATATTTTCAAGCTGCAAAGAATTTAAAAGGCTCACATCCTATATTTTAGTGCTTTCTGACTTGGTGGGCATGAGAGAATGCGCAGCGATGATACAGGAGAATTAGGTAGCTACTTTGCTCAGTCCAATATTGCTGGTCATGTTTCCATTGAAATTAGCGATCAAGTTCATTGCAATCTTCAAGTTTTTACCAAGCTTCCTCTTCAACTCATAGGCTTACTGCCCTATTGTGGTTGGAGGGGGACAAGAGGGGCGGCGAAACTCGTTATTCTTACTTCAGATCCAATTGAGTGGCATGGCCAATGTACCTCCTAGTGGTAAGTACTAGTCGGCCTAGTAGCAAGCGTGCCAAGCAGTCGACGCGGCTACTAACACACTGTTCGCAGTGCACGTAATTCAGCTCAACTTCAGCTTAGCCTGCGCGTCCTGATTGCCATCTCTCCTCTCTCAGATCCGTGCCATTTCTAGGACATAGCGCGGTGGTCTGTAGTGAATAAGTCAAGATAAATCTATGCAATATGTGCCTCGTACTTCGGCAGCTATTACTTGTCGACCCGGGGTAGCACATCCACGTGGAAGATGACGTCGTTTCTAATGTATCGGAGCGGATATCCGGTTTCAAGATCGATCTGCCAAGATTGGAACAACTTCGGCAGTGGCGATTGCGATCTGAAGCGATTCCATCGCCCTTTCTCTGCCTGTCGTCGTCTTGATTGTGCCGTAGCGTCCTATAGAGGTGTCCATGTTGGACGCGATGCTCTTGGGTCACGGTTTAGATACCATCACACTTGAAGCTGCGCTGAAAGCTGATCCGCGACCGGGCTTCATTGTTGATACCAACCACGCGTCACGAAATACGCCACTTCAGCCAATATTCTGCAATGAAGCTCTCCTTGGAAATCTGTCACTACACAGTGCGATCAGAGGGTCCTTAAACAATGACTCTTCCCGCCACTTTCAAAGATGGGTCCTGGAGGGTGATCAACCGAATCTTGATTATTCTGGGACAACCTGGACGGCCTACACTTTACAGCAGCGATATCGGATTGTTTCTGCCAACACCTGTCGACACAGATCAAAGTCATCTTTCAGATCGAAAGGGCTCTCGGATCCCCGCGTTTCAGCTCGCGACCATTTCCAGGAAACCACAGCTACAGCGGTAGACGATGCAGACGAGCAGATACTCAGCATTCGTAGCACGCGCGGCGAGCCCAAGCTGCCATCATCTCTGGGAGATACCAAACTTGACTTCTCGCTTGAGGAGCCTTCGTTAAAGTGCACGGATTGGACAGCCGCGGAACCAGTAGGAGCGCTCACGCCTCATGAGATATTCGCTCGCAATATCGATTGGGCGTCAACGCCTCTCGGGCCTATGTCAAGCTGGGATCCTATCTTTCGAGAACTGGCCAACCTCGTCATGCGAAATCCGCATCCTTGTACGCTAGTATGGGGCGAGGAGCTCACTATGGTTTACAATGACCCGTACCGGATTGAGGTTGCTGGTAAAAAGCACCCCGCAATCATGGGGAGCGGGTTCTTTGTCGACTTCCCCGAACTGTGGTCTGACAAGAAGTCCGGCTTCCAGGAATGTGCTCAGACAGGCCAGAGTATACGAATGGAAAATGATCGCCTCTTGATCGAGCGTTCTGGCTATCTGGAAGAGACCTTCTTTTCATGGTCTTGGATTCCCATGTACGATAGCGCTCGACGTCTTCTTGGTTTCTACAACGCCCCCTTCGAAACCACTTACCAAATGATCAGTAGTCGGAGGATGGAAACATTGCAACGCTTGGGAGAAGCTGTCTCTACGGCAAGGTCTGTACGACAATTTTGGAAAGCAGTCGTCAAAGGCCTGGAGACAAATCCGTACGATATCAATTTCGCCACAGTATACGTCCTTGCAGAGACTGAAGGGAGTGACGCAGCCTCGATCTCATCAAATTCAAACATAGCATCGAAGGACTGTGTACTCGAGGCCGCAATCGGCGTCCCGAGCAATCACCCTGCTGCAGCTGAACGAGTCGACCTTCAAGACGATGCTGGATTGGCGCCTAAGATGCGAGCTGCTATACAAGCGAAGGAGCCTGTACTGTTGTCCGCAAGCGATGGGACTCTTCCAAACTTTTTGTTGGAAGGGATAAGTTTTCGAGGGTTTGAGATCCCATCCAGCGAAGTTCTGATCGTGCCACTACGTTCAACTTACGAATACAATGCATCTGCGATCCTGACGATAGGTCTCAATCCACGCAGGCGATACGATAAGGACTACCAAACATTCATCGCCATGCTTAACCGCCAATTATCAACATCTTTAGCCTCTGTGCTGTTCGCAGAAGACGAGGCTCGCAGGAATCGGACTGCCGCAGAGCTCGCTGCACTTCAGCGCGAACACTTAACAGAACAATTAGAGCTTCAAAGAGGGCGATTACGGAGAATGACCGAGCATTCACCGCTTGGAATGTTCTTGATCAGCCCTGATGGAGTGCTTTTGGAAGCGAACGACCGATACTATGAGATGACAAATCATCCAACCGACTCTTATGCTTTGTCTTTTATGGAGACCGTGGCCGAATCGAATGCTTCTGTTGCCCTGGGGATGTGGAATCAAATGACGATTGATAGAAAACCTGCGACAGGTGATCTTTTACTTCGCCACAACTATAACACTGAAGTTGATGAAGCTGGAGTTCCCATTGAGCCATGGGTTTTGGTATCAGCTGTTCCTGAGATTGGCCCAGACAATGAGCTCAGAAGCGTCATGGGTTCGATCACGGACATGTCACATTATCACTACGCTCGACGACTACAGGAGCAGCGTCTCCGCGAAGCCGAAGAGACCAAGCGGCAGCAAAACGCGTTCATCGATATCACTTCACATGAAATGCGAAACCCTCTCAGTGCTATTCTCATTTGTGCAGAAGATATAAAGGCTTCGCTGCAGAAGCACCAGTTCGACGGCCAGGCTGTTCAGGTCATTGCTGAGTGTGTGGAGGCTGCCGATACAATCACCCTGTGTGTGCAACACCAGAAAACCATTGTCGATGACGTCCTTACAGTCTCGAAACTGAATTCCAATCTGCTTCTCATATCGCCACTTCCGTCGAACCCAGTGCAGGTAGTTCAGCAAGCAATGAACATGTTTAGTAAGGAGGTACAGTCGAAGCAGATCGATCTCAGCCTACACTTACACTCATCAATGAACGATCTCAATGTCCAATGGGTCATGCTTGATCCTGGACGGGTTTTGCAGATCATGGTCAACCTCCTTACAAACGCCATCAAGTTTACACATCAGTCGTCGACGCGATCGATCTCTGTGCACATGGGTGCATCCTTCAGTCTGCCGATACCGCGCACTAAATCCTTTGATTATGTGCCGAGAAGGAGTCCACAGGTAGACATTAGCGACGGCAAAGATTGGGGAGCCGGCTCACTCATATACCTGCGGGTTAGAGTCACCGACACCGGCTGTGGACTCACGACTGAGGAAAAACAAAGGCTGTTCGAACGTTTTGCCCAAGCTTCCCCACGTACGCACGCGCAGTACGGTGGCAGTGGACTCGGCTTGTTCATCTCAAGGCAACTCGCCGAGTTACACGGTGGTCAGATCGGCGCTGCGTCTGAAGCAGGTGTTGGGAGCACTTTTGGTTTCTTTATCCAATGCCGAAGGACCATCGATCCCGGAGTCGGCAAAGAATCAGCATTACCGAGCACCACGGGCATCTCCAGCTTGCCAACGTCGACTTACGAAAGAAACAGCGCATCTGAAACTCAGCTCACTAATCTCAGCCAAGACGTTCCAGTCGTCATGCCATCGCCCATAGTTAAGCATACGGATGCGAAGACCATCCACGTCCTAGTGGTGGAGGACAACCTCGTCAACCAGAAGATACTCAAGAAGCAGCTCGAAAAGGCTGGGTGCGTGGTGGAGACTGCTGACAACGGTATCCACGCTCTTGAATACCTGCGCACCACGACTCTCTATTCAAATGGCACAAACCCGATATCGATTGTGCTCATGGACCTGGAAATGCCCGAGATGGGAGGCTTGGAGTGCGTGACACGTATCAGAGAACTTCAGACTCAAGGTGCTATTCGTCGGCATGTGCCCGTGGTGGCTGTTACAGCGAACGTCAGGGCAGAGCAGATACTGGTCGCAAGAAAGAGTGGCATGGACGACATTGTGTCGAAGCCGTTCCGGATGGCTGATCTGTTGGAGAAAATCGAGGCGATTGTGGGACATACTTCGTCGCAACAGAATCCTTGATTGATATACGGCCTTCGGCATTGATCAGAGCGCTACACTTACAACAACATACTGGCTGGGGAAGTTCGAAAAAGCACCATCGAACGAGTGAGCGGTTTCTATCCGCGACGATGCTGATCTGGGCGGCTCAGCGCCATGGGTGCTGCTCATGCTACGAGATGCAGCCTCGCATACCATGTTGGTAACAATCGGCTCTCTATAATGGATTTTCAATCCTCGAGTCGTCGGTTTCCGATACAGCCCGAAGCAAATGATACCTCGCTGTTAAAGATCCAAGCATCCTTGATTCATATTATTTCCAAGCCGAAGAAACCCAGCTGTCACGATCTTCAGATTCCAAGTCGTTCACCAGTACTATTCGCATGCCAGTTGACCACAGGCACGACCATCATATGGAAAACTTTTCTAGCGGACAGGATCATTACGTCACATGAACCGTTTTAAGGCTCCTGGAAGCTCGACTAACGTTTTCCGCGGCTTAAGAGAACCATATTCCATCGATCCTGTAAGACTAGCTGTTTCGTGCTATACGATTTCAACCTCTTGTAACAAAGCGAGCAGAATTATGAACAAGATGCAGCTTTTTCGACTCTGATTCACTTTATGCCTATGCTGATCTTACTCTGCGGCCTCGGTTCCCGTCAAATCGGTCTCCAGGCGCAAGATCTTGATCAGGTTGTGGTGTGCCCAGAATCGGCGGTATCGCTTGCCGTATATGTACATGGGGATGGTAGTCAGAACGCAGCCGGCGGTGATGCCCGCGATGATATTGAACATCTTGGCCGGACCCTGAGTCATCAACCAGTCGACAATGTAGTTGGTAAGGCTAGGACACTCAAAATTAGCAAGTCATGAACCTCTGGCGCGGGTGGTGATCTCGCTTACCCATAGAAGAAGAAGTTCTTGAATAACATGTTCATCACAAAAAGCTCCGTGCTGTGCTTTCTATAGGCGTCCAGGACGTAGCCGCTGAGACTGATGTTGATGATGCAGAGTCCGAACATCATCAGTCCCCAACAGAAGCAGATCACGTAGATGGATTGGAAGTTCTGGGCTGCGTAACCAAATCCCACCATACCGGCGATGGAGGTGATGGAACCTACTGCGCTCCCCAGGAGCTGGAACTCAGGTTCGTAGATCCCGTTATTTCGCTTTACCATCCACATTAGCTGAGGTTTGGCGATGACGCCCATAAAGATCGAGCCGATGATGCCTCCGATCATGGGAGCGGCAGAAGTGTAGCCAACCCCTGCTGGGGTAAGTAGATAGGGGGGCGAGCTGAAAATTATGGATGAGACGATGGACATGGCAACATACCAGGCTAGTGTGATGCCAGTCACTAGAACGTTGTATGATGCGGCGACGTTGAGAAGAATCGCTACTGGTGCGGTCACCATCTTCAGAAGTGAGTCGCGGACAAATACGCCGTTGAACACGGCTAGGCGCTGAATATACGTCTTGCGGGTGGGCGGGACTGAAATCTGTGAGATGTTTTCGGCTTGTTCACTCTTGGTCTTGGTGACTTTCTCGTTCGCATAACGATGTCGTTCCACGTCCTGGCCTAGGGCCGCCAGGTTCTGATCAGAACCTGTCTCATCGATTTCGTAAATCTTCTTACGGATATACGTAGTCTCCGGGACGAAGAAGATGGTCAATAGGAGCTGGAGACCGAGGAACGGCAGAAGGATGTGGAAATTGTAATGCCATCCCAAGTTGGCCGTGATGGGTCCCGCAATGACGAGAACACCGTTCGCGACGGTGGAGAGCAGAAAGATAACACCAGCCACTCTGGAACCGCGCTCGTGGACGAAGAAGAGATCGCCAATGGAGGCGACAATGAGTGACTCGTATGCCCCCACACCGAGCCCCTGAACGACTCGTGCCGCAACTAGGGTCGAATAGGTCTGCGCACATTCGCCGATGATACAGCCGGTAACGGCCATTAGAGAGCAGAAGATGTACAAAGGTCGCTTTCCGAATTTGCGCGCGAGACCAGAGACAAAGACACCAAAGGCCCCGGCTGAGAGCAGTACATAGCCGGCCAGTAGGGTGACCTGGGTAAAGCTAACGCCTAAGGACTGAGAGATGGGCAAGACACCCGCCTGAAGAATGGCGCCCTGCGTAAGACCGGTCAGTTGGGTAGATATAGAAGGATGAGGGCAGGAAATGGCCACGAACCGGTCCGGCGCCGCAAACAATGGCACCAAAGCCTAAGATGGCTAGCACGGCGTGCTTCTCAAAGCTCGACCAGTTTAGAGGGTCATTAGGGTCGTCCGAGGGTTGTGGTGTAAGAACGACGTGGGAATATTTGCCAGTGCCGTGCTTGAGGAGGCTGGTGTCCTGAGTGCCTTCTGGCTGATTCTCGTCGTAGAGGTAGACAGTGCCGGGCACGTGGCCTTCAGCCTTGGGTTCCAATACCCCAAAACCCATCGTAATTGTGGGATGTTTTGAGAGAGAGAGAGAGAGAGAGGAGAGATGGGTTATCAAGAGAGACGAGAGAATCTGAGTGCTCTTGTGGAAGGGCCTGTGGCTGTTGATATAAGCCGTGGGAGGAAATACCCCAGGACCCCGGATCTGTGACTTGTCTCTCCCCAGCTTCCCCCATTCTACACAGGACACCCCTCTCTTGTTCAAAGGCCCACGAGGTACCACGAATAGTTATCGACTCGGGATTATCAAATGCTGGCGGAAGTTGGTGTTGACAAGTGCCGGAAACCATTGAGGAAGAACAGTATCCAGATTTGCCACTTCGAGCAGAGATTACTGGCTACGAACCTGATTGACGCGAGCAGGCCGTCAAGATTAGCATTGCAGCACGGCCACGAGCTATCAGGCTGTAAGCGATTCCTAATCGAGAGTTTTCAGCACTTATTTGCCCAGATGTCAGGTTCCGGTCTCTAAGGCTGGACGAGTGCACGGCATCAGGAGGCATTCAAAGCGTTTAGCTTCAAGCCACTGAGCTGCGACAGGCATGGTATCGAGAAGGTGGAAGATAGGGTTGGATACCACGGAATGCTGCGCGGCCGGTTGAGCTCAACCGACCGGATGCTCCACTCGCTCCGCATATCGACAAGGAAGATTCTGGGGTTTCAGGCTTGCTTCGGAAATTTCCGAAAGAATTTGTCTCCGACGAACAACTCCTGTCTTCCCTGCGCAAACATCTCCCAAGACCAGCCAGACCTTGCGGGCATTGTTCCAGGCATGCGCGTTGATTCCGCATCGCAAGACTTTGTTGAGGTAGCTATTCCGGCAGATCGACATAGATTATGACCTAAGGACAAACGAACTTTGCACTAGCCAGGAGTCGTTGGTAGTGTAGATGAGCCAAACCACGACGTACAGGCGTCTGCGATTTCATCTCCTTCGAAACCCATCAGAATCTTGTCTGCGACACCTGAGTTGAAATTAGATGATGGGTCGACAAGTGAACTCCCACCGGGTCGGTGATGCTCTTCTCAGCCTTGGGAAGAGCTACTATGCTCGACTGGGCGCAAGCATGCTCGGTGCTCTCTTGGGATGTCGATGGCTGAATGCCATTCTCTCACGGCGAGCTTCAAACAACAGCGTCAGCGACCATACCTGGAACTGGGAAAAGGAGATTGTCCTGTTGACCGGCGGTTCCGGCGGCATTGGCTCAATCGTTGCGCGTAAATTGGGGGAGAGAAAAGTCAAAGTGATTGTTGTTGATGTCCATCCACCGAAATCATCGCTGTGTATGTTTGAGCCTGATCGATGCTAGAAAAATCCCTCCACATGATGCTGACGGATTGTACAGCTGCCAACCAGTACTATTATCAGGTCGACATCACCTCCTCAGAGGCGATCCAAAAATTTGCGTCTCAACTGCGCAATGACCACGGAGATCCCACTGTGTTAATCAACAACGCTGGCGTAGGCAATGCCATACCTATAATTGAGCTACCGGAGGCCGCTCTGCGAAAGGTATTCGACGTCAACATCATATCACATTTCCTTCTCCTCAAGGAGTTCCTACCCTCAATGATTCGCGCCAACCACGGTCACATTGTTACCGTTGCCAGCATGGCGTCATTTGCGGCCCAGGCACAGAATGTCGACTATGCTGCCACCAAGGCGGGAGCGCTTGCTCTGCACGAAGGTCTGGGGCAAGAGATCAAACACACCTATAGAGCCCCAAAGTTGCGCACCACGTAAGTGAAGTCTTAGTATCATTCAGTTCATTGTTTTTGGGCGGTGGAAGACTGATGGAGTTGGACAGGATCCTTCATCCAAGCTGGGTCCGGACGCCCATGATCTCCAAGTTGACGTCGAACCCTAAGTTCAGGGATCCTGTGGTCGAGCCAGAGGACGTAGCCGATGCAGTGGTTCAACAGTTGTATCGTGGTGAGGGTAGTCAGCTCGTGGTGCCTCCGTCAATGTGGTGGGTATCGGCCATCCGTGGCTGGCCCTGGTGGCTGCAAGAGAACGTACGTGATACGGTATCAACAGCACTGCTAAAGGCCATGGAGCCTTGATGGAGAAATGAATGGCTAGTTGTAGAAATCTTCGTGAGGCAGTAAGCCGCGTGTAATACTCGTTCTGATGAATGGTATAATGTCCCCTAGTGACCCTACGTAGGAGGCTGGCATGGTTGGTAATGCCGTGGGTTCCCCCAGCCGCATGTGGAAAGCCTTTAGCCTGTACTCTCTGCTGCAAACTGGCGACGTAATCTACACTCGTTGACAGTCCTTCCTGAGTCGTAGGATCTCAGGACGGAAACGCCATAGGTGAGGGGAGGTCTGGGAAAATATCGTACTTAGGGACTGCTGAACGGGGATTTTTGGGCGGCTTGCAAGCTTTTGCAGTGCTAGAAGAAATCCAGAAAATCTCTCGATATCTCCCGGTTCATGGCGTGCTGATAGTTATCCGCGGGATCCGACGCGACCTCGCCAGCTGTAGGCCATTTGTAAGATGGCTGCATTGTATCGAACATGGCCGTCAAGTCATTAGTGAGCTGGTATGGATCAATCGTCTCGTCCGTGAGAGGCGGCCCAATTTCGGAGCTGACGGCTGGTCGTTGTATTTCGGGTTGCTGATCCCGCTCCATCGATGGGAAGTCCAAAAACGGGAGATTGCCATCTGTGCTGTTCAGAGCCCCATCCCGCATGCCCACTGTCTGGGCCTTGTTCGCCATGAGACCTAGACTCAGCCCAACTTCCTTGAGGTGCTGGACCCGTTGCCAGAGCCGCCTCCCCATATGAGACTCCGAAGAGAACCCCTGAATGAGCTCAAGTGCCACTACAAATTCTTCACGGCACATGTTGCTGAATTGGTATGGAGCGTGGCAGACAGCAAGGAAGAGGACGGCTAGAGCGGAGACTAGAAAGTGGTTGAATTGAGCTTGCTGTGCCGAATAAGTACCTGGAGTTTGGCTCACTTGTCGCAGCAGTCGAATATTATCCTTTGCCGCTTCAACAGCGAGCCTAGCATTTGGCAGGTCCTCGTCAATCGTATGGGAATTCAGAAGTTCGTGGCGGAATATGAAGAGCTGGAGCTGGTTGACGCTCAAGTACAGCGATAAACGGATCTTGTTCTCGCTTGGGGTGCGACCCTGCAGCATATTCTCCTCAGTCGGTTGCAGTTGATATTGGGGCTTAATACCTCGATACCACTGCTGGACGCGGAAGTAAAGGAAAGACAACTTTTCTGGAGTGGCTTTAGCTGTGGTCTTGGTGGTCACTTTCCATACTCTCGTCTCCAGTTGTGCATATGCGACCATGGCCGAGAGGAGGTATGATCCTGTGCTGCCCTGAGGCGAGATTCAGCTGTATTGCCCATGCTAGACAATTTGCTGATGATAGGACGATGTACTTACCAATGTTGGAACATCCAAGTCGACATCACACTCGGGAATGGCGAACGAACGGCCAGTGCCGAAGCTCCATCGTCTATCAAGTATGTATATAGACCAGAAGAGCTGACTGGCTCGTAAGCGTTGCTCATCGTTGGAGAATCGCACCGGATAGGTCTCACGTCGGTGTAAGCCTTGTTCGATCGCGGCCCTACCGGCAAGACCAATCGTTCTCCACGCGAGGACCTCTTCGTCCAAATGAAACTGCAGGATGCTCTTCAAATGGTTAGGCCACCAGTAGACGTGTCGGGGAGCAAAAGCAAACCTACGATGGCAGTCCAGGCCTGTATCTCCAGAAGATCCACATTCTTGCCCAAGAAGCGAGTGTCAAAGCCGGATTCGACGCTCCTGAGAAGTTTTGCACTCAGTGCATTGGGGCCATGATTCTCTATGGCTGCAGCAATGGCGATAGCTAGCTTCAGAATGTCCCAGATGCCATCGGTAAGGGTATTTTCGTCCTTGGGATATGTTTTGGTAGACGAGGGGGATGCCATGTCGATGCAATCGTAAAAGTATTGAGCCGCGCGGTATAGAATTATCTTGTCAATGAATGGATAGATAAGGCCATACTCGTCATAGTAGAAATCCAGCAGTCGCAGCGCTTCATTTCGAGAGATGGTGCACAGGGGGTTTTCGATGTCACGATTGACAGAACTCGCGGCCTGGTATCTGACCTTGGTCGACGCCGAGAGAGGTCCCAACTGGAGTCCTTCATACCGTGGGGTATGTATTCCGGCGTTGGCCAGAGAAGTCGTCGCCATTCGGAAGAGGAATGATGAGCTGGTCGGCCCAAGGAACTCGGGCTGTCCCGCACGTGACGTGGTAGATGAGATCCTCAAAAGTCCATTGTTGTCCGACTGGTGGTGCAAGTGGGTGATATTCAAGCCTGGTGAGGATGGGAAGGAGGCCGGCGTTGAAATGGTTGATGGTTGCTTGGTTAATGAAGAGGCCAAGAGTCCGTCTGCAACGAGGCGATCAATCTGGGCTTGCATTCTCTCGATCTTCTCATTCAAGCCATCGAAATCCCTGATGGAGGTCAGAATCGAATCTCGCAGCATGAGGCAGGCAATGGGCGGATGATACTACGTGCCTTTCCTTCTGCAAGGACGCGGTGGCTAGTCTCGAGCTATAAGAGCAGATGACAGCCTTGTCGCGGCAATATTGGCATGGGATTTGACTGTCGCATTTCCCTTTACGCTTCTTGCATTCATCACTGTGATCAAGGTTAGCGAACGACGGGTGACAGGGCTGGGATAGCAACAACAGGGTTGGAAACGTACCAGGCCACGGTCGTATATCTCTTGCGTTTCCCACGCGGAGTTGGCGACCTCGATGTACCGTTGACGCTGCCAGAATGGTTGGACTCGTCCGGCTTGAAGTCGGCCATGATCAGACGATTCGACGACGCGCAGAAGTGATGTTGATGGTGCGTTGTACTTTGGATGTTGGGCACCATGTGTCCGAGTTCAAACCCATCATTGCGATTGAGGACTTGGGGTTCTAGGTCCAGCTATGCCTGGGAGGTGCCCAACTCCGGCTGAGTCTGATGCCCGGGAGGCACCTTTGGCACTTTGTGCCTCGGTTGCGATCGCCCCCGTCTAGTCAAGGAGTTAGTTAAGCTCTGGTCGGTTGTATGCCAAGGCGTCTAACCATCATGCGGGGTCCCCAGCACCACCCCCATGTAGGCTTTGGCGCCTAACCCCCCCCCCCAACAAGACCCCAAGGCCTTTCAGTGTGACAAACCTGGAACCTCGTCCCGCGTACCTCGCATGTTGCACACGGTTCGGAAATTTCCGAATTGACTTCTCCTCCCATACAGTTCTCACGTTCATTCATCATAATTCTCACAAGGGGCAATGCTAACTACTACTTGTATGTTCCGCACGCGGGAGTTATGCATGAGGACTCAGAGAAATCATGTAAGACACAAATAGCTATCAGTCGCCCTCGATGGCTTGCTCTTTGGCTTCATTCACCCTACAGTCGCCATGGCTTCTCACACATACGATGCCCTTGTAGTTGGTTCTGGAGTGTCCGGCATCAACGCGGCGTACCGCATTCGAGAAGCATTTCCCGAATGCGATTTTGCCATTCTTGAGGGGAGGAAAGACATTGGCGGCACTTGGTCGCTGTTCAAGTATCCGGGGATTCGCTCGGATTCGGATCTCTTCACCTTTGGGTTCCCATGGGACCCCTGGGACTCGGGTATGCTTGCAGTTGCCATGACCGAGCATCTATTGGCTTGATTAGAAGTAATTGGGCGAGGATGGATCCCGTGCTGACCATGCTTACAGATGACGCTATAGCCACTGCACCGGCGATTCTGTCATATCTCAGGAAAGTTGTGTCTCGGCATGGGTTTGATAAGAATATCAAGCTCCAACATAAGGTTCTGAGCATGAATTGGAAGACGGTGGATCAGAGATGGGAAGTGCAAGTGCGAGTTGGCAAATCTGAGAAGACAACGACAATGTATACAAAGTTCCTTGCCATGGGAACGGGATACTACGATTATACCCAGGTACGTCGTAGTGACAATTTCGTGCTCGCCCCACTCTCTCCAGCACGACACGGAATCCTAGTATTTTGCGCTCCGTACGATGGCTCACCGACTGTATAGGGTCTCAACACTGCCATCAACGGTATCGACAAGTTCCAGGGAACCGTTGTCCATCCTCAGTTCTGGCCCGAGAATCTTGACTATGCCGACAAGGAGGTGGTCATCGTGGGCAGTGGCGCTACTGCCGTGACGATGCTACCTGCTATGGCTGAAAAGGTTTCTCGCATTACCATGCTGCAGCGCAGTCCCGGTTATTTTGTCGCTCTACCCCAGAAGGATTCTGTGGCCACATTCATCCGACGATTCCTGCCCTCAGCGTGGGCAGGCTGGTTATTGCGTCTGAAGTTCCTGTTCGCGTTTCATACCTTTTATTACTGGTGCATGTTGTTCCCTACGACAGCTCGAAAACAGTTGACGGCTGCTGTAGGCAAAGAGATCCCAAAAAGCCTTCAGCTCGACCCCCATTTCTTGCCATCTTACTCACCTTGGGAGCAACGGCTATGTGTCACGCCGGGCGGCGACTTCTTCCAGGCTCTCCGGAGCAATAAAGCGACGGTGGTTACTGGCCATATCGAGGCAGTCACCGCAGATGGAATCGAATTGACGTCAGGCCAGAAACTTCCTGCGGATATCATCATTACTGCCACCGGCTTGAAATTTCAAATGTTTGGTGGAGCACTGCTGAGCATTGATAATCAGCAGGTAAGCCCAGGAGAGAGGTTCTTGTGGCGAGGCTGCATGCTTGAGGGTGTACCCAATCTGGCTCTCTATATGGGATATACGAACGCTTCCTGGACTCTTGGTTCGGATGTTGCCGCGCGATTGATTGCCCGTATCATGAGGCAGATCAAGGCACGGGGTGCACAGTCAGTCGCACCTTCCGTGGATCCAAAGCTTGGTCCAATTGAGGAAGCTCCTCTGTTGGGTCTTAAATCTAATTACATCAAGATTGCCATGTCTGAGCGGCGGGTACCCAAATGTGGAACTGCGGCGCCGTGGCAGCCCCGGAAGAGCTATTTCCTGGATTCATGGTTTGCAAAATTTGGAAGTCTCAAGGGACTAACATTCAGATCTTGATGTTGCTCAAGGGTACCGTCCAGTGTCACCCTTCATGTGACGAGCGGCGGAGATCTCGGCGCAGAAAAAGGCGGTCCCAATTGAAATCGGATCTGGACGTTTCTGGTGGGTGTCAAGGAGACAATATGATTGTCTTGTCTTAAATGATACCCAAGTGCTTGGTGTACGAAATCAGCTGCAAAAGAGACGAAGACACTGTAAACCCGATCCCTTGTTCACACGCGCAATCTTCCCACACGCAGGCATTGTCACAATCCAGTGAGCTGTCGACGAACCTAATCAAGAAATTATTGGGGCGCAGGAGTAAGATGAGAGCCAGGTCAACTTAGCAAATGCAATAATAATCGATGACATATGGGCAGAGTTAATGGATCGAAAAGCCATAGCTTTTACTGGTTCAATAGTAGAGTTCCCCTGAGCCTCGAGGTCTGCTGCCCAAACCTCACTGCTCTGCAGCACTACACTAAAGGGGTACTGGCCCACCGAATCTTGGTGCCTTGCTGTGCCTGGTAAGCTGGCCGCCACCTGGCCGACGACTCCTCCTCGCAGTGAAATATTGTAGAGATCTCATGGGTGTCTCATGTAGACAGTCCGTCATTTGTCTCGCTTTGTGCAGAATCGGATCCTCTCGATCGATTGACTATCAATGATCTACGCAGAAGACAGGAGGATCTAATGAAGAAAACCCGGATACATCCCTCACGGAAAGCTTTCAATAAAAACCTACCATGGGCTGACAGTTTAATAATTGTTGGTGGTTACGGGCGGTGCAATCCTGCTTAGCCTAGCTAGAAAGCCAACTAGCAGCCTAGATGCATTGTGGCTTCAGGGTCACCCTATCGCCCTGTGCGCGCCCCCAAGCCCCCTCGGCTATTGTTGTCAGGAGTCTTCGACAACCCATTCCTCGGCCAGGCCGGCTGCCAGGGGTCTGAGATTCGGACATTTCTCTTTCGAAGTGTTCAGTTTTCTCCTGCATCCGCACCACCTACGATTTAGGAGTGTTCGCATTCCCAAGTTGATTCGCTGCTTCTCACCAGCGTGGTGAATACTCATGTTTGCAATATCTCACAACTTTGTGTCACCCATGTACTTCTGAACTATAAACAGAGCCAACCGGAAGTGCCATACTGCTTGCCTGCGGGATGGTTGCCTATTTCAAAAGTCCCTACAGGACTTTTTGGCATTCCCTGGGCTGCGCGCCTACGCACAGTCACAGTCACCAGAGGAGGCTGATGAGAAGCCTGCACCTCAAAAGTTCCATGCATATCGTGATGAATGCACATCATGTAAATTTCTCTATCGGCCCATTTGATGATACTGGCAGTTTGATGGATCGATTACACTTCTCCTAATTCCGCTGCGGAAAGATTATGGATACCTCCGACCGCATTGCAAGCAACAGGTTTTCCTGGCAAAGTATTGGTAGTCTTACTGGCATAAGAAGAACACTAAGAAGGACGCAATCAACCGAAAATCTTCGAAACGTTGCTAATGGAGATCATTTATATCCGATGGTGCGACGTTCGTCGACGAGGGCGAGCACAGAAATGACCTATTCCAAGATAGCGGTGACCCAGGAAGCTAACGGAGAGACCGCCCGTCGTGATTACACCCAGATATTTCATCAGCGTTCCTCGCCATACAACACGTACCGCAGGCCTGAGATTTTTACTGAAGATGAAGACGAAGTGGGTTTTCCCAGACGCATGATTGCTGTCCCTTCCGGGCCTCATCAACCCTCGAGGCGAAGTGTGATCAGAGAGGTTTGGGTATCCTTGATATTCATCCTCGTACCAATGTTCATCATTCCAATCATATTTGCAATTCTTGTGGCCAAATATAGAGTGCAGTCCGAGCCCAGCCTATTCTTGGACGTGCGAGGGACAAGGGAACTGCAGCAAAAGAGATATGTGTTGCTGAGAATCCCCGCAAGTGTGAAAATTCAACAACGATCTAAAGACGCATACTAATCTTTTGACAGCATGGGTCGTTTTCATTTCCTCTCGAGCTTCACAGATCGCCAGCCTACTTGCTGGACCCATAATGACACTCTGGACGTGGAGAGCTACACAATCGTTGCTATTGTTGTCTTCAGAGGCACGGGCAGCACGATTACCAACTCCCTATCAGCTCAGTTTGCTGGTTGGACTTTGTCTTTCTTCGATGGATACGTTCTGGGACTATATAATCTATCGGCATCTTCGACCACGGAGTATCCGAAAACAAACGCCTATCTCACCAGTTCTGCTCAGGGTCGGGCTGATATTCTATCTGGCACTTTCTCTCTCTGGAGCAGTGTTGATTGCAGATACTGTGCTGCATTATACAACAAGCACGATCGAATTGGATGATGTCTCAAGGTCGGCCCAGCTCGGAGAGTCAGGTCGGGGGCTTTCTGAGGAATGTTTACAGCTCTCTCGTATTGACAATTCTGGTTATCCGTGCTCCCGGAACATCGGCTTATCTGCATCGGATCCCAATGCATACCTACGGGAGCAAAGCGAGATGTTCTATCTACGGCACAACACATCTCAGACTTCTGAGATTCGGCTTGTCCCCGCGCAAGGTTCAGAGTCGACCGACGTCGTCCTGCTAATTCCGAAATCAAGCACATTGTCCCCGTTCGTAGATTACCGCGCCTCAACTATTGGAATCACAACTTCTTGCGAGCCCATTACCGACAAATGCCAGTTCGGTGTTTGGGGAGCTAATGATGCCTATAGCGGATTCTATTGCAGTCCCTATTTCTATGGGGTCTTGGGCAAGACGGCCATCATTGCGAATGATTCGACAACGACCGACGACCCAGATATCCCTCCGCTATCATCCAAAATCAGTCCGAATCTACAGTAAGCCATACCATCCGTCCCAGCCCATTCCTTCTAACTCTCTCACAGGATTGCGTTCTTTACGGACCAGGATCTCGAGATTCCCTACAATACGCGTGCATACGATCTAACCACGGGTAAAGTGAACACTTCTATACCTCTACTACCAGATGACGAACTCGTAAACGAGGTATGGGTAGCCATTGCAGGAAGAGTGCCCACAAGTGCTCTCCAGGCTGACAGCGAATTGACCGGCGATCCCAACTTTTTCATGGGTCCTAATCTACTTTTAGATAGTGTCATTCGTTGTCGCTACCGATCACTTGATGTTGAATATACCTGGTTCAATGGCACTGTGCAAAACGTCCAATTCCAAAATTCCACCAATGGAACGATTTCAGAACTCTACCATGGCTACCGCACTCCCACTTCGGTGTCTGGCACCAATCCGACATTGCTCGATATTTTGTCCCAAGCCGCAATGCAAGCAACCACGGCCGATTTTTGCCGGACTTGGGCCAATCTTCTCTCCGGGGAAATCATGAGTGTGGTTGGTGGCGTTACCACTCCTCGTTCAAACACAATACAGCAGGATCGTGTACCACAGTTAGTGGTGAAGATCTGGGTTCCGTCTTTGGTGTGGCTCCTTTTCTGCTGCCTTATGTACCCCGTCGCGGGACTTATCCTCACGATACTCGCCGCGCAAACCTCGCGGGAACATTATATTGGTGCCGCGGTTTCAAGGGTCAGTCTGCATGGGTTTGCAGAGCAAGGCTTCGCAGATCAGCACAACGATTCAGTCGTTGAGACCTCTACGGGAGAAGGCACTGAGGATGACACTGTGCGAGTGGGTTTTGGCGACGATTTGCGCTTCAAGAAATGGCCCATGGAAGCTAGATCTGCGACACATGTCAATACGATTGGGGTAGACTAGATGATTAGGTGTCAGAAAGATAACAAGAGACTAGTGCTTGGTTTTACTGCATTTACAGCATCATAAGATAGTCATTTTCTTTAGCATTCTAGTAACCACAGACTGTTTCCTTTCCTCAAAATTTGTAACCGCAGATTCGACGTGCTTCCTGGCAAGTTTCAGACTTAGCCATTCGCTTAACGAGATGGTAGACTCGTTCAATACCACAACAATCATTCACCCGAGAGAGTATTTATTCGTTCATTACCAGAAGTGCAACCATTATCGGATCCTCACAGAGCAATACCAAGAGCGTGCGAGATCTCTGCCGTCAAATCCATGCGCAATATACTGGCATTCCATTCCTCGCCAATCCGGCATCCACGTCCAGTTTCTCAACGAACCTCGCGCTATCCTACTCCAACTCGCCCTCGCGATAAATTCAGTACCATGCGACGTGGGTCGTGAGAACGCATGTTGAGGATCTCCCACGTTAACTCGTTTGCGCGTCCAGGCAATCGCAGATTCGAACTTCTTGTCGCATGTACTGGCGAGCAATGCCTCAAGATTTCTTTTTGTGCTCAAGCAGGTCCAGAAGCCCAATGAGCTGCAGCAGCTCTTTGTTGACACAGGAAGAGTTATTGAACATTTGGCAGCAGGCTATGGGACACCCACTGTGCGGGTACGGACAGCACCCGTCACAGTTATTCTGCCATACGTTGTAGCTTTGTGTGAGGCGTGTTACGACTGTCGCGGCGTTCACGATCAGCTCTTTCCGTACCTGTTCGTACTTTTCACCAGGATCTTTTTCAATGCCGCAGAAGTCCTGTGCGTGAATGCTTTGTTGGTCTGGTTGATCCGGGACGAGGTGAAACGCATCTTGTTCCCCGAGGTTATGGGCATAGCCTCCTAGGAGGCTCACAAGAAGGCATAGAAGTGAGATGATAGAACGCATGTTTTGGAATAGGCCACGTCAATCGGTTGGCCCGAAAAACAACTGCCTCTTGGATTATGGTCTCGCTGGAGCGGCTTATCAAGGAGAAAGTTGATATGCCTTGATACAAGTAGTACAGCTGTAGCGCGAGGGGCACGACTCATAAAGATAGGCACCCAACACTTTCTAACGAATCTTGTGGTAGCGTAAACTCATTTGACCTCGACAGGCAGATTCAGTGCGAAGTGCAGAACAACGACCACCGAGCCCCCGATTGCCAGACATAACAGTTGCCTTGCTTGAGATCGTGTGGAAAAAGATTGGTGGGATCGTAATCCTTGTGGCGCCCAAACCAGCAATTGACTTGGTCGCAGCAAGTCACTCGTCAACGTTAGCAGGTATTGGCCAAGTAACCGGTGTGTTGGTGAGAGGAAGAAACGCCCGCCTCATTTAAACTTGCACCTCTGTCTCCCGCACCTGGAAGGCGACGACTACCTACGGGCGTCGAATCGATGACCTTTGCCATGTTTAGCTTGAGCAGGTTCGTATTCTGTGTTTGCCTTGCGCATTATTAGTCGGAAAACGTAGGGACTAAAATTGAGTTCCTGGTGTGGTTGAGGGGGCGCAGCAAACAAATGGTCCTGTTGAATGGCGTCTGTACCTTTAGGTATGCTCAGTTGCAGTTGCCAAGTCAGTCTTAGTTGGTAGGGGCTTACGGAGTAGACGCTATGAATTATCCCTAGGTAACTTGAAAAAGGTTCTTTCCCTTAGCATACTCCTCCCACCCTTGTTTTGAGAATAGTGCACTTCAGCCACGAAAGGCTCCAGTACGCTGGAGGTAGCGTTTTACTTAGGTAGCGCGGCGCCACTTTCTCCAGAACCATGGTCATTTCGTTGACCTACTGAGTGTCCATGGCTGGCATTGGAAACATGGCTAACTAGAAGCCTTTCAGTCTTTTGAATACAAACCCCGCACTATCCAGCGCCATCATCTAGAACAAGGTCGGTTAAATGCGAAAGGTCAACCTGCGCCGCCTCTGCCGTCAGGCTGGTTCTGAGACCTCTAAACCTCTTAGATTGGTCCTACATCGATCGCTACGTTAGATTGCCATATTCGAAGTGTGATAACAACGCTAGAATCCTTTGATTTTGATAACTCGGAATGCGCATGGGTTTGTTCTACAACTCAACGGTTTTCACACTTGTCGAGGGGTTAACAACGCACTCTGTGGGGGGTCCGACGTGTATAATAAGCTATGATCGAGAGAGAGTGCAATGGCGTTCCTGATGATGCCTTTTATCTTGAAGCCATTTCTCGGAGACGTGGCAACAAGCTAACTGCATATCAATGGTCTCAGAGAGTTCCACATATGGTTTGTTTTGGATCTAGACACACCTGTCACAAGTCCTTGAGCTGGCCACTATTCCTACGGTTAAGGAAGTAGAGCCCTGTAGTATTATAACCCAGGCTCTGGCTCTTGTCATCCGGCTGCTAGTCTTGTACTTGACTTTTTCTGGCGCTCTTGAGATCAAGCGACACTGTGCATTTGGTAATTGTGTCCTCCGAGCTCTGGGCAGTCTCGGCCTTTTGTTCGTCAAAGGCTCTAAACTGCATATCTTCTTGGCCTTAGAAGGCTAAAAACTACCACTATCAAGCGGGTTCGACACTCGATGGGAAATATCTTTCCGCCCGTACGAGGCATTCTTGTTTAAGTATGGACCAGCCTCATCCGTATTCCTTGCGCTAGACTTCGGGAGCCAGCTTGATTATCATGTTCGGGTTTTGCGGTAACGCGCATGACATGGTGTCAATCGAGAGAATATGCGCGTGCCCCGAGGCTAGCTGGTCGGGTTAGCCTGCATGCGAGGAGGCCTAACTCGAGATGGAAGCTTTGGGTTCGTGTTTCATGTCATGAAGAGGTTGCCTAATGTCCAGATTATAGAACGCGGCAACGGATCCGTCTACACCACGCTGGTTCCGATGTGATGGGTTGGGAGAGTGGAGAATGCCAACGTGTTATCCATTGAGGCTGGCATATAAAAATAAGCCTACTACGGAGATGTCCAAATAAGACCCTGGTATAGAAGTCTGCGAGTGCTAAGAAAGAAAGGCGCATCCTGTCATGTTCTAGATAGCTGTAGAGGGGGGGGGCAGTGGTGAGCATGTCTGTCCGGAACCATGGACCGACTGAGGCTAAAGAACTTGTGTTTCTTCTCGTACAAGTCCAGGACCGTGGTTCAATTTTCAAAGCAATGTTTTAAACATGTTGAGATACCTAGTACGATCTAAGAGAAAATCTAATACATGCCTCTGCAATACTTGATTTTTGTTTCGATGCCGTCCGTTAGGATGCCCGCGGTCCCTGCCAAGACTCAGCCTCGCCATCGCTTAGTACTTGAAGCTACTCCTGTCTCCTAGTTATTCCACCTTTGCAATCCATCTATGCAGAATTCAACGAAAGAAAGATCCGTCTTTTCTTCTCGCATCTATTGGAGATCCTCGGGGTCCGAAACACTCGAAAAATTAATCATCAACAGACCGACTTCCCACAAGGCTGACGAATCACGTAACATGCTTTGTCTCCCCCTGTAAGCCGCCTACCCCAACTTCCGAAAAATTCGACCGCTTGATCGGAACTCCGCTGTCGACCGAGAGTTTGTACACCACGCGCTTCACCAAAATCATTCCCCTTAGACTAGATATTCGGTAATTCTGTCAATGCCTATTGGTGCCCACATCTCTGCAAGCTTCCCCAGGTTGAGCTACTCGTTGGATCGATCGAAAACGGCCTAAGACAAGGCTTGATGGACCATTATCCATCGTGGAGTCTCCAGGGCGGGATCTCCAGGATGGAATCCAGACCTGCGCAACAATGTGGGACGGCAGGAGGAACCCAACGATGCTCCGCTCGTGCCACCGGAGGTACCGACTTTCTCGCGATCACGGATGGGTCGGGTAACACCAAGAACCTGATCTCGAGATTAAGTACTGGCATGGTCCTCATGTTCGGCGCAGTGACCTTCATGCCTACGAAACCTATCACCTTGTTCAGTCTTAGCAGAGGAAGCGGGAATTCATTCATTCTACGTCGACGCATCTCTAGATAAGCTACACCCTGCTATGGTTGTCATGGAGAAGCAGCAGGTCCAGCCCGTTCAAGCTGATCACACTGACAGCCTGCATGACCACACTGACAGCCTGCATGACCACGACCAGCGCGTCGAAGATGCCGAAGCTGTTCAACACATCCACTTGAAGACCATCATCCTACTAATCGTGAGGCTCTCCACTCTCCAAGAAATCTACCTGAAACCCCCCATTAAACAATACTGACACTCATTCGCTTTCCCTTGAAGGCTGTAGTAACTGAATATGCCGTCCAAGTCTTCCACATCGTCGGTGCGGGCTTTTTAGGTGCCAGCGTAACGGCCGTAGTCGGCGGGGCCAACAAAGGCACATGGCTGGTCTCGACAATGTCGATTAGCGCAGCATGTCTGGGGCCTCCCGTGTCGCAAGCCGCCGACTTCTGGGGCCGGCGATGGTTTGTGATTGTACTAAGCAGTTTCGGTTGCGTCGGTTGTATCATCGTCTCGCGCTCGAATTCCATCGGCATGGCGATCGCAGGCCAGGGAATCAGTGCTCTGAGCCAGGGTGCGCAGCCCGTCATTCACGCCATTGCTTCTGAGATCCTCCCGCGCAAGCATCGCCCCTTTGCGCAGGCATCAACCAATACCGCTGCATTCGTTGGCGGAATTCTCGGACTCCTCGTTGGCGGTGCCTTGACGAACAACAATCCCTCCGGATTTCGCACTTTCTGGTACATCACGGCAGGTTTGTACGGTCTCTCCACTATCGTGGTCGTCATCCTCTACCACCCGCCTGTTCGCGAGCTTCAGCAGAAATACACGACACGCGAGAAACTCGCCCAGCTCGACTGGATTGGCTATTTCCTACTCATCACAGGCCTCGTGCTCTTCAGCTTCAGCTTAACATCCGCAATCTCGGTGTACGCGTGGAAGAGCGCACAGATCCTGGCGCCTCTGATCGTCGGCAGTCTCCTACTGCTGGCATTTGCCGTCTACGAGTGGAAGTTCACTCGGACGGGGATGCTGCATCACGACCTCTTCACACGGGGCCGCAACTTCGCGATTGCCGAGCTGTGCATCCTCGCCGAGGGGATTTCGTTCTTCGCGGCGAACAACTACTTCGGTTTTGAAGCCGCTGTCGTGTACGGCCAGGACCAATTCCACGCGGGACTGTACTACACCGTGTCGTGGTGGTCAGCGTTCATCGCCACCTGGCTGACGGGTATATACTGCTCGCGTAGCAAGACGGTGCGCCTACCGACAACACTTGCATTCATATCATTCGCGCTCTTCAGCGCACTGATGGCATCACTGACCCCGTCGCGCGGCCGAGCCAACATCCTAGGCTACGCACCCTTCCTGGGCCTTGGGCTCGGCACAGCGCTGAACACGCTTGTAGTCGTCGCTCAGCTATCCACGCCGCCGGAACTCATCTCCATCACGACGGGCCTCATGATCGCAACCCGCAGCTTTGGCGGAACCATTGCGCTGTCCATCTACACGGCTGTGTTCAGCGACCAGTTGACGACGGAGCTGCCCGCGAAAGTCGCCGCCGCGGCCGTCCCGTTGGGATTCGACCCCAGTGAGCTGGGACATCTGATTGGTGCGCTGACGAGCGGGAACGCGACCGCTATCGGCCTCGTGCCAGGTATCTCGCATGAGATTCTGCAGGCGGCCGGCATGGGCATCAAGGAGGCGTATAGCCTGGGCTTCCGCTATGTGTGGATCACTGCCGCGGCATTCTCTGCACTGGCGGTTGTAGGTAAGAGCTGTCCATATTTTCTTCGAAATAATCTCCGGAAATGTGAGTGCTAATTTGAACACCATTACAGGCGCCACTTTCCTCGTGGACCCCAAGGCCGAATTCAACGCGCATATCGACGCACCTGTCGAGACGAAAGAGGAGTTGGGCCGAGAAGGCATCACGGAGAAACTGCACCACCACAATCATGGTTCACATGCGTGATAAAACGTTGGAAGAGACATCACCCTATTGAAGGCCCCCTTTTCTCTGGTCCGTAAATATATCTCTTGTTCAATGCTCTGCACTGCTATATAAGCGTATACGTACATTCGCAATGCTGTACAGTGTGTATACGACATAAAGATCTGGCCAATAGTGTAGGCTTAAGCCATATCCAGTCAATACTAGAATGCTTCGGCAAGAGTCAAAGACGGACATGATTGCGCAAGCAGAGCAGTGCTTAGAGCATAAAACCAGTTGTTGAACAGCATCGTCATAGTAGCCACCGCTGTATCTATGTAGGGTCAGAGATGAGAGCAAGTCCGCACCTGTCTCATATTTTGTGGCTGTAAGGCTGCTGGCATTGCTGGGGTCAAGGGCGACACCAGCCTAAAGCTATCAACCAATAGCCCAGCTCTATATCACATCAGCCATCAATTGAATACTGCTTCAATCTTGACATCACATCATATGGAATTGGAGATCCCGCTTGAGTTGGTTTATTCTACTCCTGCTGGTACATGTAGGTTTTTTGGGTATTATATATCCAAGGAGCTACTTCGATTATTATACCATTACTTATTCTAACTATTCTATGCAAGATTAATCCAAGGCCACCACGTAAAGCGAACCGAACTTCGGATGCGCAGCAGTTTTGAGGTTTTACTGATAACATCCCTAGCTGAAAACTAGCGGCAATACATCCCAATGAGCTGTCGAATCAGTTGTCATTGCCTGCCACTATTGTGAGCGCTGCTGCACCTTTATTCAGGCCAAGATAAAACACAGTCTGGAAATTTGGACTGCAGATGTCGGGAACAAATTGATACATATAGATTCACTTACAACAACTCCAGTCCTCCGACCAAAGTTGATGTGATTGAACTGCGGTTGTGGAGTTGGATCGCCGAATCTCGCCGGTGTGTTAACCTTGCGTTCAACTGGCAGATCTTATGTCCCGTGGGATGCGATAGTTTTGGGACTCACTTTCAGTACCACCTAGCCGGTGAAGAAGTCTGTCCTCGATGCCATGGGTCGTGCATAGAAGCCCTGCCACGGGAACGTGACCGCCTGCTATGCTCACTCGCCGGGCGTCTAGTTCTAGAAGAGGCACGGGAGCGTGACCGTCTCTCTTGCCCACGCGAAGGACGTCTAGCCCTGGAAGAAGCTCGAGATCGTGACCGTTCTTGCTCACGCGAAGGACGTCTAGCTCCGGAAGAAGCCCGAGAGCGTGACCTTCTAGTGTTGGAAGATGGTCGAGAGCGTGCCCGGCTTCGTGATCTCGACCGTCCTCTCGAGGGGATTCGATTACGGGACTCTGAATAGTGACGAAAACGAGGCAGCGGCGTCAGGTCGATTGGGTCGCATGCATGTTCGGTCAATCGCACATGATGGGGTGAAACCTCAAGGTTCTGCTGGTGGACGAAAAGCCCTGAGTTCAGGTCTTGGCTTGTGCAAGGCTGCTTGTTCACGACAAAGCGGGCGGCCAGCGTTTCGAGTTCTCGGGTCAGGCAATCGGTGAAGGAGAAAGGCTGCACTCCCGCAGCGGTATTGTACCGCCCGGAAGCTGTCAACGCCCAATAGCAACCAGAACCTTTGGTGAAATTTGTGATGGCTGTTGAGGCAAAGCAGCAATCAAAAATGAGCAAAACATCCGATCTAGAGTCTAATACACTGGATACATCGTTCCACCTGAGTTGTGGCGTGCCGGGCCTTGCATACGCGGCCCAGTCACAAGTTTGCGGGTTTGGCATGGCATGTCCGCCATAGTAGATGATCAACAAGTCTTGCTTTCCTTTCCCCGTGATAAAGGACTTCAACCTTGCGATGAGCGTATCACGGGGGGATTTTGAAGGAATGGAAAATTCTTGAACGGTAAAATTGAATTGGTTGGCCAGGGTGTGGTGCAATTTTCGGATCTCTTTTGCAACATTCAGGTCGTCTTGCTCCCATTGCAACAGGAGAGCGTAGACGTTACGGTATGGACCCGACTTAACAACAGTTGCAGGATGCCTATCCCTGTCTCCCCAGCGCCGGGCCCGGCCTCGTTCCTCCGGCTCTCGGAAGAAATCACCACGGACTTGAAAACGGGAGCTGGAAGGAGGATCTGCTCGCATGTCGGAAAACCACTGTTGCTTGTCAGATGACTGTCGATGGGGCGGGCCGATTGAGGTACTAACAGAGGTGAATCTGCGAACAGATGTCATATTTCGACATATATATATGTTCTCCTCGGTGAGGAAAGTCACTAGTACACGATTGCAATTGATGTTGGCAACATGCGAGACCGCATGTGAATCCAAGAGTTAGTTGCAAGGGCTGTAGCCTGAGGCTCGAGGATTCATGTGATATAGATCAAAAACCATATTCATAGTCACCGCTCAGCTGTCTGGAACAGTCTTCTTATTGTGAGATTGGGACGATTCAATAAACAATGACGTCGTATAGAAATTGCCAGTGGCAGAATTTGTCTCAACGATGCATACACGGTCGCAATTGTCTAAGCCCTCTCTGCGCCTCCTCAAAGCTAAAGACACGAGCTCGTATACGGGAATTCTCTTGGCGAAGGCACCACGAGGCAGACTCAATGGTGTTTTGGACATGCCAGGTTCTCCGCATTCCTTGATGTCTGAGAAAATCTAGAGCATGCCCGTGACTTGTAGCCCAACCTTGTGGAATTAATGTTGTGAATTGACATCAGTCTATTTAGCAACTCAGGCCAGACAACGCCGTGGGAAGCGGCCTACAGAACATTGGCAATTATGAGCGAGACTAAGAACACAGGGCATGTGAGAGTCAAATAGCGAGTTGCTCAGGTCTGCAAACAGGTATGGAAGTTGGCAAGGTCAAAATTCCCCGCTGAGTATTGTGGTATCTCAAGAGTGCTAGTACAAGAAACAAGAGGTTGTCAAAAAGATGTACACAGGGATAACCAGAACCACCCATCCATGCCTAGTGGCCATTCTTCAGGTCATTTTAGGGGAGCTCCAATAGTCAGATGCTTTGGTAGGTGCCATCAGGGGTATGTTGGGAAGGCAGGGTGATCTGATACCATGTCGTTATGGCATACCAATAGACCAAGGTACCATCCTTTCGTGACCCTCTGCCCGTGGTTTTGCGTTTTGCTTTGAAGCTTCTCACATGCTCCATCCCCAGGCCTCGTTCCATTCCCACCAATATCAAAGATCATTCAGTTCAAGTTCCTCATTCGTCAATATCATTACTGGCTATGGCCGGATTCCTTCCCCGGGCAATAAAAGTGCAGAAGTCCCGCCCGTTTCAGCGTGCCGGTCAATTTGTGTGGTGCCTCCCAAATAACTCCGTTCCCTGTCGCATCGGGAGATCCAGATTCCAGAATGCTTGATGACTGCAAACCTTTGCTGTGGAACGACGCAGGTCCAGGCAGTTCAACATGCACCGGAGAAATGGGGTAGGACAGATGGAGAAACACACTAGAATGCCGCTCTAGTCAGAGCGTAATGCAACAGCCTGTTACTATCGTACTTGAAAGCAAGTTACTAGATGCGTGGTACCACAATTGCACAAGAATGGCTCTCGGCTGATGTCCCCCTTGCAAAAAGATGACACTCGATATTCTGTTAAATAAACAGGAGAGCATAGCTATCAGCCGCCTCAGATAAGGATATCATCTTTGCTGGGGAAACTGCATGCCTTGTTGTTGTTGCTGCTGTTGCTGCTGCTGTTGGGCATGAAGTATCTGCTGTTGAGCATGTTGCATTTGCAGCTGTTGCATCTGTTGGGCGTTCTGTTGTTGAATTGCTTGGGCCATGTTGGGATTCATGTTCATGCCGCCCATTCCATTTGGCATGCCTCCACCAGCTTGTTGCGCTGCCTGTTGCCTAAGTTGAGCTTGTTGCATTTGCATGGCATTCTGCATATTATTCTGCATGGCGTTTTGTTGGCCTGGATTCTGTGCGTTGGCTTGGTGTTTGCGAACGGCAGCAATGGCAGCTTGACGAGCTTGCAGTCCTATTTGATGTATTTCATTCTGCTGCAGCATGCTGGTGTTGCCTTGGTATTTAGCAGCAGCTTGTTGCATAAACCTCGTCTGATAAGCGTTGAGCGTGCTGTTGTAAACTGACTGAAGGTAGGGAGGCAAGCTAGATCTTTGCTGTTGCTGCTGTTGCTGCTGTTGAGGTTGCATACCAGCCATCATTTGTCCTTGTGCTTGAGCAGCCATCATTCGCTGTTGTTGCTGTTGGTGCTGCACATGTGCCATTTGAACTGCTTGTTGTTGTGGTGTCATCTGATTGGGAGCAGGTGAACCTTGAAGCTGGGTTTGCTGAATGCTTTGCATTTGAGCCTTCATTGACTCGGCCAATTGCTGATTGTACACTTTCTGTGCTTGAGGTGCAGGTGACATGTGTTGACTTTGAGGCGTTCCTTGTTGCATGGCCTGCGCCTGCGCCTGCGCCTGGGCTTGTGCCTGAGCCTGGGCTTGGGCCTGTTGTCTCTGCAAAGCAGCTTGTCGATCGGCCTGAGCATGATGTTGTGCTTGAAGATGTGCCATTTGAGCTTGTCCCATTTGAGGAGTACCATTCGCCATGGCTTGTTGTTGCATTGCCGCTTGTTGCTGCATGTGTCGACGTTGCATTTGAGCGACCTGTTGAGGATTCATAGGTTGAGAGACACCATTAGCCATCTGTCCCTGCATCATTGCAGCCTGCATCATTTGAGGGGTTGGCGCTGCCATACTGCCATGCGGACTGGCTTGTGTCATGTGCTGTGATGGCGTGCCTTGTCTGAGGATGGGGGTTGAGTTTCTAGCAGCAGGTGTCCCATTTGTCAACTGTGGCGTACCATTACGGCTTGGCTGGCCCTGATTACTAGGAACTCTCGACATCGCTGTAATTGGATGAGCGTGTTGTACAGCAGATCCTGGTCTTCCAGGAGATCCGTGACCTTGTTGAGAAGTTGAAATTGTCATCGGTTGTCCTCCTTGATTAGAAGAAGTAACAATGGGTGACGAGGCAGCGTGCGGTGTTCCTTGACGGATGATGGGTGAACCACGTTGTTGCGAGGCAGCCATCATTTGACTTTGCATGTTAGGCGGGATACCATTGACTTGTTGTGATGGCGGTCGCTGGACGACTTGACCAGGATTGGGAACTTGCTGCTGTGGCTGGCCTGGTTGTTGTTGTTGCTGTTGAGCAGCGTAAGCAGCTTGCATTTCTTGTTGTCTAGCTCGAAGCATGCGAGCTTCTTGCGCCCTTTGAATCATGATGCGTTTCTTCTCTTCTTCTTGCAACCTTTCCTGCTGACCTCTCCTATTCTCGTCTTCTTGGAGTTGTCGGTCCTTCTCTCGTTGCTTCCGCTCAGCGATGTCTCTCTTAATACCGTCCAGAGCGTTAAATTTCTCAAAGCGAGGTTGGAACATTCCTGCTGCGGCTTGATTTTCAACGGCGCCGGCATTAGCAGCGTCCGCAGTCCGCTCGTCCATAATAAGCATAAAGCGTTCTTGACCCTTGGCATGAGCATCTTCTGCAGCCAATTCGGCGACGGTCCTCTTTCTGCTCTTGGGAGAAGGTGGTCTTGCATCATGATGGGCGTCTCGAAGCATAGAGATTAGACTTTCAGCTTCTTCCAGATTGTCAACAGGGTCGAGATACAAGGGAGGCGCCGTAGAATTCACCACTCGAGCTTCATAATCCAGCATGTCCTTAGGCTCAATCTTCAATTTTTGTTTCTTGAGTGGAGGGCCCTTCTCCGTGGACGGGGTTGCTGGCATGCCCGATATGGGAGTCTGTGGTGCAGCTGATCCATTCGCTCTGCCATTGCCATTCGCCTGAGACTGTTTGCGATTGACCGATTTGGGATCTGGAGTCATGGCATCGATCACCAAATCCATATGTTTAGACAGAATGGTGGGTCGGAGCGCGACATGGTAGACCTTGGGTTGAGGCTTGCTGGACTTTGGAGCGACGTCGATCGTGTCGGTGGAATTTACGGTGGAGGAAGGCTGACTAGAGACGGAATCCCTGTGCTCATGCTTCATATTCATTGGAGGTGACCTTGCGACAGACTGTTCCTTGGTAGGATATGGTGCATAAGGAGATGGAGTAATGTACTGGTTATAGTTGTGAATGGAGAACAATTTCTCATCATCTGCGGCGACCCCATTTGCAGCGACCTCCTTGGCCGCCGACTTGTGGTCCAGTACCCTGACAATCAACCAGCCCTCGTAGTATCGAACTTCTGATTTTCGGAATTCTTCAACCATATCGTGAGGGATGGTACCTTTCTGGAGATGTTCGATGAAGATGCGCATTTCGGAGTGGTAGCTGAAACTTCCATCTTGCTGGTCGAAGCGAAAATGGGTCGGGTGGAGGTGGACAATTAGCGATGGGGGACAGCCTTTGTATTTTCTTAAAATATGTGAGTCTTTTGGTACTGTAAATCAGATTCGTCAGTATGTAATTCTAGACGCTCAGCCAAGTATGGAACAAACCATAGGGTTCGGGGAATTTCTTGGAAGTCTTCTTGTCATTCGGGGCGCCATCTGTAGTGTTGTTTCGCGTATTCAACCTCTGCAGCCGACGGTTCGGGCGTGCTGCGCCGTTTGTGGTGGTGGCAGTTGCACTGGATGCCGTAGTAGGAGTGGTCGCCGGGTTCTGACCAGGAAGCGACTTGGGAACGCTCGAGGGAGAGGCGGAGGGTGGGCGGCCGCCGTTGATACTGGTTTGTACCGGCGGAGGAGGCTTTTTAATCTTGGTGGCCATTCCGGCCGGTTTAGCGACCACAGCAGCCATCATGTGTAATCTAACAGGTAGTTTGTTGTTCCTTGCCTAGCGGATCTAGTCTGAGGCAGCAGACACGGTCTCTTGGGAGCCTCGGCCACTTTGCGACAGCGCAGGGCACACGCGCAGCATCGTGAGGGGCAGGCAGAGGGTGTAGATCAGTAGGATTAGGACAGGGTCAAGTTTGGAGGTGATGGAGCGCCTGACGAGAGTCGGCTGGTCGTAGAGAAGGGAAAGAAGGAGTTATTGAGTCGAGGTAGATGGAAAGTGATTGCGCTCGCTGACCAGTTTGATACTGGTGGTGTTGGTGTTGGTCTGAGAATGAGGTCGGATTCGTCGGCTAACTTGCCATAATAAGAGCGACTTGCTTGTCCTGGAAGGCTACTTGCGCCTCTTTAACGCTGATCATGTCAGATCTTAGTCATCGTCTCAAGGCTGGCTACGGTGGGTGCCACTTGAACAAAGTAGAAAAGGGGCCACAAGGGGTTCGAGCTCGCAATGGGTGTGTGGAAGAAGGGGCTTGTATATCAAACTTGTATCGTAGACCCATTAAAATCATCACTTCCGCTCACTAAATCTCAATCTCGCTCATTGATCCGTCTCTGCCAATCCTCTCCAATCTTCAGACTCTCCACCACCGTCACCCGCTTACCCAAACCAGTCCGCTCTTCTCTCTGCCACCACGTTTCGCTCTTTCTGGTCGTGGACTCATCGTCAGTATCAATCAATCCACCATGGCCCCCTTCATCGCCGATCACCACCACAGTTTGTCGAACCCATCCGGATAGGTCAGAGACTATTTCACCGTCTCTGCCACAGAGTGATTCTTGTATATATACTACTTCTGGTGCCAAGCTGCGTAGGATATGCTTGTGCCCGTTTTGTGATGTGAACGGGATGATCATACTGTCCTTGTCCACGATAGCTAGTGCCTGGTTGTGCAATGTCTTGTATAACGGAGTGGTCTCGTCAATAGGGTTTGGCTCCACTCGAGACAAGATTCCATCTGATGGAAACTCGCCCGGTGTCTGGGCAGGAGTTTCACCTGGAGTGTGCGCATCATTATGGCTGATATTGGAAAATGATGAAGCCATGGATTGTGATGGCCGTCGTGTTGCAACTGGGCTTAATGGATGAGCCTTCAGTTCTGGCGTGTAGATCAAAACAAATATTCTGGTTGTATCAGGGTCGATAAATTCGGGAAGGTGTGCAAGAATTGACTGTCCGAATAGTTAGTAACGGTCAAGATAAAAATGAAGCATAAACACCTACAGCATGCTGGCCAACATCAATCTCACCAGTGGTGGAATCCTCCAGAGCAGAAACAACAATCGCCACAGTCCTCCGCTTTCGATGAACCACCGAAGCGGTCTTGGGCAGGCTGACTGCTCCAGAAAAGAACTCATCCGCAGTACCGCGCCGTCTGATGCCTTGGGTAATCTCTCGATTGGAGTCTTTCTGTTCAGCCTCCTCACTCCACCTTTCGTGGTCTTCGTATCCTCCACTGTTTCCAGTAAATGAGCTAATAGCACCACCGACCATAGCGCCAGCAGCTGCGACGCCCGCGGCCCCTGCTGCAAATGTCTTGCTCGCCCAGTCGTTGGGTGGGATAGGACTTGCGGAACGGCCAAAGCCAAAGGCACTCGAGACCCGAGCCACCAAGCCAGTCTCCTCTTGGTGTTCCACCGTCGTAGATCGTGCTGATCGATACTCCCCTCCTCCATCAAAATTACCTGGTGGAGGAGGACCTTGGAACCCTCCAGGCGGAGGCGGGCCACCAGGACCGCCGAATCCTCCAGGTTGTTGAGGGCCAGGACCAGGACCCGGGAAAGCGCCTGGCTGGGCTTGTCCTTGAGCAGGAAGCGCACCGCTCATGCTTTGGTACCCTGGAGGCGGAATGCCCCCGGGATAGTGTTCATCTTCACTAGAATCCACCTCGTCATCGCGTCTTTCACTCCAAATCCACGCAGCGACACCAATGGCAGCTGCTGTGACAGTCAAGGTCAAAGGTATCCAATACCCAAAGGCGGACCGATTGCCAGAGTGTCCATAGCCACCAGAGGTGGTTGTGCGCTTCCTCCGCTCTGTTACGGTATATTGGTAGGACATAGTCAGATATGATGGCAGTAACGGCTATATTATCTTAACATCGCACTCAGTGTGCTGATCTTCGGTGCGCAAGGTGTGAGGTAGTGTGGAGAGCTCGAGTTGGTGGTGGGTTTGTTTTGGCTGCGATTGTTTTCTTTGTTGCCGCAGCCTCGGTTCAACAGGCGGCTGCTGGATTGCGCAGCGGAAGGTTTTGTGTGCGATTAATGTGCTCTACAGATGGTCAGTGCAGAGCAAATATGCAGTATGACAAGAGGAAGAGGTCGAACGGTAAAAGAAAAGAAAGAAACGTGATACTGGGTGCCCAGGTGGGTGAAAGATGGGATTGTGGTGGCTGGTCGACTTGGGAGACAAAGTCGCTCTTTCTCCCAGCCTCATCCGCACCTGCATCATCGTCAAGTTCCCCACAATCAGGCTTAGCTTTCTTACGGTTACCTGTATGTGGTATTTGTGTTACCAAAATTACATTCCAGCATCACTTTCTGCATTCCATTAACACAGCAAATGCTGCCTGTTGAGCCGTTCTTCTCTAGTCTACAACATGTCCTCTCCCTCAGGCGCTCGTCGCCGGCCACAGGCCACCAAAGGTAGTCCTGACGCAAGCCATTCCGCCCGTTCAAACTCCTCTCCCGACGAACTCGAAGACCAAACATCCCGCATCATCTCACCCCTCGACATCCTCCGCGTAATCATTACTCTCATCGGCGTCTCCTGCGCCCTTTCGTACTACATAACATCCGGCGCCTCCCTCTATTGGAACTACGATCCATGGTTCACGCAGCCGGCGAAAATTGCCCAGTGGTGGCAAGGTCCCTTACAGTTGACCCCAGAGCAACTCAGTGTATTTGACGGCTCGGATCCCAAGAAACCCATCTACCTGGCCATCAACGGTAAGATCTTCGACGTCTCTGCCGGGAGACATACCTACGGGCCTGGCGGGAGCTACGAAGTGTTTGCAGGACGAGATGCCACCAGAGCCTTTGTGACGGGTTGTTTTCTCGAAGACCGCACGGGTGATATGAGAGGTGCAGAAGAGATCTATGTCCCGATCGATGACCCAGATGAGGATATCACAAGTGCTCAGAGGAAGATGAGAGCGGAGCGGGATCGAAGAAAGGCCAGGGAAAAAGTACAGGCTGAAGTCCAGAAGTGGGAGAGTTTCTACGCTTCCAGTAAGAAGTATTTCCTTGTTGGTGAATTGGTGGGGGTGCCGGAGTATACGGGCCCGCCACCCAAACTGTGTGAGCCGGCGCAGAAAGGGAGGCCGAAGAGGAAGAACATGAATCAGAACGATGCTTCTGACACACCAGGAAAACCTGTACTTTAGCCACATGCTGATATATAACGTGATCTTGGGAAGGGAAGATCCAGATCCAGATGCGGGAGTAATGAAAGACACGAAAGAAGATGAATTGGACATCAGTGACAACTGTTTCTTCATTGATTTTGTCCAGCCGTCCACTTTGACCGATTGAGGTCAATGCATTCGTCCTGTCGGGTATCAAAGGGTCCTGGCAGCAGCATGTCCATCTATCATAACCATTACCTGGCTAGACAATGAAACGTCTGCACCATCTGATTGACTCGTTGTTTGGGTGCCCGAAATCGTTATATGTATCCATCGCAAATGATGACTTTATCACGTCTGGGATGTTTGCTCTAATCGTGTCATGTTGGTTTTCTCGAACCGTGCCCGCACCCATATCATCAAAAACCCAGTCGAACCACAAGTCTAATCAGCACCAGCGGCGACTCTCGTGTAGATGCTTCCCTTGGAGTGTGCGACGACTTTGCGGATGATGCCTCTGTCCTCGAGGTCGGCGAGGGCCTTGCGAGCTAGCGATCCATTGATCTTCAGACGATCAACCAGTACGGCGACGGTGACCAGTCGGTATGATTGCACATCCTTGTTGAGTTTGTCTGAGGTGGCTTTGTCGAGAATCACTGCGTGGTTGGCCTTGTCCTTGACTGTATAGGGAAGATACCCAAGTTAGCGAACCGAATCACCCTGAAGATACGTGCAACTCGATTGATTGATTGATTGATTGATTAATCGTTCGATTTGATGGATGGTAGAAGAGATATTGCATACCCTTGCCCTTGGACCACTTCTTCTTCTGCTTCTTGCCGCCGGAGGATGCTGCTGGCGCCTGAGTTGTTCATGTCAGTACGGAATTACAATAAATCTGCTAGAGCATAGGATTGATGGGGAATATTTACCATGTTTGTGATATTGAGTGTTGACGAGTACCAGTGGTAAGTTCAGAAGAGAGTGCAATGTTGAAGTTGGCTGCGACTCAGTGTAATCGAGATTTCTCGTTCCCGCAGGTGGCCGAATTGAGAAGTTAGGGCAAATGTCTTGGCACCAAAATCCACCAGCCATCAACTTTAATGGGTCCCGTCAAATGATATGGCCAAAAGATGCTTGTTAAAATGATGAGGAAGGGATTAATGATAGATAGTCATGGTTCATTACAGCCAGATCGTGCTGTGCTATCTACTAGGTCTATGACTCTGAGCTCAAAAACTTTTCTGGGTATCTCATTTCCTCGCTCGTGAAATTCGTCCTCGACACCTCCAAGGTTTCAAGTTGAGAAAAGTGTCTAGTAGAAGAAACCAATGACCTTACCGGCCACGTGCTTTCGTCGAGCCTCCTCGTGGTCCATGATTCCAGCACTGGTGGTGAGGACAATGTAACCAAATTGACGAGATGGGAGAAGCTTGACAACCCACTTCTCAAGATCCTTGAGAGCGACGTTGTATCGGGGAGAGATGACACCAGTCTTGTTGAGACGGCCGTTGAGCTGGATCACAACCTTGCCGTTGCGGTGGTCATCAACCTCCTCAAATTCGCCAATGTAGCCTGTTTCCACTCTGTCAGTGACTGTCCTGACTCGCGAGATGGATGTAGCGATCGAATAAACATAATCAGACATGAAGAAAATAAGAAAGCAATGTGTAAGATCGGTCGCAAGATGTAAATCTCAATCTTTCGGGTACTTAAAGGGCAAAGGTCGTCGAGCAAATTTGAAACCACCGCCTAGTTATCAACCCGACAATTTGTGTGATGGAAAATGAACCTCCTCTTTCTGCACAAATCTGAAAAAACATCTGCGGGACGTACCGTGCTTTTGCATGACGCTCAAGAATTTGATGATGACCTTGGAGCTGGGTCGGATGAGGACTTGACGCTTGCCGGCCTTTTCGGCATTGTTGATGCTCTTGAGAGCGTCGTTGAGGACGGATGTCTTGACCATGTTGGCGGTTGTGTAGTGAGATTCTCAAGTCGTGTAGAACAAGGACTTGAGGTGTCTGCAGCATAAATCTTCTGTTAGTCTTCAGGAGCCTCGAGCAGGAAGAGTGCCCATTCAAGGGTTCTTCAGCTCGTGTTGCAAAAGATGAACGTGTCCGACGATGAGCGTTGTGAAAATGCTACAATCCACAACGTCCAAGGTGGGATTGTTCATCCAAGGCTAGCTGAAGAGGGCCGGAACATCGACATACCTCGAATTGATAGATTGGAATTGACGGTGGAAAGTTGTCGTTGGTGGACGTGGAGGATGAATCGCAGGATGAAATTCTAGGAGCCAGATTTGATTGTGCTTTGCCAAGATTTCACATCTCACTAATCCGCATTGGGATTTTAGCCTCGTGTTTACAGCCTTGTCCAACCTTCCCCTTCCCATGAAGTATACGACATCCTTCCTACGATTCGTCCACCAGCTATTATTTTGTGTGCCTGGAGAAGTTGGGTACGTGTGAAAGTCAGGTCTCAAGATTAATCTGATCCGGAGATTGAACTCGTCCCAGCCCACTGAGCGAATCCGGTGTCCGGAAGATTCGGTCCGAGTCAATTCGAAGGCCGGTGAATTAGATGAATCAAGGTTTGACAACCGGATCCGTAGTTGAATCCAAGGTCAGATACTCGAGAACACTGTGCTATTGGATTTCCAGTGGCATTCCTCTCAATTGAGTCCGTGTTCTGGACGTGACCCTACGAGAAGGCGATCACCAGGTTTACAACCCCCCAAAGCTAACCCTGTTCCATCTGGGGCAGGGAATAGTTTGTCAGGAAGCTGAATAGTTTCGAATCCCTGTGCTACCAGAGAACACGCGATGAATTGCCGTGCAACTTGGAACGTCGGTGCCCACGTTTGCTCGCTGCATTCTTCCCAGAGTACCAATTATCCCTAGACTACTCGGATCCGATGGACACTCTCTGGTACTGCCATCGCGTGCAGCACTACGCGGTGACTTGGCCCATGAGTCATGATTACCTTAAATTGTGATCCGGTGGTCTTGCCATGATATAAGGGGTAATATGCGTTTGAATAAGCTTCTGCATGAGCCGAGCAGCACTGTGATCTGGGGTCCAATGCCGAACTCGGCCCGGCGGCCGGAGTCATACACAACTCCGCGAAGCCTCCAGTCCAAGAGCCAGGAGTCGCAAGGCTGGATCACCATATCGCTAAGCAAGCAAGTATGCAACCAAGGACGGACGTCAGCTTCGCGTAGCTCTGTTCTCCACTTCTAACCGCTTGCCCTGCGCAAGATAGCACTCAACAGTGCATGCAGGTTTCGATCGACGTCTGGGGAGAAGAATGATGTTTAAGTGATATGCAGTTTGAGTAAGATCATTCCTCCATGCCAGAGACATTAGCAAAGAATCCACGGCGACGATGAAGGCCTGCTGTCGACTCCCATACCGGCGGGATATCTTATGGTCTGCCATCAAGTCACGAAACTATGCAACTCAAGCACCACCACAGCGTCGACTCAATGTCCCAACCGACTTCAAGAATACACCTCTCCTGCATCATACGTCAAAGACATTCTCAAATACCCCTGGCTTGCCGGCCGGAGCAGATTCGACGAGACTGAATTTATACCAGTCTGTCAATTCGGCACTACGGACAGCGTTAGGCGCTTCCAATGATGTTTTATGCTTTGGTGAAGACGTCGCGTTTGGTGGTGTGTTTCGCTGCACCATGAACTTGCAGTCCGAGTTTGGAGGCGACAGAGTCTTCAACACACCCATCACGGAACAGGGAATCGTAGGAGCAGCGATCGGGATGGCAGCTGAGGGCGCTCGACCGGTCGTGGAGATTCAGTTCGCAGACTATGTATATCCCGCATTCGACCAGATCGTCAACGAGGCCAGCAAATTTCGGTATCGCGAGGGCCATACCGGGGCAAACCTAGGCGGCCTGGTTATCAGGATGCCGTGTGGAGGAGTCGGCCATGGGGCACTGTGAGTATTCCTAAACCCCACCATATTCCCGTTGAACCATACTTACACGCATCACAAGATACCACACACAATCCCCTGAATCATTATTCTGCCATGTCCCAGGCTTCAAAGTCGTCATGCCACGCTCTCCAACGCAAGCCAAAGGCCTGCTTCTCTCCGCAATTCTCGACTCCGAAGACCCGGTAATTTTCATGGAGCCCAAAATCCTTTACCGCGCGGCCGTCGAAGAAGTCCCCACGGAGGACTATCGACTTCCACTGGGAAAAGCCGAGGTCCTGAAACCCGGCTCCGATCTAACCATCATCTCTTATGGCCGACCGCTCTATAACTGCTCTGCAGCAATTCAAGCGGTGGAGCAAGAGCGAGGAGTGAGTATCGAGCTTATCGATTTGAGGACCATTTATCCGTGGGACCGCGAGACGATTATTGAGAGCGTGAGCAAGACAGGCAGGGCGATTGTCGTGCATGAAAGTATGGTCAACTACGGTGTTGGGTCGGAGGTATCGTCCGTGATCCAGGAGTCCGCGTTCCTGAGTCTGAAGTCTCCTGTGAAGAGATTGGGTGGTTGGACCACGCATACTGGTTTGGCGTGGGAGAAATATATCTTTCCGGATGTGACAAGTGAGTTTCAACCTTGATCATTCCAATCAACTTCACCAGTTGCGATTTCGATGCAAGGAGAACGAAGACTAATGTTTTAACAGGAATATATGATGCTATTTTGGAAACCCTAGATTATTGAGTAAATGGATCCTGGAATTGGAGTGGTACTTTGTCACGATTTTTCTGCCACTGCTTAGTCTGGTGTGTTTGCAGATGTCGAACACTAGTAGCCTCGTGTTTTTGCTGTGGCTGGGGGACGATTTATATAATCGCAAAAGACAATCAAGCGAAACTCAACCGATTTTCTGTTCCTGCCATAATTTCGATGATAGCAATGAATCATGGATGACTACCATGTTACATTCTACCAGCATTTATGACAACCATTCATTCTACCACTGGTTCAGAATGAAGTTGTCATAGAATAAGAAGACTGATTGAAACCACAACGCCTCCGATAAGATGATCTTCTCATGCAATACAACATTTTACAATCAAACAAGAATTCGTATACCACTGGAACCTAGAGACCGCCAATCCCACCTTCATGGTCCTCAACATCATACTCCCCAGGATATTTAAGCATCAACCTTCTCATCTCCTCCCTCTGCGCCTTCTGCTCCTCGGAATAACTCCCGTACACATCGTCAAAAATCGAACTCAAGCGCGGCTTCTTCTCACGCTCGGCCAACTTCAACTCGGAGAGGATATCCTTCCTGATCTGCGTGCGAGCCTGTTCGTCTTTCTGGTCGTCCCAAAGCCTCCTTTTCTTCAACCACTTTCCTAACTTGAGGATCGGATTGTCACGCACAGTCCAGGGCTCCACGTCCTTGACACTGCGGTATGCAAAGCTATCGTCACTAGTGCTGTGATGTGAGATGCGGTAGCTCATCATCTCAAGTAAGATTGGCCGACCGCCGTTCTCGAGAGCTCGGCGCCTTGCTTCCTTCGTCGCTTCGTGCACGGCGAAGATATCCGTGCCGTCGACACGTAGAGAATCGATGCCGTATCCGATTCCTCGACTGGCGATCCCGTCGCCCCGGTATTGCTCTGATGTTGGAGTGGAGATCGCATAGCCATTGTTGCGGCAGATGAAGATCACGGGACAGTCGCGTGTTGCGGCGAAGTTCAAAGCGCCGTGGAAGTCGCCTTCACTGGCGGCCCCGTCGCCGAAATATGCAACTGCGACACGAGGGGTCGTCGTGCCGCTTTCGAGGTCTTGTAGTTTCATCGCGTATGCTGCGCCCGCAGCGTGCGGGATTTGTGTTCCGAGTGTTGAGGCAACAGCGTGCTACAGAGGCGGGTTAGTACGCTGTCGATCAACAGTGGTATGAAAATGGGAGAATTGAACTTACAATGCCGGTCTTCTCCCTACCACTATAATGGACTGGCATATTCCTTCCCTTCCCAGGATCATTTTTGTTCGCTGTTAATTGACTCATGAAATCCTTCAGGACAAAGCCTCGTTGTAGAAATACTCCTGTCTCTCGATACTGACAGGTGATTATGTCGTCTGGACCAAGAGCGGCAGCAGATCCAACCATGATGGCTTCTTCTCCTTGAGAGACCTGGAGTCGGATTGTTAGCCATAGTTATCAAGACTTTGATTCCGAGGCTCACCATATAGAAACTCAATCTACCCTGTCTCTGGGCTTCAGACATGATCTTGTCCATAATATTGACTATATATCATCAGCTCAGCGACCGATATACAAATCTCTGTCTTGTGTAATTTGGCAGGTTCGCGTACCAGTCAACATGTTCTTGTACCACTGCAGAGCCTGTTCATCCTCAACAGCTGGTGGTTCTCGCTCTTTATCTACGATCGCTCCCTCGGCATCGATCACTTGATATGTTGCGATCGGAGGCAATGTCGCTGGCTGTAGAAACTCGAGTTTCGACACGAGAGGGCTCCTCACGGCCCCAGGAAATCGTGGTCTTGTTGTCCTAACATCAGCGCGATATTCCAAATTTCAAACCATGATACTGACGATGCTGAGATTTGTTCCAATGTGAGTGTGGAGTTATGCCGTAGACATCTTCTGGTTATCTGTGGTCTCAACGCTGCTGAAGCTGTCCGACCAAAACCCAGTGCCTTGCGACCACATTGCCAACCCATCGTGACTGTGGAAAATCTGGGGATGATTCTCGACAGATTCGTACCGAGCACTGTGTTGGATACTTTAGACAAGTAGTCCAACGTCCAAGGGGTAGGCGTGTGTTGCAACACCAGGGGGATCTAGTCTGGACAATGCTGTTCTTGGCATGGTATTGCATTTCAACAGCATGGATCGCAAACGTACTGCATGATAGAGCATCCGGGGACTACCAGTGGACTCCGAACAATCAATCAACAGACACTTGATCTAGCCATCGCCGGCCCAAAACAATGTCGAAGAATCTAGTGCATACACGGTTACCCACGGTAATCCGGTGCTCGGCATCTACAACCCGGGCCCCACTCGGTCTTTTCCGCCAGCCTTGCAGGAGTCCGGCGGGAAAGCGAATAGTCGTTTCGAGTTAGAAGATTGAGATATGTTGCCTATTTGGGTGGTGTTCTTAGGGTAGATGATAGTGCTAATCAGCCGTGATTGAGTAATGTTTGTTCTTTGGTTGACAGGGAGACATAGATTGCCCCGTTCATTTCATTTCTTTTGTAGCGGTCCTTGATACTTCCTTGGATTCAAAACTCATCGAGAGTATATCACACTGAGTTGCAATGGCACTGCAAAAGGTGTTACCAAGAATTGCACCCAGACAGCTGGGACAGTGCTTCATCAGTGGGCGATCAACTCAACCGGTTCATCAATGTAGTCGTTTATTTCACCAGTCTGCGCCTCTAAAAGTGGTGAAACCGTATATCCTCGCAGATATTGGCGAAGGTCGGTCACCGTATGCTTCCTATCAGAAATTATACTAAGACTCAAGCAGGAATCACCGAGTGCCAGATAATCAGCTGGTCTGTGAAACCAGGAGACAAAGTTGAGCAGTTTGACACGATATGTGAGGTTTCGTCTGACAAGGCGACCGTCGAGGTCCGTAGCCATTGCCACGTTTGGGTTTTGGCAGCTAACAGGATTAGATAACTTCACGGTTCGATGGAGTAATAAAGAAGCTGTATTACGAGCAAGACGATGTGGCTGTGGTTGGCAAGGTATTTTGCAGTACCCTTTGTTGATCGTGGTGTTGACACTAGTGCAGGCATTGCTCGACATCGACATCGAAGGTGATGATGAGATTTCGACAGAAACGCAAGTGACAGAATCTGAGCTCGAGGTAAGCGCCGCGACAGGCGAACCTGGCAAAGCGCAGGACACCACCACAATCCAAGCTGTCGAAACCATTCAACAGTCTCAAGGCTCCAGTGCCACCAGCAACCAACCCTCGGCCCCTCCGGCCAGTAGCAGCGATTTCGCAGCTACGCCTGCCGTGAGACATCTACTCAAACAGCACAATCTCAGCGCTGCAAATATTGTCGGCACCGGGAAGGGTGGACGTATTAGCAAGGAAGACGTTGAACGGCATATTACCGGGCTAGGTCAAGACCACCCTGCACCCGCCCCAATATCAAGCCAGGTGACTGCCACACCAAAGTCTGAGGGAGATGTTTCGATACGCTTCAGTCCGACGGAAAACCAAATGTTCAAGGCGATGACTCGGTCCCTGAGCATCCCACATTTTCTGTACGCCCATACGGTGGATGTCTCGAGCTTCCAGGAGGTACGGACGAAACTAGCGAGTTCGAAAGTCCTGGAACATCTGGCGACATCCGCCGGCAATACAAGCACAGCTCCGAAAGTAACTCTTTTGCCGTTCATCCTAAAGGCACTGTCAAGAGTATTCACAAAGTTTCCCAAATTGAACTCTCATATGGATGCATCGGATCCCAGCACCCCAAGGTTGACCCTCAAAGGAAGCCACAACTTTGGTATCGCCATCGACACCCCTCAAGGTCTCCTGGTACCGGTGATCAAAAATGTGCAGAACCATTCCGTTCTCTCCTTAGCTGCCGAGGTAAAGCGCATCAGTGAGATTGCGCGAGCAGGAAAACTCAGACCGGAGGACTTCCAAGGAGCAACCTTCACTGTCAGTAATATCGGCAGCGTGGGAGCAGGATGCCAAGTCGTCAGTCCTGTGATTGTTTCTCCTATGGTGGGAATCCTGGGGATGGGAAGAATGTCAGATGTACCAGTGTTCCGCAAGGATGATGATGGTATCGAACGGCTTGTTAAGGAACAGCAAGTCATCCTCAGCTGGAGCGCAGATCACCGGATTATTGATGGCGCGACTGTTGCGAAGGCTGCAGACATGCTGGCGGCTTTGTTGAGTCGCCCGGAGAGTTTGGGACTGATCCTCACATGATTTCGACGGACGAAATGGAACTGGGAGATCGGAAGCTTGCTTTTTGGAGCTTGCTTTTTGGAGCTTGCTTCAGGTACGACATTGATCGCTATCAGGCGAGAAAGCGAGAGCAGAACGAGCAGAAGGGAGTCTAACAAAAATTGAAAAACTCACGGGATGAACTGCGTCCTGAAGGCGCCGAACGAGGTCTCAATTCGGCGCTCGGTCTGAGAAAACCGGCATGTGTCGAGCATGCTGAATATGGAACGTAAAATAGTACCCAGCTCAAGTTGTGCGAGTGGTGGGTGATGGCAAGCGCAGCAACAACTACGCATTTCGTCCTAGTTCGTACCCCAGGTCTCAGATGGTAGGTCAACAGAGTCTTTTGATGCTCGGTTTAGTCGGCAACATAGTTGATTGATGGAATCACTTATCCTGAATTGGGTTGCACCACATTAAACTCATGTATCTGATTGTGACTGACCTCAGAAAGGATGATAAATACTGGTCAATAATGAATCGGTGTGACGGCGGTGTGTGACCCCCGACGGTACTCGCACTGCTCGTTCACCCCATAATTCTGAAACTCAATCCCTGTAACTCTGACGACTTCGATAATTTAAAGTTCGACGATAAGGAATGGACTGCAGTGAGGAAAACAAAACAGAGAAGAAATCCAGTTGACGTGTAAGTTTGGCCTTTACCACCGACAGCAAGAACTCGCCCATCATGCTGTTGAATCTGGTCTGTTACGCGTTGTTGGCGAAAATCATTTACGATCTCGTCCTTGCCTTGTATCGAATTACCCTCCATCCACTGTCAAGGTTCCCAGGATCAAAGCTTGCTTCATCGACATATTGGCATGAGACGTATTACGATGTCTTCAAGGGGCATTCGTATATCTGGAAGATCAAGGAGATGCACGAGAAATACGGGCCCGTGATTCGCACTAACCCTGATGATGTCCATATTCATGATCCGGAATTCTTCGATACGCTTTATGGGCTGAAATTGGACAAGTGGGCTTGGTGGACGAGAGGTTTTGCTGTGCCGACTGCAGGAGGGATGGTTAGTTGTGTGCTTCGAGGGTTCCTTGTGGATTTCATTGCTAATTTGAGCATATCAGACAGTCGAACATGAGGTTCACCGCAAGCGTCGAGGGGCGCTGAATCCTTTTTTCTCCAAGGCATCCATCGTCGCGAATCTGCCTATACTCCAAGAGAAACTCGCAGTCATGTGCTCGCGCCTGGATAAGATCGCTGGAAGTCGCGAAGTTCTTGATTTGGAAGCGGTGTACCTTGCCCTCACGACAGATGTCTTGACGCAGTGCTCGTACGGATGGTCGTATGACTACATCCATGCCGACGAATGGGCGATGACGTGGAAACTTGTCAACACCGGAGGCCGGGCATCAGCCTCCATCGTCCGCTCATTCCCACTTATCGGAACCATTGTGCGCTCAATGCCACTTTGGTTGGCAATAAAGCTTGTGCCGCCCGTGGGCTTTATGAAGTCATGGATGCAGCGCGTTGGGATCCAGGTGAAGAAAATAAAATCCGATCCCGAGGTGATGCACCAGATCAAGGTCGAGAAACGGAGGAAGGATACCATTTTCGCACAGATCTTGTCCAGTGACCTACCCGAAAGCGAATTGAGCGACCAACGGCTGATCGATGAGGGAGTACTCATTGCCACAGCGGGATCAGAGACGACAGCCTGGGCGATTACCATTACCACGTACCATCTCATGAGGAATCCCACGGTGTTGAAAAGGTTACGAAAAGAGTTGGCCACGGTAGAAATCCCGAAGGGCAATCCGGTCGCACCTTGGACATCACTTGAGCATTTGCCGTATCTGACCGCTGTCATCAAAGAAGGAGTCCGACTCGCAGGAGGAATGCTGTCTCGACTACCGCGGATCTACGATCAGCCGATACAGTACAAGCAATGGACCATCCCGGCCGGTACTCCCATTGCCATGACACCACATCTGGTCTCGATCGATGAGAATATTTTCCCCGAACCACGGAAGTTCATTCCGGAGCGATGGCTTGATCAGCTAGATGAAGGTCGCACCACTTCGAACCTCGACAAGTATATCGTATCATTCGGCAAAGGCTCGCGTAATTGTATCGGCATGCATCTCGCATACGCGCAATTGTATATGTGCATCGTGGCGATGGTACAACGATACAACCTCGAGATGTATGAGACAGATGATTCCGATGTGACGCCATTGAGAGATCTGTTCACAGCTGGCGTGAAATTGGATAGCCAGGGCATTCGAGTGATTGTCCATGATAAGGATGAGAAGATCTGAGCGTGGATTGTCCACGAAATATCCGGATGAGGAATGCAGACTGACATTCGCCACTGGAGATCCGTTTACTCCGCTCGCATTGACATTTGCTTCATGCCATGATCGGCATTGCAGAAACGAGAGACTGCCCAGGTCACGTGTACATAGCTCGCGTTAGGATTACCGCACTAAGCGTCCGGATTGACGATTATCGTGAGAACAAATAGCACGAAGAATAGCTTCCACGGTATTAGTCCCAAACTTGCAAGACTGTGAGATGAAAACACTCACCATGATCATGACCATCGAAAACATAGAGACCACATTTCCACTACCAACAATGCTCGACGATATCATACTCTTCTGGCATCTGAAGAATCTCACCGCGCCAAACACAGTAACGAGCATAGCCATAGCGAGAATCGTTGAGGCCAACGGGATTCCAATGTTGTAGTCACTCAAGACTCCTGGCGCTGGAGGGTCATGTTTGAGCCTGTAGAGTTGAAGAAGAACGACTGCGAAAGTCGCCAGGGCGGAAGATGTGCGGAAGTACGCCAGGAAAACACGTTCGTTTGCGAGATGGTCTCGTGCCGACGATAGCGGAACATCAACTCGAGGCGCTGCTATCAGAGCGTTCCATGATTTTCGTGAGACTTGATCTGGACGCGTCGCACGAATCTCTCTGGTCTGGTTGTTGTCTGGTGCAGCTGTATTACTGCTTCGGTTTTGGACCGGGCCCATTTCATAGTTTTCCTCTTCGCTTGGTTGTGCATCTATTCCTTGATTTTGTAGCGGGGCAGACACCATCTTTGCTATTGACGACTCTGAGTGCCAATCTTGGTCCTTCTAGGCGCACCAGACAGGTACAAAAGTCATTGTTCTGCTAGGAGTACGACACTGACTTCAGAATTTTTCTAATTGAAGGCGACATTGTGTGATCTCGCATGAAAACATGTGGTTTTTCACCGTATGAAGGGGCTTGATTGTCAGATGCGCCAACCTCGGGTATTTGTTCCGTGCCAAGACGAGGCTGAGAATCATCCAGGAGTTGTTGTATACAGCCACATTTAGATATGTAAGGAATGAGATTCAGAGTCAACAATTGAGCCTCATGTGGTTTGTGACGAAACTACAAACGCTAATATCATCATTGGGATCTGTAAATTGACGTTCTTACTGGTTGGAAGGCCTTCCTCACCACTCACACCAACATTACTTCTTAGCGACTTGTGAGATATTGAGGAAATGGGTGGGCCACATACATGGTCGAAGCGCTTGCGTAGTTTTAACAGGTATGGGGAGTCTCAAACTGAAGCCCGATGTCAAGGTCTCAAACGCAGATTGGATTGTGCAGTGAATGTCCCGTCACCCGGCCGATGAACGCGGTCTTGTTGACTTTTCCTTGAATTTCTCAGTGAAGTTTCCAGAATGAAGAGTCATTACTGCCTCACTGACACTAAGTGTTCTTTGTTTTTAATTCCAAAACAAACAACGACTGGACTTCATGTCCCCTCCCCCTTTGTCCTCATTGCCCATCCCCTGATCAAACTTGTGACCTTGACCCATCATGTGGCCCAAGGAGCTGCACACTTCGTGGAGCGGCGGGCTTTATTTTGACCGAAACGCGTGTCTGTCAAGCTGGACAGGGATTGTCGATGATGAGCTCTCAATCTCAGAGGGGTCTATTCGTGATTTCATCCGTGGCACCAACCGTGGACTGTATGAGAAACTGAGAGGACTCCCTTATCCCACCTATTCGCTCAAATGCGATCGTACTGTGATTCGAGAATGTGAAGATCAAGACCCTGCTGAGGTACAAGTTTCTGGAAAACTGAGATTGATTACCACGGAATCCGGAGAGCTGGGTGTGCCTCCAAGTCCGTTGGTACAGGAATTTCGGACTATTAGCTCCCTCGATACCGACACCGTGTTGACGGTGATTGATTCAATTGTCCTTGGTAAGTCTCGTTACTGTTGCCGCAACAAACTCTTCTAACAACCGACAGGTGCCTTCACCTTCACACTCCATCATCATGACGGCGATCGTACGGTCTGTTGCCTTCATCCTACATGCCTCCTTCCACACCATATCATTCCAAAAGGCTATACTTTTGCTGGCGTCAGATGCAACAACCTGCAAAATGCAGATCACCCATGGTCCTCAGTGGACTTCTACTGCGCTGATTGCCTCGACGTTGTGGTCAAGCTGCATGTTGATACAATGCTCAAGCTAGATGCCGAGAAACCAGAGCTTGTCGATTCTTTGTATGATGGTACGCCAAAAGCACATATCCTCCAAGCTGCAGAACGACTTCAACCAGAACTAATCGACAAGAATCTCTGGAAGATGTATTATCCGACCGAACCCCCATTAGAGGTCGGGGTGGGTTCCAACTCGCCAAAAGGTCTTCGCCTGCGCCGTCAAAAGCAGTACGAAATCAAGCAAATCTTAAAGAAAGTTATTTTGGATCGGTACGCCGAGCAGATAGGGAAACAAGATACTACCGAGCCTGGAAGCTTGGTGATTGTTCGTCCACGACATCTTCCACCTTACGCGGAGCGTTACAAGAAACAAGGCCGAGAACGGACGCAGGATCGTGGTGCCCGTCAGAAGCTGGATTCGGTTTGTGCCATCATTGACGAACCGATTCCAGAGCGTGGTGTCTCCTGCTGGTGTGGAGAACCCAACGTTGAACGCGAAATGATTCAGTGCAGCTCAGAGTATTGCATGTTCGGATTGATCCATTTTGAGTGCACCAACCTCAAGGAGATACCAATTGATGATGGCAAATTTCTCTGTCGATATTGTCAGACAGATCCATTGATTGACGGGAAAATGCCTGAGAGAGCAGAAACGCCATTGGAAGATGACTTATCAGCAATAGTGCCATCCATGGAGACAGACAATGATGGTGACTGGGACACCGAGGTGACGAGCAGTGAGCAAGAACAAGAACAAGATGAAGATGGAGACGATGGAGATGATGAATATGAAGAAGATGAGGAGAGCCAGGATGGCGAGCATGAGCTGGATGATGAGCACTTTCATGCAGCCTCTCGTTTCGTCACTGTCAACAATCAATTGGAACCATGGATGGCTCTACCAGAGATGAAATGGAGCGTGTCTGATGAAGACATGGGCTTTTGAAAGAACTCGGTGTCTCGTCAGGACAGAAAGGTTCCCTGATGGAACGCATGTTTTGGGCTACTGTTTGATTGACCTCTGATATTGGCAGCGATGGATGGGTCAGAACCGGTCTCGATTACGTCTAGTATCTCGGATGTTGAGTTGGATATGGGGAATGGAGGATTGTAAAGGTCGACGTGGCTGGATGTTGTGAGACTCCGAATTGCCGATGATATTCCAAGTCACGTGATGGGAGTGTACACGTGATTGAGCTGACATAATCACTGCCAAGACTGAAATTCTTCCCCGGGCGGCGGTTGAAATCGAGAATGGGAACTGCGATGGCATCACTTCGCTTGCGTTTCCAGCCTTGACCCTCTTCGTTCTTCCAATTTCTTTCAAAGTTTAATGACCCTATCCTTACGTGGCCCATCGCGATTTAGGAGATAGGCAATCATCAGACACACAACGTCTGTCTACTTACAACAGTCTCCCAACCGAGTCCAAGGATCTGAGGATTGCAAAAAAGGCATCCATTGAAGAGCTACTGCAAGGGTTTGCCTGCGCACGCCTCGCTAGATTTCTACCTCTGACCATCCTCCAAGTGATTACTTCCTGCACCAAACCATATCTGACGAGCACATCGCCGACCACTACTCAAAATGTCAGGACTTGATGTCGAGGCTTTGCTTGACTCCACCGCCAACAACGATGTGAAGGACTCTCCCAAAGATCGGGAGGATCGACATCGCAGCGATCGGTCAGAACGTCGTGACAAAGACAAGCACCGTGATGGATCCCGCGATCGTGACCGAGATCGCAAGAGAAGAGACCGCAGCCGCGAACACCGCAGAGATCGAGACAATGACTTAAACAGTCCCCGCAGCGACCATGGAAGCGCTAATGGAAGCCATAGGAGCAGCAGACGACGCAGTCGTAGCCGTGACGATGACAGAAGACGCTCCAAGAGAGACGACGACTCATACCGTAAGCGGTCTCGTTCACCCGAATACGATCGATATTATCGACCCAGTGGACGATCCAAGCGTGACGATGATGAGCGACGGGATCGTGATCGAGACCCCAAGGATCGACGTCGTTCGGGAAGTCCACGTCCTAGTACCAAGGGCAAGACACCTGAACCACAGCTTACTGAGGATGAGCGTGATAGGAGAACTGTTTTCGTTCAACAACTCGCCGCTCGTCTGCGAACCAAAGAATTGATTGCATTTTTTGAGAAGGTTGGTCCTGTCAAAGAGGCACAAATCGTTAAGGATCGTGTGAGTGGTCGATCAAAAGGGTACGCAAAGTCCACTCTCCCATCCCAAATCTATTTTACTAACTGAGTGCAGTGTCGGTTATGTCGAATTCAAAAAAGAAGATTCTGTACCTCTTGCTATCCAGATGACAGGACAAAAACTGCTCGGTATCCCAATCATTGCCCAGCTTACCGAAGCAGAAAAGAATCGTCAAGCTCGCAACCCTGAGGCCACCAGTGGAAACCACAACTCCATTCCCTTCCATCGTCTCTATGTGGGAAATATTCATTTTAGCATCACTGAATCAGACTTGACCAACGTTTTCGAGCCATTCGGTGCATTGGAATTCGTTCAACTCCAGAAAGAAGAGGGTGGTCGCAGCCGTGGATATGGTTTTGTTCAGTAAGTTGTTCCGTACCCTTGAATAATCCTCAGTGATCTAACAAGTCATCAGGTTCCAGGATGCTGGTCAAGCTCGTGAGGCTCTTGAAAAAATGAATGGTTTTGACCTCGCAGGACGTCCAATTCGAGTCGGTCTCGGAAATGACAAGTTCACACCAGAATCCACTGCCAATCTTCTCCAACGATTCCAAGGGCAAAATGGCCCACCTGGAAATTATCAAGGATCTGCTTTCTCAGGTTCCGGTGGTCGAGGCTCCCATGCAGGTGGTGCAGCAGGCACCTTTGACCGAGCTGGTGGCCGCGACAACGACAAGGGTCAAGGTGGCGCAAGTGCTCTTGATGACACTGATGTTGCTGGTGTGAACTTCAGCAACTATAGCCGAGATGCATTGATGCGCAAATTAGCTAGAACCGATGAACCTGTCGATGCAGGCCCGAAACGAGCGGCAGCTCCAAAGAAAGAAACCAAGCCACTGCCTGTTAATGTTAGTCAGGCTAGCAGATGCGTTCTGCTCCGGAACATGTTTGATCCCACAGAGTACGTTTCCCCTCAATCCTTGTTCGTTCAGGACCGGATATGCTAATCAATTTTAACAGGGAAGAAGGCGACGCTTGGGTCAAGGAACTCGAAGACGATGTCCGTGCTGAATGCGAAGAGAAATACGGGCATGTCGTGCACATCTCACTTGACCCCAATACTCAAGGCGACATCTATCTCAAATTTGAGCGTGTTTCTGGTGGTGAGAATGCTATCAAGGGGCTGAATGGACGCTACTTTGGCGGTAGGCAAATCTCTGCACAGCCAGTTGTTGACGCCGTCTACAGCAGCTTGTTTTCCAGAACCAAAGCCCTCTAGACCACATGATCAGACACGACTGAGTTTGGAAGAGATGCAATGCAGCTACGGCGAAGTTCTCAATCACGCTGGATGAAACTACTTACAAGTCTCATTGACATGCCCACTATGAAGAGTTTGAGATCAAGACTCGACTCTGCCCATAATGGAATCGAGAAAGATTTCCAACTTGGCATCAGATAATCTTGTTGACATGGCTTCTAGTTCTTCTGCACTCAAAAAATCAGGATCAAGTCGATGGCGACCACCTCCACCTACCTCTTGAATGACAGATAACCAATCTACAATGAAATGATCACCATCCCTGGTAGGTCTCTGATGCCACTGGTAGCACCCCATTGTATCTACACAGTTTTCACGTGTTTCGAGTCTTCCCATCAAATAGACTCGATAGAGGGAAGAACCATCACTTTTTACCATTGCTTCTTTCTCTTCCGTACTACTCTCGCTGTAAACCCAACATCCTTGCGCTCATACGAAATCCTTTCCATGAAGAAAACGTAGTATGGCTTCAGCACCAGTGTCGCTGGCGCATCTTACAAAGCGGTGAGCATGCGCCATACCTTGGTGGCGATCAAGACCATTGACAACACGACGGAAGGGCGCCTTTAGTCAATTGTAAGTACCTACCTTCCTAGGTGGTCTCCATTCTGCGCGGAAGCCTGGCTGCCTCCAGGTAACCCCAGATATGGGACGGGATCTACGTAGTTACTATTAGGATTCGGCGACGCGATGACGCAAGAGGTGGTGGAATGGTGTACACTAGTAGTATTTTCCACGTTGAATGGATTGTTGCAGATTCCAGGTTGCTACTTTTTGAGGGTGAAGGCGACCATTTGTTGCGTGGTGGTCTTGTCGACGAGTGCCGTGGATTTAACCAGGGAATATAAATTCTTTCGTGGACTGGCTTCTCCGCGCCATGGGTTTGGCCATCCGGGACACTGACAAGTTTATGAGCGAGAGTCTTGAGGGATCAGGATTTCTATGTAGAACGACTACTCAATGACTTTCTGAGAATCGTGCTCAATATTCCATTTCTATCACAGGTTGCACTCGGGGAAATGGGCCGGATCATACCACACACCAACAATCACTGCAGTGGTTGCTGTGGGTCGTCCCTACTTTCCATTTCCTACACCTCAACACGGTCTTCGACATTGATCTGTAGTAGTAAGAGGTGGCTTTTTTTCTCTAAAGCTATGTGATATCCTCAACGTAGAAGTAGTTCGCTCCGAAGTCGTTCTCTTCCGTGATCATTTCGGTAGTTTTCCTCAGTACATATCCTCGCACGCGAGATATGACCTCCTGTCGACAGATGAATGCTCTTCTTATTCGCCTATATGAATAGACTAGGAGCTGCTACAGACATCAATCACAAGTTCCAACGCTGAACAGGGACAAATCTAGGACTTGAAAATTGACGCTTATGGGACAAATTTCTTGATACGGCTGAGGTCGCCGTCTAAGACGCTTTTTGGAGACTGCGAAAATGGCTCCATTGATCTGTGCTTGAAGCAAGGTATAGCAATTACCCCGGGTATTTTGATCAATACTTTTGATTGAACTTTTGGCCAGCTCCAGGTAATGGTATAGGCCGTTAGTGGGTTCCGTGCATGATGAGTGCGCGTAGGCCTATTGGGTTACCGACGACCTCCTGCGGTGCTCACATTCGGTACAAATCGAGTGAATCTGACTTGCAGCGCACTTATCCCCAAATATCGATTAAGACATACAGAATCATAGTGACCGCAAACATAGAAATACCCACGAGCCTTACCTCATGCGTATTCATATCTTGCTTTTCAGTATGACTCTCGTGTTCGAAGGAGTTGCAATTTGCGCTCCTGGATCCGCCTCTCCTCGTTCTCAAGATATTGTAACTCAAGATCTTCAATCGTCGTGGCAGTTCCTAAGTTACCGTGCACAGGTGGCTGCACCGTACTGGCAGTAGGGGGAGATGCTCTCCATTCTGCCCCCATATCTACCAGTCGCGGCGGTACCGCCGAAGTATCAGGTGGCCGGGATGAGTCTGCCATAGCTGAATCTGCTCGGCTGCTCGTTTGCAGACTTGAGTTCGTTGGCTCTCTCCTAGAGGAGCCGGAAACTTCATAGAGATGAACACTATCCAATTCCTTTGTGCTTGTTGGATAGTTTGACCCTGGAAGCTCAAAGTGTTCGGCAGGTGCGGACCGATTTCCACCTTGCTCTTTCCTCAGGTCAGTAGGACTGGGCAGCTCGACCACTCCTTGACTTGGTTTCCTTGTGCTAGTTGCGTCCAGTTCGGGTTTGCCAGTGTATTCAATCTCCTGTTTCATGGGAATCTTTTGCCTTTGCCTCCACTTTTTCCGGAAAAACAACCAGAGAAGGGCAAGAACAAGAATAACAGCCACGCCTACAGCCCCACCGATCCCAGCCTTTGCCCCTGTGCTGAGGCCACTACTTGTAGTTGTTGTATTGGCAGAGGAAGGGTTGCTCGCGGTGGGAGAAGCAATTACTTCACTCGTAGTGTCGCTTGTCACGACCCGCCCAGGTGTATAACCAGAAGGGAAAAGAGACAGGTCACTTTGTTCGTATTCGACAAGAACATGCTCCATCATTACAGTGCCTGGATTGACTAGCTGAGTCGCGCTCCCAGGGTAGTAGAGAAGTACCATGGTCGAGGTGGTGTAGATACTTGAGCACATCCTTTCCCAGCCGGGCACGGCGTCATCTCCATCCCCTGGGGCGTGAAACTCACTAGGAAGAGAGGTTTCAGCCGTCATTCTAGCCTTGCAAGGCTCAAGATGGGACAACGTACCTCGGACAGCATTGTACTTGTGTTATGGAGCTGCTCAGAGTCGTTGTCCAACCACTTGTATAACCATCTGGACAAATACCGGGACTCCATGTGGCGCTGCCGTAGATTTTCGCGCCGGAAGGAAAGCAACTTGCGTAATAACTGTTGAACGTGGCGTAGCTCCGTATGAGAGGAGTGAAAGTTCCGGTTGGCACTGCGGTAAAGGAGATGCTCTCGCAGTATGCTGGAGCAGTGAAGATGGTTGTGAGTGCTACTGGTTGGCCGGACTGTGCGATTGATGACACGGCTGAGGCGGCGCTCGAGGTAATCGACGATGTTTCGGCGGGGTCTGTGGTCGCTAAGCTCGACATATTGGGCGAATTAGCCAATGTCGGTGACAATAGTCGCGAGAGCGCTCAGCACCTTGTCAGCTCCTGAAGTATTGGATCAAGAACAATGAGTTGATGCTCCCACTGTGGAGTGTTCAAATGTACTTAGCATCTACAATCCAATGCTATCAGATCATTTGCCTTGCGCAGTCGCAAACCAGCGCAGGCTTGAGGTGTAGAAGCTCGCCATCGTTGGCTCTTCGTATTCCCCCTCGTCTTGGCATGCGATGGGTTGTTCGAGACCTGTGGCCAGCCTGGGGGAAGAGGCAAGGTCCGTAAAGCTCGGGCTTCCCTGTATATCTTGGATTCGGTGACGCTGATGGAATCAATTTTGACCGCATAAATTTTTGGTGACTGGGAGTTCGGACACAGTGGGTGGACCCATGGCTGCAGGAGCTGGATCCCGCGAAAGACGCGTCAATATGGATAGGTCACCTCCTGCGGATTGGGCTGCTCTAATTCCTAATCTTCCGCTGTTCTTGAATGTTACTGGGCTGTTGAAACGGTGTGCCGCGGGAGGCTGAGAGATATAATAACTTATGAACTGAAGCTTACACCTCCGTGCCATGAGTTCTCGGCCCCCTAGCGCGTTTTTATAGATTTTTATAATTAATATTTTCTTCATAAATAAGCTTTAGAGAAGAGATTAAAGACTCTCATGCCAGACTTCAACAAAGCCCATTGCGACAAACAGATTTTGGGAATTTGCTGCTGGGCAGCATAAGTGGTGGAGTATTGGGGGTGAGTCAGTGACGGGATTGCAGGTGTCAAGTGGATACGGCGTGGTGCGAAACGGATAGATATCCCTGCGCAGCAAGACGAGAGAGAGCAGCTCTTGGGATGCGAGCCCAACCACAGATTCGGAGGACACCCGTCCCCCGGAGTACCCTCACTTTAGGGGACACTTTGTCCGAAAAGATTCTTGAGAGTCAGCTATCTGACCATAGCTGTGATCCGTAGCCTCCTCATCATTCAGACCCACACCACAGTTGGCAAGATGCCAAAAAGGCCAAGCGGCCTTATTGGCCACATGCTCATCATCACTATACTCAACACCACTGTCGGTGTTCACATTAGGAACATCCGCAATGTCGTCGACGACATCATCCAAAACTGTTGGTGAGACATATTGGTTCTCGTCAAGTTGGGCAAAGAGGAAGTGAGCTCCCGCATTGCAAGGGCAAAAGAAGCAGGTCGATAGCTTCAGCCTCTGACTGAATGAACTCAGGGTGTACCGTAGAACAATCTGATAGAGACCGTGCTCCAAGGTTGATATTAGCTGCTTATTGGAGTCGTCCGTTCCAGCCCATGTTCGAGCAGCGCTTGATGACTTGCTTTGGTATCTGCATCTTTTCTGAAGAACTCCTTTATTGCGGTGTGTAGATTGACCGTGGTAAACAGAGTCATAAGCTGAGTCCCAGTGAGAACGAGGAGTGAATGCCAGGGGTTCAGTGTAGTTGCCAAGCCCTGTATTGTCGATGGAGTCTTTCCATAATCCACTGGATTATGAGTCGTTGGACTCTCAAGGGAAGGCCGCTAGAGGTCTTCGATCATTGCTTGTAACCTGCTCTCTGGTGTAGTGCGCATGAATCGAAGCCTGGAAGCGGTAATACCACACTGACAGCCATTCGAAGTGAGTGCCCACTTAAGACTGATGCTGATAGCCGACTCCCAGCCTGCTGAACAACGATACCAATTTCAAGAGCCCAATGATAGCTCGAATACACCAACAACGAATCAATCATCTTGACCTAATCGAGAGAGCAAGAGCAATTGGTTCCTTTTTGAGATCTGATGAACAAATCTCATCTGCGCAATATTAACCCCTTTGAACAAAATGATCTCGACAAGCTTTGATCATGGGAAGTGGCCATGATCTTCCCCGGAGTCTCTGGTTATTGTTCTGCTTGGCCAAACAATTGAACTGCCGTAATGGCGATTGGGGTCGCCAGGGGCTGCTGTACAAACTCAAATGGACAGCCAGCCTCAGTGGTGACTGGGCGTCATTGTTGACGCAAAGCTCATCAGGATACGACAGTATATCGCAAGGCTATCACCCCTATAACTCATCTCACGTGACCAGTGTTTGAACCCTGCCACTTGAAATTGCTGAGATTGCGGCCAAGCTTATCGTCAAATCGAGAGTTCGACAGTCGAAGTTCTTGTTCTATTGCACTACTTTCTAAATAGGTGCTTCGAGTAGCCGAGCATTACCGATGGTCTAGAGGAGCTTCTCTGACGGCTTCCACGATATGATAGAAATAGTCCGTTCGGCCAAGATGCTCGTGAGATATTGAATAACGAGCGAGGTAGTTGTCCATCTCCAACCATGACCTCCAGATCGCCTTTGACATCTTCAAACCGAAGTGACGAGGTTGAAGAATCGCCCGCTCGGTCTTGACGAGATTCTGGAGATGGTCCCGGTAGATTAGCAACAATTTAGGGCTTGGCGCTACCACTGGGCAGGACGACTTGGCTGAGTCGAAAGGGCTGGCCCGGAACATCTTGATAATGTGATGGTGTGTCTGGCTTTGGGAATATTCAAGCCATTTGGCGGTGGTCAAGATCGAGCAGCAACCAGGAGATTGTGGATCTGTGGTTGACTTTCAGCTGAAGATTGACCAGGGTGTTGTCCAGTCGCCAGGTGGGGCCACATAAATTGGCAGGAGGAGCAAGCTCAGACAGCCATTTCAGACATCTTTTGCCCAGATATCTTTATATAGGTTGGATGAGAAGAGGATTGTTTGCTTGAATGTGTACGTGGGTATCTTTATCGAGCAGACCGGCCAAGGCAACTCTGAGCTCTGGTATTCTAATCTTCTTCTTCTCCACCCAGGTCACCAGTGCCCGTCTTGTGGACATTATGGAGCGGAAAAGGTATAGAAAAGACAAATGAGCTCTGGTGGCAGCGACTCGATCAATCCAAGGCCAGGAAAGTCCTCGTCAACCAAGCAGATTGAAATGCTTTGTGCTGGATGAGGATGGTGTTCTGCAAATCTGGTTTGCTAGTCGTATAGCGGATCTGAGAACATGTTGGCAAAGGGAAGGCACAAACAGGCATGATTGTGTTTGTTATTGACCCATTCTTCGCTTCTGAGGCTGAAAGGGTCAAAAGGGGATGAAAGAGAAGGACTGGTGGGAAGCAGATCCGTAAGGTGAGACCTTAGGAGTATCTTGACGTGGCTACTGGTCCATGACGCGACTCGGATGGTTCTTCACCAGTGCAAGCCCTCATTGAGTGGGTGAGGAATCGGAAGAATGATGAGGACCGTGAATTGAGGAAGGAGAAGGACATGGTCCTAGAGGAGAGTGGATGAAGCAGAGACTTATATAGGAGAAGGGGAGCATTCAAACGAAGGATAAAACGGGTGACAGCATCAAGAACAGAAGGGCAAGAAGGATAAACGGTATCTTGAAATCAACGCGTTCGCTCTTGATGATTTATGCCTGCTCACGGCGAACGGAGTAATGAGTACCTACCTAAGTATGGTACCCACCGTAGGGGCATAGTATTTCCTCAGCCACGTCGAGTACCAGTGACGGAGTGAACGCTGCCGTGTCCTCCGAGGCGCTCTTCCTGCCTCAGACGCGTCTTCTCATCCTCACAAACCGCACGCACTTGCTTGCGAATAGAACAATAACCTAGATGACGATGTCATTCACCCATAATCACCAATAGACGCGTCTGGCGAGGGTTGACGGCGCCATAACGGGTTAGATGCCTTGCGAGGATCAGTTGATCCTTTCCAGCGCATCTTCTTTCATCATTGCCAACCTTCTTCTTCTTCTTTTCTCTCTTTCTCCTCCTCTCTTTCTTCCGCTTACCACACACTCTTCCTTTTGCTCTCGATTTCTCTTGCCCACAAACATCACCTTTACGGTGGTCTTCCCTTTGGGGAAGACAAAGCCCGAGGGGCTTAAGCCGCCCTCTTTATGGTAAGATGGCAGATCTGGTGCGTCAGGCATCAGGCACCAGGCATCAACCACTCCACTCAAAAGGCAACGTACTGACTTTGTCCAGTCTGGGAGACATAAGGAGCGTAACGGATCTCCTCCTGCCCCCTACAGAGAGGCGGGGCCCTCTGTAGAGGGGCGGGAGGAGTGTTGGAATTATGTCTTCGTTAGTAAGTTGACTCTCCTTTGTTGCTTCCCGTTCCCTTGTCAATCTCCAATGGACAACGAGGTGAGAAGGAGGGTCAAGACATCCAATTCACCCACCAAGCACACCTCCGGCAAAGCACAACTCACCTGAATTCATGCCTTCTCCTTTGATGTGAGGGGATCGGTCATTGAAGACCATCGTTGCCTAGAGTCGACTTCGCTTTAACAAGGCCATGGACTTCTGCCCTCATCAATCGTCATGGCTACTTGGACCTGTCAAGACAACAGCCTCGTCAATGATGTCCATCAACACCTTTTCTGGTGGACGTGGACGTGTCTGAACCTCATGGTCGCCGGTCATCGTCACCACCAAGAAAGAGAAGTATATCAGAAACACCAGAATGGCTCTGAGTTTGAGCACCTTGATCAGACCCAATGTACGTTCACTTCCTCGCAAGATTGGGAGTCTCAGACTGACACATTGCCATCTATGTCGAGAACATCGTCACTGCTCCTCATGTAACGCCCACACGGCAAACACACTCACTTACCTCATGTTGAAGATCCAGCTGGTGCAATCCGTTCAACAAGATATCCCAGAATACAGCATACCATCTTGGAACAACAGAACGCTGGCCTCAACCCTGGCTGGACACCCAATCTGCACAACAACATATCGCCACTGATATCGCTGGCCCGACACAAGTCATTGTTGACTCAGAACTTCAGCAAACAGTATCCATACCCTTGTTGAGCCCTGCAGGGATCAGATATTTCACCAAAGGTCCAAAACACCCAAAACCAAAAGACCTTTCACACATCAAAGGCTGTTGTTGCGTGTGAAGCAGAGAAATTCACGTCGTTGTCCAAATTTGTCTTAGCGTGGTTGTTGTGGTTGAAGGGAAGTCACTGACATGGTTGCAGCAAAGTCCTTTCTAAAGGGCCCTTTAAAGAAGGGAATACCTTCTGCTTCGGTACGTGCTTCTTCCTCTCCTTATCTTTCCTCCTCCTCTTCTTCCTCTGGCTCTCCATCTCTCCATCTCCTCATCTCCTCATCTCCTCATCTCCTGGTCATCATCCATCCATCCTCGTCACCACCTTCATCACCATCATCTTCTCCTTGATCACCAGTCATTGAGACCTTGATTGTTCTTGACCCCTTTTTTCCTTCTGAAACACAAACCTCACTCTTCATCCGCCTCGTTTTCTTTGAGCTGTCTCTAGCAATGAGCTGCTTTCCCCATCACTTTGTCTTGGAAGAACCATCGGCTTTTTCATCCTCTCTTGTCAGAATCACCACGTGTCCTTCTTCCTTGATCTTTTGTCTGAGGCTTGCCTGCTCCTCTTCATCAGCTTTTGTCTGGATTTTGACCACCTTTTCTATCACAATCTCTTCCTGAAACTTGACCACCTTTTTCTCGTCATTTCTTGTCTGAAGCTTGGCCACTTTTCTCCATCCTCCTCTGTCTAAAGCTTGACTGCTCTTTTTCATCACAATTGACCACAAGCTACGGCTGTCATCCCTCGACTTCTGTCACAGACAACAGTTGGACCTCCTTCAGACTCTCTTGCCAGGCTCAAGAATTACCCTCTACATCATTTCTTGTCACACAGATCAGCAGCCCTTCCTCTTTGTTTCTTACATTGAACACTTGCAAAGACTCTTCTCATCTCTTGTCTTCAACAAAGCTGCTTTTCATTCTCATACCTCACACAATCCATCACTGTCAAACTCAACTCTCCAGAAGAATTGTGTCTTCGTTTCCTCACGGACCCACAGCAACTCACAGTCAGCCAACGTTTCGGGTTCTTCTGTAAATTTCATTTGAAACCACTTGTCTCTCACTACACACCAGCACGATTCCCACGTTGATTGATTTTCGACGGGTCACACACTCCAAGATTTCACATCTCTAACACCACTCTCAAACACAGGCGGAAATGTCGTTTAACAATGGAATGGACATGTCCTCCGGGACCTCTGTCCACCCCTCGGACGAGGGGAACGCCGAGCTTCGGCTCAGGCAGTTCGAGAGGACTGCCTCTCGGACCCAACATGAGCTTAAAACGCTCATATCCGTGCGCTCGCAGACGCCAATGTCCCAGGTGGAGAGCGTGACAAAAGAGAGAGAAATCAGGGAGCTGCAGGCTCGCCTGCAGGAGCAGGAGCAGGAGGTGCAGAGGATGCGGGCGGAGCTTGAGAGACAGCGAGTCACCATCGCAACTCAGAGCAAGGCCATCCAACAGCCATATGGCACCCCGGGCCATGGGCAAGGGCATCACCAAGCTGCAAGTTTTTATGGGCAAGGTGGCAGGCCACCCTACCCACCACCACCAGCACCACTCCTGGGACCCCACTCAGGGCCAGGCCAGCAGCAGCCAAAGCCAACACCGCCATCAGGGCTTGCATATCAACCACCAACTGGTCCGCGAGGTGCATCACAGTTTGGTTATGGACAACAACAATGGAACAATCCAGGATACCAGACAAATCAAACGTTGCCACCTCCACCACAGCCACAATTTGGACAGCACACAACGGTCAATCCTTTTGGATCTCCAGAACCAAGACCTCAGAGCAACAGATCTGGCTTCCAACCCAACAGCAAACATTCCAGCCACAGCAGCAGGTCCAACCCGCCATCTGATCCAAGAAGATCCAAGGTCATGCAAGGCAATCAATTTACACCGTCACCACAGCATGCCCGACAACCACATCAGACACCACAGATCCAGGGCCATCAACCACCTTCACATCCTTCATATCCACAAAATCAACCACTGTCATTACCTGCTCCTCTTGTTGACACTGGCAGTGTCGGTGGTGGTAACGTTGGACAATTCAAATCGACTTTCGAAAATGTGGTCAACATGACCCAAAAGTACGCCTTCGCACATGTCAACACTCCAAGCACCATCAAAGATAAAGAGATGCCACAGGCAATCAAGGACAGATTGATGAATGCCTCAACTATGACAACTGCTTTCCAGTACATGTCGTCCCCATACACTCGCTTCTTCCTTGTCACCAAAGTCATGATTCAATGGATTCTCAGGAACATCCTTGTACATGATTGCTTCCGTGGCTTGGATGCTATAGTTGACAAGGCAATTGATGACATGAAGAACCAAATCTACCAGACCACACCAGCTCAGGTCAAATTCCAACTCTTGAATAGCATTGCTATGGAAATCTTCAAGCTCAAACAGCGTCCTGACTTTGAAAACTTTCTTCAAACCCGTGCTCGTCAACGTGGAAACGAGCTCTGGGCCATCCTCAAACCCATGATGCATCAGAAAACTTCAAGAGATTGGGATGACTTGCTGGTGTTGATGATCGAGGCACACCGAGCTGCAGCTTACATGTTCACTGGTGCAGAAGAATATCGATTTGACCTTCCTAACTGTGGAGCACTATACGTCCCAGAGACCATGCTGACCAGAGATATCTTCCCAAATGTCAAGAGCGAGCAACAACTTGTGGCAGAGAGAGCACAAGTCCGTCTTGCTATCACTCCCCACCTGACTGTGAGGAGCAGTGACTCTGAAGGACATGTCATCTCGTCCACTGTGGTTCCAGCATCAGTCTTATTGAAGGTTGGGCATTGAAATCGAATCACAGAATGAACAGAAATGCAGACGTCAACAGAAGGCGGATGGACATGGTGAAACAGCAAGAGTGACTGACCAGGTTTTATGAGCATGATACCCAAAAAGCGTTTTCCTTTTCTTTTCTTTTCTTTTCTTTTCTTCTCGATGGTAATGGTAATGATCGGATGATCGGGGGCAGGAAGTGATAAATCAGGGCTGAGCTTCAGAAGAACACCAATAGACCAGATTGAACAAATCAATGATGGAAGTCCTGATGGGGAATTACAAAAGGCGTTATGAATTGCACTCTTCGGCATGAAAGCCTTCATGATGGGAGAGGAGAGATAAACTCAGAGAGTCCAGATGTCGTCATCAGGTAGACATCGCGAAAGCTCGACTGCACAATTAAGATCTGAATCAAAGCAGTCCTTGCTCTTCCACTATTGCCGTAGTTCATCATGTAGTCGTACTGGCACTTTGAGAATCCATCTCCTCAAGAGAGAAAAATGGAAAGTCAGAAGCTGTAGATGACACATACTCACCAGGAGAAGCTGACCCTTAACACTCGTAATCCATCACCCCGTCCGACAACACGGCCATGTCGTTCGCAAAGTCCTCTGCTCCCGTCACTGAAAGAGTCCCGAGCCTAGAGAGGATCTAGGAATCATCGATGGAGTCTGAATCGGCACAGGGCCGAATTTCAGTCGAGCTCCTTTCCCAGACGCTAGGCCTGATAGCGTTAGCTCGATTCCGCAGCAAAAGCCCTCATACCAGAGCCACAGCCAGCACGAGGCTTCAAAAGCGACATTCCGACGAGGCTGATCCTCTTGTGACGTGTACTTCTCTTTGAGATGGAAAGGATTGAAGACTTTCTCTAGTAGTAGGTAGTTAACCTCACTTGGAAGTGGAAGAGATGACACTGCAACTACACTACAGACTACCCGATCATTCAGCATGGAAGCGCCTTTCTATGATCGACACGTCTTTGTTCATTCTATCTTCATGGAGATTACCTAAGGTGCATTGTCATCTCAATCCTTCGGACGTCCCTTCTCTGGCGGGTGGGTGGATGGATGGATGGGTGGGGGTGTTGATAGATGGTCGATGCTGGCCATTGCTGGTCGTGTGCTTTTCATGGCATGGTGCCGAGCTGCGGTCTGCCGAGTCTGCGTGCTCGTCTGGAATCTGGGTTCACTAGGCAGGCAGGCAACAGGTCGCCATCTTTGGCGAGTGCGGTGGTTGAATACCAATACATCGATATCGAGGTTTGAGGTGTTTATTATAGCTGTGAGCGATGAATAGAGCCGCTCAATCAAGTCAAATCAAATCGCCCAGTCCTTCCTTCGTGCGCTGATAGTAATGCCATCTTGCTCATGTAAGAGAGCGCCTTGATTTTGTTAGTTGGTTGAAAGAAATGCTAGAGCCACGATCAGCAGTGAACGATGGAAGAAAACTCGAAAAAAAAGAAGCAGGCTTGGTATCAGGAATTTGTCTTTTGAATTTCCGCCGGCAAAAAAGCCTGCTACATGCTGAACTGGTTATGGTATGAGGAAGTTTTCCGTCGAGTTGTTACCACAAGTCCGATGTCGATCGCTGGTGAAATGAAGCCATGATTCTTTTTGTTTGTGAAACATGACCGCTCGAAATCTCTGCTCCCAGCCATAACGCAGAATGCGCCTTCATCACCACCCCCATTCAATGTTCCTGGCACCCACCATCGGAGGAGAATAGGGAACTCTTTGGATGGTTTGTTGTTTCCATCATCTCTAATACCGCAAGACCATCAAACGAATTGCCCTCTCCCCTTCACATCACATCGTTCGATCCCGAATCTATTTGTCTCCTCTATGATGAGGCAATGGCCTTTCGACGCTGAGCACCACGCTGTCTAGAGTTCAATCTAGGACCACTGACAGTGTCGTCAGCCTTGCTGACCTCCTCGGCGCCTTCGGTAAGGATCAATTCGATGTGGCAGGGGTTGGACATGTATGGGTTGATACGACCGTGGGCTCGGTATGTTCGGCGGCGCTGCTTGGGGGCTTGGTTGACTTGGATGTGCTTAACAATCAAGTTGGAGGTGTCGAGTCCCTTGGTGTCGGCGTTGGCTTCGGCGTTCTTGAGAAGTCCCAGGAGGAACTCGGCAGACTTGACTGGGTGGCGGGCCTTTGAGACACCGAATGCTTTGCCTGGTTAGAGTGACATGTTAGTTTTCTCTTCGGTTTTGTGATGAAAATGCCAAATCGGGTTTCAATCCAAGTTCGTTGCCCCGTTCCTCCCTCATTGAAGCGATGGGTTCGCAACGAATCTTCAGCTGTGGCATTCCATCTCTTGCAACAAAAAAATAAATACAGGGCCTTCATACCTTGTGCACTTCGTCCAGTTGATCCAGCATATCGTCTCATGGGAACAGCCTCCTTCAATTCCTGAACATTGGCGAGATATTGCAGGGCGCGCTCGAGTTTCCAACCATTGATGGCTTGTGCGGTCTCACGGGTGTTCTTGAAGCTGACTCGAAGATAACTGCCACGGCTGCGAGCCGATTTGGCACTGGGGATACGGTCGGCGGGGGCGTAGCGGACCTGTTTGTAAATGACTTGTCAGTATTTCGGTAGTCTTGTCGCTGGCGCCAGATGTCTCGGCTTTGAGGCAGGGTCGAACGTACCATCTTGTCTGTGTATGGAGGAAAAGAGATGGTCCTTGTGGTGTGTCGTTGTCAATCCGATCTTGAAGTTTGATGTGCGACTTGCCGCTAAGAATTTTGGTTGTGTGTCGCCAAGACTGCGCTCTCACCTGACCAAAAATGGCAGGTTACCCGGTCGTTCCTTCTTCGATTGAATCTTCGTGTGGGAGAAAGTCTTGGCGGTGAAATTGTCCAGCCTTGCCTTAGCTCATCCGCAGCCTTGTCAACGGGGGCAAATAAACAAATTTCACGCAATGTTTTTTGACTGAAAATAGAAAAGCTTTGGCTTGTGTCTATCAGCTAGAATACAGCCTGTGAATCATCATGCTCCCATTCTCCTCTAGCTTCATTAAAAACCGGATTCATTGCCCATGACATGCATGTACTCCAACATCGACTCTCTGGCCTTGCATGAGCCAAAGATGCTAACACCACCCGCTAGCACAAACCATCACTGAGTATCGACATTCGGCCGATAATCTCCACCATCTGACTCTTCAGTACCGCCTCTGGCCACCGGCCAATACTCTTCCTCAGAAGTGAAGTCATCTTCAAGATCCATATCCTCGATGCCACTCATGATCTGTGCCTTTGTTGCGGGAGCTTTTGGTTTGCTCTTGAATAGTGGAACTCTTGGAACCTCTGCACTGCCACTGTCTTCCGCTTCAGCTGTGTAAAAGCGCTCGGTACCCTTATCATCCTCCTCGCCCTCGTCTTCATCGTCTCCTTCATCAGTGTCTTCCCCATCGGCCGACACCACCGCAGCGGCAGCCAATTGACTATAGCCCTTGGGCTTCGGAGTCCTTGGAGTAGCAGTGTGTTCTGTTGCAACAGCGACATCATAACCTGGCTGACCTGGGTAAATGACTCGCCCATCAACCACCCTTGATCCTGGTTTTCGGCCTCGGGTACCTGGTATGGTGAAATGAGCGAAGGATGTATATTTGAACTGATCCTCGGTAACGGGGAGCCCATTCAAAACCTTCACATGATTCCGCCATTGTTCCTGAGTTGCCTTGTCTCTTACTGCTTCGTATCTCCCGATTTTATTCCCGTTGAAGAATTCCAGATCTAATGCATCGGCTCTATGATCTCCCAAGTACCAGCAGATTGCACCGTCGGGAACTTGCTCTAATCTTTGATCACTTTGAGTTCCAAATTGTCGGCCGGTCTCAATGCCCATGACATCAAATCCAAGACTGGGTACAAGATGAGCATTAATGGCTTCTTTCGTCTGAATTTGCCCGGTCCACAACTGAACGGCACCTGCTTCATAGAGTCTTCCAAAAACCATGTCGTGAGATATTTCATATCTCTTCATAGGATCGTGGAGATAGTACCAATTTCCATAATCTGCAGCCCCCACAGCCTTGAATGTGGTCTTCACTTCGTAGAGCGGAACCTGAGATGGGACAATGCGCAGATCAGAAGAATCAGTCAACTGTGCATCATATGATCTATTTTCATCGAGAGTGTATCCCTTTCCTTTCAGCGTGATTGTGTAGGAGGATGCGAGATGCTCAGAATCTGGATACGTGAAATATTCTTTGATGTCCACAAGATTGAAACGAATCTGCTCGACAACCAAGACATCGGTGCAGGTAGATTTTGTCCCATTGCGTGGCCCTTCTGGTCGAATACGAACAGCGTCACCAACAATGATCAATTCTGGGCCAAGAAACAAGCCTTTGCAGCGAATGTGCGCATTAGGCCATTGTCCACTGAACCAAAATTTCTCCAATAACGACATACTGGTCATACAGGTCAGTGCGTTCTTGATCGAAGGGTGCCATCTCTCCCTCGGAATTCCCCTCAGAAGCATCCGCCAGTGTGAAAGTGGTCGAATGTCTCTCAGTGCCACGTATCGGGATTGCTTAGAAGCGGACTTGTCCATCTCATCATTTGGATCAGGAAAGGTCTCAATCAAAAAGCCTGAGGTGTTCAGAGTAGTTTTCTTTTCTGGCAAACCTTGAATGTCCGGGAAATCGATCAAGCCATTCTGAGCCTTGGCTGAAGGCACTTGAGCGACAACACCTGCTCGCCAACTGGGGTGCCCATGGAAGCATTTCTGATCGAAAGAGTAGAACTTATATTCCGAGTTCTCATCAATCATCAGGGAATGTTGGTGGAGAAATTGGGGGATCCATAGAACGAGCTCGCCAATTCGCGGAATGAAAGAGTGTTGCAGCTCCATTGACGTCAAGTGGTTTTCGACCACTGCAGCTCCAAGGCCTTGATGTTCATGGGTGGCACGCCAATCCATATGATTATGTTCCAAGATGTCATCTTCGATTCCCTTTTTGCTATCCCGAGAAGTGTACAATCTCTTGATCAATTCCTTGTAGACATCCTCATTTCCATTCTCGTCTACCGCGTATGGAGCACCTGCGGCTTTGATTTGTCGTTGAGGTCGATTCCCAATACCACCAAGGCGACTGGCAAGCGATTCTGATCTGCTTGAAGACCCGCTGGCTTCGTCTTGCATGTTTCGTCTTCCCAGAGCAAAGGACGATAATTCTGGGATCAATCGCTTTTTTCGTGGAATGGGAGCTATCTTGGGTTTTCCTTTCCAACACAAAACACATTCACAGTCACCTTTCATACGAGACATGAGCCAAAGGAAGTGCGGTTGAAACCTCGGTGCTGAGTCGAAGAATTTGCCACTTGGATGACCAAATAGCCGCTTGTAAACGTTGCGTGAGCCGGGCTGGTCTGTTTCAAACATATCATATCCATCTGGAAGTTTGTTGAGATAAAAATTGACATCTTGTTAAGAAGTTAGAGTTCGTTGAAGGGTTCAGAGCTTGTTCCAAAGGAGGATTGTGATGTTTTCCACCATGTCTTATCACCCTGATTGGCGATGAAACTCACCAGGTGCTGCTTTGTCTAGCTTATCCTGCTCTGCCCACGCCTTGCCCAGGGTGATCAGATAATGTTCTCTTGAACCAGGTCGATAAGGCTTGGCTGGCCAGTGGCGCTGATCACCATCAGAGGCATCCTCGATGTTCCGCACTTGCCACTTTCCACTGCGTCCGATAGTTCGAAACTTCTCTTCCGAAGAAGTCATGGTAAGCTAGTTCGTCGTAGATATCCTACGGATGTGCCGCCCAGGTTTGGCATCACAAGAAAACATGAAGCGGCCAGGAAAGAGTTTGACCAAGGGTTGGCGAAAGTGGATAAATGATCAAGTGAGTCGGAAGGTGAAGTTTTCCGCAGGTCACAATCATTTTAATTGTGACTGCTGCACTGCGGTCTGCTGCAGGAATTACACCGGCATTCACCACTCTGGTTGATGCCTCCAGCCTCAGCTCAAACTGGATGCTATATCATTAGTATGTGCCAAGACGCTAGTGAGCGCTCATGACACTACTGTGACTCTCAAGTAATAAGTGGATTGAGAGTCTAACTAATAATTGATGGAAAAGAATGCTGCTTTACATATCGTCCAGTTTAGGCCTAATACCGGCCTTGGCGCTACTTCCCAATTTCTGGTGGTACCACAAATACCTCGATGTTTCGACAGTATGTGGTTAACATCAACATTTATGATAATTTAGTTACTAACGTCCAAAAAGTATATGGTCTAGTGGTATGATTCTCGCTGAGGGTGCGAGACTGACATACCTGGAGGATGGGATATCAATCTGGCCTGTTCTTGAGCAGTCGACGGGCTCCTCACCCCCATTTTCAACTGGCTGCTTCGTAATTTCTTACAGGGGTGTTCACTCTAGATTCCTGTGAAAGCCTGCAGCCTTCTGTCTCGTCCAAACGCACATGACCCATAACGATGATTATTGTTCCAGTTTTCTCATAACATTTGCATCGTCGTTGAGCACGAATTGCCGAACCTCGAGGTGAGTAACTCTTCTGCAAAATTGAAGAAGGACATTGAGATACTGTTTCAATGTACCTCGCTCATAATTTGATCACAACATGCCTCAAGGTTTGTTGACGGCGGAGTCCCTTGCGGATATAGCTATTCCTGAGCACCTTCGGATCTCGCCCGATGGAAAACAAGTTGCCTACGTGTTGAAACCCTCGTCACGATCGACTGAACATCCAAAATCATCGATATGGATAGCTGCCATTGGAGTGAGTCATTCTGCGATACAGATCACCTTCGGGCTGTTTCAAGATACGCAGGTCGAATGGACACCTGACGGCAACATATCCTTTCTCTCTGATCGACAAAATCGTGGCAAGTTATCCTCTCTGTTTTTCCTCAAGCTGGACTCAGCAAATAGAGAGCCGCAAGCAATCTCCCCAACGAACATGCTACAAGAGATTATCTCTTACTCCTGGAGTCCGAATGGTCGCTACATTGCTTATCTCAAGTGCAAAGAAATTGAGCAGAAGGGCGAATACAAGGCCAAGGGGGGAAGTAACATCAATGTCTACGGCCAAAATTGGAGATTTGCAACACTGAGATGTTTCGACATCGAAACAGGTTTTGCCAGGACCATTGTGGAAAAGGAGAGTCATGTAACAGGATTCTCCTGGGATCGAGATTCCTCACGTATTGTCTATGTAACGCAAGACAACCCCGAGCCAGATTCACCAGGTTTCAATGGGTCCAAATTCGAACAGATCGAATTGTCCACGGGACATAGTCACCATGTTGCCGAGTTTCCCGGCCCGACAGCAGATCTCGTTTGGGAAGGCACGAATATTTACTTCAGGGCAGGAGTAATACCCGAGCATGCGAGCACTTCTTGGATGACTTACATGCTTCAATTGGATCAGCGACAATGGTCAAAACATGCCTATGGTGACGATGTTTGTGCAGCCCGGATCCGCCGAAGTGGCTGCGAGTCCGTAGTAGTATTGGTTGAGTCGGGTTTACACGATCAGCTACATCTCAACAATAAACAACTGCTCTACAGTGGCTTACACCAGATCGAGGACTGGGATGTGCGATCAATCAACAATGACGAGCATGTCATTGCATTTACTAGGAGTGCAGGCGGCTATTCGACGCAGGTGTTCTCCGTTCATGCTGGCGACTTATGTCAGCTCTCTCGACATAACTCTTTCAAATCCCCTGTGCAAGTCGAGCCATTTTACTTCCACGGCGATGACGGAGCTGCTCTTGACGGAGTTTTCCTTACACCGGAGACAAATGACAGATTGAAGTCATGGCCCACAGTTGTTATACCACATGGCGGCCCATACAATCGTACCACCATCACCTTCGACGTACCATACTACCATTTCGGGCCATGGCTAGCTTCTAATGGGTATGCAGTACTCTGCCCGAATTATCGTGGAGGCAGTTCTCATGGACAAAAGCACGCTTCAGCGGCTCGAGGCGGGATGGGTACCATCGACTACTCGGACATAATTGCTGCAGTAAAGACTGGTATTTCGAGGCAGCTCATCGACCCTGGCCGCACAATCATCGCAGGATGGTCGCAGGGAGGATATCATGCCTACCTTGCGGCAACGAGAAACGATTTCCCTTTTCGTGGTGCCATCTGTGGTGCAGGTGTGACTGACTTGGATATGCTGGTGATGACTTCGTGCCATCCTTGGTATGAGACTGATCTTGCAGGAATGGCCCCTTGGGATTCCGATTTGACTGATACACGAAATCGATCTCGCAGTCCGACGTGGGCTCTCAAGAAATTGTCAGACGATATGCGCTCGGGAGTGAATCCTATGCCGATCCTGATCCTGCATCCAGAGAACGATCAAACTGTACCGGTATCACAGGCTTTATCCTTCCATCGCGGATGTTTATTGCATGGCATCCCTTGTGAGCTCGTGACATATCCGGATGAAGACCACGTTGTCGAGCAGCGAAGTCATCGCATCGATATGCTGGAACGCATCCTGGCATTCTGTAAGCTCCACCTGGCTTGAAAGTACTGATAGTTTTCTTTGGTGATTTCAATGTGTTTGCGAAATTATTTTATGTATTTGACAACACATTCTGTCTACACATCAACCCGCATTCCACGCAATGCAATGCAGTATGGTTTAGAGAAAGTCTCCCATATCCAGACTCATGTTTGTGACAACTTCTTCAGATTTGAAGACTCCCAGCGCATCAGCTTTCCCTTTATAAAAGCGAAGAACACGCACTTGCTCGCCGTTGACAAACGCTTGAAAAACGGTTTCCCCGAACATACGGCTCTCCTCGGGCAGAATAGCGTCCTCATTAAGGGCTCCACGCCCGGCCTCTTCTTGCTTCATTTTCCATTCTGAATATTCGATAATGGGATCACGTATCCACATCCCTTCGCGCTCAGGTGCCAGCCTCATGAGTCCTATCGCCCGCTGCCGCGTACGTAGATGACGACATTTGAGAGCGATGAAAAATAAAGGACCCAACAGTCCCATGTCGAAAGAGACCACTGGTGGGCGTGATCCGATCGCGTCAAATGCTTGGAGGACCCGCCATACGTAGGTAACCATGCGTTCGAATTCCGGTTGAAACTCGTCGTACTCCATTTGTGACTTGAATGTAGAGGCCTTCAATTGAAGGACGGCCAGATCATGGTACAGGAAAAGTAGTGGGATGGTGTGTCGCTGATGTGCATTGTAGTCGATCGAGGTAAGCCTGTCTGGTTTGACAAGTGACGAGAAGGCGTCATGCCATCGCCGGAGGTTTCCAAGGTGGAGCTGAGTACGGGTTTGGGTCTTGCTTGTGGAAGTAAGCGAGGACGAATCCAGACTAGGGGGTGCATCACAGGTACCCGAACTGGTACTAGAACTGTTTGCGCTATAATGGGATTCGTCATTTCGATGTCTCATGAACTGAAAGATGGCGCACAATTCTTCACTTAGCTTCGTTTGTGCCTCGCCGATAGTGGAAAAATGCGTTGGAAGCCATGGAGTAAATTGCCAATGTTGAAATGCTGTCGAATTGAAATCGGAGGTTGCGCTGCCATGCACGGTGGCTTGGATGTCGAGTCGGATATACAAATCTTTCAAAGCTTGATTGAGCGGCCGCCGCTTCATGGTATGGTCGATACTTTGAGTATTTTTTAAATGGTCAAGAATTTTCAGTCCACCTTTCAGATGATTGAGTCCAGTTGAAAAATTGTTCCCGAGGAACTCAATACAAACAAAGATTAGGCAGGCCATCAAGGTAACCTCAATGGAATCCGAGTCATCAGAGCTTCCATCCTTCGTCAGTAGCTTGATAGCTTTATTGTATTGCTGGATAGCGAAGTGACTCAACGGAGCAGTCGAGGAGCCAGAATCAAGAGTTCGCTTCGAAATGAGGCGGTTGGGGCCAGACTTAAGTCGGCCGTCCCTGCGGTAATGCTCATAGACAGCGCTTAGACTGGAGAGAGCGTGTTGTAGAACCGGCTCGGCCTCCCGCCGTTGAAGAATTGGACTCCAGAAATCAGTATCAAAGACGCCAAATATTTCTGGCACAGCTTTGCTTCGGAGATAGGCGAAGCTTCGACATTCCCCTTCCCCCAGTGTGGGATTGGTGGCCAAAAGTGTGTCGTTCAGGAGACCGTAGCAAGTTTCGCTTTCGTGTCGTCTGCACGCACACTGCATCTGTGATTTCTCCGGTGTCGCTACATTCGACCGACTATAGCCCTCACATTTTCTTCCAGTAAAAGTACAATTCTTGCAATGAGGTTTATTCTCATCACACTTCACCCTGCGAATCCTGTAATCATTAAGCACGGTTCGAGTAATCTGGAGATTGGGGGCTCACTTGCACACCGAGCACCCTGTTCGAACCCTAGGTGCGCTCGCCCGAGGCCTGTACTGCTTGGTAATAGGTGCCGGTGCTTTTTTGGTCGGCCGCTTTACTACGTACACACATGCGAAGTGAGCGAGGTGATCAGACGAAGTAACGAATCGGTTGCGCAAGCCTGGGAGCATGTCTTACAGGGTTTAATTGGGATTTTTGCGTGGGAATGCAACATCTCCTCACATCCTGCAGATGTATGCAGGGATTTCGAGCGCGTGTCACGAGTACGCGAATCGCAAGGCAAATCTTACAGATATTATTACCTAGGTAGTCGTTGATATTTAGGAAAGAACAAGGGCCAACATTTTCATCTCAGCGCTATCGAAGCAAGAAGGTTGCTTTCCCTCATCCCCCGCAGCCCCTCCGGTTGAGGCTGGATAAATTGGACAAAGTGGGAGGCTTATGGCCCCAGTTGGCTCCCGATGAATACCGTCGTAAGCTGTTTAAGTAGCTTGGGAGACTCCAAGATGGCCAAGGGGCCGCTATTCGCATCTTTATTGTCCCTCTTACGTGGTGGCTTACGACGCAGACTTCTTCAGCTAATGGATAGCTGTCTAAGTAATTCACCACACCGCTTGACAGTAGCACTACTGCCTCAACTAGAGGAGACTCAAATGACGCGGCATTATCATAGTGAATTGAGAACGCATGAATTGTAACGTCTCAGCCATTTGAAGGAGCCTGAGAGAGGGTATGCTAGTTCATGGTTCAAGAACCGCACCATCAGCTAAAGTACGTTGCCCTCTCAAATCCTCAGTATTACAAAACCCTGTCGATAGTCACAATTCATCCCCAGGTTTGGAGTTGGCTCTTATGCATTGAGTGCAGTCTTTGCACGCAAGGCCTCTTGTGGAGCTGCCATGTCCGTCTGGCCTGTTGAGGGTTCTACACCTTCCACGGTATCATCCCACAGATGCGCAACATATTCCTCCTTGTCAATATCTCGATAGAGGTAATAGAAGACGACAGCGAGAACAAATCCGACAATTGAGGGCCCCGCAAATGCCCAAGTAAGATATGGGTCCCGAATGATTCCCGCAGTGGCCAGGGAAATCGCTGCAGCGATAGCCGTCATAAAAAGATTGATCGCTAAAACCAACCCTTTCATATTTGGAGGTGATCGCGAATATGCAACGCTGTAAGCGGTGACATTGCAGAAAATTTCCGACATCGCTGAGACTGCAGTCGGAATGGCTGTCCACCAAACCGTGAGGGGAGATACCAAGGTCTCGCCGTTCTCATCGACACACGTGGATGCACGATTTCCACAGGGCGATGTCCGATAGATGTAATATTGAATGATGGCCCAGCCCGAAGAACCGATTGCAGCGAACATGAATCCACATGTGATACGTGATATCGGCCCCCATCTGATCCGAAATTTTCTCAACGTAGGGTAGATGATGTGGTTCATGATGGGCAAAGCACATATGATGGACAATGAGTTGATATTGTTAACCACGTCATTAGGAACTCCGTTGGTCGTCATCGAATTGCTTTGGGCATTCACGGCAGCGCCGAGGCCGGCAGAGTTGATCACGTATATCGGGAAGAAGAGGAAGATTCCACATGCCTGAAATGTACGGCGAACATCCTCAACAAATCTGTCGTTCCAATTGACTTTGCGGGTATCCCCAGTAAGCGCAAGACTGGTTGGTGTGGCTGCGTTTAGACCATTGCGTCGAAATATGCCAATGGGTCCATTCTTTTTCAACGCAATGAAAAGTACCCTGAAGATGTTGCCTAAATCACTTCCACCTGGGGGCTGCTTCTTGAGATTTTTGTTCGCGATCCACAATACCAGGGGCAAGAACAAGTAGAGAATTCCAGGGAGCGTGAAGGCCGCCCAAAATCCAACAAGTTTCGCCAGGTATGCAGTGGGAACTCCCATGAAGCCCCCAATATTGAGGAGAAGATAGAACCACAACATGATAGAGTCATTTGTCGCCTCGGGATCTGCAATGACTCTCTCACCATTTGTATCCGTCTTGATAATGGCATGCCGGAGTGGGTTTTGGTCCAGGATGGTTGGATTAATGTTAGGCTTGAAAATCGCTGTCGTTTGTTAATCTTCGCACTCGCTGTTAACTAGTAAGGAAGCTGGCATACCTGATCCAATTGCAAGAAGATAAACACTGAGGTAGAATGGTCCTTCTGCATGGCCTGCTCTGAGTACTGATGGGATACCGGCGATAATCATGACAATATGGGCGATCAGCATTATGACAACTCCAAAACAAATTGTCTTGAAGCGACCGAATTTGGCATCAGCAGCCCATCCAGTGAAGAGTGGTAGACCGTAACCGAGGAATGCAAACGAAGATATCACAGCGGATGCAACGACGGAGCCTTTGCCCAAGGCGCCAGCATTCTGTTGAGTACCTTTGGGCGGAGCACCTGATCTAGAATGAGAGGTATCATGTAAGAAAACTTGAATTCTAAATGGCCTCTGTCATAACTTACCCATTTCCACCCACTGGTAACGGGTTATTGACGAAGTTTGCGAACACTTGTCTACAGCCAAAATAGGACCCGCGTTCTGCAAATTCAACAATGCAAAGTAGATAAGCTGTGTATGGGAGAGGGATGGCCACTCTTTTGAGAGTCTTTAATTCGTCTTCGGTCGGTAGTAGATTTCCATCGTCATCAAAGACTCGTTCTATCGACGCATCGGCTCCGGGAGCTTTGACCACAATTGAATCCGGCATCTCAGTGACATTGGCAGCACTCTTGGGGTCAGCCATCTTAGACACACTGATGGAAATTCGTTTGCGGGAGGATTTGTAACTTTAAGAGCCGCAGAGAATGATTGAGTGTTGGATCCGAGAGATGTATTCCACAGCCTCCTGTGGAACCTTTACTATACAGAACGCGTGGTTGGTTGTGTGATCTTTATCTTCGATTACCTTATTCGACGTGCTATGTTCCAGACCGAAGCTCGCCTGTGCGAAAGATAAGAAGGCTATCCGCGGATAGAACCTGTTTGCCTGACAGTTGTGCTTCCCGGGCCAATGCGACTGTCACAGACGGTAGTGGATGGTGTTTCTGGCAATCGAGCTGGAAGCTTGTGGACTCTGTGGGACCCTTGCTCCGCTGACGAGCAAACCAATAAAGAACACCGCTGGAGCGGTCATTGTGAAATTTGTCCTTATCTATTAAGATCATCGGACGACAAAGCGGGTAGCCACTTCGGACATGGATGGAGAACATCTAGACAAAGAATAAATGGCTTCAAAACAGCCAATGGATAAAAAGAGGGGCTGAAAACGAGTCCCAAAAGAAAGAGTCAGCTAACTAAAGTGCCCAATTCCGGAGTGACCCCGGTCTACAACTACGAGCCAGCCAATCGCCATACGAGCGTTGCCGAGACTATGGGGTGCATGATAGAGCGCAGAACGGCACCCTTGTCTTGTGCCGAGTAGCTTGCAGTATCGTTATCAACGTATTCGTGATTTGAAATTACTCTCATCAATAGACGGGCTGGTACTCGCACAATCTCGACGATATCGCTTCCCTTTGAAATATTTTTTTCGGCCAATGGATGTTAATATTCCACTTGCTGCGGGAAGAAATCCGACGTAATTTTAGCATTCCATCTCCTATCTAGAATGAGAAGCTATTTTGACAAGCAAACATACCTAGCATCACGAACCTGCACTGCTAGCTTGATAACTTGCCGAGGATATTGTTGAACTTATGGATTCCAAAGGGGCTTGGAAACAGCTGTTGCCTGAATCAAATTGTAGAGAGAAGTGAGCTCTAAAAGAAACGTGCCCTCAAGAGTCTGTGGTAACGATCAAGTGTTGCTTCCCATATTTATCGATTTACTTCTATCGCCATGTTTATTTTACCAGTTATCCTTCTTCTTACCAGAGCTGCGAATGCTTTCCAGCCATGCTCGATTTTTGGTCCAGGATTTACTGCCCCTCACAACCTATCTGTTTCTCCTGCATTCAAAGAAGCTTCTGATAACTTCACCTCTCTCATCGAGTCCGTCATTTCGTCGAGCAAGTCGAGATATGGCCAATTTGACTCGAATACAACGACCTTTTCTCTCCAGGTTTTCTCGACAAGTACCGATCCACCTCTCTATGAGTTTCACCATACAGCACCAGGACTCGAATACTCCGGTACTGGCGTTCGCGAAGTTAACTCGGATTCTATATATCGAATAGGAAGCGTTACGAAGTTGCTTACTGTATACTCATTTCTCAATACTGCCGGAGATGCAAACTTTCATGACCCTGTGACACGATGGGTACCGGAGCTTCGAGCGGCAGCAAGCTCCAATAACAGTACAGAGGATCCGGTAGAGTATGTAGCCTGGAATGATGTGACTCTGGGTCAATTGGCGGCGCAAATGGCTGGCATAGGACGCGATGGCTCTCTCCAGGGAGAAATCACACAGGAGACATTAAACTGGACTGGATACGGCTTCCCACCACTGGAGAGCTCCTCGATTCCAACATGTGGGGCTGTCAAACTATGCAATAGAACAGGTGAGGTTCAATTGCATCGGCTACCTTCCCTGCGATCGATATAGCTAACAAATACCATACAAACTACAGAATTTTTCGAAATCTTCAGTGACAGACCACCGGTTTATCTTCCATCGACGACTCCGGTTTACTCCAATGTCGCTTTCCAAATTCTTGCCTACGCTCTGGAGGAGATTGTGGGTCAGCCTTTTCCAGATATTTTTGAGCAGACCATGCGAAAGGATCTAGGTCTGACGAGGACGGCACTATCCATTCCAGCTAATGACACATTCACAGCGAATGGTGTTATTCCACTCGGCCTTGCCAATAGTGGCTGGGCTTTTGATGGAGGAGATGAAAATCCGTAAGTATTGCCCTGGTCATCTTAGTCCTCTCAGTTGGCCTGACAGAGGAAACCACCAGTGCCGGAACTGCGTACTCAACAGCCAATGAGTTATCTTCCATTGGTAGATCGATCCTTCGCTCCAGTCTACTTCCCCCAGCATTGACTTTACGTTGGATGAAGCCAGTGGGTCGGACTGCAGACCCTAACCTGTTGGCTGGGGCTGGTTTCGAGATTCTCACATTTACTGATCCTAGCACTAAACAAATCACCGACTTATACACCAAGTCCGGCAACCTAGGGATTTACAGCTCTCTTCTGATTCTTTCGCCCGACTACGATTTTGGCTTCACCATAATGTCAGCTGGATTAAACAATTTGGATACGGCACAAGCAATCGGACAACTTCTTGTCGACCACTTCGTTCCAGCCGTAGTCAATGCTGCGCGAGCTGAGGCAGATTCAAACTATGCGGGAACTTATAGCAGCCCAGACCCTGCTTTGAACTCAAGCATAAACTTGTCGACCATACCATCACAACTCGGATTATCCATAACTTCCTGGATCAGCAATGGGACTGATATGCTGGCCGTTTCTGCAGAGTTAGTCCTCAGGTCACCTGGGTCTCCAGTCACTGTCACGCTATACCCAACAAATCTAAAGTCTCAAGCCTCAGATGGGAGTTATCAGCGCCAATTTCGAGCGACGTTCGAGGACCCAACTGTAGAGAATCCAGGAGGACTATTCACGAACAAGTGTCAAAGCTGGGTATTCATGGAGGAGATCGTTTATGGGAGACTTGCACTTGACGAGTTTGTATTCACAGTCGAAAAAGGTGGATCTGCAAGGAGTCTTGTCTCTAGTGCATTGAGAGAGGTCCTGAGTAGGCAGTAATGAGCAACAATGAGTATATAGACAACTATTTGAATTCCTGCCTCGCAGAGTAGCTAGCCAACTCTTTATATGCGCAAGGTCTAAACCTCATCATTGCAATGCTTAAATTCTCTCTGAAGACATCGTTCGGAAGGAGGTTGAATCCCTTTAGGTTATTAGAACAGTCAACTTGAGTAGGTTCTATCTTAGGAATGGCGGCTCGACGACTCCGGTTTGACCTGTGATCAACGCATATGCTTCGACTCTTCGATGCCTGTCAAAATCGAAAATAGCGCTGCGCCCATACTTGACTTCATCCAGGTCACAATCTGCAACAATAACCTCATCACCCCTAGTCTCTGTCATTGCCAATATCTTCCCCTTGGGGTCGATGATAGAACTTCCGCCGATGAGATCAAAATTTCCATCCTCCAGCCCGGCTTTTGCTGCGCATACGCCGAACACACTGTTCATGTAGCAGTTGGACTGCATGACAAGCAAGTGGTCTACGAGTGCCGCAGCTTCTGCTTCGGCCTTAGTTTGAGGCTTGTGGGGTGATGTCCCAGCGAGCTCCGGACAGTAGCCTTGAGTGTTGTAACCACAGAACACCACCTCGGTGCCTTGTAAGGCAAGACAACGCCAGGCTTCAGGCCATCGACGGTCGTTGCAGATAATCATTCCAAAGATTGGGTCACCCCGCATGGCTTCTCTTTCGCTAGATGACCTTGGAACCTTGGTAGAGTCAGAATGTTCGGTGGTAATGCCAACCAGGGCTGGAGCTCGGAATGCAGTGAACCCAAGGTTTCCTGGCTGGAAATATTTCTTCTCGAGTTGATTGATCGCGTTTGGGTCAGGCAGAGGATCCACGAACCCAGGGAGATGGATTTTGCGGTACTTGCTGAGGATGGAGTGTGTAGAAGCAGAATAGTAGATTGACGTGTTGAAACCTTCGCCTTCTGGTGTACGTTCTGCGAAGCCAAGACTCACATCCACAGAGAGTCTTCTCGCTTCGCTGAAAAATGCTGCCGTGGTAGGAGACGTGAGAAGATCTCCATGCTCGAAAAACGGTTCAAGCTCCTCTGGAGTTAGGACGTAGCGTGGAAAGAATGTTACAAAAGCTAGTTCGGGGAAAAGAACAAATTGTGCGCCATAGGATGCCGCCTCATGCAGAAGCCGCAGCATTCGATCAACAACGTCCTCCCGCCTCGACGTGAGGTGATTCGGGCCTAACTGTGCAGCCGCAATCTTGATCGTATGAGCCATTGCCGTCTCAGATCTGGCCACGAGCATTGATATCAGCTTTAGTTTTGATCTGACTGAATGAGGCAGAAGATCGTGTCAAATAGTACTGCCCATTTATTTATTCCCTGATTCAATATTGAAAGTAGGAATTAGCATCTGCTACAATGGCTTCTTACTAGTCAGAAGGAATATGAAATCAAGCCAAGCCGAATGGCACTCATAATGTTCCGCCAATTACTGGTCCCTTCATTGCGCTTCGCTCGCGGGAATTACTATATTCCCTTCCACTTGGTCCATTGGTAGTTGATTCTTCTTCATTCGTCAAACCTGAAGCTGCATGATAAGGGCCACATACCCTGATCGCAAAGTCGACTGCAGATCTGCAACATACTAAGAGTAATAGACGTTATCGAACATCTACCGATGGTAACCGCAAAACGAGCAGCGTTTTTTCTAACGCGAGATATGCATGGAAGTAGAATTTCAAATAATCCACCACTCATTCGGCAAGGTGGGCCTTCGTATGCATTCACGCCTTACCCACTTGAGCCCCAAGTTTCCGACTTGGTCCATAGATGACACTTACATTTCAGGACTCTACAGCTCCACTACGTGGTCAGTCAAAAAATAGTTTTCTGGACCTCCCCTCTGGCACCATCCTCCTCAGCTTGGCTTGGCTACTCTGTCTCGGGGAGAAGTCCTGTGAGAAATCAAATCGCTCTTTGGTTGACGCTATGATTATGAGAAATACAGGGAGGCTGTATTCCACTGGAACCGTAAGCCCTAGGTTCTTCTGCTCTCAAGAGACGTTTTCGGAGTCATGAATAGTGGCTAGAATTATCAAAGACTCTTCCGGGTGGTCTACTGCATCACGCAGGTACAGCTTCAGCTGGTTGACTACATCAATAATAATGTTATATGCTTTCTAAAAGCGAAGAGGCACAGGTGATCGTGTGTACAGAGTTGTAGCTAAAATGGTGCAGATTCTTCCAATAATATCTTGCCGGCTAATTATCCATGCGAATTATGCTACTTCTCAATAATTGAGCAACAACGATTCATGGAGCCGCACCTGCTTTCAGCACACTGAGGGTCATTGATCTGCCCTCACCAAATTCTGATTGAATGCCCACTATTCGAGTATCGGCCCGGACCTCCTTCGCAAATTTGATTTCCGTGGAAGTGCAGGCATCGCTCGTGTTTCTGTTCAAGCGGGTACTCTCGAGCTCTTCGGAGTAGACCACAAGTCCTGCGCACGTCGATGCTACCCTTGAGTCCCAAAATCCATCACGTCGGTTGAGTTGGGAAAGAACCTTTAAGGCTTGACGCCTCAGATTTGGGTCTCGACACCTAGTGGTAACGAGAAACAAGGGAGGCAGAGGTGAAAAAGCTGCGTGTGTGAAGACTGGTCTACCTCGCCCTTCAAGTCGTGAGAAGTAGGATGGCCGTAATTCGTGAAAGTCGTTGTCCTTCTGTACATAGTCCTTGAACATAGTCAGTTCAGTATTCGTGAACTTAAGGCTCTCGATCACTGGAGCTGATAATTTGTGAAGCGTTCTCGTCGAGCAATGATCTGGCTGTTGATGACGGTCTGTATGGTGCAAGAGCAACTCGTGGCCAACCTCAACCATTGCCTGGAAAATTGAATTGCAATTGTCATAACCCATTACTTCGTTAGGAGATTCGAGCTGGAGGAAGAGTTTTGTCGCAAAATACCACAGCCGTAAAATCTTCACAGCTTCTTCCCTCTGCTCCAGAGATTGTGGGGATAGTCGCGTTTCGCAAGATATGTAATCATCAAAACCCATTTTCCATTGGTCGATCTCTCGTAGAATTCCACTATAGCTAGTCTCACGCAGCAAGGTCATCTCGGGGGACCATGCGCTCAAGTTGTTCGCAGTAGCATATTGTGTGATGGTATTGAGTTGCTGCGCCAGTCTCTCGAGAGCATAGCTCGCAGCTCCTAATGATTGAAAGTGATAGTCAATCTGAGGAGCTCTGCTGGGTAATGTTTCATCAATCATGTATGATGAGGGTTGTCCGATCTCGATCAACTGACAATGAAGCCTTCTGAACAACGTCACCAAAGCCTCCACGGGAATATAACTCTGAGAGTCCTTAGGTCCCTTCGGCCTAGAATTGTTTTCTTTCTCAGATCTCACATAGTCATGCAAAAGTTTGAAACCACTCTCCACATGGGCCTTAGCAGATCCAAAATGTCCCTGCAGCTGCTCGCAAAATGTGAAGAGAATGTACCCTATCAATGTCACCTCCATCAATCTCTGACTATGTTTTGAAGTGGCCAGTGTGAATAGGGCGAGAGAATACTCCTCTAGACCTTGTTTTGAGAATGAAGAAATATTGTCGCTCAATATACTGTAATGTTGGTGAAAGCTGCCCAGTGCGTAAATAGCATGTCTTATTGCTTCTTCGTGATATGCCGCTCGGAGGACTAATCTGTTCCAGACGTCAAGCTCTTCCTCAAATGGTCCGGAAAGCTCAAGAGACACGTGCAGTTGATAATACTCGAATGCACTTTGTTGCTGCGGGGGTGCTGCATGGCGGAAAAGTGCCACAGAACAAGGCGGTCCATTAACGACATAGTTGACAAATTTGAAGGCATGTGGAACTCGTTTTGTAGTGAGAGCTTCACTATATCCATCACATTTCCAACCAGTCTTCATGCAGCGAGTGCAACTAGGCTTCTTTTCGTCACATTTGACTTTGCGAATCCTACGACTGTCAACCAATTGTCCAGTATTGTACTGTTACATGATATCAGGTAGGAAGTGACCATCGAAGGGAAAAGCACTTTCGTGCCGCCACGGCACTTTGGCGAAGCGTCCGCGTCAGGAACTCTCGGAATTCAGTGGTGTCAAATTTTAGGCTCACGTACTTGCAAGTTTGGCAGCCAGCTCTCGAATAGGAGCGAGATCTCTTGTCGCCTGACATGGTGGGAGACATCTTTGGTTCCGTGGGAACCGGCCGATTATCGAGGGTGTTGCACGTTATGCATCATTCCCTCCTGCGTAGGTAAATATTGGCGTGTAAATCCGCCTTGTAGTCGTGAAAAGATGTCGGAATTTGTTTCGGGTTCCAGGGAATCTGCAAACTTCAGTTGTCTATTCTCAAGATTAACTACGGAGTAGTCTGTGCCCACGTACTCACGCCATTCGCGGCCCCCACGGGCCCTCGGCTTGCTAGTTAGATTCGCTTTTGCCCGCGTTTGGCCTTCAGGCTTAGCCCTCGTTATCTAAGCGAATAAGGGTAGTCCAGGGACCTACTCCGTATGCCTGAAACAGGCAGACGCAAAACCACCCTTCTCCATGACTATCAGACTATCCCTTTTGTGGTCGATCAACTCCGAGCCAGCCCATACAGCCCACAGTCGAAAGCCATTTGCATATGTTCATCTCTAACGGCCTCTATTAATTCCTCTATCTGCCCGTACCCAAGTTTAAATTGACAAAGGCTGACGCTGCCTAACGCATGTTAAGGTAGGCTGTGAGAATGGAACACCAAACATGGCAAATTTCCTTTCGCCGTTTTCATTGGATAGCTCGTGATTTCTATGATTCGTTTGTTCTTCCGGGGCAAAAGAAGCTTGCCAACACTTGTTGTTACAATACATTGCGCGTCAATCTTGTTTCTGGAAGGGTTACTGCCTGTCGGCGACAGCATGCTATAAATGACGAGGATCATAATCTCACGAGTATTCCCTACACGAAATATCTTGAGTTGACCACAGAGTATCCATTTCCCTTTGCCCAATACACCGTTCGTCTCTGAAATGGGCCTATCCTTTGTTTTACGGAGTTTGGCAGTCTTCTATCCTATCTTCTTCATCGCAGCGGCCACCCCAGAGATCCACTGGGTCGACTGCAAAGACCATGTTCCTCCTAGCGATGTGTTCGATCCTGCCGGTATTGATCTTGAGAACCTACCACCAACACTCATGTGTGGTCGAATCGCTGTGCCCATGGACTATTCTCAGCCACTGGATGGCAGTAACAATATCACACTGGGGCTAGCGATGCATCGACCTTCCAATCCAAAAGGAATTATTTTCTTGTTGGCATCTTCTTCGCCTGGCCGGTTGGTTTATAGGCTAAGAGTCTTTGTTTTAGCTCTCCAGGTGGTTCGGACAATGCCGTGGTGCATGCGTGGAACTTTGCACTTGGTATCAACTCTCCATTTACGCCCAACTTCTCCGGTCTAGGAGAGTACGATTTAATGAGTATCAAATGCCCCATCCCCTCTAACCAAACATGACCTGACGGCTGTCTCAGTGATGGATGTTCGTGGTACTTATAGTTCCAACGCCCTCAATGTTTCATTAGACACGGTTATTTCATTGTTCAATCCTTAGTAAGTGTCTCTCTTGCGCATACCTTGCCTCTGACCACTTTCCAGCCCAGCATCGCAGGATGAATTCGAAGCTAGCAAAGCGGCGTCCGCTACTGCCATACAGTCGTGGATCGAAGCAAGCTCACCTCCTGGAATCATCAAATATGTTGGGACAAGGGAGGTAGTCGAAGATTTCAACCAGATTCGTGAGGCTCTTGGTTATGAGAAAATCCATTATTTGGGTGGCTCCTAGTAAGAACTTTTGACAACCTAGACCCAAAAAAACGCTAAATATGCCTGGTATCACAGTGGAACCTACCGAGGACTGCAGTACGCGACTACTTACCCAGACACTGTGGGCCACTTTGCACTCGATGCAATGGTACCACACGGAATTGTGAGCGCTGCATTCAAGCACTTAATGCAGATACCTAACGTCATTATGCAGAGCCGAAGCCAGCAATCTGAAGGCGGGATAATCGCAGCAAATCGCGTCTTGGAGAGAGCAGATGCGTTCTGCCAGAATAATTTGACATGTCCCTTGCGAGATCAAGGAAAAGGGAGTGTTCTCAGGGTGGGTCCATGACCTCAAGCACATGGTCTTGACGACTCAAACTCTAATAGTGCTCAGACTTACCATGAAGTTCTCGAAATCGCAAGCAATTCGTCAGCAGGTACTCGGTGGGCTATTCAATCGACGATATATGGACTGCTCCCGGGACTACCTGATTTCCCCTTGATCACAAACTTAATCTACCAATTATCACTGGATATCAACTTCCTGGATACGTTACCGCAGCCGTCTTTGACAGTCGAAGCTGTTGTTGCTTATATCTTGCAGTGTGCAGACTCTCGTACGCAAATCTTATTGGCATTTGTTAGTCTAGGACTAATGGTTAACAGCAAATACCGCAACTTTTTCTGAATTCCAGCAATCACTCACCAATGCTTTGGCTGTTAGTATCCCGTAGCACTTGATAACAGCCGTACGTCGACGAACTGACTTTCGAAATAGCACGACACTCACAACATAGGTCAAACCGCGGGTTTCCAACTAGAGGTATATGGTGCCCCTCATTCCTACAGCTCGGTCATTCGTTTATGATTTCTAGCTTGGTTGCTCAGCGTGGCCTTTCGCCACCGCGCCTTTGGAACGCCTCCATACCGAGATTCCCATGCTCCTTGTCACATCTGATTTCGATGGCGCGTAAGTGCACTGGCTGGTGATTCAATGAGCGGATAACTCTGACTGTGTGATTTCACAAATGCTAGCTCTGCGACCGAATGGACAACTGAGGCTTTCGCGGATCTTCCCAACTCGCACCTTATTGTCAGACACGGCGACGATCATGTTTCTTTCCTCTGTAAGTGTTACAGATCCTTTTACCAAGAGCCCACTTCAACTTCGTCAAATTCGATACTAACCCGGTCTCGTTTTCTCTCATATAGTGCCCGACCAATATTCAACGCTGCTCACGAAAGCGTTTCTTCGAACGGGAATTCTTCCACAGCAATCCACGAATGATACCGTGACAGTCTACATTCCAGGGGCAGCTAGGGGGGCAATCCCGGATCCTTACTCTGTGCCAACAGGGTTTGGTGCGGGTGATGTTAATACGGAGTAATGTGGCCTTCTGATGCTCTGCTGTTCCTCACTGTTTCTTGAAGGCAGCTAAGATCATTCCTTTATCATGCGACTTGATAGTGTGAAGGAGTGTTAGAGTGCCGTAGGGGCCATGGGGATACTTGATCACTCAACATTCTGGTATAGTAATGCAATAGCTTTACGAGTAAAATTTCAGGCCGGAAGCATCGGTTTCTTTTCTCTAGTGGTCACGCTTGATTAGGAGGAGAGAGCATTATAGATTGGTGAAGCGAAATCGTACTATTTCTCCCAGTAAGCTAACCTTGCCGATTTTCATTGTTTTGGTATGTTGTGTTTTCTGAATCCTGAATTCTTGAGTCTCTTGAGGACAGCCACCTCAGGTATGATAAAACTCGAGGATCACGGACTCTGTTTTTCACTCTGTCGCCCGCTGTACGCAACGATCACACCACACAGACTAGTCGATAATAAGTAGAATATATAGGTGCTGTGCACAAACATCAGTTGCCAGGCGTAGTCACTCCAGAGATAGATTATAACTCTTAAGTTAGATTTTAATGTCAAAATACAGACTTCCCAGAATTCAGTATTCAGCAACCCAGGACTGATCAGCGCAGAAGTCGCTAAGATCGAAATATGCTTGTAGTCCTTCTATCGAATGCTGCGGCAGATAATCGGAGACGGGGTTTTGGTACAAGTCATTCATCGTTCCCGAGGCCTGTTCTTCAGCCATAGGCTTGTTGAGCCCATCATTGGGCTGCATTTGCTTTTGTTGTGTGATTTGTTGACCTAATACCTCTCGAGCAATAGTTTGAATCTCCGAGAGACTCCGCTCTGCTTGCAACCACACTTCTGCTAGTGCTTTGAGATGTCCAATACTCATTCTTATCTGGTGTCTAGCCACCAGCAATCTCTGTCCGGTCAAGTGAAACTTACACGCTGCTAGTAACGAAATCGTGCCTGTCGCAAGCATGCACACAACGAATGGTGTATGAGTGACTTGTCGCATTGGTACCGCTAAAAGTCGTACCTGAGCTTCGATTGATTTGAGACAACGCGTGGTATGAATACTCTCATATTCGTTGGGCTTTGAAGTGCATGCTTGTGGAGGTGTCGGCGCGCAGCTTGAGATGATCTCTAGGGGATCAAATAGAAGCTCCGATAACTGTCTATGGATTCCGATTGTCGCTCTGTGGGAACAATGAGAATGAGACCATTATACTGGATCGACCAATCACAGAATACTGGTCACTGCTAATGTTGACAGTGCAAGGATTCTGGGTCATTCGGACTATGCTGAGGAGAAGGAATGTATGAACTTACGCATGAAGCGCCATATGAGCCTGAAACAAGAGCTCATCAAACTCGCCACTTTGAGAGAAAAGTTGCCTTTTTGCTTTAGGGAGCAGCAGGAGCCACCCCTCAATGACAGTGTCTACTGTTTCGAGGATCTGAGGCGGAAAGGTGTTTTGTATCTTCGACAGGCCGCAAGATAGTGCCATAGACACACCCCGAATGGCACCGATGAGATATGCGAAAGACGAGTAAACGTGATTGTCTGCTGCAAATTCCCGGGAATCGAAATCATCTAGTGTCTTCGGAGTCGGAATGGTCTAATTAAATGGATGGTGAGACTGCCAGTCAATAATAGCTGGGTTGGAAGTATACATACCCCGCCTTCGTATTCACTTTCTTCGCAAGGAAGCTCAGTAGTAGCCTCAACATCGGAAGTGGAATAAGTGGGTGCATGTTTCATCGCCGCATAGTAGGCGTCAACGATATATATCTGCCACCACGTTCTTCTCCAGCTTTCCTGGAGAACTGGATCGCCTTCGCAATGGGTGGCTGCGAACTCCCTGTGTTGCATCCTCAGGTCCAGTGCTAAGTGAATCGCGCTGTCCATCTCCTCTCGGGACCGTACAGGGTCGCCACACCAGTAAAGAGCGATAGAATTGATCAAGTACGCTTGTATCATAAAAGGGTCCTTGGAATGGTGTTGCCCATTGGCGAATATGTTGTTCGCCTCTTCTCGCAACCGTTCAGCTTGGCGTGATTGACAGTATAAAGACCCGATGTATCGCATAATTGCAACCAACGGTTGCATGCTCATTTGCTTCGACGAATCTTGAGCTAATCTCTCTAACCATGGCCGTGGGACAACGAATGGATGCAACCGATGAAAGTGCTTGTAGTAAAGATCAATGCATCGATCGCCACTGACGTCGAGCTGCTCGATGGGTAACCCGATCTCGACGACAGGTGTTATGGGATTACTATGTCCTGGTCGATTGGAGCGAAGTGGGTTTGCTTCCATTTGAGCCCGGCACACATTTTCGAAAGACGATACACCAGAGCGACTTGGCACGTGCCGTTGGGTTTGCCCTCGTTGGGAGCAAAGTGCCTGAGGAGCATGCTCTAAGCTTGCTGTACGCACTTCGGTGGCTGACAGATTGCGGCGGGCGGCTAGTTCAGCCTTTGTGAGGCCGCCTCGTCGAGATTCCGCATAGCGACACTGTTTGCTCTCAGCAAGGCAGCGGCGACAAGTTGGTTTGGTGGCATCACACCGGACATGACGAGCGCGACAGGGTATGCACGCAAGAGTGGCCCGGTTGGTCCCGGCTCGTGACGACGACGATGACGACGATGATGGGAGATGCCCTTCATGGTCCATTCCTGAAAACGACTTTACATTGCGTTCAGTGGTAACTCGCTTTCGCAACCAGACGTGAGGGCACACGGAGAGGATACAAATCTGCCACTCGGAAATATCGCAAAGTCTTGGTAATCCGGGGACTCGGCAACTCGGGGTCCTGCTATTATTAGGGCTCGGGTATCCATTCCCACGAATGATCGCCATCTTTGTTTCATCCCTGCCTTTGCACCCAGGATGAACGGAATGGCTCTTCCATTGCTAGTGGAGATGGATAGCCATTTCCTAGTCATGGATGCGATCATTCCTTCGTCCACCTGATGGTGATTGCGATCGATCTGCTAAAGACAAAATTGTACCATCACTTGATGCCTTAGTCGGGAAATCAGTTTGGAAATATGGGTGAGTCTGGCCGCCATGATCTGGGGGAAATCCCGACCAAGCATGGAAGGGCAAATCAGATGTCTGCATCATAGACGAAGATCTATTGGCATTTCTCAATGTCTGGCACAAGGCTGGCTATTCGGGTGCATCAGGAAGGTGAATATGCACAGTTACATTGCTTGAAACCCGCCTGGTGATCCAAATCTCTCAAAGCACTTGTGTCATGGAAAGCACATACATTCTGAAAAAGCTCTTAGACGTCTACAAGATTTCGGGTACTCATCGGAGAGGTAGGATTACGATAGCGGGATTGGCTCAAACACACAATACCGAACGACGAGTCAGCCTGAACCGGGAGGACGAAATCCCAATTCGTCCCGAGGCGCATACTGGACGCTCCCGGAACTGTCTCGTGATGTTGATGCCGAGTGATTTAACTCTCTCGACTTGACGGCGTCCTTTCACACGTCCAAAGAAGTATAACTTGTCCATATTCCCGTCTAGAACGGTGATACTTGACAATATCCAGAAGTCGACATAGGAACAATGGAAATGCAACGAAGAGTTTTGATCGTCGGTGCCGGCTTCGCAGGCGTGTGGAGTGCCCTCGCTGCGAAGCGGCTGATCGACCTCAACCACGCAGAGGGCATTGAGGTGACTGTCGTGGCGCCCGAACCTAGACTGGTCCTGCGCCCGAGGCTCTACGAAGCAGACACGGGAGTGATGAGTACCTCCCTAACCGAACTGTTTGATGTGATCGGCGTTCAATATATCAAAGGCAAAGTCCATACTATCGACGCTTTACAACAGCAAGTGAAGATACGGGATGCAGACGGGGCGTACTCAAGCCTTTCCTACAGCCGTCTTGTCTTAGCGGCTGGAAGCTGTTTGTTGACGCCAGATATTCCTGGACTGCGTGAGCATTGCTTCAGTGTCGATCAATTGGAAGACTCGGAGGCTCTGCACAAACATCTACAAACGCTACCGTTACTTCCTCCAACGGCTGCTCGCAACACCGCTATTGTTGTGGGCGGGGGCTTTACAGGCATCGAAATCGCCGCTGAGCTGCCAGCTCGGTTGCGCTCAATCTTAGGAAAGGATGCTGATGTTCGTGTCGTCGTTGTCGACCGAGCCATGGAGATCGGTAATGAACTCGGCCCTGGTCCTCGCCCAGTGATCAAACAAGCCCTCACCGAGCTTGGAGTGGAGATGAAACTCGGGGCGGCTGTTGCATCGGTCAATGCAAAGGGAGTCGTCACAGCTGAAGGCGAAACGATCGAGGCCCTTACAGTCATCTGGACTGGTGGGATGGGAGCGAACCCTCTGACTCAACAAATCAAGAGTGAGAAAGACAGCATCGGGCGCCTCCACGTTGACCGCAATTTGCGCGTCCCTGCCAATGAAGCAATCTTCGCCACAGGTGACACGGCCTTTGCCGCGACCGACGAACAGGGTCATCATGCCATGATGTCCTGCCAGCACGCAATACCACTGGGTCGTGCAGCTGGTTACAATGCGGCCGCAGATTTACTTAAGCTGGAGAATAGACCCTATATGCAGCCCGCGTATGGGACATGCCTCGATCTGGGACCTTGGGGCTCTGTCATCTGTGATGGCTGGGAACGGAATGTGAAAATCTCCGGACCACAAGGCAAGGCAATTAAGCAATGGATCAACGGGACTGCCATCTACCCGCCAAAAGCAGATAAGGCTGCGGCGTTTGCTTCGGCCGATCCTGATCTCGCCGCGGTGGAGTTACAAGCCGCATTGGCCCAGTTCTTGCCTGAGGAGGAAAGATCAGGGTTTCGACATGGCTAGTATGCGGTTCTAGTTACACCACTTGAGTTAGCATTCTTTCTTGCGGTGGATAGCTCACAATCGAAAGCCAGAAGACTCGATACGGATCCAAGATGGAATCGTGGATGTCCCCACTCATGCACTCAAAGTAGAACTGGGATAAAACAAATTGATTTATTTATCTGCTTCAATCCGAACAGAGCCATTTGCGCATTCATGCTTCGACCCCGGTATTTGGTGCGCTTTGACTTGGATACTTCTGTGCTACTTCATGGAGAACATCTCGCACAAAGGTATATGCCTGCAGCAAGTCGATAGTGTCCAAGTATACTCTAAGTGGCTGTAGGCATCTCATAGAACTCAAACCTTCGGATAGATGACCTCAAGAGGACGTTCTGCTCCCTCTAATCTGCTCGGTTTTGCTCCAGACCAGGTGCTTTAAATTCATGCATATTTTGAAGGCAAGGGAACCGTATGGCTCAGGATTTTCCCTCAATGTTTATTGCTATTCTTTGCTGCATGCACGAGATTGATAATTTACTAAGGGAGCCCCGCTAATGGAATAGTGGTCGCCTGTTGGGCGTCGTGGCAGAGATCCACTTGGGTCATCCATCCTTAGGCTGCCTTCTGTGCTTCTTCAACCGCAGCATCAATGACAACCAAGCTTGCCAGTCCCTCTGTGTCAACTTTCTTCTTGTCTATGACAAACACAGCTAAAAATTGCGCTTCTTCGTCTCCCACATTTTCGGACCGTACATGATGACATCCCGGTGGCTCATACCAGCTCTCCCCAACAGAGTAGACTTTTGGCCCAGTGCCCTGAGAGTCCGGATCGTGATGAGGGCACACCATCTGATTGAGCATCTTGCCACGGATCATGGTGGCCACGATGGCACCTCCACCATGGGTATGAGGCGGAGTTGCCGCGTTTACCGGCGCCGTCACCATAAGACCCAAGTAGTAGTGGTCAGGAATGTTGGAAGGCGACTCCTGGAATACCGGCGCGACGCTGACGTCTGGTCGACTAGATTCAACGTGAGCTCAAGAGATGTTGGTCTCTGGCATGGCGGTCAGTACATACCCGTCCACAGTCCATTTTCCGTCTATCTTGACGATGTTCTGGTCTTGCCAGCGAGTCTCAACAGGGGAACTCATAATTGTAAAGTTGAATTGATGCGTGCGTGCTCGAGTTCTTGGATCCGAAGCAGTCAGTAGTATTGTCAAGTGGGAGGTTCAAGATATCGCAATGTTCAAGGCAAGAATCATTGGCCACAGTTTTATACCAACAGATATTGCTATCGGTTCAAGTACAAGCATGCGAAGTGCTCCTTCCCTTCTTAGCATCGACATTCTGATGTTTGTCAGACTTGGCTGTTGGCATTACGGCATCTCCAGAGGGTCTTCCCGCCGCTCGTCATCCTTTGAGTTCCTGGGTTAACTGTGAATGCGCCTGAGAAATTCTGAAAGCAGGCACGTTTGCCGAAAACGACAAGTTCATCCTTGAGCGTGGTTGCATTTTAGCCTCGTATTCGTAACTGCCCCAGGCGGGTCGGGGATCGGGCTCCAGTTGCACGCGAAACAGGCAATGAATAGCCTATTCAAAACTATGCCGATTCTGTCCGCCTTCGCAACTACCGCTTTGGGGACATCACGTCAACGTGAGCTGGGAGTAGATCACGGACGAGAATGGACTCAAATATTACTACCTTTATTAATCACAAGAGCGGAAGTAGTTGCGCAATCAAGCCAATGGTCTGCGTATTTCGCAATCTGAGGCAGTGTGAGTGAAAGGCCAGCTCCATCATGTTTTCAATTGCAAAGCAAGGAAGAACAAGTTCTCAATATAAGTTCTCAATATGCAAGCCGTTCGTGTCCATCCAAATCGCGTGAATGCTACAACGCCATACTCTGCCGCAAATCCAGCTCCTGTAACAGCCATTCATGTCGACAAGGGCATCCCTATACCGCAGCCGAATGGACCAGGAGAGTTGCTTATTCGTGTTCGGGCAACGACAGTCATTCGAGATGCCTTGACCTGGCCGGAGACCTACTCAAAAGAGTACGCAATCTTAGGACACGACTTTTCGGGGACGGTAGTATCAGTTTATGATGAAGTGGAAGGGTCGCCTTTCAAGCCAGGGGACGAGGTATTTGGAATGGCCCGCGCCGATCGCGGAGGAACTTGGGCTGATTATGCTGTGGTGATGGTGGACGAAACGTGCTTGAAACCTGAGCAACTTACCTGGGCTGAAGCGGCCGCCGCGCCTTTATCAGCACTTACAGCATATCAAGCTCTTTTTGACAAGGGCGGGGTTGTGCCTCCGGATCTGGGAAATCCAGACGGGTTATCGCTGTCGCAAGTGCATGATAGTCAAGGGGGGCAATGCCGTCTTCTGGTGACTGGCGCCACGGGAGGCGTTGGTACTTATCTCGTTGAGATGGGAAGACTTGCTGGAATGTACGTTGTGGCTGCAACAAGCTCCAACAGTCGTAACAAACAATTTCTCGAAAGTCTCGGCGCTTCTGAGATAGTCGAATACGCGGAATTGCTAAGTCGTACCGCGAAGTTCGATGTTATCATCGACACTGTCGGGGGACAAGTTCTGAAATCCTGCTGGGAACTGATTGGAGAGGTCGGGACGCTCGTTTCCATCGACAGTGCGAGTTATAACTTTGTTGAAATGCATCGAGACCTGGGGCTCGGTCAGCAGAAGACCGGTGTCAGGGCCTTGTTCTTCATCGTAGCTCCGTCGCGGGATGACTTGGGCCAGATCTCGAAGGCTTTGAAATCGGGTCTGATAACGCCGTTTGTAAGCAGTGAGATGGCCTTGACTGACGCCATATTGGCGTATGAGCGGTCGGAAGGACAGTCCATTGGGCGAGGGAAGATCGTTTTGATCGTATGATGAAACTGCTTGGATGGAAAGGGGTCATGCCACCACCTTCAAATCGCACAGGATTTGAATTTACACTGCCACATGAATGGTAATGTTTTTGGTCCTAGAAAGCTCTCCGGCCGTAGATGATATATCATTGCATGCCCAGTAACGCTTTGGTCCGATCAGGTTGCTGTGGGCATCAATGTTCTTATCAAGTTGATCTGGACCTTACGCCGACCTTTTGGTACGTATCCAGCTAGGCCGTCCTCTTTCATGTCTTGATAGAGCTGCCAACGCCATGTGCCAGGATGTTGGACAGCCGTAAATTGGGCGGCATCATCAAATATAATCACCCGCTCATCATCTGACCAATCCCACGGGCCAACATGATGCTCTATGCTTGCTGTCTTATTGCCATATTTGACTTCCATCGTACTCTTGTCAACGTATATCCAATTGAGCAACGGAGGGTCGGCTCTTGTTTGACTAACAAGGCCAAGAGGGACAGGATTTCTCTGTACAGTGGAGCGCCGCGTTAGTGCACACGAGACCCGTTTCAATCAACTCAAACTCTTCAAGTTCGGATCGCTTACTTCGTTATCCGGATATTCGATATAGAAGGCTTCCGCGACGTAGCCTTGCGAGCAGGGATTCACGGCTCCTTTAGGTCCAACCCAGACTCGATCATCCTTTAATACAATCCTATTTTCATGGATGTCGCGAACATATGGACTATTAAGATCGCAAAGAACATCGATATGGAACTTCTTCATCCGTGCCTCATCTTTCTGACGCTCTTCTTGTGTCTTTTGTGCAGAGTACGCTTGTCCTACACCCGTGATCGTAGGGATCGAGGTAAGGATCATAAGGCCGATAACCATCGTGGAAATCTCGTGGTTCAGGACTCCGGTAGTGTGGCAGGTGGAGACGGGAATTCTGTAGGTACCTCTCTAGGTAGGTCCTTGGGTGTATATATTGCTTCAATGGCGTGATGTGTTAGCTGTGGCTAAGTCTGGGACATGAATTATGGTGATGATCGAAACTCCGAACATAGCGTCACTCCGAGCGGATGCGGCAAAGGTGCCAAGCATCACGTGGAAATGCATTGATGCCAAACGTGCCAAGGCTGACTCACTGCTCCAGAGTGCGAAGTAAGTACCTACCTAAGGTAGAATACCTAGGTAAATACCAACGAGTAGGGATACCCCAAAACGAAGACATTATTCTTCCCCATCCTAACATGCCTTTTCAAATGCCATTTTGCTATTTCAGCAAGGAGATGAACTCCACCCTCTCTTCAAGCTATTCATGCAGGCTGAATGGTGGGGCCTCATCGAACTAACATCTGCTGGCAGAATTCCCTAGATTGGCGCTCCTCGCTATTGCAAAACCTTAGCTGGTAAGTCTCGTTCTTCTTCTTCCTCCCCCGTGTATCCCTGGAGTTGGATGCGCCGGAACGCGCACTACCAAGGTATCCATCGTCCGCGACAGATCTGGACGAGTACTGTACTGCCTCGTGGCCCTGCTGTCATCCAGCACCAACGGCAGTTCCAATTGAAAGTCCATCATGCCTCAAAAAACCACCAAACACCCCTGTGGGTTCCCCGCCTCCTCCACATTGTTGGAGTTATGCCAAGATGATTCATATGGTTGGAGTCATTTTCGTCGTCGCTCTATACCCAAAACGGGCATTCGACTAGCATACGCCGTGCCTATCGTGGTGAGGGAAACGTACTTGGCGCCATTCATGAGTGTTCGCTAGCTGTTCGGCATTTCCTTTCTACCCAGATGTGAGCTCCATCGCATACATGTATCCGACAACGAAGCGGAGACATCATCCACACCCTTCATATTCAGCCGTTATAAAGACATTGTCAGGGAATAAGTTGATGGCTTCCATCCAATCTTACACTCCTCTCCAGTCATGTCGACTATCAAGCAGGATACTATTGCGGCCAACTGGCGAGTATTCGTCGCTTGTGGTCTCATTTCACTTTCGCCATTCCAATATGGCATTGATTTTGGTCTAATCGGTACAACCCCCCATCAGCTAATCGTCAATCGAAGCTAAACAGCAATCAGGTGGTCTGCAGGCCATGCCTGGCTTCTTGCAGGTCCGAATTCCCCATTCGGGGAGATTTCAACCTTGAATCAACTGACAACGCTCTCAGATCTATGGATACAGGTCCGCAAAGAGCGCGAATGGGTGGAACATTGCTCCATTACGACAGCAGTTGATCTCATCGCTCATGACCCTGGGTGCATTCATTTCCTCTGGTGCAGCTGGTTTCGCAGCCGCAAAACTGGGAAGAAGACATTGTCTATGGCTCGCATGCCTTTTGTGTTGTGTCTCCAATATCATAATGATGGCCACCACTTCTATCGGTGCCTTATATGCCGGTCGCTTTCTCATTGGGCTAGCCAACGGTTATTTCATGACCTTTTCTCAACTCTATATTCAAGAAAGCAGCCCTGCGAAGTACCGAGGACTCTTTTTGACGACATTCCAATTCTGCACCTCGTTTGTAAGATTACCCTACACTTCAAAATCCCCGAGGTCTAACAAGCATTTATCAGGGCACCTTAATCGGCACAATCATAGATTGGGCGACGGCAAAGAGACCCGATAAGTCGGCCTACCTTATTCCACTGGGTATTATATACGTGGTCCCATTCATACTCTCAATCGCTATGTGGTTTATCCCCGAATCACCCCGGTGGCTGATTCTTCAGGGAAAATATGAAGCCGGAGTGAAGTCACTGCGTTGGCTTAGACCCGATGGTGCAGATGTTGAGTCAGAAGCAAATGTCATCCGTGACGCCATCGAGAAAGAAAAAGAGTTGAAGAGCAGCGTTGGAATATTGGACATGTTCAAAGACCCAGTCAATCGGCGTAGGACATTCCTTTCAGTCTGCGCCGTCACCCTCCAGGCTGCTTCCGGGTCAATGTTCATTATTGCATACAAGGCATACTTTTTGCTTATGGCGCACGTCGATAACCCATTTGGAATCAGCTGCGTTCTGAGCGCGTTGGGCTTGACAGCAATTCTGGCCAATTCTGCAATAGTTGTGCATTACGGCCGCCGCAGGGTCCTTCTCATGAGTGGCTTGTTGGTCTGTGGAATCTTTCAGCTTATAACAGCTGTTGTCTACGATAAACAACCTGGAACGAAAACTACCGGAAAAGTCATTGCCGCTCTTGCATGCTTGTACATGATGAGTTATAATGTGAGTTATTTTCCTGTTCATGAGTCGTGCATACACTAATGTAATCAATTCATCAGGGAATGATCGCAACATATGCCTGGTTGTCAGGAGGCGAGCTTCCCACCCAGCGGCTTCGAAGCCACACTTTTGGTCTTGCCGCGGCGGTTGGTTTCTTCGGTGCTTGGCTCACGACTTTCACGGCTCCTTACTTCATCAATCCAGCATCCTTGAATTGGGGTCCGAGATACGGCTACATCTGGTTTCCATCGTGTGTCGTCTCAGCGGCTTGGGTATTCTTTTTCCTCCCAGAGGTTAAAGGCCGTACCTTAGAGGAGATTGATGAAATGGTCAGTCGTCCAGCCACAATCACTTTGCTTTCCATCCTAACCGCAGCAATAGTTCGAAGCCAAGTTGGCCGCTAGGAAATTCCGAAAATATCAATGTGTGGGTACGAGTGCTGTTCTTGAGCACAAGCTCGCAAGACCTAGCACTGAGGAGCAAGTATGGGGGAATGAAAAGGTAAAAGTCATTCAACCCTATGTTTGCGCGCATCTCAGATTACTGACATCATGTACTTGCTCCAGGCCGCTGCCGAAACGACTATTAATACGGCATAGGGTGTGGCACGATGCAGATAGGTGCCTGCTTCATCGAAGTTTGGATGTATGGAATGCAGTTGTCTAATCACGATGTCTTCCAAGGCTAGGATAGGTATACCGAATTTGGCGATCAAAGTCTCATGTCCATGGGCTCAACAGTGGAATGATGAATAGTATGTGAATGAAAAAACTGCCTATGATATTCCCGATTTCACTTATTCGCAGTATTCGAGAAACATCCTACAATGATTTTTGCTCACTAGCTATGTGAAATCTACTATCGTCAAATCATTCTCAGGCACCGAGGAACCTTTGGCGTCAAACGCATGATTTCCAGAACACCCCCCAAGGTAGGACCACTTTGTTTCGCGAAAATGTTAGCATTTCCCGGAGCTAGTTCCATTTCGGAAGCCAAATATTTGGGCAATACCCGACTCGAAAGATCCATCTTGTGATAGACGATGACAGTGTGGGGGAGTGAGAATCACCATTAACTTCACTGGCCAGAGTATACTTGGCAGGACTATTGGCATCTGCAGTCAGACAAGCGCGAGCCGGCGTGGACTGGTGAACATGCATTGGACATCGAAATAACATAATTGAAAACATGCTCATTCTGGGCACCAAGGCTTGGTATTCGCACTGGTACATATACAGCTGGAAAGACGTAAAAGATTCGCAACCACTCATCCGCAAAACCTCGAGTCAGATCATGATGAGCGGCATCAAAGTTGCAGCTTCCTTGTTGTGGTGGCAGGTCTTATTCAATTTCAGTACTATTGTCACCGCTGATGGAATCGGGCTTCTTGGTGGTGGTAAATGGCTTTATCGCCCAACCTGTGCTCATTCATGCCGCCGTTTTGTCGCAAACTCGCCATTAATATGCGATGACGATGATCTGGCAGACCATGCTGCCGGGCAGCATAGCCACAGTGCGGCGGTATCGATGGCGTGTCGAATGAGCAACGTTCCTTTCTTACGGACGACAGCATTGTGCTTCTCCATGCATTGCGCTCGAGACAAAGTTCCTCTGTCAGAACTACAAGGCTTTTGGGAAGCTCATCTTGCTACGGGAACCTTGTCTGATCGCAGCTTCGTTCCTGCTCTGCCTTATCATCTTGCGCTAAGTGAGGCTCAGGAAGAACAAGACAACAGAGCTTTGGTCTACTTGATTTCTCGTGAGGTGCTGAATGAAACCATGCTGGTTGCAGAGGACGACTTCATTGCCATGTACAACTATCAAAAATCATTTGAGTACGGAGAGATTGATCATGGGCAGAATAGGTATGGTAGATCTCCATCTTTCATGTGTACTCAAAATCTGACACCGTGGCCAGCATTGCAGTGGTTTTGACAGCAATCGCAATTCCGGTATTAATGTCGCTTTCTGCATTATTGCCATACCGCTGGATCAGTCGATTGGTGGCAACCTTGGATCAACCGCTGCTCGGCCATGTCTACCGCGTCCCTTTCCTCAAAGCCGGCACCATGCCAACTCGCGCTCAGAGCCTGTTCTTCGCGTATCTCTGGATAATCAACATTGTCCTCATGTGTGCACCACTGCGCATGCTACAACCTAACTCCGGTCTCTCAGGGTTTGGCCAACAGGCGTTATTGACCATTGGCGATCGCGCGGGAGCATTGGCGGCTGCCAACCTTGTGCCATTGCTGCTGACGTCCGCCCGAAACAATGTCCTCCTGTGGATCACCAATTGGAGCAACACAACATTTCTACTCACTCATCGCTGGCTTGGATATATTGTCATTATCCAGACGGTACTTCATTCTATTCTCCTTCTTCATTGGTATCGCACGTACTCTGACTATACAACGGAATCTAAAACGCCATACTGGTACTGGGGCATCATCTCGACCCTCACGCTATGCTTTCTTGGGCCTCTTTCCATCCTTCCATTGCGCAGACGAGCTTATGAAATGTTTTTGGCTACGCATCAGATATTGGCAGCTCTTGCCATGATTGCCTACTTTCTACATATCTGGTACATCTACCAATATAACTGGGGATATGAAATCTGGGTCTATGTTGCAGGAGCCATCTGGTTCGTCGACAGATGTCTCAGAATCTTGAGGATCGCAAGGAACGGGATGCCAACGGCAATCATCACTTCACTTGGTGAGGGGAGCGACCTCCTGACGGTCAGCATAGAAGGTTTACACAGCGAAGGCCATGTCTACCTTTACTTCCCGACCATGACTTGGCGCTTTTGGGAGAATCATCCTTTCTCGGTCCTTTCCTCGTTTAGCTGGGCAGACCAAGACATAAGTCCATCAGAAACTCCCGAGAGAACAAATTCAATGACAGAAAAACATGCGAGCGCGAGATCTGAGCCTGCAGTCGCAACTTTAGCCTCACGGAATGAAATCTCTCCCGCCACCAGCCTTCTCTTGCGACCGCAAAGCGGAAGCACGCGAAAGTTACTAGAGGAAGCTCGCAGGCAAGGTGGCTCCATCTCAGCCCCAGTATGGGTTGAGGCTTCGTATCATTCTCAATCGACGAAGCCTCTCTACCGCTGTTCCACATTGATTTGTATAGCAGGCGGAGTGGGTATTACCGTCGCACTACCCACTTTGCAAGGCTATTCTGGCCCAGAGGCACGACTGTACTGGGGGGTGAAGCACCGGGACATCGTCGATGCCGTCGCTCCCCATCTACGAAGGTTGGAAGGGCGAGTGAAGGCGGAAATCAAAGTCGGGGAGCGGTTGGCTGTCAAGAATATAGTACAAGACGAGGTTCTTGGTGGGACGGCTCGAGGCGATATTGGTATTCTGGTCTGCGGTCCACCAGAGATGGCGGACCATGTCAGAATTGCTATTGGGGAGGTGTCAAGACGCTCGAAGAGACCCATCGTATTTCTAGATGAATCTTTCAGTTGGTGAGCAATTCAAATCTGGTTGGAGGAGTCGTGGAAACGAGGGAAAGGCCTTGGGATGGTGTTGAGCACGCAAGCAGGCGCTGGAGGAGCCCACCTATCTCTAGCGCTTGCAGTCTAGACAATTTGAATTTGATATCACCAAGTTGATCGGGTCCAGACTTGGCTATGGAAAGGTAAGACTCAGTCGGTCGTCACGATCAAGTACTCATCGAATCTGGCGTATGTAACCACCTGTTGGTCGAAACATCATGGTCTCTCTGCGGCAGTCCTGAGCAATCCGTTGCGGTCCTCAGTGCTTCTTCAATGAAACCACGAGGTATGAGAGCCGTGAGAGACTGTTCGCATGCGGCTTAGTTGACGAGCATGTTGCTGATGGCTACCTCAGACTCGTAAAGTGGGAATCGTCGGGCGGCTCGGGCATAGCCAATGCTATTAACCCTATCATTTACCCCCTGGAGTGAGCACGTTTCTATGCCCCACACTTTTCGGCTACGACGATGTCCAAGATGCCAAGAGGCCGAACTTGCTCACGTATACGGTAGTGTTACGTACTTGCTTGTGTTCCGCCAGTATCCTCACAAATCTTTCGTTGAAGATTGTTTTTGATCGTCCTCGTGTTCATGTTTCCCTCTCCGTCCTCTGAAATGCTTCCGGCCGTGATAAGCGAAACTCTAAATACTCCGAGTTGATAACTCAAACAATTATGTTGTTGCATGATTCAGCGGGTATTCAAGCGTTTCAAGAACAAGGGCTTGCTACCATGCGCTTCCAGTATTTGAAAGCCTGGGTCAAAACCTGTGTCGATGGCCATGTTGATTCGATATCCATCTAGACGGAGTTCGAAACACAGCTAAAGAATGTCTATTCTCTAAGGCGAAGGGTACCAGTCTAGATCCAACAATGCACACAGCCTAATCCTCAGGAGCTCTCAAGTTTGACACAAAAGGCTGAGTCTTCCCTTTTCAATCTCTTTTCTTGCCGTTTCTCAAAGACAGGTGAGGAGGCCAACCAGCGCTGCGAGCCCCACTGGGCTTTGCAATGATACAGTGAGACCCGATGCGGCAGACCCAGAGCTCCCTGAGCCCGTTTGTGTCCCATTTTCGCATGATATGGAGGAGTTGTCCACAGCTGTACAGTTCTGTGGCTCTCCACCAGCAGCCTGAAGTGCCAGTATCGTACCATTCGTTGTGACATCGACCGGGTCATCTCGATCTGCTGGACATTCGATAGTTGCAACAGCCACATATGCTCCTTGCTCGAAGGTGGTGCAGTTCTGAGCTACACAAGTAGTGACGTTGGTATTGAAGTCCTGGTTGACGCATAGTGGGTTGTTTACTGGCTCGGGGAAGAACTCGAAGAAACTATTGCAGCAGTCGCGCAGACATTGAGGCCATTCAATGCCGGATGGAGTAAAGTTGAAAGCACCGTGGCTCATGTCGTGTCCTGCACCAGTTCCTGAGGTGTCATTGTGGTCGTGCTCATGTTCATCATCGTGGCGAGGGTGAAGCAGAAACGTGTGAGCGTTGACGAGGCTGCAAAGGAAGGTGACCAGAATGAGGAACTTCTTGGTTAGAACCATTTTCGACTGTTTTCGAAAGGATGACAAGGTCGCTGTTGAATGATGTGACCATTTCCATAATTGAGGCATCAAGTGCCCTTTTATATATCATCGGCACTCGTGTCGGACCTTCAGTGTACTCAGCGGGACAGGAGCCAAGAATTGCAAGGAGCTCGTAACACTTCAGTAGTGTCTCAGCCACATACTCCAGAGTGTCCGGAAAAATGCAAATGCGAAGAAAAAGGCTCGAATGCCATGGGTGCTGGGACTGTGAGAAGGTCATGGTTATTGGCTGTCCGTGGAAAAGACAGAATGCTCCTCTGGATCAGAGCGAGACTGAGCATGTTTTTCATACAAAGGCATTCCTTGGCTCACACGGTTCACCAAATTCATACTCTAGTCCTCCTTGGCGTCAAACATTTCAAGGTTGACATGAAGCATTTTGGGCTCCGTAGCATGGCTATCTATCAGTCGACACTACCTAAATTGCTGAAAAGAGAGTCCGACGATTTAAACCGTGTACTCGTACTCCAGTCAAGTACACGGTTACATACGGATGGTGACCGTGACTAGTTGGGCCGCATTATCCATATTCCCTGGATTGATATCCAGGAGTTGAGGTCTCGAAGGGCATGGCTTGCGTTCCTTTGGCCTCAATTCGCAAAGAAATCTGAAGTGAGCTATTCGCGCCTTTCGACGGTAGTTGTTCATGCTTGCTACCATTTCATCCATTCTGTGGGGAATATCGTACTGCTGTTGCTTACTGCCCATGCTAGGCTAGATAAGTGTACGACAAGCTGAAGTGTCTTAATGCTGGATCGCGTAGAAATCGACCTGTTTCTATGAGTTCATCAAAGTCCAAGCAGTTTGACTACTTTAATCCCTGTTGTATTGTCCTTGAAAGAGCGCCAAACGCCGATAACACTAAAAAGACCACGCAGAACCCCAGCTTACAGGCTCAAGACTAGTCAATCCCAGAGCCTGCCCATTTCCATTGCCACTGATTATCAGGGCACCATTCATCCTTTCAGGTCCATCGCCAAAAGTGAATGAAACATAACGAAATTTGAGGTTAGTGTCTGGAGCTTCGAGCGAATCAAGTGCAGGCCTTAAGGAATGGTATGAGCAGGTTTCTTAGCCCAAACGGCTCTGTTTCCCGCAGATCCGGGCCGGTCAAGGCTGCGCGACTTGAATGATTATGCGACCAGCTGCAATAATGCAGAATCAAGATTCTCGATTGCCATCGTGGTCTTTCTTTCTAATATATGGCATGGGACAAACAGCAATCACATAATATCATCAATCCTCCTTATTATCCAGAAATGTCGTCAACCAGTCTTTGGGTTAGGCACGATGGTCACAAAGATAAAGGCCAGGGCTATTACACTAATAATAACCAAATCGTGAAACGAATATTTTGGGCTACAATAGTCGTCATCGTTCTATTGTACGCGGTTGATCGATTTTACACCTTCTTGCGAACACGACGGTCAGTTGTCTTTGGTGTGCAAATCACTGCCGGCTATCGCTGAATCTTACAGGCTACCACGTCGACATGATCGACACGTCGAAGAATCGAGCTCGAGCTATAACTCGTGGGCTTACAGATGTCGAGCAGTCTTTCGACAGATAACATATCTTCGCATGGGACTATCTAAAACATACGAACGCCACCTTTCCATACCATCGTTTGGCGAATGCATGATACTAGTCGCATATTTTGCTTTCCTAATGGCACTCATGTGGACTAATGTGATTTTTGAATCTAACTCAGATCTCTACAAAATCAAATGGGAAGTGTTGGCTTTCCGAGCTGGATGGGTTTTAACGGTGCAGCTTCCACTGCTTTACGCCACAGCTCTCAAGGTCAACCCTATCACTATTCTAACGGGCATTTCGTACGAAAGAATAAACTGGCTTCACCGATGGATCGCCCGATTTATGGTAATAACCCTGTTCTTACACGCGTTCTTCTTCCTCTACGAGTGGGGCCTAACAAACAGCATAATGAGCCAATTCAGGGTCCTACCCATGGCTCTCTGGGGTTTGTCTGCCTGGGGAACCATGATACTGATGGTCTTGGGCGGCTGGCGATATATCCGCTCTCGATTTTACGAAGCCTGGATTATTAGCCATATTCTCAGTGCTTATGTCGCACTCGCATTAACTTACACCCATACACGCTGCACTACATATTTTGTTTTCATCTCCTTGGCGCTTCTCCTGTTTGATGCTACAGGTAGGACAATTTTATGGCTAAGAAACAATGTCTGCTATCCAATAGCTTCAGGAAGTGAGTCTAAACTCGGACATATCGCGCATTTGCAAGCACTGGATGAGGAGTACGTCAAGGTCGAGCTTCGCAACACTTCTCTTCGGTGGAAACCCGGACAGCATATCATGCTGCAAGCTCCGCAGGTGTCCTTCTCTCAATCACACCCATTCACCATCAGCAGTCTTTGTGATGGTCAAAGGAAAGCTGTTTTAGTGATCAAAAAACACGCAGGCTTTACACACAGGCTAGGCGCTCGAGTTTCTAAAAATGCAACGCGTCCACTTCAAGTGTACGTATCTGGGCCGTTCGGCAACGCCCCATCCTTAGCGACAGAAGATACTGTCGTCTTTATCTCGACGGGAAATCGCGCATCGTATACATACGCTCTGCTTCTAGATCTCCTGTCGAGTTCAAAAATCACGCAGACAATTCATTTCCATCACATTGTCCGGAACCGACGCATACTCTCCTTCTTTCAAGACCAAATCGATGATTCTGCACGAGCTGCCACTCAAGTTGGAGTTCAATTGCTTTTCAATTTCCACATTACCTCCGCCGTACATCATCACGCCGAAGAGTCTGATGCTGACACTAGTCTGACACTCTTCGATATTGGGGAAGGCAGCTCGACCGGCTCATCGCGCGCTCAAAGCATCGAACTGGCAAAATTTCGACCTAGTGGCTCAAGTTTAATGCTGTCGCAAGCAGAGAAAGAACCTCCGGACATTGGTGACCAATATCAGACTCAAGAACCTTTTCATCATGGAACGGAGGAGGAGGCTGCCACGCTTCTCGGAGTGGAGAAAGCGCATGCTCTTGACGAAGAGGGTCGGATTTCAAATGGACCTGAATTCGTAAAGTACAAGTATTGCGATGGTCGGCAGTCTGCTGATGTGATGTTAAGGCCTGCAGTTGTAGATGCAGTTGGAGACGTTGCGGTGGTGGGGGCTGTGCCATCACAACTAGCAGCAGAGATGAGCCAAGTGGTCTCGCGCATGTCAAAGGAATTAGGTCTGGCAAGTGGGAAGTCATCTGTCCGGAGTCTGCGGCTTTGGTTGGAAAGCTATGGATGAAGGCTGCCCAGGTCAGAAATCTGGAATTTCGGGGACATTCTATTGACTAATTAGTGTTCGGAAAATACACATCCGATATGTTCAAAGATCAAGAGCTATCCAAAAAGCCTCCTACCGCGCGATCTCAATCATAACATCAACATTGTTACAACCTTCAAGGTGCTGTTGAGCAATACACACAGTATACCACTTGCTTCCACCTGACATCAGCGCAATGGGCTAAGGGAAGAAGTTTCCAATTTGGCCCAGTTCTCGAGCCAAATTGATCCAATCACCCGATGAGGTAGCATTGTAAACCAACATTTTCTCCAGATCAATTGAGATGATGTCGGTCCCTTTGAACTTGAGGAATTTGCCAGCTGGAACAGTACTGGAACCAAAGCACTGCGTCAGAATATCTAAACTCAATGAAGATGGTGCACAGGGTCTACGGAATATCCTTACGCATTATACCCAGTGGAGTATGCCTCAAATTGCCATCGATACGAGATAGTGTTGCAATCGTGCAGGACAAACAGAGGATACTGCACGGCATTGGTGAAGGAAGATGGGCCGCTAGCGGTCAGCGAGTCGAAAAACTCCTGAATGCCTTGAGTTGCTGGCTGGTTGCTATAACCTCCGGTCGCAGTCTCGTCGTAGCTGGTGAAGTCTGTCGTGACGATACTGGTCAGATCGGCGAGGGTTGTTACTGCCCCTGTGTCATAACGAGATACATAGCGGGTCGCTAGGTCTTGTGCTTGTTCGTCAGTCAAGCACTTCACGGTGACAGGGTGGGCATATGCTCCCCATGGAAACCATGCCCTTGCGTGTACCACGCTGCTGAGTAGCGGTAATGCTGATAGAAGATGAATGGCATGCATGATGTCCTTTGCCGACGCTTATCGAATTCACTGTCTCTGCTAGGTCGTCATATGATGAATCGCAAAGCGAAGGGATGAGATTACACCATATTCCCATCAGTGCAATCACTGCAATTAGAAAGTGAATGACCTCACCTTTGAATATTCGGAAGGCTGGGGATGGAAGTGCTCTTCAGAGTTGTCTGTGCGGTACAACTTCAATCAGAGTTAGCCCTTGACTCTTCCCGTTAAACTTTATCATGCCGCTTTCGTCGAACTGATGCCGCACAGGTCACCATCTTGCCGCATTCGGCCTCCATGCGAGGCATTGAGTTTGCAAGCCATGAGAAGCTCAACTATATATAGTCATCGAAAAGGCTGGATGAGTTTGGTCATACAGCCAGCATGTCAAATCCATGATTTGACGGGCGTTCGTAAACAATCTGCGATATCCTAGTCTCAATTTGCTGATCTAACAAATTGGAATTATTGCGGCAGGCACATCGTACAAGTGCATCATATGCTAGCTTCGCACGAATCCAGGAATGTAGCGCAAATTTTGTTGAATCATGGTTGTGAACATCAAATATTCATTCGAGAATCAATTGTAAAGCTTTCCAACGCTTGCGACGGCAGAAAATTGACATCTTTCCGAAGACCTGTCAGCACGTGATTCGGCAACGAAGAACTTAGCAGTGCCTCGGTCATGGAAAAACGTCTACCCGTCAGAAATCTTGGCATCAAACTCTAAATATTTCAAAGTCCTGAATTCTTCATCTCTCAGGCTGTTTAGTTGAAAGATATATTAAATGACAGAGATGGCGACACAAAACTTGGCATACACGTAAAAAGAGTCGAACAAGTGCGATGGATGCCTTGAAACTTCTTTCCCGGTCATCCGGTCTAAAAGCAAAAACATTAAAAACCCCATCGAGTCAAGACACATCATCTCGGAGTCAAAATACGGATATCGATAACGTAAATGGCATCAGCAGAAAACGAAAACGTGGATCCGACGAGCTTGCAGAAGTAGAAAAGTCGCATGCACAGCAGGTACTTTCTGAGCCGGAGATTCGACAGACTCAGAAACGGCACAACATCAAAATTGTTGATTTGAACCAGTTCCGGGCTTCAGGTTCGACTTCAGAGTCCAAAAAGTCACATAAAGAGAGCGCTAGAATATTTCCACAGCCCCTTGTCAACTTCAAACATTTGCGCGACCATCACAATATCACAGCCTCGCTAGCTCACAATGTGGCTGGCCAGGGATATCATGAACCCACCGAAGTCCAAATAGCGACACTCCCGCTTCTTCTGAGGGGATCACCAAGCCATGGATCAGCTGAACCAAATCTCTTGACAGTAGCACCGACTGGCAGTGGTAAAACATTGGCATTTCTTATACCACTAATTGAGAAGGTTGCCAAAAGTCACCGGATGGAGGGGGAGGCGGAAAAGCATGTCAGCGCGTTTATTTTAGCACCAACCAAGGAGTTGATATCACAGATTGTGAACGAAGGCAGGAAGCTCACGGCCAACACGGGTGTAACAATAACGGAGATGAAGAAAGGCATGAGACTGTACGATGGTCAGGACGAGCCAGCTGATGCGACCTCCAGTTCGGAGAGCGAAAGCGAAGGGGAGCAAGGGCCGCAAACCGAGAAGCGTGCTCCTCTTGTCAAGTCTGATATCCTGGTCACAACTCCGTTGAGTCTTGTTCATGCAGTGTGCCCTACCTGGGACGAGGACGAAACCTTACCCCCTCAACCGCTCCCTGCAGTGAAAACATTGATTTTTGACGAAGCTGATGTTCTTCTCGACCCGCTGTTCCGTGCTCAGACCCTTGCTATATGGTCAGCATGCTGTTCCCCTGACCTCCGAGTTAGCATGTGGTCTGCAACAATCGGCTCGAATATCGAGGAACTCGCAGTTCAAACGATTGTGGCACGGCAGAAGAAGCTTAAGATCGCAAAAAGCAGCCAACCTCCACTGATAAGAACAGTTATAGGACTTAAAGATGTCAGCTTGCCGACAATCTCGCATAGACTTACCTATACCGCAACTGAATCAGGCAAACTCTTGGGGATGCGGCAACTACTTCATCCCTCACGGCCAGTACCATCGAAGTCTGAAAAGGACAAGATCGAACCACTTCGGCCTCCTTTCTTGGTATTTACACAGACGATTGCCCGGGCACAATCACTCTACACAGAACTACAATACGATATTCCTTCCGAAGCCGGTGGGTCTTCACGTATTGCGGTTCTTCATTCTTCACTTCCGGCACACACCCGTTCATCAATCATGCAGAGCTTCCGTATGGGCAAGATCTGGATATTGATCACTACAGATCTCCTCTCAAGGGGGGTGGATTTCCGGGGTGTCAATGTGGTCATCAATTACGATATACCAACGACAGTGGCAGGGTACGTGCATCGTGCTGGGAGGACAGGAAGGGCAGGTCGAGAAGGTGGTGTTTGTGTGAGTTTCTACACCAAAGAAGACATAAGATACGTCAAGGGCATTGCGAATGTGATTGCCGCGAGCCAGAAGGCGCAATCTGCGACCAAAGGAGCAGTAACAGACGCTGGTTCCGTTGGTACAACACCAGCATCGTCTTCTGTTGGCGGTGATATCCAGCCTTGGCTGTTGCATGCTCTCCCAGATGTTTCCAAGTCCGCCCGAAAAGACCTCAAACTGCATGGAGTAGAGTCTCGACGGGCCATACATGCAGATGACGATGAAAAGACCAAACGTAACAAGCGAAAGGCAAGAATCGGGACAGAAAGTGGGTATGCAAAGCGAGAAGTCAACCGAAAGCGTGGTGCGATCGAGCAGACACTGCGAACAAAACGAGTGGAGGATCCGAGCGAAGGTGGCGGAGAATGGGACGGGCTTGAATAAGCACATGCTTGTCACAAGGAACCACTATCTATCTAGTTTGCATGCGTGCCGTATGCGCTTTTGCAGGAGAGTTTGTGGTGGTCCCAAGTTTACGACCACCTACTATTGACTTCAAATGCCAAAATTCAAACCTTGAAGCTTCAACTACGATAACGGATTGCATGGGACCAAAGAGACTAACGATGCATGGCATGGATGTGGGATCGCGCACGGCAGGATGCGGAGTTTGCTCAACAGCCCGAGACACAGCGTACAGAAGTACCACGGGTGAAATCCGCAGATGTTGTTATGCGGGACACCTGGAATGGACTCACTTGGAAAGTTTCAACCGTGACATCCACCAGTCCGGACTCCGAAGTCCATCCACATTACGAGAATCGAGTTGGAACGAGGCTCAGCGCCCAAAACATCTACCGCGACCTATTCAGGACAACTTGGGCCGCGGATATCTAAGAAGGGGCCTTGAAGCCACAAAGTGTCTGGACTGGTCGAAAAGGGACCCACATTCGCAATCAAGAGCGGATGGTCTGTGGCTTGATGGCGCCAGGCTCATTGCGTCACGGAGTTTTTCTCGGATAAACAAAAGGCCTGTGAAACTTTGCAGCAAAGCCTCCCAGCTTTTGGGGCCTCTAAATTGGAAAACAGGGAAACAGGGGTGGACAACAACGGTTTGAGATCTCCACAGAACGACTCACGAAGTATCTCAGCAATACTTCTGAACCATGGTTACACACACTACTGGGTTTGCGACTATCCGTCGGCAGATCTTTGTTACTAGAAAGCAGAGGCATCTTGAAGAATGGCTCGTCAATCTACACTCTAATATTTGAAAACCCGTTACTTCTTGTCCGGTAAATCTTCTACAAAACATGTGGGACAGGAGGATTTGTGCAGCTGATTCCATGCAAAACCCAAAATCCGGTACCTTTTCCGTAAATACAGCTTGATATCAGGACCACCCTTCCGAGCCGAGTGGACTTACCGGTGCAGCCCGTCTCATCACGGAATTGTTCCAAAGTCTTTGGGCAACCCGGTCGAAATGACCACATCTAATCTCATGATCTTGCTCTTGGGTGGACTGACTCTGCACTGACGGAAACGGCTTCGGGAAGTGGAAACGGCATTCGGCCACCGCCGCCTGGGAATTGTACAGTTACTTGAGAGCAAAATCTCCTGATGTTGATATTTTGCCAGCAGCGTTTTCATCTTGAATCATAACATGATGTTGTAAAGATCGATAAAATTACTTCATCGACGAGGACATTTGTACCGAGTGTGGCCAGACCGTGGCGACCGTTGCGTGATATTCAGGGCAAGGGCCGATGTGGGACGAAGTTGCCGAGCGGCAGACGGCACGTCCCATGTGTGCAGCGATAAAAATATTCAAGACGTTCCCGGTTCCGAGTTTTTTTCCCATGTCGTTTCCGCCTGTCATACCACAATCACGACTCCGATTTTACGAGTAGGTCAATGGGAGTTGTGTTACACCGCAAATGATCCACCTACCCGTCGGCATCCATTCCGCTGTGATTGCCTCAGTCCACCCTAATAGTAGCCCAGTGTGGTCCGCCCGATGGTTTTGTTGCCTGATCTTCGGAAGAAAGTGGTTATGTCGGGAAAGCCCCCTTGACGACGTCCACTGTGCCGATCAAACTCCCGTTTCTTGTTGTTGTTGACCGCTCCCAGAGGTGGTACAAAGTCGATGTCGACGGTGGTCACCGTGCCGATATTGAGGAGTAGTATTGGTTTGGGTGGCAGTGCCCGGTGGGACGCAAAATTCATTCGCTCCACCTTGTCTTCAGGTGATGCTTTCCATTACTTCCGCACATAGAAGGGAAGCATTTCCGACGGTATTCGGGATCCTCCGTCCGAATGAAACTCACATTCCGGTAAGGAAGCTGAATGATCACCGGAGATGACATTTGTCGACTGACCGACGCTGTGAACCGGTATCAAGCCCACGGAAACCTTTTTCACGTAGGTAAACTGGATATTGATCACTCCACCATAGCTATACCAGTCTGTCGATACCCACGCTTCCCGATTGAGGGAAGGAGTATTCCGAACATGTTGAAGGACGCCTCAGCTGACGGGTCAGCGTTGATGCTGATGAATACGTGGTGCGAGTGTGTGCAATCGACACCACCACAGTCAACCCGAGTCTTTACTAGGCAGGGTGGTTTGAGATCTAAGTAAGAATTTATCGTTCGGAACTGTTCGACGGCGCGGAAACTCCTACGGAATACTCATATCCACGTCCAGCGGAAAACGTGGGACACTCTTTCCGCGTAAATCACTCCTTTTTCTCAATTCCGGCCGGTTGATTACTTTCATAATGTCCCGTCCCGGCTGACCGCTTGATGGATTCGTAGTTATCATTGGAACCTCACCGTCGACGATGTCAGCGACGTATCTTTGAGGCAGAACTATCTGCCTCTGGAGGACGGGACACATGGTCACATATCATGTTGCACAATCGTGCCGGCCCGTGTTCCCACCTGCTTTCCAACTCATATCACCTGTTTGAGTGGAAACTCAATGTTGATCCCACATGAAGAGGCATTTGTCCTCCAATTTTCTAGAAGCCTCAGACGAAAAAGTGTCGCACCGAGCAATTCAATCCACATCACCCACATCGCACAACTTGAATCCTGGATGAGGGGCCTACGCCACTGCAATATCGTAGTTTAACAAAAGTGTGCGCCGAATCTCGACCGAGTTTCGAAGTCGGCAGACTTCTGAAGACGTACGAGGGAGGCATGACAATGTTCTGGGAAAACTCCTGAGTCAACATGATTCATGCAACGTGCACCTTGTGTTATCAAGGTGGTGAACTTTCGGGGGTGAGTTCCGAGTTCTCAGCCTACACAGTCGGGTGTACTCCCGTGTCCGTCCGGGCGGGCGATAATTCCGATTCAAAGAATGCTGTTTCGTGAATTTTGTCCCTGTCTACAAGGTCTAGACCTTTGAGACCGTGAGCTTCACGGAGCAGCCATCAGAGCCATGAGAACTAAATATGCTTTGCAATCTGAGCACGGGAAAATCAGCCCTTCAGCAAGGAATGTGAAGGATTGGAACATGAAAGTGCAAGCGAGCAAGATTAATCTGCAAAAAGCCTGGCAAATCGCGGTGCGTCAATGCCGTAAATCGAGCCGAGTTGCCTCGTGCAAATTACCCCCATTGACTCCTCCACGTGCTACTAAGGCTGTGGGATGCCTTCAATGGTATTCTTGACGTCCCGACATGGGTTTCATACTGGTCCTTGTGTGCAATGTGGAACAGGAGTCCGGGAATCGCCCACTTTGAACAGAACATTCAATATCATGACATTGACTTCACTGGTTTCAGGACTAGCGAAGCACTATATCGAGTTGAAACCACAGGAGAGAAAACACGAGAAGGCTCGCCTATCACGCCTCCGTTTCTAGCCGCATGACATCTACTTGGTACTTCGGATCAACCACAAATTTCGGCGTTTGACCCCTTTGACAATATGCACGGCAATTGATGAGGGGCCCTGGCGACAAGCCCATGGGTCAGACTTTGAGATTGAGACTCGAAATTCGTATTTGCGAGTCAGAGAGTTTGACAGCTGGAGCAATCCCTGAGTCGACTTTACGAGAAACTATTGATGGTTTGACATTTTCAGCTTTTGCTTGCTTCCGCACTCGCATTCCCAACTTTGGAAACCTGGTCTCGTCTCGTTTCGTCTAACAAGACACTACAGGAGAGTTCGAGCATTCTCGAAATGGGTTCCCCACTTGCAGCAGGTACGAGTAAAGCTCGAGTCACTCGGGATGTTGGTCCGGCTCAATAGAATTGCCTTTCGACTCAGAATCAAATAGACTGCTGCTGTTGAGGAAAAGAAGCTTGCCACGATGGCGGTACTTTCCGATGGTGCCTCCTCCAGCCGCAAGAAGCTTTATCCGAGAACTTCGATCCACGAGTAGTTCACCCTCTGAGCATTTTGATGCCGCCGTCGCAAGGTCGATCCTATCCAATAGCATGGAATGGATGGGAGCCATGTTACCAGTCTGAGACGTGATGAATTTCAATGGACGGCCCATCGACCATACCAACTGGGCTGTTTCACCCCGCCTCGGTGCACAGGTCTCAGAATGTGTTGATAGGTCAGGATGTCAACATCGAGATTTAGCTGTACTCACAAAGTATGTCCTCCCTTAAGCGAAGGGTACCAGCTTCAAAGCCAGCACGTGTCAAGTAGCATACCGTGCACTACAAGACAAAAAATATCCAAGCACGGGAGTGAAAGCACGGCTTGAATGATCCAGGTCCAGGCCTCATGCATACTTGAAATGTGGAGGCACCGCCTAAGCTGCATGGGGTTGGGCTTAGGGTCCTCCTTAGCGTCACCATCCCAGAAAGGACGCCAGGCACTACCGCCTACGAGTAACACAAGGGGTGGCCGGATGGCTTTTCCAGGCAGGAGGTTAGGCACTGGGAAGTAGATCCGTACGGGGTGTCACACCGTGTAAAGCCGGCCCTTGACGATGGGATGCATGTGTTTGTGACCTCCACGCCCAGGTCCACGACGGGGGTTATCTAAGCATGCAAGGACCGGGACCGCATCCCATGCATATGAGTATGCATCAATTAATCTCGCCCGTTCAAAGCCCGAAATTCGCAGGTGGCAACCTTGAATGCAAGAGAGATTTGTAGTCCATGGCTGAGCATATCCGTCGGGAAGTCACCCTGACGAAATCATCATGATCATCATCGTAGAACTCGTTTACCCAACCACCCTTTGAGGATGGAGATATACTTTCCCCCAACAACCACAACCACAACCACAACCATATCCAGGGGCTTCAGCCAGGGGCTATATCGATTCCAAATCACATACAGTCCAGTCTTTCAGGGTCCGATCGACTCGCTAGTTACTCGTACAAGAGGAAAAGAGATAAACGAAAGCTCCCGCGCGCGCAGCAAGGGGAAGTTCCGCAGAGATCAGCCCTCGCGGGCGCAAGCTCAAGCTCATGATTGGCGCGATCCGAGCAGGACCATTCGTGTCGCGCATCCCCCGCGATCGTCCTGTCCAATGAGACGTAAAACCGCAGAATAAGTAGCTGGTCTTGACGAATAAATGGTACTTCTGAGTCTTTTCCTGGTCCATGCGTGTGTGAAGACTGATGAGCAGACATCCCGCCCGTCCTTCCCCAGGACACCGTTGGCAGGTACAGTAGGGTAAGTGAGGTTTATCCTGCGACAGACTCAGGCTCGCCGATCAATCGTCACGAGTCGGTTGTACACGTGTGCTTGCTTGGGTCTGAGATCTTCCTCGTATTATTTTTGTTAACTGTTCGAATTTCTACAGGTGGAGGCTTTGTGTCCGAGATTACGCCGTGTAAGGTCACGCAGAGAAGAGGACCTAATACTTGTTTTAAGCAATGCGGAGTAGAGTGTTACGGGACCATGTACTTCGTACACATCTGGTGTATCTGAGTTGGTTGGTTTTAGTTTCGAAGCTGAAGATGATATGAATATTGTGCAACAGTACTCGTGGATCATTGGGCCTTTCCCACCCCATCGACAGATCAACGCTATTCTGAAGTCTTCGACCATGTGCCGGCCGGCATTAATGGATTCGCCAATTTGATCCCAGATTCGCTTGAACGCTATCAATCATAAATCACCTGGGAAGGAACCGCCGCCTTTCAGCTGGTCTCTTCCCATTCTCCGTAGTTCCGTACCCGTAAACATTATGTTCGTGATTGTTTGTAAAAATGGCGCGGTATGTATGTAAAAAGCAACTTCGAATACCTGTGGCGGACCCACTTGCCAGCTCCCCGTTGTCGATTTCCCCAATATCTCGGATTCGTCACTGACGTCCTGACTCGGCCATCCGTATCTTTCAATCTCTACGGTCCGTGTTCAAGATTCCACGGCGTCAAAGCCACGTTTTGCAACCTCATGCTGCCGAGGGAGCATTCCAGCCCCTGAAAGCTGTGAACGCATACAGCTCTCCCCCGCTCTCTTCCTTGACGATATTGTATTGACGAGGTGGACGAGTCAAGCCAAATCCACGCACTGGCCAACGGTGAATACTATGACCGACTCGACCAGAATAACTCGACGGAAAGACCCGAAAACGAATCTTGTGGCGTGGACGAAGTGGCTGTTGATCGCCTTCTGTTATCAGGTGATCAGCCGGTGATCGGTGGGTACTCCGCTCGCCCGTGCGTTCCCATTCTGTATTATGCATAGACGTTTTCGGACGTTTGGACCCAGCAAAACTGTCAAACACAAACACTGCTGTCTTTCAGTGGACACTAGTAGATCGATAGTAGCGAAAAGCACAGGTGGAATAAGCGAGAAAGAACGAAGACTTCTAGGTTCAACATAATTGGCTTTCTGGCATTTTTGCAACATTTGTGGGTATCGTTATGTGTAGAGTAGGTACTCGTAGGTAGGATCATCAATATGGGACTTTGAAACAGTCGTCTTCTCATCGAGTAGACATCCGCTTCCTCATGCGCGGAGCCTTCCTCACAGCTGCGATTGAGCCATGACGTTCCTTCTCAATCCGCCCGTTCGTGGATCCAAGTAAACCGCCATAACTGCATACACTCTCACTGCGTTCCTTGGAACTGTAGGCTCTCACACTATCTGTCTCCAGTGGGAGCGAACTAGGGTGACACTCTTCGATCAACATCGCTAGATCTGGTGCTCGAGTGGCGAGACACTGTAGTCGGATCAACGCCTGCCGTTGTCGTCGACGCATAGTATATGATGACAGTGCCTGTGCCTCTAGGGATAACGAGGGCCGCGGTGACGATGTGGCAATCATGGAGTCTGACATACTCAAATCCCAAAGCGTAGGGTCAACATCATCAGATTGGTAGGAGAAGTCGGAAAGGTTGGTAGCAGGAGTCTCTGGACCATCATAAAATCCTTCGTCACCATCGGTGTCTGAGGAAGACGATGGGGAAGGCATATCGCTTGGTGGTGAGGGAGAGTCCATCTCAATGTCGATCAACGCGTGTGATTGCATTTGAGCGGTAAGAGCAGTAACAGAAGGATGTCGAGGAGCTCCGACGTATCTGTAAGAGTCGAATCGTGAATCACGACGTGCGGCTGGTCGAGATGATGAATGAGGTGAGGAACATCGTGATGTGAAAGGCGAGATATCAGCAGATGTACAATCTTCCACGTTCACTGCGAGGGTAGGTGACTGTGGGGATGTCCCAAAGGAGAAGTTCTCGTTAAACATATTAACGGTTTCGTGTTGTTTGACGGTTTCGGCGTGAGCGCTTCAATGGAGAACTATTGAAACCAATATTCGGAAGAAAGGATATGTGAAAGGACGTGAGCCAAATTAATGAGGTGATGTACTCGAAGTCGGTCGCCAGGAGTAAACAGATTGTACCAAGTGGTGGGATAGCCAGAAGTTTGGCCGCTCGGAGGAATTTATCTCAACCTTTAGTATCACCGAGACTGTAGGGCAGAATCGGGTGAGAAAAACGAACCGTGGGGAAGGCGCTGAAGGTTAAATGGAGAGTGCATGTGCATGGAATGCTAGCTCGCATTGCCGTTTTCCAGAGCCACTCTGATAAGCGTGGAGTAGCATCTTCTGCAGCGGCCGTCAAAGTCACTGGAGTTGAAAGGCAAAAAATCTTGTGTCGAATCGGATATCGTTTTGTGTGCAGGTGTGGATGAATGTTGCTTGAGAGCAAAAACCGACGAAAGACCATGGGTCTGGGGCCAGCTCGCTTACCATCGTGGCATCGTGGCAGTAGAGTGGGTCGAACTAATACCTCCAAGGTAAAGTGACGAGCGAAAGAATGACCGAAGTTTCGGTGCTTGGGTAGCGGGTAAATAAGGCCACGATCGGCTAAGTCATCCCCTTTTTTCCCTCTGAAGGGTGATAGGTGTCTGCGAACAGTTTCGGGCGTTGCATGGGTGTCGGAGGCTTGGAGCAATGGGATCAACAGGCATGGATAGACCCTCCTTGATGGGCCAAGTGGTGCCATCCCCGGTGGACTCTAGGCACTAAAACATCGTTGCTTTTCCCACCTGCCGGAGAAAGCTAAGTGGCGCCTAGATGGCCTAACCAGGCACTGAGAGCCGCCCAGCGTAATGCCCTTTGCGAACACCACCTCTCATTGCTCCTGATGATCTCCAGTGTGACGTTGCAGCTTTCTTCAGAGTTCTCGGCCCTTCTGTGTTTTGTGATCACCAGCAAATTATCCTCATTTCTTCATCGCGTCACATTCATCTCCTCGATCACCTGCTGTTTTCCGCAAGCTAATCTGTCGATCAAAACATTTCCACCTGGTCTTCCAGAGTTCTTCCACACAACCTATAAGTCGATTGGTGTCTATGACACAAATAGCACTATCCTTGTGCCTAGTGTAGTGTATTTGATTCGTCCACCAATTTCGGTGGCTCAGCGATGACTTGCGATTATACGATGTCCATCAACGATGTGTTCCATTTCGGTGACAACCCTTCGACATCTGCAAGATTGGTTTTACCCAGCTACCACAATGCAGGTATCTGATCATCCACCAAGAAGCAGATCCATGTGATGGAGTTTTGACCGTAGAGCGGGCTACAATACAACCTTTTGGGGTGACCACGGTCTCCCCATTTGACGTCAAGATCGAATGGGCATTCCTGAGCTAATCGCAGGCTTAGTTCGGCGATACCCCCAGAGTCAGTATGAGATAGATGACCGTTGATGTATTCCTTGGTCGCATGTAACATGGGTGATACGTTGCAGATTTCATAGTAGTCATCATGGAGCGGACTCTTGGCCAAGAGGAAGAAATGCGAATACAACTCTTGCAAGCCACTCATAAATTCGTCCAATACCTCGTCCACATTGCTGCTAGTGGCTGAAGCATGTGAGGCACCTGAAGATCCGGGGTTTTTGGACGCACTCAGTGGTGAAAGAGGAGTGCTAGTCATTATTGGCCCCTGGTGTCTTCTGTTTTCTTCATTGGCCAAGTTCAACCAGATATCGTCTCGGTGATGAGAATTGAGTTTCTGGTCGTGTCGATCTTGTGGTAAGAGACAGCCACCCAAAAGATCCTCTGAAGATAATTTATAGGTCGAGTCATTCCAATCAACCCCTATTAAATGCTGCAGGGGAGACCGCAGATCACTTTCAGCAGTCGATGACATGGACGATTTCTCCAGCTCTGGTAAAGATGCGGCATCATTGATGAAGCGGGTGACATCGATCAAACTCGCGAGCATGAAGCGACTGCGTCCACTGCTTGGGATGATCAAAGGTGTGAAGAGAACGAGGTGGGTGACAGGATCACCAGCTGCATCTCTTCCAGTAACGATATCCATTGAGGCACCTTCGCATTCCAAATTGTTGAGGAAGAATTGCTCTCCAACATTGAATATGTATCTCAATTCTTGTGACGTCGCAATTACTGGAAATCCCAAAGCATTTGCGTCCAAAATACAGAATGACTTGAAATGCTCTACGAGTTGCCCAGTTTCTGAACCATTCTCATCCAAATCGAGATCCGTCATCGAAGCCAGCTCGCTGGGAATGACGGTACTGTTGGATGGTGATTGCAACCAGGATACATGCTTTTGGCGCTGCATTGGGCGAGCATGACTCTTCCAGGGATCATCCGCTATCGAGTGTGTCTCACCAAGGCGCGAGTTCACTCGAATTGAAGAGTCCCTCCGAAGAAGGTCACGGCGCGAGTTCTGCACTCGCAGTGTCGAGACACTAGAATATGTAGCTAGACTATTGAAGCTAGACACACTGGCTTCACGACTGACGACGGATGTAAGGCTTGGCGACACAGCCTGGTGGACTTGGTGATGGGGTACCGTGGAATGTTGGAAGTAGTCATGATTGAGGTTGAATTGGCTGAGACTTCTGGCAGGTAAGAGCGACTGGCGTCCAGCTGTTCTAATTGCAGGCTCTGGCGGTGGTGTTTGAAATCTGTTTGGAATTGAAGCCGATGTCGTATAGCCCGGAAGGCTGAAATGGCTACTGTTGAAGTCTGAAAAAAGCGAATGTGAGGACGGATGGTGACGGACGGACGTTGTTGATGGATCGGCCTTCCGCAATATGCCTGATCCAACGGTTTGAGGCGATTGATTGCTCGGCTTTTTGGATTTTCCAAAGGAGAAGACGTCTTTGAGACTTTGTTTGAGCGACTTGCGCTGGGTGCCAGCGCCAGTGTGATGAGTTGATGGTGTCTTGGCAGGCATTTTCGCACAACCTGAAAATGATGCCAGTGGCGTTGTTGAACAAGCAATAGTATAAAGTGCAAGAGCAGAGGTGAAGTCTCAACTCTCCACCAACAGACTGATGCTGAAGTGCAACCACGACCGATGCAAGGCAACAACCAGACCCCAGATTAAAACGACTTTGACAACGCTAAATGCAAGCAGCCACGCAACATGGAAAACATGGATTTCGCAAGAACAGTACCCGTTTAACGCCTTGACTAACCGTTATGATGTTGGTGAAGTCTCTCAAGCATACGAGATGACTACATTGTGGTCAAGTGAGGCTTTGTCACTGCAAGACTGGATCGTGCAGATGGCGATCGACAAGTTGAGAGTCAGGAAAAGTCTGTGAAGTTCTCAGAGCCCACAGCACACCGTAATTGCCGGCTTGGAGAACGGCTACCATGCAGGGGCTCGGGGCGAGGGCCAAAGCCGACCGGGGAACCACGGCTCTACGCCAGTTTGGGGTGTCTTGGGTCGACTGGGCTGTTTCACGTCGACGACAGACTCAGAATATCGGGTCTGATGGTCGAGAATGGAGACGGAGAAGATCCAGGAAATGGCAATATGTTGATATTACCAAGTGACTATTCCTTGGGGGTTCCATCCGTGGTGTTGGTAACCCTAATGGTGGAACCACTGATCTGGTATCGGTGAATAATGAATTGTCGGGAATAACGTGTGACTGATGCTCAACCTTTGTTGACAAGCTGTTGTCCACGTATGGATATGTATATCAAGGTCGGTGATCAAGCGATCCATGTAGATAGTATGAGGTATCTTGAAGTGGTTCGCATCATGCATGACTGAGGCGGCACGTGCCGTTAAATCAGGACTGAAGGGATCTTCCCAGGGGTCTTGAGATAGGGGAGGAGGCGTAACAAGGACTCCCTGGAAGGAGCCATTAATGCCTAGACGTGAGGCTAGAAGCGCCCTAACAGCCCCTAAGCAACCACCAAAGAGCCTCATCCTGAGCACCAAGCATGCTCCGTCCCAACATGGCATGTCAACCGAGTCATCACAAAGCGGCACGAGACTTTGACCTCTTTCAGCCTCGAGAAACACGCTGTTATAACCTGCCCAATCACAAGCTTGAGTGACTGGGCGAATATCTTCCCCAATTCATTCCGAGATTTCAGTTCACAAAGCTTCGTCCACGCTGGTGAATTGGAAACCGGTCCTTATCCCTCTTTTCTACAACCTCTTATCGACCCTGATTGCTGGTGTCGGTCATTATCCTATCCTCCACCCTTTGTTTACCCGCCCTTGCGCTCCTCGAGGAGCCCACAGCAGCCATGTCTGCAGCTCCAACTTCTCGCGCCATCGTCCGGCAATCAAAACTTCTCCTGCGCCGAAACAACTTTAGACAAGCTTCCACAACATCAGAAGCTGCTGCCAAAGCACAAGAAACAGGTCAACAGGCTGTCTCGAAAGCTTCTGAAGGCCTCAGTCGCGTCCAGAGCTCCGCTAGCTCCGCCATCTCCAAAGCCGGCGATGCGCTAGGAAAGGTTGGCGGAAGAACGGGTAGAGTGATTTCTCGAGTTCAATGTACGATTCAAGAGATGCTTTTTCCAGGACCAACATGCTGACAAGATGTCCAGCATTAATACCACCAACCATCTACTATTCTCGTGTTGGATTGGAACTCTCCAAGATTCTCTACAAGGGTCAACAATGGGCTCCTCCGTAAGCTACGGCCCAGTCATTGACTATTCCTCAAGACGTTCTACCAGGACTGACCCTTTTCAGCTCTCTCGCCCAATTCCAATCATATTTCCAGCCTCTCGCCAATGTAGTTCGCAACCCCCGATCTCTCAGCTCTGGCGCCGCCTCCGTGTCCAACTCGATAAACCTTGAAACCATTCTCCGCAGCATCAGAAATGTCAACCGTCAGCAATTAACCACTGTTGGACTTGTCGGCGCCGAAGTCCTTGGCTTCTTTACAGTGGGAGAGATGATTGGACGGTTCAAGCTTGTTGGTTATCACGGTGACGCTCACCATGGGCATTAGACAGGGCGAAGGAAAGAGACATCCGCAGAATCCGTGATTGCAAGATACGCTTTTTTGTGGTGGACAATTGCGGAGGGTCGCCATGTAATCTTAGGAGTTTATTGCACGAAAAAGAAATGGTCAATACATATCCTCAGGTTTTCAACGCGGGAGAAGGCTTGGTTTTTTTTGTTTTTTTCCCCTTTTCACTGAATATTACAATCCCGGGAGCTCTGTCCCGTATGATGGACATTGAACCTGATACACTGACCATTCACCAATACACAGCAAAGGACTTATTCGAAATGCAGCCAGGCAATCTTGCGGAAGAGATGACACGAAAGAGCGCTCAGACACTTCCGTTTTGCTCTCCTCACATACCTGAACCTCATGTGAAGTCAGATATCCAGGGCCACCTGTTTCAGTCAAGTGAACTCGCCAACAGCTTCTGAGCAACACCTCACAGGCCAAACAATGGGGGCCGGCCTAAGCCAGATCGTGAAATAACCTAGGTTGGTAAGTAAAGAATGGTGGTGGTGTTCCATCAATGGCCAGACACCTGATCTCACCATATGTTGGTGACCACAATATCCCCAGTCATTGCAAAGGTCTCGAAATGTACACAGCCATGGTCTACAAATGTTTACGAGATTTGATGATCCGCCAGCTGGCAGACGAAACGACACATCATGGCTCAAAACGGGAGCTGAGTGTAAGTTTCCTGTACGATATGAGTCTTCGAACTTTTCGGAGAGTTCGAAATCTACAATGTTACTTTATGGCTCACCACTTAATGATCCTTCGGTTGGAGGGAATGCATCTAATTAAGCCAGGCGACTCCGGAAATCAACCCAGTACGCCGCTGGATGCGAGAAGCATGCCTACGCTACCGCTACACTGCATATGTATACAGTCCACTAGCCGAGGCCAGATAGATGCGAGACATGGCACGGATCCTGCATCCTAGATATATTTACGGGTAGACACTAGACACCGGACGATCCGAGAAGCCGCAATCCGCAATTTCCACCTTCAGGGAAGGTGGTTTCGAATTTCCATGACATAAAATAGTAGGCGGACGATAATAGTTTTGATGGTGATGATCGCCACTGCCGGGAAGGCCGGTCGCATGTATGTATGTCTGTCTGGAGGTATTCCTCGCTTGCCTGCTGGAGTGCCTACTTTATTGACTCTAGTAGGCACCCTAGCTTGCGAGATAAGTACTAGGTAGTAGTAGCAGTAATTCGTAGCGTTATATTTACGTCGTAGTCAGGCATCGCATGGACCGTCCGTTTCGGGTCAGTCGGCCGTGTCGCCTCCGCCGAGTGTTGCGTGATGACATACATGATCGTCTGCATGCACCGTGAGCATATTATTACTGATCTTGCTGGGCTTTATGAATAAAATATGTGAACTTTCATGGTGAAGCCCGTGTCCGAGATTTTGAGGATCCCTGTAATCATATTCCGACGAATGTGAGACCAGCTTTGGGTGATACTGTGGATTGATGGCATGTTTATTTCGATAGCCAGATGTTCGCCTCACGAAGGAATATCAAAGTGAACTATGCTTGTATGGCCATATCTTTGATACAGTAATACTTTGACACTTTGCTAGCACCATCTTCTCATGCATCGAGGTTTGTAGCTGGATGGCTGGGCCGAGTCGTAAAGAGGATATTTACCACTCAACTACAAGAGTACTTTATGCTTCAACACGCCGCTCACCTCACACCCTGCTCAACAATCGGGGGATCCTTATGGCCTTTGCCTTTCAGCTTTCCTCCAGTTGTCGATCCTGCAAACACTCGTTTCTCGAATCCCGCTTCAACATTATGCTCTCCGGTCGCCTTCTTCCCGCGGTAGGAGCGTGTTTCCTCCTTGACGATGACTGTTTTCTTCTTCGCACCGCCCTCCACCTCAGCCGTTTGTTGACTCAGACTCTGGTTGGCTGGTGAGGCGTCAAGCGGATTGCTCCAGTGACTCTGACGCTCGGCTTTAGAGCGAAGCTCGGACGGGTCATTGTCGTATTCGACCTCAGAGAATGCGATGTTGGACTGTGCAGCCACCACATCGTCGGTGCCAGATTTGGATGTCTCGTCAGACTGTCGGTCGATAGCATTGCGGTCTTCAAGAGCTTCTCGCTTCTTCTGTGATGATGGACTTTGCCCACTGGGCGATACGCTTTCAGCAGCATTCGGATTGTGACGAGAGCTGGTAAATGCTCGAGTCTGCCACAATGGTACGATCCTGACCTTAGCGGTTGAGCATCCACGGAGGACTCTTGGAGCTCCTTGAAGTGCCATTCTTTGAATTACTAAGTAGCGGTAGTCTGAGCTCGCCTCGAGTGGTAGATGACTCCTGTCACGCGGTTCGTTGACTGGGATGAAATCTCGGTAGATTCCAGATATATGGAAAGGATGAAGACGGATGACAACAGGATAAACATGATTTAGAAGTTTCCATCTTGATCGTCATTTCTTAGCTGAAAGCCTCTGTAACACCCGTGGTTGATGCGCATCAATGATCTTATGTAACTAAGACGTCATTGGCATGGAGATTTCCTGGGGAAGGATATTGAGTCATACAATTACCTCAGCCCATCCTAGATTGACAGGGAGATATCAGAACCCGCCGGCATTGAGATTACATCAGAAGCACATTGGTGATAATGAGTGGTGGTGAATGTCGACCATCGACTGCTTCTTCCCTTCGCATCGGTCAACCTTTGGGTGGGAAATGACGTCACGCTTGAATACCTCCTAGTAGTGACCAGCTCGCTACTGGAACAGATTTAGGTACGTTCTTTGACAGTTTTGTCTTCAAGTATCAGAACGATATTGACAAAATCATTGGCAATTTCACCTGGGTAGCAAATATGGCTGTCTTGACAATACCATCAATTGGCCGGCCCCCTCAAAGAAGGACCTTGATTGTCACCACCTCTTGCAACGCCGCTGTATCCCATCTCCCGTTTGTTCTTTACAGTAACACAGCATGACGTGAAGTTCTTGAACTCTTAGGGTTGCCAGAGGAAGCAAAAGGATGTCTAAATCCGAGATTACGGTCACTCTCTTTCAGTTTCACAGCGATTCCATCTCCACGGAGTTAACGGCTCCGTAAATCCTACAATCCGTCAACTACAATCCAGTAAGTCAAGTTGAGGGGACTTTGCTTCGGGACTCTTTGTTCAGTGCCACAGAGAATTACTTGATCCTGCTGTCCATTAAACTCTATGCCCTTGCTACATCCGTGATCAATCTCGTCCTCCTGGCTTCATGATGGCCCCAGGGGTTGAAATTGTCCAACCTAATCCTAGAAAACGGCGCCGGGCTGCTCGATCCTGTGAGGAATGCAGACGGAGGAAAGTGAAATGTAATCGAATGGAGCCCTGTGGTCATTGTATTTTCTCCAATAAACAATGCCATTATGGCCGTGGATCAGCACAACTTCACGGACATGCAGATGAACAAACTTCTGATGGCCAGATCGTCGATGAATCTGCGCCCGCTGTGCACGTGCATGCACTCAGTGCCACCCCACAACAGGTCTCCGTTCCTCTGATGGGACCGAGGACGCCCTCAGTCTTATTTCGCCGCACTGGGCATGTGTCGGATGCCCAACTCACTGTACCTCGCTCAGGTGTCATCACGACATCCCTCGACCAGGAAACGAGCACTATTGTCGAGCGAAACGACATCGGAAATGCTTCACAGGAGTCGACCATCTCCTTGAACAAGTCCAGAGTGTTCGGAAAGAGCCACTGGACAAACTCCACCCTTGAGGTATGCCGTTGTGTACGGCTCACACAACTATCTTGGCACCCTTTGCTAATGCTCAGTAGCTTCAAAAGACAGCCGCTGTCCTGAATCCTGAAGATGAACATGCAATTGGTAATGAAGATCTTGCCAGACTGAAATGGGAAATTGGGTCTCTCCTTCAGATGTGCAAATCTCTTTCCAAGGCTATCAAGTCTCACCAAACAAGCATGCCCCGTTGTGACTCACAGGCATATCCATCAATCGCGAAAATTATTGTCGATCAGATGGTTTGTTTGTATGCAACACGATTTGAGTCTGCATTTCGCATACTGCACATCCCGTCGTTTTGGAGGGAGTACGAGATGTACTGGAGTGGTCCTACTGAAACTGAAACTATCCTCCGGTTAAAGGTCCAGCTTGTCACAGCTCTCGGAATGTCTATCTGCCCACCTACCATGGACACACCCGATCTATACTCAACAGCACGCCAATGGTTATACGCCGCGCAGGACTGGCTAGCAGGACCCATGAAAAAGAGTTGTATTACCATCGCTGGCCTACAGGTGCAATGTCTTCTGGTCTTGGCTCGGCAGGCTCTTGCGCTTGGGGGCGACCTAGTCTGGATATCCATGGGGACAGTCACTCGGACGGCCATGCAGATGGGCCTACACCGTGACCCGAGCCATTTCAAGAGGATGGGTGTACTGTAAGTTCTGAGGCTGTTAAGCAGCATGACACTCTTAACTGACGATGACATGCTCTGTGTCAGTGAAGCTGAGGTCCGTCGAAGACTCTGGGCAACTGTCTTAGAGCTGAATGTTCAAGCAGCCTTAGATGCTGGAGTACCACCTACTATATCATGCGATGACTTTGACACGGAGGCACCATCCAATTTCAATGACGAGGATATTGATAACCAGGGTGAAGCACTCCCTGCACACTCCATCACCGTAGTCACCGAGTCATCTCTCCAGCGCTTTTTGTTCCAATGTCTCCGTCCAAGACTGGAAGTCGCCAGGATTATGAATGGCATAACATCTGTCCCCTCGGAAGATAGGTACAACGATTATATTGCTCTAACCACCTCAATTGTCAACGCCTGCCGGGGTCTTGGTGCTTACATCAACAACACTAACAGTCCCGACACAGCACTTTTTCATAGAAATTTTGCAGACCTCCTTCTCAGACGCTTTATACTCCAAATCCATCGACCCCTTGTTGGCCAAACCCGAACCAACCCATTGTACTATTACTCGAGAAAGATGAGCCTCGATGCGGCTATGGCGATACTCTCTCCGGTCTCGAGAAATACCGAGTTCGCACACCTTGTGCTCCTCGGGGCCGGTCTGTTCAAGAACCGTATGATCCACGCGTCTCTAGCCGTGGCGTCGGAATTACTAATGGAAATTAAAGAGCAAGCACCATTAGGTCACCACTTGCTCACAGCGGACGTTTCTGCATACAGGAAGATATTGACAGAGGCCCTGAAAGAAGGAATCCGGCAGTCGGCAGAGCGAATTCGCCTTGGAGAAACAAATGTGAAACTACATATGAAATTGAGCATGGCTCTCTGTCAGTCAGAAATGGCAGGCGAGAGTTCTTCATTGACGCACCATTTGGTCCAAAGCGCCAAGAAGAGTCTGGAACAATCGTATGCTACAATCTTAGAGCGGGCAGCTTCTGAAGGGGTAGAAATTGAACCTTGGGAACGTGGTAGGACATTTGAGGACGTTGAACGAACGGACTTCGATCCAGAGAGCTTCTCAATGCTCTCTGACTTCAACCTAGATGACCTGTTCTTTCTTCCTCCTGAATTCAACACCCACGTAACATGAGTGTATTCTCAAGTTTGAGCGGAGAGACAGTAAGAGGATATGACCGCGAATAAAAATGGCAGGTTATTGTCTATATCGTGTTGAGTTCGGAGAAGAATTTACTCCTTCCATCTATGATGGTCTCCGCTTGCTCCAAAATATCCTCAGAATCCCTCGTTATGTGTGGACTAGACAAAACCAAGAGCAACGCATCACAGCTGTACACGTTCTATCACCAGCCGATTCAGGAAGCATTAAGATTGTCTTGATACTCGAATGAGTAAACACTGGTGGACGTCCGCAGTCCACCTCTAAAACCCGAACTGCGCGGGGCGGGTTCCGGATTAGCAAGGCCCGCCCAAAGTCCGGCACGTGCTGTCCAAGATCATGGCCATATATATAAAGCCACGGCGAATGGTTCTTGAAAGTCAAGAGATCATCATTCAGTGCAACTGGACGAACAAGAACTTGACCGTCGTATCACCAATACTAAATAGTACTAATCTACAGCCTCCAACCCAACCCAACCCTACCATGGCAGCGACATCAGATCTACCAACCCATCACAGGGCACTCGTACTCGAAACAATCGAGGAAGGATTCTCTGTCAAGAAGGTGCCAACTCCACAACCGGGGCCTGGCAGCGCAATCGTACGGATCCTCGAAGCCGGCGTGATCTCCTACCACCGCGAGATCTACAACGGGGAACGCGGCTATGAATTCCCCAAGCCCATCGTCGGAGGTTTAAGTGCCATCGGCCGCATTGGCGCTGTAGGTCCCGATGCGGTGGTCTTGGAGCCAGGTCAGCTGGTCTGGGTGGACTGCGTGATCCATGCGCGAGACAACCCGGATTCATTGTTCCTCACGGCCATCCATGAGGGCATGGATGCCGGCAGCAAGAAACTGAGCAGTGACGTCTGGCGTGACGGTGCGTTTGCAGAATACATGAAGGTGCCGCTGGAGAATTGCTTTCGACTTGATGAGAACAGGCTCTGCCAGGAGCTCGGGTATAGTGTGCGTGAGCTGATGTACATGTTGTACATGTTGGTACCGTTTGGAGGGCTGAGGGATATCCGTCTCGAGCCTGGTGAGACAGTCGTGGTGTGCCCCGCGACTGGGGGTTTTGGCGGAGCGGGCGTTCAAGTCGCTGTGTCGATGGGTGCACGGGTGATCGCCATGGGACGGAATGAAAAGGAGCTGGCGAGGTTGAAGGAACACGTCAAGAAAGGCACACCAGGTGCCAACATCGAGACCGTCAAGATGACTGGCGATCATGAGACAGACGCCTCCACGCTGCAGGCTTTCGGGACCATTGACGCCGTCATCGACCTGACGCCACCATTTGCAGCTCAGTCGAAGCACCTGAAGAGTGCAATTCGCGCATTGCGTCGTGGAGGTCGCTGCAGTATGATGGGCTATGTTGAGGATGTGATCAACTGGAATGTAATGGCGATGAACCAAACGCTGAAAGGGAAGTTGATGTATGAGCGGGAGGATATAGTGCTTTTCGTGAAGATGTTGGAGCGAGGTCTGTTTCCTCGAGGAAAGGATCTCGTTGATCCCAAGGTTTTCAAGATGGATGAGTGTAAGGAAGCCCTGGACGCTGCGGCGGAGTGGACGGGGATTGGCAGAACAGTGATGATAGAGCCATAAGAGGGCTTCGGTCTTCAGTTCGGCCGATTGAGGTTTACTTATGTCTTACCTGCCAGTATATAGAGCATGAGTACATCTTCTCCCTTGGATATTGACATTCGTCCCATATCGGGCAGGTTCTTCAGGACGGGCCACCGAAACTCATGTTTCCAGAGCGCGCCGGTATAGGGACAGCATCATGAGTGGAGCTTGTGTACATATTCAAGCCTCCATAGTCTTCTGTGTTGCAGTCCAATGTCAACCCACTAAATATCGCCCAAAGGAGCATTCCTGCCTCTTTAGGCAATTTGTCCAAAAGAGATCGATCGAACTTGGCTGATCGATGGAGTCTGGAATCTTGAATATCTGGTGTGCCAGGTGATGATTTTTGCTCTGGTGTTACAGGGGAGCTTTCTTGTTGGCCAATAATGGCGATAGTGGTGGGAGGAAACTTGCTCACTCGGGTACAGTGGAGCAAGCAGGGTCTTATTGGCGGTCTTCTTACTTCGGCTATCAAAGCGCTTGGGTAAGCATCTTCGCACTAACTAGAGCCTCAGGATACCATGAGTTCCTGATGTCCGATACTGTGGCATCAAAAGATCCTTCTCATTTATTGTTTTCTCTGTGCGAGGAATAATGGGAGCGAACAGCCTCGCTGACTATCTTGGATGGTCAGATAGAAAGCGCACAGAGCATCACTAATCCAAGACAAGCATTGTCTCGCTTGGAAGTGATCATCCTGAAAACTAAACATCAATTCACTGCTATGACAACTCGCCACCGATAGAGATAATCCCACAGAGCCGACGTTTATACCCTCTACGAAGGACTTGATCTTGCGCGTGCCGATGAGGCTTTCGCCAAATCTAGATTGAACCCTTGGTTACGCTTGCTGGTGGATTGAGCAAGTTTTGATTTTAGGTGTGGCGCCGTATGCATGACTTAGCCTTGTGGGCAAGTACGAAGTACTAATGAACAAGCGCCAGCGAAGGGGCTTGCGGCATCTCGATTGGAGGATGAGCCGTTCTCTCTCCTGTAAGGTTGAGCAAGATTCATCTTCAACATGTGGCACGATGATTATCCACGTTCAGGAAATTCTTTATATGCTTCACAGATATCTGACATGGCTTGCCGGCTTGCGAGAATCATCTTCATTTCGTCAAGCCAGAATTCTCTGCTGGTCTTTTGTTGACTCCGTCTTTGCAAATGGCACGCTCTCTAATGTCCTGGTGGAAGGACGACCTTGCCCGAAATACCTATGTCTACACCAATTTCCTCATCGGCATACCCTTCTACTTGTTCGGAACCTATAGTGTTTACCAGATTCAAGTCACGGGGTTCATGATTGGTACTGATGGTCAAGGGGGACCATGTATGGAATACTGCATCGTGCCGTTTGGCAATGGTCAACTTGATCTGAATTCTGTCTTACTATACATGAACGCAATGACATTTGGTATCGGAGGCTTCGTCGTCATTTTCATCGTTGCCTACGCAGATTACTGGAGTAAGTATCCACATTCCCAGGCGAAGGAACGATGCTCTGAACACTTTGGGGCTGACACATTGGACATAGGGAGGAAGACACTCCTGACCACCGCCATGATGGTCCTCTATGGGATCTTTGTGACCCCCGCTTACTGGCTGAAGAATTACACAAAAACCGATTTCAACTCGCTGATCGCCCTGTGGGTGATGTTTGGGCTTCTCACATTCATCTTCATGGCCCTCCTCAATATCTACATCCCTCATTGTATGCGAATTGTTGAAGAGAACGCAGATCCAAGCGAGCAGCGTGTTGAGGATACCAATCAGATCACCAGTGAAACCAAGGGCCAAAAATATGGATTCGTCATGTCAATCTTTGGGCAGGTAGCCAGTTCTGTCTCGGGGGTCTTGATGCTCATCATCGTCATCATTCTCACCGTCACACTGCCGACCGAATCGGGTCAGAATGCAGGCCTCATTGTCACGACTGTTTCAGGCTTCGTCACCATAGTGGGCTCCGTGGTCTGTTACTATGGATTGCCTGAGCTTCCGACCAAGACGTTGCCACCTGGCCATAGCTGGAAATGGGTGTTGTTGGAGCTAATCTTACCCTTCAGAGATCTCTTGCTTCGCAGGAAAAACATGTTGTTTCTCCTCGTGGGTTACACCGTATATACCGACTCTCTGTTTGCCCTGAGCTCAGTCACTGGACAACTCTTCTATGTTGAGATCAAGCCGAGTACATTGGAATACTCTCTCTACTCCATTGCCGGGCCCATAATGCTTGGAGTATGTACCATTGTGTTCTACTACTTGCAACGTTGGGCTAGGTGGAATCTGGAGAAATGTTTGATCGCAGGCTATTTCCTGATTCTGATAGTCCCCATTTGGGGGTGTATCGGTCTTTCAAGTGTCGATTTTGGTCTCAAGGTGAGAAGACAGAATAATTTCATCCCTGGTACCTTACTGACTTGTGGTATTTACTGTAGAATCGCTGGGAGTTCTATGTTGCACTTCTTGTCAACTTCATCTCTCAAGCCCTCGCCAACTCGACATGGAGGATTTTGTACGCAGAACTGGTGCCAAAGGGAGAAGAAATGACCTGGTTCGGGCTCCAAATTGTCCTGAGTTGTTCCACGACCTGGATATCCTACGTTGCGAACGGACCGTTGCAGAACGCAACACACCAGTTACGTTTCCCATTAGTACTGTGCCTGATCTTTTTGTTGGTACCAGTGGTCCTCGAGTGTTTTCGAGCCACCTTGCCAGTGTTCAAGAAGGATAAAGCGCGATGGCAGGCAGAGGATAAGTTTGTCGGCGGAACTGCTTCACCAGTGGCAGAAACGCCTGCAAAGGGATTCAGAGACACGGTCTCCCAAGCCTCCTATTAGACTAAGCATAGGTATAAGTCCATCATCAATTTAAGAATCCTTCTGCGGATACAGCAGTTCATTGGCAACCATTTTGAGGTTTGGAGACCAGATTGCCTTTCGGTCAATAATAGAACCACCTGATGAGAATTGAAAGTCGCCCGTTGCACAGGAACTCGGACTTTGAAATCCATGTTCTGCCTTCAATAAAAGTATGAATAAATGTGCGGTTCTATCCTGGACGGTGGTTGCCCATCCATCAAGTACCAAACATGAATGTTGTGCATGCCGACAGGGATACATCCGGCGTGGTTAATCAGGATCATTTTCCCGTAATTGCTGTTGCTTGCAGCATTAAGACAAGCTTGACATTCGAGCATCCTCAAAAGTACCACAGGCAATTCTACAGCTCAAAAACCAGAATGTTCGAGTCACAAATTCTAAGTTGCGTATTCTCAGCCAGTGGACAACTTTTCGTTCTATCTGTTCCCAAGCTCTCTCCATCGACTGTTAGCTGGTCATGCGGCAAACAGTCTCCGTTGTAACCACCGTGAGAATTGTACGACCTTGGTATCAATTCTTGTAAAGTAGTCCGCAGCAGTAAAACAAACCAATGTCGTAACTAAAACGCCGGGCAGAAATGCCAAATACCCAGTGTCGCCCAGGTACCGATGCCGCAATGGATGCATGAGATTCCACAAAACTGCAAGTACAAGCGGAGAGTGTACCACATAGAGGCCGAATGATAGATCACCGATGTACTGACTTATAGGCCAATGCAGAGGCTGCCTAAGGGCAGTGCCAGGGTAGAACTCCAATGAGTATATGACCATAAATGCACCAGGGCCGAACCAGAAAACGTGGTGACCCGATTCTTCCCACCATGAAGGATAGAGGGAGATGAGAAAGCGCCACGGGAACGTACCCCAAATGCCAAGTGTGTCACCGTGGTTAGGCTGGCCGAGAAGGATAAGTCCACCCACGAGAAGTGTTACATGCCCGATCTTCGAAAGCAGAATCGAACGGTCTGATTGCCATCTTGCCATGTATTTAGCCTCTGGAACTGGCTGAAGTGATAGCATCGTTGCACCTGTGATTCGATCTCCACCCGAGTTACTAGCTGCCTCTTCTCTTCCCCCTCTTCCCTGAATCCGCTCTGGGTGACGACTCAAAGAATAATCCGCGATCCATAATCCAGCAAAGAACTCTGATATGTAGACTGCCTGCCAGAAGTAGCAGATGAGAATAAGAGCCCACAAAAGCACCATTCGTGACCGTGTAGCGAGCTTGCAAGCAGCAAGACAAAAAACGAAGAGTGCCACACTTCCGCGATACTCGACTGGTATGGTCCACAGAACCCCGAGATACTTTGGCGAGAAGTTTCCCGCGCCGACCCAACCTTGAATACCATTGGCAAAAGGGTTGCAAAATCGGATTGCATCGTATATGCAGTCATTCAGTTGTTCCCGGAATCCGTTCTTGTAGAGGGGCACGATCATCCCATTGTACCATCTATACCGGACCAGTGGAAAAGTGAGGATGATGCCGATGCTCGAGGAAAGGTAAAGTCGGAGGTATCTTCGGAAGGTGGAGGAGGCCAGTGCATCGAGGAGTCGTTCAAACTCTCGTCGCCGGATCAAGATAAGAAGGCGATAGCCCAGCACGTAGCCAGAGATGATGAAAAACAATGCCACCATGCCGGTACCTTGAAAGAAAAGACCGATCAACGGCTGGTTCCGCCAGCTAAGCTTTTCGGTGTTGAATGCATGAGAGATGAAGACGATGACGGCTGCATATCCACGCAGAGCATCAAGATAGCTTGTGGGCCCGATAGTGCGATGCTTGATTCCGCCGGGTTGCAGAAAGCGTGGGAGTGCTGAGACGAGGGACCTAGTCGATGGAGAGCTCCACGGTGTCACCTTGTCGCCGAATCGTGCCCATCGAGGCAGTGGGACCTCACTGTTGGTCCCTGAGCCAGTGTTGTTGCGTTGCGGCTCTAGGTCTAGCTGATCTAGGGTTCTATACTGAGCCATTAGAGCGCAATGGGCCTTAGAGTTGTAAAGATGCAAAGTCTAAGGTAGACGGAGGCAAACCTTGAGGCAGGCGGCGGCGAAGTCTAACTCAAACTTTCAAACAGGCTCGGCGGGCCCATCTTGGTATATATTAGAGACTGGCACTGTCCAGCTTCTCATTCAGTCCAGACTCGTCCTCGTTCACAAGGTCTGCATACGGCGCCATGCTGGGCGCGTCACGAGTTGGCTTTGGACTTCAGGGGTTAGAGCCAAGCATGCTGTTCCCATCTTGACAGCCTTAAGATGCACGGGACAGAGCTGTGACGTGAATTAGATTTCAGGAGGGGATGGCTCTTAGGCTTTCATCGCGTCTGTCTTGGGCTTTCCAAGTCATAGTGCAAGTCACATCGCAAAAGTTGGCTCAGACTACAGAATTCATGCCTGGGTAGCTGGTGGCCATATCCCGCGGAATTTCCCGCCCAAAGAAGACTGATGAATGTTTGTTGCAACCTAGGTAGCTTACCTGGATTCAGGGGCTATATCACTTGCGATGGAAGACTCCTGATGCTTGCCAAGGCATCACGTTGGCATCGGTGGCAGCTGGCTTTGAACACACTTCGTGAAACCTTGAGTTACGCGTTCTGTGTCAGAGCTGGGCCTATTGTCAATAGAAGGGATGACAGCGAACCGCTCGCTTCGCATAAATTCTCTCACGAGCTGTAATGGGCACTACACCGCTGACAGGTGTTCGAGGTGTCAAATGGTGAACAGGCGCAGATGTCAAGTACTTAAGTTTAAGATTGGAGGTCGGGAATAAGCCTACCTACTTGAACCGACCGGCTTGGCGCGGCCAATGTTCACCCCCTAAGAATTGAGGACTAGGCATGTATGGCACCGCATCTGATGGTTTTGCTGAAAACAGTGTCAATTTTACGAATGAATCGGTGACCAGTACCAACTACTCGGCCTTAGATCAATACTCTGATCATCTAACGGGCTGTTATTTACAATAATCTGGCTACTATGTATCTGTGTATTGACAACTCAGGTTTAAGACACAATTCTCGATTCGTACAAAAGGAGCTGAATAGACCTTGTATCTAGGCTGATAGTACTTTATGTGCTTAGGCTTGGTTATTTCGATACTACCTCATTTCAGCCATTGTGAGAGCGAACGAATCCTCAACAACCGTGTGACATGGCGAATAGGCGCGCAGGGTATCATCAAAATATCAGGACTTGATAGCGACCTTTTCCTCTGGAGTCTGTTGGCCGCTTTCTTCCTCGATCTCGGTGACACGACCGTGTAAGGCAGGTTTCTTCTTGCCAGTAATATCCAGGAACATTGATTTGACGGTGTGAACCATTGTCTTGCGACCTTGCCAGAGTGGAAAGATTCCAACACAGAATGTGCTGAAGAATAGCCACAGAATTCCCACGACAACCCACCCTAAAGTAGGACAAGTTAGACACATACCCATAGATCGAGACAAATGCAAGAACTCACCTGTAAAGAATTTCTTGCTGAAGATGTAGCCAGTTCCATACAAAGGCATTGGCCAGAGGACGAGCAGAGCAATGGTCATAAAAACTGTGATGCTTCTTGCAATAATTGCAGCCTTCTTCAGCTTGGCTTGCTCAGCAGCCTCATCTTCTTGTGACTGAGTGATTTGGGCTTGCACCAGCTCAGCATCGACGCTTGCTCTTCGAATGATCTCCGAATCGTCGACCTTGCGAATATCTCTCATTGATTGCCAGTCATAGTTTTGTTTGCCAAATGCATAGGTCAATATGGGAATGAAGATCAGTGGACTAAGCAAGGCTGTAACATTGCCTGCCAGCATGGGATTGTTGGATCCAGTGCAGTCGACATTAAGAACGCCGCACTCTTTCTTCGCTGTTACCAGCCACGCAATGATAGCACAGATGAATCCCAGAACGGGTGCACCAGCTGCAGCTTGCCAGTTCTGGTCTTTCCACATCAACGCTAGTGTTGCTGGGAGAACCGCGCTCGAAATGATGCAGCCCATCAACAAATAGAGGTATCCCTAAAAGCAAGATTAGCGAATTATAGCTCGAGACATTCCAGAGATGGATCCACGTACCATGCCGACACCAGCATAGAACAAGCCAGTGCTGAATGCTGCGAGGATGATAGAGTAGACAACGCAGGATACGTGCGACATTCTAATCAAGAATTTCCCAGACGCCTTAGGATTGATATAAGTCTGGTAGATATCGTAGGTCCAGATCGAGGAGACAGCAATAAGCTCAGCAGAGGAAGCAGAAGTTACAGCCATGAAGATGAGAAGTAATGTTGCAGAAGCACCACCTTTCCCCAGGAGAGCAACTGCGGCATATGGCAGGACCAATCCAGCACTGACGTCGGCATGTGGAATCCGATTTGGGAATGTGGGAAAGACTGGGTTGTTCTCCAAGGCTAGCGCTGCGAGGCCCATGGTTGTTGCACAAAGCCATGGAATGGCGAACCAGGACAATCCACCCATCACGTAACCAGGAAGCGCATCGACTGGTGACGCGGCGATAGCCTTGTTATAGTATCCTACTAGTGGTTAGCAAGTATGTAGTAAATATGTAGGGCTCATTCCGCACCATTGTCGAGGAAAACTGTCCCGAAGTTACCGACAATGTTGATAACAAAGAAGATGGCACCTTCTCTGCTTTGCATAGTCAAGTAACTACCCTCCGCGTTGCCCTTTACGGGGTGTCGCGCAGATGCTTCCACCAGTAAATCCCAGACTTTACCAGGTGAACCTACCACCTCATTCGTGGCATAGGCACTAAAGGCGAAAATGAAGATAATCACCAGAATGATGACCGTGTGCACATAGTCAGTCAGAAATGTAGCCTTGATTCTGTTTCCATAGTCAGTGATCTAGTTGTGCGGGCAGGAAAATCTATCGATAACATACCCTCCAAACATGGTGTAGAGGACGACGCCAACTGGCAATAAGAAACACGCAGCGGCAGTGGGGACACCGGTAAGCGAACTAGCGACCGCACTTCCACCAGTCAAAAGCATGGCGGTGACAAGAATGTTTGTCATGAGACCAAAGACCATGAAGACGATGTGCGTAACAACACCATAGCGCGCTTTGATCACTTCGAGGAAAGTATGCGCATTTGGCGCTCTACGTTTGAGTCTGTGTAGGTTGTCAGAGTCTGCTCCGGAGAACGCTGATACCGATGATTCAATTCTTGTGTGAACTCACTCAATAGCCAAGGTCGCGAAAAGGAGAATCTGGACGGTAGCGCCTGATGCGTACCAGAATGGGCCGCTGACACCATAAGAGTAGGCGACACCGGATGATTGCAGAAGGGTTGCAGCCCAAGTCCAACTGCTCACGACTGCGGCAGCGACAAGACCCGACTTTACAGTTCTGCCAGCCGTTGAAAAGGCTTCCGAGGTTTGCACCTGGTATTTCATGTCAACATGATGGCCCTTCACCAAATTAGCAGGCACTGACCTCTCCATGGTAACGCTTCAAAGCCCATGTAGTGAATATCATACCCAAGGCAAAGGCAAAGCCCAACCCGAGGATGATTCCATAGCCAAAAGCCTGGGAAAGAGGCACATAGGCAGCTCCTGCTGTGTCCGACATGATGGGTTACAAGGTGTGTCTCAAAGACCCCAACAGCTGTCAATCAGTTGTCTGTTCGAACAAGGAATCCCATAGATAGTTGTGGGGGTTTATGCCGAATATAAGATGATGTTCGAATCACCGGGAATATCAGCCCTAGCACAAAAGAAAAGAGCCCTCCACAGGAAGGGTGGAGAGACCATGGAGGACTCCGATATCGAGCACGCCATGATATGGGACACTTTTGCTCCATGACAGCAATGTTCAACACAAAGATTATCGTGGAGTTGTCTGTGTTCGGACATGGTTCAACCATTTTTTGTTTGAAATGCTCGTTTCTTACCCACGAATGAACAGCTTGCACCTCGGAAGGTTCTGGCACTAAGGTACTTAGCTGGAGATCACCAGATAAGCAAGTCACCTTCCAATAACCTAACGGGGAATGGACGGGCTGGTGGAGATGAAGAGCAGATCTCCCGGACGCGGGTTCGCGATGGTCGACGAGAGGCTGAACAAGCCGTATGAGAAAGTCGCACAAAAAGGAAAGGAGAGGCACGAGCAGCCAAGAAAGCGTGGAAGGGGAAGGTCGGAGGGAAGTTCTTATCAGTACGACATTACGTTTCAATTGGCCCGCGTGTCAGTTGATATCGGATATCGCCTCCAACACACTTTCATCCTGGTGACTAAACAAAATCATGCTTCCCGCCAATATCTCAAGCTGTGTGGTACAGAGTCTTATCAATGCCAATCATCCTTGTAAGCCTTTTGCCATTTGCTTTTTGAGCTGTGAGGCTCCACAAATAACCATGTTCAGAGTTGTAAGTTGTCATCCTCAACACTTATCCTCTCCCACATTTTTCCAGGCCGACATCTTCATCTCCGTGGAAATGGGTGTGACGATCTTTCTGTGGACCCTACTACTAGCCTAACGGTGAGCGCATCTGGATGTTGAATCTTTGCATACTGTTATGCGTCTCCTGCATGGGTTGAGATGTCTGGGGAGGAGAATAATTTCTCTGCCGGGTTGGCAATTGCGGAGCTGAGCACGATTCCGGGGTCAACATGGTGTCAACCTAGAAGTCAGGGTCTCCAGCACATGCATCAGATAAGAAGACGCACATTCAAATGGCCAGGCTCATCATTTGGCACTTGAGATAAGCTCTTCAGCAGGATAACAGCCGCCATCATCAGAGCTGTACACCTTTTTATTGGTAAAAGCATCAACATGGGTCGCTCGTCGACTTGGCTGCAGACTGAGGCTCTTGAGAACACTTCTGAGAAGACAGAAGCCACGGGATCTGAGATTCTAGATCTGTCTAAGCGACACGGTTATCATTGCTTTTTTCCGATTCTGTGGTTATCCCTCCAATGGTCTTGACTTCTCCGTCGCTTTGAGAACGCCACTGACTCCCTCATCCTTCTACCAGCATATCTTGAGATACGCCGTGTGCAGGACCGGGGAGTTTGCTTTGTCATGTGGATGGTCAACAAGGTTAGGTAAAAACTATGAAAGGTTCTGGAGGATGCAAGGATATCGGTCAGGACTGATAGTAGGCCGTGGAATGCGGTGGGAAGCAAAGCCTTGGTTCATCAAATTTACAGTTTTGGGATCGTGGGCACGTCCAGACCCCTAATTGCTTCTGGATAAGAGGCTTCATGGGAGTATAGCTGCACAGATCGAATGAACAGCTGAATTGGCATACGCATACCTATTCGAGTAGAAGTCATCCGTCGTCGTCGCCGGTAAGCGTTCATGGAGAAGCTGAGCCTCTCGCAAACAATCGAGGCTAGCCTTCGCCATCACATTAGCGGTGAAGTCTGGCTACACTTCAATCTGATGCATCCCGTGATCAATCTCTGCGTAACTCGGTCGAAAACGGAACATCAAATATGATCCAAAACCGATAAGGCGTGGGGGAATACGAAGTAGAATTTGCTAATGTGAGGCTGAAACAACTGAGTGAATATCTCCGCAATGTCGCGAGCGCCAATTCCCAGCCCCCATATTTCTTGAACACATCCCGTATCCTCCCGTACTCGTAATCGGCAATCTGGGCTCATCGCAATCATTTTACTGGTGAAAGAGATAGTTCACCTCTTGCTCTGTGGTCATCGAGTATTTCCTTAGTCCAAGTTGACAAAGCGCAATAATGCGGCATGTCCTCCTTTCGCCAAAACGCAAGACCACGCTCCGCCACACATCCGATGCCACGTCTTAAAAATGCAGCTTCTGGCTGAAGCCTCGCTGATGGCCATTTTGGAGAGATGTTTTATAAGGCAAACAGCTTTTGAGAGAGAACACACGTCTCGATCTCTAGGATGCCTGGTGAAACGCCGCGCCGTAAGTTGCTATTTGCCCCGGGTGGTGGGAGGCTACCGACGCAGTGACTCTTTGGTGGGATTGATGAGCACCAGATATCCACTTGAACACGCAATTTCCGCTGTTGACAGCTCATATAAGAGCAGCCGATTTGTGAAGAGTGCAGCAGAGGGACCAGACCTTACGAGATGCGTGAGTCAAGGCTTCCAGCTCATGCCAGCATCTATCTCTTGAACCATGGCGGTCCTAGTGCCCTGAGGATGAACAGCTACACGGTATCAGCAGACAGTAAGGCCAAGACTAGCACAATGCAATATGATATGTTTTCGCTGAAGACGAGAAGAGGGGCTATGAGTATTGCTTGTTCATGGTATCACATTACTATATGAGAGCTAGACTAATACTATGTACAAGAGAGACTCATTCAGTTTCGTCCCGAAACGGAGTACTTACAACCTGCGGCACGTGAAGCCAGGGTCTCGATGCAGGTCTTAGGGAGCCCAACCGCTCTCCCAAGGACAATTTGCCCTTCCAGGTCGATCCTATGCCTGGTCCACGACCACTTGGATGGTGAGTTGTGTCCAAGTGGTTTGTCGTCTGTTTGATGGTGTAAAGAATGTTGCTTTTGATGTGAGTGTGCGAGGTGCTGCTGTGGAGGGTGTCGTTGACACCAGTGTGGTGTTAAGAGATGATGTTGAGGAGAGTGTTGTTGATATTTAGTGTCAATGTGGTCTGGTGTTGTAGAGTATATTGGCAGTGGTGTTGACGACGGTGGCCAATGACAGTGATGTAAAATGTTGGTACTGCGTGGCTGATATCAAGGGTGTTTCCTCCACGATGTGGGTGGCTGTTACGGCTGAGAGGCCTTCTGATATGTAACAGCTTTACTCCCACATGGGGTCTTTCTTGGTGTATTTCGGCTTGCTGTCGAGGAGCCGAAGTGCGTATGATTGATTGCCAGATACCACAGCGGGCATCTGGGGAGGAGAAGGTGGTGGTGAGATAGGGCAAAAGGCCTTGAAGACCTTCCGATATGCGTTGAGGGCGAAGATGTGGCTTTGGTCGCCGTTGCCCCGAGATTTGTGGATGTCATTGAGCTCCTTTCGGCACTCAATGGTCTTCTTTAAGTCGTCCAGGATGTTGTCGGGCATCTGGACATTGGTTTTAACGAGGGTTTTGGCGATTCCCTCTAGATCTGAGACCTTTGAGGTCTTTGGTGCCCAAAGGGCCTCTCGTTCCAGCCAGCTTTGAACGTTGCGGCTGGCTCTTTTCGAAGTGCCGTAGCACTTCTTGTATTCAAGGTCGTTGTCTGACCCTGAGTTTTCGCTGTCTGAGCTATTCACCTGTCTGTCAATGAGCTCCGTTGAATACAGTGCTTGCAACTTACGTATTCAACGACGCCCATGAGCTTCGTTGAGAGATGGTGTGTCCTGCCATCTTCATGGTTGATATGGTGTGTAAGAGGTATTTGTCGGACGCTGGATGATTTGAGGAGGTCGTCAGCACGAAGCTCGAAGTATATGATTGGAGTCATTATGCTCACTATGGCTGTCTGATTGAGGAGATGGTGTGTAAAGAGTGTACTTGTGTCGAATTTGAGACGAGGGTGATGTTGTTATGAGATATGTCGTTGTCAAAAGGGGGTATAATGTCTGGTGTTTATGAAGAAGGTAGAAGGAGAAAGAGAAAGAGAGTCCTGGACTAAAAGATGATCAAGTCTGGGAGGTCAGAAGAGCGATGTCGACGAGACTGGAGTTCTACGAGGGCATTGTGGAAACTACAAACTACGAGCAGCTCACGGACAATTGCTACAGATACTTTCCGCCAGCGGGTCTCAGAGACGATGGCAAGGCACAAGGAGCGACTCAACTACGGACTCCGGTCAAGAACTCAGTGCACGGAGGGTGGTATGAGTGGCTCGATGCCTTGAAAGTCAATCCCATTGAGAGAGAGGCTCGAGTTCTTGCGTCAATATGTCCATCTCAAACCTGTTCGAGAGTTTTTGAAGGCGAGCATGCAAGGCTGGCCAGAGCAGCCGGGGAACCATTTCAGTCGCCAATTTTTCTCATGACCGTCTACAGCGAAGATCCTACCATGCCCTGATACTTTACGATATTGAAATTGCTTGCATTTGGTGGTGTGCGTTCAATGAGTTATGGTAGCAAAAGGCCAATTGCAATGGCGCTCTGACAAGGCTGAAATATCAAGCCATACAGTGCAGAATATACGATATGCTGGCAGTGGGTTGTGTGGGTTTGGAGCCATTGAAAATTCTCAAGTTTGCCTTTCAGCAGACTAGGATACGCGTACAGGAGTTGGAAAAAAGAGGGCCTTGATATTATTCGCGCTTCCCTGGTCGATGGCCAAATCAAGTTAAGAAGTGGATACAGCTCGCTGGTCATCGGACTTGTTGCCTCGTAGAAGACGCTATCAATCAGCACTTCGATTAGAATTTATGGCCAAGCGGAGAACAAACCACTTTCGATCACAGACTCCTAGTATAGCCCAGTCTACGCGATCTATCAAGGTCGACAGTACATTGGCAAGGGACTTGTGCGATGGCTAGATCAGTCCGATCGAGCAAGAAGGCTTTAATGCACTGCAAGGAAAGACACTACGAGGAAGCACTGGAGAAGAAGACTTTCAGTCCTCAAGCCTCAGGCCGTTCAACGACTTTTGCCAAACACATGACCGGAGCGACGAAGTATTTAGGTTCCCTTCAGGTTGCCTGGTCCCACTTGGCCAGAAACGGCAATACGCGCCTTGATTGGCCAGGGACTCAGTGTCAACGGACGGCACAAGGCAAGAAGGAGTCACGGTTCTTGTTTATGCAATGACGTATGCCTGCCCCTCCTCATCTCGTAGTATAGTTTAGACATTGAAGGCAGGCAACTTGAAGACTGCGTTGTGCTGTCTGTTGGTGTCGTCGCACGTGGTCCGGGCCGCAGAGAGAGTCATTACCTAGGAAGGTAACAACGGCACATAAGATACGACTACTAGTAGCTACTTCGACATAGACTCCCCTATATTGCTTGGTCTCACGAAGCTCTACACGATATTACTACCAAGACTGCCATGTATACAGGTAGTCAACGAGCCTGTGGAAACATTCGACGGGGAATGTACTTGTTTACCCATCACCCTGATCAAAACGACTCGTCAAATAACCCATAGACGAACCTAGACAACCTTCAGGAATCGGGAATCGGGCATGTAGAATGTATCATGAATTCCATTTGGATTCTACAAATATCTTCGTGATTTTATAGTGGTCCACATCACCTGCAGTGGAGGGGAGGTGCTGGCTTCGAACGAGGCCGAGATGGAGTGTAAGATCCCTCTGCCACTCCGTGCTCCATAACCAGCAGAGGAGTACCTCGTACTCGCCCCTCCAAGTTAGCACCGGAGTTTTGCAGCCACGGTCAGAACAGCCCCAAAACACTAACTTAGGTCCACTCACTGTTCAAGTTTGTCCGGCAGTGTGGCGTGGGCCTCTGGGTTGTAGGGTTCTTTCTGGTGCCGACAGAAACCAAAAAATCTCGAGTGGCACGGTAGATAGAGTACAGATGCAGTACCTCGTACTGAGGGCAGGCTATCCTGCCACCTGCAATAGTCAAGTGCCAAGTGCTACCTCGTACACCACGGAGTACGAAGTATCCGTAGGTGGTGGTATGTGCTACGTTAAGAATCAATATCTCGAAGCAGTGTGACGGTGACTTCCCCGGCTTGCTGCATTTCTTCGCGTGGTGGGAACACGGCTTATTAATTGGTCAAAGGAGCACAAATGCGAATACATCGATTGGGAAGATGGAAGGCTGTTTTGGAAAATGGGTTGTCTTTAAGACTTGAGTTCTATGTACTTCTTCTGGTGGGGAAGAGGATTTAGCGACGTGATTTTTCTCTTCTCTTCTCGTGTCTGCTCTTCTGGCCTGGGGGATTTTCTTCTCTTTTTCTCCCGAGAGGGACCCGGCCGTTTCATCTCTTGACTCCTCGTTCAACACTCTCCAATAGGTTTCTGAATGTAGTAATAAAAATATGACGTAGAATGTAAAGTATAAACGCCTCCAAAGGCCAATGCAGAACCAGAAGACATACTCTTCCGTTCGCCGAACAAAGAACAGCCCCAACACCAAATCTGGACTCCGGGCAAGGCACTGGGACCAAGCAACGCCAGGGAAAACCACCGAAAAGAAACCAAAACCCACCATCATGCCACATTCGAATTAGCTAACCAACATCTAAACGTTGCAAACACCTCGTTCCACGTGTATCCTGGTCATTTACTTGTAGAACCAGTAAACGGCAGCATAGTCGACGTTGAAGGATGCGGGCTGATCTTTGCAGGTCGCCGGGGGAGATCCACCGGCAGTGTCGACACGATAGACAGCCTTGATGTCACCCTCGGTGGTCGACCGCGAGGTCAAGTACAGCCAAGGAATGACGCCGTTCTCGTTCTTGACGGCAGTGGCAGGCGCGATAGAATCATTGGCTTTTTGAGCGAAGACACGGCCGAGCTTTGGCGAGTCGGGTGCGTCGAATGCGAAGACTGGTGTTGTGCCGTTGGAGAAGAAATGATGGGTTGATAGTTCCATGTTGGTGGGTCCGAGTGGTGCTAGGGGATCTTCGGGTAGTGGTCGTTCATAGGCGATGTTGGTTGCCAGACCAAGGAGATCCGGGAAGTCGGCAGCGAGGCATGAGGCGTTGTAGAATCGTGCTACGGCTCCAGCGGCCGTGGGTGTTGCGGTTGCGTTTGCGCATGTGTAGTTCTAGGAGGAGGCTTGTTAGTAGATGGCAGAGTAAGACATAGTGGGGAGATCAGCATACCTGTGTGCCTCGGCCGATGGCAACATGTTCAAGGACATAGCTGTCTAGTATCGGGAGGGGTGTCGGTGCCACTGGTAGGGCGGCTTTAGACAGGTCGCAAGTAGGCGGTCGACCACCATTTTGTCGAGCTTCTTGAATGTGTTTGTAGACAACGTCGAAGTAGCCAGCCATTGCCGGTGTCCATTCAGTGCTGCCATGCGAAGGTGGTGCTGGAAGAGCCATAACTGATGCTGCCAGAGCGGCGAATACGGTAAAGTACTTCATTTTGATGGATTAAAACGGATGACGAGGCTGATGCTCTGCAACACTGTCGATGGCGATTACTGCTGTCAAGAAGGAAAGAGTTCTGGCCGGCAGAGCAGATGCTTTTTTTGTTATTGTTATTCGACGCTGTAAAGAGAATGTACAGATATTATGCAAACTGTCAAGTGAAAGGCGCAGTGGAAAGGAAAAGTGAGGGTAATATGAATACTGGGTCAATGAGTGTTCTGGAGTTGACCGTTTGAGAGACCAACCGCCGACATATATGTAAAATTGTCCAAATTGTCGGCTTGACTGATATGGCGGACGCGGATAGGGCAATTTGGATCCTGGTGGATGTGTATACCAGGATGGCTGTGTTTCTATCTTAGGGCCTGCCAGGATCAGAGGATTTGATTTATTGGCCACCTTAGATCCAGTGGAGGCTTGCAGGTGGCAGGGAGGGTGGCACGAGGCGGCAAGGGAAATTCATCCAATGCTGACCGACGACGACCAGCATTCGTGGTAAGAATAGAAGGACATTGGCGCGCAGACCTTTGGTACTAACCTGATCTCACCTAGAAGAACGCCTGGAATCTTGGCCAACAGAGAACAACAGGGATCCCTCGGGTGGCTGCTTAGGTACAGACCGGCTTCCTATCGGCGTCCCTCAGACTCCTTCGGATTCTCGCTGGCTGTTTCATTGCCGCCCTCCTGCCGCCCATTGTCCATCCACAGAGGAGGAAATCTCTCTAGCATTATCGACTAATGCATGACGTGCAGACAGAGCTTTGAACTTGCTGGTTGGTCTTCCACACTAGCATTTGACTCTGGGTGTTCGTTTCATGAGTATTTTAACCGCAGATCCAGCAGACCCACGTCGACCGGTGACCTTGCCTTCAATGGCCTTCTGTACGATTTTTGCGGGGAGCAAGAAGGTCTTTGGTCCCATCGCAGCGCTTAGTCAAGAGCTTTAAACAGTAACACTGTTGTCAAAAGCCCAAAGGCCAGAAAAAGCATGCGCCGAGCCTTGTGGGAACTGCCAAGTGGTTATAATGGGATGTTATCATCAGTGATGATGGTAGACTTGACAATTTTCCCAAGTCCGTACCAAGTCTCGTTCAAGTCGGAGCGGACTTGCAAGCTTGGGGGAATTCGTTCGCGTTCTAACTTTCGACCAAAGTCCGGGCAATGCCCTTGTCCCAAATCCCCGTCGCAGGATTTGCATGTGGGATGCCTGATGATCGCTTGACGAGCGAAGAGGGGAATCCTCGCGCGTGTCGCAGACGTTTCTGGCAATCCTGTCAGCAACCCTCCTCCCGAATCCATGGTAGGCAGCAATGGGGGCATTGTTTCTGACTGTGTTGTGAATCCGTTTTCGGTCCTGGCACCTAGGGATGTAAGTGGTAATCAGTGATTATACGCGGCGCATATTATTACAATTGATGACGAAGCTAGATTTGAGATGATGGCCGAGTAGAGTCCTTGGACCGAAGAACAACAACAAGATCCTGTGATCCGCTTCGGAACCAGCTGACTTGGGCAATGACTTCTTCACCTGGCTGATTAGGGGAGATATGATGATTGTCGAGACCGCGCGGCAATACTTGACACCAAGCCGAGACCCGATGCCTTACTCGTAAGGGCCCCCCAGGGTGCCTAACTTAACCACCTCCGGCCACGCCTAAAATCTCAGACAAGCGCCCAACATGCTGCCCTAACCGAGGGTACTTTAGGCATAGGACTTCAGCCTGCAAAGCAAAGAAACAAGCCATACGCCCATTCGAAGAGGCCTCTACAAGGTATTCTCGACGTCCATCCAGCACGAGTCTGCAATGCATGCGTTGATGACATCCGACTAATTGGTGTCTATCAGTCTTCGCTTGCACACACCTCCTGTGCTGTACATGAGGATGTCGAGCACCAAACACTTGTTCGTATACATGGCTTGAATCTAGATGCTATCCGTACTCGTAGTGAACCAATGCCCCCGGCCTCAGCCAAAAGCCAGTCCCCTGTTGATCCAACTCTGAAACAAGCCGCCATATGCGTGTAGAACCAGGAGTCGATCGTCTGGAGAGCCGACTCTGCCATCCTTTGTATGTCCAAAATTCCACAATCACTCACCTTCCACCCTCGCTTCTCGACAACTATCCGTATGCAGGAGTTCAGGATCCCGGGACTGCCCCAAGTTGATTTTCCCCGTACTGCATAAGTTTTCTCAACGCTATGCCCTGCCAGGCGAGGAACTCGTTGCCTATACTCCTGACTCAGACTACCCTCATGGTGCGACAGGGCATGCATATCGGATAAGGAAGACAGAGGTTACGGAGGTATTCTAGTTTCTATCGTACACTCTTATTCTCAAATTCAATGGTCGAGACCAGGGCCACGTGAACGAGATGCCCGGACGCCTCATCATCTGGACCAGTTGACTCTTGAAATGTGGGAACCCGACTATCTATCTCGTGGAATCAAAGACACTTAACCTCAACATGAAACAAAAAGGCAAGTATAGTAGAAATCCTGCCGGATAGTGTTAATACAGCTATACCTCACTCCGCCATCACTCAAATCCACAAACGCTATCGCCAACCCAGTTAGCTATCTAACTACTCGTAGATATCGAATACTATCCGAAATCTTCTTGATGCCAGTCAGGACCATGCGCGTTGGGTGATTGAAGGCCTGATGAACCACCACCCCCTGCTACCACCACGGCTGCAGCGGCCTCTCCCAGGTGAGTTACGTTGCGCTCAACATCCGACGTTCCCATCCAGTAGAGCATGAGGAAGACCAAGACATGGAGAGCGAGGCAGTAGCTCGCGAACAGATTTCGAGACATTCTCGTCGCCAGCACAATTCTGGTCAGTGAGAAGATGACTCGTTCCGGTAGACTCATGCGCTTGTACGCCCTCGTGGCTTCTCGGCCGCGGAACGCCGCAAACGGTGAGATGTTGGCTTCATATTGAGACTTCCATCGCTCGGCCGTCGAATCGTCGGAATTGCCAAGGACAGAGGTGTGCCCGGTCCCGCCTGAATATGATGACGAAGAAGTCGTGGTGGGACCCCGACTGTAGGCAGACACGTATCTTGTCTTCTCGTACAGGTTAAGGTTATCCTTCTGCAAAGACGCAACCTCCTGTCGCAAAGATGTCACGGTTGTATAGGTTTTGGCAAGTTCCTCCTCGAGCTGTTGGTTTTTTTGCTTGAAACGATCCCGTTGCGCCTGGATCATGGGCAGAATACCAGAACCGCCTCCGACCGGCTCTCCAGCACGCAAGGACTCCAGTGTGCTGCTTCGGGGCAGTGTCTCGTATCCCGAAATAATGGATGATGTAGGTGAGCCTCGGCCACGTCGCAAAGATCCCGTGGGGTACCTTGAGACATGAGTCCCGGCAACTGACATTCCCGACGAAGGCAGTGCATTGGCCGCTTCTTCTTGAATGTGCAACAAGTCGTTTTCTAACGTCGAAGACAACTTCTGAGACTTCTCCAGCTCTGCGTTGGTTCGAGACATCTCTTCCTGGAGATCTTCGAGTTGCTGCTGGAGGTCCTGATGCGACACACGCAACAGAGTGAGCTCATTGCTGAGTTTCTTGTTCCGAGCGAGTAGGAGTTGTTCCAGTGATTGCTTAGTCCCGGTTTCCGCAGAGCCGTTAACTGCGGTCACTTCGCCATCCTCATCATCGCCAGTAGACAATTCAATAGATCGCAGTGTCTCAAGTTCTCGCTTCACATCCTCATAGTCTGACCATTTCTGGATCTTCGCACGCAGACTCTCATTCTCACTCGACAATTGAGCCAGTTGTCTCTCCGCTTGCCGAGTTTTGTTGTCCTGTCCTCGCTTCTCCGATTCTCTTTCAAACCGCACAGATTCAATCTTCCGCAGTAGTGAAGAGTTCTCGGACTGCAATCTCAAGAACGACGGGTCTTCTTCAATATCATGATTGACCGCGTTTTGTGATGTGGTACGAGCCAGTTCAACCTGTAGCTGCTCGTTCCGGGCCTCCATCTCGGCCAACCGCACACTCGTCCGTTCGAGTTCTGAGCTCATCATTTCAAGCTCCGCAGTTGCGGCCTTGTTGGACGCCAGCGCAACCGAGCCATCTTGTAGCCGTTGTGAGACGTCGTAGTTTGCTTTCAATTCTTTTAGAAGTCGGTCTTGGTTCTCCACCTTCTCCTCCAAGGCCTTTTCCTTCGCGGTCCAGTTGTTCTGCTTCTCTTCTAGCACTTTCTCCCATTTCGCTTCGATCTCTTGGACACGTGAACCGGTGCCGGCTTCGGCGTCTCGTCTAGCCTTGCTTTCGTCTTGCAGTCGTCTCTCCGTATCTTCCAACTCCGTCGTCAATTTGTTCACTCGGGACAGGAGTTGTTCGTTTTCGGTTGTCAGCTTGGGGACGGTGTCTTCGGAGGCAACGAGCGAATCGACCGACGCTTCGAGAAGAGGGAAAGGATCAGGGGCCTCCGACAGGGATTGATAGAGTTGGAGAAATGCAGATGAGGAGGTCTTGCCGTGGCCTGTTATTAAGTCGATAAATGTTTGGTATGCTGTCGATCTATCGTCAATGACTCGTGGCACCACCGCAAAGTATAGACAGAGACCAACATTTTAACAAAGCCTTGTACTCTGTGAGTTTCGCGGAGTCCTCCAACTTCCTAAAATCTTTGGTCTTCTGAGCGACTTCCTTGCGCTCGAGGAGAGCCTCTCTCTGTTGACCAACGAGTTCTGTAGCCGTTGAGTCCAGCTGGGGCATCAGCGAGGAGAGGTCGATGTCTGGTAGATATTAGCGGCAAGTAAGTGAGGGATTAAACTGGAAACGCATACTTCGCCATGCTGATATCGCTTTCTGGAATTTGTTCTCCCCATGATTTGATGACCTGGCCTCAGCGGGCTTCTCAAATTGATCCTCTCGATCCCCATCCACGGGGGCGTTGGCTTCGGCTACTGCCAACGCGTCCATGGAGTTGATACTTGATTAAGAGCCTACTCAAGGCAATTTCCTGCAATTTAGAGTCGGCATTGGGTCTTGAGATTGACACGACTGGCTATCCAGAAGTGCTTCGCGTAGCAACTCCGACGGAAAATCGATCTTCCGTAGAATTGCGCGTTGGTATTTATGCTCCCCACTATCTATTTACAAAGGTCTTCTTGGACCTTTAAGAGAGCATACGGTCCAGGAAGTTCATCAGGTTGTCGATTATCAATTACTTGGCCGTTTGTCGCTCTATAATCCAAGAAGCTACGATCTGTTGCTCGAGTAACTCCGGTTTGATACCGCTCCAGCGGAGATTTTCACCAGACTCGACAGCGGTCAACCATGAACACGTAGCTTGAAGAATGACATCTCTCGTCTCCGTGCCGGCCATCATGACAAGCTCGACAAGCTCCAGAATATCTTCTATGTGGAACACATCGCTTCCATATGAGGCTTGGGTACCTTCGGATTTCTGCGCAGAGTGACCAAGCATGATCACCGGAACTAGCGATGGGGTGTCCGCCCAACGCACTTACAGATGAAGCTCGTGTTGTTGCTTTGTCGGACAGAGTCGTCGAGTAGCTCGAGATGGTTGAATGCCCTTCTTTGATTTCCTCTGAATGCGAAAAGCGTGCTGTTGATGGTGTACAGGACTGGCAAAAGCCATCAATGGTCGGCATCTTCAGATGCCCTCGCTAGAACACTGACATAGTCGAACATGGGTCTTTCCCTAAATACTTCGATCCGGTTCTGAAGACTAATATCGTCATTTACTCCTTCTGGTCCTGTCGCGTCGTCATCCAGATATTGCAAGTCATTTATAAACCAAAGACACTCCATTATGCAAGCCACTACGAATCCGACAGAAACAAACAACCCTGCTGGGTGCAGGTCATTGCTTCCGGGAACTTTCTTAGGCCGGCAACCAGGTTTCGTGATCTCGTGATCGCGTTTTTTGTACCCTTAAATCGCTACATTTGGCCGGCGATTTATCGACTTAACTATCGGAGAACCGTTTCTCGGTGACTTGTCTCCTGCATGATTCACATCTGGGCGCCAATAGGTGCATTGACTACGGCTCAGCTGGAATACACGAATTCCATCGTAACAACAATCTTAAGAACAAGCTTTTTTGCTACTAATACATACGGGGATAAGAGAGGAGCCATACCGATTCGTTCCCAACTCATGCTTTCCGTAGCGACCAACGTCAAACATTTCAAGCTTCCTCACTACGAGTAGCTCAACACAGACATCTTATTGTTAAACATGGCAATATCATTGCACGTTCCCAATTTCGTCACCCCAAGCAGTGAATTGCGAAGCTTATCTCCTCGCCTGGACATACTTACTCTCACTTGATGACAACTAGCCAAGCGACCCGCCCTCAATAATAATGGCCGAAGCTCTCTCAGGAGCTGGTGATGGCAGCGGGCGGCTTGGGAGATTTCAACCTGGAAAGCCATGACCTAGATCTCCCCATCTGCTGCAGCGCCGGTCGCTGGACGGGCTTAGAGTCTTGCGGCTTTTGCTGAGGGCTAGGAGTTTCTCTGAGCTGGGCGACAGCCTGCTTGGGGATGTCCTGTTGAAATGCCTGTTGGATCTTCCAGATGCCGAGGGTTCGCGACATGTGGAGGCGTTCGTCGTGGCCGAGAATATATGTTCGGAAAGCACTGCCTGAATTTGGCATTAGTATGGTTGCTTGCAGGGTCATCAATGATGGGGAGGGTCGCATACCGTGAAAAGCACCCGTGCCACGCCAAATGTCTGCCTCGTTCAAGCCACGGATAAATTGTTGGACTGCTGAGGAGCGTGTACTGCGTGTACCAGAATAAAGTTTGAAACGGTCCTCGACTCCGTCCTGAGGGACATTTCTTTCGAGGAGGACACCGAGAGCAACGGCGTCCTCCAGCGCCATTGCTACGCGCTGTCCGCAATGAGGTGGCATGGGATGCGCTGCATCTCCCATCAAAACAAGCCGATTGACGTGGTACTGCCTCAAGGGATCCATGTCCCATATCGGCTGATCCTGTAGCGCATCGCCTGAAATGGCATTCAACAACGCGATGCACTCTTCCGGGAACCCTTGTGCCAGACGAAGCAGCTTCATTTTGCTCGATGGCTCTCTCCAATCTTTGCAGAGACTCTTGAACCCCGTGAGATCGTCGTAGAGAAACTTCACACAGACATTCTCATTCTCTGAAGCGGGCCAGATCAGGAGGCTCTTGTGGTCAAGATTGTAACAAAATGCTTGACCTGAATCTTGAATGAATCTGGAGACCTTGGGCTCCGAGAGAAGTCTTTCACATGGTATTACTGCTCTGAAGACTCCCTTTTGGAGTCGAAATCGTTGCATGTTACCGTGGGAAACCGAAGCTCTGCACATCGAATGTACTCCATCTGCACCTACGATGACATGACCACGAGCTTCGGAACCATCTGCAAGGAACAGGATCCCCTTCTTAGGGTCGATTCGGACTATTTGTTGGGATGTAAATATATCTGCTCGGGGTCCCGGTGCTTTAGGATCTTGAAGCCTGTCTCGCAGTGCCTCTAGAAGATCACGATACGTGGTGTTATGCCATACCTGTAACATCACCGTGTCAGTGCTGATTGTAGCTGTCCATTCGAAAGGCTGGACTCACACAAGCATCTTTGTCAAGCGTAGTATCTGAGTCCACGAGAGAATCCCCTTCCTCACTAACAAGGAATCGAGTCACCTGTATCACAATCAACGCCACTTTCGTACAGTGTTTTCTGCGGCGATTACCTTTTTCACTTTGGTAGCCCGAATGTCATCTAGGTCGACACCTAGGTTTCGTAAGGCGCCTAAGGCATTTGGGAACACGTTAATGCCCCCACCTCGGATATCGTGTGAGTTGGCTTGCTCATAGATCTTCACATGTGAAGTCAGAATATATATGCTGCCTAGCAATCACTGGTCATACCTTGACATGATGGCCTTGTGCTTTGAGGGCAATGGCTGTGGCAATTCCGCCAATACTGCCACCTACAACCAGGACTTGTAGCCCATTGTCTCGATCATTTGGGTTAGGACTCAAAGGCATTTTAAGAAATTTTATGTGGTAAAGGAGTAGGAATCAGAGGACAATCACAGTGCTTGGACGCAACTGCAAGGAAGACCAGTTATTATCATCAGTTCAGACATCATTTAGAACCTCTCCCAGTCTTCCAAAGCTGGGGCACCCATCTCGTGGGAACCCGAACAACGCCCACCACGTGTGTTTGTCGATGTCATTGCTGAGGACAAGATAGTCGCATTGGATGTCACTGCAAGCTGAATCTGGGAGTCGGAGTGCTTATTTTGAGTGTTGCACAGACTCCCAACCAAAAGATGGCAGGCCTAGATCAGCGTGCTTCCATGCAGGTTACGAAATCTGCATTAAATCGTTCGTGATTTAAAAATAATGTTCGGTGTGCACAGACTTGCCCGCCTCTGGTTGAAATGGTCCGTGATCCGGCTATTGTTCTTGAAGAGAATCAATAATGACGTCCGTGCGGGCAAACAATCTGATTTGAGCCTGAATATGTTCATGAGCCGTGTATGCAGGATTCTGAGTTGGTTCAGCAATATGGATGCCTTAAAGGTTATTCTGCATCCACGCAAGGCGACTCACAACCATGGAAGGCGGGGCCATTAATGCACGATTGATTCTGGCCGTAGTGGACCCCAAGGGCTTACAGCAGGGCGACAAAATATAAATGAGGCCTATATGGACGAGACCTGGGTGTCAAGCTATCGATACGACTTTCAGTGAGACGTCTAGCGAAGCAATAATAGCGAGGTACAATCGTGAGGTCAAGGCCCCTTAACCAGCAGAATTGTACGACATTCTTCTCTGGCACGATGAGCTCGGCGAGAAGTGTAGCACGTGTACCCAGCTGGACTATCGCAGGATCTGGATCTGAAAAGCCATTCGTGATCTGGACGGCTGGCGAATCGCATCTCGCTCCATCCACATGGCTTTCAGCGAGAAAATGCGTACCCCTACAGTTCGGAGCACGGACGTGCCCTGCCCAACCGTCACCTTCCTCGCCATTCAGATCTGGAGGGATATGAAGCGGCTGAAGGGCGGGGTGATCCGCCTGGGGATTCTTGGCAAGTTGGGTGCGACGAGGGCATGTATTTGTAGATTGCTTACTCAAGTACTGCATATCTGGTGTATTGGTAGATGGATTCTTGGCCTGTGTTGTCACATGAGAGAATGGTGCAGTTCATATGCCTTCGTTAAGAGTGCATAGATAAACTGCACTCAAATCTCCACCAGGAAACAGGGGTCGGAATAGCCATGCCGCAATCCTAGAGACGATAACTTGGTGGTGGGTACTCCTTCAGCTTTCCTACCGACGATGGCGAATGTCGACGACGGCCAGCTCTCTGGCAGTCTTGTCTCAGCACTTTTACCCTGGTATTTTCCCCACGAGGGATCGATGTCCAAGATTTATGAGCAGCCAGTGAGCTCCGCCATATGCTGGTCAAGGCTGCTTATCTTCCAGCAGTAGTTGGCTTTCATGTGCCACATAGGTAATGCGGTGTCAAGGGACATCAGAATTCCGCCTGGTCAAGAAAATCCAAGAATCGCAAAATGTCGTGAAAGCATTCATGACAAGAGTGTTATCGAGTTTGTTGTAACCTTGGGTCCTAGGCGTCGTCATTCGCCAGCCTTGGCCGAAGTTGGACCCAGCCTTGGAGTAATTGGCGAATTCTTGGAGAACCATAACAGCATCTGTTGACTTGTGGTGATCGTCACAATGCATGCTTGGCCCATGATTGAATGCTGAACTTATCACTCGGCGCCACGACAGCCCCTCTTGTGAAGGATTCCGGGTATGTACTGAATGTGAGTTAGTGGAGGAATCGCGAATATAAGATTCCACATCGTCAACTCTGAAGATGGACGCCGAGAGACGCATTCTCTATCTAGAATATTCATTTCGACAAAACCGCAGCCAAAAATGGAAAAAGAGCGTTCCGATACACTCGAGGCACAGCCCACAAATATCTCTTCAGAGTCTTCTGACCAGGATACAACCACGAAAGTACGGCAAAAATGGTATCAGAATCTTTATGGGGAGTTGAAGACCCCCGGGTCGGCTTTGCAGATCGTGCTCGCAGCAGCTGTCGCTATCGCGATTGGAATGGCGGTCACTGCCAATGTCGATGAAATTCCTGAGGCTGCTCCGATCCTACTGGAGATTCCGGGAATGTTGTGGTTGAGAGCTCTGAGAGCAACAGGTTCGTCATGAAGTAGCAGAAGCGGCGATTTAGTTATGCTAATACGATTAGTACTGCCACTTATTGTCACTGCTATTATTTTAGCCGTTCAGACCTTGAAAGAAATGGCGAAAGACGGAGCGAAACTTGCTAGGTGGACAGTCGGGTATTATGTTCTCACGACTATTCTTGCTGTCGTGCATAGCATGATCCTGGTCGACCTAGTTTGGAGGCGCCTAATGGTCGAAGTGGGCAGCGACAGCCTCGCTGTTGACGGCGATGATCAGGACTTGATCGAGGAGAGAGCAGCCGTCAAACCTCACAATATCGTGGTACAAGTTTTCCAATCTTTCATTCCGTCGAACATTTTTGCCGCACTCGCAGAAGACAGCCTTCTTGCAGTCTTGGTCACTGCAGTCGTTGCAGGCTGTCTGATTAAAGGTCCTGATTCTTCTCTTTTACGGGGAGTGAAGGAGGTTGAGAGAATCATCACGATTGTGATCACTTTTCTGATTAAGCTGGCACCGATTGGTGTGTTCTTCCTCATCTTGGCGAATATCATGACTCTTGAGCTCGCAGACATTGGGAGGAATCTTGGTGTCCTCATCGGTGGCAGCATCACAGGAATGTTCATTCATCTGTTCATCATTCTCCCAATCATCTTCTTCGCCTTCACGAGAATGAATCCTTATTCATACTGGCTGAAGGGGTCGCCTGCTTGGGTCACCGCTTGGGGAACAGCATCTTCTGCGGCAACACTACCGGTCACAATCAGAGTTGTGCGCGCTCGCGGTGTCCCGGAGACGATCAACAAGTTTTCCGTGCCTCTGGGATGTTTGATCAACATGGACGGGTAAGTGGGTCTTGCTGCGTATAACATTAATTCTAACACTTTACCAGGACGGCCATATACTTTCCCATGGTGGTCGTCTTTCTTGCCGAAACACAAGGCATCAGCCTGAATGCAGGAGAATACGTCATTATTGTTCTCTTGTCCACGCTGTCATCGATTGCCACCACACCTATTCCCAGCTCATCTTTGGTCTTGACTGTCATGATAGCAGGCGCTATCAACGTCCCCATCACAGGAATGTACGCTGTGGTTGTGGCCATCGACTGGTTCATTGATCGCTTTAGAACAGCGACCAATGTGAGCGGCGATCTTTTTGCTGCTCGTATTTTGCAAACCGTGACAGGAATCAAAGATAAGGAGGCTGCAGATATGGAGCCGCATACAGTTTCGGATGATCATTCGAATAACTATTCGAATGAGGCAATTGAGGAGCGCCGACTAAGTCGTCCCCCGGCTTAGAATTGGGTCTTAACTGGGAATTTGTGGGTATGGCGGGCATTGAGGAGTTGACTGTTGTAGGCTTTCTCGCTGTCTTTATGCTGGGTACAGAATAAGAAAATCCGCCGATGCTGATGGTATCTCTGTGAATTAGTATCCCATCAGACGGACAGTGGCGGAAGATGCTGTATCTTTGGGATGGGTCTAATTCAGATATGTTTCGGGCGATCCCAAGATCCAGATCTATGTAGCTGCTGTGCGTTGATTAGAAAGGATGGAACTGGCCTCCGAGTGGAAGGCACGACTCTGTATCGCCCGCTCTCACAACCTTCGAAAACGTAAGTGGGTAAGTGGGTGGCAGTAATAAATGCAACGAAGGATGGTCTGAAATGTAAATCCATTCCATTTGACAGCACTTGCGATTCTAGGATCCGATGCTGCTCGATAACTACATGTCTCGGGTTGCCTGACAAGGTGCTGCGTGTTGACCCGATGTCAGAAAGTCCATATCAACCATGCGAATGTGGCACCCTATCCCGAAGACGCTGTACCAGCAATAACGCGGCATTTGTCGTGCGCAGACATGACTGTTATTTGCCAGCGAGCATCACCCTTCTTCATCAGTAAAACATCCAGTTAACGCCGGTCCAGGCTCGTCTTCGACCAGAGCAGTGAATTTCGACGCTTCACCGCGAGACACAAGTAAGAACTGGGGATGACCATGGCCATAATTGATTCTAAGCCTCAAGATTGATACCTTTTCCAAATCTCGCATACAAATGGGCTTTGAGACCATCCAATTCTTCTTTTAAGCCGCTTAATTCCTCTTCCAAGGTGGATACTTCCGATTCGAGCTCACTTGTTGCCGTGGACAGCAGGTCCTGTGCTTCGGGAAGTGGGAGATTCATAAATGAGTCTCCGATCTTGTACCTGAGTAGCAGCTGATGTTAGTTGACCGGAAATTGAGGATTTTCAGAATTTCCCTGGCAGATCACGTAATTTGCAGCCTGAGACAGGACTCACGGGACTAGTTCATCTTCATCAGCGAGCTCGAGTTCAGTTGAAAGCTCTTCTAGGTCTTCTTTGTCCTTCTGAAAGACACATTAGTCAATGAATTCGTGTAATCGACTTGATACGAAACCTTACCTGTTTCTGGCCGAGTTCCTCTTGAAGAGTCTTGCTCCGATTGTGCAATTTTGAGAAAGTGTTGATTTTGTCTTGGTCTTCTCGAGTGACTTCCGCGTCTGTTGATTCGGACTCTTCCTCCTTGGACAACTGAGTGGGAGTTATATCAACCTCTGAACTAAGTATTGAATGCGGACTCCAGATTGAGGGGTCAAATGGCAGGCAACGACCATTAACACACGCCTAGGCTTTTGATGCCGAATGGCCATGCTTGGTCTGTGGCAAAGAGGAATAGACCTACCACTCTGCGTGACAGCATTCTGTGATTTTTGGGTTTGCCCAAAGTCTATGATCGACACTTTATGGCTTATCGCGGCACTCGAAACCCCGCGCTTGTCCTAAGTTGTGTGACCTGATTCCGTCGTTGGTTTGCTCAGGTGGGTGTTAGGGAGGACGAACTGGGTCAAATAAATTCAGAGCTAATAGGGCAGGTCAATTGTTCTTACGCTCTGATCTGCAATGGCTCCTGAGGTTGACTGTGAATGTTGAGAAGCAGGCATCGACACTCCCTAGGTAAGAAACTACAATTGATGTCGAGTTCTTCGCCACATTCAGTTGAGCGAAAGGCTGTCGAATTATGTCTTGGCAAGGCTCTCGAATTTCAATGCAATCGGAAGAGGAATTTCTATATTCCGCTTTTTGATAAATCTGCTCAAGACAGGATGGGGTGAATTCGTGGGCCAAGATTTATTACTGCCAGGATTGTAATTCATGTTAAAAGACAATATAGAAGGCGAGAAAGGCAAAGAGCAGCCGTAAGAGACACATCCCCAACCATCTTGGCGCCACGCTATGCTTCCAATCCTTGTTAGGTAGGTATTCTACAAGAAGCATTTCCCATTGGAAAACCCATATCTGATCATACAGCACTATAGCCACCTCTAGAACCGGCCCCAGAGACGGTATCAACCACCTTTCGAGACAGGTCTTTGAAGAGATAAGGAAGATCACGAATGGTGTCTCCGTGAGGCAACAGGTCCCAACCTCGAGCGCCATAACGATTGTAGTTGAGCCATGATCCGAATATGAGGTACGCTGCAGCACCAAGGAATCCGCTGTTCGACTGATTAGTCCGGGTTGCTCCTGAGGGAGGAGGTATTGTGTTTCTTACATTAGAATGAACCAGGTGAAAAATCCCCATCCGCGTTCCTTTCCACCATCATGCTCAGTGAAGTCTTCGCATGCATATTTCGTCTTCCAGTTCAAGCGCAAGACTTGAATGCGTTCCTTACCCTCTACATCACCGTAGCTGACATAAGTCAAACTGCCAGTCGGGGGTGTCTCATCCCCATCCTTGTCGCCCTTGTCTCCGTCGTCCCCTTCTTCTGCTCTCTTCACCTGTTCATTTCCTGTTCGGTCTCGATCGCATTGGAGTTGGATCACAGCTTGTTGTCTCTTCTTCCCGTAGTTCCCACCGTGAAGTTCAATCTGAACACCCTCGCTATTGGAGTCTTGAGCCTTCAGTCGTGTGAACTTAGGATTGAGATTCTGCCCAGTGCTTGCGTCAAAGTTGCCAGCGACTGGGATGACATTCTCGAGTTCGATGTGCTTCTTATCAGGATCGTCCGCGGGATTCCAGGATTCAACGATCCCGCATACTGCATTTCGTTAGCTTTGATGACTTCTCTTCCTCAGCCAGTGGGTAAAATACCTCTTGTACCGCTGGGACACTGATCAGCGTCTCGGACACCATCGATCTTCTTCAGCGGCTGACATAGGTCGATCGTCCACGTAGTATTGTATTCTGCCGGAGGTCTCGAGTCGTCGAGGACGGAGATTGAATGTCGACCTCCAAGCTTGGAAAAGTCAAACTTCTTGCCGTCCACCCGTACATTATCGCAGGCTAAAGAAACTGCGCCGACAAGTTGTGGAAGTAGAATGGGGAGTGATAGGAGGGAGATCATCGTGGCCTTCATGACTGAGGCGAGCAACTCGGGTCTGGGGGATCGCGTGTCAGTCTTTACAGACAGCGCCCAATTTATGGTCGCGGCAGGGCTATTTAAGGTGGTCGGAGGTGTTATCGATGATTAGGATGGGAAGGGAGTACTCGAGGGCGTGGTATGTAAGGTTTGTACAGAAGGTCAGCGCAGGATGTTAGATGCCATCTGCCTGATGGTCTACGATGCTGGCCGGTTACTTCATTTCCACGTTCCAAGCTCCACCGTGATCGCGATGCCAAGGCTACGGTGGACCTTTCATAATCTATCTTTACTGCACTTCGAAGCTTAATGATGCACCGGAGAACTCAATAAACAAACATGTCCCGAATAGATTGATTGCCTCTGTCATGATAGTTTTGATTTCCTATTATCTACAGATAATGATACTGGGAAAATCATCCTTTATCCTCCAAAGAAGCATGAACATGAACTCTTATTTCTTGTCTGATCAAACACTAAGCCAATATCGACGATATTTGAATATCGCTATGATTGACCAGGAAGGATAGGCATTCTCGTTCCTGGCCACAGTAAGAGCAAACGATGCACCGAACTCTGCGGCATCGTCATAGGAGTCTACAAGGCCGAGATAGAATTTCTAGCTGCCCAGGAAACTCATCTATGGCTACTTAAATGAACAATTTTTGGGTTCGCAATTCTTCAGTCCACTTGAGCGATGGCGCAATCTGTGATTTCGTCACTTTCACTGCATCTCACGTTATCGATTGATACCATACTGTCGGATTCATTTGCCGATACCTGATCAATCCGGTGAGTGTGCTTTCAAATGCTTATCTCTAAGAAAGATACCGCCTCTCTATTAGTTCTCGCGATTCCCATAAAACCTTCTTGTCCTTTCTGTGCGAGCTGGCTTGTTTGGAGCGTTCTAAGTTTTGCATCTGTGTTCTTTGACAAAGGTGCTTCTGGAACCGAATCCCAACATTTCTCGAACAATATAGATCGTTGTTGACATGGCCCCGAGGTACCGCCGTGTGGCGGTCATTGGAACTGGTCCCTCAGGTCTTGCTGCTGTACACGCATTATCGCAGGAGAAGAGTTTTGACAAAATTCGAGTCTTTGAAAGACGGGATAGAGTGGGTGGTCTGTGGTAGGTCATTCACCATGACAGAGGAATGTGTCACATTTCTCTATCACCAACAGGGATCGATTGTGTGCTCAACATCATTTGTAGGCACCTTGATCCTACACCCGATGTCTTTCCGGCTTCATGGCGAGTGCCACGCAGTGTCACGACTCCAAGTACATTTCCCAGCTTCAACGCACCCGCAGAACCGGACCCAACTGCCAGGACGGCCATTTATCCTGGCCTTGACAGCAACGTTGGAGCTCTGGCCATGGCTTTCACCCATACGCCATTTCCAGAGGTCAACTCTGCACAATCTGTAAATCGATTAGGCCCGAATAACCCAAGTCGTCCGTTCGAAGTGATAACAGGCTGGCTTGAGGATCTTTTTGCGCCATATCTCCACCTGACCTCTCTCAGCACGACTGTGGAGAAAGTAGAGAGGATTGGTGACGAGTGGGTATTGACCTTGCGCAAAACAGATCTATTGCGTCGTGGCAAACCAAGTGACTATTGGTGGCAAGAGACCTTCGATGCGGTGGTCGTTGCCACTGGTCACTACAATGTCGCCAACATACCGAATATCCAGGGTATTGATGAGGCTGTCAAAGCATTCCCTGATGCATTTGAGCATTCCAAATCATATCGTTCAGCAGACAAGTACGTTGGCAAGGTAAGAATTTGGGTTCCTCTGCTGCTTCATTCATGTTGTTAATTTTGGGCTGTTAGAAAGTTGTGATTGTTGGGGGAAATGTTTCTGCATCGGACCTGATCTCAGATCTTCATGAGATTGTAAAGGGGCCACTATACCTCTCCATGCGCGGGCGGAATGAGAGGCTCGATTCAGTTTACAATCTGCCAAACGTGAAGATCCAGGCACCTGTCAAAGCTATATCGCCCATTGATGGCATTACTGTAACCTTTGAAGACGGTACAAGTGTGTCTGGCATCGACCACGTGCTATTTGCAACAGGGTTCCGTCTCAACTACCCGTTCCTGACCCCCAATCCAGTGACGGAATCAAACCGACTGTCTCGATTCTATCGACATATTCTGAACATCGACAATCCATCGTTGGCAGTGGTAGGCCAATGCCGAGCCGCACTCTCGTTCCGCGTGTACGAGTACCAAGCTGTTGCAGTCGCGCGATTCTTTGCGAATCACGAAAACAAGCCCCTCCCCAGCGTTACCGAGCAGAAGGAGTGGGAACTCAAACGTCTTGAATACAAGGGCGACAGTGATCGTTTCCACGAAATAGCGCCCGATTTTGACGAGTACTTTAATTGGTTACAGGAGTTCTCAGGGAAACCCGCAGTTGGTACGGACGCCTATGAGCTTCCACGCTATGATCCTTCCTGGGAGACTCTTGGGCTTGCAATTTTGGGATTGAAGGCGCAGTATTTCCGTGACCTCACGCAGAGGAAACAGGAACAGCAGTTGCGGGCAAAGTTATGAGTGGTTTTTGGATCCCCTATTGACACTTGTAGAAGAACGGCTTCGTTCGTGAATGTCTTGCCGTACTCGCCGGTCTCAGGCGTTGATCGTATTTCGTAACGCCCATGAGCGAAGACCTACAAGGACAGATCAATAGCGAGCGCCGAGAGCTGAGGGTACGAGGAACTACGTCGTGGGCTGAGCCTGCCTCGTATTTCGTACCTCATACGACAAGGCTTAAAGCAAACAAGCCTTCGAGTTCCCAAACTCCATAATATTTCCCATATCTGCGTTGAAGCAGGCCAGAGTACCAGGGATTAACGATCTATCAAAATCAGAGATGAGAATCGACAACGTGACTGTTCAGGCTTCATTACTGGAGTGATCATCCAATACCCCCAGCCCGGTACGGCTGGGTCGAATTGATGATCAGGCTTCCGAAGTGATTCATGTACTTAGCGAGCGAGGTGTGTAATTTAGCCAGCCATCCAACTAAATGACTCCCCGCAGCTTACTTTTAGAACTAAGTAACTAAGTCCTGTTGCTGAATATCATCTCTTCGCGTGGCATTTCATGATTTACTCCATTCTTAAGACGCTGCTGTCAATTTAATCCTCGCAAAGCCCAACGGACCAAACTTTACCTTGCTACCATCACTCTCAAGCTTTGAAAACAATAAGGCTCCCACCGCTACCAACCGGAAATTACATTCGCCATTGGAGCAGCTTGCAACATGGTCGACAGCTCCGATGACCCCAAGGCGGGCACGTCCAAAAAAGCCCTTGCTGTATTCCGAGCTGCTAGGCCCGAGGAATTCGATGTAATGTCACGGATCCTATGCAATGCATTTCTTCCAGTCTGGTCAGTAGTCCTGGCGCACCGCGCACTCCACGAACTCCATCCACGCGATCAAGGGCAAGTAACTAACACGTCACAAAAGGAATCACAACTGGTTTCACGGCGTAACCGAAAGTCTAGCACCTGTGAAAATCGGGGAGATTGGAGGTCCAACACCGCAGATGGGCCGCCATCAAGCTGCACGAGTGCATTTTTACCGGTCTGTCATTAACCTCGTGACCATTTGGGGTGGACTAGTCCTCGTGGCCGAGGTCGCTGACTCGCCGACGACCGACGGGCTCAACATCGCCGGCATCATGATGTGGCTACCTCCGCATGTGAGAGAAGGGGCATTTGGGATCTTTCAGGTCTGGAGGTCGGGTTTGCTATCACTACTTGCGCTGTGGAAGTACGGGCCGCTGGGGTTCTACCGCATCGAGGGAGTGTTTGAAGCGAATGTGAAGGCCATGTTCGCGAAGACACTCAAGGACATCCGTCCCACGGGCTACACGTCGGAAGAATGCGGTTTCGTGCAGATGATCGCCATCAATCCCGCGCATGCCGGTAAGGGATATGCGTCGGCGCTGCTGAAGCATCAGATGGATGAGCACTTTGCGCAGTTTCCCGACAAGCCGGTCATTCTCGACACGACGACGAAGCAGGGTGTGCATTCATATGAGAAATTGGGATTTGAGCTTCTGGCGCAGACGCCCGTGGACACAGGTACCGATGATGGAGGAATTAAGCTTAAAGCCGATGCAGACGAATCGGTCAAGAAGCTTGCGAAGGAGACCTGTGTTCAGAGAGTCATGATCAAGGTTCCACCTGGTGCGCCATCTGCTGAAGTGCTACCTGATTTCGAACCTTGATCACTACCGTGAATTGTTTCAACCTCGAGGTCAATATGGTGTGCGTCGGGGGTTTTGCAGGCCGAGAGCCCTGCTTGGAGGATTGTTAGACCAGTAATAGACCAATAAAGTCGAAATTTCTGTCAGTTGAGCGATATATCGAAGTCGAAGTGAGAACCGCTGGGTATCTGGAGGCATACGCAGTATTTGAAGCATAGTGAAGGTACACGAGCACGTCAACCAATGAAATATCTAGGTAGTGACAGCCCTCCCGACCCCGCCATAAGCAGGCTGCATTAGCCTGCCTGAGGGGTTTCCACGACACGATCGTTTTCTTCGCACTAACTTTGCAAATCATAAGCATATTACAGAACGTTTTTTGAAATGTGCATGTACGACTACGGCAATCGACTCCACTAGCGTAGTATTAGGCTGCCCACGAGTGGTATTGAGGCCGCATGGACAATGAATCCAACTCCCTCAAGCAATAATAAAGATCTGTGAATACTAGTGCATAAGCAGTCTGCAGAAGTCGCGTTCAATGTTCCGCTCCAGTCGCACGTCGATCTGCGTTTGGGCTACAGTACTCGCCGCAGACACGTGGGGCTCCCCTGCGAGCCTTGATGCAGGTAGCTTATGATGGGAATCATGGCAAGAATCGATGACGACGAATGGCTTCCAGTACTGACAAGAACGTCAAATTAGCTTCGGGAGTGTTGGGAAGATTTCAATGGCTTTGTAGAGTATAAATGAACGCATCCAGCAGCGTCAGGCCAAGCTCACAACCGTCCTCAGTGACTTCTGGCCATTATCATTCTTCAAAATTCCTTACCACGTACACCACGCCTCTGAGACCTCGTCGTCGATCTTTAGGAAATGATGGATAGTCATGCTGACTACAAGTTCATGGGATGGATGGGCCTCGACGAGACTGCTGGGGAGGGTAAGATGGTCTGGCAGGAGTTCAAGCCCAAGACGTGGGAGGAGACCGATGTCGACATTCAAATCACACACAGTGGCATATGTGGCTCGGACCTCCACGTTCTCCGAAGTGGTTGGGTATGTTTGCCATCCATTAACCTGGAGCACTGAAGCTGAGACAATCTGTAGGGCCCGACACCATACCCATGCTGCGTTGGTCACGAGATCGTGGGTCGAGCTGTGCGTGTCGGCACGCAGGTTGAGGGTGGTATCAAGGTGGGCGATCGAGTCGGTGTCGGCGCTCAAGGTGACTCCTGCTTGGGTCGAGGGCAAGACTCTTGCGAAGAATGCTCGTCAGGAAATGAGCATTTCTGCGCCAAGCACGTTGGCACGTACGCCAGTTTCCATCTGAACGGCGACAAATCGTACGGGGGCCATGCGTTGTATAACCGCTCTCCAGGTCACTTTGTGTTCAAGATTCCAGATAGTATTTCTTCCGCCTCAGCAGCGGTCATGCTATGTGCGGGCATCACTACCTATTCTCCACTGAAACACTTTGGTTGCGGTCCAGGCAAGCGTGTGGGTGTAATTGGCCTAGGTGGCCTGGGCCATTTCGTCGTCATGTGGGCGAAAGCACTAGGTGCTGACTCTGTGGTGGCGATTTCTCGAAAAGAGAGCAAACGACAAGATGCTCTCGAAATGGGCGCAGATAACTATATCTCAACGGACGATCACCCTAGGTGGGATACCGAATTTGCAGGCTCATTTGATCTGCTCATCTCAACCATCTCGTCGTCAAAGGTAAGTCATGTGACCTCAAGATTTGGGATAGTGCCGCCGATGCTGATCCGTAACCCAGGCGCCTATCGCTGGCTACTTGGCTCTCTTGAGGCGGGATGGCACTCTCGCTCAAGTCGGAAATCCCGACGATGGCCTATTTTTGGTTCCCAGCACAGGTATAATCATCGGGAGGAAGAGACTTGTTGGTTCGATGATTGGCTCGCCAGGAGAGATCCGAGAGATGCTGCAGTTAGCAGCTGAGAAGGATGTTAAGCCATGGGTGGAGGAGAGACCAATGAAAGACGCAAATCAGGCCATGGTCGATATGGAAAGGGGCAAGGCTAGATATCGATATGTGCTGGTGAATGAAAATGATGCCTAGTATTGTCACTGTCGATATACCTCCAGGGCCGTCATGCGATCGGCAGAGCTTTTCCACAGCCCAAGCATAGAGTTAGCTTCTAGAAAGTCAAGGAAAAGATACAAAGAGCTTTGGCTCGCCGCGTTTAGCTCTCCAGTTGTTTGTTGCCTTGAAAAGGCCATGGCAGCCTTGCAAAATTGAAGACCACTTCTTGTAGAAGTCTTCTCCAATTTCCCAGCTTTCTAATCTGGATGGGTCACCCCAGACGATAAGGCTCTCTGATTGTTTTCCATGGCGGTTATCCACGATATCATGACACAGTGGCTCGTCATCGTAGTTGTCTCCAAGGAGGAGAATGTTGTCTCGCATGACTGGATCAGGCATTAGGTCAATCCATGGATGATGCTCCACGGTGCGCTGCAAGCTCGTTGGCTTGAGATTGACAGGACAAGTCTGCATGGGTGCTCTGGATGTCCCTTGAGATTGATAAAATGGTGAGATCGCTACACACTGAAGCCACTGTTTATCAAGACCAAGGGTTTGATCATTGGTCATCAATGCTCGAAAGATGTTGAATTTAATCAGTGTCAACAGCAGATCTGTTCGTGGTGATCCTTCCAGATATTGCGAATAAGCATATTCTGAGAAGCGAGTCAAAGACTGGTGAGTCTCGCCCGTGCCGTTGAAACACATCCATAGGTTCAACGGCTGCTCCGCAGTCTCCGCGTGCCTGACTTCAGCCTGTAGCTTCGGTTTTACTAAGACCTTCAATCCCTCACCCGAGGCGCCGTTGCACGCAGCCAGATTTCTTTTCATGGTTTGCCGCCTTCCTAAACGCTCGAGTCAATGGTGATGATAAGAAGAGCCTGGCGAAACGAAGATAAACTTACTCCACGCCCTTTGATGCAGGCGATTCTGAAGTTTCCTCCGCTTCGCAGGATCTGTAGTTCCACTCCAATCGTCACTAATATCGTGAATGTCAATCTGCTGGTGCGTCCTTAGAATGGATGGCAGCATATTGTGTACTAGGGCCTTTGTCGGTGATTGATAAATAGTGTTCGCCATGGTAGTCCGCGGGAACGGACTTGACAAGCGACTTGATATTATTTTGTTACCACATAAAACTCCAGAACATGTTTCGCCTTTGGTCAGGAAGACGACAAAGTTTGGCGCCCTCGCTCTTCAGAGGCTGCTTGGTGTGCTCAGATAGACTGAATCGCATAAATCGGAAAAGTGGAAGGTATTGATTTCGAGGAAAGATATTATTTACCATGCGGATATTAGCCAGGAATGTAGCTTGCCGGTGCTTTTCAATTAAGGCCGTACCACTCTCTTCAGCCCTCAGCCTACAATATCTACCCTACTCCAGACCAACCCCGCATCATAGACGATCACCATCTGCCCGCCAGCCTCGCCAACTTCTCCCCATCAACTTGACATGCTAAATATTCATCTTTGAGAAACGCACCAACGTTATCAGACAAAAACAAGTCGATGCTCGGGTTGTTCCATTTGAGCACCGACCACTGCAACCGTCCCATACCATACTCATTGACGCCCTTCACACCTGCAGCACCACCCACTTCCCTTGCCACGGCCGACAGAAGTGCTTTACCATACCCCTTCCCACGCTGTGATGCGGTAATGATCATGTCTTCAATGTAGATACCAGGACCCGTCCAGGTGCTGTAATTTGGGAAATAGACTGCGATGCCCACGATCGTGTCTACCGCATCGTTAGGCGAGATGAGGAGAGTGCGTGCATACCCTTTTGTGAATTGTATTGGGGTAGGTGAGGATGATGTCGAGGCAGATGGGTTAATTGGAAAGGATAAAGTACTGAGGAGCATCTCTTCGGTCGTTTTGCAGGAAGAAAGCTCCTTCTCATACTCGGCGAGCTCGCGCAGAAGTGACAGAACGATGGCGACGTCTGACTGGGTAGCGTAGCGGATCGTGTAGGTCGCGCTCATTATTGGGCCGGCCATTTTTAAGAAGTTGAGCACCTATATCGTGCTTGAGTGGCAAATTAGTTGACCTTGAGGTTCTCATCTTACACTGGGTAGAGAACATGTAGATATAGAGGTGTCGGTATGCTTCTGAAGTGATGCTCTGGGATACATCGCGACTTCGGAAGCGCCGAGCAATGGAGCTGTTTTGAAAAACGACCATGACATTATTCAAGGCTTACAAACAGGTGCGGGATATAAAGCCGTCCAACAGCTATCCACGAAATGCTCGAAGAAACACCTACTCCGTTTTCACAGGACGCCTTAGAGTGAGCTGGAATTATCATTTTCTTCGATAACATGAATACCACCAGTAGGTAATAGAGTTCCCTTTATTCTGCCATTGCTGAGGGAAACTGGCACAGAGGAACAATGATTGAGGGCTCTCAAAAGACTTTTGCTCAGACTCACAAACATAAGTCGAAATCACCGTCTTTAAAGGAAACTGCTGGGCATTTTCTGAAATGCAGCGTCCTTCGAACGAAATTACCAAAACTCGTTGAGGCTCCAGCCTCCATATATGCAGATCTGATTGAATCGAACGTACACGCGCGGATTCTGAGGTTCAAGTAATTGTTGTGCTGAGTTGTCACAGTCCTCGGACTTGAAAAATGATGCGAATTTTCGCATGAGTTTCTAAGGGAAAGAGTCGAAGTGTACGAGATAGTGGTTGACAATGTGTCGCCTGCGCGTGGCTTATTAACATCGTGATATCGAACGCACCAGAACCTCGAGCATCCGATTGCAGCATATTGGCCAGATGGACTGGAAGTCCGCGGGTTTCCAACGGCCGACCAAATCCAGCATGGTGGTGTAGATCCGATGGCCACAGGGAACCATGTTTCCGTTTTCGTCTTGCAACCCTCAGCTGGGAACGCTACGAGCCGCACCATCATGAGTGCGAGTCGCTCTCCCGAGCGTAAGTCAAGGTTGCTGAGATACCCCGCCCAGCAATTTGAGTTTCTGGCTGTCCTCATACTTAGAGTTGTACTCATCGCACGGACGTCCTGGGCAGATTCTTCAATCTCAGGAACCATGGAAATCACGAGAGTCATTAAGACGCTGAACTTTGGGAAGGTAAGCCACCACCAAAAACAGTAGACTTGCAGAAATGACTGGATCTAGGGTTGTGATTTATTGATCACGAGTGATGACACCAAGCCAGAGACTTCGAGGGAAAAGTACACGGTGATAGTCAAGCATGATGGGTCAGAAGGATCTCCACCACTATCTGTCCCATCGCACTGGCACAAGGTAAGCCGGCAATGTTCACAGGGTTCCCTCAAAGTTCAGGATACTCATCCGCAAAATCAGCATCATGACGAGTACATCACAATGGTGGAAGGCAGATGTAGCATCACTCTCAATGGGAAGACGAGCATCGTAGAAGCAGGCGATCCAGCAGTATTCATTCCTCGCTGGACAACGCACAGCATGGAAGGATTCACGGGTGAGAAAATGACGATGCACGAGCAACAAAACCCACCTGGACTGTACAAAGGCCTGTAAGTAGCTTCTCTCTGACCTTGCAAAGCTTTCATCCATTCTTTCTAATGGCTCAGCTGACCCTGCATGGAAAATGTTAGGTTCTTCAACGACCTGCTCTCCGAGGGACGAATGCCAGGATTCTGGCACGTTATGAGATCCTTCTATGATGGAGATACCTACCCAGGGCTACCAACAAACATCAAGTTCCTTGAGCAGTTGGTGAGTTAAGACCTTGTCGGTATTTCAAGCAAACATATTGATCTGGTAAACAGATGATCTGGATCCTGGGCCCTATTGCGAGATTGGTGGCCACAGCAAGGTCGGAACAATTTTGACGCGGTGGTCCACTCGAACATTTATATGAAGGCAATACATACCGACAACCATGGACAGGGCAGGCTTGAACTCTGATCGGAGAGAGCTTTATATCGTGTAAAAGCCCGGTGGCATCTATAGTCTTGTGGCAAAGGCAGTCCCTTATGAACGTAATGGGTAGGATGTATTTGGGTTAAAGAGCGCATTGTGCTGTACGGGGGTCGGAAAGGGAGCCCATAGTTTCACTCGAAGTGGCAGATATCACATAGTACCTAGTCTGAAGTACTGGGTTGAGTCTGAGCGGCAACCACTGCGATCTTAAAAGCTTTAGTGACTCTGATGCGACGTAGCCTGAGGTTCCAGGTTGTTTCGACCTGAGTTTGACAAAAGATCACGGCCAACTTGATACCAAGTATGCCAACCAACTCACAGAGTCCCCATTGCTTCGCCGTATACTTCTTCCCAGGTTTCTAATACTTCGCCCTATTGTTCACTCCGACAAACTGATTCTCCGCACAGGAACTTAGATGAGCTCACATGCGCTCATCATTGTCGGAAACAGAGAAGACAAAAACAAAGTACGCCGTTCAGATCTGTGAGTGCAGAAGCGCCTATACGACTGTGTACTCAACCTCGCTATGCCCGGACACTGGGGACAGGCGAAGCACAGTTTTGATCTCCAGCGTGCACATTGAGGGCACCCCACATCTCCATCTCCATCTCAGGTGTGACTGAGTCGCAACCATGCCGAACAAGAAGTCCAGAGCGAGTGCCTCAACTACTGGCAGCAAGGCCACTGATTCCCCCTCACTACCTGTGGCTCCAGTGGCGACACTGCCAGCACAGTCTCAGGCCCCAAGTCCGCTAGAGCCACCAGCACAGACACAAGCACAATCCTCCCAAGCCAAAGGCACGACATCCGCCTCGTCCTCCACCACCACCGCCACCGAAGACTTCTGGGCGAAGAATGCACGCGCCAAAGCGCTGATCATGTCGACGTTGGTCCCCGGCAGCGAGCCGTGGAAGATCGCGGAGCCGCTGGAACTCGCGTCGGATATCTGGAAGGCACTGGAGGACAAGTACGCGCCAAAGGACAACAAGAGCAGACTGGATGCGAAAGGGATTATTGATGCCGCGAAGAAGAGTGAAGGCGGAGGCGGAGCAGGAGCAGGCGGCGGCGGCGGTAACATCGTCACATCGGACAATCCGAGACCCTCGTCCTCGGACTTTATTGGGGATTGGGTCGAGGGGAAACCGATGGACAAGTACCTCGATATGTATCGCTCGAGTAAGAAAGCTACCGCCCAGCCGTTGCATGAGTCCTCGGATGCTACGAGTGCTGTGCAAAATACACCTACTGCTGGTATCAAGCATGCCGTCGAGACGGCCACGACTACCTCGACTTCTGCAACTACCGGACATGTGTTCCAAGCGCAACCGACTGCGCCCGAGGCCTCGGTGTCCTCTTCATCCTGGCGGGCAACACCGGTGGTTCACGGCAGTTATCTCACAGAACAACAAGCTCTTGCTTTTGCACAATATGATGTGGAGCGCAAGAAACAAATCCAAGTGGCTGCGACCAAGGTTCTGATGCAGAAGCTTCCTACTCGGGACCTGAGATTTCTCTGGGCTATACTCTATGGTGGAGAGGACGCCCCATGGCCAGGATCGAGCTCTGCCGTCATTCCAGGCGTCACGGTCTCAGCTGCAGTTGCTACATTTCGAGTGAATCCGGTTTGAAAGAAACGAAGGGAACAAGGATCCAATATATCTAACACTATTGATCTGGTACAGAAGGGGTATCAAAAACGACCAACTCTTGAACAATGGCGTGACTTCTGTGCTCGTCTCAGACGAAGAGGTGTACAGCGGACCGTCCTTGTTGCTGGCTATGGCCCAATATGTGCCAACAACAAGCAAATCTGTCAGAAGTCTCCTAAGCACATCCAGACAAGTAAAACAACCAGTGCAATCAGGCTTGCACTGGGATCGGCAATGGCGGTGTTGGCGTCATTCTTCTCCTGGATGTAAGTGACATTCTGGGCAAGTTCCACAATGTCTCTTGTTACATGACCCGTTTGTGCCAATTGTCGCATTTGATCACCAAAAGTGGCCAGGATATTCGAGCTTCGACCTGCGGGACAGAAGACGATCTCAAAACCACCACCTTGGGGAATGATGAAAGTACTTGTCTGATCATCATATGCATAACTGTATGCATCTGGGCAGATTTTCTTTGCTTGGGTGGAATACAGACTCGGCGAACATGTGGCTGGTGTATTGTGCTTACCAGTACAACAAAACTCGGGCTTGTTCCATTTCGCACACGCGCTGAGGCAGGGGTTGAACGGTGGTCGCTGGATCTTGTCATCTGGATATGGATAAATTCCATCACCGGGCTTCTTAGGCGGAGTCAACTGGAGTGGCCACGGACACCACTGTTGAATGAAGGAAGCAGAAACTGACTGCTCGAGTGGGATAGGATATGTGGTATTGGATCCGAAGGTGGCATCTGATGTGTCACCTATTGGAGCGAGGAGGGAAGACGTCCCAATGCAGACGGGGTTGGTGAGGTTGGGTGGCACATCGGTCAAAGTGGAGTTGTCGGTCTGTCCAAGCAGAGAAATGATACCCATAGGAAGATTGTATCCGTCGACCAGCGAGATGTCGTAGAATGACTGATATGTGGCACTCGACAAAGTGAACTCCGCTAGCGTTGCAGGCGCTGCTCCCTAGTCCAGAGATCCCAAATCAGCCACGTCTAGATCTCCAAGCCTGTGCAATAAGAAAAATCCTCAACTTACCGCACCCTGACATTCAAGGAACATTCCACAATCCCCAGTCCCGCACGCGACACCGCCCTGTCCACTTGCAGGTCCGCCTCCTGCCGAGGGAAATGAACAGTTCGTTCTACCCCAGACCCGGCCCCTCCAATCACCACTGACAGTCTGCGCACTGGAACCACCAGAGTCGAGCTCGAATCCCGAACTTTTAGGACCGATACCACTCTGCGTCAGGATTGCGGGCCATATTGTCTCGGGACAATGATTTGTCACGCGCAAAGGAACATTGGTGTCTCGTGGATGTAGATATTGAGCGTTGGCAGTACTTGTTATGAGTGCCAGATGGAGGACGCCAACCAGATGATTGGGTCTCTTTGATGTACGGTTTCTGCTTGTCTTGAGCGAGCTTGACTTTGACTTGATTCTTGAACATGATTCCAGTGGTGCTTGGCTGCGTACATGAGGATTGATCTGAGCATTGGGTGGCATCAATGCCTTTCCACGTCCCATATTAAGGTGGGGACGGCGAACTGACGCCTTTCGTTGTTCAACGGGTCGCTTTACTTGGTCTGCTGGATGGTGAAATAATAATACTTGCGGTATAGCTTCTGCTATTGAAGGATACGATATCAGGCGACGTAGGTAATTGCGGGTGTTTTGATCGAGATGATGAAAGTAGAGAAGATCTGAAGTGGTATCCGAGTGATAGGTGGCAGCCAGGAAGTCGCGATGGATATATCTAGTCTGTCCATGTACTTGAAGAGCAGAAGGGACGCGCCAGGGAAGTCACGAAACCTGATCCTGGCAGCTCGCTAAAGCCAAGTTTCCAACCATTGGGAGTGTCGATCTGGAGCAACGGCCATCCAAGGTCCCTTGTCTACCACATGTCCAGAGAACAGGATACCAGTATGGCCAGAGATAAAACATAGAGCAATGTGCATTAGTCCATGGCTGAATTACCGCTAATGCACTGCTTCCCAGCTCATGCCAGCTTCAACGTTTCTGCTGTCTGGATCACTGGCAATGTGAGATACGAATTGTGCAAAGTTGGATCGCAATGAGGAGTGACGCAATGAGCGGTGATGTCATTGATAGGTACTAGAAAGTGGCTGAGTCTTGGCATGTTTGTGGTGGCGCCCGAGGAGGTCAGCCTCAACGGTGATTTACTGCTAGTCCTAGTTGGGTAAGTCAGATTCTCGCCATTCCATGAAGCTGCTCCTTTGTCATTCACCCTTCCTCACACTGACTTCCCATCAATGTTACAGCTTCATCGTTTTAAAAAAAACTGGAGCATCTATATCTCATAACCTTTTCACGCATGTAACATGCATGCTCATGAGGTTCCTCGGCATGTTTTGCTAACTTTAAGTTCCTGATGTCAGTTCCTATTCTGCTCTTGCGAAATCCTAGGTCTTAGTCGTGACGGGACTGTATGGTCACTTCCAGCCCTGATTGCAGGACGAAGAAACTGGGACCGTATTAGTTTCGGGGTCCACTATTGACATTCTACGAGGTCTTTTCACTTACTAGCTCTGCAATTTCCACTCGACATCGGTATCGGCAAAATTGATCACAAAGTTCCTCAATATTGTCGGAACTACCTGTTACATCAAATAAATAAAGCATCAGCTCGACCAGTACGGATGGATAAGTAACGGAGATTCGTACCTTGGACACTTCGATCCAAACAAGATCTGCATTGCCATGTCTTAATATTTGCAACTTCCGAGGATACGGACAACTTACTCTTTCCCAAGCACATCCGCGAGGTCCCTCCAAATGCTAAAAATCCACTTACTGCAGCGGTCAAAACCATAAAGTGATCACTGACACAGACTGACTTACATAGCTGGCTTCGATCACCTTCCAACCACCTCTCAGGACGGAACATCTTCGCGTCCTGGCCATATATATGCTCAGAACGGCCAAGGACATAGGGAGAGCTACCAATAATTGTCTGTCATGGTCAGCGATATTCCTCCGAAGCTAAGCAAGACTGGTGTCTTACCCCTGCTGGTAAAGAATGCCCTTCAACCTGCAAACCTCCTTCAGGGACGATCCGAGGTAAACTTTGAGCAACGACAGGATGGATGCGATTAGCTTCATTCATGACTGCTTGTAAATAAGGCATTTTGTTAGCCTGCTCATAAGTCACCGGTTTGTCGATATCTATGTCTCCAACCACATCGTTTATTTCGTTCAGCAATTTCTTCAGACATCCGAGATTTTTAAGAAGGTGATAGAATATCGATCGTAGTGCAACCGCAGTTGTATCGCTACCAGCAAAAACATTACTGGTTGCCATCGAGATCACTACCGTGTTGTCCACCTCTGCTGGGTTTTGTCCATGCAACTCGATCAGTTTGCTCAACATGTCTCGATGATCACTTCCTCTCTTGATTCGGGATTGTGCTTGCTGCAGGGTGAAGTCACGTATGGCTCCGCTCCTTGCATTCAATGCAAGATGGTTGCCAATCAAGGGGCTCAATCTCTGATGGATTCGATACACCCAGGGGATGTGACCGACCCAGGAGCCAGATCTTGCAGCTCTTTTGATGATTTTCAATGACTCAGACTCCTCTCCTGTCTCCATGAGTCCGAAACGCTGGGAGAACGTCACTTCTCCGATTACGTCTAACAACATCAGTCATCAGACCACGTGCAATCGGGTATGACTCAAACCAAAAGCGAATAATTGCAACATCACACCAAAATCGAATGATTTTCCTTCTTTTGTTCGCAAGATGCTCACGAAATGTTGGATTGCACTGTCGACATACGGCTCCAGATCAATCAGTGACGAAGTTGCATAAACGTGATTTACCGATCGACGATTATTCCGATGAACAATGGAGTCTCCTTCTGCAAACAGATCCCATGTCCGTGTACCTTTTAGCGGCGCATAGAAGTCACTCTTGTTGAACAGAGATCCCGCACCTATAGGGCAAATAGCGTCAGAAAGAACAGCTGGCTAATTTTCCAATGATTCTCCAGAGGACCCCATCATACCATAAATCTTCTTGATAGCATCAGGAGACAAGGTAAGAACTTCATCAGGCCCTACACGCACCGTCGTCCCGTATTTTTCATGCACCTCGGTCAAAACTATATGGAAATCCCCTTTCCATCCATGATATGCGAGCCACAGTCTCGTGAAACGTGCGATGAATGGTCCAGGGATGCCAGAAAGGGGCGACAGAAATCCATAATAAGCGATGTATGCGAGGAGCAATATTGTTGATGCAGGGGCGATGAGTCTTGTGATGAGAGCGAGCAAGATATTAGTAGCAGCATATGGAGAAATGCGGTTATCCATGATGGTGTCCATGGTGATTGGATCACTTTATGCCAAACGGCTGCGATGGAAATATTTTTCACATACACGACCACAAACTTTACAACAGAAGTTGATGACAGCAAACGCATGGCCCTCTTAATATATGAATCTCAGAGAGAGCTGATCGATAGTGGAGGTCGCTTCGCACACACCCACATGCATGATCGTGACTGGCGTACATCCGTCGCGACTTTACCATCTCCACTACACTGTGTATACCATACAGCTTCACCCACAATCTTCCCTACTAATTGGAGGGAGAAGCGAGTACGAATACGCACCTCATTGGCCACAACAGACAGGAGGAATGCTTTGCCTTCCGAAAGTATTACTGGCCGCCTGAGCTGAGTCATGTCATCCACGATCAGCTTGCTCGTAATCCTAAAGTAAGTCGAGGGATTTGTCGTTCGATCACCAGTGAGCGAAGGACAAAAAATGTGCGGATAAGCGGCCGAAAGGCTCAATTGCAGACTTGTTGGGCGTAAGTGTACGCGTGGACCCGACACCATCATCTCGTATTCACACGAGACTGAACTCGTAGTGACTTCAATGTTCGTCAGTGGCCTCACGAGGTTGCGTTGATGGCAACCACGAGTAGCATGCCAGTAGAGTCAGGTAATACCAGGTAGTCATCAAATGACACGAGCAATAGTGGGTTGTTCAGAGAAATCAATTCCCACCTGCTTTAGTGCAAAGTCGTGTGAGAGTTTGGTCCAAGCAAAAGCTTATCCCCCTCCGGCAAATGCACGCTCGGTACCCCATAGTCGCTAACAAAGCTTGGTACCTACGTGGTTGCTGGACATTATTCCTAAGCTGATTTTGGATTCAAGCGATCGTTTCCCCTGTCGAGATCGGTAGCTTACTCCAATACCAGCTAATAATCCTCGAGGAGCAAGAACTCAAGGTGAAGCAGCCGTACGTAGAGATAGGAAGATTTCGAGAGTTTTATTCCATGTAGCCATCGGCCACAGCCTCCCAAAGGTGGACTCGGAACCCTCGGCGATGTTGCATAACTCGCCCGCTGTCTCTGGTGTCAAGACCAACCACTCACAGAACTTCCTGAGAAGCAAGCCTGTAATAATAGGGTGATTATTGTCCCACGAAACCAAGTCGCCTGGATATAGAAGTGGCCTGTTCAACCTCTTCTGTACAGCGGCATACACAGCAAGTGGATAGAAGATGGTCGAGTTGGTGGTAGCAACTGCACCGAGGATCCATTGGGGGCATCGTAACGTCGTAGTCGACTCCCCTGGTGTTACAGATATCGTTCTCCTTCGACTAAAGATGTCACAGGGCCTGAAGTGAAGCACACGTGCGGTGCAAGGCCTGTGTCCGGATTCTCCACAACACCATACATCAGTGCCTTGCTCGTCCGCGCAATATCTGTTGAAGGTGCATGGCATGCAGCGCTTATCGCAATGCTACAACTTCTGACCAGAGGCATTCGCTCCCCGTAGTTGAACAGCCTACATGATAACCACAGTGTGATGATCATAAATCCTCCTAGGATAAGCGAAAGTATGAACCCAAGTGGGGACCAGACGCATCCGACTTTGGTATAACCTCGATTCAGTTGGACTCCAGTAATAGTAGCATAGTCATCCGCTCGAACAAGGCTTAAGAATATGCTCTGAGAAGCTAGCCAATGCAGTGTTGTTGCTGCTATCAATAATGGTATCGACCATCTCCAGGGTAATGATAAGAAATGGCTGCCCCGTTGAGCACCCTTTGGAAATTGAACTCGAAGATGTTTGCGGAATCGTGAATATGATGACCATTCCTTCGCTAGGTAGAATCGAGTGAAGAGATCATTGTAAATGAGGTATAAGCAAGAGATAACTAGTTGCGGTATATTAGGTAGGATGGCATATAGCTCGACAGATTGGGGGAGTAGGTCGAATGAGATCATGTTGTCCAGATCAAAATGACCAAGCCCGTAGGCTTTGATGTCAGTGACACTCATAAGTCCAGAAGAATTCACACCCAGCAGAAGCAGCGTACAGAAAGTGAGCCACACAAGCACAAAGCTAGGACATTTAGCGTTAGTCACAAGGTTTCGATTTAGTGATATCACTTACAGTATGTTGCTGAGCCTCCACCTGAGCTTGCTACAAGCGTCTGCACCCGAGATCCGCTTGTGTTTCCATAGATATCCACCCCGTGGCTTGCTTTGATAGGAGCGTTCATCGGTGGCAGTCATGGCCCCAAAGCCAATTGTATATACATCTGGCGTATCCAAAAATGACGCTATTGCATCACCAAGTGTTACCAGAGGTTCGACTTGTACTGTGCGAAGTGTTAGATATATGCAAACTGCTTTAATCAGATTGCAAGCCAGCACTGCCGCCAGAAAAGTCAGTGAGACGCTCAATTGGCAGGCCTCTGTTACCTTCTCTGCGAGACAGTATTGCACTGCAACAGGCTCATTATCAAGTGGCTCTGGCTCCTCTCCCCCGAAGTTGAAAGGTTGAATGTTCTGGCATGAGCCTGCTCCGACATCTTGCTTTGTTATTCCCAGCACATTCCACTTCATTGGCTCTGGATTGCAATCCGTACCGTCCGAGGGAGTTTCATAAGGACAGATCCACCTTCTCCAATTGCCCCTTTCTGTTGTATTCATGTATACCATATTAAGTATAACATCCTCACTCGAGGAATTGGAAACCACTATGACGTTGCTAAATTTAGAAATAAGATCCCGACTGTATACTCGAAGGCAGTCCGCGTTTTCAAGCCGAATAAGTGACTGAGCATTTTCTTGCAAGTATTGTATCGTTGAGGATATTTGTGGCTTCGAGATCTCTTGATATGCATTGCAGCTACCGATTATTGAAGCTCTCGTGGAATTCCAATGACTACCATTCAAGAAGTGGGTGTTGGCGACAACGACCCCAAAGTAATTTGTTGCTATGCTCCCAACGACGGCGGAGTTGTATCTGACATTGTGAGCTGCAGCATTGTAGAAGCAGGGGTACCTCATACAAAAGGTGAAGTGGGATTGAGCTTAAAGCTACCAAAACCCACAGAATGGTCCGCCGTGGAGAGATATGTTTCAAGTTTCTGAAGGTTTGTACTCCTATATCAAGTGCCTGTTGTTTTGAATGGGCTTTATTGACTTCTTCCCTTGTTGGTGCAGTCAGAAATTGCATACAGCTGTTGCTGATAGCGAGGAGCAAGGAACTGGAAGCATTGATGAAGAAATGGAATAAAGTGGACTGCGATTTTGCATCAGCGCAGGAGCCAGAAAATATTGTCACAGTCATGCCCTGTGAGACAGAAGGTTTTCTCGAAGCCCAGACAAAAAAGGCCAAGTTTGAAGCCAGAATGACTAAGACACAGATCAGCCCAATTTTCAATGTCGCCTTCGAACTCGTTGGCAGTATTCGTTGCAACGAAATGTGCAGAGTCATATCTGTATCTCCTAACCAGAACGCTCAGCCCAAAGTAATGAGACTTGCAGAGTAGACTTGTCATATGACAAGAGGACTTCGAATTGAACTACAACAGGCAAAAACGGTAAAAAGAGCAAGAGAACAAGTAGAGCAAAGTAAGGCGCATTGCATGCCAAACCGTCATCTTTGAAATCGTATGTGATCATTGAATTCAGAGCCCCCTAAGATGTCAAAGATAATTGTTGGCGCGTAGAGGCACAGGCAAGGGCTTTCGAATCAGGGGAATCCCAGTCTCAGCGTACCCCTTTTGAGCTTGGACGAATGCCAAGCACGGAATGCTCAGCCTCTCGACCCAGTCGAGCTCCAAGTACTCGCTAGTTTTCAGCCCAGAATTTGTGTAATCCCTTTTGCTTGCAGCAAACTGTGGGATGGTGTGCATATATTCGCCTCCTGATGCGTCTCGGTATCGTAGGTTTTTGCCAAGTAGATGCGCTCGTTCTAATTTAAGTAAAGCGCAATATTTAGTTAGTACTAATTCTTAGCTGTAGGAGGATCTTAAACATATCCGATGTTGTTGGCAGCATACTGATGGTCTTTTCGGTCTTCGGATTACAGCCATAATTAGTGCGAAGTGGCTGATTAAACAGCGGTAGTGTTTCTTCCTCGATTAGCCGATAGCTTCCACTGTATGTCATGTTGTGAATTACCGCGTTCTGGGCCGGCTTCTATAGGTTATATACTAAGGACAAGACTTTGTCACTGTGGAGACGTTTGGGCTCGACAAGCATCAAAGGCGTGATAGATAAGATGGCCGTAGCTCGGCCATCTTAATGGAGAGGACGAAATACTCAAGTCGCCAGCTTGGAAAAGAGTTGCCAAGGTGGGAAGGCACTGATTGCAGCAACTATGACTGTGGCCAGAGTGTGAGATCGTGGTCTCCTGGTGCTCTGAGTTCGGTAACAATGATCCCTCGTGCGTGCAGCGCGCCCGATCTGCGAATCCACTCGTGACCGCCTTCCTGGTGGTTTCCAACTGAGTTCATGATAAAAGCGCCAACTCCATATGGCATGATAGGTAGCGCTCGATTCAAGTACCGCTGGCTTGCGAGCTGACCCTGAACTCGGGTACGCGTCGTCAAATCCTCGAAGGTAGCTTCAAGGGCAAATAGAGCCGCGGCTGCAGTCCCCCCGCCTCTCTCCATCGCGACACTGAGTTCTCTAAGGTCGCCGATGATGCGTCAGGGATGACGATTTGCCGTGGGGACTCCACCAGCATGTCATCCCTTCAATCACAATGCTGCAATTTCATCTCCAATTGTTCATGACGTTCACTTTGTCCACGAGATTATTCACTTGAAGAGGAAAAGGGGCGGCGACGAAAGTGTCTTGCCCAGACGGTGAGAGAGAAAGCTTCACGGGTTATGAAATAGTATAGTATCGGTTCTCGTCGTTGTGTCGGTGCTCATCGTTGACGAACTATCAGCGAACGAAGCCCCAGAGCTTGTTGTACTTTGAAAGCTCGTCGTCGTTGAAGAATCGGCAGCCGTGGTTTCGGAACTCGTGGTCGAATGAAAACTGCTGGTAGTTTGAGTCCTTGCTAGTTGCACTTTGAGCCGTTGTATCGCTCGTTGTGCTGTGACTAGTTACATCCGAGCTGGTTATGCTTTAAGTCGTTGTATCACTAATGACACTTTAAGTCGTGATATCGAGGCCATTTATGCTTTAAGTCGCTGTATCACTTATTGTCGCTTAGGGGGTTGGATCTAAAGTTATTGTCGAAGTTGAGAATATTGTAAGCGATAAGGTGGGCGGAGATTTCGCTGCTGTGGTTAAAGTCGGTGTAGTAGAGCTAGAGGTGTCGACAGTAGATGTAGTGCTGTCTGTTGACGTACTCGGAAAAGGTAGATTCTAGAGATGAACTTATTGTTGAGCTTGCTGATCAAGGTTCAGCTGTGAAAGTGTGGTCGCAGAACCCGAGAAATGAAGTTAAAGTGAGGCTTGATGTCATTTACTGAGTTATTGATGAAGAGAGGCTGAACGGCTTGAACGACATAGAGGTGGATGAACGGTTTGTTAGCAACATGCAACTCACCTACGGCTCGAATTCCCAATGGCCTTCCAGTCCTTGAACGAAAGGGAGTCTCATAATCATTGTCGACCTCCTGATACCAGTTTTGCAAACTAACAAGATCAAACTCGAATTAAGAATTGGACAGCCATACAACAATTACAACATTCTCTCCAACTTCCACGACCTCATAACCCTCGCAAAGCGCACGCATGATAGACGGGGCTGTCATGTATGAAGAATTCTTGGTACATGACCTGATTTAATAAGGTTGCAAAACTCCAAGCTCCAGCGTCAGCGTCAGAAGTCTTGTCAAACGGCCCTGCGAAGACGGGTGTCCGTATTGACCAGCACATCCGCAGTTAACCCATGGGTCGAGAACGATATGATTTGCGGCTCATCCCAATGGTTCATCCGCGAGGTTTCGAGGACCGTAAGCTGCATTCATCTCTGTGGACAAGTTATCCACCAAACAGTCCGAGAAAACCCCCTGCGTTCCGGCGCATTCATGTGTCCAATACTGTCAATCAAACCATCCGAACAGGCCTGCTGCCACAAAACCGAGGATTGGTGGGAAAATCCAATGCTGTAATTCGCCACCACCGATCAGTGAACGACTCACCAGTCCGTCCATAATGGGTAGTATAATCGAAACACACAAAGCCTTTCCCATCAGCTTTTGGTCACCCGTGGCATAGATGGCGGTAAGCACGGAGGCAAATGAGATGTTTCGAATCCCCCAAATCCGCATCAGGGCGTGATTGAGCTTTCTGAGCTGAGGCTCAGTGTGTACTGGGAACTCCAGGCTTCTTAGATGTGCGTCGGGACGAATTATTGCATTGGAGCCGAACCCGAATAGCATGATAGCTAGACCGAGCGTAGAGTGGATGAACGCTGGGTGCGGCATATTGAATATACTTGATATACGAGGGTCAATGAAGCGATGGTTGCTTTCGATAATGCTTGTGAAGGGCTTCTTGGGGATCGAGTACTGAGTTTTGCAGTGAAAGACGATTATGGGTAAAGGAGTGTTTTATATTCCAGATGCACATTGAATTAGGACATAGCTTGTCAACAAGAGTTCTGCTGGCGTACCTTTCACTCAGCGACTGACGAGAATGAATTATCGCTCATTCCCGCATTGCATGCAATTCACTGCCGACTCAACTTCAGTTGAATCCACTTATAATGGTATTCATCCGAGCCCGAAGAGAAGTTGCTTAGCGGCATAGCCAAATTGAGGCAAGTGTATTTGAGTGACATCAGTCGTGGAGATAAGGTTAATCTAGGCACGAATAGCGTTGGGAGAGTCCACCCCTATTAGTCCGACTCCGAGTCCTCCTACTTCATAGTCTTTTAGAAGGAGTTGACTTTTACTGTAAGTCCTATTCAACTCTACTAGGTAAGTATCTGCACACTATGCATCTTTAATGCGATGCGTAGGGGCGCTTTCGGCACAGCGTACGATATAAATCCCTGCGCGAGGTGTTGAGCTCGGACGGCATACTGTTTTACTATTGTTGTAGCGATAGCGTATAGAACGTCCGAGTGTAGTCAATTAGCTTCGCATAGCTTCGTATCACACCGTTTATCTATATCGCGATATCGAGACCTCCTCTCGAATAGATCACTATCGGCTTAGGTAGAGCGCTTTACAATAGGCAACCAATCCCTTCTACTAATATGCCTTTAAATCAACCAAGAAACTTCCCCCACAACATCCCTAACAAGCCCGTCGTTTTGTAACCCTGGTGTATCCGAGCTTTCCCATCGACCTTTGCCCTAACATTGTCCCAAACCTGCTCCAGATCCGGCCTATCACTCGCTCCTCCAAGGTTCATGACACTCGGAATGATCGCCCACTTCTCCAATACGGTGCGCTCTGGGCCTACAATCTCTCCTCCCTTCTCTCCTCGTAGTACCAAAATCGCCGGCTGAGCCATTCCATTCTCATAACCCTTCTTCTCGCTCACCGCGACCTCAAGCCCGTACCTCTCTTTCACCAACCCCACGAGCGTATTTTCTGTGTCGACGATTGCATCGCCTTGATAGCCGGAGAGTTTGCGCGTCTCAGAGAGAAAAGAGGCGGGTTCAGATGTGACGGTTAGAGTTTTGCCGCCGAGGGCGGTGATAGACGGGGAGAGTTTCTGGAGACTCTGAAGGTAGGCCCTGCAGAAGGGACACCAGTGGCCGCGGTAAACTAAAGAGATTAATTTGGGCAGGGACGAGGAGGAACCAGACATAACTTACAGACTACAAACAGGATGGAAGATGACGACAGGAGGGAGTTGAATTGTTCGACGGGTGTTTGAGTAGCCATTGAGATAGTCAGGTTGTGGCTTCGACGAGTCTGATATTCTGTTCGCTGAGTTTGTATCAATGAAATGGAGCTTTGATTACCGTTGACGTGCAGTTAAGGTAGGCGTGAGTCTGAAGAATCGATGTCTCTCGATGGAATAAAATATCAGAGACATATATATGCGCGTCTCTTTCCGAGAGCTAGACAACGTAAAGTCATGGCTTCATTGCTTGAGAATACAAATTCCTTCGCTAGGGTTGATCATCATCGACTACCTTAGAAACGCCATGACTGTGTAATCGACAAAAAAGTTGTTTACGACGTGGGCTGGGAATACGACAATGATTTGAATTACACAGCGCGCCTTCTCGCTACACAGATGTAATCCCCGGTTTGGTGTCTTGGATGTTCGTCTAACTTAATTGATATATTAGTAAGGCAGCATTTCGAGAGAAAACGACGAGCTTTATTTCAGATACGATGACTCTGGAGAGCCCTGTATGGCTGGAGGATTTTGAAGTTGCCGTGGCTTCTACCATCGCCGACGGACGCGCACCACGAATTGGTCCGCCGATTTTTCGGGTGTGGTCAGGCTTGAAAGTTCAGGGGAACGTCCAAAATGACCTCATAGCTACAACGTTCGGCTAAAATTAGTACAGCAGCCACGAGCAGCTCAACAACCTAGGTACTTTAGTCACCTTATCGCTGCGGAAATTTGAGAAATCAGGACGGGCGCATGTCTGATTCCTGATATAATCGTGCTAGGCTTAAGGCTACATGACAAAATGAATTGAGTCTTTCCAGTATGACATCTACCCACTTTAAAGGCTCATTTATTTTGTCACGTACCCCTAGCTAGCCAGCAGCTCGCATCAGAGCCGGGTTTATAGCGGCCTGGGCAGGGTTCATAATGAGCTCGTCCAACAGTCTCAAGGTTACCATCTTCGACTGAGGGGGACATGGGAGCATGCTTCACAGGTGTATAGATCCTGTTGTCATTGCCAGCCATATCGTGGTCCGATTACAGGTCGAGAGATTCTTCCAAAAGAAGAGCACAGAACTTTGAAGTCCAGAAGGATCGTGTTGGCGAAGTTGGATCAAGTGCTAACTCTAATAATTTCGGTACGAGGCGTTCAGCGCACGCCCTTTTTGTCCGCGTTCCTTGACGGATATCCGTTGGCTTTCACCGTCATCGACGACGAGGGGCGTACCATCTGGTGTGCCGGTTTCCTTGGTGAGGTAACGCTTTGATAGATATCAACTTATCGTGATTTGCCGGTTCCCTGCTGCTGAGGGTTAAATAGGAGAGTTCGCGTTCTCGCTATAACTACTTAGTAGGGGTAATTATCTACCTACCAAGGAATTGGTTTCTGTTTTGAAAGCGTGTGACGATGAATAAGGATATATACATAAGGACAACTACCTACGAAGTATTGGCACCGGACTGGTAAAGAGCCCGAGGTCTTTATCGATAAGGAGTCGGCCGTGGGCTGACATCATTGATTTCCATGGGGCGGCGATTCCACGCCAGGCCTCCGCATAAACTTCGTATCCGATCGTCTCATCTCGTCTCGCCTCATCGCCATACGAGAGAGCATCTCAACTTGTTGATCACTCCATCAAGCAAATAGTACCACGTCTGTGTCGCTGGTGCCACTATATCATACCCAAAATGACCAAATCCAAACCCACACGCACGCCCTCCCCTCCCTCAGACCCCCAAGCATCGACAGCAGTATGCTGCACATGCGCAACCCTGCTATCCAAGACGAAAGTCCCCTACGACCCAGTATCCGAAAAACCACTCTTCTACACCCGACGCCTCCCCTGCTGCGGCCGGGACATCTGCGCGTTGTGCCAGCACACGAACCCGCGGTTCCAGTCGTACTGTCCGTTCTGCCAGATCTCGAGCGGGCCCAGCGCATTGCCGCCGGACGGACTGCGGCTGCCGCCGTCGTATTCGAAGAGCGGGCCGGAGACGAGTGGTGGAGAAGGAGGGGAGGATGCGCCGCCGGCGTACGATGAGCTGTCGTCGAGGACACAAATGCAGCAGCGGAGGGTAGATGGGCAGAGTCAGAATACGGCGCCGCCGTCACAGGAGGAAACCGAGGACACGGTCCATTTCGTGGGGCTGGACGACACGCTCGCGTCGCTGTCGATCGCGTACGGCGTGCCGGCGGCGGTGCTGCGGGCGCACAACAATGTGTTTTCCGACGGGCTGATCACCGCCCGCAAGTGGGTGTTGATCCCGCGGTCGCACTATGACGGCCCGCCGTTGTCGGTGCCGCCGGATCCGGACGAGGAGGAGCGCAAGACCAAGCTGCGCAGGTGGATGGTCGCTACGAAGTGTGCGGATTATGCCGTCGCCACCCTGTATCTCAAGGCGAGTGATTATCAGCTGGACGTTGCCGTCCAGGCGTTCAAGGCTGATGAGGAGTGGGAGCGGAGGAATCCGCTGGAGGGGCAGGGGAAGGGCAAGGAGAAGGAGAAGCGGAGGTCGAGGCTGGGCCGGGGTGGGAGTCTTGCGGGTCAGCTTTCGTGATGTGGGGATTCGAGGGCAACAAGGATGACAGTCCGAAATATGATCATACATTGGTCTAGGCTGGATGGGATAGAAGCACATATATTAGTACATTCCCCTCATGAGATGATAATACACAAGCCCCACGCCAATGTTCATCGGGTATCAGAGTCCATTGGGCATGGTTTCTCGTCAAACACAAACGAAAGTACCATCGTCGGCACAAACGGGATCTCATGTTGGCCTATTGCGCAGTTCTCCTCCTGCTGCTGTGGCTTCCCGTAGTTCGACTCCACTTGAAGTCCCTGGGTCGTTGGGCCTTTCCACCTTGGGTTCTGAATTTGTCACGTTCGTGTCTGATGGCTCAACAGACGGAGCACCGTGGTTATCCTCAGGCTGTGTCGGCACTGTCGCCGCCGCCTCCTCTGCTCGCTGTCTTTCCTCATCTTCTAGCTGCTGAGCCAACCGTCTTGCCTCTTCTCTAGCCCTAACATGGCGTTCACCCACTCCTGGTATCAAACTCGCCAGGAACAAGGCTACACTGTGTTCAACACGATGGAAAGCTTCTCTCCAAATGCTGGGATTTTGGGTTTGGTGTTCCCGTATCAGACGAGCAGCAGCCTCTTCTGGTGTCATCTGAACGGCACCACGAACATTGGCTGGTCTTTGATTGCCCTGCTCGACCTCGGCACCTCTTTGTCCGCCTCGGTCTGGACGTCTTTGCGCAGCCTCGGGTTGTGGACGAGGTGTGGCCGGACCGATGAGATTGTCAAAATATTGACGAGCCGCCGCAAGACCGCGTGTCAAAGGCCCATCTCTAGGCTGAAGGCATATAACGGCGGCAAGGACAATCATGAGCCAACGTTTCCAGGTGCCTTGATCGGAAAAGACAAACATAAATAGATACAGTCTAAGAAATAGCCAACCGCGTTGAATAATGAGAGCAAAGAGATCATTGTCCTGGGGGTTCTGTGGAGCTTGAGCAACTGCTGCTCCAGCCCTTGGTTCTTGAGGAATCAAGGCCCGATTCGGATTGTCATTAATCTGAGCAGGCTCACCAGTAATCCCGGCTACTGCTGCTGTGGAGTTCGTGGCTTGGGTGGCGTCACTCGCATTGGCTTGAGTAGCTGTAGAGCTGGGTTGTGACACGGCATTGACGGAAGGAGCGATCGGGTTGGTGGAAGAGAAGTAGCCATGGTTCGGAGAGAACAAGAAGGCTTGCGGACCAGCTGGAGATGACAGAATCCATGCGGTAGGTCTCGCTGGCTGGGGTTGCATCGTGTGTGTAGAAGAGAAGGGCATCGGTAAGTGAAATGGTAAAGAGGGTAGAAGGGCGGGCTGCTGTTGAACCTGGGGCATAGTTCTCTCTGCAAGATTGTTGGGTTGTAGGATGGGGATAGGGCTTCGATTTTGTTGATTTCTGGGTGGCGCTTGACCTGGCGCAGAAGCAGGCCGTTGAATGGGAATTCGGAAGGATACTTGATCGCTGATGACTGTCATACGCTCCCCGTTGGGACCTTGCATCGTTTGAATTTGTGGGTTAGATGGGGTAATGCCAGGAGCCATAGTATGGGTAGGTGGGTTGGGGTTGATCTGGCCGGGCAATTGAGGAGGGTGAAGACCTCCTATGATTTGCGAGAAACCCGGTATACCATGTTGCTGGAGAGGGTCAAGACCCCGCCCGGGAGCATTGAGAGCGGCGTGCAGCTCAAAAGGCGGTACATTGGGAGGAAGGGCAGCAGGCAATTGAGTTGGATGGAGAGGTATGGGAACCCCGGGTTGATTGGTTTGGAAGGGTGCTGCTACTGGCACCGAGGGTGGTGCTGGCGATGCGGCCGTTGGTAATGTGCCCCCAGCATGTGCTGGATTTCTGGGTTGACTCTGCTGACTGGGCGTTGGAGCACCCAGATTATGATGTTGCATTGCTATTCTTTGCTGAACAGACCGAAGGTCTGCTCCATTGGTTTCGATGGACTGTTGAATGCGAGAGATGGCCTCCTGCAATCCGGCATAGTGAGCCTGGGCATGAGCCTGAGCGTGGGCTTGTGCATGTGCTTGAGCATGGTTCTGGGCATGAATCGCAGCAATCGAATTGAGATTGGGTGCCGACCTCGTTACCGGAGGAGTTGCAGTACGCGGGGCATTGACAAAACTGGCTGTCACTGGTGGCTGAGGAATAGCAGCAGGAGCAGGAGGTTGGCTTGAATTGATGATGATTTGAATTGTATAGGGTAGAGGCCCAGAAGGGCTACCATTTTCTAATCTCAGAACTTGCCTCAACGTGGCCTCATCCCGCATCAATGCATGGCCCCGATAGATGAGACGTTGTGACTGCGGAGATGGATGCTCGGGCAACTCGGATTGAATTCGGTCCCTGAGTGATGCAACGGTAGTAGTGAGAGCGATCCGCCCGAGCGAATGGGTTGGTCTGGGATTTCCCGTAACCATATATGCCAATTGTAAGTTGACATGATCAGAGTCCATAGAAGTAGGCGGAGGCGGAGATGAGGAGGATGTCGTAGCTGGCGGATTGCCTGCATTCTCAGCCATATTTGGGGTTGATGATGAAGGGGGAGAGTGAGATTATGACAGGCACTTGGAGGTCGAGAAAGTGAAACGAGAAGGGATCTTGGACATGGTGGTACCCTTCTGCAGCATAGGAGCAAGTGCTGAGGAAGCCTACAAAGAAATGTCTGGAGTGCAGTGAAAGTGAAGCCAGTGGATGACACGCAGGTCAATCAGTTTAGTAGAATGGAACGGGACTAGTGATGTTAGCACGGCGCTAGTATACATATGGCTAGCCCCAAGGTCCTGCTTTCGCCCAGTTGAAGTTGAGTTCCAAGAGACACCATCAACTTCGTCCATGTCTGCCTACCTAAAGTAATTGGTGGAGGGCTATGAGTACATAGGTGGTAAGCTTCTGATGGCTAAAGAATGTGCCTCGAGAATCGCCATTGTACATTTTCCCTGCGAAAGCAGCATTGCCTCGAGACCTAAACTTCTTCAGTCGACCCTTTCTAACATGGTTGAAGCTACCGTTGCATCAAACGATAAAGCTACACCGCCAATCTCTTCTCTTCTCGTGAAAGTGTTGAAGCAAAATTTCTAACCCTGAAATATCAATGTCGCTGACATGGAATTTGCCTGTCCGCAATACGTCCACAAACCCTCATGCCCAGAAGAACAGAGAATCCTGCCGTAATGTATGGGATGATTTCGAATCTATCATTTATTCATCTTGTGATCTTCACAGCCGCCCGGCATAATACCTCGGACGGACGCCAAAATCCCTGCTCTTGGTGGAAGGGACTTCAACCTATCCCGGGCGTATGTAGGAGAGAGAATCTCTATTGAGTGAACCCTAGGGCGAGCGAGTGCCCAATTCTGCAGGACATCCCAGTCGACAGTTCATTCAACGACAAAATACAAATAATCGAAGAGTCACTGCTGACCACAATAAAAAGGTCCTTCAGCAAGCTGAAATAGTCATGCATGTCAGCGTTACTAAACAACTGCATTTCATGGGGAAATAAAGTTCCAGACAGGGATTGGTGCCTCAAAGCTTCGCAAAGCTTGTGGCACCTCGGCTGATTTCCAGCTCCTTCTCAGCTGCTCCAAGGACAGACACCATTTCGAGACACTGCATTAGGTGGCAGTGCGATGGACATTCACCGAGATAGGAGAGAGGTGATGCGTGGTATCAGTCCCGCTGACATCCACTGCCATTGATTCTTCGACAGCATCCATCTCGTATCGACATATGCAATGTCCTAGCAAACATGGCCACCCCGTCACTCAATCTCAACTTCGACAACCTCTCGTGGCGGCATTTGCAAGGTCTCGCGAATCTGCTTACAGGGTGGCTTTGCTCTAGATTATAGATTATACAACATGACAATGCAGATGATGCCACCAAGCCATAACGGCCTGAGGCCCTTCTCGAGGGCCAGCCATTTAAGGTATTTAAAGCATCGATCCTCCCCTTCTCTAATGGGCTAGAAAACACATTTTCAATTCAACTCAGACTCTCAGATACACATCATATCCTCTTCAAAGCTTCTTATCATATTCTCTCAAAACTCTTCTCACCAACACAAGCTCCAAGATGTCCGCCACCACACAGACTGCCAAGGCTGCTCCAGTCGAGCCCGCCCACAAGGAAATCGATATCAACTCCCTTGTCGCATCTGTGAGAAGTGAGAAGGAGGTCAATGCCAATGTCGATGTCAACGCCAATGATCTCATCAACCTTGCTATGAACGAGCTTTTCCCCAGGTTCGGCTCAACTGTCGACAACGGCGATTATATTGCTTACTTCAACGACTGGCAATCCCGCGATACAGCAGCTCATGCTTTTAACACTTTCGACACCGGGCGTTTCAGTTTCGCGGGCAAGTTGCAGGGACGATGGTATGCGTGCCGGAAATCTTCCTAGGTAACTGTCGACAGACGATCGAGATACGTAGGAAGCGCACTAGTGAGGAAGCATGGAATTTGGGCATTGTCATTGTTGACTCAGGTTTTGATGCTGGAGTTCCGAACGTAAAGTCATAGTATCTACAATCTAGAATCAAGATCCAAAGTTCTTCTATCAATTTGTATATTCTATGAACTCTTGTCATGGCTGTCACCTCTGCTTCTTGTACCCAACTTGAAGCATTCATTTAGACTGCGGCTAGTAGCACTAGTGTAGAGGTCATCAAGATATCACTGGGTGCTATAAAGTCACTAGCCAATCTCCGTATAGTCTCTCACTAACTACTATCTTTCGTCATAGTGCAGCTTTACCTTCACCTTCAATCCATGTGCTCGTGTTTTGCAACACCACATCACAAACTCCTCTTCTCACATCCTCGACTTTATCCCACTGTCTACCCGGAGACAAACCTCTACCATGGCAGCCGGCAGTCATGTAGGGAGATCATGTCTCTATCGCCGGTCTTCCATTCTCTTCCCTTACCCTCTCCCTCAGCCACACTCGATTCCCCGCGCCTCCATCAGATTACAACTGGTCCAACGAAGAACATTCTCCCATACTCGACAACAGTGGAGAAAAGAGCAACATGAAGAAGAGAGCTTCAGTAAACGTCTGGGCAAAGCATGGAGGAAAACTAAGGTCGAATGGAAGCCTATCCCTGTTGGTCTAGGCATTGGCTTTCTCGGGCTTCTACAATTCATTCGCATTCGTCGGAGAGAAGGTGGTGCACAAGAAGGAGATTCAGAGACGGATGGACAACGACCGCCCAAAAGACAACGAATCTATCCCTCGGGAGGAGGCTGGCAAGTCCAAGTCATGTCCACCCTCCCTCTCAAAGCGATATCTCGAGTCTGGGGTCGCTTCAATGAACTCACCATTCCTTACTATCTACGAGTTCCGGGCTTCAAACTCTACGGCTGGATCTTCGGCGTCAACTTCGATGAGGTTGCTGAACCTGATCTACACGTCTATCCAAATCTCGCCTCCTTCTTCTATCGAGAACTCAAGCCTGGCTTGCGCCCTCTAGACCCCAACTCCAATGCCGTCCTCTCCCCAGCCGACGCCCGCGTTCTTCAGTTCGGAACCATCGAAAACGGCGAAGTCGAGCAAGTCAAAGGAATGACCTACAGCGTCGATGCACTCCTTGGTTCTATCTCTCCCAACGGCACATCTCCCAACCCACAAGCACCCTCCAACATTTTCAACACCAACAACTCTCCGCAATCTCTCCCCTCCGACGACCCCGAGGCCAAAGCCATCTCACAAGATGAAGAGTTCGCCAACCTCAACGGCATCTCCTACACACTATCGAACCTCTTCTCCGGTACCCAATCTCAATCACAATCTAAATCCACGACCCAAGACGCCTCCACACAATCGCGGCCTTCATCTGAAGCCGCTGTCTCAGCCGACTTAGCCACGACCCAACCATGGTGGACACCGTTCTCCACCCCAACCACCCCCAACAAACTCTACTACATCGTCGTCTACCTAGCCCCAGGCGACTACCACCGCTTCCACTCGCCCGCATCCTGGGTCTGCTCCATCCGCCGACACTTCGCAGGCGAGCTATACTCAGTCTCGCCGTACGTGCAACGCACACTCCCGGGCCTATTCACACTCAACGAGCGCGTCGTCTTACTCGGACGCTGGAAACACGGGTTTTTCAGTTACACGGCCGTGGGCGCGACGAATGTGGGCTCAATCGTCGTGAACTTCGACAAGGAGCTGCGCACCAACAGCCTGACCACCGACACCGAGGCGGACCGGCAGGCCGCCTTGGCCGCCGAGCGCGGCGAGCCGTACTCGGGCTTCAGCGAGGCGACGTACGAGCGCGCGAGTCGCGTGCTTGGCGGCCATGCCCTGCGCCGCGGCGAGGAGATGGGCGGCTTCAGGCTGGGCAGTAGTATTGTGCTGGTGTTTGAGGCGCCGAGCGGTGGAGGCGTGGATGCTGCGGAGGGCGAAGGCAAGGGCCAGAACGGCGGCGGGTTCACGTGGGCCGTCGAGCGTGGCCAGAGGGTTAAGGTTGGTCAGGCGCTGGGGTATGTCTCGGATCAGAAAAAGATTTGACTTGATTGCGATGCTTTTCCATAGCGAGTAATTCGCAGTTTTGCATTCATGTACAGTATAAGATGAAAGTATCATGTCTCTCTTTGATTTAGCAGAGACCTTTCTCGAAATCCTTACTTCTCACATATCAATGATAGTGACAACGATCGTTCTCGACTGTTCTATGCTGTTCACTATAGTCATGAGCGAGCCAACTACGACACAATAGCAGCCCATACGCAGACCGCGTAACAGGCAAGTAATACCAACAAGGCAGCTCCCATCCCTGCCCTCTCCACCATGCGCGCCACCTCAGCTTCGACGCGATGCACAGGGTACGCACCTCCTGCATCGTCACCCATGCTCTTTTCCCGAAAAGCCGATGCCTCTCGCACTACTTCTCTCATGGCCGTTTGAGATAGTATCCCCTGTTGACCTATGTCATGGATCAAGACGAATCCTCCAACGAAGTATAGTGCCACACCCAGCCCTAGGAGAAATCTGCCGGCCTGATGCTGTCCTTTAAAGGCCTCTTGCTGATCATCTTGAGGTTTCGCGGCGGTCAGCGTGGCGTAGCTGAATTCGTTACGTCGATGTACCGAGCACCAACCTCGTTCCAACCATTCACCATTGCTAAGTAACTCAAGCCGCTCATATGGTATCCGACCTGTGCCGTTTGCTTCCCTTGCAAGTTGTTCCGCAGTCAAGGGAAATTTGGGGCATTTATTTCCTGCGTGGATCTCATGACCTTTTGCCTTCCTGCGAGGATAGTGGCTTGAGCGTGGGAGCAACGATGCTGAAGTGCTGTTGTTGGAAATCAATGTTCCATGTCCAGACTCGACTCGGTTGAGCGCTGCATAGCTACTGCTGTTCTCCAGCCTCGCTTGGTGAGGAGGCGCAAACGTTATCAAGCTTGGCCCAGCAGCGCTCCTGGTTTCGCCTGCATCTGCGTCAACATCAGTTGCCATTATTCCTGTATCGTCAATTCCAGGCCCTATTTTCCACCTCCGGCTTGTTGGCGTCACACTTGATGAATAGTCTGCTAAACTGCTCCCAGCAGCTTTGATGCCAATGTCGGTTTCACTGACCTCTGACAATCTCCCAAGATTTTTCGCATTAGCCATTCTTTCGCCTGGTCGACTATCCCTAAGAAGACGTGATATAGCTCCATCGTCATCGCTTTCTTCACTTTGCCAGAGGTGCTGCAATGAGGTTTCAGCGGACGGTACATGCTTGAAAATCGTTGAGCTGATGTTGAGGGTTGAGCCTCGATTTGGGGATGGTCTCAGGCCTCTGTCATTTGCTTGACAGGACACATTGGTGCTTGTACTTCGGTGTTCACCAATGCAAAGGGTTGCTATAGGAGCGGCCGCTTGCAATGCCAAGTGGGAGGTATCATTTGGTTGGTCTTCAAAGAGACTCGATTGGAAATGAATGACTTGGCCTCCACCAGATCTGGAATCAGCAGTCTCATCTCCGCTCTTGGACGATTCCGCAACTGGCAAGGGTCGATTGCTTGGCCCTGGCAGGAGAGAACTGGAAGGGACTGCGCTATTGGGTGTGTTGACTAGTAATGTGCTGGGAGCATTAATTTCCAATGCAACCGTGGATGCTGCTGGCGGTCTTGAGTAAGACGCTTCTTTGACCCCCAGACGCCTCCTATTGGTACGAGAAGAAAAGTCTTCGGTACTGGAAGGCGGAACAGTGATCTTTTGCATACGAGTTCTATCTCTCCGCGCCACGGGACTGAAGGCAGATTCGACAATCATGTCTTTGCTTGTTTGTCCCACTACCGGTGTACGTCCCTGCATGTGCTGCAATAAATCGCCTTGGTACAGTCGTCCTTGTCGGTGTTTTGAGGTTGATCTTCGAAATGGGTCCCAAGGTGACACAGGACTTCTCCCAATTGCACCGCTTGAATGTCCCGCTTCCGTTGTGTCCTGTTTCGTAAGGCGAAAGCGCATCTTCGAGGGTGTCAAGAACCCGCATCGACTACTGTGCGGTGTACCTTGCCATTCATCATTATTGTCCTCGGGTTCAATTTCTTGACCGAGATGATTGATCGGAGTGTTGTGTAGAGTTCTGGGTGTGATCACAGGGGAGACAGGGTCGGCGGACAGATCTGTTGGTAATACTGACTGGGATCTCTGCCAGCTTTCATGGCAGCGGAATTCAAGTGTACTTGTCTGTCCATGATGATGACAGCCCCATGTCTGATTATGGGTTCGATCTTCGATATCCCTGAGAGCTTGATGGTAGCTGATGCGATGATGGGGCGAGGTTCTCGGCGGGCTTCGATCAACGTATTGGGAGACAATCTCGTCTAGAGTAATTGATTCTCGTTGACCCTGAGTCATTTCTTCGGAAATTTCAGAGGTTTCGAATACGGCAGTTGATTCCTGATGATACTCAGCCTCGTGAAGAACCCCTTGCGCTGATAATACCTCCCTTCGTGTCAAATCTCGCAGAGGTATTGAGGTATTTTGGATTGGATGGTCAGCCAGATTTTCCCTTTCATCTACTTCCTCTGACGAGACTGAACACGCCAAAGGGAACCGCAGATCGAAATCAGACTTTGTCTGCAGAGAATCAGCTTTGTCGCAACTTCCTAAGATCTTCGCATGCGCCGAGGGAAGATCGGGATAGAGCGGACGTATGGTTCGTCGTTGACTGTGTGGCGATAATCTGAGACCTTCAGCTCGAGTTTCGTTTAAAATCCTCGAGTTTGTGGACTTCCTTATCTCAAGCAATGAAGCCTCAGACCTGGATAGTCTGTCACGAGGAAAAGGGTGGCTTATCTCTTGTCCGATAAATTGATCACACTCATGCCCATTTACCTTAAACTGGGGTCCGGGTGGTGAATCAGTCGGGTATTGCTTGTCCATCGACGGGTGCCCATTATCGGGGGATAATTGTCCCTTCCGTTCTTCATTGCTTCGCTGTCGAAAGACATGTTCCGGATTGACTTCGGCCTGCACGAAACCATCGGATTGAGATTTTGATATGAGACAAATCTGATCCACGGCATCAGATTTTGATTGCGGAGAGTCAATTAAAGTATTCTTTGGCTTGATGAGGCACTTTGTAGAAGTAGTAGCTGGGCTTCCTGTGTTTGAGTGTCAGAGAAATGAGTACAATATTTGAGACGGCATATACACTGACCTTGCCTATGTGGTGTGCTATTGCCGATATAAGCCCCAAACGCAATACCTCGAGTTATGGATGACTTAGTTGACAAAGAAGGCGAAGAATGAGAAACTTGAGTGCAAGGTTCCTCGCGATGAGGAAATATGGCGAGCTTGGCGTCTGGATCATTCAAATGCGACACTCCGACAGCACTGAAACTGAAGGTTGATCTCGTTCTTGGGACATTGAGGAGTAGTGGTGTCGTAGAAGAGGCCGAAAGATGCGGGCTGTGATATTCCGATGTATCAAGATCCGGTCCTACTTGCCCACTCAAACCTTGGAACATCGCCGAAGAAGGATCTTGATCAAGATGTGCATTGCGAGGACGGTCCCAAGAAAGCGATGACCAAACTTTGGCAGCCGTGAAATCATTTCCAGTCACTGACTGCAAGCGATCCCTGTACCTCGAAGACCAGACATCAGGCAGATCTACCCTTGTCCTGTTGAGAGTCTCGATATCATAATGATCCTTCAATCCAGCTTCCTGACGCCATCGCAACTCCGCAAGCTTCCAGGACATTTCTTGAGGTGACCACTCCTCGGCGCATGCCACGAAGAATGCTAGGTGGTGGAGGGAAGCTGCAAGATCATAACTTCGCTAGCCTATTCTTCAGAGAATGCTACCCCATCGACATTGGCACTCAACGCAGGATACTATCATCCAAAGAAAGGTGCAAAGTATGGAAGAAAACATCAAGTGACGCGGCGTGAGCCAAAGGTTTGCGAATATCCCATCGTGGGCAAGAGCGTCCTGCCTGAGATCAGGATGATTGACAGTCTCGTAGGAGCTGGGATATACGAGGCAAGAGCACCTAAATAGCTTGGAAGTGAAGGCATGGAACCAACACTGTCAAATCAGGGAAGTCATGCTTCGTGATGACCGCCGAGACTGGCGAGGCAAGTGCCCTGCTGTCAAAAGGAGCTGCCGCAAGGCCAATGATCACCTACCTTGTTGTTGTCATACATCTTCGCACAGACTTTCTCGCTTGAGCACCAGTATATGTTGCCATATGTTCCAGGTCCAGAGGGGCCGGATCGGGCGCCTGAGACTTCAAGGAGTCATTCTTCCATGACCATGTTATATGTATGAGCCAGGTGAGGATTCAGAATGGAGATCTCGGAGTTCTGTCAAATTTAGCTATCGGGCAACCTGCCGTTGGGGTCGGAAGAGGTACGCTAGTTCTGCATGTGCCTTAGACCGGAACTAAATAGTCTTAGTGGTCGTGAGTCACTAATGTCTGAACAGCCCGCCAGGCACGCCAGTGGTAGATAAGTACTAGCTACCTAGGTGGCCAGTCAATTCTACAAAGTGTCTATGCCATCAGCATGCGCGAGTACTAAATATTGATCGCTGCCCAACTCTACATAAACGCCATTTCCCGGACCAAACTCGCCTTTACCCAACCTCTAGCAAAATTTCTGCCGGTCCACAGCACGATCCCAGTCCACCAGATTCTTCCAATCCAGGGATCATACCACATGGAATATGGCTTCGCATGTCGTCGCCTCCAGCTTCGAACGTAACGTATCACTACTTCTTCGGCTATAACAGCTAGCCCATTGAGAGCAAAGAAATGAGCTTCCCCGAGTGCATCGGACCACTTGCCGCCCAGGACTCCTCTGACGGAGTAACTGTGGACAAACGCACTAGACAGGAAGCCTCCAAGGACTTTCCCGATATCTGCAGGTTCGCTTTCCTTCTTGCCCGTTAATTTTCTCTCGACCCATTGTCCCGGCCAGACTCCATAGACGAGGAAGAGTCGCGCGAACAAGCGATGCCAGCCAAATGACCAAAATTGCCGCACTGATGTGATCTTCCAGATTCGAGTAGTGTAGAGCGGAGGAAAGAATGCCAGTGGTGACGGTGCAAGTGGACTCAGCATTATCGCGAATAAGGAATGACCTAGAGAAAATGCAGACATGAGGAATGCACCGAGTGCCGCCGTCAGATATAGCTGAACGTGGATAGGGAGCCGTGTGTCGAAGAGATCTGCGCTAGCATCAAGAGAATTCCCCTCGGGGTTGAGGAGGAAGCGAGTGTAAACCGATTTGATGGTAACCCAGCTGACCAACAGGACTGGGAGAACGTGCACAAGGATACTGTGAATCCGATTCGCGACACCAGGAAGCCATGTTTTCCTCGTATGTCGAACATCTGCGGTAGTCCAAGTAAAGCCGACCCCGCGCATACTGAGCTCGAGTTCGAGAGCCCAAGCTGCTCGGTCAGAGATGGTCCTTGGCCATCCTCTCTCCGTCGTGGCAATCTCGTACACGGGTTGAGGGTCTGGGCCGCTGATTGACCGTCGTAACATCTCGAAGGAAAGTGCCCTGCCACGAGGTATCGGCGCTGCACTACCCATGTCATGCTTGCTGTCATCATTGCTTCCATGACGGGTGGCCGATGAACTTGTGTCTTCAAGCACAACAGCTCCATGACTAATGCGTGATTTGCGCTCAAAAGTAAAAGGATCTGTGACGCCTCCATCCGTCCAATCCCTCAATGCAGAGTGAGGCCCATCATCCCGTGTTTCAGGCCTTGCCCTATGCTGATACTGCACTCGCCTTGGAATATGTCCAAAGAGATAGGGACTGATGAAAAAGGCATCGACAACGCGGCATGCCCCGTAGAGCGACACCAAGCCAAGCTGATACGTTAACCCGATGCTCTGTGGAACGTGGTAGCAAAGAGAAAGCCGGATAAAAAGCACACATGCGACCACCGCAAGTGTATTCCGGGCTATCTTTGCAGGAAGAGAATCTACACACGGTGGAGGGGCTGGGGCTAAGAGGAGTAGTGCGAAATAGTAAATTGTCGGTGGCAGAATGGCGGCGATGAATGATAGAGGTTGCGTGCCCGGTATTGGATGAAGTTCAGGCCGTAGAGTCGGCTCCAAATATTTATTGATCAGAATATCAATGGATTCGATCCAGTGCAAAGACATGATGGCTTTGGCGAATCCATGAATTGATCACCGTACTGTCCTGCGGTTTTACGCAAATGGTCGCGAGGTTTTACAAATGATTTTCGTTTGATTAATCAATGACGCTGTCATTGGTATGGAGATAAATAATCGCGTTGCGCAGAATTTCCTTTGAGGATTTTACTTGCACGCACAATGGCGAACCGAGGCAAAGACACAATTCCTAGGCTTAAATGCCACGGAGCAGAGGAATTTTTTGCAAGTCAGAATTCAGCCACTTATTAGGCTATCATCATGTATACCTCCAGATAGGATGAATCCAGGACTTGAAGAAATAAAAGATTGTGGAACAAAATAACCTAGCAATATTAATTTTAAATCTTGACGAGCGCTTTCCCTATGCCACTATATGATACAGTTGCGACGTTCGAATACCCTCTCGTCAGTATAAATGCTCGTTCAGTCTATAAAGCTCCTCGATCTTGGCCTTGCGTTGCTCATTCCTGACTTTCAGGTCAAATTCGAATGGCAGAGGACCGCCAATGACATTGCTCGTAAAGTATTTCGAATCGGGCCATTGTGGCTGGCCATCCTTTCCGATGTTAGGTTTCATTGTGAACGCCCAGAGCAACGATCCACATCCGACCAATAGCTCAGCCTCTGTGATCTCAATACCGGGACACATACGGCGACCTCGACCAAAGCCGTGGTGTCCGAGTAATCGAGGGTAGACGGTCAGGGGTTCTTGGTAGGTCGGGAACTCCTTCTCGAGCCATCGGCCAGGGTTATATGTTTCGGCGTCGGGATATCGTTCAGGGTCACGAGCCATAGAAAGGTCAATGGCGTGGACAACTGCGCCCTTGGGAATGAAGAAGCCTTCGTACTCATCGTCCTGTTGAACAAGACGAGGAACGCCGAGTGGGACTGGTGGTCTCCAGCGGAGACACTCCTTGATGCAGGCACGTAGGATAGGCAGATCTGGAGAATCACTGAGTTCCACAATTCGCTCTGAGCCGACGACAGCATCGATCTCAGCACGGCATTTATCCTGCCACTCTGGGTGGAGCACCATGGCCAAGAAAAAGCAGTAAAGAGGACCTCCAACGGTGAAGATGGCGACAGTGCAAAGCATGCCTACGGCGTAGGCTGCTTCATGTTCATCGAAGCCGAATGACTTGCCGGTATTGCTATCGGCTGCGTCTTTCCGCTCAAAATAGGATCGCGCGTAAGAGACTGATGCGGTTCCTGCATCCATCTCGTTGCGTACTTGGTCCATCAGTCCGGTCCACAGTCTCTCCTCACGTTCCCGCCGTTGTCGGCAAGGGACTTTGGCCGAGTTGATCCATTCAGGGAGACCACCGAGGAATGGAAGGATATTGGTGATGGGGCCACTGGCAGATGGCGAGATCTGTGGAATGAATTCCGCGGCATTTTTACAATGTGCTGCGGCCGAGTTGGGATTGCCATAGCAGAGTCGGGCAGAAATGCGACCACAGAATCGATCGGTCTGACCGTAATGATCGCGCGGATCTTTCAACAGGTTGTACAGAAATCTTTTTGCTTCGAGGGTAATGTATCCGTAATATTGATTATTGTAAGACACGTTGAGTGAAGTGTGTGCGAACTTCCGTTGCATTCGCCAATGGTCTAGATGTCTTTACGTCAGTATGATGGATTTTATCTCCAAGCAGTCCCAAAAGGGAGTCCATCTCAGATCGAGCAAGGATTGGAATCCAACTTACCGCCGTACTCCAGCAATGGCAGATATTGAGCTTGAGAGTCCGAACCTGGCACTGCAGCCACTTCAGGCCGCGAAGAATAGTTGGCAGCCCGGTTGCAGTAGAGTTCTTGGGCGACTTTGTTGTCTCCAAGCCAGATATGCATTTCACCACAGGCAGTCAATCTGAACATCCCGTTGAACTGGTCTGACCACCTTTTCATGGAGTTCCATGGTGCTATCGGGTCGATGTCAACTCTGCCAATATAAGGAATCGTTGAAGGTGGACCTGGGACTAGTTTGAGCCCCTGAGGTGGCTTGTCCTTGAACAAAAGATATCTCAAAAAGTTAATGACGAGGGGTGAGATGAGGAGTAGAACGAGTGTGACCCATTTGGAGGTGGAAGTGAGTGTGTTATTGCCGAACTTGGAAAGAAGCTGGTCGGATGTGTTGTTGGATGTAAAATATGTATTAATGAAGGAACCGGGAGATGCAGAAATGATTGAAGCCATGGTGGCATATACTGATGCAGCAGCAGAAGGAAATGAATGGGAATTGCCAATATCAGAACCATGAGGGCCTGCCTTCGCCTATCTATATTCCAGAAACAAAATACTCCGTACTGTTTCTTCTCCACCACTTGTCGCTATCTTTAAGCTTACATGTCAGCGCCTCTTCTAGTGCTTTTACCATCAGGCACAATTGGATCCTTGGCAAGTCACCATCGCCTCCATGTGCAAAGTCAAGATGGCGTTGATTTCAGTGGACGAATAGGGGTGAGTTCGGTGCATTGACTGTGCATCATTGTTGGTGTATCCGAGGAGTGTTAAGCAGAATGGGGCTGAAGAGATTGCGGCTGATGCTCCATGTTTTAAAATTAGGCCACTGACCAAGCCTGGCAAACAGACACCAAACCCTTTCGAGTAGCTGGCTCAACTCGCCCTTGAACCACACAGCCTTGACTCATGAGTCTCGACTCACCAAAACTGCCGCCTCCACCCACCGAAGTCCCGAAAATATTTCGAGACGAGTTCGTGGCAATCTCAAACTAGTGAAAACAGGAGGGGAGATTTCCGAGGTGAGGCACGTCAAATCGTCGTTATTCTGAAAGGGGTCTGTTGCTCATTTTGGGACAACCGATTACTTTCCGGGATAGAGACTTCGGATGGATTATCGCTCCGATGTGAACAGATGGTGCGGACGCCTTTACGAAGTACTGCTACGAGTATTACGGTGGTATCGGCCTGCGCGACTACTCTATCTTGACTCAGCAATTAAGTGCGATTCACGTGGCTGCGGTCACCACCATCTGCCGCAGTCGACTATCTCGGGCATCTTCTGGAATCAAGATGCCTCTTAGATAAGCAGTTAAAAGATCTCCACTTCATAGTCGGAAGCGATGCCTTGTTTGTCTGAGATCCAAATGCTCGCCTTCAGAACTCGCCTCTTTACAGGCTTGGCCTCATACAAGATAAGTGTCATGTCCATACTCGGTAGGATGATCATGGATCGTGCCTTCAGTTACAATTTTTCCCACTGGCTGCAAATGGCCCCTGTTGTCAACTACGAGACAACAAACCGGAGCTTAGAAATCATCCTCTTCCCCTCAGACGGCAGCAGATTTCTCCAAATTCAAACCACTAGCCTCCAGGGGTACTGGATGCCCCCCTTGGCGTCCGTCATGTCCCCAGGTCCTGCGCCAGTCTTCGCAGGAAAGCAACTTTGGTGAACTCCATAACTGTCACTTCATGAACTGAGCGGTTACAGATCATGAGTTGTTTCTTTTCTGCTATATGATATTCCGAAAGGATACAGACAAGCGACCCATACAATACACAGGCGCGCAATTTCTATTCCTTTGTAACTATTTGGTACAATGACCTTGAACGAAAAGAAGCGGAGACGTCGCACCGGTTGTCTAACCTGCCGCACTCGTCGAGTCAAATGCGATGAAGGGAAACCCACCTGTGAGCGCTGCAATGCGGCCAATATAGAATGTGTTGGTTATGAGGAGAAGCGCCATGTTGAGATAAGGCGGTCACCACGATCGGGCTCATCAAAACCTACACAAGATAACCTGAGTCTGGTAGATTCGGCACCCGCAGTCAGCACTCCTCTTTCAGATGCCCTTCCAAGTCCGCATCTGCGATCAGATGGACTACCCTTGGTGGCACTCCCGAGCAACCCTCTCCCCATGCAACGCCCACATACTCGAGCTCGAGATATACTTGCCTACCATCAATTCCTATACCGGACATTGCCACTTCTCTTTCGACCCGATGAGCTTCATTTCTGGCGGGATAGAATTTGCCAAGAGGCTTGGGAGAATGAATTTCTCTATGATACCATAATGGCCATTGGCGGCGCGCACAGAGCAATCCTGATGATGTCTTCGACGAACGAAATTGACCGAGAGGGAGGTGTAGACTGCAAGGTGACCGCTGTTCAGGCTTATACTAAGACTTTGCAAGGGTTGGTTGAACATCTGAACGATGCCGGAAGATCCCCCGAATTGTTCGTTGGTACCTTGGTACTGCTTACATGGTTTGAGGTATGTATTTGGATGAATTTCGAACATGTCCCATGAAAATACTGATGAATGCCGGACTAGTGCCTCCCAGGTAATCTTCCGGCTGCCGTTAGACATGCCTACATCGCAAGTCACTACTTTTTATTCATGCAGGCAGACGAGACGCAACAAGGTCAGCCGCATATGCTGACCATCGAATCCAATATTCGGAATTTTGCGCAAATGTTCCGGGTCATTCTCCCATTTCCCCAGCTACGACTCCCTCTCCCACCGTCGTGGAGCCCAAGCCCAGCAATCAGTGTGCTGACTCCTTCATCTGGAAGTACCGCTACTAACATGGTACCGCCATCCCTCATGCTACAGAATCTTCTCGACTTCTTGTCCAACAGTACGGAGATCGAGGACTTGGTCTGGAACCCGCTCATCCCCTATCAACGGCGGGTCTCACCTGACAAGATATACACTTTTCAAGCGGAACTCAGGGATTGGAGGAACAGCCATTCCCATATTCTCCCGGAATTCCATTTAGAACAGAAAATGTCGACCGTAGTGGACTTTTCCTGGAATGCCATAGACGAACTACCAATGCCACCTAAGCTATCCCTGCCATTATCTCCTCAGATGACCATCATTGCTGCATTGTACAACTTTTACATGGCAAGGTCGATGTGGGCATTGAGCCTGGTCGAGCTCGACTCTGAAAGGTACGAAATCTATGCGCACTTATACTTCTACGAAGTTATGCAGCTGGTCGCATCTCTCACTCAAGGCCTTGGAGCGTCAAATATGCAAACGAACAACTATATACCTCGTGAAACTTTGGGCATCGGCCTCATCCCCATCCTTTATTTCACCGGGCAATGCAGCCCAAAGCCAAGCTGGCTGAAATGGACTATGGAAAAACTCAACCAAATTGGGCAGGAGGGTATCTTTCGAGGCAAAGATTTTGCCAAAAGCTTGAATGGCCTATTCACGTTTGAGATGTGCAATAGTACCGAGTCTCCGTTACTTTCGGACAAATTTCCCTCTCCCGCGGCACGTGTTCTTGTCGTGCTCATTCCCGCCGAGGATGGTCGTCACTTTGCAGCGTATTATGGGAGCCCTACTCCTAAAAGTCTGGGAGGAGGGGACGACTTTTCGTACTATCCACTTGGACGCGCGCACTGGTCCAGTGTTATAGGAGAGGAATCGGGCAAACCAGATGTGGAGTTCTATAAATCAGACCAAATGGTGGGGACTCAGTTTAACGCGGAATGGATCTCGAATCAGCAGGAGCCACAAGACTGGATCACTTGGTCCAGTCTTATGGATTTCAACATCGACTTTCTACTGCGCGATCATGTTAGTGGATGTCATCTTTGGCCCGGTGGTGATTTTTCAGCAATACTCAGGTTTGTCAAAGGCAGCTGAACCAAATCACCATACTACCGGAAATGCACTTCCAGAAGAACGAAACTAATTAATTTCTACTTACGTTTATGGCTAGCTGGCAGTCTTAGGCACGTGCCATGAGTTGGATCTCGTACCATGTCTACGCCTTGAAAGGAAAGCGTACGATGGGGAAAGCCTGCCATCTTTCTGGAGCGAGTTGAAATGGGTGAATGACGGCTTTCCATAGCCTCGTATCCTGAACCCCGCTTCATAGCCAGCATTGATCAGTCCAGCTGCATCAAATCACATATCTAACATGTTTGCCGTCCGGCAGCGGCCAAACCATTCACCGCTGAGAGGAAGCGAAGCCACACCATGTGCTATCCCGTCAGAACGACTTGTCTGTTTACTAGGCGCGCCCCGTTTTCTCACTCCGCAGAACAATTGGCCTAGGCTAACTGCCTTCCTGGGCATAGCGTAAAGTCAAATTCGGCCAATATTTTGGTTGGACAGTTGGCTCCTTTATCTACAAGCTTTCGCGAGGAGCTCGTGTTCGACGTTGAACGGCACCTAGTGGCTGCGAATTCCACCCAATAGGCGTGTTGTGAGGAGGGGTCGATCAATGAAATCTTTTATCCAACACAACTTGGGAGGCGAGGGACTTTCTTAGCCTAGCTGTTGGTAAGGTAGGGCTTTGGCCGTTGAAGAGTACGGATGGAAAGCGCATGCAATACACGATCACCTTCGTTGCTGTCGACAATTACGTCGGTGTTACTTCGTCCTGAATTTGGGACTTGGAAGCCGACCTCCTACTGACCTTCCCTCGAGCAATATGTGTTGGGCTTGTATCTTTGTTCTTACCAACTGTATGAAGCAATGCAACCTTTGCCTCATTCGACTCCCATCGTGGTCAACCGTGAGCGCAAAGAATCTCAATCAGCGATCAAATTTATAGACTCTACGCCATCGTCACAAAAAGCCAGACAGGAAACAAGAGCTATAATTCGTGCCCACGCCTCGAAGTTCTCCTGGGCAAGGCTGAAAACGCAAAAGGCTCAATCTGATGTCCGAGTAAGAGCCTCATTTTCGCGGAGAGGCACCACGCCAGAATCTGGGTCAGTCAGGATCAGGCAAAAGCCCAACCAAAATTCGGCCGTCCAAGATCATGTGCTCCAAGACCAGCAGCCAGCACTCACCCCAGAAGAATTGGAAGGCGAGTCATACGAATCACTGCTAAATTCAAGTGCGCCAGCTGCGACCCGATACATTGGCCTGACTGCAGATGTTGGACTTGGTCATTTGGACCCGTTTGAGTCATATCCGTCGAGCTTGCCCCGGGCTGTGATTACCCCTTTATTTGACCAAGGTCAGTAGCTGATCGATCTACTAAAGCTTTCAAACGTCGATATACGTGGTCATCCCCCATCCTGTCATCCCCTGATTCCAGCGTATTTGACTATGTTTGTAATTGTTTTCAGGTTTATTTGGACTAGGCAGACTCTTTTGTTGCCCTGTAAGCGTTGACTGTATGCGTGGTTTACTGATGGGTTCGTGTGTAACCAGTTGTGCAATTTCTTGACCACACATTCCTCCCTGAGCCAAGAGAAACCGAGAAAACGTTTGCACGGCATTGGATAGCTCGATCTTTGCGGGACAAAGTCATATTCCACGCACTCCTATTGAGCCAGATCGTGAGAAATAAAGCTCTCGCGGATTCATCGAACACAGCGAATGATGCACTTTCATCGATTTGCTATTCTGAGGTGGTGCGTGGCGTTAATCGGAGCTTTGAAGATCCAGTGACTCGGTGCGATGATGAGAATATCCTTGCCGTTCTGACGCTGGCGTTTCATGGGCAGAGACTGCATTCTCGGCCCTCTAGAATGCCGAGTCAGGGACCGATGAATGCTTTGCAGGGCCTTGATATCTATACAGGTTATATTGACATTGTGCCCATGCACGTTACCGGGCTGCATAAAATGCTCGCCATGCGTGCTGGTCTTGGAGGCATAAAATTCCCGGGGTTGGCAGCTATGCTTTCTTAGTAAGTGCCCACGACAACTTTTTGTTTGCTCATGACTTTGCCTCAAACCCTTGCCATTGACATTGAGACAATTTTCCAATTAGTGCGGACGTCATGTATTCCACACGCTACTTACGGAGGCCAATGTTCCCGTTCGTATGCAACGGCGATGCAGCCAACGAATTCGCCAACAACAGCCCTCCTCGCAGTACACACCCACTATTTGACCTTGGCACGGGGTTTGGTATCATTGATAAGATACTTCCAGCAGAGGAGGCAACAGAGCTTCGCACGATTTTTACCGATCTCTCTCGGTACACGCTTGCCGTAGATGACTTTGTCATGGGTCGACCAGAAGCTCTCAGTCGCAGAAACTTGGCCAACGAGAGAAATTTAACCCAGCATAATTTGATGTCAAAGTGTCCCGACTTCGATGATCCCGATCATGAGTTATCTGAAGCTTTTTACACTTCTTGTTGGCTGGCTGCTGCTATCTATAGCCTGCTATCCGTCTTTCCCATGGCCCAATGGAACGCACCATTCGCAATTCTCAGTCAAAGATTAAAAGTTCAGATATCATCAACAACGGTGCAAGAAAGATGGAACGAAGTACCATTACTGATGTTGTGGATAACGATTATGGGAGCTATTAGTTCGTCTGATTTTCTGGAACATTCGTGGTACATTTCAGTCCTCGAGCGTCTGGTGTATCGACTGGAGATAAGTTCCTGGGAGGATGTGAAATCAGAATTGGAAAAGTTCCTCTGGTATGACAACATTAGCAGTCCAGATGGGTACATGATCTGGAAAGAAATCGAAAACTCAAGTCCCTTCAGCGCTTAGATGGGGGTAGATATAGCCGGAACCTTCTCTGACCGGGCCACGATTTTGAGGTACTTCCTGAAAAGATATTGCAGCGTAAGCCAAGAGATGTCTACGGTGGTCTGACCAGGCCACGGAAGATTAGCAAACATGATGAGACAACATTCAATGATATTCATTGGTTTCATGTGACTCTCAAAGCTACAAAGCGAGACCGTGATTGCCATGATGAGAAGATGCATATTTGATCAGCATGAGGCTAGCATCAATGCGTTTAGGCTGTTTTGCTTGCAGAGATGCCCTCGTGTTTGCAACGGGATCTCAAAATCCAGTTTCCTCTTTCGTGCCTAGCTCGGAAATGCAACAACCTCACTGGGACAATGATTTCGCCACTCGATAATGACCTCCTCACGACTTGAATATGTCCTCTAAGGCGGGCAGATTGTGAAGTTCTCCTGTAGATGTTCCTTTCAGCGCACTTGCTCGATCACCAGTTCTCTCGATGGATCTTGCTTCAGTGAGATCTGAGAAATCCCTGTTTAGTATGAATGAGGCGCTTCTGGAGACGGAGTCGATATCGTACGATGTCCTCGGGGACTTCCATGATGCTACCGAAAGCCTGAATCTTCCTTACAGAATTGGTCTTGCAAACAATGATAAGCGTGAATTGAGGCCACATCACGCTCCAGGTGCACGAAGAGACGATCACTCGGGGGCCGAGTGGACCAGAACGTCAAAAGGACTTTCTGTGCCACCAAGCTCAGATCGAAAACGTGTTGTCAAGCCTACCAAAGATGGGAAAAGCCACAAGGCATATCCGTCAAAGCACCGAGCTTCTACAACGTCGACTCAGAAGCTCATTCGAATTGCCCGACCTCAACCAACCCCATGGACCATGTTGGGGCCTAACTCGGCCTTGACAGCCTCTGTCCTACCGTGCAATCTTCCGGACAGTTTGCTGAAACAATACTTGCACCAAAGTCAGTTGAATCATGCCTCGCTGCCTTCCTTGATGAAAACTACTACCCAATTTGACTGACTTCAAGCAGTTCCTTACACTCTCGGGGAGATGGTGTCAAGAGGTGCATCGGGATCTGATTATGGGAAAGCCTTCGCCATGAATGTGATGTCCTCTATCACCGCCAGTCCCGCCCTCCTACATTCCATAATCTTTGCTCAGATGCTGTACGATCGTGTTCATCAAGGGATCCATTCGGCCACGCCAATTGAAGTTGAAGTGGGGTCTACGGCCGTGGAGCACCTCAACCGGGAGATAAGCAATCCCAAAAGAGCTGTCAGTGAGTCGCACATCTGGGCAGTTGTCGCCTTGGCCTACTCCGGACGCGTCGCGGTACTGCGATCAGGCCTACAGTACCCGCACCAGTCGTTTCTGAAAGAGCTACAGTCCATCCATGTGTACTGTAGAATGGAGGTCGTGTTCGAGCATGTACTAGGACTAATCAAGATGATCGAAATGGTTGGAGGGCTACAAAACATTAGCACACCGGGCATAGCACAGATGATATCACTGTGAGTCAAACCACCCACCGTATTGACTCTCACGTAGCTGCCTCTTCTTCGTTGTCGAATACCCGTGGACTGATTGACACATTTTTTAACATACACTCCAGGGCTGGTATTATCGGTGCATGCAGAATGGTGCAGAAGCCAATCTTCCCCTTCATCCCCCACACGACTTCATTCCTCCAAGACGGAGAGCTGAATGTGAGCCAAGCGGAATTCGACATTGTGGCCGCCGAACTAGGCAACCTAGGAACTGGCTTCTGGGATGTTTGGGACGTGCGGTCAGCATCCGGGATGTTCGACTTCTTCGCCGTCATCCAGCACGCCTGCGACTTTACAGTGGTTGTGGAGAACTACATTCGTGGCCGGTGGACGTCGAGGACATCTACTGAAATCATGGACCAGCGGAACTACATTCAACATTCCCTCATGTCGTTGAAATCATACAGTGAACTAGCGGCCGACGAAGGGACTGTGGACGAGGTGCACTATGAGAGCGCCCGTCTCGCGGTGATCATTTATTCATTCCTCGTCATCTTCCCAATCCCGCCTGTGGCCGGGCCCTTTGAAACTTTGACTCGGTTATTGCGACAAGAATTGGAACAACACGATCTCAAAGATGGCAGACCGGCAAGATTGCACATTCAATTGTGGGTCCTCATGATGGGCTGCATCGCTTCGGTCGGCTTGCCATGTCGGCCGTGGTTTCTTTCGCAGCTTGCAGTGTACTTGAAAATTGCAAAGGTCGAAAGGTGGCAGAATCTGCAGGAAATATTGCAGACTTTTCTTTGGCATCCCGGAACAAATAATGTTGATGGCCTGGATATTTGGGATGAGATTGAAGCTTGAAACGTCAAGATCTTTTTTGCCGAGTATCTGGCGCTGGGAATTCTTTCAGCCAGGCTACGAACACTAAATACTAGTCTTTTGTTCTTGCTTCACTTTTAATTTCAATTCTAAGATTTTCATCGATGTTCAGAGAACATAAGAGAGTGACTAGTATTCCGGAGTGGCTACATTTATCAAATTACGCAAGCCATCTAGTCTATGGGCTCTCAGAGATGACAAGACATCGCAGATATTCGAGCACAGGTGTAAATAGTAGTTCATGGTAAATGAAACTCTCCAGCGTAACTTTAATATCTCGATGCGATGGATCCATTCTGTGCTGGATTCTCGCAAATCTCAAGAATGCCATAGTGTTCGGGCCTTTTGAGCGCGTGACTTTCACGCTGTCTCGTCTCGAAATCTCGCTATAGGCACCGATGAACGAGATCCATATCAACACATCGATGTCTCCTGGTGTGGGGAATATGGCATCCAGGCAGAGAGGTTCGAGATCTTCCAAGTGCTTTTGTATGTGGTAGAACGGAATGTATCTCATCTGAAGAACAGACGGATCCACAATAGTATGATAGAGAAATTGATGGCAGCACATCAAAGCCACCAAGAATACTTGGGCAAGACTGCTTCTGTTCGTGCCCAGTCTGTGCTCGTCTTCATGCTTTTCCTGTAAGTCACGGTAACTGTCGAGGAGTGAGATATTGAGAAAGTGGTAGCGGAACTGCAGAGATCGTCGAACAGCGATATAAGTGTTGGAATTATGAGCATTCTGGTTCAACAGCACCGTAGCGTGGTACAATCCTCGAACATCCCGAAAGAGTTCCAACACTTCGCTCGGTAGTGTTGTTGCCACAGAGGCTTCGTGTGACGATTGGTTCGGGAGATTGTGAGATGATGTATCTGTAGGGGGATAGTAGTTGTCCCAATCTCGACGTGGCCAGGCTTGAGAGCTGAGCGCCGGTCTGACGAGCATGTGGCTCGAGGCTTGGGTCTCGCCGGCAAGCAGAATAAGCAGTAGCAAATCATCGATGGAGCTAAAGCCACCCAGAAGCTGTACAACCGACGCCATACCCTGAAGGTGCAACCGATAGCTAGGCCAATCTTCAGTACTGTACGCAGATATGAGCAAGCTGATCATCCCAAAAGCCACTAAGCGCAGATCCTTCTTTTCTCGGAGCCTGCGACGAGTTACGGCAATGGAGAAATTGTCGTGTCCCATTGCCAGCAGCATCATAGCCCTCTTCTTGTCACTGTCTTGACAAAGTCGTGCTGCCAGGAACAGAGCATTCGCGTAGAGGCCATGCATCGCCGGCTGGTCAGATATCAGTGTCTGGATCCACCGAGCCCCAGCGTTCTGGCACAGCCGCTCCACGGATCTGTATGTGAAGCTTGTCTGGAAATATGTGATCAACCTGCCATAGAAAGGGGTAACAGGCAGTACAGTACTGGCAAAAGGATCGCCAGTTCCATGTCCGACAGGCTGATATGGACTAAGGGAGGCCGCCTTAGGAAAGCCGTCGACAGGAATTGATTGTTCCGTGACCTGCATCAGCTCGGTTGACTCAAGCGAGCTGCTTTCCATGAGACCATAGGTCCTTTCACCGAAATCCTGGTACTCAGGAGGACCGAAGGCGCCGCCTTGCTCAATAGCTAATTCGTCGTTCCAGAGTTCTGAGGTAGGGAGTGTTTCGGGGCTATGAACTGCACTTGACTCTCTTGAGTTGGCACTGTGAATAGAAGGAGAACACCCTCTGCCCCTCTGGCTTGGCGCCATTCGACCCTTGATGGAGAGTTTTAGACCTGGGTCGACTGCAGGAGAGACCTTGCCGCGCAGTGCCTCTGGCTGGATGATGGAATAACCTGCGTTTGTCACCTTTTCCTGACTCGTCTTGTGCTCCAGGCCTGGGGAAACCTTGTTCAAACCGGCGAGTTGGCCAGCATAGACGCTCCTTGAGTCCGCTTCCGAGGAGAGAGTATTATCGACTGCATATTCCTGTCGACGCTGCAGCTCGTTGGGGAGTATATCCCGGTTACGAAAAGTCAGAATTCGTTTGACACGCGAGTGTTCCTTTGTCTGGCGATTTGATCTTTTTTTCTGGTGAATGTTGCGTTGCACATGGGATCCCACAGTATGTCTGTCAGGGCGGTCAACATTGCCACTTTCATCTTCGCTATACTGATTGATGAACAAAAACATAGTGATCTACTTCAAGTGGATACGTAAATGTCAGGTAGCCTCACTTTGCCACCCAGCCGCTTGATCTTATGGCCTTTACTTATGCCATGAAGCATCAGGATTACTCTAAACCGTTATTTGTCTCCCGACGACTGTCAGTGATTCTATCCACGATTTTGTATAGTCTAGTTCTGGACTTTGGACCTCCAGGCCAATGATCTCTAGGCTTAAACCAAAGGCTGATGGGTTATTCAGCATTGCCATTATTCCCCAGAGAACTTTGCAACTTCCTTCGGGGGAAGTTCTATGTATTCGGAGCGATATCCGTAGGGATACTTGAATAGATCTGGAAGTCGGTATCGTAGTGACTTCGCGATCTATAGCTCACCGTACTCGGTTGTCAGGATCGCGCACCCCATACGGACTCTCCGAAAAATCCACTTGCCTAAATCGGAATACCAATTCAGGAGGCAGGGAACAGAAGCCCAACTTGGCCGTGATTCCTTCGAATTCGACTTGATCCAACTCCATTAGGTATGACACACTCCGTAAACTTGCATCGTTCATTTATGCGGGCGGACTTACAAGGGAGAAGCGTGGTCAATCTCCATGTTTCTTTGGAATGCTCCATCCATTCCTGGGCATCCCCTTCAAGGAAATTTGACAACGTCATCATGAATGAGACAAAACTGAAATCTGCAATATACTGATATCTACCAATCTCAATATCTTAGTATCTCGCTAACGTCACTGTGTCCATGACCCTTGATTATTCAACCACTTTTTGATCTCTTCTCCGATAAGCTGCGGATGGTCCTCCTGCAGGAAATGCTTTGCATGGCCGACACCAACACTAGTGATATTTTTCAACCTACTAGAGATATCCTTTGCCAGCTCAGGAGGTTCTATCTTCCCTGGGTCCGCCCAGAAGTAGAGCTTCGGGAGATCTGTCTCAGCCAGCCACGCCTGATCTTGCTCCGCAGCCTTATAAGACACGGGACTGAAGTCTTTAACTGGCATTAGCATCGCGAACTCGAATAGGGATATGCGATCTTCAGCCGTTAGGAAAGGAGCTCGATAGTGATCCATCTCCTCCTTTGTTAAGTTTCGCACGATTTGAGCTTGGATAAAGTCTTCGATAAAGATGTTGTCATCTACTATCGCCTTTCGCATACTTTCAGTTGAATGGCCAAGTTTCGTCATGAAGTCTGCGTCCGTGTTCGTAGCGTACCAGTCGGGGAAATTGTAGAGATATTCCATGAATATGAGCCCAGCCACTCTATGTGAGTGTCTGTGAGCCCAGTTGAAAGCAAAGAGCGAGCCGAAATCGTGCAGGACGAGAATGACTTTCTGATCTACCCCGAGGATCTGGTCGACTATTCGTTGAGATGTCAATCTCTGTTGTTGATACTTATGCTTTCCTGACCTCAAAGCATTGAAAAGGATTTCGATAGTCTAGAGTACTCACAAAATGATTCCAAATACCCCACATTATTGTCCCATCCATAACCGTCAATAGAAAGTTTCTGCGATGCCCCCATACCGATCAAATCCGGTGCCACGCATCTTGTGCGCTGTTGCACTTCGCGTATGATGTTCCGCCAGATATATGAAGACATCGGCATTCCATGCATGAACACCAACAGTGGCTTTTTACAATCAGCTTCAGCCGAGGGCTCAGTGTCGACATAAGCCATGGTGACATTATCCGCCACGTGAATGTATTTCTGTGTCCCAGCCTGTTTGGCCGAGATGTCTATTACTGGGGATGACATGCCTAGGTGGGACAGGTAGCCTGTCAAACAGAGGTGCAGAATGAGAGTTGAATATTTCATACTTTAGGCTCTCGCTGACTTATGAAGAGCACAAACAAACCACCGTCGTGGAGTCCGAGCACGCCTAAGCGAGCGGTTGCGTGACACCATATACCCTTATTGTACTCGAAGTTTTCGGAAATAAATGGTAGCTTACACTCCACTTATGAATTACCCCCGGAATGGCCAACTCTTATCCGTGGGAAATGATTGCAAATAGTATGCAAGGCTTCCCGTGGATGCCAAGCCCATCGGACATCAGACCATAAACAAACGCGAGATCGATTCTGGGATTTTACGATGCGTCACGCATTTGAAAATGCCACACACAGAACAATTGACGATGCGTGAAAGGCTTGAAACTTTGCCCGAGTCGCTCCAGGATGAAAGCTGGCTATGAACCTTCATCGTTAGTGGCCTCTATCTCTAGTGAATCCCATTTATCTAGAAGCTCACCCAACGTGAAGTCATCTTCACGCATCATATCTTTCGCTAATGTGTAGCTCGGATACTGACTATTATTGAGCGTTTTACGGTCCTCCGAGTGGAAGATACCCTTGGTCACATCAAGCAACTCCTGGTCGAGGGCAGAAGGGAGCGTGACGCCCACTCTCTCTGCTGTAAGTCTGATCATGCCGGCGATGCCCCTCCACAGTACATGATGCTTAGCACCAGCGATCACAAACTTGCAGAACTGGGTGAAAACTGGGACGTTCTCTGGTGTATCCAAGGATTTGATGAGTGTGAACGCACCCACCGAGGCACCTTGAAACAGCGACGGAGCGGGCCGGGCGGTGGTGTAGGCCTTGCTGAAGATCTCTATCAGTGTGTATACCTCCATGACACATAAGATCGTCCGTTGGTCTTGCTTATTCACGAACTCGATGTTGGTAGGTGTTGAGGGTGGGACAACTTCGGGTTTCTTGAGGAATTCCATCAGGGTTATCGACGCGTAATAACTTATAGCGCTGTTTGGTTCTATGAGTTTTCTGTCCCGCTTACTCGGTGGGCGAGATGTCATAAGGGACTTACTGTACTTCCATAATAGGTGGTGCCATGCCAGAGTGGCGCCTGAGCTCGAACGGGAGCTGCGTCCTCCAAATAACCAGCTCTTCGCCGATCGCCTCAGCTGCCGCGCGGCTGCTGTTCATGTCGTCCTTTGAACGAGAAGAGAACAATAGCTTGCTAATTTTCCAGCAGATCATAGCAAGCTCGCAGAGTTTGTTATACATTAGGTTCCAGTGAAAAGTGACTTGCCCATGTTCGGGATAAGGTGACCATTGATCAGTTTCAGCTATTTCGTGCTCGTCGTATGGAAGTCCGATGGATGGTGGTTCTACAGGAGGTAGCTTCAAGAAATTGAGCGAGTAGATCCTAAATACGTCAATATGATATAGTCTGACATGTAGTGAGCTTACGAGGAATAGTTGAAGATAGCCCATGTTGTGGTTCGGGTGGATCGTCTAAGCCGTGCTGATGATGGTGTACTGGGTTTTGAATCTTTGCGGTCTTCTCCTAGCCTGAGGTCACGATACATGTGGGCTATTTGACCCAGCAATGACCAGCCTAAAGCATCGTTGCCACGTATAGTCGCGCTGAAACAAGATTAGAACGCCCGGAGCAAAGGACCGAGTTTGCGTCAAATCAAAATATAAGCTTACTCCATCGAAAGAACACATAGTGCCTGCAGGTTCAGCAGCGATGGTCTGCCCTCTTCCTCGAGCCATGTCCGTCTGGCCTCAGAATGAAATCGCCCGCCCTTGACGCTCTCATTTTCTGGGTCGTCAAAGGCTATAGCTGATTGGCAAGAGTGCTGTCTAGTTCAGTATGCAAAAAAAAAACATAAACCGGAGCGGTGTGGTGTAAGAACTCACCGCGCCCATGCTGATGACAGCATGAAACAAGAACCTGGAGCAGAACGGACTCTCACGATCGCCAGCTCTGCATGCCTCCACAAAATACTTGGTCTCAAACGGTCGCCATATAGGATGCCACCATGTTAAGTATAAAGAGGCCACCTCAGAGACAAAATCATCATTATCAGTGATGTTAGTCCAGGGTTGAGTGGGAAGCTGGAACAGTGGTGCACGACCTATCATTTCACGAATTCCCAGAACCCTTCTTCGTGTTCGAGTTTCAGAAGCTAAGTGATGAATTGTTCTTGCTTCTGCTCTCAATTCATCCAACTCTTCGGAAGCCGCTCTGCTCTGGTCACTGTCATCTTGCTTCAATCGTTCCGCAGTTTGATCCAAAAAGGCGATGATTTCGGTCAATGACGCGTTAGATTGGATGTAGGTGATCAAGTCTCGCACTTGATCCTCCTTGCTATTCCGAATGGTTTCGAGTAGTGATACCACCAGCTGTCGGTAGTGATTTGACTCATCTTGCTTACGTTTTCTGGCAACTGTTCGTCGTCCATCTACATCAATCTGGAAGACACATTCCGTGTTCCGCGTGACGCAACTTCCACATGGTGAAGGCGGCCCGCTGCACTATCATGGCATTCTGTCATCCTGGCAGTCCCGTAGGCGAGCGAAAGAAACCAGGGCTCACCTTGGCCTTCCTCTGTTTACATGACGTACAAGCGACGGCGACCACGTGGCGTCGTGGCTTTTTCAGGCTGACATCCGCGAGGCGGAGCCTATCTCCATTCACATCACTTGAAATTGACGGGGCAGGTGCGAGTTTTCGGTGCAAGTGTCCTGGGGGACTACTCATACCCGGAGATATACCTCCGATCTGCTATCGAAGAAAGTATTTTAGCTGTTATTGGAGAGATGAAAGGAGAAATAATGAAGGAAAGATCGTCATGTCGGGATCTCGGATACCCCGCTAATCAGCCTTGAAGACCGATATCGGATAATTGATTGTCCGCTTTCAACGTTCTAATGCCGTTAGAAGTGTGATTATGTAAGACAGCTTGGCAATTCTTGCGCATTGAAGCTTGCTGTCCACTGATTGAGGATGGTACGCAAGTTCGTCATTGTACCCATCATCCATTAAGGACAGGCCATAGCCACGACTTGTGGTGGCTAATCACTGGTGGTGAGCCGAAGTTGTTCAATGCTCAAGCTAATCCACGCATGGCAGTGAGGATTGCGGATGGCCGTTCCGGTATCACCGCCGCCCTTGTCAAGCGGCTGGTTGCAAATCAATTCCCGCAATGGAGACACCTGGCCGTAACGCTAGTCGAGGTTGATGGCTGGGACAATCGGACTTTTCGCCTGGGTAAAAACATGTCTGTGCGCCTACCATCTGGTCCGGGTTATGTTGCGCCCGTTTCGAAGGAGGCTGAATGGCTTCCACGATTAGCCCCCGCCTTGCCCATCGCCGTGCCAAAAGTCCTGGGCAGGGGGTTGCCAGACGAGGGATATCCTTATCCATGGTCTGTTCGCGGTTGGATTGCTGGTGAGACGGCTGATCGTGGACACATCGAAAACCTGTCGACTTTTGCTGTTTCCGTCGCGAAATTCATCCTCGCTCTACAGCGGTGTGACACGAACGGAGCACCATTGGCAGGCGCACACAGTTGGTTTCGAGGATCCTCGCTAAAGACATATGATGAGGAAACCCGCCGATGTCTTGCTCGACTCAGTGGTCTTATTGACACCACGGTGGCCGCAGCGGTATGGGAAGCAGCCCTGTCTACGGAATGGACCTCACCACCGGTATGGTTCCACGGAGATATTGCGCCTGGAAACTTGTTGGTTCGAAATGGAAATCTTGAGGCCGTCATTGACTTCGGCTGTGCTGGCATCGGTGATCCTGCCTGCGACCTTGTGATTGCGTGGACAATGTTCTCTGGTGCGAGCAGAAATGCTTTTCGTGAAGCTGTTGGTCAAGATTCTAATACTTGGACCAGGGCGCGAGGTTGGGCCCTCTGGAAGGCTCTCCTGAATGTCTCAAATGATAAAGACGATTCTTTCCGTATCACCACATCTCGTTCCATCATACGGGATATTCTCATAGAGTATGAGGCTACTGCTCGATAAGTCTACATTTTTGCGAATTTCGAGTTCTGTTGCTCATATCTAGGGTAAGAGAGATCATAACCGCGCTACATGGACTAGAACTCACAGGCCTACTTGATGATTTCAATAAATTCATACTCCTTCGCTGGCCTCTGGCCTTCCCTCTTTGCTGGTGCCTCCCTGTCGCCAACCTGACTGATTGTATCTCAGTAGTGGTAACACCACACTTGTTCCCGTGAGACTTGGTTCAACGACCATCCTTCGAATCACAGTGCCATGGGCGCCGCATTAAATCAGCTGATGAACTCGGTCCGAAACTTGGTAGGCTTACTGAACTTGCCGAGACGGTATGCTGTGGACGTTGCTTATCCCAAACCCTAGCCATCTGACCTCTCACGGTTGCTCCTCCTGTCAAAGATTTACTCTTCCTCACACCGGCCGTAGATCTGCACACTTTTGCACGTGGGTAGCAAATGGACATACTCAACTTCCTGGGTGCAAGTATAGGTGAAGCTCTTCGCCTGATTAGTGACCAGCCGTCCACAGTCTGCGTCAATATCGTGTTTGCATGCGGCATGTACGTGGAGTTTGCCTTTGTGACGAAAGCCTTGCACACATCGTGCTGGATAGGCTGGACATCTGAAAACATAGCCGTTCGCTGAACAGTCGAAAAATGTTCTGCATCGCTTCGTATTCATAGTATCTGGGTACACCGTCCTCAAAGCATGCCTGATCTCTGATTGTGTGAGCTGCGGGGTGTTTTTCGACCAAAGGTTGATAAGAACAGACGGAGGAGCGGCTTGTGTGACTGTGCTGGTTGATAGCGTCGGCTGGAGTGTCAAATGGGGTGTTGGAGGGTTACTGATCACTTCACAAGACTTAGATAGTGGAAGACCATCAACGTGGATGTTTTCATTCAGCCATTTTTCTGCATCGAATGGTTGCGCGGCCATGTCTGGCAGGAGAGAAAGTCTTGGGGATAGTGGGAAGAAAGGAATATGTCAAACATAAAATCACGGGCGGGTAGGTAAGTGACATGAGCGGGATGAAGTGAAGGTGAGTTGAAGTAAGACTGAAGGCACTTTCGTTCCTGAAGTTTGTGGCACGATCATCAATTCCGTGAAATGTACAAGGCAAGAACCACAAGCGTGCCTTCCACGACGTCTTATTTGGTCAACATCTTCAACTCTTCGGAATGTTAGATCTTCCGCTGCTTCCTGGAGAATAACAAGCTCATTGGGTAGAGCGCGATCAAAGGACGAAGGCGACGCCCCAGCCATTGAAACCGATCGTGGTCCACAGTAACCGCACTTCCACTTCTTCAAGGTCCTCGAGTATCGGGACCACAGGTCCTCGCTATTGTCACCCTTCTGCTTTCCCAGGCTATCTCCGACCTCATCTTGATCACGACGTGTCTCCAAGCTGTTTCATGCGAGATTAGCTTTGAAAGAGTTATCTATTTATTCGACAGGGTCACTTCAAAACTAGTGCTCTGGCAAGTATATGAATGGAAACCCCATATTCAAGCCTCGCCAACTATGAATATGGGTGCCAAATCATTAATTCAGGTCAGGGAAAAGAGTGGTACGTTGGCTTATGTCCCCGGCCTCTAAAGATTTTCAGAAAAATCTTAGTAAGACAACTTTGAAATTACCAAAGCCACGAGAGCCACCAGAGCCACCAAACTCATCCATCCTCAAATTATTCTGGCTGGGGTTCGGCTTACAGTGCTACCATGGCTAAGTAGATTTATAAGCGAGCGTTCTGGGCAGAGTGAAGCGCATTCCTGCAATCCACCCGTCCAAGGACAAGTGATCATCGGAATGACTAAAAAGCCACTCTGTTGCTCCTGCTACTGAAAGCCGAAGGTGATGTGGTAGGTTCGCCCTGCATTGGATGATTGGAGCGCGGTAAAGACTCCACCCCAGTGTCAAATTAGTATGCCAATATCCGGCTCTCGGCTCTACACCAAGTATTCGGTTTGAGCTCGCAAACACATTGACCCGACCTGAGCTTTCAGACAAAACTGGCAGGCAGGAGGATCGGAGTAGAGCTCACACCTTCAGCATCTCGATAGCTGAGTATCGTGATTGACAAACAGCTTTCTATACCACTGGCAGGCTAGGTGTTTTCTCGTGGTCTAGCAAGAATACTCGACAATTTGACGTATGAGAAATATACGCTTTGCTTCGACTTTATTAATTAATATCCGTGCCATTACTCAAGCACAGTAAGAACTCCATTTCTCACGAACCCTCTTACAACAACTAGGCCCATTTCCATGGGAGACGTCCCTAACATGAACGAGGCAATTGCGGTACGCCCCTCCTATAATTGGAGCTTGATTTGGAAAATCACTAAACATTACTCACAGTGCTCCCTTTTGTCTACGATACGACCATCACTTACTCTTCTTCCTGATGAACCAGAATATGAACGAGCAAAAGCTGCGTTTTGGAGTTCTACTCAAACCAAAAGTACTCCTGCGGCCATTTTCCAACCTCGAATGGCTGCAGATGTGTCGATTGCTATCATTATTCTCAAAAAAACCTCTTGCCGGTTCGCAGTAAAGAGTGGCGGGCACGGCAAATGGGCAGGAGAATCCTCTATCAATGGCGGTGTCTTGATTGACCTGGCAAATATGAAGCAGATCAAATTGTCTCAAAAGCAGTCTGTGGTTGCACTTGGGCCAGGCAATCGCTGGGGAGATGTTTACTCTGCTTTGGAACCGCTAGGTCTGACGGTAGTGGGTGGTAGAGCTTCTGGAGTAGGAGTCGGCGGGTTCCTGCTGGGGGGTAGATACGCACTTTTCCATGATATCTGAGGGCTTTTTGCTAATCAGGGCATTTCTAGGTGGAATCTCTTGGTACTCAAATCTTTACGGCTGGGGTTGTGACAACATAGAAGCCTATGAAGTGGTTCTCGCTGATGGTTCAGTCGTGACAGCAAGTGAAGACGTGTTTCCAGATTTATACAAAGCACTACGAGGAGGTACTGGTAATTTCGGTATCGTCACTGCATTTTTCGTCAAATTATATCCCTACACCGGCATGTGGGGAGGTACAAAAACATTCAAACGCCAATATAGCGACCAAGCGACGAAGGGCTTCATTGATATTGGTTCAATCAGTGATTCGGTAGACCCCAAGTCCTTCTTCATACTCAGCCTCAGCACAACTGAGGACAAATCATGGGTATGGGGGTCGAGTCTCATCTACTGTGACACGAATGTCAACCTTGCCTGCTTCAATGCCGTTGAAACCATACCAACGCTCAACAACGAGTGTCGTGTGAGAGATCAGACCGAATCTGTGGCACACCTGCAGTCCTACTACCCGAATTGGATGCAATACTCCATCTGGACTATGGCCACTAAGGTCGACCTTATCACGCTGCGCATATGCTGTGCAATCTGGGAAGAGGAGATGGATCCCCTTCTCCATGAGGTAGGAGACCTTGTCCCAGTGCTCGCAATACAATATATCACGTCAAAAGTCATCGAGGGTGCCGGACGTAGCGGTGGAAACGTTACCGGACTTGCAGGCACCCAGCCTTTTGTTATGTATAATTCTGAACCACGCTGGGCTCACGCACATGACAATCAGCGTGTGATCTCACATATCAAGAGAGCATTTGAACGAATGTCCACCGAGTCAAGACGGCTTGGCACCAACCATGAATACAGATACAGCAACTATGCCAGTGAATATCAAGATGCCATTGTTTCTTATGGGACGGATTCAAATGAGTTCTTACGCAAGGTCTCAAACAAATATGACCCCAACGGAGTATTCCAAAAGTTGCGATCAAGTGGCTTTGATTTTTCAGGTCCTCCTAGAAAGATCCAGGAACTTGAATATGGTGCGAAGCTATAAACTCATCCTACAATTGAATCTGAGATCTGGTGGATTTGGGGAGAACAATGCAATCTTGATCTTGTCTACTGAAATGATATTGCTTAAATCAATTGATTACTGCTTCATGTTTATGGTCGCTGCATAGACTGATAAAACCCTGTACATGTGCCTCGCGTCTAGCTCAGAGCCTCTTGCTAGAAAATATGTGCCGCTATGGAATTTAGACCATGATGGCTACCACTGAACGAACTTGTGCAGACCTTATCAATCATTTAACAGCAGTCTGCTAAACAAAAGCACATATCACCAAATCCCGTACTCATGGCGGTTAGTGTTTCGTGTAGTCTGACTAAACCTCTAGGATCATAGAGCAATGAATGCTACTCTTCAACTTAGTATATTTATTGCCACACCATTTGACAGCTAACACTATACTACAAGGATAGAACAGGATGTAAAAGGAAGCAACCGGCTCCACACCTGTTCCATATCTTTGTAAATTCCGACCGTAATCAACAATGTGATTTATGAAAACTCGTTCTCAAGCAGTGGAGGCGTTCCGTTCCAAGCTATCCTCGAGGATCCTTTTGTCATGAATGTGACTTGCATGACTCAAGTCAACTGCTTCGATCTGTTCCTTTTTCGAGAAGACGAGTATATAGTAAACGAAACTAAGAACGCAGATCCCCGCAAATACAACACTTGCATAGTTCATCGATCGCGCGTTCACGGGAACATAAAGTGGAAATGAGACCCAAATGCAGACCCAGATTGCCCAAACAAAAGCAACAATATCGATAGCCAGGCCAAATCTACCGAGGTTAAGCCAGCGATCTTTATCAAGAGCGTCGCGTCCCCGCCAGAACAGCATCGCGAAGCAAAGTGCCCACGATGACTTGCCGCAGAGGCTGGCGCCTCCTAGAAGTGCGTTGAGGGCGGTACTCGCACCAAGTTGGAGTAGGCCGATGAGAACGTTGAGGGCAGTGCAGACAGTCAAGGCGTTAACCGGAATAGACTCCGACTTGCTGAGTTTGGCTGTGAAGGCTGAAAATGGGAGACCGCCATCTCGAGAAAATGACCAGTATAGTCTGCTCCAGCTCACGAGAGCGGCGAAGTTCGCAAGACCACAGGTAATAATGATACAAACCGTGGCGATGACCGTCAAGGCGGTAGAATCGAAGGCGTCATGGAATAGTTGAATAACGGGTTGGCCACCGACTGGAGTCAGCAGTGCTTCCTGGTCCACAGTGCAGAATAGATAGATAATGATAGATGGTATTCCCGTCAGAACGCTGAGCGACGCAGACCCAATCATAACCTGCGGAATCTGCTTCCCTGGGTTGTCCATCTCGTCTGCAAGATGCGTTGCTGAGTCGATACCTCCAACCGCGGCAACACCCGGCAAGATGCTTAGGAAGAAAACCACCACGTTCGAGCTCCAGCCTGTCTCATTAACAATGTCGACAAAAACCGTTCGTGCTGATTGTTTGGGGTTTGCCTTGACCAGTAAAGTGATGAAAATAAAGAGAGCGGCCGCGTTAATGAACACCACGGCTCCCGACAAGCTCCAGCCTATTATGCGATGTGTCTTTGGGAGAGATAACGCGTATGCACTGAGCGCAAAAGCAACATAAACTAGATAGGTGTGCCAGTCTTTCACAATATAATCTGCGTGAGTAGCTTGAGCCAACGCAGTTGTCAACTGGGCCAAGAACAAATTGGTCACGGCTGAGATAAAGAACCAGCAGGCCACGGTTGACCAGCCCATGATATATCCGAGCAGTCGGCCCAACTTCTTCGGCCCAAGAACAACTACCCAGTAGGCAGGACCTAGGGCAATGGATCATTAGCTGTTGACTTGAAAATGGCGGATGTCCTGCGGAATTGAGACTCACCTGTCGCATGAGGAATGGCGGAAGCCAATTCGGCCATAGCAATTGCGAGGATCAGCTGCCCTGTTCCAGCGAAGATGAACTCGTAGAAGAAAATGGGAGGACCTCCCACGCCAACAGCAAGGCTTAGCATGGTGCCGATTGCGATTGGGGTCGCACTGATGGAGAAGTTGACGCCCAGACAGGACCAGATGTTGAAATGAACTTTAGGTCGAGGGTTCTCTTCATGGACTTCGCCTGTACCCTCAGATTTGATGTGACTGATGGTTTCAGACCCACTCAGGCCGATGGCCTGGTCGATGTTCTTTTCAGTACCCATGACTATATGAGGCTCAGATGGGATTTCAAAACATGGATTGGAAGTGAGCAGTCAGTTGGAGAGATGAGGCAAAGCGTACTACCCCAGAGATGATCCATGCTCAGCTTTATACACGATTGTCCAGGCCGTTCATCGAGTGTCTTCTCCCATACTCAACCCCTCTAATCCCCGGAATTCATAGCTTGGCATCATCTAACCAAGGCGTAGTGGAGCATCCCTGAACATGTCTCGCTACCAAAATCACAAAGGGATAGGTAGCTTGGTATCTACCCCACGGCCAGTCAATAATTTAACAAGCCAAGCACCTTATCATCCCTCTGCTATTCGCAACGGCACCTATTTCCTTGGGTCGGCTTTAATTCCGTGCTCTTCTGCTACATTAGTGCCATCAGACAGGCCGCGATCTCTCTACATCCGGCACTCGGCACTCGGTACAATAACTCCAGCCGCTGCCAAACCAGAAGATTCATCAATGATAAGGATGCGGGAAGGGATCTCAGACACTTCCAAAGGAACAAGCTTTGAGGACATCGTCACGCAGTCACACGCGTGCTTTGACTGATGCCCTGCCCTTGGTTCCGGCCTTGTAGATATATTTATTGGGGCGACTTGGCTCAGGTGAGTCAGCACCAATCATAGCCCATCGCGGGCTCAGCAAAAGCGACTCATCCCTGACAAGGAAGTGTTATCGACACTTATACCGACAGAGAGAGAATTGCCCTGGTGGATCCAGAGGGAGTTTGGAGGGGATCAATCTACTGTTTACGGAACTTTTCAAGATTTCTGAGTCCACCTAATACGAGAATGCTAATATGTTCTGGAGATATCGCGCTTCAACAAGTTTAAGGCCTTCTCTTCTCTCGAGTACCTTATCGATTGAATCAATCAAGATGTACGACTTCGGTTACCATTTCGCACGTCGCTTCCTTCCCACTCTCACGTTCCTCAACACACTGCTTAAATATAAGGTTGCACCTCCCCGATTTTGGAGTCGCTAGGAAATGATCGACAATGGACATACTTTGTGCCGTGGTGTCTGCAGCCACACTGACCTTGAATTGTTTCACCAGCGCCGCAGTGATCAATTTCAGTTCCATCATCGCTAGATTTTTTCCCAGACACGCTCGAGTTCCTGATGAAAACGGCATGTAGAGAGCCTTTGCTTCGGGAGACATGACTTCTGGTCCCAACCAACGCTCTGGTGCAAACCTTTCGGGATTCGAGAAGACTTGAGGGTCGCGTTGTGTTGTATAGCATTGCATTGAGACAATGGTCTGGAAGCAAAATCGTGAGACATGCCTCAATCACTTCCTTCATTATATGAGCTCACCTTTTCCGGAATATGTACGCCGTTGAGCATTTGCCCCCCTGCTGGCGTTTCTCTGGGAAGGCTTGATGGTGCTGCAGGATGCAAACGAAGAGCCTCGTTGATGATGGCATCAAGAAGTGGAAGCTCAGCAATATCTCTGAAGTTAGGCAGGCTCCCGGTCCAGTCTATGTTCTCAGAGACCTCGGACCGTAGTTTCCCCTGCCAATCTGGATGCTGGGCAAGCTCCCAGAAAAGATATGTCAACGTCGTACTGGTGGTATCTGGGCATTACCATGGTATCAATACATAAACCCCAAAATTAGAAGGACAATAACCTACCACTACCTGCGAACACAAGGTTTGAAATCTCAACGTAGGTTTCTTCGTCAGTCATGGGAGCCTCTTGAGCTATCTTGTTAGTAACGATCTTCGTCAGCAAATCACGACGACCAGAGTCGCGCCCGTAGCGGGAAATGTAGTCACGGAAAGCATTCTGTCCAAACTGTTGCCTAATCAGTATGGAGAGCCCCTAAACAACGACGCTTACACACTTGGATGATCCGTTCCCTGGCGCCGAGGAATTCTCGTAGAGCAGGTATGGGTAGAAGATGCAGCAATCGCACCAGCCATGGGAGGGCACCTGCGATGCCACTAGTGATGAAGAACCGGTCTATATCATGGAGAAGTTGTGGCGGCTCCAGCTTGTCTAATCCGCCAGAAGATTGTCCAAGGAATAGCTCGCCTGTCAACTATATTAGCCTCTACACCATCAGATATCAAGCAACGAGTGAAAATACCGACGATATCGAATGCGGTCAACCGGAACCATAATAGCATATCTGTCGGCTCCCCTCGGCGTCCATGCAAGTGAACCACCAACTTAGAGATGATATGTTTGATGATAGGTTCTGTATTGTATAGGTTCGCCTGAGAAAATGCATGGCTGAGCAGACGACGTCGCTGACTATGGGCCGCTTTATCTCTCATGCTGAAGATCCCAACCGGGGGTACGACGAACGTTTCATAGAAGGGAGCCTTCATGAACTGTGTTTGCTGACTGTAAAGCTCCTTGACGACCGCCGAATTTGAGTATGAAATCTCTTTTGGTCCTATACGTACTGAGGAGCCATACTTTTGATGTAAATGATGGATCGTAGTAGTTCGATAGCCAAGCATATCAATGATGATCAGCCATAGAGGAGAGATCTTTGCCAATAACGGACCCGGTATCGAGCTCAGAGGCGACAGAAAGATATTAGAGATTGCCTGATCTCTTTAGCAATTGGAAACTTTGCAGTCAAACATCACGAACCTTCCAGACCACGCAGATGGCCGCGAGGACTAACAGAGCTGAGATGTATAATGTCATTGTCGGAAAATGTGATTCAATCTCTCAAGACACGTTTGAATGCTGTATAGTTATATGATAAGACGTCTACTCGGGGCACTTAGTTTTGTTGTGGTTCCCCAGATTCTGGAGAGGGCGACACGGCAAGCAAACTGGGGTTTTCCGGGCTGTTCGTGGGGAAGGGCGGATTCACGTAGCATCCGAAAATCGTAGTCCTTCATTGATTTAGCTTGTCCTAACTTCAGTGATTACGATGTATCATGGCCGAAATAGCTTCACAAGTTACTGAGTGATGGGTCCTGCCAGTTCTCAACGAAGCTGGCAATATCTGCTAGAAGGCAGCCGTGACTAATAGCAAGCTATCCTGTTAAACTTGAGGGCTGTTCTACCATTCCTAGTCACTAAAAACCGGTCGCTGATGATAATAGTTACCTTAGAAGTTGGGACCTAGGCTGTGATATCCTCTAAATTGAATGGTCATAAACGATAGCTTTTGAGGCGTGTTCGAATAATACATTCGGACTACTCAAGTCGTGCCGCATGTAATACAATGGCGTGTTCGGAAATCGTCAACAGAAGCAAAGCAGCCATGGCAAAAGACTCAGTACATCGTGCAACTAAAGTTCAACATCAAACCGGTTGACGCGGGTCGGAGGCTTCGACATCCAGTACACATTGACTCTATCCTCTTGCCGCATTGGGCCTGCAGCTATAGCTAGGTATATGCAGTGGGCTGCCGAATATTAAGGTCAAGGAGTTACCCAAGTAAGCCATTCACTCGTGCCGTGTCTCATATGTCCTGGTGTTTCTGTGGCCACAATCATCACTTCTGACGATTGAGCTCAAACACCTGTCGATACCGAAACCTCCCCCTGCTGTCTCGTATAAACATATGCGCCTAAAGTATACTGCGAATTACACATGTTCGTTAGTTCCCAGCTCTCAGCACCAAGTACGTTCTTGCCACCAACATCCTCCCAGTCTCCTGCAGCACCGGCACAGAAAAGAGCAGGGATGAAGTGCTCGTCAGTTGCATGGGCATCACGGTAGGCTGGGTGTTTCATCAGTCGAACAAGTGCAGCTCGGAGAGCAGGGCCAGAGTTCTTCGTGATAGCATCCTCAGTAGCTTGACGGAACTCAAGGGCCCACTCCTCTGGAGGTTTCTCTTGACCTAGCGACTCTCTGTAACGAAGCATATTAGACCATGTGTTGCGATAGAGATTATGAACAGCGCCGCCCGTGCCGATGAAGAGGTAGCCTTCGTGACGAAGTTTGCGCAACGTGGTCCCCATTTTCATATGATAGTGTGGGTCATATCGTGCATTGGACGACAGAATTACAGTGGGCGGGCACGTTGCGTTGTCTGGGAACATGCGGATCAAGATCATGAACACGTCATGATGCCACGGCGTAGTTGAATTTCCTGAGACGCTGTATCCTGCTGCTGCGAGCAGTTTAATGCAGCGATTCGCGCCGTCGATGTCGGGGTTGGGCTTCCAATCGACCCAATCCGCCTGGTTGGAAAATGGGCAAGGAGTTTTATGAGGATTTGGATTAATCGCGACCTGAATGCCATCTCCTAAGCATTCCCAATGAGCACCTATGATGATAATCCCCTTCACTTTGTTCTCGAGAGCCTCTTGACCACACTTGGTCCAGTACTTCCCCGATGTCGTATCTGCTGACAGCATTCGTGTGGAACCATGCGAAAAGAAATGGACCGGTGTCAGGCCTGGATTTGGTCAGTCTGAAAGGAGTTTTCGAGTGATGAAAACTGACCCATGTTTACTGTCCTATATTTTCTCTTTCGTCCCAGCAAATTTGATCTGGTCCTCCGTCCGTATGACGCCCACGAATCCGCTCATCACATATACGTCTACACGGTGGGGTGGCTAGGGGATGCAAAATAATCATAAATGGAGTTAGCCGATGAGCGATTGAAACGTGAGGCGTCCGTTTCCTATTCTTGTTAACAAGCATGCTCTCGATGTATGTGGATACTGGGGTTGTTCTGTGAACCGTAAAACTCCATAGCCAAGGCATTGCTCTGGGAATCTGAAGCCCATCAGCAAACAGAAGTGGCGCTTAAGCCCTGCAATAGTATCCGTGATATTCGGATGTCTCCAAGCCTGTCGATGTTCCCGTTCTCAAGCGCCGAGCTGCGGACTTTTTCTCCTCACCCCAGATCTATGGTAACAACCACTCGGGGATAATTCTGAGGCCTAGGAGAAAACGAATCTCCCCTACCCACCAATCAGAAACGCATTACCAGAGCGACCCCCTTTAGCTTGCTTAGATCCACCCCAGAATCCGGGGTCCCGCAGAGCTACCTATGCATTTCAATCGGGGTGAGTTCAGAGACGGGACACACTGCCGTAAGACCCGAACTGCTGGGCATTCGAATCGAGCAAAACAGATGTGAGACATAAGGGCAGTCATTCCACATTGAAATCCCAACTTCGTGCTCACACCACAAGTCTAGTCATCTTCAAATCTCAAAGGGGAACGTGCATTAGGGTCAAAGTATTGTGCAGGAATGTCGACCAATGCAAGTCGTGACGAGAAGATCACTGGTACTGACGTCGAAGGAGACGAGACTCGCATAAGCTCACCTCCCACTGGTGCGGACGTCGTGGATCGGGTTCCACGTATCCATGCAAAGACGATTATTCTAGTATTTGTCAGTCACAGAGGATTTTGCCCTTATTTCCATAAGTCAACTGACTGAAAACAGTCCGTATATCTTGCGTACCTTGCGGGCGGATATAATATCGTCGTCGCTGGAGCCTATGGGCGTGACGTAGGCATCGAGCTTGGTGGAGAAGCACAGTCAATTTGGCTGCTCCAGAGCGGAACAATCATCATCGCCGTCCTCAGTCCGGCCATTAGCGAGGCTGCAGACTTGTGGGGCCGAAAATGGCTCTTGGTAGGGCTGTCAGTTCTGGGTGTGGTACGTTTTTCTTCGGTGCGAATGCGCTCGAATTCTGATGAGAATTGACTGGGCCTAGATCGGATGCGTAGTCACCGGCTCCGCGAGCTCAATGGCAACGGCATTAGGAGGGCAGATTCTTTCCGGCATCGCCTGCGCTTCCCAACCACTTGTGCATGCCATTCCATCAGAAGTCATCCCCCGTCAATTCCGGGCATTTGCACAAGCTGGTGTAAATATCTCAATTGGATTGTCCGCGGTAATCGTGCTTTTGGCGGGTGGGGCACTTACAAGAAATGGAAATCATGCTGGATTCAGAGTTCTCTTTTACATAAACGCGGGACTCTTTGGAGCTGGAGCTCTTGCTGTTGCCCTACTTTACAATCCTCCTCTAAGAGAAACCCAGACTGCTTATACACAACGACAAAAACTCGAACGTCTCGATTGGATTGGACTTTTTCTGCTCTCGAGTGGGCTGACACTCTTCTGCATGGCTCTGGTGTGGTCGCAGAACCCCTACTCGTGGAAGGACGTCCAAATTCTTGCTCCATTTATCATCGGCTGCTTCTTGCTCTTAGCGTTAGCCGCCTATGAAGTCAGAGGAAGAAAAGACGGAATGTTCCACCACGAGTTGTTCAATCGTGGGCGGAATTTCGGGCTGTCGATTGTCTGCATCTTCGTGGAGGGTATGGCATTCTTCGCGGTGAACAATTATTTCGCATTCGAGACCAGTACACTCTATGAGCATGATGCGCTTTATGTCTCTCTGAGGTTCAGCATTTGCTTCTTTACTTTCACCGTCTCCACTGCTCTTACTGGCTTCTACTGTACTTGGACAAAAGCAGTACGGTTCCCAGTATTGAGTGGATTCGGATTGTTTACCATCTTCATGGTAGTCATGTCGACTGCCGAAATCGGAAGCAAAACTGCTCTCTGGGGCTACCCAGTGCTCTTCGGGAGTGGATTGGGTATCCTGCTGAATACTCTAATGACTGCTGCTCAACTCGGTACACCACCAGAGCTCATTGCCTCAGCTTCCGGTCTAATCATCAGTACGCGAAGCATTGGCGGCAGCGTCGCTCTGGCGATATACAATGCAATATTCACACAAGGCCTATCTTCAAATCTGGCTTCAAAGGTCCCCGCAGCCATGTTACCTCTTGGAGTTCCGCCAAGCTCCATTGGCCAGTTCACGAGCGCAATGACATCTGGTCAGACACATGGACTGACACAGATTCCAGGCGTCACGATTGAAGCCGCTGGGGCTGGAGCAAATGCTGTTCTCCAATCCTTTGTCATTGCATTTAGATATGTTTGGATCACTGGTGCATGCTTTTCTTTTGTTGCAATGATTGCAGCATGGCTTCTTATTGATCCTAAGGAAGAGTTTAATACGCAAATTGATGCACCTGCAGAGTCGGAGGAAGCTCTTTATACAGAGAAACGACTTGGTAGTGCTTAGTTACACCTAAGTGTAGTGTCGAACATGGTGGAGAATCACTCTGTTGCAATGGTATGTGCTTGTTTCTGTGCGAGAAAGAGCACTGCAACATTATCCGGTGTCGAAGGAATATGTTGTCAGAAAGGCACCTCAGTTTCGAAGAATATAAGCATCATTCTTGGAAATCATTTCCCCACTTGTCTGAGAACACGCTCTAGGAGGGATGCTATACGCAGCTTGTGTCGTAGGAGGATGTTTCTGCCCCGGATCAAATAAGACTGCCTTTCGACGTCAGTCCCTGACTCTTGTACGGCACTCCCACACCACAGTACTAATGTGGCGTAGTATACTGCGTAGGGTACGTGGGCAACATCAATTGATCCGTTTTGGGCGCTTAATGTCGAAGCTGTCTGATCAGTCTCCCTGCGCCGTGCAGAATTGTAATCTTCTTTCGAGCCAAGAGACTCTTCCATTTCTCCACTTTGAAGCGTTCTTTCTGCGTGCCATTTGGCAATTTGATAGTGTCTTCCGTTGGCCCATCTTGTGATAGAGGCTTGATAAGGGTCACTACCTTTATTTGAACCGTCTTTATTTAGTGTTAGATGTGCATAGTTTTGAATTACAAGCAGATTCGTGTGTATAGCGACGTTCATAAAGTGGGAGAGAATGACAGCTGCGCGATCAGCAGGATATCGGTGAGACCGTAGCCACTTATCGATAGCCAACTCGATAAATTCAGGCTTTGATAATGGTTTGGTTGGATCGACGCCTGCTGGAGCGAGTCGCATAACACGCCACAGAAAAGGCGCCAAGGCCGACAAAGCTCCCAGGCTGCGACGTTCAAGGGAGCCGGGTGCTATCGAATGGCCTGGATGGCTGATTGCCAACAGAAGGTAGTTTATGTCGTCAGGAGCTGTATCTACGGGCTCTGGGATCTGCTGCGGATCGAGATGCTGCCAGAGAAGCGAAGGAGGTCTTTGAAGAATGCAGATCCTGTAGCAATCAAGGATATACAGACCTTCCTTCAAACTTTGTCGGAAAAAAACAGTCAGTTAATGTACCACTATAGCTGGTTGATAGTCTTACAGGTTGATCTCAGACCTCCTGGAAGATGGGGTAGCTGCTATACTTAAAGTGTTGAGTATCTGTATAGCCTGTGAATATCTCAGCTTCAGCCATGAGGTTTTCAATTAGATAAGGCTCCGCTAGTGTACCTTTGCAAGATCTTGATGGAAGACTTCCACGAACTCGTAACTTCGCTTATCACCACTACTAAGTCCATATATCTCATTCAAAATGTACTAGAATGAATCAGAATTTCATCCAGATCATTTTGTTTCTCAGCAAACGTTACCGTCTTGACGATTGTCATAACTTCTTCATAGTCTGGGTTATTCTTGGTGTACCAACCAGCAGCTTTGGTCTTCACTTGTCAGTTGAAGGAAGTCATCTGTGAATTATGTCACGTACTGAGGCTAGAAGCAGTCTTCGTGAGTCATTGTACATGGCTTTTGAAAATTCAAAGCTGCCAGTAGTGGCACAGTATAACCCTCCAACAGCGCCGACCGCAAGAACATAATCTGGTCGTGTTGTAAAGGTCATAGTGAGATCTTCAAAGAGTCTGAAAAATCTTGGTACATTACGGGCGAAGAGATTGACATAAACATTGAGAATCTCAAGGTCATGATCCCATAGACTTGCTGGAGCTGAGTACCACATGGCCGCCTCTTTGTCTGGGGATGGACACCTTGCTCGCGATCTTTGATCAAAATAGTCCTGCATCATTCGCGAGTAGCTATGTGCCGGAGGAGACAGTGGGTCTGCAGCAAGATCAGGCATGGCGGTTGTGAGGCTATTGCTCCCAAAATCGAGATCCTCCCACCAGGCCTCGCCACTCTGGCATCTTGATCAGCGCTGGTTGCCTAGGATGCATGTTGCCAAATACCGGACTTACCAGGAGAGGGACTTGCCATAATTCTGTAAGCACGTTTGTCTCAACATCGGTCTGAAACATTATTGCAGTATCAGGGCCAGGCACAACATCTACTGGCAGAGAGATTGGGATGGGCGTCGTTATCGATACCTGCGTTGTCCTGGGTGCGGGTGAAAATGAATCAGGCACCAATACTTGTGGAAAGCTGGCCTCCTGTTGGATATTTTCCCTCTCGAACACGAAGCCTGTGGTCAGCGATGAATCAGTGGCCTCCAGTTGGAGGTCTGAATCGTCTTCGATGATCAAGTCCGCATTTGAACCATCAAAGCCAAGGTCTAAATCTTGAGCTGTGCGAAAAGAAGCCGAGGAACTGTACTGGCAGTCGGAGTGTCCTACGCGGCATTGCTTACAGGGAATCTTGCCATCGCAACGTAACTTACGCCTCCGACAGAGATTACAAGCGGTTTTGACGCGTTTCCTTCTCGGCTCGGAATTCTCGTTGTTGGCGAGGTTAATCGCAATGAAGTCTATTCCGTGGGTCTTCTTGACATGCAGAGCCCGAACATCAGACCGTTGGAATGCCTGCTCACAACGTGGGCAAGGAAATGGTTTTTCGTTTGTGTCTAATATTGGATCGTTTAGTTTGCACCAGCTCATTGATGCTGGTGGAACTGTCTTGACTCACGTATTCTCTTGTGTCTGTCCAAATGCTCAGACCTGACGAATGTCTTGTTGCAGACGTCGCACTAACATATATCAGTAGCATTCTCCCAAGTAAGGCAAAATTGCGCTCCATTGTTTCTTGAATTGACATCCCTGCAACTAGCACAATTGGGGTAAGTCTTACCCGGCGAGACGTCATGGGATTCTGTACGGCCTGCTTCGCGGCTCCTCCTCGAGATGGATCACAACAGAGTCGAACTCGACCTCCCAGGCATGCATAAACAATCAACACTGCGAAACTTGTGCCGAGGAGTGTGAATGGGGTGGCAGAGAAGCAAAGAGGCAAAGATGTGACATGGGGACTTCCGCAACTTTTGAGCTCGGATGTCCTAGCACCTCCCCACACTACTCCTCCAGATACCTAACTATTACTAGTTAGATGCTTATGAGGTTAGTGAACATCTTCCCCACGAATTTCATGTGGCTGTCCCTAACTGTAGGCTTTGTTCAGCCCGGGTTTGCGTCTCACTGGCCAAGGAACACCTCGGAAACCTCCATTCTCCTAAACTTATTAACCTCGGGTACCCCCAGGTCCTCCCAGCCAAGCTCTCATGATCCTGACTCAAGTCCGGCGGGCATGGTGACAATATTCAGGCCAGCAGTTGTTCATCATCACCTTCAAATTATCTTTACTCTGTGTTTAGTTTGTGAACCGTAGCTCATATCTCCACGCTTCCGGACAATCAAGCGGCAAGTCAACTGAAAATGGCCTCGCCAGTCATTGACCACGGCACAAGTAACTCGAGAAGCACCCAGCCACAAGACTGGCCTGCAGAACGCAATCCAAGTCAGTGGGATGTTCATGATGCTCAGCAGGTACCAGAAGTTTCTTTCCATCGCCGGTTCAAAGCTGCACTGCTCCTGAGCGCAGACGCAACTGGCTGTCGCCAGTACTTGAGCGAGACCACAAGTAGTATTGGAGGGTTTCGTAGTAGAGACTGTTCGGCTTCTGTATGAGTCACCATCTCTGCCATTTATGATAGCTAGAAGTCGCAGGCTGATGCCGTCTAAAGGGAACATTACGGCAGTATACCTATCCAATGGTGATTCTTGAAGACCTGCCAATACTTCCAGGGATCGAAGTGCTTGCCCAGGCACAAGCCTCATTCTTCGCGAATTTCGGCCATCACGTGTTTTTACGCTCACTTGCTTTTCCACCGCCGACTACTACCCACTCTGCTCCACCATATCTTAGGATTGCTTTGGCTTGCCTGGGTGCTACGACGTGGAAATCGGGTACAGCAGTAGGAGAACTACACCACCGGTCTTCTGAACCTCTCAGTGCCCTAGCCTCTGATCTTTTCATCGCTGGCGATGGCCTGTGGGGCGTGATGATGGAGGTGGACAATCGTGAAGCTCGATTGCTGGAATCCGTCTTGGCTGTAAGTAACGCTCTTTGCCTCCAGGAGAGTGATACTAATTTTCAGGGGTGCCTGTTTGCGACTTTTGGAATGCTCAGCACACAAGAAGAATTTTGGGATATGTCGGCGGCGACACTAGCGGGCACCGCAACAATGGCCCGTCGCACGAGACTGCACTGCGTAGAGCCGTCTCCACCAGCCGAAAAGCTCTTCCTTCATCATAGTATGGCCACGAGCAGGGATGTTAAGTTCCACTCCTCTGCGTTACTATGTGCTCATCAACTTATAGTCTGCTGATATCCTACCTTTTCTTGACGGACGTCACTCGTGCAATTCATTGTGGGAGTGTCCCTTGTATCTCAACTCAAGAACTATTCATGCGAATGCCGTCGTCGCTACACAATTTCAATCACATCTATGATTGCCTCATATCAGGTAATGAACGGTTGCCATCTGATTTGAAAACCGATGAAGACAGTCTCCTCCTCCTGATTGGCATATGTTCCGATATCCTGTTCATTCGGCATTCTTTCTCTGGTCTGCTGCTGGCTAAAACCTCGACTGACGAATCAATGTCCAATCCTTATCTTCCACTTTCCCCGTCGGGAGAAGTACTGCGGCATCAATTCATCTTCAACACAGCCCTCTCGCGGTGGTATCAGCATTTTGGAGAAAGTGTCAGTCCAAATGTGCTCCTCATGTTCTATTTCTGCAGATTACTCTTGGCTTTGCCGGATGTTCTGAGGCTCCCCCGGCTTGCTGGCTATCCATCGCATAGCCGAGAAGCCCTCATGAATCCTAGCTTACCCATTTCAGCTTTCTCAAGGGTCTCGGATGAGGCTTTGAACGTTTCGTGGCGCATTCTGGAAAATTGGAACACTGGTTCTCGTGAGATAGGAAGCGATGTCGCCATATGGGTTCCTGTGATCCTATTTCACGCCGGATTAACAGTATGGGCTCACGTCGGACAGCAGAGCTCCACCACAAAGTTTATGACAGGGAGCTTGAGGACGCTCAAGATGTTCAAAGATGAATTAGACAATTTATTGTGGCCTTGCTGTGTCGAAATGAGCCGGACACTCGATCGTTTGATGCATAATCGAGACTGAAAATAGATTTAACAGTCCCGCTACATGACCGGATCGTATAAGAGCAACCATTCGATCTTGAAGGGAAAAACTGTTTTCAGATATCAAAAGGACCAAGCAAGGTCCGCTTAGCCAGACATGGTCATATGCTCTTCAAGCACGGCAACTTTGTGGTGGTATTATGGTATATCGCCATCCCCAGATGCCCAGTCACCCGTCTTTCAGGTGTACATAAGTAGTGGACCACCGAACTCTAAGGACTATCTTGAAATTCAAGTACATATTTCTCTACGAAAGCAATGTTCTGCTGAGATCTGCGCATTGATGCTAGCGGGTAACTCCCCTGACTTGGGAAAAATCCTCAATCCTAAATAATTGCTGAGTACCAAGCTTTACCCAATCTTTGATGCTTTTAGAACGCTCTTGATGCCATCTTCCTCCCACCTAGTCACACTTACAATACTGAAAATGGGCAGCTCAGCTAGCCGATTGACGATGTGGTGCAACGTGGGTAGTTCCTCTGGGTCTTTGGCCGTGATGTCAATACCAGCCTGGCAGGATTTTCGAACATTTTGATAGTCATTCAATATGACACATCCGTTGGTATTGCTGCTTCTGTCCACGACAGATTCTGCAATCAGAATATCCTGCTCAAGGTCAAAACGGCTTGTGGTCATCTCGTCCGTGATCTTAGGTAAGCTTCGGTGAACCAGTATGTTTTCACCCATATGCCCGAATTCAGTGCTTTTCACAAGATTTTCAGCACGAAGTCGTGCCCACTGGACTCCTCGCCAGGAAAGCGAGACTTCGAGCGAGTTTTCCTGAGGGCTTTTCAGGTTTATGTCAGAGAAAATGCTAGGATATCCTAACTCTTCGCGGCTGGCAGTGATCACATCGGCACAGTTCTCAAAGACGACAGGAACAAATTTGCCGGGAACAACCGATCCGTCCTTTTTCGTGTAGTTGACTCCGTGGATCGCAAATGTCAGCCTTTCAAACCCCTGGTTTGCAAGTAATTCCACGTTTGCCCGACTCTGGAAATGGAAGCTCGCCATCACCACGGTATCAGTTGCTGCAAAACTATACGACTTTGTGGGAAACAAATTACGCAATAACGTCCCACTAGTCATAAATCTGATGTTGATATTCAAAGTTTTTGCCATCTTGCTGGTATAATTCGTTTCGAGTCCAGAAACACCCGCCATCGGGCCGAAAGCAGTAGGTTGGCGCCAGATTGCTCCCTTGATCTTTGACCACTTGTATTCCCGGAGCGCTTGAGTGGAGTTATGGAACTCGTTGTGGCTGAGAGCGTAGAAGGCCCTTTCCCGACCTGTCCCAAATTTAGTCCGAAACCGAGCAATTAATGGATTAACAAAGTTTCGTACCTTTCATTCTGGCCTCCTTCTCTTCCCCAGGTCTAACTCCATCACCCGTTGAACTGCGACTGTATCCCTGGATTGTTGTAGCACGTTCATGGCGAGTTCGGTTGTATAGCTCTAGTCTCTCGGGGATTTCATGCACAGTGGTACCTCTGGAAAGAATTACGCCTAAGGAGACGGAGTCTTCGATTGCTGTAGCCCCTCCTTGTCCGATGAATGGTGTAAATGCATGTGCAGCGTCACCGATGAGTGCCAAACGGTCTTTGATGAATGTTGGCATTGTGGGGGCATCAAATAACGGATAGACCTTCAGTGAATCAGTGTCACACTTGTTGAAGACTTTTAATAGCGTTGGATTAAACTCTTGGAAAATCTCGAGGACCTTTTCCTTGGACACGTCGGTGTTGTATGTCTCAGTCGAAGCATTGGATTGATGTGATGGATGAATGCAGACAATATTGAGTAGAGTATTGTTAACGCAAGGGTATATTATAACCCTATGCTGCTCGGTGAAGTACATGTCCATCGAGCCGAGATCTTTCCCTAGTGAGCTTGTCTCAGGGTCTGCAAGAATTGCTTCTCGAGGAACCATAAATCGGAACGCACTCTTGCCAATTGGGAAGCTGTCAAACGCCGGTCCAGTAACAGCTCGGCGAGTGACAGACCGAACGCCATCTGCACCTATAATAGCATCCCCTTGCACCTCATCTCCATTTTCAAGAGTGATTCTTGCATATTTTGCATCAAGTCCTATTACTCGAGATGCAGTATGGAGGACGACTACTGGACCCTCGTGCTGGTGTGATGTTGCCTTATCTTTCAACTGCGCATGGAGGTGGCCTCTGTGCGCTTGAAGCCAACTCTGTTGATGTCAGTACCTTTCTGAGAGAGCATCTATAGCAGGGTACCTACATCCTGCCACCTGATACTATTGGCTTCATTGTCATCGCGAGACAACAAGGTTCCATAGGCATTATGATACCTCGTCTGCCTGTGCATCAGCAAGCTTTTACCACACCAGATTAACATGAATCGCTTCACTGCTACTGACCTGGAGCAATTTAGTGGCTCCGCGCTCCTCAACATTGACTCCTAACGAAAGCAAGATCCCGTTAGCATTGGGAGACATGTGTATTGCAGCGCCCGCTTCTTCTGCAAGTTGCGACTGCTCAAAAACCTATTTCCAGAGCGTCAACATGTACGTTACTAACACCTTACGATTGTACATACCTGTACATGGTGGCCTTGTTGTCTTAGGCCAACTGCTGCAGTGAGCCCTGCGATACCTGCGCCAACGATCAGTATCTTAAGTGGGAGTACGTCGTCGTCGGTCTTTTGAGGTGACAATCCATTTGCTGTCACTCCCGTTCCAGGTTCACCAGCCATCATGATGATCACAATCAGGGAAAAATTTGCTCCGTCAACATGGCGATGGTCGGATGGCTCCCAGTTTTGTGATAGACGTTTAACGGAATGGATCCGGACCTCTGGGATTCTCGTCGGCTATCGTACACCCCTGATATGGTTCATCCGAATGATGGCGATGGAGGTCCCGGTCATGGATTGACCATTCATGAAAGACCAGGTCCCACCACGGATCACCAGACGGCGAATCTCCACAGGAGAATATCTGGTGGGAGTTTTGAGTCAATATCTGTTGAGGGAATAATCCATAAGCCATGCACATCGTTCTGGTGCCTTGCAGACCAATCCAACGCCGTTGAGTGTCTACAATCGTTTCGTGAAGATGCCCAACACAATCCGCGATGACATTCACCGCGTTGACAAAACCTCGTATGACTATATCTTTGAGGAGAATGTGACTGTTCAACTAAAAGATAACCGCGGCATTGTGAGGATCAACGTATATCGACCAAAGGCAGCAAATGCCAAGTTTCCTGTGTTGGTAACATATGGGCCTTACGGCAAGGATATCCACTACGGCGAGTAAGTCGTGTTGTTGCAAAGGCTCGTGACCTGGATAACAGCACTAACTGAGTATAGTTTTCATGCTAAGTCTTTCGGTGAAGTTCCCGAAGAACAGCACTCTGCACATTCTGCTTGGGAGACCCCAGATCCAGGCTTCTGGACGAAGCATGGATACGCGGTCGTCCGAGGAGATGAGGTCGGTCTTGGCCAATCTCCAGGAGAGCTCAACACCATGTCCCGCGATACCAGTCTGGCCTTCAAGGATCTAATAGAATGGTCCACGGACCAGCCTTGGTCATCTGGCAAGATTGGGCTCCTAGGAGTGAGCTATTATGCAGGTAGCCAATGGCGAGTTGCCGCACGGCAGCCAAAAGGCCTCGCTTGTATTATACCTTGGGAGGGTATGTCAGACTATTATCGAGACCGCTGCAGACATGGAGGTATATTATCTAACGCTTTCATTGATTTCTGGTGGAACCGTCAGGTACGTCTACCCTTCTTTCGGTGGCCACGTCCATTTTGAGATCTTTCCCTTACTATGCTAGGTCATAACGAATCAATATGGTAGGCCAGGGAGAGCTGCCAGAAACTGGGGTCCGGATACCCTCGACGGTGATCTGACGAAGGAAGAGTTGAAGAGCTCTTGTCGAGACCAAACTATCGACAACGTGAACAATCGCTTCCTTGACGATGACTACTATGCATCCAAGAGTTTCGATTTGAAGGACATTCAGGTGCCCTTACTTTCTGTGGCAAATTGGGGTGGTATTCATCTCCACTTGCGAGGAAACATTGAAGGTACGTTTGCTTGGTTGGCGAAGCTTCTACTATAGCAGTCCGCAGCCCACCATGATCAACATCTGACTTCAACTAAATATTTTTTAGGCTTCATGTACGCTGGGTCGAAGCTTAAATATTTGCGCTTTGCGACTGGAAGGCATGACATGCCCTTCTATACGAAAAATTCAGTGGAGCTGCAGAAAAGCTTTCTCGATGCATTCTTGAAAGGCCATGATGTTGTCGGGTGGTCCACAGGTGAGGCACCGAGAATTGACGTGGTTATTCGAAAAGGAAACCCCGGTGTCAATAATCCTGAAGCTGAGAAGACTTTCCCAACGAGGCTCGAGGCCGAATGGCCAATAGCTCGTACAAAATACACAAAGTATCACCTTGGGGTGAATCTATCTTTCGGAGAAGAAATGGCGAAATCTCAAACCACTGGGAAGCTTACTTATCGGGCACCATCTGGTCTCAACGAACAGCATAGAGTCCAGTTTAAAACGGAGCCTGTCGAAAAGGAGATCGAATTCACTGGACATATTGTTGCTCATCTAAATGTCTCAACCAGCGCTCTGGAGTACGCAAGTGGACCAAGCGAGATGGATCTTTTCGTGACTCTCCGCCACCTTGACAAGGACAGAAAAGAAATTTTCTATACTGGGGCGGACGGTGATGCCGTTCCCGTATGCAAGGGGTGGCTTCGTGTAAGCATGCGAGAGGTGAACTATCGGAGTACGAGAAACACATTCTGGCACCCTCATCGCGAGTACCTGTCAACGGAGGTTTTACCTGTAGTTCCAGGCGAGATCTACGCCGTCGATATAGAACTTTGGCCGACGAGTGTGGTTTTGACCCCTGGCGAGGCCCTTGTGTTTGAGGTGGCATCTGGAGACACACAGGGCGCTGGAAGATTTGAGCATAACTCTCCAATCGACCGGCCTCTTGAGAAACTCAGGGGTCTCAATCACATTCATTTTGGCACTGGTCTAGAGAACTATGTTCTCTTGCCAGTCATTCCGGCGGCGACATAGGCTGCCACTGGCGGATTACTCAATAGAGGTAGACTTGAAGCGACATGCACATACATTGAACCAAGAAGCTCTGAGGAAGTGTCCTCTGTGTCCTATAGTTCTATTCAAGCTAAGATCCCACCCTCACCGCAAGCCTCACAGGTAAGGACATACCATGGTAGTATAGCAAGTTCACTTCAATTCCAATTCAATTGATTTCTAGCATCTTCGATGTCCCTGATCTAACGCCTACCAGTCCCCACCCACCGGGTAACCCCAGGGCCATTCTCTCCAGCGGCCGATTGTGGATCTCCAGACCTTGCTGATGGCCTGAAAATCCCTTAGTCAACCTCGAAAGCCATATAGGGCAGTAGTACAGAACTTACTGAAACAATGTAAACCCCAGAGAACATCATAACAACGAAGAGCCCCTCGCCAAGATCGCGTCCCGCAGGGCGACTGAAGTACCTGTGATTCCTGCTTGGTTCGCGGAAAGGTGGAATCCTGCGATAGGTTGAAAGCCAGTTTTGAGCATGGGAATTTGTTGGAAAATCTGAATCAGCACTCCAGCCCGATGTTTCTGTTGACACTGTTTCTGCTCCAGTTCGATGAATGTCATAGACCTGCAGAATGTCTCGCACAGATGTTGGTTCGTAAGTCGTATCTGTTAAAATTTGAATTCGTGACATCTTCAACGATTAATTAGAGATCTTCTTTATGCGGGGTGGTCGATAAATCGTACCTGAGCTGGTTTGAGAAACTGATAACTTTGCCAAAGGCGGAGATGCAATCTATCAATACGAATGTCAAGATAGCCAGAGCGCTTCAGACCTGGAGTTCCGACCACACCACAACCGGATCCATTTTAGCTCTACCGGCTTTGAAACTCCAATGCTTACTCCGAGGCCTGTCTCCATGCAGGGAGGTGATTTCAGGACCGAGTATGAAAGGTGTATTGAAGTCTGAGCTTGAACAGGAAACAGAACAAATCGCGTGGAAGTAGAAGTAAATTCAGCAAGATCACACCAAAGCCGCTCGTCATGTCTACTCTATCTAGAGAATTCCCTAGTTTACAAATATCAGCACTCGATGGCCGCGCACAGTCATACCACCACAAGCAAGACCAATTCCGTCGCTTACATGACCTTCTAACGAGATCGGCAAATACCTTGAAGCTAGCGATTCAAGCCGATTCTGTACTCTGCTCAGCCGAAGCTGACTTCGAATTTGCTCGCGCACTTTTGGAACTTCGAGTCCAATATGGCTCTCTTGACTTGCATCAGGATCTGGCCTTGGCTCGGAAGGTAGAATTGGGCGTTGATAATGTTGAGAGAGTGCGGCCAACTGGAATCATTTACATTATCCCATCAAAAGCAAACATGACATTCTCGATTTTATCCGCCTTGGGAGCTGCTATAGCAGCGGGTTCATGTGTTATTGTTGAGGTAAATCCCTGCGGAATGAGTTGCGAAATTGTACATAACTGACGGCAAATATATGCAGCTTCCCCAGACGCTGACAAAAACATCAGCGACACTCAGACAAATTTTGACTGATGCCCTGGATAGCGATACATTCGCCCTGTCAACTTCGAGGCCTCCAGTGTCCTTCACCAGACAATGTTTTCTGGTCCATCAGACAAATGAAGATATCAATCCGCTGGATTGGACACAAATACTGTCCTCTAAGCCGACTGCAGGGGTGGTAGCGATAGTAGATCGTACTGCTGATATTTCGAAAGCTGCTAGGTCAATATTGGTAGCCAGCCTTGCTTTCGGTGGGAAGTCAGCATATGCACCACAACTTGTTCTCGTCAATGAATTTATTGCAGATTCGTTTCTATCAGAGCTCGCATTAATCCTTGAACCCGATCAAGGTATAGGACGCGAGAAACGTGGTCGGAGTGGTAGACTGGGAGACACCACTAAAGATACGTGGAAGTCTGACAAAATAAAGACTCTTTCGTCTGGTGACAACATTAGTATTGTGGAGGTACTCGATAGGTAAGGGCTGGCTGTTTAACTACTTGATCACATAGACGATCACATTACCATCACTAACGATTTGCAGAGACGTCCCGTTCTTTCAGCGAAAATCACTTGAGCCTACAATCACGATTGTTCGTGTGAGCAGCCTTGACGATGCACTTAATGTCTTGATAGGGTAAGGACTCTGCCCTCAGAAATTTTCATGGCTAAGTAACTTTCCATTGAAAAGTCAAGAATTGGTCGCCAGTTTCATTTTCGCCGGGATACGCGAAGCAAACTATCTATCAAGATTTACAGTCGCTGCGATGTACACTATCAATCATATCCCAGTGGAACTGCTCGTGGGTCCAGTTGCCCCGATGCATCCCTCTCTACCCGCTGCTGTCTTCCCTCGTTACGTGCCGGCCATGTTCACTCTACCATCTCCGCAGTATCTCCCGGGCAAGCGCTCGACGCAACCTTTGACTAATTTGAAGGACCAGCTTCGTATCGACCAATTGAAAGAAACGGCAATAAAGCCATTATCACCTGTAGTGCGCAGAAGTGGTCACCAACTGAACTTCTTTGGGCAAGCTATTTTACTTGGCCTTGGTATGGCTCTCACAAGCATCATCAGTGTAGGTGTTGGAGGCATCTACCTCGTGTATAGGTACTATCTTGTTAGATAAGAATGTCAGTCATTAGGCATCCGCAAGTCGGGAAGGCAGGTCCAAATAATCAAAGTCAAGCTCTTCAGGTGAATTCTAATGAAACTTGTCTCGTGCAAGGAAATGGCCAGTTTCTAGAAAACTGACTTGCACTGGCACTACGTTGGATAAGTCATATGATGAACCGCGTCACCAGAATGAATTTTCATCATTGGCGCACATCTATCTCCCCATCGCCAGGTGTGGCCAAGCATGGAACCGTCTGACAAAATTAGCTCTAGAGTCGGCAACTCAAAGCATCTATGGGTATCTTTGTAAGACGGCCATCAATATAGGACAAAATGTATGTTGATGGGACTAATTTAATGCCCGATCCGATGGTGAAATGTTTACTTCCGGAAGTGGATACACCCCCCACATCCGGGAGTTGTGGCAAAGAGCCCTACGTTTCAAGATCAAATGAAGACTTCTAAAGATGTAATCCTGTTATAGGTGATGATTGAATGACACTTGTATCACACATGCAATAACGCCAACCCTCCAAGGACGAAAACAACACCCAGAGGTCAGAGTTTCTCCGAAGCTGATCGAAATCGACGCTGACATACGATAGATCAGGACCAGTTCTGGTTCAACGGCAGAGATGGTGTCTTATTCACCTTTGCCCCCAATTAGACGTGTTGTCACCAGCCATAATGAGCATTCGAAGGCTTATGTCGAACGGGACGACTTGATTAGCGCCGAGCTTCTCGAACACGGAAACGCTGCTCAATTGTTATGGTCAAGTGATTCAATACCAGCAGATGTCAATGTTCCCGATGACAGAGGAAAGGTCAAGACAGGAATCGTAAATGGAGGCTCAGTGCTGCGCATTGTCGACTTTCCTCCTCGTTCCACCGGCTTGTTCCACCGAACAATCTCGCAAGACTATATAGTGGTTCTCACGGGTACAGTGATATTGACGCTGGATGATGGGTCGAAGACGCCGATCTCACAGGGCGGAGTTGTTGTTCAGCGCGCCACGATGCACGGATGGGATAATGACACGGATGAATGGGCGAGAATACTGTGCGTCCTGGTACCGGCCAATAACCCAATTATCAATGAGGTCAAACTGGAGCAGGAAATGACTTTCCATGTCAAATGACCATATGAGCATAGGGTGATTTAGAGCACTGAATGACTAAGTCATGTGCAGTTTGGCACACGTCTTGTTACCATTTTTACTTCGAGTTCTACAGTGAAAATGTATCAACTCTTAATTACTCATGGACAGGTGAATGGAAGCAGTTTTATGAAGCCAGATTCTATTGAGCTTAAGACATCTTTGCAGCGAGGGACTTCAAATCGGTGGTTCGACAAACGGCACCACGAAATGAGATGCTGACTCTCCGCCAATCCATACCTTGTGAAGGCCCTTGTTGTTTGCCTTGAAAGCCCCTCTCAACGTGGGAAACTCCGCCAAGTACATCGGATGACCGCTGACCTTGATCACCAGATATTCACCGTTCTCAAAGATGATTCCACCTGGCCAAATGCTAGTTTCAACTCGTACAACAGATCCTCTCCGAATGCGCTCCTCAACCAAGTGAGCATGTGAGATATAATGTGGCTTCGAGATATTCATGTCGATCGCACGATGGCTTGCTCGAATCTGGCCATGAGGGCCTAGATATACGACAGGGTTCACCAAAGGGACTTTCTCTCGTGGAATACCCATGGCCGCCATGTCATCATCAGGCACATTATAACTTCGAAGGATAAGGCCATCTTTATTAGCTTTTCGGACCTGTAAGAATATGTCCATATCGTCGACGTCATCGCATGATAGGTACAGAACAGCTTTCACAGCGCCAATGAGAAATGTTCTCTCTGGAATCTTCAATCTGAAATGGAGCTCTTCAGTGTCATTGTCGACCTGCTGAGCATCTACATCAGATTGATAGGAGACGAAACTTTGGTCAGTTGCAGCATGTACGAGCAACTGGTCGCCAGTTCCGGCAAATAATGTTGTGTACTTCGTCTCTGCCGGTGGCCAAGCCTTGTAGACCTGATTCCTGATGTTGGGCTGGTTGTAGCCTAACAAGGACACACGGACCTGGGGAGTCGTCTCCCACCCGTTTTCAATGCCTTTGAGATAACGGTCGAAGAATATTTGAAGCTCATCAGTGGTTCGTTTTTGATATAAGTCATGCCATTCCTGACTTTCATGAACACGCAGCCTGTTGAGTGAGTTAGTCAAATGAACCATAGCGGCTGTGAAGAGTATGCAAAGCGCCTACCATTTATCGTTGTGGGGGATTTCGTCAAATCCCCGCAAACTCCCTGGCAAATGGAGGAATGTCGAGTAGCTGGCTAAGACATATGCTGGAACTTCGATGTTAAAGATCTGTGCGCGTTTGTCTTTCCAGTAGTCATTCATCAGAGGGTATTTCTTCAGCATTGCCACTGGGTCTTCCATATAGCCTCGTCCTGTAAATTTGATTAGATAGTTCCTCCAACAAAGCGTTCTCAATACTACCCCTGAGGTTTGTCATCATCCATTCGAGAAAAGGTGTACAAGCGATTCCTCCCCGGACATGGATCTCTCGATATAGGTCTCCCGAACCCTCTAGGGGAGCGATGCACTTCAGAGACGGAGGGCGCTCAGCCGCGATGTACCATTGGGAACGGCCAAGCCATGAGTTTCCTGCCGTGGCCACGCTTCCAGTACACCACGGGAGCTTGGCGATCCATTCGATGGCATCGTACCCATCTCTACCTTCTTGGGTACCGGCCCAACTGTATAACTCTGATCAGGGTTCAAAAGACATAAGTGTGCAGATTTACCTACCAGAGATATCCCTGCGAATCCCACGCCCCACGAGAGTCAATATTGACAACGGCATAGCCACGAGCAGTCCACTCTGCGGGGTCAGGGGCTTCGAACTTCTCATACCCGGACGTGTTCGCTCTGGGTACACCCATTCTCCCAGGCATGAAATTCAGAGACAAGCCTGTGAGGAGGGTGCTGTCAGCAGATGTATGTCATAGAGCCTTCTGCAGAATCATCGTACCTCTGCCTGTTTTGCCGTAAGGACTCCATGGAATAATCGCCGGTACGTTTTCAGAATCTGAGGTTGCAGGGCGAAAGATATCGCCCTTCAGTATAATACCATCACGCATTGGGATCTCAACATCTTTCTCGTATATTGTATCGACTCCGAAAGCTTTGACATCTTCTTCCTTGCGGTGGCCAGCTTTCAGAATAGTCACTGAGTGCGCTGGTCCATCGTAGCCATTAACACCGAGTTCCGGCTCCTTCAGGCGTCGGAACAAGATAGGGATATCGCCAACTTTCACACTCGGTTCTTGGGCCATGATTGATCAACCTATTCTTTCTGCTACTTGTCCATCGTAACCCAGTTCTTTGATATCCTCAGACACATACAAGATAGTTTCAGTGCCACCTAGATATCTCCCCAGAACTAGTTGGGTGCTTCCCCGCAGCTGGGGCAGAACGTCTCAGATCTGCTTCTCCACGTAGTTCGTACTCTTCGGTGATAAATTATTTCGGATACCTCCAGCCTAAGCACAACACGCAAAGACATCTTCCGATTGATGGCCCCTCCTTTTAGTCCCTGTTGCTAATACTCGATTGCGAATACTGCCGCCCCAATTCTGCGGTCTGCTCGCATCGCCTTTGAATAATTACATTGTGAACCTTGACTATTTACTGCTTGGTCAAGTCTACAGATTGCTAGACCCGCGAGTATGCGCTGTCATGTCCCACGATGAGAAGTAACGGCGTAGCCTGCAAAGGCCCAACATTTTGTCATACTGTCCAAGTACGCATTGCATCTTACGAGAAGAAATCTACGATCGACCATAGGAACCGCGATTTCAGTATGGAGAAAGAGTGTAGACTAGGTGTTTCTTTTGGGAAACCCCAGGTCTCATTTGAAACCTAGCTATGAGGACACCTCATCTAGTGGAAGTTTTCAGCGATGCAGAAACAGCCTCTATCCAGCTCCATGTACATCACGGTCCAGTCGAATTTGCCAAAAAGCTCTCAGCGACCATCGCATCCAGCTGCCATGTAACGTCATACATCGGGAAGTTCTTACGCGGCTTGACGGGCAAGCTAAACTGGAAGATCTGATTGAGCACATAGACTCTGTCATTGATCTCGAAGCAGGCGGTAGTCATCGCGCCCTGGATCCTGCCGGGGTCGTCGTTGGCGATGAGGCCTATGAAATGCGCCGACGCCCAATTATCGTCACTCCCGTAGACAGACGTCCCGTTGTAGTCGTCCGACCAAAGCACGACTTTGCCGTTGTATCGTTTGGGCGAGTAGACTCCGTCGGCGTTGAGAGGCCGATAGTTCGCCGGCAGACCTTGTAGTTCCACGTAAGTTGGTTGAGGGTCGTCGTCGCGGGCGTCGAAGGTCACAAAGCCACCTGAGACTGCATCGGACACGATGAGCTTCTCACCGAGAGCGGCGATGCCGCCGAAGCCGTACTCGCGTGTGTAGTTCGTGGGGGAGAACCACAGGTGAGGAACATTTGTATCGCGAGCGAGCTTGACGATCGAGTTCCCGAATGTTCCCACTATGTAGGAATCGCCAGTCGTGTCAACGGCAGCCACATCTTGGAATCCGTTAGTGAGGTTACCTGTGATTGCTCTGAATTCCTCCTGGGCTACATCGAGGTTTAGGTCTGCTATGAGACGTTTAGCTTTCGGGTCATATACAATGAGATGATTGGGGCCGGTATAGTTCGCATGTGAATAGTCAACAACAATTGTATTGTCTGGGCCTGGGGCGATAACGCTGACAAAGGATTGCGCGGAAGAAACCGTAGCAAGTATATGACCGGTGTTCAGATTGTATTCGATGCCGTTGAGGTGATATTCGGTGAAGTTATCACTCCCGGGATGTGAGGTACCCGGGATTATGATGATTTCTGATGTCTTGTTGTAGGGGCTGTATGCAACAATCGAGCAGTTGAACAGAGAGCTGTCGGTCATCGTTAATCTTCGTCCTCAATTTTATAGTTGACGTACCACTCACCCAAGGTAGAGAATGCAATTGTTAGGATCCCAGTCGGCACTCTCAGGATACAGGTCTTGTTGTTCAACGAAGAATGATCCTGAGAATGGCGGACAGATGCCAGAGACAAGCTCAGTACTAAGCAGTAGTATCATCCAGGAGATCAGAGGGGACATTTTGATATCACTAGCGCCTTTGACTACCCAACTGGAGCTTTCTGGTACCCACGAATATAACGTTTATGCAACACCTGCATTCAGAACTGTGTGATCATTGCTGATCGACGACCACCTAACTATGTTGACATTATATACACTATATTACACTGCATACTAACATAATCGTCACCTATTGCATGAACGTTCCAGCAGCTTTGCTGAGTGAACCAGGCTGCCAACACCCGGGATGATCGACGCGGGACAGTTCCTCGATCTCGGCTCCAATCGTGGTTTTATGACAAACAAGCCCTAAAGAAACCCAGGTCCCGGCCGAGAAGCACTGCGAACCGTTGGAACAGAACCTTACACCACACAAGGAGATCGTGCAGCCATTGATGGTCACGCATCTGTGCATATTCACGGAGCAGGGGTATCTGCGCGAGACGAAGGTTTGGGAATAGCAGATTAGTGTCTAGTTACGCGCAGCAAGGTTTGCATGCAATGTATTGTATGCTTGTGGCATGTTATCGCAGACTTGGATAATAGCAGTCATGGTGAGTTCCGAGCAACTCGTTCATTAAGATTATAAATTCAAACATGAAGACGAGGTATACCAACTATCTACCACCTAAAACAGCATCTTATGGAAATTGTCTGGTCTATCAAAACAAAAAGAGAAGTTTATGCATAATGCGGACACGACTTTGCATGGGATTTGTTGCCTTTGGCACGAATTTCCTTGTAGTCGGCATCACACAGGTAGCAGAATTCGAAACCACATCCCACTACGAGCACACGAAGATTAGCAAAAGCTCTAAGCACATGCGTGAAGATAAGAGAGTGAGGAATAGAGGGTGGTCAAGACTTACAGGATTTGGCGGCGGAATGCGCATCTTTCCCACAGACGATGTGATCGCACCCTTCGATTCTGTGGTAAGCCATCTTACACTTGGGGCATTTTTTCTCCTTCTTCATGAAAGCCGTTGTCAGCTTCTCCTCTTCCTTCCTCCGCGCGTTGAGTTTCGCTGCTTCGCCGGCTGGACAGGGTTTGTTGGCGTGGTTCCTATATGGTTGATTGCACTGCACGCACGTACGATGGTCGCATACGGGGCAATTGAAGACTGTGACGTTCTTGTCGCTGACTGGATCGAGCCATATGGCCCCCTTGCAATCTTTCCGTGAGCACTTGGCCATGCTTTGACCGGCGTGTAGGAGTTTCTGACACAACGCTTCGTCGTATGTAGCGAATCGTTTCGCATCGGCATATTTCTGGATGGTAGGGTGGCTGAGAACTTCTCCACAGTTGGGGGCCCAGCAGAGGACATTGTCTGAGGGGAATCTTTCGTCTTCGGTAGGGAACATTCTGGACTCGAGGCACTGCTGGAGACAGTCCTTGCAAATTATTTCATTTTGCCACCCGTGCTTTGGCATACATGGAGTGCACAGGTGGGAGTAGATGTCCTTTGGTTCTTCCGGCTTGTCGCCACACACTGAGCACTCCTTTTCTTGCCAGGCTAGGAGACGGCTTCTACTGTCAGCATCGAGCAGTCGCTCGGGTATGCCAATGGCATCTTTGGGCTGTGGTCCTTCGCTAGCGTAATATTTCTCCTTGAAGCCCAAGCTGGCAAGCCTGGTGATTAGCTTCTGACGGTCGCCATCCTTGAGCCTTCCGCACGTGTCCCATTTCTTCACAGCACTTAGTAAGGAATACCGAAAAGTTCCGCAACGAAGTAGTGAAGTCTTTACCCCTGTGGAGGGTCTGAATTCTAGAAGAGCGGAGATAGACTCATAGGGCCATCTACCTTCGAGCGCGATGCCTGATAAGTTCGGCCGAGCTTGCCAAACTATATTACCCCAATCTGCATCCTTGAGAAGAATGTTCAAAGTCGCTACCAAGGTCTTCCTCTTGCATTCAGGGTGATCATAACGTAGAAAAGCTTCCATGACTGTTGAGTCTTGGTGTAGTGGCGATCGGTGACCAAGGCTATGGCCCGCTTCTAGAAGTACCCGTATAGCTGGAAGGTCTTGGTTACAGGTGGCCAGATGAAGGCTCCCATCGTCAGGAGGAGCGCCTTTGCTGATCAATTTATTCATAGCCGAACAGTAACAGTCCTGGAGAGACGTAGCCAGATATAGGGCGGATCTGCCTTCTGGGTCAGTCCCATGTGGTTCTGCACCACATTCGAGTAGTGTAGAGACTAGTGTTGTCGTCCTCCGGCGCTTCATAGCAAGGAACAAGAGCCGATTCATGGAACTTCGTGAGAGTGAACGTCCTTGTTGCTGGTTCTCCTCGGTCTTGCTCTCCCCTACACCGAACTTGTATTCAAAGCCATCAGTGTCCACATAGCGATTCGTGGTAGGGCAGTCTGGTATTGCTCGCAGGTACATAGGAGCAGGCTGGTGCTCAGTGACATGATTGTCTTGATCTGACAGGCAGTCAAAGAACTGCTCGGCATTGACGCGTTGTAATTCGAACCCAGCAAGAACTCGTGGAGCGCTAATCTGAAGTGCCCGGATGATCAACTCAATTTGTCGATCATAACCATCCTGCTTTGGTGCCATGATTTCAGCGCTGAGCAACACTTCCATCGCATAGCAACCTAATCGTGCACAATAAGTTGAAATGAAGCCGAGACCCTGTGTAGTCAACAAGAAATTCTCTATTAATTTGGAAGACTCTGTTCCGTGGTGCACCTCCAACATGGTGTCGAATAGGGCTACATGTTCCTGCGTTGGGACGAAGGCGTCTGGAGTTGTGTCGGGCCAGAGTATGAGATCCAGGTAAGTCCGAAAATTCTCATTCTTCTTCGAATCAGTGAAGGTGTTGATTGGCAGATTCCGTAAGGTTTTGCAGTTGAAGAGCAGTTTCAAGGCCTGTAGTCTGGCCTTCATGGGTGGGAGACACGATTTGATCAGTGAATGTCCTAGATTATGGTGACACAAGCGATAGAGAGTTTCACCCCCGTCTTGGTCGAGGCGGGCTCCAGTCTCCACCATTAATTCCAGTAGTTGTATACTAGGGTCCAGCACGGTCGAAGCCTTTGACAGTGCTTGATTCCGGGCATTTTGAGGGAGATTCGTCACAAGCAGAGGAGCGAGAACAACAAGCACATCTTCGTGAAGCTGAAGGTATCCTGAAAGCTTACCACTTGTATGGTCAGAGACCGCAGTCTCGAAGAGATTGTTCAAAACGACTTGTTCCTGACATTGGTGAAAGAGTTGTGGAAACAATTGCAGGTTTCCATGTCTCCAAGCGGCTCGCATGCAAGCCCCTTCTGACCAAGTAACATGAGCACCATATTCAAGAAAGCTTTGAGCATTATCCCATGTTGTTGACTTCATCCTACACAAGTTGACGAACGCTGGATTGTAGTATTTCGCCTCCACCAACCCTTTCAAATGGAGGAGCCCAAATATCTCACAAAATCTGTCCGGGTTATCCGCGGGTAAACGCAATCTAGGGCTCATTTCTTCTGCGATAAAAGAGAGTGTGTCTTGGGTAGGTCTCAAGGCCGTGAGCATTTCAAGCATTTCCATTTTCCCCTGGCAAGCTGTATCTATCGCGATCTTCAAGCATTCACAGTCGTATGCCAGCACAGAACCACCAGCCTCAACCATTGCCCTGGCAGAAGCTGGACGCCCGAATTTCACAGCTTCAAGGAGGGCGTAATCAACACCGGGATTTCCAAAGTCATCAACGCTGGCGCAAATGCTTATGAAAGCAAGCAGAGTATGGGCGTCCATAGATAACACGGCGTCCATGATGACGACTCTTTCATTGTGAATGAGTGGAGCCCCCGCGGTAACTAGCAGTTTGCACATTTCCAAATCCCCCTTGGTAATCGCGGCTGACAGGGCATCGCCGAGAGCCTGGTAGAACACACGACTGGAAGGCATCTCCGCTACTCTGGTCTCAACACGAGGACTGGTGAGTCGTCTCTTGAAGTCGAAAGTTGCACGGCCACTCCGACACCGATCCATGCCCCAGTGCTCAAGAACCAGATTCACAAGAGTATGATTCCCCTCTGACACACTGCACATCAACGTGTCTGATACTAGAGTTCCGGTTGCACCTGCCTTAAGCAGAGCCTGGACCTTCCCGGGTGCCACAGCTTGGAGAGAGCCTTGCTGAAGATGTTGCCATAGAACTGCGAGACCAGTCGCGCTTGGCGTCGTCAAGTCGAGAACTTTACAAAACCAGTCACTCTCGCCGTCTTCTTTTATCTCATCCTTCAGAATGTCCAAGATATTAGTGATCTCGAGCTTATGCGGGAACTTTGAAGCTAGGATGAGTGAGCGCGGATAATCATGAGAACAACATGCCCAATCGAAACTATGTTGTAACATGGAGATATGGCTCTCATCATGGAGCGACAGAGTCGCGGACTCAAGGATGATTTGAAGACCAGCAGGGGCGAGTGTATGCAAATCTGGGCCAAATGAATTCGAAATGGTTTCCAGCGGTACTCTTAGCGCTAAAAGCTTTTGGAGCACTATCCATTGCTGAGAGGAGTTGGACTGTATCAAACATGCTTCGAAATGGGAGGAAGCTGTATCTATTGGCCAGGAGATTAAAAAATCCAGTGTATCAAGTGGCCACTGGCTTTCTCCGACGCATAGATGCAGTTCTTCTATATGTCTGCGAAGTAGCTTCGTAGTGAGGGTCCTCATTGCATCCCCTCCCAAGCCACACCACTGGAGGAACATTGGCAAGCACAGGGAGATCCTGTGGTCGGAAAATATTGAGACCTTGAGATTTGGGGATGGAATCTTGACTTCACTGTGCGGAATATCGGATCCATTCAATGATTCCACAGAAGAACGCCGTCCTAATTGTGCAAAGGGCTTGGAGCTCAGTATATCTTTTGTGGTTTCGGGATCACAGAAGCAACTGGCGGTAAGAGCCAGCTCTCTCAATGAAATGTCGTCAATCCCATTCATGGAGTTCAGGCATATGTCAATCAACTCACGATCATGACCTCGGTGTTGCAAGAGCCGATGGAAGCAGTCGTATCTGCGGCTTTTACCTCTTCTACATAATCTTTCAGAGGTGCCTGATATCTGGAGGAACAGCTTAAGGTAAGACGAAGAACTGTTAGAACAACTGTCGTCCGAGCACAGCTGATCAACTAAGTTGCAATGATAAGCATCGAACCATTCAGAAACCCCGTTGTAGCGAAGGCCGAAGGATAGCCGCATTTTGTCGAATATTGCTGAATCATGGTGCTCCATAGCAACAAGAAGTGATTGGATTTGACAACAAGAGGCCGTGGCAATGAAAACTTCTAGAAGTTCGGAATCTCTTGACGGAGAATAATCGCATAATAATTCGTTGAAGACAACATCGACACAGTCCCCGGATACTCCTTTTCTCAGAAACATCTTGGTGACCAGCCTGTGCGATAATGGCTCTTCTCGGCGGATGAAGGGGAATATCAGTTGCAGCGTCGACAGTGCTACATCGTGGGCCAACAAAGCTTTGACGACAGGAATGTTGTCAGCGATGACGGCAAATTTGAGACACTCGCCATGATTGAAATCCACCGACGCCCCGGAATCAACAAGTGGAGAGATTAGGCTGGTCTGGCTCACAAAAACCGCCCTCAGTAGCTCTTGTTGTATCCAGGATCCTCGATTCTGGCAGTGTAAAAGCCGCGATAACACCCTTTCTCGCAATGGCTCAGCAGATTGTCCGAATGACGATTCTATGCAAGAGAGGATCGCCGCATCGCCCTGGATATTTCCTCTCAATAGTATCTCAAGACTCTGCTGCTTACGTCTTTCAACTGCGTAACAAGTAACTCTAGCAGAGATCTGAAGGCCATGGTCAACAAAAGAACGAAGTATATCGTCGGAACCATCTTCGATACAACGGCAAAGGAGAGATTCGAGCTGTGTTTGCACTGGAAGGTCGAATGAAGAGCTGTGCAGGCCAAGAAGAACATCCATCATATCCTGCACAATCAAAGGACGAGCGTAGTCAAGTACATGAAAGAATAGTTGTCCATCAAGCAACGGCCAAGAAGCCGTTGCGGCTGCAACAGCGAAGAAGGCGCTTTCATACTGCGAGGCTATCGCGATTTGAAGAAGAATATCTCGGTTCCATTTTGAGGCGCTCTCTGCGAGGATCGTGTAATCTGGCAAACGTCGAAGTAATACTGCTAGTGCATTAGGACTACCATTGTGGATGGCTTCGGCACAGAGATAGCCAAATTTATGATAGGGAAGCTGTTTTGGTGCTTGTAGGATCAATTGAAAGATTTGTTGGTGAACCACTGCGACAGAGGAGAGTGTGGATAATGGTAAGTGATCTGTGTCACCACCCTTTTCAAGCAAGATCCTGACAATTGATTGGTCTCTGTTCAGTATAGCGATACCGAGAGCTAAGCCAAGGCTGTTGACTGAAGAAAAGGAAGCAAGCAACTTCACTAGTTCCAGGTTTGAATTTTTTGCAGCGGTGATAATGAGATTTCCGGGAACCTCAAACTTCTCGGATGAATGGGCAGCGGCAACCTCGAGCATCTCGATATAGATCTGAGCAACGACAGCGGTTCCATTGGACTCGACATGGCTTGACAGAGCAGCGGCTGTGAATGTGGTATCAGGGCGACTAAGTCTTGACGTGACCCGACGAAGAAATCTTTGCGATCCCCGGATGGAAGTTGCTTCGTGTTTTAGCTGCGACTCCGCAAAGGATCTATCGAAGTGATTAATCTGTGAGATCCTATATGGCTGAGTCTGCAAGTCCAAAATGGGTAGAGGTGCAAAGTCGAGGCCAAGGCTGGCCACTGACTGTTGAAGTGGACCGGCATTGGCTGCAAGCATTTGTCCTTGGAGCAAATGAGCATACTCGTGAAGGATGTGTTCCAGGGTTTGATGGAACAGAAGAAGAGAACAAGTGTTTCAGGCTGCATAGTAGACATGATATGAACATGAACCGATCCGAGGTGGTATGAACACCGCCCGAGTGGGCAAGGTAAAATAGAACTGCATAGCCGCAGTTGATAGGGTAGGCGAACAAACCTGTAGAGAAGTCCGCGAGAGAAGTAGAAAACTCCCAATGGGATGAGAATCCTTCATTTCCATCGGGCGTGATGGGCCGGCTAACCAACGATAGATTTAGCATGAACCTCGAGGCATTGTTCCCCAAGAGTTTAAACTGGGAGAGACCAGATATGGCACCAATTGGAGGTTTCGCCGATCCCCAAAGATAGTGCTTCCATCGGGCCAAATATGCACTCCATGTGCAACAAGCATGGACGATCTCAATGATAAACAAGTTCAAAGTTGCACGACGAATTTCCAACGTGATTAGCGACTCGTGATAAGCCTAGTAGAGCTTGCAGCCAGAGCCAGAGAAGAAACAGTGTCAATGTGCCTTGTATCTGGTGCCAAGTTTTGAGCTGAATCTGCCCTGCCATTTATCGTCACAAGATCGAAGTCGAAAGTACCCAGGCGAATTGGGGCGGAATTTCGGCGAATCTCGGCCATCGGCTGGCAGGGTTTGGCATTTCACTGTCTTGATTGTTAGGGCCCTGTGATTCATGTGGTTCATGGTTCATGTGAGATGGCATCCCAACCTTCGAAAAGATGAAGATGCGTTGGGAGTCCTTCGTTAAAGAGGCGTGCATTTTGTCCCGTATTGGTTAGCCCTGGTCATGAAGAAGGCACACGTTATCATGCGTCGCGCGGCAGGGTCGACGAGGAACATGACCGACAGCAGCGTCACCAGTGGGCTGGGCTAGTTGCCGCCGTAGGTCAACCCGCCACTACAGCCAATGTTGGTATTGGCATTGGTATTCGCATCGTCAAGCTGTTAATGGCAAAATAAAAAAAGGAATGGGCGGAATGAGCCCGTCAGATGCGTTTGTCAGCCACATGAAAGTATACATATCATCGATTCATTCAGGCTGCCTGGCTTGTGGCCATCTGGCGTCTGGGATAGACAATGACTATCAATCGAAGGAAAACGACTCAGTTGCAGGTATTTGAGCGGGGTGGTGCAACAGCAGTCACATACGATCTGTCTCAACCACACCGTGTTACCATTACTTTGCCCAGGAAATCAGCATGGACGTCAGGGCCCCACTGGCATGAAACTCATGATGAGTATCTTCAAGTGCTGCAGGGACGGGCGAGTGTGAGACTTGGCGATCAAGTCAACGAATATGGCCCTGAAGATGGGATCATCGAGGTGCCTAAATACAAGGTGCACGAATGGCGGCGTGTGCCAGGAAACACATCAGAGCAAGCCCTGATCGTGAGGGAATGGACAGTTCCTGAAGACGGGCAGAAAGAAGGGTTCTTTCGAATGTTGAACTCATATTTGACCGAACCTCAAGCGCCACTTTTATATCAAACACCAATCTCGCTGCCCGGATGGATCGACAGGGTAGTTGAGAAATGGGTGGTCACATTGCAGTTGTTCATCATTTTCAGAACTTGGGACAATTGGCCGGTAATCTATGGAAATGACAGTGGCTGGATCAGCTGGACAACGACACACTTGATATTTTGGCTATCATCCTGGGTGGGCTGGGCCTTTGGCCTGCGAGGAGTTTATATTGAATATATCGACCAAAGGGCGTTGATGAGGAGTCGTGGGGAGAAGACAGCTCAGTGACACGAGAGACCATACGAAGTTGTACCTGTATTGATGCTGGATGGCGCAAGAATATCAAACTATTGATGAAGACGCTGTTGGAGGGGGCAGAGTAACAGTGTTGACTAGGTACCTATAGGGAGGCAGGTAGTTGCATGCTCGGTTAAGGCATCCAGAGAAAGAACCCTTGGCTGCAGTCAGCCCTATCTACGAAGTACCAGGAACGCCTAGGCCGCCTAACGCCAACCAGGTATGACGCCCGTTGAAGCCTGGCGAAGCCTATCATAGTGGTCACCCGCGCCCGTTCGGACCAGGTTGGACCCTGTAACAGTTTGATTTCCCACCTAAAAGGCCCCAGGCCCACCGAGAGACACCCCCAATCACCACCGGTTTCCTGGCCGAAGCTGAGCCAAGTCGCCTTGGGTGAGCCGACCAGGACGAATAATCATCCCTTGGGTCTCCACCTTGCGACTCTGGCACTTTTTGACTTTCTTGTTTCTCCAATACGACATGCTGCATCTCATCTGCTTCCCATCATCGTCGTCCTCAGCCTCAGCCTCAGAACTGCGACCTCAGGCCTGTCACTCGCTTACTCACCGTACTCTCGAGCAACAGTCAACGTGCCAGTCCTCAACAGATACCACAAAACATTCTTCTCTTGACGTCCTCCTCGTCAACCGAGTATCTCGTCTCAAACCGATCCTTCACATCGCTTGCTCCAGGACCACATCCCTAGCGTCCCCAGTCAGGCATCCCCCGTTCTCCCATTTCCCTCGAGCCAGCCACCGGGTGGTAAATCTGAAGGATTCTACTTGTACACAATTTTCACGACTTAACTATCGCTGAATGTCTCCCTCTATCTTTTGGTCGCTCTCATAAAAGAGAATGTCCCGCCGTTACGAACGGATGCGTGAAACCTTCTTCGATCTCTATACTGAACGAGACGCATTACCCAGTTACTACCGAGCGGTAGCCCTTTCTTCGACATGGCTGGCGCTGGGTGGGTACATAATATTTGCTCTGGCATTCACTTCCGAGGAAGAGAATCTGAAGATTGGTCGGAAACCGCTCATTGGGGTCGCAGCAACATTTCTTACAATTGGGTATGCAATTAGTGGCCTGTCAGCATTCTTCAGTCGCAGCCTCATGTTCACCTTCGATGCCGTCCTCATGCCCGTCCTGACCTCGTCGTTCATGGGCGTCTTCGTCACCGTCGCCAATCATGCTCTCCACCGCCAGTTCCCTATCTCCAACCAGAGTCTGATTTACGTCCCACTAGTGATCTCGTGTATCGCTACAATCGCCACTTCTGCTGTTGCTATCATCACATATCGAAAAATATCAAATATCAAGTCACTGGATACACAGCGCAGGCAACATGTTAAGAGATGGGATAGAACATCGTCCGTAAGTTATGGAGATGCGACATCAACCTCAGAGCTGTTGCCCATGAACAACATGAACATGAATTCAATCACTTTACCAGAAGACGAGGCGCAGAGACGTCAACTTCTGCGGCTACTGTTATCTCGAGAATCAGCCGAATCTCCAGGCCTGACCTTGACACCCAGCACTTATCAAATCACCTTGCCCTCCGAGAACCCGAATTGTGATGCACCACAGGTCGTTGTACCGGGTCAGCGACCTCGTGCAGGAAGTCTTCCAGGCACTGGCAAACTCGGCATATTAGGCAAGATCGGCAGGGACCGTAGCCCAACCGTGGAGAGTTTCAAAAATCCTCGAGAACGAAGACGAGACGAAATCGAGCGGTCATCCATGCTTCTTACCCCAAGCAGTGATACGGGATGGGGACATACCCTGTCAACCTCGAGCCGCTCTCATGGCTCTGGCTACTTCAATGGCTCACCGCACCATGTATAATTGGCCATTACTCTATTCACTCTTACGACCAAAATCTGTGCAGCTTAGCGAGGGCGTCTGGGACATGACATGAACAATCGGATTGGATCAGATTGATTCATGCGAATCAAATGTAATATATTTATCATATATACCTTGTACTTCTTTGGGGAGATATTGTTCTTGGTCACCGAAGGTCTAATCATGATCTCAAAAGACAGCCACTATGTCTTGACCTTGATCACGTGCCGGCGGCTTTGATCTGGGTTTGGACCTCGGCAAAAACGTCTCGTATTGCGTATTGCTTCATCCATCCCTCAGGCCCTGTCACAAGTTCGCAACTCTCTCGGACTTCCGTATTACTCCCAAGTCAGTCACCTCTTCTCTCCGAGACTGACACATGCAAGCATTGCCGAAGAAATCCCCGAGAACGATAAATAAGATTATATATCATAGACAGGCGCCCTTATTCTAACTATCGAGAACACTACGACAAGCCTGAACCTCAATCCCACCTCACCTAACATTTGGGGTCTCTCGTCCCGCGCGATTGACTTCAGAGGTCAGGAGCTGAGATAGCTACAATACCCTACCTCCAAGCAGAGCCCTCGTCCCCTCTGAACTGATCATGGCCACGCATTCCACACTGATCAAACCCCCTAAATCTCTCCCTCACCACTCCCCTATCGAGAATGTCCTATCCCTGCTCCCTCTTGTCGACATAGGACCAGACATCTACACCAATGCTCGGCCCCTATGGCATCCTCCCGGAGCCAGAGGCATCTATGGCGGCGCTGCCATCGCCCAATGTCTGGCCGCCGCACAAGCCACGATCCCCAAGGACTTCACGGTGCACAGCATGCACTGCTATTTCGTCCTGGCTGGAAACTCCGAGATTCCAATATTATACCACGTCGAGAGGGTCCGCGACGGAAAGAGTTTCATTACCCGAACGGTGCAAGCCCGCCAGAGAGGAAAATGTATCTTCACCACGACCTTGTCGTTCATGAAAGAAAACTCCGGTGGAAAGCAGACGGTGCAGCACGCTGCGAGGATGCCTACTGACATCCCTCCCCCACCGGCCCTCGACCCCAATCAGGATTTCTTCCCCTCCAAAGCCGGCTCGACGATAGATGATCGACCCTTCGAAAGCGTCCGTGTCCCACCAACAAGGCACAAGGAGCCTTCCGAGCGGAAACTCCGCCAATGGCTTCGTGCCCGAGGCCGCATCAGCGATTGTCCGCCAGAGGTGCGGGAACAGGAGATCAGTGAGGGCGAGCGCGCCAACAAGCCCGGCGACAACCACCAAGCCCACCTATCTGCCCTCGCATACATGTCCGACAGCTACTTCATCGGCACGGTTGCCCGCGTCCACAATCTGATTCGATTCGCCAGCCGCAAGAATATCGAGGCCCTGCTGCGCAACTTCGACGGCGACGAGCAAGAGCGGCGGCAGATGCAAGAATATCTCGAGACGATTGCGCGGGACGAGGAAGAGGAGAACAAGGAATTTGGACACGCTGCTGGCCAGGCGCCTGATTCCCGCGCCATCGGCATGATGGTCAGTCTTGACCACGCCATCTTCTTCCACAATCCCCGTGCGTTCCGCGCCGATGAGTGGATGTTGACTGAGATGGAGAGTCCGTGGGCTGGCGACGGGAGAGGTCTGGTTCATCAGCGCATCTGGAGTAAAGATGGGACCCTCATCGCCACCTGTGTTCAGGAGGGGTGCGTACGGTTACAGCAGAAGAAGGAGAGTAAGATATGATGTGTCGGGAGGCTTTCGATTGTCTTTGTTGGGACTGAGACTGATTAGTTAAATCTTGACTTGGTTCTCTGGACCCGTACTTTTGTCTTCATTAAACACCAATGTTTACATAGTGATTTAGAGTGACTGTGCAGAACTCGCAATTTTATTTTTCCACCCGATAGCTGAACCTCAAGAATAGATCGTCAGTTATTTCATGCCTCTTAGTCTTTTCATAGTCCGCCTATGACTATATTTCCAGCCAAGTGAATTAGTCTTCGAATATTGATATTCCTCTAGAACTCTTGAATCCGGGGTCCGGGGTGAAACGCCTGTCAATAAGTCGTGGAACGAGATCCACAGGCTAGCTCAGCCTTGCGGAAATGCTGATTCCTGTGGTGGAAGGAAGCTGATCCCGCGGACAACGTCATGACTACACCCGACCCTTCCACGAATGACAGCATGCTACCACATAGACATGGGCGAAGGCCTGGATTGAGTATGACCAATATGACTGCTGGGATATCGTCACGATTGTGGAATCTTCTTGAGCTGCCCACTACTTGGTTGGTGACATAAATATTCAAGTGACCGCCTGGGTTTTTCGAGGGCCTGGCTGCAATGTTACGACTCTTCAATACCAGATCTATCACTACCCTGAGTACGTGTCGCGCAACACTCCCCAAGCACATACCCCCCGGATCTAGCTATCAAATTCGAAGAATGTCGGACGACAAAGCACCTCAGACATCACACTTCTCCAATGACGACCTGAAGATCTCCAAGCTCTTCGATGTCTCCCACATCACTGCCGTGGTGACAGGTGGTGGGACAGGCATTGGATTGATGATCGCACAGGCGCTGAAAACCAACGGAGCCAAGGTGTACATTACTGGACGTCGTCAAGAAGCGCTCGACAAGGTTGTCGAACAGTACGGCAACGACACCGGTTCAGGCAAGATCATTGCTCTTCCAGGCGACGGCTCCAAGAAGGAAGAGTGCGTTCGCCTGGCCAAAGAGGTCGCATCCAAAGAATCAAACGGTATCCATCTCCTGGTCAACAATGCCGGCATCGCACGCGACGATAATACGAAATTCTCGGCCGCTGGAAAACCCGACTTTTCATCAGCAGAGAGTATCTCCCAACATATGTTGAAATCTGAACCGCAGTCCTGGGCCGATACATTCGAGACCAACGTGACCGGACAGTATTGGATGTCCGCGGCGTTTCTGCCACTGCTGGCGAAAGGTCGTGAAGTGACACCAGGATACACTTCCAGCATTGTCAACATCAGCAGTATCAGTGGTTTGATGAAAGGTTCCAGCAGTGGCCAGTTCGCCTATGCGAGCAGCAAGGCTGCGCTCGTTCACTTGACCCGCATGCTAGCGACGACTTTGTCGGAGACAAAAGTCCGAGTTAATCAGATAGCGCCCGGCGTGTTTCCCAGTGAGATGACGACTGGTGAGAGCGATGAGAGTCAGAAGAGCGAGTTGAGTAGTAAAATGGGCAATCCTGCTGGTCGCGGAGGAAGCGATGCGGACATGGCTGCCTCTATCTTGTACTTGGTCTCACCTGGAGGAGTCTTCCTCAACAATCAACTGCTTCATCCAGAAGGTGGACAGTTACTCGTTGCTCCTGCTGCCATTTAAAACAGCATCAGCATCGTGTCGCCCAATGTCTAGATTAAGTCAAGGCAACTTCGCTTCTGGTCATGGGAGCTGGCTTTCGAGCCTCTGAACATAGTTGTTGAGGTATTTGAGCATCTAGTTCAGAAGCTGATACTCCGAAATTCTAAACCTTCCACGGTGTAAGTTAGACAGGCTTCAGGCGTGCCGTACCTTACGAGCTCGCTTAAGCAGCAGCCCAATGCTATTTTTGGCACACTCAAGAAATTCTACGCCGTGATGAACGACGAGTTCCGCCTTCTAAAGGGCTTGTGCATGACTGTTTCGTCTCCTTGTGGTCGGTCGAGCTTCTTCTGGACTATCCTCCATGCCTCTCGTTCCCTCCTCCCAAAAACCCTCCAAGAGAGATCCTCCTATTGGAACCTTGGTCCTCGCTCCTTCTTTACGTCAAGCTTCAAGAAAATCGCGCCACAATAAAGTTCGCTCTGGCTGTTCAACATGTAAGCTACGCAAAGTGAAATGCGACGAGACGAAGCCAGAATGCTTGCGTTGCCTAAGGGCCGGGAAAGTCTGTGCTGGATACGAAGAAATCAAAACTTGGCTGTTCGAACCGCATAATGAGTTAGCACATGCGCCATCTAGCAGATACAATGCAGTATACCATCCACCAAATGGGAGGGCCAGCAATCATTTTACTGCCATTCAAGATGAGTACAAGACTGAGCATCATGATATGCTCCCTGACAGCACCTGGCACCCTGTCCATTCAATACCAACTTGGCCAACATTTCTTGACACTTGCATGCCATTCTTGAAAGAAAACTACGCTCGGAGGGCACCTCTACCAACCTCGATGCTTTTTGAATTCAGTGCGTTCTCCTCTCGGCTACTTGATGCAATATCTCTAACTCCTCCAGTTATCCACCATTTTGGCCCAGTCTGTATCTGGAGGCCGCGCGGCGGGAATCTCGACAGAGAAGTCTTCAAAGCCAACTTCCTGCATTACATGTTCCGTGAGCCTGCACTTCTAGAAGCCATGTTCTGCGCCGCCTTACGGACGTTGGAGGTTTGTCCATCAGATGTAGTGCTTGCTTCAAAGGAATCCAAGCAACACTATGGCAATTCCATCTCTCTTCTGACGCAACGAGTTTCTGATCCATCGGCGGTCTTTGATGACGCCATCTTTTGGGCTATCGCCACCCTCATGCTATATGACCTTGACAGAAGGAGTTGGGAATCCTTCTTAGTCAATCTTGACGGAATCCGTAGAATCATTTCCTTGCGTGGCGGAAAGTCATCAGGACAAGTTTCGTCTGATCGATCGCATAGCTTCCACGAGTGGGCAGAGAAATGCTATGCCGATCGTAACGAGACGGCCCTTTCTGCTGTCCCCTTCGTCATTTTAACACCGCACGATGGAGTACGACCAGAGAAAACCATTGCTCGACACGTATCAGATCCATTAAACCAACTGCGAAACTATGCGACGTTCTGCCCCGAGGGAATTCGTTCGATGCAACTCGGCAACATGCTTGAACCAGAATCGATCAACTCAATCGGGCGCTTTCTCGCATGGTATAATACTTATACTATGATGTCCTCAGCAGATAGACGGACTGGAAAGATCGCCGGTGACAGAACCTCTCTCATATTCGAACTTCACCAGTTGTTAAGTCGCGGCATTCTGGGTGCTAGAAGCCGTGTTGTTTGTTTGGCCATGTTCGCCCTAACGCTGATGGTCCATCCCATTTTCACCGGCCCGGGGTTCGTTGGCACCTTCAGTGGTGACATGACCGACTTCAGTTACATCAGCACACATATGCTATCCGAAGACCACGTCATCTGGCTTGCCCTGGTGCTGGCGCCAATGCATACCATGTTCTTCATACAATCCGAAGATAGATGCAAATTGTTGCACATGGTGGCGGCGCATCAGCAAAGGTCAACGTCGTGGACAGATGTGCTCAACAAAGTACGCAGATTCATTGCTCCTAAGAATCTTCTTGTAGAATGGGAGTCTTGTTGGCATTCTGCCACCCAAGCATTACCACGAAGCTCTTGAACACAAACGACTTCAGTCTAGAGTCACTTCGGCTTACTGGTCCTAATACGAGATCCTAACGATTCCACTGGACCTAACAATATTGACTATCTCGCACCATCCGAATGCCACAATAAGAATGCGAATGCCAATGACTTTCCCTCCTCAACCAGCTCGATCTTCTCCCGGCTCCACTCAGCATCAGTATAAGGATCAATTTCAACAGCCACGACTGTTACTTCAATCGATCCAGCGTATCCCTTAATGCCAAAACGAAAGCATCAGGATCAAACACGTAGATCAAATGGCCAGCAGGCCAGATATGGTGCTGGGAACCCGTGATCTCTGCTTGAGGATATGTTGTGGTGGCGTAAGGAGCATCTCGACTTGCCTTACCAACGACACAGGCTAGAGAATCTGAAGACAGATGTTCGTACCTGTCACCGTGCAGATGGCGCCTCAAGTCCCATAGATTTGGCACGGCAATGGCAGTGAGGAATTCATATTCCAACCAGAAGAGCTGGTCAACGGAGGCTCCAGGCGAAGGTTCTGCAGCGTCGTCCCCAGCTTTTGAAAGTTCCTTCACATCATCATCCGTGGCCGGTCGCAGCGGTTCCAGAACCTCTCCTTCAGAAGGCACGTCCTTACTCGTCGAGTCCCAACCCCTGATCATTCGAGCGAACAGCTTCATAGCTGGACCCGCCCCACTCGCCTTGTACACGGCATAGGTTCTGGTGATATGATCAACCCACCTCCCACCCTCCAGATCAGGCAACAACCCAAACGTCGGACTCTCGTGGGCAACCAGCTTCTCCAGCTTGTCCGGGAAGTACACCCCGAAGTTCAGCGCAATCACACCTCCCTGTGACGTGCCAAACACAGATGCTCGCTGGAACCCCAAATGCGCGATGATCGCAGCGACATCGCGTGCAGCTTGCGCGGGACTGAAGAACGACGTGATCTTGGCTCCGCTGGACGTGAGATTCGATGCTCCGTGCCCGCGCCGGTCGAACGTCGCGACCGTGTACTGGGCCGTTGAATTGTCGGAAGACGAAGCGAGACCCGGGAGAGAAGCGTGGAACGACGAGCCGAGTCCTGTGCCTCCAGGGACGAGGACAAGTAATTTTGATCCACTGCCTGTGTATGTGACGTGCAAGACGCAGTTCTCAGTCGTGACGGTCGTGGTTTTGAGGTTCGATGTAGCCATCGTTAAATAAGTTACCGTATCTTCTTGCTGAGTGCCTTCGTTGTAGGGTCCCCCAAATTTCACGTTCTCTCCTGCGTTATATATGCTCTGACTGCTATCCTTTCTTCTTCCTTGAATCCGTCCCCGAGCGGAGCACGCAATAAGCACCTTGTAAGAGATGTAGCGTTCACAAATTCAGCAGCATCAAGAAAGTACGTGGGCTCTGGGTGGCTCTGTCCATACGGCTACCGGATCCCCAGAAAAAAAGCAAGCAGTCATATCTGTCTGTGCAGGAGCTCCTCTAGGAACACCTGTATCGAGGATGTGCTTGTATCTACGGTAGTGAATGGGTGGCAGTTAGCTCAAGCTCGATAGGATCGGCGAAAGTCCCAGGATTTGCTTGCTAAGCTTTACTACTACTCATCTGCTAACGAGTGGTAGTGGGAAGCGAGGTCCCGGTGGGGTTGTGTTCGGTTCGTGGGACGTAAAAAGCCTCTGCATCCCACGAGATACACTTAGGTACAGGATCGCCCCTGAAAGCACTGCCATGTCCATGTCGGACTATGGAATGTCGAATTCAGTGGAGATCACTCTGGAACCGAATATCTGTCTCGGAAATACCGACAAGATGACATTTTACGGACGCCCTAACTCCGCGCTGTCTATGGGTTTGTGTCTGTGCACATGAATAAAAGTTTGATATCCTCGGGTCAGGCCATTCATCTGCCCGATTCACTGCATTAAACCATACCGCCAGATTCTTTACCGCCAAGCTGTAGAGTGCGAGTCTCGTTCTCGCGTGATTCAATCCTCTCCCGCTCCTCCTGCTCAGCCGCCTCTTTCGCCTTGAGCTCCTTCAGCTGCTGGCAGAACTTACTGTTCGCGCGGATAGTATCGCCATATCGAATGAACGCAAATGGGATCGCCACCATGCTCAAGCTCAGGAAGGCGAGCACACTGCAGGCCCAAGCGATGCCAAGAGTCGAGAACATCCGCGACGAAGCGAGCGGGAGGACGACGCCAAAGACGCTCCGGCACGTGCTTGCGATGGACTGGGCGCTCGCTGCGAATGTCTCGTAGGCGTCGGTCAGGTAGTTGAGCAGGGCGAGGAAGATGAGTAGGAACCCGAGTCCCCATAATATGCCGGAAGAGACTGGCACTATCCAGTGGACGTTTTCTCTCGCGCTCCACCCGATCCAGAGAAGAGAGACCACGAACAGCGGTCCTCCGATACATGCAAACGGGAGGCGATTGTATTCTTCTTGCCGCGTCCACGCGGCGTTTCGTTTCCGGCCTTTCTCCAGCACCGAGTTCCACCAGATGTAGACGGGCGCTGCGCAGATTGCTCCGAGCCCGATCGGGAGGAACGCTAGGCCCGCGACGCCAGGTGACCATTTGTACACAGAATCCGGGCCCTGGAAAATCCTGGGGTATGCTTGGAAGTAGAGATAGAAGATCCCGTATGCGAGTGCGCAGTAGGCAGAGACACACATCACAATCACTTCTTGGAACAGCATGCGCCAAGGACGGGTCATGACGACTGTTAAAATGTGGTGCAGATTTCGCTTCTCCAGTTCGCATTTTGCATAAATCTGAGCATCGCCGGTTTCTGCTCGGAGCTTCTGCGCTCTGCGGCGAAGCAGAACTGGCCCATATGTCTCGGGCATGGCGAGGATGACGGGGATGGTGGCACCTGCAAATAAGGCGCCGAAGCCGAAAACCCAGCGCCAGCTCTTGGCCGCAATGAATCCTGAGATGGGCGGTGCGATGACAGGGCCTTCGGTTGTCGCAATCATGAACCAGGTCATTGCAGATCCTCGTGTTTTCGGGTCGCTGTAGACGTCTGCATAAAGTCCTCCGACTATTCCAATTGGACCGGATGCTCCCAGGCCTGAGAAAAATCGAAACACGAGTAACGCTGGCCAATTTGGAGCGACAGCACATGCCACTGTTGATATTGTTGCGAGCAGGAAGAAGCCCAACATGACATATTTGCGCCCGTGGTATTCTGATAGTGGCGCTGCTAGGGTCGGTCCGATGGTGTATCCAGCAATGAAACAGGATATGGGTAGAGGGAATTGTATTTGACTCGTGACGTTGAATTCTTTGGTGATGGCTCGTGTCGCACCGCTTGATAACGATGACTCCAATGTGCTGTTTATGACCATCAGAATACCAGCAAACAACACATAGCTTTTCCTCCTAGTCGACCAGTTGTATGGGTTATTTGGATCGGTTGAGCCGAACGTCACCACCTTTTTGGGATCTCTGCTATTTATCGTAACCTCCGCATTTCGAGAGAGGGCTGACTGTTCTGGAGTAATGGAATTAAGAGCTGCGTTGGTTTCTTCGACCGACAAGGGGCTTGTGATCTCGCCTTTGAGTAGTTAGGCCAGTAACTTCAGATATCATTGGGGAAATGTCATACCTTGTACCGACATGTCACCACCAATGGGCGCCGATTGCCCACGATTTCGATCCTCATCCAAGCGCCCAGTACTCATTGTCAAGACCCAGTGGAAGCGAAGGACAATATGCCACAGGGAATACTACTGAAATGGAGCATGAAGTGGTGGAACGACCAATAGATTCTTTATTTCTTCATATCAGTCTGCCATATTAATCAACATCAGGGGAACGAAAACGGTGAGTGCAAGCAAAAAACAATGCAGTCAGTCACGTCAAAGGCCAAAGCTATTATTGCAGGTAAGGGTAGTTAGTGTAGTGCCTCAAGAGTTCAAGGTCTGAAGATCACGCCGCAAGTCCGAGCGGGGACGATACTCCAGATTCGGGGTTTCGTAGCAGCTTGAGAAGACATGATTTGTAAAGATATCTCGTTGGATCCAGCTCGCGCTGAAAAGATGCAAGTGGACGGCTACGACGGCAAGTTGGATTCTTCAAAAGAAAATGCAGCGTTCAGGTTGTGTCACCACAGCTCGTGCGGAGGAAGCTCCCATTTGAGGACCATTCTACCTCGGGTTTGCAAGGAATTGGAGTACCCCCGCCTAAGGGAACCCCCTTTTTAGGTTGGCTCGGTGCTCAAGGATGCTGCCTTTTTGGGAGGCATTGGTTTGGTTTAGGCACAGTTGGCGAATAAGCGATGGTAGCGTGGCACTTCCAGGGGCTGCAGCCTCGAGGTTGTTGACCTAGCTTAGAAACCGTCCAGTATCATCAAGGATGCTACGTCGAAATATGTCTTTTATCTCTAAAGACTTCGAAATTCACATAAGCAGATCGCAGAATCCTTCACGAATGCCGGCAAGTCTGCTGAGATGTCCTGTAGCCTTGAAAACGGTCTTCTATTAAGCGGGGTCAGGCAGATGTCACCATCGCCAGTCCCGCGGATCGTGGCTGAGGCAAACTTCGTCTGAGAGGTTGGCGCGAACGAATTTGATACAAGGAAGCGCAGATCGATATGTCTGTAATGGTTATGGAGAAAATCAGTGTTGGCCTCGAGATTGTCAGATTTTGGTATTGCAATAGCTAGATAGGTGACTTCATCAGACGGGCCTCTCCGTGCATCGATGGGCAACGTTTATCTTGTTATCGGAGGATATTTGGGATGTGGAGATTGCATTGTCTCATAAAGGCGGGTGTAGTGCAAGAATGACTCTGTAAGAGAAACAAACAAAGCCATGACTTATCGATGGTCAGATGGCTTGAAATTGCCATGCTCTGTGTGTGAAAATGCCAAAGCCTCATGATTGAATTTTATGGATCGTTGATGAATCCTGCGTTTGGCTAAAAGCACAAGTAGCAAGGGCATCCCTGGGTGGCCCTCTGCCCCGAAAAGTGGACTTCGGAGACCGGATAAGCAACGGATCACTGGGTTATTGTAAATGTCCGTAGCTGTGGATGGTGGGCGTTTCAGCCCCCAAACAGAAACTCATGCAGATCAAAGGTTTCAGAGAGCAGAGCGTCATCCTACTCCGACGCCAAATATCCGTAGTATGTGGCCAAGTACACGATTTGAATGTGATCTCCTGTTGTCAAATAACAATGGATCGAACCTCGAGGCAGGAAAGGGGAGGTCCTAAATGTGCTCAGGTACTTGGGTAGTGGAAAGTACCACAAGGACTCTTAGGACAACCTGTTTCAGACACCCGGTTGGCCGTGGTCGATCGAGCGACTGCCTGCAGGGGCGAGCGTCGGCGGTGTCGGCGTCTGCAAGCTCATTGAAGCCCAAGGACTGTGGCAGTTATGCCAAGATTTCCACAATCTCATACTATCAGCCACTGCACGAACACCCCAAGCCCCAGCGAAAACTCTTTAGAGCATACCAAGTCCAAGAGAAGCCCATGGGTCCGCCCTTTTCCCGTTCGAGATGGCAACATTCGTCCAAGATAAGTTCGGACAAGAATTGGTAACTCTTCCATCGTGGACTGCGCTTGCTCAGCTGAGTCTCGAAAAATGGCCAGGCAATCATCAGTATGACCTAGGCAAAACTCTTGCTTCGTGCTTGTCAAAATGATAGGCGTGCTTGTTCTGGCTCTTGCCGCGTTCTTGCACGTGTCAGTCTGTCTCAACAATGCGACATGGCTATGGGGGCCATACCGACCAGGTGTGTACCTAGGGATTCGTCCGCAGATACCCAAATCCCTCCTGATGGGGATAATGTGGTCTAACGTCGATGACCCGACCAAACTTGAGAAGAGTAGGCTATAATAGTCCATAAAAATTGATCATCTTGCTGATCTTTCATACACTTTAGGCCTTCGTTATACCTGTGACACAGACCAGGGTGTTACCGCTTTTGGCTGGACTCATTATGACTCTCGCACAGGAGGAAGCCAGACGATCAATGATACTGGCAACAGTATTGACATTATCACTGATTTTGCCAAGTCTATGGATTCAAACTCTCAAGAATGGCAACTCAAAGTTCGAGGTATACCACGAAAGGATGCAGCAAAAGATCAGCAAACAACAGTGATTTTCTACCTTGGTTCTGAAAATCCCGCCTCCAAAGTTGCCTGTAAGAGACAACACAGTCACCGAGTGTCACATAGTGACATATCATGCCGAGGAACCACGCCCACTATTGGTGAATTTACTGTCGATATTGGTGTCTCTGGGGACCGCACGGAACTATCGCAACATCTGGCAGTGACCAGCATCAACGTCCCATCGAAAAATTTGTGGCAAACCAAAGCTGTCTTTCTACAACAACTAAAAGCCCGCAATATTGCCGACGGGATGCTCCCAAACAGACCTGGAGAGGGAAACCTACACTTTGTGCAAATGATCTTTCAAGGATCCAACGAGATTGAAGTCTCGTTTAGTTCCGGTCATCGGAATGAGACAGTCAGCCCCGTCCCTTTTTCCGAGCGCGTTGAAGATATCTACACAGACTTTAAACGGCAATTTGCTTTGAGCTACCTACCACAGCGTCCGTTTGAGGATAACCACTACATACAGCTTTCGCAATCTTTACTTTCAAATTTGATGGGTGGCATTGGCTTTTTCTACGGGAGCGATCGAATCAGCATTAATTCGACCTCGGATTTCACGGATACCAACGATGATTTCTGGATGTACGCTTCCCTTGGTGAATCACAGCAAATGGTCCAAGAACGAACGCCGCGTCAACTAATCACAGCAGTTCCTTCCAGACCATCGCTTCCCCGGGGGTTCCTATGGGATGAAGGCTTTCACTTGGAATTAGTTCTTGAATGGGACATGGAGCTCGCGTTGTCCATACTTTCCAGCTGGTTTGACTTGATTGACAATGATGGCTGGATAGCTCATGAACAAATTTTAGGCCCAGATGCCAGAAGCAAAGTGCCATCACTGTACCAAGTTCAATTTCCACAGTTTGCGAGCCCCCCAACTCTCTTTCTGGTAATTGAAAAGTTCATTGAGGTGCTTCAAAGAGAAGAGATCAGTCCCTCGGTTCCTCACAGGCAATATTTTACAGACTACGCTACTAGAAAGGGTTGGTTGGAAGCAATATATCCAAAGTTGAAGAAGTACTATGACTGGTTCCGTAGAACACAGTCTGGAAACATGACTCATTACCGGCATCGCAATCGGCTTCATGAGGGATATCGCTGGCGAGGCAGAACAACCGAGAATATTCAGCCAAGTGGTCTTGGTGACTATCCTCGTGCTCAACCTGCCCACCTCTAAGAACTCCATGTGGATGCCTTATCTTGGGTGGGATCTATGGCAACCACTCTACGGAAGGCTTCAGTGGTGCTTGGGCAAGAAGAGGACAGAGATAACTTTTTGAGAGATGAAGCCAACGTCAAGCGCACCCTTGATGACCTTCACTGGTCTGCAGTGGCTCAGGCGTATTGTGACACGACCATTAGCGCGAAAAACCAGATCCATCATGTCTGTCACAAAGGCTATCTTTCCTTGTTTCCTTTTCTACTTGGTCACCTGAACAGCACTCATCCACACCTGGAAGCAACTTTAGACCTTATGCGGAACCCTGGCGAAATATGGAGCGTCTACGGACTCCGTAGTTTGAGCAAGAGCAGTAGATTCTACAGCAAAGGCGACAACTACTGCAGGGGTTCAATTTGGATCAACATAAATTACATGGTGCTGAAGCGATTGCTGCATCTTTCTGCTGAGCCTGGCCCTCTGCAGGGCAAAATCCGAAAATTGTATTCTGAGCTTCGCACAAATATTGTCGACACCGTCTATGAATCCTGGGAACAGACGAATACCGTGTGGGAACAATACAACCCAGAGAGTGGTAAAGGGCAACGCACGCCACATTTTACTGGCTGGACAGCATTGGTTTCTCTGATAATGAAAATGCCAGACCTGATGCCCACTGCCTCCACTCACAGAGTTCAAGGCAACATACGTCCGGGACACGCGGTTAGAAGTGGCTATACCAATAACTCTCTCATGATTTTCAGCACGGCAATTATCCTGGTTTGTCTTGCCTATCGAAAGAAATTAAGCCTACTCATCTCGCGGCTGAGGTCCTAGCTTTACCGATTTCGGATTCGATGTAAGCTTTGTCATCCGCCATCCGTCATCAGCATAACTTCTCCTTCGAAGTATCCGAGACACGGATTCTCTGTGATATGTGAGTTTGGTGGTCGCGAGTGGAATGTCCAAGACTTACCGCTACGCGTCCGTGGAACTCTGTCAATTGTAGCCAATGATGTTCCTCAAGAGTACTAAAGTCCTCTGGCAAAACTGCTGCGCCAAAACTGGATTTGTTCGAGACGACGAGAGGTGTTGGTTTCGACCAAGGCCAGCCGAACAGTGATATTCCCATTCTCGTCCGAGCTTTGATGTGGACTGTCGCATGGAATGCCTCCCCTGTGTGCTGGACCAACACGGCAGTCTTCAAATCTGTCGGAACACCATCGGCTTGAGCATAATTTTCATCGACCTTCCATCTCACCATATCGTCGTCTTCTGCATCCTCGTCGCTAGCCCATGGCTCACCGACAATTTTCATCTGAAAGTCTCGTGCCACGGTGGTTGATCGAGTCATTGGCACCTCAATCCCGATCTGAACTGGTGCAGTGGGAGTGGTGATAGACGGGGAAACGCTGATCGACTTCGTGATTTGGCCTGTGCTCGAAGGGCCACAAAGAAGCGCTGGTGAATAATGCCGAACTGCAGGCTTGGATCCGGGACTCGCACTGTTGTCACTAGAGTCGAACGCGACTCGGATCTCGGCGTGAGAAAATCGATTTGTACTGTTCTGCTCAAATGCGAAGTGGAACTTGAATGCCAGGAGTGTTGCAGGCTTGCCTTTATATTTGCCGTGTTGCAAATATATCACATCGCCTCGAACTCCAGAACGACCGACATTGCTTGAGATTGCGCGTGCCGTATTTTCTGTGAGCTCTTTCGGAAGTTTTCCTCCCAGGTGCAGATCTTCGTTATCAACTTCCAATTTAACAATACTTGATGCGAACGCTTGCTCTTCCACTTCGATTTCGCTAATGACCGTAACTTGTACCTGTTCCTTGATATCTGCTTCTGCTGCGACTTCCATTGTGATCACCAAAAGCAAGATTTAGAAAAGCAGCAAGAAGGGGGTAAAACGAAAACCTTGCGAACGAAAAAATGGAGGGTGTCGAGTTGTTTGAGGTACTTTTGAATTGACAACACTGTGCATGTAACTATCACATTGCGAGAATAGTCACCTGCACGCCTTCCTTCAATTGGTAATTCTTGACTCCTCTAACAATTACCATTTGTCCTCCAAACTGAAACCGGTGACCTGGAACCTAGGATTGTACGAGGTTTACCTAGTGCGGGGTCCAACATCCGAAGAGCTACACCCAGCCAGGCGCGGGTGATTGGAAGACTCGGTCAAAGCTGAGTGCCTACCTGTATCAGCCACCAGCGGCTTCGGACGCTTCGGGCAGCACGGCCCCTGAACGCTAGGCTGCGGGACACTCTTGCTCGTTGGCCATCTTCTCTGAACCTCGTATTCTTCCTTCCCCTTTGCCAGGTACTGATCTGGAAACTTGAGATGATCTCAACAATGTCCTTTATAACTAGAGGTTACCTACAGCTGCACTTTTCCATCGCAGGGAGACCACCACGCACACCTAGTGCTTGGGGCAAGGAGTCTCCTATGTACACAAAAATTCAAATTTCGTAATTTCACAGATCACCTGCCAAGATGTCCATGGACCCTTCATCCAACTTGCGTGAGGCGCGCAGACTAGGAGATCTAGGATACTTCAAAGATGCGGCCGCCTTCTATGCCGCTGCCGAAGCCGAGCATTCTGCGCCTCAATTATCGCTGATTCTAGAGGTATCTGGCTTCAACATGGAGCAAGGCCTAGCTGGTGTCGTCCTAGACAGACTCAACGCAACAAACGAGAACATAGATCGGAGGCATGAGGTACCACTTCAATTGGCCCTGCTGGACCTTCTATGGGCGTTTGTGGAGGCCCAAACAACTGTACGTCTTGCTCGACCTCTCGAAAAAGTCGTCAAAATCTTCAACGAGCATTTGCGAAACTGGCCCCACACCGAATATGACAAAAAAAGAGTGGGTTCAGCCTGTCTCAATATTTTGATCACTACTGAAAAATGTGTTCGACAGGCATATCTGGTTGCGATTTATCACAATTTCTGTAAGCTAATCGAGTTGATGGGCTTCTCGAAAGACGAACCTCCGCCCACAATGAACCTCGAGCAAATGAGAACATTGTTTGATGAGATGACCGCTCGCAAAGAATATAAAGTTGCCTTTCAATTGGCTCAATGCTATGCCGGACTGCCAGATGCTGGCATTGATACGAGCTTACTTGAGACCCTGATAGAGTTAGTGCTAGACGACAGCGTCCTGCGAGCCGCTATTTTCTTGCAGTACGCAGAAACATGCCAGTCTCAAGACAAAGTGGCGGAAGCAATGAAATATCTCGAAGCCTCTGAGGAACTTTACTCAGCTACCGGCCACGCCTTCGGAAACTCAATGATACAACTGAAAAGATTACGGGAAGGCGATGCCGAGGATCGCCAGGAACGGATCAATGCTGTTCTTAAGATCAAGGCAGAGCAAGAATTCATCGGGAATTGGGACGGGGTCCGCCAAGCTCTCAACACCTTGACCGCGATCAACAACCAAATACCAGACGACTCGTTGAGTACAATTTTGAATATCGAATACCTTGAACTCCGCGATGTCCGTCGAAATGATATTGATTGGGTTAGCCAGAGGGTCCTCATAGCTAGCAGATGGAAGTTCAATCAAGAAAACATTGGTCAAAGTCTTCGAACGCTAGAGACACTGTACGCGGAAATCAAACACATGGATGCGCCCATTGAGCTGGCTAGTGTCGTGATGATGCTGTACGAGATCAATGTGAAAGTTGGAGATGCTGAAAGGGCACTGTTATGGCTCACAGAGCAGCGACATGTTCTACCACGCGTTTTCCGCATCCTACACGACCTGGACGATTTCTTTCGGCACCTTCAGGCCACAACTACAGCTCCGGATCCGGAACTCGAGTGCGCTAGTCTTCAAGAAGAGCTTGATGCCACCACATCGTTCTTGCTGAAGACCAATAATCTCTCGGATCGAGCTGTTGAATTAGGGAGGGTTGCTAACATCGCGAACATTTATGCAGCACAGTACATGCTACGCGGTGCTGAGCAGACCGTCAGATTGATCGATATGTGTAAAGCATTCATTGATCAAAGCTACGCCCTGCTCGCGGAAAAGGACCAGAAAGACATCAAAGCCCGAGTGCTGCAAACTCTAGCGACCCTGAAAATCCTTGAAGCTGCGGCACCGCCGTTCACTCTGGAAAATATCCCCGAGAAAATTGATTTATGGCTAATGGCAAGTACTTTGAACCAGGAAGCACATGATCTTTATACCAGCATAGAGAAATGGACCAGTGTGTCCATGGCTAAAGCACAGAAAGCAAATTGCTTACAAACAGCCTGGCTTCTTCAGGGATCTCCTTCTGATTCGACCATTTTTCATGAAGCTACGGACCTCTATGTGGAGGCATTGGAGCTTTCAAAGAAAATAAGCCATCAGACTTCCGTTCGGAGCCACACGATGGCATTGGTGAAACTGTGGTTCAAAGGGTTTGAGAAAAACATCAGCATGCCGCCAACGACCAGTGATGAGAACTTATCGCTCCCCATACAAATGGTGGTAAAATATCTCATCGAAGTAGACCTTCAGATGAATGTGGAGAGGAACGACTTGTCAGCGTTGAAGAACGAGCGGTCTATCTTGGCCAAACAAAACCTGCGGAAGCGACCAGAGTTTGCAGAGCTATATGATATCGGTGTCAAGATGTGCGCTTCGATACCTGATACCACGCCCCTCTGGGACTGGGTGCAGACCATGAAATCTCGTGGGGTGTCTGATCTGCTGGCGCTGGGTATCATTTTGCCTGCGTCAATGATGAACACGATTAACGAAGACGCAGCATTGCGACGATTGATGGAGGAAGAGCGACAAAAGCAAATTGAGTTGGACTCTGCTCCCACGGACTCTAAATTCTACTTGACCAAAGAGTTGGAGATGTATCGAAAGAAAATGCGAAGCTACCGGCCGCTTGCCGACTTGCTTGATCTACGCGAGGGCCAACCCATCGAAATCGAAGTTCTACGCAACCTGCAAGAACTGAGAGCTGCGACTCACGCTTCAGGTTCGACCCAAAGAGGCGTGGTCTTTGTCGACTGGTTTGTTTACAAAAACAACTTTGCGGTTCTTATTGTTACAAAAACTGCGATTCATGCCATTGCCACCAGCTTCACAATTGCAGCTGCTCAAAACTGGAAAAACAACTATTTGATCTATGACTCTTCGCGGGAACGTTGGCCGCTAGAAGACGAGGATTCAAAACCACTACAGGAACTCTCAAGTCTTATACAGCCCCTAATAGCCCACAGCGAAGAGGGTGATCTACTAGTCTTCTGTCCCACAGGCGCGTTACATGGGATACCCCTACATGCTGCCACGCTCGATGAGGAGGCAGAGAAGTCAATCATTGACCGTAACCCGATCGTCTACACAAGCAGTATGACAACATTGAACCATTGCATTTCAAGAGAGTTGCAGCATACGCAAAGTGGTGCAGATCCGTCCGGATTGAACCAGAGCTTCGTGGCTGTATTTGAGGAGACCGATGAAGTCGACGCGGACACTGCCACTTTCGAATCGTTTAGGGATTCCGTCTACGAAAAGGTACAGAAGATTGGGTCGGATTTCAGTGATACACGTGTTACCGTGGGCAAGAATGTATCGCCAGAGGTTTTGCGACAGTCTTTTGAATGCGACATGATGTACTTCTTTGGACATTGTCAGAACAGGTTCGACAGCATTCTCCAACAAGCTCTCAAACTAGCTCCAGTCGACGGGGAAATGCAACTCGCAGCTGATCTCACCAACCTGGACATCACAGGTGACGCTCGCATCCCGTCGCGTGACTCGAGCACGTACAGCAGCGGGAAAGTAATGTCGCAGAGCGCCGCAGTGGGCGATTTTGAAGTCTTCCCCAGATTCGCACCGCATCATTTCACCGTGGGCGACATCTTTCAATCCAAGGTCCAGGCCTCTAATATCATGCTGATTGCATGCGGCTCCGCATCAGAGTCTAATGCACCAGGCGATGAACCACTGGGGCTCGTTACCGCGTTACTATGTGCAGGAGCCTCGTCGGTAATTGGAACCCTGTGGGAAGTGAAGGCAGGCCGTGCGGCGACATTTTCTCAACGATTCTACAAGATACTGTTGGAAGAGATCAATACTGCTAAATCTGTGCGCAGTTCGGTTGACCCTCGGGAGGGAAAATCAGCAGACAGTCCAAAGTTGTTGATCGACCTGGCCGTGATCCTGCAGGGGATCATATGCAAGCTGAAGAGGAGAAACTTGGACTTCAAAGCGCCTTATCACTGGACACCTTATATGCTTTCCGGCTCGTGGTTCGTTCAGCGTAGTTGATGCCAGAAATTGCCAGGTGCATGACTCAAATATGATTCGATGGCCTACTAGATTGTTCCTTGTTGCAATCATGGGGTGTACATCGCTTTTCGGTAGCCTCTAGCCCGCCTAGACTATGTATCATCCATAGGACTTAGCTAAATTCTTGAAACCACCGGATATAGACAAGGGCATACTCGTGCGTGGTGTACCGAAGCACTCTGGCAACGATTATGCTCTGATGATCAGAGTTGCTATCGACATCGGACCCTACACGAACCGATTGATGGGGCCCAACGCATGAGTGATGCATTATGACACTTATTCATCCTGTACTCCGTCAACGCCCTTTGTGTAATGATGGAGTAGTGGGGTCTGGATGTGAGAATGACGCATGTTTAGGTTATGCATGCACAAGCGTGAATTTAAATTCGCTTCCAAAAGCTTCCTCGCCAAAACGCGGGGTCTCCATGTCTGGTCGCTTTTTAGACCAACAATCAGGAATCCTCATTTGGCAAAGCAAAGAACTCGTACAGCATTGTAATTAGAAAGGGGATTTAGGCGGCTGGGCATCGTATTCGGATTCTGCGAAAGCGAGTGAGACTGTCATTATCGAGCTGTAGCACTTCACTACCAGACCTAAAATTCTTGTGCTAGGAGAATACCACGTTTCAGCAAAACTCTCTAGCTGGACCGAGCTTCTGAAACAATGGAAGGCCACTGTCAATGCGGCCTGATCAGATTCACGACACCAACGCCCAAGCCGTCTGCAATTTTCATCTGCCACTGCACGGAATGCCGGCACCAATCGTCGTCGACGTACGGGATGACGGCCATCTTTCCATACTTCGAGATCCCACCGCCCCATGAAGGGGCCATCGCGGTGTACAGCCGACCGAACCCCAACGGGCGCACTGATGGATATTTCTGCACGAAGTGCGGGTCGCGCTTGATCCATGTCTCGGTCGGGCATGATGGCGTGCCGGAGCCGAATCTGAGTGTCAAATCGGGCTGTTTGGACGGCATGACCAAGGAGATGATCAGGGGTGCCGTGCATATTTGGACCAAGGAGGCTGTCATGGATATTCCGGAAGGGGTCGAGGCTTATGAAGAGGAGCCTGTGGGTGGGAGTTTCAAGTGAACTTGGATCGAGGAGAATGATTGTGTTTGACTCTTGCCGTGGTTGGAACATACAGAAGTCCACGGATCATTTTTCTGGATCCGGAGCGTGGAATAACCTTGAGGGTTTGGCAGGCTGATCCTGAACAATGGTGGCGTCGTCGGTCTTTTGCTTTGCTTCCATTTCTTGTTTGTGTTGCTTTTCTGCTTCGTCGTAGGCTTGCTCGTCTTCATCCTTGCGACTGCAGCACCAGCAACACATTAAAAGCCACCAGTTGACCAGTTCCATGATGTAATTTGTTGGAGAGAAAGGATGATGTGGTTTACAGGACTGAGTGAGGTAGTCTTTGAAACTTCAGAATCCAAGGTAATTTTGTGTCAGAGTCGATCTGATATATCGGAAAGGTTGTGACGAATATTTCACAAAAGATAGGTGAGTCGTCACTCACTTCATTCACAATGCATGTGAATCCATCACAGATATTCACGCAGCCTTGTGTGAATGTCATTGGCTGCTGTGACAGGGGCTGAGGCTGAGCATCAACACCTGAAACACGAGATTTCTTCAGTCACTACCAGCAAGGCAGACAGCAAATCCACCTGATGTTTGGGTTGAGCGTTGAGCGGGCGTTTGCACCGCAGACTTGCCTTGAGTGTGCTAGGGAGCACTCTGACATTAAAACATCGAGATTTTCTAAGCGAGTCATGCGTGTCACTGGTTATCCGGGAATGCTGTGGGCATTATCCTTTTCAACAACGAGGCACTGACTCTCCTGCTAATTGGATGTTATTCAAGCTGCAGGACTCACGCATGACTCCTGAAGAAAAACATTCATAGGGCAGCGTACCGATTAGCTAGCGAATGATAGATATCATTTGTACCTTTTGCAAGATCACGAGCACCAAGAAATTGTGATGGGTTAGCTGGCGCGTAAGATTCTCCGAGAGATCGATAGCCAACCCGTACTCGTCAGGCAACATCTGCTCAACCTCACGAATTCACTCGTGTTTCAAGCTAATCTGACCATAGATATATTCGTAGCCCAAACCCACTGACTCTAGGACACTCGGTATCTGGCTCGCAAATCTGAAACTGAAGTGGAAAAGATATGGGGCGAGAAATGATTGGATCGTCCTTGCTGTCAGCCTTGTTTGACTACAACGGCGAATTTCCTTGGCAGACTTTGGGGGCTAACGCGTCACGAGTCACGAGTAAGGATGAACCTGGGATGATGAGCAAGATTGAGTTTGGAAATGTCCCTGCTAGAGGACGAATCGGGGTTTCAAACATTAAACATTAATCTATATGCAGGCTTGTGTGTATGCGGACTGAAGTGATATTTCTAAAGTATATACGAGAAGTGAAGGGCGGTCATCAAGCTCAGCCCATCAAACCATGTCCTCCTCATACGTAGATGTAGCATAGGGGTCCACCAGTCGTGCTCATAACGTCTTGGTTCAAAACCGTAGATGCAAGGGTTTTAAGGTAGATGGGGTCTGTGAGTTTACCGCGGGGGCTGTTCACGGGGTCCAGTGTCGATGTGCCACCAGTGAAAGCAGTGACACGGTTCTTCGGGTCCTGGTTTTGCCAGATCCACCACGTGCGATCAATCTGTGCATGGTGGAGGAAGAATGTTGGCTCGGCGGGAGAAGCAAAAAGATCACCACCAGGATCACCATTGGTTGTAAAGTGTCCTCCAGTGTGAACACCGTAGAATCCAGAAGCGAAATCGCCCTGCATGCGGTTCTGGAAAGATCCGATGTCGTTATAATTCTTGATCAAATCATACACATCTGAGTCTTTTGTCCATTGCGAAGAGACCCAGGACGAGATATCACGACGCAGGCATCTTGGATTGTACGCGAGAGGGTCGGCATTGTGGTAGTCGATGATACCTGGTATGGCGAGAGTTGGTGCAACAGGTCCAAGATTGACGACGTAATCCTTGAAAGGACCAGTATTCACGCAACCACCTCCAGCACCTGGAGGAATACAGTTGAGACCAGTAGGCAGAGCATTGGTGCAGTTGTGTTGCTGAAACACTCCATTCCCAGACATGCTGTAGTCACTTCCATCGAAGAGAGGTGAGTTCAGTGGGTCGGAGGCATACTTTCCCCAGTTCCAGTATGGCTGATAGCCATTGTAGCCGCATTCTGTTCTCAGTGCTTGCTCAAAAGCCCAGGTATAATATCGATGCCACGCCAAGAAATTGGCGGTACCGTGGATTGACAATGTCTGGTTGATGTGGACAGCAACAAAGTCATCATACCGTGAGCGAGCGCCTGCAGCAAATGCCGGGTCCTTTGAAGGCTTGTTCATCAAGCACAATTCAGCATTGATGTAAGCTTTTCTCTCTGGCTTGGAAAGAGTCGACCATTCGCGTCGCACGGCAGCATTGAGCAGATTGCATTTCCCTCCATTGGGATTCGTTATTTGGTTAACCGCCAGGTTGACCAAGGCTTTTGCAGCCAATAAATCGGTTGACAATGTTGAGTCTGGGCAGTAGAAGCCGGCAGAAGATGCAGACAAGTCATCACGTTGAACGAGACCTGTGTCGATCTTCTCCTCCACGGGTGCTGGGGCCGCATGGACGGCACCCACGGCCAGAACAGCCGGTAGTATATGTCGAAGCTGCATAGTGGTGCTGGGTTAAAACTGGGGGCTGAGAAGTGAGAAGGAAAAAGTAGGTTGGAGAAGTCAAGTAAATAAATGAATGGACGTCAAGACCCTTGACCGAGGCTCGACTGGGAGAGAGGGGTGATTCGAAGATTGAAAACCTTGATGAGAAAGCTCCTCTCTATCGAATGGGATTGAAGTGGTTTAAGTACCACTCTTCGACCCTGGATCGTGGTCAGGTGTGGACGGGCCACGAGGCACCTAGGTAGTTAGTCTGCCACGCGAGGTCTGATAACAAGAGGATTAAGTTGTCTTTGCCCCGTCGAAACAAATGCGTATGATTCCGAAACTGGAAGGGCCATTGGGGGTTTGGAGCGAGACTACCCAGCTCTACAAGTGCCGACTATTGCTTGAGCACATAGAGTTTTCGTCTACCACGCTCTATGGTTAGTTAGTCACAACAATCAAAACACCTGATGGGTCGCAATGAGTTGAATTTGCCGCCCAAAGAAGGAATGGAGTAGGCAAAAACGGACCAATGTAGCTCTAAAGCAAACCATTGAATGGATCATTACCACTTTTGATATACCAGTCGATCATTTCGCTTCTGGAATTGTTCCAGAGAGAGAGAGATGAGTTATCCGGACGGGCAGAGTATGCATCTCGGCAGTTGAAATGGTCAATGAGGAGCCAGTGTCTTGGACGGGCGGTGGGTCTAGATGGTGGCGGAGGTTGATCTGTGTCCATGGTTATCATTATTGTTCAGTGTCTTCATGAAGCAAGGAGCAAGAATGGAGAAATTTCCGGAATGTTTATGCAGACAAGGGTTCAAAGACAAGCATCTGGGTGGGTTCAAATGGCTGAGGCTACGGTTTTTGTACTAGATCTTCAATAGGCATAGCGGATAATGAGACCTCCTTCGCACATGACGCTCCGCTGCGCTCGTGATTCTCTGTTCCACTCACCCATCACTCTCACCCACTTTGGTGCTCCGTCGTAATCCCTAGATTACTGCTTCGTACGAGGTACTCGGTACGCGGTATTATTCTTGCACTGACATTCTCCGGTGGACGACTAGGCGAATATACCCTTCTGACAATACTCTGGTCGGGGCAATGCGGAGATACGAACAGGACTGGCGACTATCGAGGTTTATTATGTCGTCCTCAAATGCAGGAGCGTGTCCACGGGCTGCGTGTCCTTCCCTTATGAACCCTGCTCACCGAGATTGGGCCAAAGTCTAATTATCCCTACACCGAATTATATACCCATCCAAAGGTGAAAACTGCTAGCTTTAGTCGATGGAGGAAAGCAACCTATGGGTTGACAGGCAAAAATGGGGCGATCGTTACCAGACGAGGGACCCAGTACTCCCTACTGAACGCATGATTGATTCAATTAGCTTGTTCAGAGAGTTCGCGCTTGAGTACCTGTACTCGTACGGAGTTCGCTTACGGGTATCCGTAATCCGTATGTCTTTCCACCAGTTGTCGTACGAGCATCGGTCTTCAACGAGTCCAAAGCCTCATACTGCGATGTCATCCTTGGTTGGTACCAGTACCTGGCTCAAGATGCATGGTTCTCGTGTTTTGTTCATTGAGCAGTGGTAAGCTCTCATTCCAAGCTATTGAATGCTATGTTTCGAGTCAAGCAAAAGGTGCCTGTGGAAGGTCCACATCTCGTAAGTCCTGAGATGGAGAGGGGCTTGTCCAAAAACCGCTAGGAGTGCTTGCTCGTTACTTGATTCCACTCTTTGTTACAGCATGCATGTTAGCGAATGATCCAGTGCACGACTAGAGTCCGCGGAAGCAGAGCATGTAGCAACTTGGTAAATCCACGAATGCACGACCGACTAAATGCAACATGCGGATATCCAAGTCAACATGGTACCTAGGAGGACCAGGCACTAATGATTCAGTGGACTGCTACTTCGAATTTTGCCTTATTAAACTGAAACCAGTGGTGCATTCTCCATGTGGCTCACTGATCGTCCGGACGTGGCGCTCTGCATTTGTTACCCTGGTTTATCCTGGCACCGGCTAGGACGAAGTTCTACTTCTAAAGAGCCGCCATTCCTTTGCTGATTGATAGGCAAGAAGTTCAAGTGCTTGGGGACCCCAACTTCTGGATGTTATAGTTCTTCCAACGTGCATCTTCCTCCTCATCGAAGCACGTCTGATCAAGACCCTAGAATGGAAATGCCAGTTCTACACTTCCTCTCGGAGCGACAGGCCGCCACGGCTACTCCTGAATACAAAGACGAATCATATGCAGGGAACTTGCTCGCTATCCATGGAACATTCTGCGCAGTGGCCATTGTCTCGGTGCTTCTACGTCTCTATGTCAGAATATTCATGATCAAAAGTGTTGGGTCCGACGACTATCTTATCGTTGCCGCCTCGGTGAGTACTATTGTTTTGTGCCGGTGCAGAAATGACCTATGGATTGGAAAACCAGCCTTGCGCTGGAGGTCACAATCGAACGCCAGCTAACGTGACCAAATCTAGGTCCTCTCCATTGCTGTCCTGGTCTGCTTCTCTGGTGAAAACGCGGCCGGTGGACTAGGAAGGCACCCGGCCCTTGTCTCGCAGGAAGACTTTTCGAAATTTATGCATTGGCGATGGTTTCACTCGTTGATCATCATGGTGGGCATCAGCCTGGTCAAGATATCAATCGCCTGCTTTCTCCGACGATTTGTCCCCAACAAGAACTATCAGCGGTTTCTGATGGGCTCAATTGTTTTCCTGGTTGCATTCACGCTGTCCTGCGCCGGGACTCTGATATTCAATTGTGGAACGAAGGTTTCGGCAAACTGGAACTTCGCACTGCGCGCTACTGGAGAAGCGAAGTGCTTCAGCAATACGACTTTTACGAACATTGGGATTTTCAACAGTAGTGTCAACATTGCTACCGATGTGCTTTTCGCTGTGCTTCCGATCCCAATCATCTGGAACCTGCAGGTGAATCTGCGTACCAGGCTTACACTTATCTTCATTCTAAGCTTGGGCGTCTTTGCTTGTGTCGCAAGTATTGTCAAGACAGTTATTCAAGCCGGCGTCCTGAGCGATCCAGATTGGACTTATCACGACTCCTTCTTCATGTGGAACAATATCGAGTTCAATATCGGGATTCTAGCAGCAACACTTCCATCGCTCCGACCTCTGTTTGCAAAAATACTTGGTGTCACTCAGCGTTTCACCTCGAGTGCCAGTCGCAACCGTCCAACCGGCTACAACGGGTACGATGCAGACGGCCTCGCCTACCACAAGCATGCTAGTACGAACCCTACTTTACGAAATAATCGATCCAAAGACTACTATCAATTTGGTTCACGTCATTCCACAGAGTTAAATGACCTTCAAAGGGGTGCCAGTGTACACGCTTATGGACGCGACGGAAGCAAGACGCCAGGCGTGACAAGCACAGTAACGGTGGGAGATAATGACAGCGACAAGATTATGCTGAACGAGCCGGAGTTTCATGCAAATGGAGACGACAAGGGGTGGAATACTCCAGCCTCGCCACCGAAGAATGGAGGCATCACGAAAACAATGACGGTGGATATCTCAAGGTATTGAAAGTCCATCACGAGCATGCAACAGACGTGAAGACCAAAATAAAAGCGGATCTCCTGATCGAGACCAAACAGTCTGCTCGACCAGTACCAGCATTGATGCGAGAGAGAAGGAGACTTGATGAGTTCACGACGGTTGCGACATGGTGAAATCAAGTCACTGTACTATATTGTTTGATAGAGGTACCTCGGACATACAGCTGTTATGATTGAATATATTGCAGATTTTGATCTTGAGCATATTTGACTTCCTCGGTCCTCAGTCCTGTCAATATGACAAGAGTCGTCTTCCAATAGCGCACTACTACCCTCCGTCGTGAATACAACACGACCTACTGAGGGTCTCCGAGCGAACTAAGAGTTGGCGGTAAGAACTGAGTTTTGGAAAGCGACAATGGTAGAACTCAAATGTCAGTTCCGCAGCCAATGCCTCGGATCGTGCGGATGCGGAGACCATGAGTGTTCCCTCTTCCGTTCGGACTTGAAGGAAGGAAGAGAGGACTCCCGCGAACATCTGCTTTGATGTGCCCAAAATTTTCACCATTATCCACCGTGCCAACTACTTCTGAATATTCTACATCGTCCAAATGCATGGCAGTCTGTCGCTAATCACAAACTGGGGGAGCATTCGCAGCATCCCTCGTGCAGTTCGGTCTTCACAATTCAAACTCTAGTCGACATATCCGCAAATCGTTATTACACCTACGGTATCTCGTACGTAAAAGCAGGAGCGTTGAACTAACTTACTACTGCGTGGAACACTTGGGGGTTACCTTCCGTCTATCCAGGACTCAACTAGCGCAACCTACTGAGGCAAGGACTCCGTGATCAGCGCACCAGGAAGTTTACCCATGAGCAAAACCTGAGCTGGGACTCTGGGAGTTGGGCTGGTAAATTATCGTGTCTGCAGGTAAGGGGGGTTAAATCGTTCATGCCCCTCTTCAATCGCCACAAAAATATGGTTTCAACCTGCATGGACCGTTGCTCGGAGTGGATAGTGAGCTACCAAGTACTTTGTAATTAAAGTTCCACCTCATTAGTAGCTTCTCTTGCACAAAGGCCATACCTACGGAGCATTATCTGGACCCTGCTTGTCCATCCAGGCGCAATGTTCCATTCAACCATGGAAGAATGACAACAGAAACCTCGTCAGGAGATATTACCTGACCGCACACGCAACACGTTTAAGACGATCAAATAGACTCAAGTCTAGCGGGCCTCGATTCTGTAAACGGCAAACGCATTTTCCTATCTTTTTTAGCGAGGATGGTGAACGCAGGAACTCGCGATTTGGGGCTAATTAAGGGTAAGCGAGAGTGCACGAGGGACAAGAAGCCTAAATGACTCGAGTTCGATGCGACGGAGCCAAAGAGACTGCAATCCCCCAAGCCTAACCAGCCTAACTTTAGGGGTTTACCTTAGGTCGAGGACACCTAGCTAGCTAGGACGGTGGGTAGATAGCCGGGAGGATTTGGCCTATTGCGTGGGCTCGCCGCAACGATCTTCTCCTGAAACGGCTTTGAACGAGAACTGAGACCCTGGCTGGGAGCCTGGCACAAGAAATAATGCACACCAAGAAGGACTTTGCGCCGCTTTGCAGGGATTCAATTCGATTTGACACAACTTTCTCGACTGCGCAAGATTAGCGGTCTCATACGAAGTAGCTGCCGCAGATATCTTGCTGCAACCATGCTACTACCTAAAATGGGAGTTAGGTAGCTTTCCGTACCTTAAAGGGTAAATTTCTAGCTAAAGTGACCTTGGAGTACGAGTATTCGCTGAAGAACAGCCCGCGACCACACTTCAAGCATAATTTCAGGGGCTATGCTTCAGTCGCATCGTCCATTATCAGAATGGGATAATCCCGGTTCAATTCTTTACTTCCTTCCCATCTACCCGGAGTCACCTTGTCCTGTCCCAGGACCACGCATAAGCGTACTCCGTACTCTACTCTCCACTCTCTCTTCTACCAAGCACTGCGATATGCACGGCGTAACTTCTGGCAATAAAGGTCAGGCTCTAAGTTGATGCATCTTTTCTGCGGTGATCTGCGAAGTAAAGTCTCGAATGACTTGCTTTGAGAGGGTACGAGGCATTTTCCACCCAAATTAGATGACACAACGTGTCCTGAAAGTATGTCAAACAGCCAGTCTCGGACCGTGCCTGCCGGATGCCGACACATCAATGATCGGAGCTCGTCATACGTGGCGAAGGAGGGCAAGGACCGACGGAAATTCCATGCATCTTGATGGAAAGTGCGGAATGAATACCTGGTAGGTCGATATCTCATTAGAACCGATATGAAACTAGCCGTTCATTAGCATCTGCAACTAACAAGATATCCCTGGAGGCATTAAAATACCATCAGCATAGCACAGTTGCATTATTATAGCGCGGTGTTGGAAAAATGAACAAGACCCTAAACCATTTACACGTGTTATGCGTCCACAATTACCCATGGGAGGTCAAAATCTCGTCCGCGCCAGATCTTCCCTGACGGTCCGCATGCATACCAGGATCAATACATCGAAAGAATCCAGATTCATGCAGATCGCAGAACAGTTCTGGTCGATGTAGCTTGTCTCGAAGAAGTATGAAATATGCATCCACATCACTGGGAGGTCGCACAGTTCGCAGCTGAGGTGCACTTTGAGCCTCTGGCTCTTTGGCATATCTCCATTCCACTTTCACTGCATATTAGCCAAGGGACAACCTCACTCTGTATCCGGCCATCCGCTCACTGTCGAATTCATTTTGTAGATGAAGCATGACCTGGGGGTTATAATAGCACTCCACCTAGAGGCGAATCCAAACCCCACTGATAAGCTTTCAATAATGGATACTCAAAACCGTTGCACCGTTACGCGGCCCCTCGTCTGCCAGAACAGTCTAATTTTTGTGGAACACGCCAAATTCACAAAGTCTTACTCCTTTGATATGTGCATCGTTTGCTGTTCATTTTCCCAAGGCCCACACAGCTGCATGCAGAAATGGATCAGAAATGTCTTCCTGTCATGGTATGCATGGTTTGACATGCACATGTGAGCACCACACGGATGCTTTTCACTCCCCAACAGGTGGCTCATCCAAGGGTTCAAAAGGACTACCAACGTAAAGTTTTCCCCTCCACTCATCCACGTGGTGGCTAAGTCCCTTCAAAGTCGGAACCCTACCACTCCTGAAGTCTGGACCTTGGAGGTGGAAGAAGATGGTATCGGCTGTACAGAGTATGCTGGCAATGTTGCAATAATCTCTCCCTCCCGGATTTCCAATCATGCAACGAGGTACCACGAATCGAGTACCCATGATGAATCCGTTCTTTTTCTCCCCCATGGACTGTGAATGTCTCAGTTCTTGCCCTGGCAGCTGAAGATGGACAGACTACCAATTGAGTCTCGAGCCGAACTGGAATCATTTCCGGATCTTTCTCCCACGCAAGCAATACCCACTCTGCGGGATACTTCCAATGCAGGACTCATGCATGCTGTGGCCGTTTGTGGATCGTATTGAATCATCGGCCAAAGGATAAGTGCAACTCCCCTAGCAGGACTGTGGCTAACTAGATGCTGGCCACGATGCGATGGGGGTAATACGTTCCAGGCAGTACGATCTTTGCCACACGCTCGTACAAATCTACATCTTGTTCTTTCCATCCTCCATCACAAGTCGCAGGCTTCCCTTGCCAGGTGTTTGCATATGCCTGGAGAGCCTTGCCACATCGATGAGTACCGCATTCGAATGTGAAGGTGTCAATGCCAATCAAATCACAGGGATTTTGGCATTGTCAAACGACTTGAACAGAGCTGACCTTTTGATTTTGCGTCTCACAAAGGACAATCTAACATGAACTCAAGACCCGTGGCCTCCACATCGCTTGACGTTGCACTTGCGATGAATCTCGAGCCAACTCTTGTAACTGACGCGAGAAGAGGAGTCTCTTTGAAGCCAATGGCTGAGTCACGCCGCTCTGACACTCACCTAGACATGGCCTCCCAAGGATTTACCTGAAAGAAGGCATACATACCAATGGCGTCACTCTCCAAGATGTTTGCCCCAGAGGCAACGGATGTCCTGTTGAGTATCAAACAGTGGAGTTGTTCAATCGCACTGGTGAATCAAGACATCACAGGATATTACGTATGAACATCAATTATGCAGTCTGTCCCTTTGCACTTTCTCAAGAACTGGTATTTGTGGGATGGGCACACTGTCGTCTGGATAATGTACCTATGGAAGCAAACTTTGGGAAGAACCAGGCTTCATTTGTGTCACTGCTACCTCGGCTTCACGACGGCGACAGTCGGCTTCGTGACGCCTTGTCGCCGTCGTCAGGCAGTGGAAAATCTAAGTCCTCACAAAAGATAACCTTTCATCCACGTTTCATCCGAGTACTTCATGAACCGTGAGTCTGCGCATCACGATCCAGTCCAGGGGACCGGAACTTGATCAAAGCTTCAGTTGCTTTGACATGATTCGCGATGTTATGAATGTAAGTTTTCTGCCGACAGTCCAGACTTGAGAACCAGCTCATCGGGCTCCTGGTCCGAGCAGCAGCTGAGGCCCGAGCGCCCACCCTCTCGGATACAAGTTGGTCAAGGCGTTGGATTATCGATCTGGACGAGCGAATCTGCCTATGATATCCTCTGGTCAGCATCCATTATGGGAAGCCTTCCCGAAAAGTTCATATACTGTGATGGCGAATCTTCCTACGGGGTGGGTGAGTTCACCACCCTGCTTCCTTGCTGCTAGTGGTACCCCAGAGCGTGGCAGTGGGTTTCGGCCTCTCGTATCCCAAGCTGAGCTTGAAGCAGCCAGCATGTTGCCCTGCTAGATTGTTCCTTCTCTTCTCACCAACTGATAACCCTTCGTTCGACTCGGAGACTCAATTTACGGTCCTGAGGCGTTGAATTCGAGGAACACGTTGGTAGATGTCATCCTACCTAGCAGACACACTTTCTTTCCTGGCCTCTTACGTTTGCTTGACTTCCCTTCATGGCGCAGTACTCTGCGGTCCCGACGAGCGAGGAAGCGGCCGACTTCCATCAGAGCTCATCAGGCAACGCTCCAACCTCGACGTTCTCCTTCGATGAAAAGCCCCTCTCCTCTGCGCAGACTCGGGTACAGAAGTGCGTTGCTTGGTGCCGAAACAATGCCAGATCATTCCTCCCCTCTTACTGTCAGGCCAGCCGGGGCGGCACAGGGAGGAAACTGCGCTCCACGGCATATCTCGACGCACTGCGCGGGTACGCCTCGGTCTTTGTGTACTTCGTGCACGTCTTCCCGTCGACCGACCAGACCAACTGGCGCTTCATACCGTTTGTGAGCACCATGTTCAGCGGCCGAGGGATGGTGGCTCTGTTCTTTGTCATCTCAGGCTACGCACTGTGCTACAGCCTGCTGCTGAGCATGTACAAGCAAGACGAGGGCCATCTCCTCAACTCCCTCGCATCGTCCACCTTCCGCCGCTTCACTCGTCTCTATGGCAGCACGGCGGTCGCTCTGCTCATTGCGTTCGCCATGCTCCGCCTCCAGCTCTACGACGGCATGTGGAGCCGCGACATCTACATGGACTCGTTCTTCGAGCAGTTTGTAGATGTCCTGCGCGATATCTGGTACAGCAGCAATCCGTTCGGGAACATCCATGACCTTGACATCGGCATCTCGGCCAAATACCTCCCCCAGACATGGACCATCCCGGTCGAGTACCGCGGCAGCGTGATGCTGTTTGCATTCTGCACGGCCTTCTGCAAAGTGTCGCCTCGTACACGCATGGCCTTCACGTGGCTGGTCATCTTCGCGGGCTTCGCGTGGCAGACGGTCTACGTCTCGAATTTCATGTTCGGGCTCTTCATCGCCGATCTCGCCATCTATCGCCAACAACGCCACGGTCTCCTCGCCGGCACCTTACCCACCAGCACCACAACTCTACCAGACACAGACACACCTCCTCCGCAATCCCAATCCTTACGGTCCAAAACCCTCCACACCCTCCTCCTCTTGACAGGGCTGTACCTCCTAGGCCAACCATGGGCCGACGACTCGCTCCTCTTCCTGAACTACCCGTGGCCGTACCTGAAGTCGTTCGCGCGATGGTACTGGAACCGATACGACGTGCACACGTTCTGGTACGGATGGGGCGGGTTCGCGACCGTCTACGCGCTGGAGTTCTACCCAGCCCTGCAACGGCCCCTGCTCGCCCGCTTCTCCCAGTATCTCGGCCACATCTCGTTCGGCATCTACCTTATGCACGTCCCGTTCGGGCTCGGCGTCAAGCGGATCTATCTCGATGTCTGGCGCGCCGAGATCCTGGGTGATGGGAATCTCGCGCTGTTTGTCGTCTTCTTGCTCACCACGGCCATTGTCTTCACCGCGGGCGATTATTTCACCATGCTGGATGCGAAGGTCGTGAGGTTTGCAAGGTGGTTGCAGGGCAGGGTTTTTGTTACTTGGCCCACGAGGCATTGATTGATGGATGGTTGAGGTTGGGAGTCGACTAGTAGGGATAGTTACAGAGGTACGGGTTTGATCGCCAGGTAACCGCGTCATCTCATGGCGTCGCTTTGGGTATCCGTTAGATTATGTGGGCAATGCAATTTTGCTGGTTTTTGTTCACATATTCATACATCAAAGTTCCAAGTTTATGAATGCATCATGTGTGTGTAAAACATTGAGTTGCTCCGAATATTTTATTTCCGACCAGTCATTAAACATATATAGTCCATAAGGTAGATACTCCGCATCATCAACCTTACAAGCTTGCCTGTAAAGGATCCTTATCTCCCTGAAGATCAGATTTACTCAACATCTTGCCTCTCCGCATAAGTTCAGCGGTCTTGGCCATGACTGGATCCCACTGCATACTCGCCAAGGCAACGACCTCGTCACCTTTCGTATAGTAGGCGACGAATTTACTGTTCTCCGGTTCGCCCTTGAGGATCAGATCGTCATAGCCATTGACTGTGTTACCGCAGTACCGCAGCTGTGTGCCAAGGGCGGACCAGAAAATCGGGATGAATGGTTTAGGTTTGAGAGTGGGTTTGGCGATCAATGCTCCGACCGTGCGGCCTTGGTTCTGCGCCACGTTCCAATGTTCGATCCGGACGGGGGAACCACCTCCGCCAGGTCCGTGGTATGGATAAGTCGCGATGTCTCCAATGGCCCAGACATCTGAGAGTCCTTTAACAGCAAAGTTCTCATCTACTGCCACGCTGCCATCTTTCTCCAGTTTGATAGCAGAGTTGTCTTGGAGATAGTCAGTGGCAGGCCGGACACCGATTCCCAGAATGACGAGGTCTGCTTCCAACTCGGTTCCATCTTTCAGCTTGACGGCACCGACGGAGCTTAGGCCGACGGCATTGGCGACTTTGGATGCAGGGATGGCAGAATCGACTCCGGCGTTCATGTAGAATTTGGCGCCGTTCTTCTCAAGAGATTTCTGGAAGATTTCACCCACTTCTTTACCCATGACACGTTCAAGTGGTACCGATTCCATCCCGATAACGGAAACAGTATTGTCCTTTGCAAGAGCATTGGCGACTTCCATTCCGATAAAGCTGGACCCTACGATCACGATCTTCTTACCCTTGTCGCCCACAGCCTCGACTATCTGTTGTGTATCCTGGACTTGTCTCAGGAGGAAAATGTTGGATAGATCTTTGAAACCAGGTAATGGTAGTTGTCGAGGGATTCCACCACTTGCCAAGATGAGTTTTGTGTATGGATATGCCTTTCCCAATTTTGTCTTTACTTCCTTTGAGGAGAAATCGATCGATGTGACGGTGTCGGACTCGAAACTGATGCTACCATCGGCATACCATTGCTCGGGTTGCAGGTAGATCTTGGAAGCCTCTGTGATCAGGGCTTTCGATAGTTTTGTTCGATCGATTGGGTAGCCTTCGTTCGAAATGACAGTGACTTTGCCTGGAAAGCCGAATTCGCGCAGTTTGAGTAGGGCTCCGAATGTACCTGAACCTCTGCCCAATTGTTAGCCCATTCCCATCAATTTTCCTTGCAACTGATGCCGCTACTCACCCTCCAACAATCACCACTTTATCATCGGAAGAGGGCTTCGTGCTGATGTTGACTTGTCGCTTTCCATCCTTGATGTCCTTCTCTTTGCCCTTGACGTAGACTGCGCCATTCTTTTCCTCGACGTCGAAGGTATGCAACGCAGTTGGACCGGGGGAGTCTTCAACGTCTCCAGACTTGACATTAAAGCATGCTATTTGAAAGATCCCGTAAGTCTCTGCCAAAAGATAATAGGGTCGACTTACCTCCATGCCAGGGACACGTCAATCGACCTTCGGGTGTGAGAACGCCATTCTTCAGTGGTGCACCATAATGGGTACAGTTGGCATTGACAGCTGATACCTTGCCGTCGACCTTGACAAGTAGTACCTTACCGCCTTCGATGCCATCGACCTCGGCTTCGACTTTGTCCAGTTCTTTGAGATCAGCAAGAGTACTGGGAGACTTTAAGCGGAACTCTTGAGCCATGATGCGTGGAGTCTGGGTGAAGGACCGGTTTTGGGTTATGGAGAGCAATGGTATGTTTAGCCTTGGATGGGTGATGGAGGTTTGGCGAATGGCAATCACAGAAGATGGTGGTAATGGGTTACAAATGGCAGTGAGGAAACGTGGGACAGAGCGGGATAACATGAAAGAATTGGAGGGGGAAAGTGTTGGAGGGGAATGTTGTGATGATGGAAGAGTATCACTATAGTAAGTAGCGAGGTGGGCAGAGCAATGAGTGGACGACGGCGATTCAGATCAGTGGCATCATATCACAGAGCGAGAATGTGTAGAGAGAGTGGGAGACACGATACCTTCTCGGGCGAGAGATGCGAGGAAGGACAGTTTCACCAATTGTATCATGACTGGGCATCTCAGCATCATCATTTCCATTTCCAGTTTAATTTTGGTATCAAGATCAAGCACGGAGAAAGCCCTCGCAATCTTCACGGTGAACAGCTCACTTGCGTCATTTCAGAAGCGGGAAGTTTCCATTTCCATTTCCATTTCCATGTCGTGGGGCGCGTTCAAGTCCCGTGTCTCGCCCACCGAATCATAGCAGCTCCATTACACAGGTCGAAGCTAGTCCTATTGCGGGCACGCGTCTCTATCTCAGATCACGTGGCCAGAATCCTCGATGTTCTTGACATGACACTCTCTTCACGACTCTGTACCCGCGCTCCGCTCATCAACGGGGTCATCATACCATCGCCTGGCAATTGTAATCCGGTATGTTGCTGCGTCCGTTCGAATTTGGCCCGATCTTCCGATAGGGCATGCTCCTCAGCCTCATCATCCAGCAAGGTCCCATCAATCTGTAATGACCATTTGTGACGGTCGTGGGCTGGTACGACTTCTGTGTCCACCACTCGGAAGTGCAAAGTACCGTCAACCTTGGTCCCGTCCTGATGGGTGAAGGTCCCAAGATCGTTTTCAACTTCAGCGTAGCTGGGCTCATCTGCTTGTCCCGTCTGGTCCTGTGAGTTACCATCATCTCCTCCTAGCCTACCCTTTCTGCCTTTCTTCCGGTGGTTTCTCATATCTTCTCTTGTTGGACCGTTCCACTTCCAGTCCGCAGGTATTCGACTGCTACCCACAGCCGTCTGGAAGTAGTTGTAGCTGACCAAACCCACGAATCCTTCTGAGCTCACGTTGGTCCATCCGTGTAGCGGATCACCTCTCTCGGGTCGGAAGACCAACAAAGTCACAGTCAACCATGCCCAAGACACTCCGAGCTCATCGGATGTTCGAGCAAGTATTTCTCCTTCCTCCTGCACATCCGCAGAATGTGGGCCGGTGAGAGGTATGTTCATGGTAGATCCAGGCTTAGCTGACAGGATCGGGTCTGAGAACCCTAGTACGATGCCTTTGGCCGGAGGGAAATAAGTGAGGAGAAGAGGGGCAATATGGGTTGCAAGGACCGATGAGCCTGCTGTTTCAAGACCGATCGCAGGTATTGAAATATAAAGAGATATCCGTGTAGAGTAAAAGCTGGTCGGATCTTCCGACTCCAGCAAGCCTTCGATCACCTGTTCCACATCTGCACCTGCAAGACCATTACCTTCGGCCGCAGTCGGAAATTCGATAGCATCTTCGTCCTGCTGTTGTTCCTCTGGTGCGTCCACAAAGTTGACATCCTCATCCGTTACAGGGGGTTCTGGGTCCGTCTCATTTTCTGAAAGCTCCGTCTCTTTTGCTCTCCGCTTCTTCTCCTTCTTCTCCTTTCTGAGTTTCTTGTCTTTTTTGTTCTTCTTGTCTTCTTCTAATCCATCTTCAACCGGAGGTGTAGCTGCGGCCGGAGACTCGGCATGACCTGTGCGTTGCCGCTTCTTCTTCTTGGAGGACTCTTTGGATTCTGCGTCGTGTTTCCTTTTCTTTGGTGTGGTTAGGGATATCGGGTCTTTGGTATGTTCGCCCTTATGACCATTGACTTGGACCGACATGATTTTGAAAGGGATAGAGACGGGTTGTCGAATCTCCTTTGCGCCCAACTACAGTCCCATGATCTACAAAAGTTGACCTGCTCAGAAAAAAAAGTCGTCGGCATGCGGGGAAGCATTTCCCCGACAGATATCTTGGCATTGAACGGCTTGCACTAGTTCTACTTTGATACAAGTTTGGCTGCTTTAACGAATCACTTTTGTTTTCTTCCTCCCTGGGGCATATCTTGTGAAACACCTAGATACAGGAGACCAGAGCTATAAGCATGATGCACGGTACCTAATTACCTAAGGAAGGATAGACCCTCACCTTGGGCCTTTGCGCTTACGACCTTGGATCGCGATCTACTGACCGTACTCCGAGTTCCTGCAGTTTCACTCCCAGTCAAATTCGCCATACATGGCATTCCTCCACTCGCACATCCCTCGCAATTCAGTCTCGCTGCCATAAAGCACCGTCATGAAGACTCTGTCAGAGATGAGGTCTGGCTCGGAATGGATGGGGCTCTCTTTACGGCCCCAGCTAAACCGAACAACCTCACCATCCTTGACTTGCAATTGAGGTGCTTCTTCAAGTTCTTCATACAGCCAATACCGCAAGGCCTCGATTGCCTGGTCCTCTTCTTCCTCGGTGGGCTCATGATTGTTACTCGTTTGAAGCCACCAATAGTGCTTGAATTCTCCTTCATGGAACGTTCTGAATATCTGCGTGTCCGGGTGTAGCATCAATGTAGTTGGCCCAAGCATCGTGAGTGCGTATTTGCTCCGCGTAATGTCTTCGCGTCCTTCGTCGCACGGAAACATCCGGCCATCCTGGTGCCATCTCGGGACTTCGAATGCATCGGATGGCGCGGTGGCGCGGATTGTGAGCCAGCACGCGTTTTTCTGATCCGCATCTCCAACACAATCGTTTTGTGTCGCGAGTAAGAAAGACTCAATTGTCGACACCGCCTCAGTCTCCACGATGTCAGTGACAGAGGCCAGAAACTTGGACGCCTCTATGGTGATGGAAGACTGAACGGACCCATAGTAATTCAGTGCTTTCTGCTGTTTCACCGACTTGATCGCGGGAAGGATGATAGCCGCTGACAAAATCGAACATGGTGGCTGTTGAGACATTGCGAAAGCTCCGACGGAATGTATTCGCAGTTCAAAGCAGAAACCCTGAAGGACGTGAAGACTCGGTCTTTATCACCCACAGGCGTCGTGCATCTATTTACACAGGCAGCGTCAAAGAGGTTAGGTGGCTTAGCCACGCATCTACCTGCCTTGGTTTTTACCCACTGCAACCCATGCTAGTTAGTGACTCAGTTCTGAGTCAGTCAATTGCATATATCCGATACGAGGCTTTCATTAGACTGGTACTTTAGCCATTCGGCAGCGTTAGGGCTGGGGGCTGAAGAATTAGCGACAACCTTGACTCGCACCGCCACTCTGGGTGGAAAAATGGGTATCTGGGTCGGCAAACTTGTCTCAAGGATTGAGCTTTATCACCTTGAAACACGTTTTGTCTGAAAGCGTCGCCTCTCATCAGGTACATTGATGGGTAAAAATGCAGAGCGTGCTTTGGATTTGGGAGTCAATTATGATGCAAGCAGGATTCGGTTGACGGGTGGACCTACCCATTTAATCGCACGTTTAGCCGCAGGGTCTTTTGAAAATTGAACTGCTACTCGTAGGTATGCAAGCCAGGCACCTGCCAAGATCAACCACTATCAACTTCCCATTTAATCAGTCTGCTCTCTAGATACAGGTTACACTGGTACATTGTTGATGATACCTGTCAGATGTCGCGCCGGTCACACAGGAAGTCCAGGACAGGATGCGACGAGTGTAAAAAGAAACATCGAAAGGTAAACAATTTGTCCATCGAGATCTTTACTCCTCCTGGGGATGCTCATGTCCCTACTTCATAGTGTGATGAAGATCGTCCGATATGTGCCAATTGCCGCACAGCAGAGATCCGATGCTCCTTTCTCGATCAAGATACATCGTATCTCGTTCCCGCGCAGGCGAGCGCTCGCTTCAATTCGCGGCCGACGAGTGCCTTGTCCAATGAAATCTCTAATAACAGCTCACCAAGTCAGCCTCAAGGACTTAAGGAACCATCCGATCCCTATGCTCTTGACATGACCCACCTTCGAATCTTCAACAACATTTATAGTAAGGAGTTCCTGTCCTTCGAGCCTCAGGATCAAATTAGCATTGTGTCGTCAGTCATCTTCAACAAATATATCCTGCCGACACCATATCTCATGCATGAGACACTGGCCTTCTCAGCCTTGCATATGAGTATTCAAAGTCCACACAGCTGTGGATTCTACCGAGACTACGCCACTGGCCTTCAAACGCGGGCATTGGCACTATTCAACGATAAATTACCGGTATTGGACCTCAATCCAACCAATTGTACACCTATATTTCTCTTCGCATCGTTTCTCGCCGCACACCTCCTCAGCGACACTCTCTATCACGAAACGATCAACCTTGATCATTTCATTGAGAAGTTCACGCACTGTCTCACCATCCATCATGGAGTCACGGCCATTACAAACCAGTACTGGGATCTCCTTCGAGAAAGTGAACTTGGACCTCGCCTAAATCTCGGTGCAGAGCTAATGCGAGAAAGAGACGTCCCTGGATCAGAGTGTGCCGCGCTGAAGGACTTAATTGATGGCGCCCCGATGCACCCAGACTTACAAAAGATATATCACATCTCCATCGTTCAGCTTCAAAAGGTTTTCGATGCCGAGCAGGCGTACCCTTCAGCCCAGTTTGACAGCCAATTGGTATCCGCCTGGCCTATCATGATCTCTCCAGAGTACGTCGATCTGCTCAGGCAACAAGCACCAGAAGCTCTCATCATTCTGGCGCATTACGCCGTACTGTTGCATCGGTGCCGAGACTCGTGGCTATATGGAGGAGGTGGAAAGTTCCTCCTCGAATCTATTTGCTCTCGGCTGGGGGACGCTTGGCACCAATGGCTGAACTATCCAATGTCAGTTTTGTTGGATGAGCATGCTAGCTGATGTGGTGGGCGTGTGTCCGCGACCCTCTCCCATCTGTGCCACCTCATCACTAGGCTACAATACACCACTTACAGCGATCGGCACTCCAGCCTCAAATTGTGATGATTACCTAGGTAATTTGTCCAGCATTGATTTCATCAGGCTTCCTCCAAACCCTCCATGCACAGTGCTCGAACTGAAGTTATGTAAAAGGCCCAGGCATAGGACAACCTAAGGCCACCTCAGGCAAGCCGGGTGTACAGCACATCAGCATGGCCATTGATAACGCTGAGTTTCTAGCACTGCGATTTCACTCACTGGCAGGTTCAATTCCCCCAGAGCTTGGCATTTCGGCAATCTCAGATTCTCCTGTTGATGACGCAATATTCCTCCCCCAATATTTTGTTGATGTTCGGAACCGCGAAAACATCACATACGGCAAGAAAAGGGAAACATTGCTGCCTGAAAATTATTCGGTACATTCCCGATAGCACCGACTGCTTTCTTCCCATGCCGCCAATGGCAGAGTGCCTTCTCGGATTTTGACGCGGCCGCCATGTTTCGGCTTGTACTGAATTGAGACGAAGGTCCACATATGCAAATGCCAAATGGGGTTTGGCTTACGCGGGTTCTAATACGGGTGGCAAAGCCATGTCTGCTGTACAAGGCTTCGGAGCGGACCCCTCGTTGGCAAGGACAACAATCTCCGCTGCTAATGACACGTTCAATAACTCTGCAGCCTATGTATCGGTTAGACATAAAAGGCTGCTTCTCGCTCCTAGAATCGCAGCACTTGCCTAGCTCTGCAAGCTCGAATTGTGGAATAGTCCTTTCTCCAGTACCAAAGCCTTGTGACACAGGATATCGACGAAAATCATCAAGCTCAAGATGCCTCAACTCAAACCGTTAGTTGGAACAGACTACTACCTGTGGAAATATGTTCCATCACTGGCAGCCGCCATTATATTCGTCTTACTCTTTGGGGTTATCACGATTGCTATCTGTTGGCGAATGTTCAGAACAAGATCCTGGTTTTGTATACCATTTGCCCTGGGAGGAATATGTACGTTACCATCATTTTGCTCTGAATGTATCGGCGGTATCACTAGCTGACAATCATTAATACGCAGTGGAAATCCTTGGCTACGGCTATAGAATCCACGCACGCAGCCAGACCGATAAGGTAGTACCTTATGCCATCCAGAACAGTGGAATCCTTCTTGCGCCGGTGTTCTTCGCTGCCTCAATATACATGGTTCTGGGCCGGACAATTCGAGCTGCGGGTGGTGAGCGCTTCTCTCTAATTCGACCGAACTGGTCAACCAAGATCTTCGTATCCGGTGATGTGTTATCTCTTATGGTACAAGCTGGTGGTGCTGGCATGATGGTATCATCTGGCAACCAGAACTTGGGTCAGAACATGATAATTGGTGGTCTCTTCATCCAACTCATCGTCTTCGGCTTCTTCATCGTGGGCACTGCCATTTTCCATACAAGGATGAAGCGACATCGTGGACCAGGGCTTTCTGGGAGAGGATTCGTGCTGTGGAGGAAGATGGTGAACATGCTCTACGCATGCAGCGTCCTCATCGTCATCCGCTCAGTCTTCCGTGTCATCGAGTATATTATGGGATCGGATGCATACCTTCTCTCGCACGAGTGGACGATGTATGTCTTTGACGCAGTATTGATGTGGGGTGTCATGGCCATTTTCTTTGTCTATTTTCCAGCTGGCCTGCAACCCCCAAAAAACGACAACGAGAGTTTGGATCTGGGAGGTCACCATCTGATATCTCATCGCGCACAGAAGCCATGATCTGGAAAGAGATGGGAACCACTGGATCGGATTGACGTGTCGGAAACAGTCCACGCAACAGAGAGGCTCCTCATTCCGAAAACATAACAAGCTCGTTGAGCGTTACTTATTTCCATCATTACTTCTCAGCACTGACGATATGCCTGCAGCGTCTGTTGCAGCCGAAAACAGACATTGGAATGAAAATGACAGATGAGAACTTTGTCGCCGCTTTGAAGAAGTAGGTGTGCACCTTTTTGCTACCACGGCGGAGCACAGACTATTAACCAAGGATTTCACATCTTTTCTTCAATATGCATATCAGCACCTGCCTTACTAGGTGGCCGATAGAATATGTCATGAATGGAGGCAGGTCCACACTCACCCATGCGTTGCACTTTCCGCAACGAATACTAGCGAAAGAGTGCATCAAGAACCTTCCTGGCAATTGGAATTGAAAACATCTGCTCCAAAAACATCGACAACGATCCCATTTTCCATCAAATATCCCCCCAATTCTTCATCCACGCATTTCTTATTGGCGATCTTCTTGAGTACCGTCACTTGCGCAGTCACACATCTCCATTCCTTTACCGATAGATACTCTGCTAGAGAATGGAGCTCGGTCCATTTCCCTCCCTGGAGTTCGGAACACAGCTATGAATTATCAACAGGAGAGAGATGAGTTGAGACACCAGGCAAACCCTACACCGCGACAACAGCTCTTGAGCCTACAGCGTCACCTTGTAAAATTCTGTTTGCTCTGCTTCTTGATATACCTCACGTCGTCGGACGATTCGAACTCAAAAAGTTACCTGTTGCGCAGATGGGTGGTATTTCTAGCGAACCTCGTCAACCTGTCGGAAGTCTCGATGCACCTTGCTGGCTTGATGTTTGACTTCGGGAGTCTTCATGTGTTTGGCAATCATGAAACCACGTTCATTGCCACCGTTGGTGCTCACCTCGTGGTCACTTTGCTGGCGGGTTGAAGGGTAAAGTCTCAATAATATATCCCGAGGAGCCGAATACGTTTAACCATGCAAATTACATACTATTGAGAGTGGACACACCAGCCTTCATCTAATCATCTCAGCGGCAGAAAAACTTGCCTAGAAAGCTATAATTTTGAGACGTGGAAAGCTGTGCACCGTCACGTCCCTTGTGGGAATATGTTCAGACATTGTCAACAATCACGTACTTGAAGAGTGAAAAGCCATTGCCAAAGTTCAACAGCGTCCTTGGAGTAGCTCTCATGAATGTGCTAGACTGAGAGGGTTCTCAAAGTCCCGGAGAAATTGCCATCGACTGTGCTCCTTCCATCCTTTCGCTTTCCATTCATTGGCCTTTTTGGGGAATATATCCACATAGTCGATCAGGGTGGTATCGTGTGCTCCAACAACAAAAATGTTCTCATCCGCGTCGAACGACTGAATTTTCGTGATGGTCTCTCTCGCAGCATGCTTGTCAAGGGCTAGGGAACTCCCATCCTCTTTCTCAGATATCGAATAAAAAGGAGTCGCTTTAGGATCGTCATGCGCTTTGGCATATCCCGGATCCACTTGCGAAGACGGATGGATCTTGTGAAACAATTCTCCAAGACATGGGAAAGGGCTGAAGGAGGCAAGTTTGACCTTCTCGGGCAAGGGGTGGTACTTGTGCGGACGCAACTCACCGGCGTGGTGGAAAGAATCTGCTCCCAAGTAAATAAAAGTGTCTGGCTGGCTTGTAGTCCGTAAGAGTGCGTTAATGTGGCCTGGTGCATGGCCTGGTGCCGACAGGAAATAGAAACTACCGTCGCCAAAGTAGTCGAGTGCATCCATATCCCCGATTTTGAAGGGCCTGGACGTGAAGTCTAGCTCGGTAACCTTGCGTCCCAAGAATTCACGCTCTAATATGATAGATTCCGGATTACCAGGATATCCACCCTTTTCACTGGCCAAAACTCCTGGTCCGATAATCAACTCGGTGGTTGGAGGGAATAAGGATGGACGCCCAACATGGTCCAAGTGTGGGTGGCTAGATTACTAGAGTCAGAGAAAAAGGTTGATCGATCCAATGCGAAACTGACCTCCACACCATCGCGTTGATCGTATTCAAGTCGACGCCCGCGTCGGAAAGAATTTCCGAGACATATTTTGTGATATCATAGGTGCAGTTGAACGTCGTTACCAGGTCCCATTGCGAAGGTGCAAGGTCATGCTGTACATCCTTGGGCATGCCGAGGTCGAAAAGCACTCTCGACACCTTTCCAGCATCGTCTGTGTGCTCAATCAAGAAGGTGAAAATAACTGCATTGATTGTTTCGAAGCCTGGTATATCCGGGCCCATGAAAAGGCTAACGGGTAAGCCGTTAATGTTTCCTGAGTCGATAATTGACACCTGAACGGTACGGCTGGAGGCAGGCACGTCGATAGTCGGTGGGGTTGCCGGAGAGGCCATTTTCAGTGATGCTGATATAGTATTTTGAAATTTGTTGTATACACAAACGTTTTCTGCAACCGTCTTTTGAAGTCGAGCTTGTACTGGCAGAACTTATGCAAGTGTACAAGGAAACTATATTTAACTGAAGATAGTGGGCTGGTAGTGTCTCGTTACACACATTTATAATCCACAGAAGTAGAGGAGCTAAGCCCCGCGGCGAGAGAAGATCGGCAAGCCGCGAATCATAATTCTATCTGCCGCGGCCCGTTGGCAATGTTGCAACTTTTTCACCTGCTTGCTCTATCTGGCCGCAAACGAAATGGTCGTTGAACTAGGAAATCTTGTGAAGCGCAGAAAGGAGCCTTGGAGAATGCTTAAGAGCGTGCTCAGAAAAATTGATCCTCCATGCGATCCAGCGCTCAACGATCAGCTTGGAGCTTACTGCCGTGAGCAATTGTCAAGTGCATCTGACAATACATTTTAAAAACCTATGTGACCCCTATTGCCCTTTATACTCACCGGACTGTTTGAGATCCGCGAAAACGTCACTTGCAACAAACAAGGCATCCCTCCCAGCTGGTACGCCACAGTAGATCATCGCATGCCGGCAAGCCTCACAAATCTGTTCCTCCGTCAGGCCGTTGCGGTACGCAGCTCGAATATGGATTTTTAGCTCAGGCTTCCGGTTCAACGCGATCAACATGGCGATGTTCATCAACGCACGTTCCCTGAATTCCAAGCCCGGTCTCGCATATGCTGAGAAACAAACTTCGGCAATGAATTCGGCGCTAGTCTGAGTGAAAATATCGTCTCTCTGTTCATGCCGCTTGGGAGTTAGCCATCGTTATACAAGGATGGTCAGCAAGAGTCGGTAGCTACGAAGGGCTTCTTATCGAGAGACATGATCATATCCCTCGTTGTTCGATGATATATGCAGTGAAGGGAATATGTCACAAGTTTCCCTCCATGAGTAGATCATAGATTGGATGCTGATAGAGAGTGAATGACACGTACAACATCTGCATTGATCTTCTGAAGATCAGACTCCCCGACGAACTCTTTGACCATCTGGCGTCCAATGAGCAGATTCTCCGAAGGCTCTGAATCACTCGACATTCTTGTGGCCCGCGAGTTGGGACGCTTACGTTTGGCCTTCTTGGAACCAATTATTGGGGGAGGTGAAGTTGAGTTGATTTCATGCAGATGGAAGCACAAAGTGGCTTTACTTGTAACCGGGGGTTGAATGTGTGCCGCTCAAACTTCTCGCTAAGGCCCTTCTTTCTCAGGATTCATTGGCCGCCAAGAAAGAAACATTCAACAGTATTCACTTCGGCCGGTGTAGCAGTCAGTTGTATATTATCCCACTGAGCAAATGAAGTAGTTGGTTGACAGAGTAGCCTCGCCAACTCAAGCCTTTTCGAATCTCTCCGAGAACTACCGGCCGCGGGTTGTCCAGAAATAGCTAATAGCCACCATGGTGGAGAAGATCGGCTAGATGCGTTAAATAAAGGATCTCAAATTGGACGGTTGCCGGGCGAGTCACCGTGTCATTCCATGAGAAACGGCGTCGTTTACCTTTCTCGGCTGTGCCTCCACAATGAACGGGTGTTAAATCTCAATATTAGGGTTGGAGGTAGCCTTATACGCCCGTTTCTCACGAGAACTACATGCTTTACACTTAGTTGAGAGCCGAAAAGCAGGCCTAGAGATGCTGTTGGTCAAATCTTCGCAAAAAGGTGTAAAGTCTCCGTTTTCTATCAAAGCTTTGATCGATCGAGGTCTTACATAGACTGATTTCTGCAGAATGTAGTTAGACCATTCATCGCGAGAATAGAGGTGCAATTTCTAGAGCGCCAACATAGCCAAACGCAAAAGCCTCAAAGTGTGAAGCTAAGCTGTGAGCAAGGTATGAAATTAATGGATTGCTTGGAGGGCTATCCTAGCATTAGGGTTGAGGAGCCCGCTATATTCACCTAGCTATAGGTGGCAGAGTGCCCTATAAGAGCGTGGCGCACTTTAGGTGGTGGTGCACCTAGATCTCTCAAACAGACTAGGTCTGTACTAGGCGAGACATGTTCGACAATGGTGAACTTAACTTGTAGCCATGATAAAATAAGCAGCTCCATGTGTCGATTTCATAACGCTCGGTTTGAAACAATTCTACGCTGCCACTAGACAGAAATCGTTGTGCCCAGAGTGCCTAGGCAGTACGAGCTTGTCCACTGCGAATTTACATGTAAACCAGATATACCAACCTGTTTAACCTTGGAGTCTATCGCAATCACACCTTCTCAACGTGGTTCAAATCAGGAACCTTGTTTTCAGTGGTGACTGATTGAGCGATATCTTGCGGAAGGGCACTGTCGACTTGATGGCTGGTTCCATAAAGCTCTCCACGATCACCGAAGATGTCGGCAACTTCTTCCAGAGGTAAGCCTCTTGTGTCTGGAAACCAGAGGAACATCCAGACTGCCCCAATTGTCCCTGGGATGATGAAGCAAAGATAGAATTTCCAACCAATGTTTGCAAACGCAGTCGGTGCAGCTTGAAGCCAGATAATGTTCATCACACAAAGACCGGCCATGCCTAGCGCAATCCCTTTCGCGCGAAGGTGGGTTGGACAAATCTCGGATATGTATACAAATTCTGTACCATCAAGGCAAGCCTGGAACGATGTAATATGCACAAACAACATGGCCACTGCGGCCCTGAGTGCTGGTTGGTTCGGTGTGAGCAGCGCCTTTGGAGAGGCATATGTCGCGACCAGAGCAGCCTCGCATGCAAGACAAATCAGACAGAACTGGATGCCGAATGCCATGAGCTTGGGACGGGGAAAGTGCTCCACAAGTAGAAGGGCGACAAGTGAAGCGCCCACAGAGGTTGCGAGCCAACCAATTTGGTAGATGAATTGTTGGTTAACATTGAATCCGAGTGCGCCATAGATGGTAGGACCATAGTTGTTTAAAACTGGTGTTATTAGCATGTACTTTCCAAAACTTTTCAAAGAATCTTACCAAGTGGGCCTGTCATTTGAATGCATGCTACTGTTCCGAACGAGAGAATAGCTCTCTTTCGATAACTTGGTTGTTTAAGTAAAGCCAAGTAAGAAGATGGCAGCGTTCGATCAATCCTGACCTGGTATTCAATCTGGACCAATTCGACTTCGGCCTCCTCGGGGCTATGCAGCTTTTTCAACACCACTGCTGCCTCGTCACGGCGGTCTTGCATGAGAAGCCACCTAGGCGATTCTGGCAGGAATGGCAAAGCCATGAGGAGCAACACTGCGGGAATAATGTTGACAGCTTGCAAACCTCTCCAGGATGCGGAGGTATTCCTCAACCAGAACCCATATCCAGTGGCAGCTGCCGTCATGTAGCCGATGAGAAGCATAGTTGCGTGAAGATCAACAAAGATGCCTCGCACGCTGGGAGGCGCCACCTCACTGATCCAGACAGGGACCGCGGACACCAGACTGTATGCTGCCATACCAGCGAAGAATCGGAAGGCGATGAACATCTCTATGTTGACGCTGCCGGCGAGCAGTGCCGCACAGATAACAGTGATGGTTGTTGGGATTGCGATGCCGACCCGGCGGCCCCAGCGGTCTGAAAAGTAAGACATCGTGAATGTACCAATGAGCCCGCCAACTTGATACATGCTGCCAGTAAGACCGATCAAGTCTTTGGCGTCAGTTCGGTCAGCCAGACCCATTGATGCGATCCAACCAGGTTGGACAAGAGTCGTGGAGATGACCGAAGCAGAGTAGCCATATGCTATAGATCCAAGACCCATAACGAGAATATAGACAACATTGATCCATCGGAACTGTCGTTTCTCCGAGTGATGGAAGAACAGCTGGGTATTACCCGGCTCAGAAACTGCCACAGACATAGCTATTGTAGGAGACAAAGTCAAAATATCAGCTAAATATTAAACAAAGGCGAAGGAGCCAGATTTTGTCACGGCGGGAGTATCAAAGAAAGAGACCTCGAGCGTGAGGACAGCATGAATCTTTATAGTCGTGCCGAAAGAGCTTCCAAGTTATCACAACCGCTGGTCATTGTGGCGTGTCATCAACAACATGGTTTGAGCCTGCCGATCAGTAGGGCTGGACTCACTCACGCCAATTCCTCCGCGGTCGAGGCCTGTTACACTGGGGTTTCTCTTGAGGTCGAGACCGATGTCAGCGTGAAGTCTTCCGACGAGCACGAGTACAACGGGGGCAATTTCGTGTTAGCATTCCCATGTGGAGGTTTAGCGTCCATGTGGACTTGGAGCCTAGGTGAGGCTAGGCGAGTTGCGGGGGTTGTCAAAACAGCCAAGTCTGGGGTTGGTGTCAATGCAAATCCATGATCAATCCCCAAGATGGTTCAGTGTCGCTCATCTGCTAGAAATTGGCCATGAACTTTCTCGTGCTAAGGTGTGTATGCCGCGGCCCAGGCGTATTGTTGTGGAGTACTTACTCTACACAAGGCCGAGACCGGGGCCGCGGAAGGTAGACACGGCTCAACGTATGCGGCTAGTAAGGTCGAACTGATAGCGCTAGTCCGTCCAGACCATACTTAGCAGGCCAGGGAGAGGGACTTGAAATCCTAAAGGCGTCGATATATTGAAAAATAGTGTCAACTTTAAAGGCATGCCTGAAGCTGCGATATTGACCCATCGATACTTCGACTGCTGGGGTGACACAAATCTTTCCCAGGACATAGGTCTGCGGTCGTACCACCTGCCATGAGGGATGCTTGTTCTCTCGGACACTTAGTAATCGCTACTACTGAGGATGAAACTCCTGCATCGAGAGCCTGAGGAATCAGGTAGAGTTTTAAGTGAGCATTAAAATCTAGTTGTATACTTCGAGGCTATCTACTTTTGTTATATTTCAAGCAGTAAGAAGTGTTAGAGTTTTAGGTGCACCGCCACCTAGAGTACGCCACACGGCGTACTCCAGAGTGTCCAGCCACCCGTCTTATACACCCTACCACCTGTAGCTAGGTGTATATAGCGGGCTCCCTAGTCCCAAGGTTACAGGCAGCGCTTAAGTATTCAATTCACTTTATACCTTGCTTATAAGAAGGTAATTGATAAGTATTTTGAAGGAAGTTTTTCCTACGATCGAATAGTCTTTATATTTACTACCTACAACTTAGACTCCTAGTTAGATAGCAATTTAGCCTCAATATTCTAAAGCCATACACAACAAAACCCTTCGGGTTTACCATAGACAATGATGTCTTCTATAGAATAAAGTATTTCAGATCAGGAGTATCGCCCTTCTTTCGAAGTACCATTAACGCTATATTGACACTTCCCTTTCATGAGACAGCTGTACTCCGCTGGATGACCATTGTCTTATTCTCCTAAACATTTGACAATTCCGTAATACCAAAGCTTCGAAATTCCTGCAACGATGCAATACGATGTGGCTGGATCTCTTCGTTGTACTTCTTGTCGACAAGGACAGACTTGAATGCCTGCCAGGACGCGTATTTGACAATAATGATGAGATCCCAGCTTTCGCCTTCTTCGGGCACAGCAACGATCTGGGTATGGGCTGTGCCCAGGAAAATCATGGAGACTTCCAATCCCATCTCAGTCGCTCGCTCGACGAACATGTCTTTGTATTTGACATAGGCTTCTCGCCCTGTCATGCTATCAGACCTCGGGCCCCTGTAATTGCTCGCGTATCTAGCGTGTGGCTTGAAATTCATCAAGTTCATCATGATATATGGCCTGTCATTCGGGATGACACTGGTGGCAGCCTCGAGGTCGCCCAGATAAAGCTCAGAATTGGTGGTTGCCATTGCGCGCTTGTATAACGTGCTGTGTTATTGCTCTTAATTATAATACGAGGTAAGAAGAAGCTAACGTCGACGAAGATATCTTGCAATATGGAACATGCTAAGATCAACAACGTCTCTCAGCGTCAACACACTAGAGGTTTGTAATTCGAAGCCACGACCATTGATTTATACCGTACTAGGATGTTGATTAATTACCATCTGGCCACCGAGTGAAAATGAATGATTGCTCGGCAAAACCATCTGGAAGTTTGCATCGGAGAATCAGTCGCCACGGTTTACGGCATCGGTTGCTCGAAGGATCGTAACGCGGGCGCTGTTAGTTGCAATTCTTACAATGGCTTGATGAAAGTCCCTGATTTGGCCGACTTCAGTTAGGCTAGCTTTGATATTACTTGTGTTTGGTTGGGAACCGCGGCCTTTCAGACCACCTCGTGGCAGTGAATCCACTGTCATCATGGGGAAAGCGCACTTTCTCTTGCCTTTGTCAGCTGGACCATTGAAGCCATGGCCCATGGGCGCACGAAATTTGCAAGAGAGTATAGTTTTGCTCGGATTGGGCGCTGGAGCCCCGTGTGCGGATTTCTGGGCCAGGCTTGTTCCTTCTTGATCCCAGGGAGTTCATGAACGGGAGCATATTCATGCTAATGTCTTCTTGTACCCGATAGCCCTTTGTGCTCGCAACCGATCATATTTTGTCTGCCCATATCAACAACCTCCCTGTGCTACAGGCATTGTCTCGAACGTACCAGAAAGAGGGGTTGGGCTTGAGTGTATGAGGAATCCATTCCATTGTTGTCTATGATCAAATCTATATAGTTCGAAAGAAGAGGTGTTCCGGCTACACCAATCACTAGAGAAATTGGTCATCCTGAACATGGCTTCAGCCTTTCCACTCAACCTATGCTTCGTGTGATTTGTGTTTAATAACTCCAGTCTGCACCTGCAGGCACCATACTCCTGGAAAGCACTCATGGCGCCTTTGCGCCATATTCACGTTCTCCCACTGCCTCGTACCAATCCAGGGCTCCAAAAGAAGTGGCCTCATGAACCATGAACGTACCATCATCTGCGCCGTGCCAATGAACCCCTCCAGGCTTGCACCATACCACATCTCCTACCCCAATACGTTGAGGAGCTTGTCCTTGGTCGCATACCCATCCAGACCCAGCAGTGACTTTCAGCAATTGGCCCCCTTCGTGGCGGTGCCAATTTGTCCGGGCTCCAGGCTGGAAATTGACGTGCACTACGGTGATGTTGTCCCCTTTCATCACCGGATCCAACCAGACCTTGCCTGTGAAGCAGCCCATCTGCTCAGAATCAATCGAATTTGCGCCCGCAGTTCGGCCATGCCGAGTAACCAACGAAGTTGGGGTTTGGATCGAGGTATCCCTGGACTTCAGGTCAACTTTGGCCGAATAAGACATTTTGCTGAGAACGTCTGCTGATGGAAAGAACAATGTTTGGTGAAGCTATGCAGCACAGTGAACGGTGAACCTATGCTGTCTGTCTAACAACAAAGCTTACGCCCGATTTTGTAATTTGCTAAGTCCCACTTATACTTTTTCCATCTATTGCAACCATTCGGGCCGCGGCTCGAAGCCAAAACGTTTGACGGCCAGTTACCTCAAGCACCTGACACTGTGTCAGACCCCGCGCCCTGAAGGGCCCGCAATGACACAACAACAAAAAGACGTATTGCAATGAGGAGAATCCAGATCCCATCAACAAAACACAGGTATTAATGTTCCTCAGCCCTTTGATCAACCCAAACATCTGTGCTAACCGAGTCTGAATAGTGTATACTGAGACGATCGTCGTGAAGACAATTGGACCTTCCAGGTGCTGGAAAACTTATTACTCATTACCTCCGGTCGTATCCTAGCCTCACATTTCTACGATTCTGGCCCACTACAGTCTGTAAGCCGGACCACGTGAATGCATGTATCATCGTACTCAAAGAGTAGATCTTCTTACCGACTCCCAGTAACAGGAATGGCGGCCAAAGTACCAGCAACAATGCTTGCATGGCAGAAACATTTCCCCAGCAGACAGCCAGTGAGTGTTCAATTTCAGTTGACGTGGCAGATAGATTGTGATTGTTCATTTATCGCTATGGGCGACCATCTAAAGGACATGCGAATACAGGTTCGCGTAGAAGTTCCCGTCCCAATCCCAGTCAAAGACGAGATACTGGTGAAGATTCATGCTGCAGGTGGTGAGTGCCCCAGCAGAACGCTTTTCTGCTCCAAATATCTGAGACTGAGCTGAAGGTGCCCAGTATGTCATAGTGATGTTGCTCTGCGGGACATGGAAGTATTGGCCCCGGAGTGGCCGCAAGCAGAGTCCAAATTCACCTACGTTGGTGGCCCATCCTTTTACTGTTTGGGTCGAGGCGAAAGCTGCTTTGATACTCTTTCCTTGTATTCGGTTTCGAACAGAGACTGATGCGCAACATGTTCTCGATTAGGGTCACGAAGGCTGCGGTGAAGTGATATCGATGGGACCAGAGGCCAATTTATTTAAGCGTGGTGATATTGTCGCAGTGATAATAGTGCCTGGGTGCGCCGAAGCTGACTGCTCTGAGTGTGTGAGTGGCCTGCCTCAGCTTTGCCGACAAGGGCCACGTTACGGAGGTGGACAAGATGGATTCTTTGCGCCATATGTCAAGGTCACTGAGAGAGCAGCCATCAAGTTACCTCCAAATGTCAGCGTGGCTGCGGGTGCAGTGGCAACCGATGCTTGCATGACGGCCTACCACGCCGTTGTTGGTCGTGCCCGCGTCACACGTGGTGAGACAGTTCTCATCTTTGGTTTAGGTGGCCTAGGATTCAACGCCTTGCAAATTGCGCTCCATCTAGGGGCACGAGTGATTGTCTCGGATAAGCGACAGGCTGTTTTGAATGAAGCTAAACGCATTGGTGTCAGAGATGAAGATATAGTTTCTCCCGATACTGAGGAAATCGGTGAATGGATCCGAAACAGAGAAGTGCGAGTGGACAAAGCCATCGACTTCGTTTCAGTACCAGCCACTTTTAGCGCGGCAACTGACAGTGGTAAGTCGTTTTTCTGTCCATGATTCCGTGTCAGACAAGCAGTCTTACCTTTACGGACTTTAGTGCGCCTGGGCGGTACTGTTGTCAGTGTAGGACTTCTAAGCTCCGAGCTGAATATAGCAACTTCGAAGATGGTCAGAAGGGAACTTACAATCTTGGGAAGTTACGCCGGGACTATTTCTGATGTAAAGGCGTGTTTGGACTTGATATCTCAGGGCCACCTTGTCCCACAGGTGGAAGAAGGAAGTATGGGAGATTTCCCAACTATCCTGGAAGATTTACATCATGGAAAGTTCAAGGGTCGAATAGTGCTGATTCCAGACAACGATGTCTAAAGTCAAGACTCCCGAAGCAAATTCCGTCTGCTATGTAGTGTTGAGGCTAGTCCCAGAAATTGACTAGCATAACTTCATATTGTCAGCTCAACTTCGATTGAGACATAGAGATCACGCTCAAAAAGTCAGGTACCACCAGTTCATGACCTTCAGCCCGATTGAACCAACAACTAGTGCTCAATAGAACTGTTAATGGCTGGATGCTGAATTGCGACTGCGTTTTCCAACTGACTCAATGCTTTCGATTAGGATTTGAGATCGGCGGATGATGATAATTGTCTAAGAGAGCTGCCACGGGCCGTGGACATGCCTAGAAATAAGTAATATTTTCCTGCTCTAGATAGACGGATACTAAAAAGTGCCCACCCATAGCCGAAGGATACAAAAATCTTAAGAGCTTGGCATTGGAGACGGGATCTTCCTAACATAAGAATAGTACATGGATGATTTGATCAGTGCTGCCATCCAACGAAACTCTTGTAGGATCGCATGTTTGTGGTTTGAGTTTGACACCACACTTCGCTACCAACATGTCTGCACACGAATCTATGAGAGCAGATACCATGAAGGCTATCGTGATACGTGGAACAGAAGCTCGGCTGGAATCGAATCGCCCTTTCCCCAGATTAAAAGACGATTGTGTCCTGATCAAGACTGAAGCAGTCGCTCTCAACCCTACGGACTGGAAGCACGTCGCCCTTGGTTTGGGTGCAGACGGCTGCTTGCTAGGATGTGACTTTTCGGGGGTGGTCAGAGTGGTCGGGCCAGCCGTGACGAAACCATGGAAAGCTGGTGATCGTGTATGTGGGGTGGCTCATGGGGGTAACAGATTTGAGCTCGAGGACGGTGCTTTTGCTGAGTATATCATGGTAAAAGGAGACATACAACTCAGGATCCCGGACAACATGACCTTCACACAGGCAGCTACCCTTGGTCTTGGAGTAGCCACGGTCGGGCAGGGCTTGTACCAGTATGCTCTCAAACTCCCGTTGCCTGTAGAATCGCCAAAGCAAACTCACGAGGTAACAAACATCTTGATCTACGGTGGAAGTACCGCAACTGGCGCTCTGGGAATTCAATTTGCTCGATTGTAAGACTCCATGAATTTTTAACCGCCTACCCCCCTTTTCAATGCGTCGTTGCGATGAATAGCGCGCTTTTTCATATTAACCCCTTTCCATAATTGACAGGTCCGGATGCAAGGTGTATACAACTTGCTCGCCCACCAATTTTGAATATGTGAAAACACTCGGCGCCGCTGAAGCGTTCGACTACAATGACGACAAATCTATCTCGAGGCTGCAAGAATTCACGAAAGGTTCTGGTCTTAGGTTAGCATGGGACACGATCGGTACGCCTTTCAGCTCAGAGTTCTGTATGCAGGCCATGTCCAAGGGACCTGGCTGTAAATACGGTTGCGTTTCGTTTCCACCAGTGCCAATATCTCGGAATGATGTTCTACCCACGGGTACATTGATGTATTCTGCATTCGGAGAACCTTTTGTGAAAAAAGGTATCGAGTTTCCTGCGAAGCCAGAAGATTATGAGTTTACTAAGCAATTCATGGTCATCACGGAAGAGCTGCTGGCTGCTGGCAAATTGCGTCCACACATCGAGCTTGTAGGCAAGGGTGGCCTTGGAGGTGTGCTGGATGGGCTGCAAAGGATGAAGAATGGTAAGGTCAGTGGTAATAAACTCGTCTATGTAGTTGCTGATACAGAGTGATTATCGTGGCGGAAAGAAAACTATGCAACTCTTTTTGTTGATTAAGACGAAAAGTATAACCTATGAGCAAGGTATGAAGTGAATGGAATGCTTGAGGGCTCCCTCTAACCTTAGGGGTGGGAGCCCGCTATATGCACCTAGCTATAGGTGGCAGGGTGCCCTATATAAGAGGGTGGCTGGACACCCTGGAAATCGCCGCGTAACCTACTCTAGGTGGCGGTGCACCTAAAACTCTAACATAAACAGGCTGTCGGAGAATCCTCTTGCACTCCGCCAACGTCATTGGCGTTGCTTATTGAACCACACAAGCTCTCCATATACCAATGTCTGAACTCGACGTTTCTCACAGAAATATCTATGCGACTGAGCAGTTGGTAAACCATATCACTTGAGATCGGACTGTTAGTCTGCTACCATATCTAGTATTTCAAGAATTTGCTCTTTCCTGACCAGTGAAACAGGATTCTCCTTCGCCCATGGGTCCAGCAGCGAGTTCTCCGCAAGCTTGTCAAAAAGGTCACCCGAAATTCCAACATCCTTCAAGGCCCTGGGTAAACCCAAGGCCTTGACCAGGTTTTCAATGATGCTTGCAAGGTCGTTCTTGGCATTTGATAGCAATGATTGGATGTGTGGGGATGCCAGCAAGGCTTTGGTCAACTTCTCTTGCCTTTGGACATTCGCACCCTTCAGAGCGTTGTATCTGCAAACGGCTGGCAGCAAGATGCAACTCGTTTCGCCATGCGCAACGCCAAGTGGCCCAAGCATGTGACCAATAGCATGACTGCCACCCTTTTCAGGGACGTATATAGATGTCTTGACAGCCTCGAGGGCTCCGAGCTGCGCATTCCGAATTGCTTCGAGATTGCTTGGATCTCTCTTATAGGCCAGGAGGGCTGGAACCAGTAGCTCAAGTCCTTTGATAGAGATCTGGTCGCCCATTTCATTGGATTTAAGTGAGCACACTGTTTCTACGCAGTGATCTACTGCCCGAATTCCCGAGCCTAGAAATAGGCGCATCGGCATAGTGGCCGCAACTTCCGGATCCAATACAACCACTTGTGGGTTCTGAACAGGCGGAGTAAATAGTTGCTTCTTTTGGGTCTTGTCGTTTGTAGCACCTGCGAAAGAAGTATACTCACCTCCAGACAGGGAGGTGGGTACGGAAATCGACCTGATGGTCGGAAGCTTTAAATCGGCATATCCAGGCGAGTCGCAAGCTACCAACTTTGCCAGGTCGTCCTCGTCGCAAACTCCATTTGCTAGTGCCCAAGCTATGACTTTGATTGCATCCGTCAGACTGCCCGCTCCAACGGAGACAATGCAGTCAACATCAAGAGGCCGCATGTCATCTAGCACTTCAAGGATTTCTGACCACAGCGTGTGGGGCTTCAAACCAATTCTTGCTCCCACAATTTTAGTCCCCAGTGCTTTCTGAAGCCTATTGAAAACATCGCTCTTCTCTGCAAGAGATGCGGAAATCAGCAAATAAACTCTCTTGCAATTCCAATATGAGTCGATAAACTGGCGGCATGCTTGGGCATACGGCAGTCCATATGAAACCAACGGCGCAGGCTGGCTCTCGGCGAAAGGTTCAATGACATGCTGACTCGGGGACAGCATGGTTGCAAAAATCTCTCCCTTGCCTCGATTGAGTAGAGCAATAAAAGGTAAAAGAATTGATTATTGAAAGACTTATATCCAGATGTTCAATTGAACAAAGCACAAGATCAGAATCTGTAAATAGAGATTTAGGCTTACCACTTGTGGGTACTGAGTGTGCATAACAGCCCGAGTATCTCGTAACACTACTTCCATGGATTTGGCGATTAATATGAACTATAATTTGCCCGCATGAGGCATAACGACAAATTTGATTTTGGTCACTTTCGGCCCGCGGCGCGAACTTGATAGAACTAATGGATAACCTGTCTAGCACTTTCCTCCTAATGTTCTCATGCCTAATTTTCAACCATAATACTTGTCTGAGATAAATTAGCCGAACTCTTGCTGCAGATTCTGGTTTCTAGACTCGCTCCCTAAACAATATCTCGAACCTCAATTACATCTCACTACGCAGAATATCTTCCCATTCGTCCTATCTCACGGGTAAAATACTTTGTTAGTGATTTATATAGGTATTGGTCGTCTTTATCGATAACTCGCTCATAATGGCGGCAGATTTCGGCTTTATTGGTGTGATACAGTTTCCAGAGATAGCTGTCTTCTATACTTTCTAATCCTGAGTAGGACTGGGTAATATGGGATTCCAAATGGCAGGGAATATACGCAAGAAGATGCCATTATCTACGACTCTGCACGTATTCGATGTCGCTTATGCAGCAAGCGAACAGTTTGTCAAGAGCTTTGGCAGCTTCGGACCGATCCAGATTGCCCAAACGTCGAAAGAAGTCGCAGAAAGATCTCAAACGATCGTCTCTATGGTCCCAAACAGCGACAACGCACGTGAAGTTTATCTTAACCCGCAACATGGAATTATTGCCGCTACAAAGAATGCCGATCGATTAATGCTGGAATGCAGCACTATCGAGGTTAGAGTTACTCAGGACATCGGAAAAGCAATCATGGATGCTGGCCTGGGTACATATCTTGATGCACCCGTTTCTGGAGGCACTGCTGGAGCAGCAGCTGCAACTTTATCTTTCATGGTTGGGTTCGAGATCAACGACCAATCGAGCGTCCTTGAGAAAAGGATTCGAGAAGTGCTCCGCCTTATAGGTGCCCCAGAAAAGACGACATTCTGTGGTAGCCTCGGTTCAGGTCTTATTTGCAAAATCGTTAATAACTATATCGGCTTGAGTAATATTGTGACTGCTGCAGAGGGAATGGCTCTAGGTATCAAGCACGGGGTCGACAAGATGACTCTATATAAGTGTATCAAAGGATCGAGTGGTGATTCTTGGGTAATGGACTTTGCACAGCCAGTGCCCGGAATTCATCCGGATTCAGCCTCTACAAACGGGTTTCGGCCATCTTTCGCACCGCGTCTCTGTGTGAAAGACGTGGGCTTAGCTTTGGCAACTGCGAGCGAGGTGGGTATTGCAGCCTCAATGGGCGAAGCAGCTTTGAAGATTTTCGCGAAGACTAATGATGATCCACGGACAACAGTAAGCTTTTCTCGGCCATACTCCCGCACTTCAAGTTTACAGCTAAACCTTAACTTACAGGATCTCGATTGCTCGTCGATTTGGCTTCATGTCAGCCATGACATTGAAACCTTTGCAGGATCTTATTCTTAACAGCCTTTGCTTCGCTGATAGCTGTGCAAGCCCAGATCGCAGATGCTAGAATTATGTTGATAGAACCTGCTCTGTAGATGTCATAACGGTCCATGATTACACAGTTACACGAGCCTTCTTTGATGAATTAGCACATTCAGTTTGACTTGTAGCATGAGAAATGGTAAAAATGCTACAAGGTCTTTGCAAAACGCCCTGTGGTGCGCTAAGCCTAACCATCGAGTTCCTTCATGAGTTACTTCATGATGAAAGTGATAGTGTGGCGTGGAGGCCTGAAAGGAGCTAGATCACGGGATGAGGTGTTATTGTCGAAGTATTAGTAGCAAAAACGGCAAGTATCTTGGACGACTCCACATGTCCCTGTGGAGACCCTCTGTTTCGTAGAGTTCGGTGCTCACGACCACTGCTATACGGGAAGCGAACAGGGGACGTCAACTTTACTCTCCCGGACGATGCCACGCTTCAAAGCCCCACTTCAATTTCTGCAGATGTTTATGGTACATTGGGCCATGAAGGCCAGAAAATTGTTCTCAGTGGTGACGAGGTGAAAGGCGATCCCCACACGCTTTGGGAAAGCCGAGAATGGCCTAGATTGGCAAACGCCGCGGCCCGACAAGTGTTTCCAGTCTCTGACCTTCTTTCTCCCGCCCTCGGGCGGACTCATATCCTGCGAACAACTGTAATCACCATGGTATGTCTTGGCGTAACGCTTCACATGTCGAACAAGAATCTATATCCACGAGCCCCTAATCAGTGCTATAGAAATGTTCTTCAACACAACACAGCGAGACAACAATAATGGATTTACCAGGCGTCACAGTGAACGAAATCAATGGAGTTCAGACAAATGAACATCTGGGTCTACCGACGACAGATTCTAACGGTATCGTACGCCCTGTCACAGCCGGCTCCCCAAGGAGAAGGCTTAAGGTCGTGACAGTTGGTGCTGGGTTTTCTGGTCTGATCTTTGCTCACAAGTTACAACACCAGTATCCAGAGTTCCAGGAAATGCTCACGCATCAGATCCTGGAAGCCAGAGACGATATTGGAGGCACTTGGCTGGTCAACAGATATCCCGGTGTCCAGTGCGATGTACCTGCCCATATCTATGTATGCGCCTTTACTTTTTTCAACTTCGACTACTAATATGACTTATCAGGCTTTCCCATTTGAGCCAAACCCTAGCTGGTCTCACTTTTATGCCACTGGGCAAGAGATATTTAGCTATATAAAAAGCACAGTTAAAAAATACAACCTTGACCGCGACGTAAAACTTAGACATAAGTTAACTGAAGCGACCTGGCAGGAGGAATCAGGCCAGTGGAGAATTACGGTTGAGAATCCCGAGGGCACCTATATCGACCATGTCGACTTCTTAGTTTCTGGCCAGGGTGTATTGAAGTGAGTACAGGAATCATCCTCCTATTTAGGGTGGTGCAATGGCTGACGATCTTGGTAGTTCCTGGAAATGGCCAGAGATCAAAAATTTACAAAGTTTCAAGGGTCATAAATGCCACTCTGCCGCGTGGGACGAAGGCTACGACTACTCGGGCAAGACAATCGCTGTAATTGGCAATGGCTCGTCAGGTGTACAAATTATTCCGAAACTTGCGGCTCTACCTTCTACGAAAGTCATTAGTTTTCAAAGAAGTCCCAATTACGTCTATACGCATCTTGCGCCGGCTAGTCTTCTAGGTAGAGAAGATCAGGCCCCCAATCCAGCCTACACAGAAGAAGATATTAGACGATTCCGAGAAAACAAAAATTTCCACAGAGACTATCGCAGGAAAATGATTCAGCAGATCAATTCCGCATTTAAAATGGTAAGAAATAAAAATTAGGTTTCAAACCAACACTAACAATGAGGTATAGTTTGTTAAAGATTCGGCCCCAAACAGAGCTATTACTGAGCTTGCACGTAAGCAAATGGCGAACAAGCTACAATATGATAAGGATCTTTGTGAGAAACTCATCCCTAAATGGTCATTGGGCTGTCGTCGTATAACACCCGGCGAGGGTTATCTCGAGTCACTGCTCCTGCCAAATGTACAGGTCAAGAATTCTGTTACAGAAATCACTGAGGACTCTGTGATCACTGCAGACGGGGAGAGCTTCAAGGTCGATGTCATCGCCTGCGCTACTGGCTTCGACGTTAGTTTCAAGCCACAGTGGCGAATGATTGGACGAGGTGGCGTTGACCTCGGTGAGCAGTGGGAGAAGGACCCAGAATCTTACTTGGCTCTTGCGGCATGCCACATGCCCAATTACTTTATGTTTCTAGGACCGAGAGCCGTAGTAGGCCACGGTTCTCTTATTGAAGCCATCAATTGGACAGCTGACTATCTCTTGAAATGGATTCGAAAGGTGGCGACCGAGGATATCAAATCAATTATGCCTAAGACCAAGGCGGTCGACGAGTTGACCCAGTATCAGGACGAATTGCACAAAAAGATGATCTGGACCGAAAGTTGCAAGAGTTGGTTTAAAGGTAATCGGTCTGACGGAAGCGTTGCTGCTCTGTTTGCAGGAAGTGCTTTATTGTACAAACAGTTAGTGAGTGAAATTCGCGCAGAGGATTGGGAGATTGAGTATCGGAGCAAGAATCGCTGGGAATTCCTGGGAAATGGATTCACAGCCCATGAATTGGTTCAAGGAAATGATTTGGCTTGGTACATTGAGCATTAGCTTGTACCTACCTCCCACGATCAGAGATGACGGTGCTTGCTTTGAAGTATATACTTAGGATTTCATAGAATACACAAAGCGCACAGTAGCAGCATAAGCCACATAATGTTCGAGTACGTGGTGGGTGACAATCATTCCCGACCTTGTAGGCATTCCATTGTCACAAACTTCCTTGTGGCATGCCAGCGCTGATTGGTATATCTTTCGACGTTGAAGTGAGCCTCTTTCAAGGAGTACCAGTTCGATTCACTACTTTTGGATGGGTTGCATGTAAATTCGAGTTCGTTAATACCTGGGTACTTTACTAAGTAAGGTGCTTAATTCGTAGAAACTGAATACTAGCATAGATCCTGAGCAGTGGACCGTACATAGTCCCATAGCGTACTTTAACATGTTAAATACAACCAGTCGCGAAAATACCAAAATGATGCATCAAACCTTTCCAATAGGGTCTTCTCCAAATCCATGATAACCACAGTCTCTGAAGTCATTATCAAAGTACCAGGAAGAGCGCCGTCTTAACACTGGTCTATGTGACACCAGATAGATGGTATACAAGCTGTTACCTCCCTTCTTTACTAGTTCTTTGTCGTACAATATCTAGAACCCAGCGAAGATTTCTACGTCATAAGGGTTGTCTGGGAGAGTCACCCAAGAGTATAAGCCGGGAGAGCCTTTAGTCATCGGTTCGCTGTTAAGGCTTGGGGAAGCTGTTCAGGCCGAGGATGCGACCCCGCCCAACTTCGGCGGGGAGAACCCTCAGTCCTTCTCGTCCATGCTCTCTTTAAACCCCATCTTCCCCACAAATCTCCGTATCCCATCCCTCAAAGATTGTGGTCTTTCCCGGCTTTCGAGCTTGTACCACTCATCTTAAATTTCGGCTGCATGGCCAAAGTGCATGAGACACAGTCACCAGACTGTGCACCTGAAGCATCTATGGAGGTCAGCCCCTCGGCGCAGGCAGCACAGATTCTATGGATGCCGAATGAACGGCCAGGCCAGACATCCAGCAGTCGACGTGTCAATGTTGCTTGCGCCTTTTGTCGAGCCCGAAAAGTGAAATGCAACCGACTCGGTGATCAGCCATGCACAAATTGCATATTTGAAAACGTCCCGTGTATGTTATTGCCTAAGCAGCGTCGTCATCGGAAAGCAAGGGATTCAATCAGATCGCCGCAGCCTGGAGAAAGGGATTCTACAATGCTGAATTCGACTATTCCAATCGCCCACTCGACAAATCGTTCCGACCACCAGACTCACCCATGTCCACCACCAGTCAATAAAAGCCCTGTTCAGCAACATCAGGAGCCAGAAACAACGTCAACAAGGTCCGCAACTGCCGATCTCGACATGCAGTCGAGTCAGGAGATCGACCGTGACATTAATTGGCGAGAGGTTGCTGTTGAAGCCGTGCCACCAAGGCCACCCGACTGTCCTGGGCCTCCGTCCAATGATCCACCGTCCCTGGATCCAGGCACTGAGTTCCTAAAATCTTGTGTGCCATCTTTCCTCAAACCTCCAGCTTCATGTCTGAACGAGCAAGATCTAGACTATCTCAGTCTCAAAGGCGCACTATCCATCCCCGAACCAGAGCTTCGCGATGCCTTAATCGAGAGCTATGTATTTTATATTCATCCGTGCTACCCACTAGTCGACCTCGGGGCTTTGGAAGCAGCCATGCAGGGCAATTCGGGCGAACCTTTCAGTCTCTCGGTCTTTCAGGCCATCATGTTTGCTGGTGCAGCTTGGGTCGATATCAAGATGCTTAGGAAACTGGGATATCTATCGAGATGGGCGGCTCGAAAGACGTTTTACTCAAAAGCTCGAGTAAGTGATTCTTATCCAATAACCCGGTTCTCGACTAACAAGACGCAGTTGCTCTATGATACTGACTACGAGCAAGACCGCCTGTGCCAGCTTCAAACTCTCGTTCTAATGTCACTCTGGTGGAAGGCACCGAATGAGACCAAGGATGGGTGGCACTGGCTTGGCCTTGCGATATCTCTTGCTCGCACAATGGGCCTTCATCAAGATATCACAAACAAACACCTCGATAAGAAAACCAGTACTCTAAGACGACGAATATGGTGGAGTTGTACGATCCGAGACACTTTCACATCATTTTCTGCTAATCGTGTTCCTCGTATCTCAGATGGGGATTTTGCTGTTGCTCCCTTGACTTTGGATGATTTTGACTGGTACGAGGGGCGTGATGATACTCGCACGGGTATTGGAAAACAAAGCTTGTCCGTGCAGAAACAGCTCGCAGCCATGTGCATACAAACGGCAGCTCTTTGCAGGATCATCACGCGAGTGCTTCTGGCAGCCTACAGTGTGACCTCGACTGGTGATATCGACATCCTTTATTTTAACTCCACTCCTGAACAAGGTAGATTGATGATCCAGCCAACTATCCTGCGCAACATCGAAGAGGAATTTCGGGCGTGGTATACCAACATACCATCAGACGTGGCTCATTGCAGTCCGATATTCGCATCATCTCTACGGCACGAACAAGCGCCACTCGTACACCGTGCACTGCTTTCGATCCTGTACTACACGGGCTTAATCATGATCCACCGTCAAAGGGATCCAAGCTCGCCTGCAGAAGAGAGTCCACGCAATCTGGTCCGCGACGCTGCCAGTCAAGTCAACAGGATCATCATCGACATTTACGCGGTGGACCTGATGAAAGACATGTCACCAACGGTGATCAGTCTTCTGTTTCCTACCAGCATGAGCCACATGCTCGATATGAAGAGTCGAGATGCCATAATACGCCGGAGTGGCGCGCAGAAGCTGCAAGAATGTAAAAGGGCCATCCGTGAACTTGTCGATGGTCACTTTGCAGCCGAGTGGGCCGTTAATTTCCTGAATTGCGTGGAATCCAAAGTCAATTCTCAGGCACCTATCGTCAATGCTGGTACTCGCACGGCCTTTAGTCGCCAGAAAATGGGTGAGCAAAGACAAGATCATGGTGAGGAACGGGTAGCGTCGCAGGCTTACTCTCCTACACTCTCTGCCAGTAACCCTGCTTTCTCTTTGGACACGCTGTCGCCCAATTTTGTGCCCGGTCTTAGCGGTTCGACCGCGGAAGATGATCCTGTCGATTGGTTTGATATGCCTAACGTCTATTTTGGCTTCCCTGACACCCAGTGGGATGGCTCCGGCTTGGCTCGGCTAGAGAATGATAGGATGCTGATGGACTTTGGAATAGGAAGCTTCCGAGACTATCAAGTCTGACTGACCGGTATGCATTGACGTTCACCTTGGGAGGAAATATACCTTTCTTGTTTTATCCGCGACTACAGAGTCTTTGCTTGTCGACTACTGATCCTGGAGATCCTCATTATTCTAGCTTGTTCAATACCATATTATTGAAATATTTACCTCGTTTAAGATTATTTGAACTATGTATATCTCCGCTGCCGTAGCTCAATGGGCTGACAACAAGGCTCTTCCAATCTACAATAGAAAGCTTATCCTTTGTCCCAAATCCGCGGATTGGTCTGTTTCAGAACTCCTCCGGAAATGTCCTGGGTGCGATGACTTCTGTTACATTGCTGTGGATGTAACAACGAAATACTTCTGAATCTTCCTCGTGGCCATCGACCGGCTGTTCCCTGCCACCACTTTCGCATCGTCTTCACTGATGGCGCATGTACAAACAACGGGCGGCTTGAAGCAAAAGCAGGAGTTGGTGTAGCTTACGGCGAAAATTATGGCAGCCAATTGTCCATGCCTATCACGGACTCAACTGACGACTTTCCACTGAGGTCAAATCAGCGAGCGGAGCTTATGCGGCAAAGCTAGGTCTGGATTTCCTCGCCGAGGCCGATCGGATCAATCCTAAGAAGCCCACTTCCAGGAGCGATTCGAAGGCTTGGATCATCGCGACCGATTCCGAGTATGTTGTTAAAGGGATGACCGAATGGCTACCATCATGGAGGGTATATTTCTCCCTTTCGACAAGGACTTTTAGAATCTCTGCTGACCAAGCTTGTCGAGGAATGACTGGCGTACGTCCAAAGGTACCAGATCGGCGAATCTAGATCTGTTTCTCGCTCTCGATGATGCTGTGACAAATCACGAAGCTAAGAATGTCAAGGTTGGTCGTCACACCCTACAGTATAATGACTGAACATGATACCAATAATTTCTTGGTTGGGTTCTGGTTTATTCCTAGGGAGTATAATCAAGTCGCCGACCGTCTTCCAAAAGCAGCTGCTATCGACGGTGATGTGGCTAGAATGGAGTCTCAAAGAGGACCACTACATGTCATCGGCCTTGTTCCACGTCTGCTCGGGAATCAGAGACAGATTCATTGTCACATTTAGTATCAATTCGAGTGATTCTCACTAAAATCATTCACTGCAATGCCACCTATGGATTTTATCGCCCACTCCAACGCCCGCCTATTTAGTTATCGAACAGCGACGAATTGCAGACACAAAACAGTGCTGCACACACGACAACGACATATTGGCCGGCACGAGTCCTCCTTTGAAATTGAAGTCAAGGGGGCAAAGTTCTCGGTCGTTCATTAACGTCTTCAGCTCCACCCTGCTAGGCGGCTTCATGTCCATTCTACTGCCCCAGAACACCAGGGAGTGTCTCAATGCCCCGATCTTTTCGCAAGGACTGCATTCTTGCTCGAACCGTGACGATTGAACCCGCTTATGTTGGCAGTGGCCACAGGCAATAGCAGCTGCAATGCGGAGGTCAGGTGGCCAGAGGCTACCATCACACATTGCTCAGTTTAGTACTTCATACCTTCATAGGTAGTTTACTCAGTGCAATGCGATTCCCTACCAGCGTGGGGCTCAACAGCCTTTACTGCATTGACGAAATACCTTGCTCTAGCTGCAAAAAGAAATCCCCCAAAGAAATTCGAGACGCATTGGAACAGACGTGGTCTGAAGTGGGACAGTTCCATGCTTAAAGCTTGATCTTTATCGGGGGCTCACGGTAAAAGCCTCCTCTCGAAGCAGGTAGGTGGTCAAGGGAAGTTTCATGGGTTAGGATTCTATGACGACGTCAAGAGCGGGAGTGTACTGCTCAGAGTCCATTTCTACGTACATCCCTGAAGAAACTATCGCCAGAACCAAAGGCAGATCGCTCGGCAACTCCCTTCAAATACTGGCCGCCTGACTCGGGTGCTGGGAGCAATCTAGCAACTACGGAATAGAAACTGGCCCCCAAATACACATCCAACCTGCAGTGACATGAGCCAATCAAAGCTCCCTGAGCTTTTGTCTTTCCAGCCCTAGTGCGTTACCAATGTCAGATTAGGTAGGAAGCGAGTATCCACGAGGGTTAGTTTATACTTCAGTCTCAAACTACTGACAATAAATATATATCTCGCCCTTAGCGATGCTTGCCTGATGGGTGCCTGACACTATCCCAACTCGACCTTCATCTCACCAAGCCAGTAAGCGAGTCCAGAGACGAGATTCTATTGTAAGCAATCGAAGTCATCAACGAGACTACTTCGTACATTACTATTGGGGTTTGGATATACTTGATGCGCTCTCTGAAGACCCCTAACGACAATTTTCATCAGACTTATCTCTTCAATTATCGAGTTTTGCTGAATATCGTCCCTCCCATTTTTGCATTAGTTATGGCATTTATTTTATAGCCACCATCACATCGGTCTGCTTCCCGACACAAACGATCAAATTCACGGCTCTCTCTCTAGCCAACTATCTTAATCTAGTGGTTGAATGTTTAATAGCGGCGGCATCGGACGTTAACAAAGACGACAGGATATCGAGGGATGTCAAACCATGATATATTCAGAGGTGAAGACACCCAAGTACAATCTCCGAGTAATTATCAGAATGTAGGATCGAACGATTCGCCAATCTACAACAACGCCGCTTCCGATCAGTGTCAGTGCCCCAAGAGACCACCACGTCTTCGACCAAACATAACACGGGACGACCACAATGTAGCCACAAGCAACTATACTCACCATTTTTGCATTGCTGGACTGATTCTATCCACCATCATCGGTATTGCCTTAACAGTCGCTGGCTCTCTAGACCGACGACAAGATCGACTACTGCATAAACCTTACGTCTTCAAGGAACTCGTCCCTCTGGGTCTCAATCTCATCGTTGTGGTATGCACGGAATCACTGGGTTACATCCATGCTAAAACACAGCAATGGTCTCTGTGGGAGGAAGACCGACTCGAATTCAACACGAATATCCGGCTTTTGAGTTATGCACGAAAATCATGGGCGAACGGGATTACCCTTAGTACTGCTAACTTACTCGCACTGACAATGAGTTATACGTCGACCTCGGCGATTTTGTTGTCTGAAGCGCAGGAGCATGATACTACCAAAGGAAAGATGGTGGAGTTGAGCTTCAGCAGGACTGGACCGATCTGTCTGGGCATCTCACTACTGGTACAGGCGACAATTTGCTTCGTGGGACTGCGCACCACCAAGATCAAGACTTGGTCTTCTCACCCACTGGTCGTTGCTACAATTGTCCGGGATCATGGCCTGGAGTCAGCGAGGAACGGTCACAACCTGCATCTGAGTTCTCATCATCAACAAATCTCAGGGTTATACTCCTCCCTCAAACAGCCTGCGTCTCAACCTTCAGCATTTGAATTCCATCGAAGCATACGAATCCTGCTCTGGGCACTGGGTCTGACACTGTTGGTACTGATCATCTGGATGTCCGTGGTGGTTCGATACGCACTCACGGCAGACTCCGGCTCGTCGTGGGCTCTGCTCCCCATTCGCAGTGGAGACATCAAGTCTAGCTCTCCGTGGGTGATACTCACCTTCTTCAACCGCATCCCTGGACGAGAGATGAGGGTCTTAGCACAAATTGCCTTGACCATGGTGATCCAGCTCTTCGTCACCATCGGCCTGCACAGCTCCGAGCTCGCCGTCCTCCTCAGCCGCGACGAAGACGCATGGCGCGCCGCAAGCACCTCCCATGGCACCGATACTCGGTCTACGAGCTTCCTCACCGTGCTCAAGAGCTGGCAGAGCCTGATACTGCTCTTCGCCAAGCCCGTCATCCATTGGATATATGGTCTAGCCATGTACATCACATACGACGGACTGGTGATGATAGCGCCGCAGCTCGTATATCTGATCGGGCTGTGGCTGTTGTTGATCTTCTTCGTGCTGTTCTTGAGTTTCAAGCGGCCAAGGGGCCTGCAGCCTGCGGCATATGGACATCTTCCTACACTGGTGGAGTTTTTGGATGAGTGCCACCATGACGCTACGGGGCGGCTCTTCTGGAGCCCGAAATTCGACCCTGCATATCATAACGATTCTGTATCAGCTTGTTTTCGTTCTCCGGTTGCTGAGGGGCCGAATATGATGGTGTCTTCTGAAAGCCTGGGGATTTTTGGGTATGAAAGACTCCGAATGCCACAGTCTTTCAGGAAGCTGTCGAACACCAGGAGGGAATCTTACGCGGATTTTTGATGTAGAGCAATTGTGGAAATGATCTTCCGTCTGATAGATCCATGTGTGCATAGTAAGCTTGACTGAACTCTGGAGCTCGAGATCATCTCTGCCATCTCCCTCGAGCGATTCAGCCCCACGACTCTTGTGCGATTTTTCCACCGTGCCATTTTCCATGGTCAGGATATGCGCTCCGGCAGCTCAGGTAACGGCACTAGAATGGACGATACGACGTCTCAACCTAAGCTTCTGCAACTATCACGACTAGCTTTGAGATCGACAAGTGCTTCATCGGTTAGTAAGCTGGAATGTACGTCAATTCGCCAGTAGTAGTAGGGAAGTTCCGAGGCTCGTAATCCACGGAACGCCACATGTCGCCAGGGCACCTCAAACAGGCGGTCTGCTGTCAAACTTTGACCAATGAACCGCTTGCGATTTTCGGCAATCTCGTAGCTCCGTCAGGATACGAGATATTGTCGATCACTGGATCCCGTGGCCTTTGAAAGTGGAATGTATCGACCGATCGGGCACCCTAGCTTTACCCAACATGGATACTGCTCTGTGCACATTATGGATACTTCTCGTGTTTGACTGTCTCTGGAGAATTGCGTGGGATTCTGACGACATGGCGCTGCATTTCATAGTTGCAATGTTATTTATTGAACAGCAACTGCTATGTAAATCCACTGGAGGGTCGAAATCGCATCTACTTCTCTTGGAGGATATTCTGCAAGATGCAATCGATTCTGCCCCTGCTATTCATCTCTGCGATTCTGTCACCTGCCCTGGCCGTCGAGCCAGCAGCGATCTACGATGGTGGCTTCAATTCAACGGAAGGGACCACCAATTCTACGATTGAGCTCCGGATAGGGAACGGAGGCGCAGGTCAGAGTGGACTAGTTAAAGGTAGTGTATATCGCAGTATCTTATTCGGCTCGTGTCGGGCGGTTGGCTGACGAGGACTGCCCCCATCAGCGCTTTCAGATGCGTTCATCGTGGACTCAGTCGCAAATGGCAGCGCGCCTTTCAAAGTAGCCTGGATAACATCAGGTGCGTACTCATGAATTATCGTTTCCTGTGTTCTAGTTCTTCGCCGGATTTGAGACCTTGTGCCTAGATAGGCTCCGACTCGCATGTTGAGCTGAGATCAAAGCACGTTGAGGGAGCTTTCCGCTCCCCCACAGTCGTAAAGGTTCTAACAAGACAAAATTCCACAGACACGACATACTCGATCCGCTACCTCGCGTCTGGCGACATCGACGTCGGGATAACGTATTCGCCCATCGCCGAGCAAATCGCAATCAACCAGTCGATAGCCAAAAGTCCCTCGTACTACGCATTCCGAGACCACTTCCTCCTCGTCGGCCCGCCATCAAACCCCGCCAACCTGACGAACTCGTCCAGCATCCTCAGCATGTTCTCGAATCTATATGCCGCCGCAGAGGCCGCCTACGCTGCAGGCGCGAGCGCTCCCCCAGTCAGATTCCTAAGCCGCTTCGACAAATCGGCGACGAACATCAAGGACTCACAGCTATTCATCAGCATCGGCCAGGTACCCTGGGCCACAGCGTATTCGACCTGGTATCACCAGTACATTGCCTTTCCGATCCAGGCGCTCACTGCGGCCATCAACCTGGGCGAGTACACGATTACGGACCGCGGCACGTGGCTCAGCCTTCCGGTCAACGTGACGCAAGATGCGACCATATATAAAGCCGGGAGCGACGCCGAGGATGACCTGCTGCTCAATCCAGCACATTTGCTGGTCGGTGCCAAAGCGAGGAATCCTACCGTCGCGCAGAGTTTTGCAGATTGGCTTGTCAGCCCTCAGGGTGGCCAGAAGGTTGTCGGCGAGTTTGAGAAGAATGGAGAGATTCTGTACAGTCCCGCGCCATGATTTGGGTAGGTCTTTAAATGTCATGAGTAGCACGCATAGAGGGCCTGCTAGAAGCTAGAAGTGGGGAGGTATAATCGAGGATTTACCTGGGATACCGAACGATAAAAGGATTGAGTTGAGAATTCATTGTCATGGAAGCTCCACAATCTATACGTTTGGCTTTTCCAGCTTGGACGAAGCTGCGAGACCGAGAGTTCTTCAGGCGTCTGGTGGTTCGATAGGCTAGTCCTTCTGCGTTCCGTCATGTTACAGTCTTCGCAGCACCTTTGGAAGTCCGGCTCACAGAGCCCTTGCACTCACACATCATTCATTCATTTCGTGACATTCCAGTCATCACTCAATATTCTTTCGTCTGCAGCTCAGTAGCGAGAGTATTCATCTCTGCGTTCGCTGCCATATCCACCACTCTGCCCACCACCATATCCGCCGCTCTCGCCATAGCCACCACCACTTTGGCCACCTCCGTAACCTCCACCACTTCCACCATATCCACCACTATCGCCTCCGCGTCCATACTTCTTCTTTTTCTTGTCATCGTCGCTATCCTCATCGTCACTCTTTTTCTTGCGATACTGCTGTTGCTTGTAGCGTTTATTGTCGTCATCATCGTCATCGGATTCCTTCTTGCCACGGCGGCCATAACCGCCGCGGCTATCGTCTTCCGAGTCGTCGTCCTTCTTGCCGTATTTCTTCTTGTATTTCTTGTCGTCGTCATCGGAGTCGTCTTTCCTGTTGCGGCCGGATTGAGAGGAATAGCCACCGCTTTGCTGTGCTCCGTAGCCTCCACCGCCAGAGCCGTAGCTGCTTTCTTCCTGACGACGGCCACCGCCATAGCTTGAGTCTTCCTGGCGAGACCCATAGCCGCTGCCTCCACCAGAGCCATAGCTCGATTCTTGTTGGCGGCCATAGCTGCTGGTTTGCTCTTGACGGCTATAGCTTGATTCTTGCTTCCTGCCACCATAGCCTGACTCATCTTGGCGGCCGCCGTATGACGATTCTTGCTGACGTCCGTAGCCACCACCACTACCACCAGAGCCATAGCTCGATTCTTGCTGGCGTCCGGAACCGTAGCTAGACTCCTGTTGACGTCCGGAGCCGTAGCCTGATTCCTGTTGATGGCCATAACTGGACTCTTGTTGACGACCGCCATAGCTGGACTCTTGTTGACGACCACCGTAGCCTGAGGACTGCGATTCGTGCTGTTGGCGGCCACCACCGTATCCGCCAGAGGATTGGTTGTCGTCACGTTGATTGCGTCCATAAGAGCTTCGATCATTGTCGTCACCATAGCGACTGATATCTTGGTCAGCCCGCTTTCAGAAGGCAAGGAACGAGAATTCATATACTTACCGAGTTTCTTCACGGATTTGCCCACCGCTAGTACGTTCCTCATGATGATACTCGCTCTGAATGCGACCTCCAGAGCTGGTCTGCTCGTAACGATTGTACTCTTCACGACGCTCGCCACCCGCTCCAGTGGTGCGACTGTACTGAGCTTGGGCGTATTGGCCGGATGACGAATGGCCCATCTGGGTGACAGTCTCAGTGCGCGAGCCATCTTGTCCGTAAGAATCACGTTTGTAGGTCTCCTTGTCCTGGTTCTTACCCCCTCCAAGGAGATCGCCACCCACCGCGCTAGCAATGTTACCAACGAGAGAGCCCAAAACACCTCCGCCGACAGCAGCGCCGGCAGCTTGACCGATCTTATCGGCTGTCTGGTTGGAGGACGACGAACGACCACCTTTACTGTTCAAATTGGCCATACCGAGTGGTTTGTTGCTGCCGTGGCCATGATCATGCACTCCTTCTTTGTGATTCTTTCCAGTCTCAACACCTCGGCGACTGAGCTGATCACGCAAACCATCCTTCTCACGGTCACTCTTCTCTCTCCACCAGTTCTCAACAACTCCAAACATCAATCGACGGCCGTCACTTGCACCATCTTGACCGAAGTCACGGAGAGCAGGGTGATGGAGGATGCCATTGATGATTCGATCAAGAGTACGGTCGACGTTGACGTTATCATCGTCCCAAGCGGCAACGATTTGAGGAACAACCCATTGGACGGTTTGACGAGCTACTTTGCCAGCGGGCTCGTTGAGAATGTTGGAGAAGTGATCTTTGGAAAGCATCGAGTGAGTTGGGTCTGAAGAGTTGTCATCATTGAACACGATATGTTGTTTGTCCTTGCTGGATTGAATGATCTCGTTGGATCCAGTATTGAGTTCATTCTTGACCTGGTTGATGATTGGGAGCAAGTATGGAGCAAGAAGGGAAAACACGAATTTGTTGACTTCTTCCTGGACAGATTCGATAAGATCGGGCAAGATGGGAATGTTCTCGATAGTCTCGGTGATGGACTGCATGACCTCGTCATGCCACTCGATGATTGGGTAGATCTGTTTCTGGACATCATTGAGGTAATTGGCCCATTCTTCTGGTTGTCTTGGCGAAATTCGGGTATTTTGCATTTGATGAGCAGCAGCATTTTGTTTCAGTTCATCCGCTTTGCCCGCTTCATCTTTGCCGCCAAAAACTCCATCGGGAATCTTGTTGAGGAGATCTTGAAGGACACTGTTGTCTTGATTTCCATTTTGATACTGTTGCAAAGTACCTTCGAGTTCCTCAATTTCGCTTTGAGTTGCCTTGTCATCGAATTCACCACAGACCGAGTGGAGGAAATCAACACCACCAAAGGTGCCTGTGACGATGGGAAAGACAGGGTGGCGAGCCTCGCGGAGTTGAATCTCAGTGCGGCGACCGACGTGGGGGAAAACATTACGTTCACCCATTTCGATCAAGGCAAGTTCGACATAATTAGAGTGTGCAGCATAGTCCTCAAGACAATGAGATGCAGTTCCCAGGAGTCGAAGTGCTTCGTAAAGATCCTTCTTGTTCTTGTTTCTGGAATAACGACGACCAAGCTCAATTGATTGACCGAGGAGCTTTCTCACCAATCCTGCTGAAGTATCAATGCCAGCTCGCTCATTGGCAATGTAGTTCTTAAGACCAGTTTCTGGATCAACTGATAGTTCGCGACGCTCATCAATTGGAGCTCGGAGACGGCGATCGTACTGTCGAGCATCCTCATTATCTGCATAATCCTTTGGGTTGCTAGTGTTGTCAGCTGCAACCCGCCTCGCCGACGTGTCAAAAGCCACTTACTCGATATGTTCTTCAGGTCGATAGCAACCAAGTCTCTGAGTGGTCACTTCAAACTCACCAGAGCCGTATCCAAATGACAAGAAACCCAGAACCCAGAGCAAGATGCGGATGGCTTCAGCGCTGACATATTTGACGGTTCCGACGTCGACAGCCTGGGAGTAATCACGAAGCCAGTTGCCAAAGTAGACCTGTTTTGAGTCAGCATGCTATCCTTCAGATAAGCTCAGGGTACCTACTCTCTTGACATCAAGTTTGGAGAACTTCTTACCGCCCATGGCACGAGCAGCCACAATTGTGAGCAGAGTGTCCTCGAGATCGCCATGACGCCAGTTCTGACCCTCAATCTTCGAAGTCGAACCAATGTTACCCGCACCAAAGGCATGAGCAGGTCTTGCCAGCAAGATGATGCCAATGGCACATACAAGGACGATATTGGATGTCGAGATGGCCATTTTTGGTGGGGTTGGTGGGGTATGGTCAGCCCCTAAAGATTTTCTTTGAGGTTGTGGGAGACTAATAAAATCAGGAGGATGAGAATGGGATTATGGTATGGTAAAGGTTTGAAGAAGAGTAGAAGCTCAAGATAGACAGAGGGAGAAGAAAAGATTTGGTTGATCAAGGGGCACACAACTGACAAACTCATAAACAAGTTGTTGTCAACGTGTACAGCTGAGGTTGATGTCATTCTGTTTGGAATGTTTCAGAACGGCGATTGTGCCCTGTTTCACATGTTACTGCCGTCCAATCATGTCACTGACATGAAGGGAGGAGTCTTGGCATGCCAAGCTTTTATATCAAGCTGCACTTCGGCTAAATTTCCCTCACCCTAGTTCACCCAAGTCCCAATCCGGACCCTATCATTCCCAACCAGGCCACCGCCTCAACTTTCATGGACCAGCATTGGAATTTGGGGATTCGTTCTTCAGGTTACGGTGTCATAGGTATTTTGCACCACGACCCTTAGCTGCACACAGCCTCACTCCTTAAAATTTTTGATCCGTATCACTCTGCATCGATCATCAAGAAGATGATTTATTCCATCAATGTATTCATTATCGCAAAGCTCAATGCCGATGCTGCGCTGTGACAGACCATGCCTATGCTTCCCGTTCCCCATTACACCAGGACAAACGTCGTCAACATTCTATCCAACAGCCGTACACATCAAAGTCACCAGCCAAGAATCTTTGCTATGGTCCGTACAAAAATCTCGAAAGTCTTTCAACCCCGTTTGGTCAATGACACCTTCTGAGGTTGAAGTGGAACCTGAAGATTCTAGAACGACCCCGGTTGCATCAAGGGTGCCTGGGCCGAACTTATCATGCTTCGGTAAGAAATCGTCCGTTATGGTGTCTCCATCGACGATCCAGCCAGAGTATCTAGGAAACGCCTCTTTCGGCGGCTCCTGAGGGCCGATCTCACCTTGCTTCAACCCGCCACTGATGCTTGTTGGATGCTGTGTGCTGTCTTCGACACAGTATTCTGAAGACATGACATTGTCCTTACGATTGGTGAAGGCAATTTCTGCGACCCGATTCCAAAGTATTGTCTGGTCCTCCACCATTTCAGGTGTGTACCATATTCGGCAGTCGGCCGCTTCATAGACAAAATGAATAGGTGTTTCAGTCTCGTCCCCCATTCGATATGCATTCATGCCATTGACGGAGAACTTGAATCGATTGACCGCAGACCCTGTCCAAGAATCAAAGATGGGATCTGCAATTGATTTGTCCATGGCTACCTCGGCATGATAAGTATCAGGCAATGATGAGAGAAAATTAGAATCGTAGACTCGGCTGCCTTTCACTCCACCCACGGTCTGCATGGGTCCTTTCTGCGGTCGACCTCCCAAGGCAATACTCATGATTCCGAATTTATTCTTGAGGTTTTCGGAAAGAATCGAGCATGATGATGCACAAGTCCTACAAGTGTGATCAGTATGAAGACTGACGGCAGTGCAAGGATACGGGAATCTGGGCTGGCAGGGCTTGAAATCAAGGTCCTCTGGGATCTCGGAGCCTTGTCAGGAGAAATAAACTTGAGACTTACCCATCTGTCAAAATCACCACGTTCTCGGCAGCAAATGGGCGCTTGGCATTTGGATTGGCATTGGTGATGTCAAATGCTGATGGATCGAGAATTGTTCGATCATTGTTGGTGTAGTTCTCCTGCAGATATGACACAAATTTGCCCGGGCCAGATTCGTAGGGGCCATAGAAGTCCTCGAAATCTTTGAATGGTTTACCAGAAGGTGTCCAAGCCGTCTGCCATGCAAAGGGCGAATTCCAATATTCAGACTCAACTTCAACTTCGTCTAGGCCTGTGCTGCGATTGGCCTGCTGGTCTATGGTGACAAGGTCACTCGAGTTCTTCATGAACGCATACATGACTGCCGACGCACGCATGTTTGAACGGGTGTCCGGGTTCGTGTCTGGAAACAGTTGCACCAAAGTATCAAGGGCTAAGAAAACCGTACCGCCGCCGTTATGCCGAAGATCGATTATAAGTTTGTCCTTGCCAGCTTGTGTTGATTGCAGCAGTACCTCCTTCACAGCCTCCTGGAATAATGCTTCCGTGTCGTCTGTGTCTGGTCCAAATCCTAGAAGATGCAAAACCGCAACATCACCTTCAATATCACCATCCCAGAAACCTTGGACATCTCCAGACTCGTCGTAAACATCTGGCGTAGGATTCGTAGCAACCTCTGAGCGTTTTCGTAATTTTGAAAAGGCCCGTGACGATGACGATTCCTCCGAAGAGTCAGTAGATCCAACCAAGAATTGTTCGTAGATATCGGCCCCACTAGTTACGTTAGTCAGGTCCTTATTGATAATGACCGTCGTTGGATAGTGAACCGCTGTTTTATTCGCAAATGCGATATTAGTCCCAGAGCCCGGGTACAATGCTGGATATTGGAATATATCGTAGGATGGTTGAAACTCGCAGTTGTACAAGGCATCGGGGTCTTGAGAAGTGGTAGTCAATGAATCGAGCTCAAGAAACTTGTGAACGTCAATTGAATTGATGTAGAGAATGGCAGAGTAATTCGCAGTGCTCCTGAGGCGAGGAACACTAGATTCATCGACTTCATATCTATCATCTACGATATGTTAATGATTGTCCATCATCCGTTGGCAGATGCTCAAGGCACTACTGCGCTGGGCATAGTAGCTCGTATACGACTCCCTGGACTCTTGCCATTCACCCTCTGCAGATAGAATGAAACCATGACTTACCAAAAAGGTAAACCGAAGGAAACTCGATTCCATCCTCTGAAAGAGATATCAAGGACCCGGTTGGTCGTACAAAACTGAAAATGGAAAGCAGATCTCCATCGATGGAGAAATGATCATCTTTGACCATGTGCGATAAGAGCGACAAATCAATCTGGAGGTCGTATTCGTTCGTATACTCATTGTTCTCAACCTGGGAGTAAATTGAATCAATACTCTTGATGAGATCAAACCCAGCGTGCAAATATCCTGGTGGTGGAGATACCAGGTAGTCGAGAGTACTGTGAACCTGAAGAAACCCCTTCAAGCTGTCCAGAAGTTCAAGTGCCGGTTGTTTATAAAGAGGCACCGATCTGAGACACTGGTAGGCGATCTCTGCCTCGAGTTCCTCCTCTGCTCATGGTCAGCGCAGCTGCATGCATGTCTTCTCAAGTTACTTGCCGTTGGTGTAAGCATAGGCTGCCTGAGCACATGGATCGTCATTGGCAGCTCTTGATTGAATTGCCGCGCTTTGTGTCCCTTGAAGCAAAAAACCTAAAAGAACAATGAGAAGGAAAGGTAGGAGCATGAATGATTAGTCTTCAGGTATTCGTTCTTGCAACTTTTCTCGTAAGACCTCTTGACTATGCTGTGCACGTTGTTTAACACGACATCTGGGGAAACGGGCTGGTCGAGATGATAGGAAATGTCCATTTTGAAGTCGCGGTTTTGAAGAACAAGTATGGAGTCGGATCGTTCGTTTCCGTTAGGCCAGCTGGAGCGTGGAAGGATCTAAACGAAATCACTCAGCCCTTTATCGCCAAGACATGGCGGTATCAGCCCCCACTGGCACTGGCGCCCGCGCGCTGTCGCTTTAGGAGTATCGAGGATCTGTGATCCTGTCAAGAAGGATGATCATCCACTACTGCTCTACCCGACCAACCCTCCATTAGACTCAGCTATATGCCGGGTTCTGAGGGATGACCGTGAGACACAAGGTCGCTGTAGGTTGGGCGGTCACACTTAAGAATGAGGACTCAATATTTAGAAACTGGGGAAGGATCGAAACTTGAAATGTTTCCCATCCTTGGGGCGGATGCCGAGACACGCGAACAATCACCGCCAAGAACTTAAACGAAACCTGCATGCCCCTGGCACGCCGTGAAGGCTTTCCAAGTGCTGGGATCCCCCAAGTGCTTGTTCACCCGCCGATATGGCTTAGCTGAGCTTCATATTTATCGTCTCGAAGCGGCAAGCCAATCAAGAATCAACTACAGGAACGCCTGAGGGAACTACAGCCATCACGAGGATCAGCACAGCCACAGTCCCTCGTCCGTGGCGTGGGGACGGTGAATCTCGACGCGTCGGACTTAGACGCGTCGAGCAGCGCCTTAGTCTTGGGTTCATCGGAAGATGCTAGTGATTGACTGGCTCAATGCATCCCCCCGTGTCTGACTTCTTCGACTGGTGGCCTGAAAACTTGTCACGTTATTCGCTCATGGGAACTGAATGGACAAGTGCTAAGTCGATTACTTTCACACACCACGCAAGCTTAGATGGCGGGGCAGTTCAGACATTTTGAATACATGGTGCCAAGGCTAAGTTAGGAGGATATTTCAAGAACCACTGAGATTCCTCGAATGATCATCAAAGGCACTTGCCACAGCACAATATTTGGGATCAGGGTGGTCATCAGGCTTCATATAATGCTTTTCGGGGAGTGCTGACAGCAATTGAACCCTGCCGCATCGTGCCCATTTTCCTGGTGCTCCCAGATGAAGCGACTAGTTCCTGACCTCGACATTCTAGGTCAATTTATACCATTGCAAAGTTCTACCACTCAAATTCGTTTCTTCAGCTTCAGAGAAAAGTGACAGCAACACGACGCGACCCTCAGGCGTTTTCTTCCCTGCCTGGGTTGTGAAAGTGTACACAATGTGGCCGTTGTCATCGATCTTCGTGTCGATCAATGTGAACCACTGGCTTGGATAGGTGATCTTGGCAGTAAGTACCAAGTTTTTCTCAGATGAGTATTCAAGCTTCCTCGAGATCACTGCGGTCTTCCCACTCTGTAGGGGAGTAACCGTTTTTTTGTACTGGATAGTCGTATCGACTGCCGGATATGTGCCATCTGGGCCGATTTTTCCGATGTCCATAACAAGCATATTGATTGCGGCTATTGGATTGGGAGTTAAGGTCTCAAGAAATTCCGATGATTAGACCTCTAGTACAGTTGAATGGGGATTTGTGAAAGATAAGTCAAGAACAGGCTTGGTAACGTGGAGTATTGTGATGGTAGCTCTACTGCAGACTCCAGAGCAACAATGTCGAGAGTCGGCGAGGATTATATACCTTCGACATCTGGCATATACTTGCCCGCATGGTCAGCTGAATTTCCTCCTCAGCATCAGGATCTAGTATTCACTTCATAAGCGATTTTGATTCTGCTTTCCATCTTGTGGCTGGCTGCGAAAAATTCCATGGCTGACATGAAGTCAGCTGAATGTTTCTTTTGTTTCTGAAGTTGGGACGAGCTTGAACAGTAAGCGAGCCAAGCACTGAATACCATGCAATTTGCATGCATTTCGCATGCATTCGCTATGCAATTCGGAAGGTCTGGATTCTGCCGTGCCAAGTCTGCTTCAGCTCGCTTATAAGTTTTTGACATAATTTTCGATTGTGATAGTGATAATCAATGGCACTGTCTTATGCCTTCAAGCCATGCAGGAGTTTCGCAGGGCTGCTCGAAAGTGCCGCCAAAGAGTGTGCTGTTGAATAAGTTCTGGAACGGGCCATGTACAGTAAACGTTATCACATGATGATTCTGAGGGTTCAGTACTCCGACATGCGCACCTTACACGAAACGCCTACAAGGTTAGAGCTGCGCGACCATACGTTTGCTGTCCTTCGCGCAGGCCGCATCATATGGCAGGTAGAACGCTACGTGAAGCGCCAATAGTGCAGACACTGACAGGAACTGCTGGCTAGGGAGTACGACGAAGTACCTCAACACCATACCTAGTTATACCGAGGTACCCAGGAGTGACACACCGATATTCCCCACTGATTCCCGAACCGCTAACTCATCTTGGCGTCGATCATTGCATCACCATTCTTTCGAAACTGACTGAATTGTGCTTCAGTTGGAAGTGCTGACTGGTGTGATCTGCCATCATGATGCGGTTTCAGGCATTATTGCGATCAAATCGCGACATCAACTAGACCAGTAAGATGATGAGCTACGCCATGCATCCATTTTACCTAGCTAAGTCCTCGAGCTGTTTCTGCTCCTCAACAGGTACGTGAGGCGGGTTTGTTTCTATTTTCTTTGCATTCTCGACATCGCAGACATCCCTAGTTGTTCCCTAGGTTTGCTGTTAGCACAACTATCAGCATTGAGCTCTTATCACTATGAAGAACTCGTATACTATTCTTGCACCTCTCGTGCTTGCATTGGCAACGGCGCAGAGCGCGCCGGACTTCTACATCGAGGTTGAAAACAACCTCAGAGTTTTGTATGAGGCAAGCAATACTGAGGTCACACCTCCGGGGGTACTGTTGGCAAGAGACCGTAAGTATTCCATATAACAGCAGAATTAGTCAGAATTCTTACGCGGACAGTCGTCCTCGAACCGCCTACAGCATTTGCGCCCCAAGGCGCTACGAACGCCGAGGAGTACATTCTGTTCATGATTGACCAAGATGTGCCACGAAATGGTTCTCGCGTGGCCCTGCTCCACTACTTCGCACCAAATCTGCTCAGTACAAATGCAACACTTGCTCTGGAAGGGGCAGGAAGTGGCAACGAATCCACTGCCGTTGGTGCTTCATACATCCCACCTACGCCTCCTGGCGGAGACGGTCCGCACCGATATACATTCCTCCTCTACGCCCAGCCAAACAACTTCACTATCCCGGCCGAATACACCTCGATCAGTCCTCCGAACTCGACCGCTGATCGCGTCGGCTTCGACATTGTTGGTTTCGCGGAAGCTGCCGGGCTGGGGCAACCGCTAGCCGCAAACTACCTACGCGTACTAAATGGTACCGCTGAGGAGACCAGTAGCGCAGCAACTGCCAGCGCCACGTCCACCGGTTCTGCTATTGTTTCCACAAGTGCCACAGGACCCGCCGCGTCGACAACGAGTGGCGCCACTTCCGCGTCGGAGACTGCGTCAGAAAGTGCAGGGTCGGCCACTTCTAGCGCCGCTACAAGCGCGACGTCCACGGCTGGCAATGGAGCAGCTTCTGTACGCGTTCACAACAGTCTGACGGAGTTGATGGCTGGGCTACTGTTGGGCGTTGTTGGCGCCGGGATGTTCATGCTGTGATGAGAGCTTGAAATTGGAGATCGTAGTGATGAATAGCTAGTATCACGTCCAGTACTGGGTACGTTAAGATATGGTCTGTAGGCGGTATACACTCGGTACAAAATTAACATTGTGCCACGAGCTTTGAACAATACCACGTGTTCTACTGTGAAGCAGTCGATACGAGCTTTTTATGGCTACCATAGCCTAATGGTTGTCTACTGGCTTATAGGAGGCCAGAGGAAACACTGGCCGAAAAGAAACTATACCTCCATTCATAATTTCGTAGATCTGTGGAATCGTGGTTTACGGTAACCATCGCCATACCAGCTTCTCATATACAGTTAACTTGTGAGGAACTGCAGTTCCAGCCTCAGACTTCCCATCCCGACAGTCACTTTACGAAACATGCGACTCTGCTTTTTGACGCCGAGCCATCATCCACTCCCCCAATGGTTTCCACACTTCGAGTTTCTCTGCAGGCCTCATCGTAGCGGCCAATCCACTTGTAGATGTCGCCACAAAAGTCTTGGCACCAGGCCATACCACATCCTCGCCGTCGACAATCCTGCCCAACTGCATTTCTTCGTCTTGCCAACCCCAATGAAAATCGGGGTCTTTGAACCTCTTCTGGCCTTTCTTCGTCATCCAGATTGCCTCCCAGATACTCTTGCCCACAATCACCACGGCTTGAGGTCGAAAGTCTGCAATCTTCCTGTCAAGAATGACGGCGCCTTCCTCCATCTCCTGCTTGGTCAAACCATCACCGCTGCGCGTTGGCCGAGCACATATATTCGTATTGCCGATCTGATACAAATCCATCAGGTCTCTGGTTTCTGAGGGAATGTGCTTCTTAGGCGTAACACCGCTAGCGTGAAGAATATGCCAAAACCGATTCGAAGGATGGGCATATGCATGGCCAGTTGCTGCCGTCATCAGTCCGGGGTTCAGTCCGATCATTACGAGTACAAGGCCAGGCCGAATACTATCCACAAGATTATTGACTGGGCTGTGTGGGTCCTGTGCGGACCGTTCTTTTGTGGTACTGCGTTTCTTCTTTGGCCTCGTAGTTGCGATTTCAGACAACCGCTCGGCATCCACTTCTTCCTCCTTCGCTTGGATGTCAGTTGAACTTGATAATGTGCCTGATTTTGTTGTTCTCCGCCTTTTCCCACTGGAACTTCCGTCAAGGGTAGAAGTAGGCTCGACCCGTAGAGGGCTACCACCAGCGATCGCTAGGCGGGACGAACGGCGTTGAGATGCCATTGCTAAAGGAATAGGGTATTCAAATTTCCTAAGTCGTGATCGGAAAGCATCTACCATATGATAAGCTATAAGTCTGATGAGCGTGGTGTATTCTGGAGCGTACCTTGGGTAGCCTTCGCTGGATCTTCTGAGTCACTAGAAAGCCCAGAGTCTTTGGGCGTGGGCTCCCTCTTGTCCATTGTACGTCATTATTGCTCTTCTACCGCATGAGGATGCGGCGGGTCGACTGGAGCTGCTGAGGATGGATGTCCATCTCACACAACGCCAGGGAGTTACTGTAGAGTGGAGGCTGGAGTCGGCTTTCGTGTTGCCTATGGGAAGTGTACTTTTGAGAAGTGCACCTGGACACTGCTTGTCAGTCCCAGATCGCGCTGCTCGCAAAAGCCAAGGCCCTACTGACTTAGCATAGCTTTCTGAGCTAGTGACCAAGGCTAATCCAATTTCGGCTCGTCTTCAATGCCGCCTGAGCCTGGCAGTCCGCTCGTACAAGGCTATCACCCCTTACGCTTGCGACTGGCAGGGATTTTCTCCGTACCTAGTATACTCCGTAAAGACCATGTACCCGGGTTCGTCTAGCTAGAAACATGCATTATGTTGAGAGGTGAATGAAGTCATGACGGTGTCATAAAGCAGAATCCTCCGACGTGCAACTCAGATATATAGGAACATGCAATATTTAAGACGTGCTTGGTAAAAGATTCTAGTTCAAAGGTGTCGAAAATAGCAGCATTACCTGCAGAGATCACTTTTCAATCATGGCAGCGAAGAACCATGGCTCGGTGTTGAACAAGACATAGAGCAAAGAATATTTGACCACGGCCTGAGACTCGGAGGCCTGATTGAGAAAGCTGACTTTAGATGTGAAGCCTCGTTGGGCCAAGTGAAAACACTCTTTCGGGGACTCGAAGAGATCTTGAGTGATATCTACCCTGAAAAAACAGTCTTCGAAGCTGACATTAGAATCATCCACGGCTTTTTCGCAGAGACACGAGAGTCCAAAATCGGCGGCACCCGTGACCAATCTTCTCACATTTCCACAAACAATCACAGCTTTGAGGATTGGACTTATTGTTTGCGTAACTGGCTACACTGTTGCCATTAAGGCATTCGATCTTGGACTCGAGACCATTATCCTTGTAGATGGGGATGATGACAGTGTTTCACCATCCAAGCCTCCAGGCTCTTTTTTGAATGACAGACGGATGATACTCGCTCAAGAGATACACAAGTCTAAAGTCAGCTACCTCAAGGACAGTGTAGGTACACGAGGGGAAATCGAGCTATATTTCTCCTACGGCTTGCATGGGACCAGTTTGAAACCTCGACCACCGAATACATTGAATGTAGCGCGCTCGTGGAAAACTTGGAAGAAAAGTGGTTGGAATATGTACCGGATCTGCGTAGGAATGAGATTTTGCAGCACGCATCATTCGCCGCGGATCACTGTTACATGGGTAGACGCCCAGTGCATGACAAATATCGTGGATCATGAATGTTACTTCTTGACCTCTCGCCCGCCGTGATCGATGACTACAAGGTAGAGTATAGCTGAAAGACGCAGTGTGGTAACCCACAGAATCTGACGTCCGCTATGTGACTGAGAACAGATGTTCGTGTTGACATTTTAAGCATTTTATGCTTCTCTGTATATTAAACATTCCAAGCAATACATAGGTTCGTCAAGACTACTAAGCACTCTCTCTGAGGCAAATGGATTCCGTCACTAGGATGAAGCTGCCATTCCAGCAACACCACTCTCTTGAACAGCCAGACCCGCAAAATGCAAAGGCTCCGCTGGAATTGGCACTGCAGCCAGGCGCGCCCACTCAACCGTGCTTGTGTTTCTCCACGTATGGTTGACAGCCCGTTGAATGGCGGAATCACCGCGGTCGAGTATCCGTCGTTCGCCGCCATCTAAAATCAACTCAAGCTGGCCTTCGATGACCACATTGAAATTGACACTTATGCTGCGATGCATTGCTGAAGTGTAACCAGGCGGGAAATCAATGATGCGGAACACGACCCCTTTCTCAACCACAATCCCAGGTGGATTGTCAATCAGATACTGATAGGATTCTAGGTCGTTGTTACCATTCAGCTCAACAGGAAATTGTCCACTACCATAACAGAACGCTATCTTGAGGCCGTCCGGTAATGTTCGGGATGGCGGGTTCGAAGAAATATCAGACGAGAAAGTGGAAATGCCGTTCTTATCGTTTGTTGTGATATGTCTCTTTGATTGAGGAAGATCATTCGAAGACATTTTGGTGTTTGAGAGCTCCGCACCGGGTTGGCCTTTTGGTAGCCTTCAAAGATTACCTGTTTGCCTTTTTTTGCTCAGTAACTACTGGTACTTGGGGACAGGCAAATGCTGCTTCTTCCTCCTCTAGATTTGTGGCAGTCTTCCTCAGCTCGGGCAAGAAATAACCCTTCGTCAAGTAGGCTCGGCTTTCATGGGGAGTTGTAACAAACCGAGCGATTTCTCTCGGCCCGCCGCAGAGTTTGTTCTAGCTCGGATCGAGGTCACGACATATAACAACGGCTCTTGAAGATACACGTCCAGTCAAATAGAGATTCTTGAGTTGTTATCACCACTGTTCGACAGGAATTTAATATGGCGTCATCCGACGTTTCAGAGTACACCAAAGGCATTGCCAACGGTAGCGAAAATTTGACACCGAAGCAACGAACACACCCTAGTCCATCTGCCCTGGCTCACCTTGTGCTTCGAACCACGAAAGACAACTACAGGACCATGGTCAACTTCTACAAGGACATGCTACAGGCAAAAGTAGTAATCGAGACAGATGAATTCTGCATGTTACGATACGATTTTGAGCATCATAGAATTGCCATAGCACACATGCCGCATATTAAATCTCAATCGACGAGTCCATTCGCTGCCGGCCTCGACCATACCGCCTTCACTTATGAAACCTTGACCGATCTGGCACGGACCTATCGTTCTCTCAAGCAGCGGAAGGTACCTGTCGTTCCCCTCTGGTGTGTCAATCACGGAATGACCACGAGCATGTATTACCACGACCCTGATGGTAACAAGGTGGAACTGCAGGTGGACAATTTCGACACCCCGGAGGAGGCTGACAGTTTCATGAGTAGTCCGTTGTTCATTCAGAATCCAGTCGGAACCGACTTTAATCCTGACGAATGGTCAGAAAGAATTTTAAGCTCCATGAACACGGACGGGAGCGAAGGTCTTTCAGCAAAGGAGCGAAAGCAAATCAAGACTAGGATAGAGATAGGTTCTCGGCCTTCGGTCCCTGCCTATGTTCACGGTGTTGAGTAATCGGAAAATTCAGTGCCAGGTATCAAATCAAAAAGGCATATTGTGCAACCCGCCGTATTCAGAATGAACGCTAGATGTTAAATGTGTGTGTCTCTTTCCTGACCGAGAGGCGGGCCGATTTCAAGTGCAATCCGTGCTGTTTCCGCAGTAGCCAACTGTACCCCGAGGAGACATTTCTAGTAAGAAGGTATCACTAGCTATTTAATAATGATCATGGTGACTGGTATAAGTAACTTGCATAGGCCTTCGCTCATGGCGATTTAAACAAGAACATCTCTTACAATGACCTCAACGACCAATTCAAGTATCTGGCCTAAAGGACAGGATGATGAGGTGGTGAGACTCATCAACCTGTACTTTAACTTGGTAGATAGTAAGGAAGGGAATGCAGGACAACGACTTGCAGACGAGGTTTTCGCAAAGAAGGGCAAGTGGTATGCATCGCTTGGATTTTTCGAGGGTCACGGTAAGTCCAATACAACGTAAGTAGACATTATCTTGCTGACTTCCCTCGCTCGGATGAAGATAACATTGCGACTTCCCGTGACAAAGCATGGGACAAAGTCAACTCCCAAAGTCATAAGCTACTCAAGGTTTTCTTGAACGACGCCGAGGGCTTGGATTTCTTGCTTGTTGGTATCGCCAATGTCGATTTCAAAGAGTCAGAGCCGGTCACAGTGGAATTTCTTATCCACACGGCAGTTGGCTATGAACGTGGGCATCCTAGGATTCTATTTTGGCAACCCGTGTTGTCAAAACCGAGTCCGGCGGAAAAACCAATTCTCGCGACTATTGAGTGGGATAAATCGTGATGACAAAAACAAGCTTGTGATGGGCTGTGACTAGATGACTCGAGGCGGACACCACTGCGTAAATAGCTCCCTGATATTCCTTGAGGGGGAAGCCTTCAAATTCCAGTAACTAGAGCCTAGCAATGACATAATTTAGAGCCGTCTGCTTACTCTGCTCGATTTTGTACCATCGATTGCGTCCCTTCCAGGCTAGGATTGGAATCATGAGCGGTCCGTCATCTCGGCCCGAAATGATGGGTACCCTGTCGGGTTGCAAAAGCAACACACAGACACTGTCTCAGACGTTAGTTGGAGATCTAGCATAGTGATTGACGCTCGAATATCCATTAATTTTGATATACCCAGCTTGAACTCTGCCACCGCGGCCAGTCAAGCGTGTATTGCCACACGGATTCATCTGCACATGGAGAGATGTGGAGCTGCAGGTCTGCCCACACACAGTACCACAAGGTCAAATCAGTAGCACGCCTTGCCAAAGCTCTTATGATGTCAGGGATTTGATTAACACTGAATAAATGTTCGTTCCTTTTTCGTGGGTCACGTACCAGTAAACAAGCAGTGTTTTGAAAGCAGAGGCCTGGCGCTATTTATCCAAGGTTCAACTTTCACTACGAACAGCTAATTAGGCTGATAGATCTGTGCAGCAGACTGTAAAATCCACACCATGAGAGCTTTTGCAAAGTCGTGCCAACGCAGTCCATTTAAGTACCAAGAAGAATTGCAGTATCGAATCCTTTGCGGACGAAAGCTAATGGTTTTTCTGAGCAGCATCGAGCTAGGCTCCCATGTATGTGGTCTTCATTTGAGTGGTCTTGAACCCTGGGTTCTCAAAGATCATTCATCTGGGTATCGTGGGACGACAGCGCACGCGATTTGGGTGACGAGGCGAGCGCTTTATCGACCACACTGCGAGCGAGTGCAGCGATGTCCCGAACAAAAGAAAGGCAAACTTTTGACCCAGTCACGAATTCTAGTTGGCCGAAATAACCTGCTGCCACGTCCAGAAGAGCGAGATCCGACTGCACAGATGGCAATTTTGGGTTACCAAGGACATAGATGAATAGACCCATAAAAGCGTGTATCGGAAAGTGTAGCATGAACCTGTGATAAGTAGGCTTAGCGATAGACTAGGAAAAGTTAAATAGATGCGTACTTACGACTGAGTACCTGCCTTTCCCATATCTAGACTTCTGGCGATCACAATAAGACTTCGCGCAGCGTTTGCAACCTGCTGCGAGCTATTCTTGACTTGTTCCATGACAACGAGAGCCAGTTTTGTGTCCATAGTACCGGTAAATGAATCAATCACCCAGGGATATAGAAATATTGAGTGGATTCCGATAATAAGGTCGTAGAACGAACAGTGAGTAACCATCAACCCCAATGCCCTCATACTCTCAGGCATCCGGAATTGTCTTAAGAAGTCGGCTGGCTGAAGATCGACTGGTAAGGATGCCTTCCATGACTGCAGTTGGTGATCAAGTTGAGATACGAGACTTGACATTTTATCTGCAGGCTCATGAAATGCCCGTGTGGACAAGAGTGCCTCATTTATCTGATCATAGAGCTGGCATGTTTGGATGATGTACGTAAGCATCTCAAGCTCAATGGCACTCCCAGGGTGGACTGTTCTTGGTACCTCGCAGGTAATTTCATTATTGTTGATCACCTGCAGACATTTAGAGTGTCAACAATCTCGTAGACTTTGAATTTACTTACAGATGGCCGGCCGCAGCGCTGAGCTATATGCTTCTCGCAGCAGTACACTGCCCAGAAAAGCCAACATCGTTGGAGTCTCTCAGCGTCGGCATGGGCATCAAGATCGGCAGTCTTAAGGTGCAGACCCAAAGAATGAGCAAGCAATGCTGCATTCGATATCAAGCCAGAAGACAGGGCTGGACTCCCTATACCTTCTGCAAAAATAACCTAATATTGTAATCATCAGCGAAAGAAACACGAGACGAAGCAATAAGCATGCTGCACCAACCATTGCTAGGAGTGCTCTGACGGAGCGAAGCGATGGTTTTGTGAGTAGTAGCTCACTATGTACAGACATCGCATTTGTAAAGTAAGATCGAGCTTCGCTTTCTACCTCTGCGAAACTGGCCGTTGGACACTGTGAGCGATACATACGACAGCCTGTAGCATAGACGACGTTGCGAAGTGCGTACCAAGCGGGATCGTGGTACGGCATTTTGCCCGCAAGGTGTGCTCTGAGCAGTCGCTCGAATTCTGGTCTGTGCACTGCGTCGAACAGGTTGTCCACGGATAGTTCAAAGTATGCTACAGTCGCTCGAAATCAATGTCTGAAGTTCACACTTGAGTGGTGACGGAAGCTACCATTGCAATATTTCCAAGCCAGCTGTGGGTCAGGCTCAGCCGTCTTCAATGTCGGCGTTGTAAGTTCCAACTTCGACTGCTCCGCCCAACTTGTCGTGATTTCAGCGGCGATTTCTGTAAATTCGTCTGATCCGACCTGATGGTGGATCCAGTTGACTCCGGGACCTGAGCATATTGACAAACAAAAAGCACACCCTGACAACAACATCAAACATTGACCAACTTAATGACAGAAGGTGCACCCACCGTAGTTCGTAGGAGTCACCTATTTAGTGAATAAGAAACATTCGTCGTCTGGGTGGGACAATGTCACCTACGCTTTCAAGGTCGCCCATCCATTCTGTGAGGTCTTGATAATCCTCATTTCTGTTGGCGGGGCTATCTTGGGCATCAGTCCTAAGAATTGAGTCCCGCCTCTGGCTTTGGGTGGTTTGGTCGTCGCTAAGGGGATCTCCTGCGATAGCGCTTGCTGGGTCATCGATGTTTAAACCGGGTAGAGTTGGGATTCGCGCCTCAGAAAAATCGAAGAATGGATCCTGGAACCCCCAAAATCCAGGGCTAGAGAATGAATAATCTCGAAAATCTTCATTTTCGAACGAGCGTTGGTGTGGTGAGGATAGGCCGTTGAGATTCACTGCCATTTGCCCATGACTAAGGTCTTGCCCTTCCATGAGCAGTTTTCTCACCTCCTCCTCCTCTGGCAATAGTACTTGATGCGGCCGCTGAGAGTGAATTATATCTGACGATATGCTGTCGACCTTTTCAAGACGTTCAGAGTAAGATATCGTTTGAGGTTAAGGTACAGAAAATGAGAATGTACACTATGTTTTCGCGAAGGAAGTGCCTTTGATGAACATAAGCGGGGCACGAGGCGAGAAGTTTACATAGGGTCCTTTCGAGCGGTTAGGAGGGCCGAAAAGTGTGGAATACCAAGACCCTCTGGGGAAATGCACGGGCGCTCCCTTGTTCGAAACTGTGAGCCTCGGCTCAGGTGGCGCACCCGCTATCCAGCATTTACGAGGTGCTGCTTACTGTTCGCTTTATCTAGTTGGTGAGTTGTTCCCAGCTGCCAACTGTGGTCTAGCTCGGCCTTCTTGGCTATGGGGTACATTTGGATGTGCTTGCGATGGGGCATTGCAGGTAACTTCAACTTTCCTGTGGCGCTAATCAACTCATCATAACTCTACTACGTTCTTTCCACACCTGTGCAAACATCCTGCAACTTACACCTAGAGGACCTTCAAACATAGTTTGAGAAATGTGCGCCGATATCGACAGGCTAAAGAGTGACCGGGTATTGATCGCATGTCGAACCTGCAGGCGTAGAAAAGTGAGATGTAAGCTGGGGTATATCTAGTAATGATTACTGTTCGACTGACCCATAAAAGGCACCGGCGGCGATCCGTGTATGCATTGTTTGAGGTTGGACAAAGAATGTACTTATCCTCCTCAGCACCGTCGCCGAAAGGGGACGGTGAACACAGAGCAAGCCTCAATCACTCGGGACTGTGCCGCCATTAGCGAAGAGATGGGTCGGGCATCGGACGGTGGGACTTACTCGATGTCGCCAAAGCTACATGAACAGGGGAATCACCATCTTGCTGCCACTGTCGCTCAAGGAACCACGTCGGGTGACAAGAGGGATCTTGTCATCGGAACTCCTGCAGCATTCTCCAATTCAACCCTTGCTCCTGGCATGTCTACAGATCTCGGGCTACGGCCGCGGCAGGATAACTCAAGTACATTTGTCAATGCTGAGACATTTGTTAGTCCGAGTCTAATAGAGCTCACCATTTCTACTGATTCCCCTTCGACCCCGGGAAGAAGCCAGTTGGGTGATGAGACTAGATGTAAAGGACAAATTGGCCCGATATGGCTGTCCGCATGCTCCGAAGTTGGCGTGTCGTGGGTGTGCAAAGCAACAGGTAGTCGGGTCTTTGCCAAATCCGTGGAGCATTTAATCAGAAGTGTGGATCAACTATCATCGCCTAAGGTATGTCTTGCCCTAGATATGCGTGGAGCAGAACCCTCGGAGGCACTGGCCTGGGAGTATGTGAATGGTATGTTTGAAACTCGGTTTGCTCATGATATATTTCTCATTTTTAATGCGGGACAGCCTTTTTCGATAACTGCTGGGAAGCGAGACTGGGTTTTATTTCAAGATCAGACTTTGAGGCGCAACTGCACGCTCATTTTTATGACGAGGCGCTCTCCCGTGATGATCACGCCACGTATGCACTTCGTAATGTGGTGTTTGCGGCTGGACATCGCAGTCTACAGGCACAGTCAGGCATAGTACCGTACGATACAGCACAGGAAAACGCGTGGCAAGGGTGTTTTGGCAATGCATTGTCAGTACTGGCAGGCATTCTGTTGTCGCCATCACAACAGACCGCTGTTCAGGCCCTGGCATTGATGGTAAGTAAGTTCAGGATTTTCGCCATCTTACTAATTGGTGTCACTTAGACATGTTACGTTGAAAACTTGTGCCGACCGGAATTCCAACGTACACTATGCGATGCTGCAGTGCGGGCGGCTGTTACACAAGGTTTACATCACGACGATAAACACTTCGCCAATAACACTCCTCCAGACGAGAGAATAAAGAAAGCCTGGATGTGGTGGTCGCTATATGTTTTGGAAAAACATATCGCGTTCGTCAATGGCACACAATCAGTGATCGACGACTCCACCATAACGACACCAATACCATCAGAAGTCAAGGAGCTTGATATCGATGAACAATATCTCACGCTCGTTGTGCGTCATTCAAAGATATGCTCCCGCATCGCACGAGAGCTCATGTCAAATCGTGCACGGAGATTGCCTGCAGCTGCCTTACGCAACGTGGTGTATGAATTTGATCAGCAGATTAAGGATGTCCTCAGAGACCTGCCATCGCATTATCAAATTGGAACACTAGCGAAAATGCCGACCGAAGCAGAGAGGCCTCCTCACCCTAACCAAGCCTTGTACCTTCACTTTTCTATCTACGGAAGTCTTCTTGCAGTACATTCGCAACTCTTCTACCCCTGGCGATCTTCCAGGCTTCTGGACCATGACCCAGAAGCACTCATTTCTAAACAGCTCAAAGCTTCGTCAAACATCGTTGCCGAAGCCGCCCGGAAAATCTTGGTAGCCCTCCGAACACTCACGACTGACGCAGCCACCCCTGGTTGGCTGGCATTCTCCTATCCAATATACGCGCACCTAAGCTTACTCGTTCATGTGTTGCGGAACCCGACCGCCCCAACCACAAGGGCCGATCTCGGTTTGCTTGATGTGTGTGCTGGGCACTTTGGATACATTGAATTCATCACTGCTTCAAGGATATCCATATCCCTACCACGAGAGTCAGTCAATCTAGCTTCTAAAGTGGTCAAGGCCGCAGAGCGAAGTCGACACCAAGACAGAGGCTTGGAGAGCGGACGGGGGGATAGCCTCGGCAAGTCATAGCAACATGTGAATGAGCATAGTACGGCATTAGACCACACAACGTCTAATCCTTCCTGTGTGGTTCAAAATAACGTGGATGGAGTGGCTCGTCGCCACGAAAACAAGGTATCTCCCATTTGATATTGGACCGCAGAGGATTTGATGTTCTGACGAAGGCGGGCATGACAGGGCGGGGAGGGGTTTGCGTGCAAGGGGAAGAAGTCTTTCTTCGGGCCGAGAAATCTGAGCCGAAAACTTCGGGCCGCCTTATGAGGTGAAGCGCTCGGTCCGCGTCTGTGGCATTGAGCAATCTTACACGGACGGCATGAATTGGATGAAAGCGGAGCCTCCTGCGCGGGATCACCAGAGTCGAGTTTGTGCCTTAACCAAATGCTCCAGGCAATATTGTCCTAGAATCACTACGCACTCACGTGCCTTGCCTACCGTGAACTCCAATTAGTGATTTGACCTGGTGTTACCCGATCCATTCTTTGCAAATTGCAAATCAACGATATTGGTGGCCATATATCAGAGAACAAAAGGTTCGCTCTGATCCTTTATCTGTTGCTACTTTGGTATAGAGCGCTTGTGACAAGTGGCGGCACAAGGCTGTTCAACCCTAAGATTATAGCTTATGGGGGAAAAGGTAACCAGTCATGGGGGAGGTATTCTAGTCTGAGCAAGAACATACCGTATCCGCGGGTAATTTGGATAGATTTGTCAGCTGCCTTCTATGGCCTCCAATAACTACTATTTTCAGTATTCGTGGTATACAGAGAATAGATATCAGCAATAATAAAAGTCATAGATTAGTTTTCCTTGAGAAATAGAAGGGTAAAGTACGCGATTTAGGTGAGGAGTTTTGCTGTTCAGCAATCAATCTATCTCTACAAAATATTTCAATTTCGCCGTTCGACTTGGCATTTCGTGGATGGGCGGCCACCATTCACATCTGGCGTGATTGGTGCCTCGACCCTAACAGTCGTGGATGTTTTCAGTGTCTAGATCTATGGCTGCTATGAGATAAAAGATTGTGTGTGATAATTCCCTTCAATCTAACTATGGACCAAGATTGACTGTTCATTCGAACTTGATAATGTTTCTCAGTTTGCCAATATTCTCTATCTCCACAACAACCTCGTCTCCATCCTGCAGCCACTTCGGTGGATTCATAACAGCTGCAACACCATCGGGCGTACCAGTCATGATCAAACTACCAGCTTGTAAAGTCTGGCCAGTACTGAAGAAACTCACAAGTCTTCTCACTCCGAAACATAGGTCAGAAGTATTAGCCTCCTGTCTTAGCTCTCCATTGACATGCGTCGTGAGTCGCAGTCCACCAGCATCCCCAAGAACCTTCGTGCTTACGATAGCAGGGCCAATAGGAGCGTACTTGTCAAAGGATTTGCCAAAGCACCATTGTGGCATCATGCCTGCTTTTTCCTTTTCGAGTTGCCAATCACGGCAAGAGACATCGTTACCGGCAACATAGCCAGCCACGAAATCAAGAGCATCCTTCTCAGTCACATTTTTGCAATCCTTGCCGATGACTATGGTTAACTCTCCTTCATAGTCACACTTAGCTTGGGAGAGCTTAGGAACAGGTATGGGAGCACGAGGATGGCCAATGGCCTGTCCAGGCTTGATGAACAACGTTGGATTCTTTGGTATATCCATTTTTGACTCGGCGACTATGCTCTGAGTTAGCTTCTGTGGTATTTCCTCCGCAAGACTGGTACTTACTGTGTGCGAGGTAGTTGAGCCCTGTGCAGCGTATTATCGGCACCTCTGTGGCAGATAAAGGACTGAGTATCTCTCTGACCTCCTCAATCTCACCAGTCCGCACCGCGCGAACCCAGTCGTCTCCTTCCAGCACCCAAACCTTCAACGCACAATTGGCGACGAGTTGATCAATATCTGTGGATCCTTTCATGATAGGATCACCCAAACGCACTTTGCCAGTCTTTGCGGACACGTAACGCACCAATCGGTCCCATGGCACAAGGTTCATATCGCCATTAGCTAGACCATTGGTCGTGGACTTGTAGAACTGCTTGAAATCGACAAGCAATTGCATGTCATTCTGTTCTGGTTAGCTCTCCAGACATGGCTTGCGGAAACTCATGCTAACCTTTTCGATTTTATCAAAAACCTCCGGATCCTCCGCGTTGTCAAGCAATGAGAAGAATGGATCTTGAGATTTGATCAGCTCTTCGGGCGTCTTCATTATGCGTTCTAGGTTGCGAGTGGAGACTTGATTGGTGACATTCCAATAAATGTCGCGGCGGATTCGATCGTACTCGTCTAGTATATCGACTTGAGCTTTTCCGTCAAATATCCCACAAAGACAGTCCGCCAAACCAGAAACATCAGAGATCCCCGTAGTGAGCCCCAGACCACCCCTAAGTTTCCTCATAAATATGGGAAACGTTATCAGTGTTGACGACAAGACTCACATAGGATTATTTAGATGCGCTGCATCCGCCGCAAGGAGTATCCGACCAACTCTCATGCGCTCGACACACCTTTGATGTAGGACGTAAGGACTGAACCGTTCAACCTTGTATTGATCGGGTCTGGGGCTACCAGGAAGGATACGCCTCAGTTTGTCGGCCATTCCATTTTGCAGGTCCTCGTGGGATAAACCAGGTCGCTCCCCGTAAGACACGCGCCAGGTACCATTTCTTTCTATGTGAGCAACCACAGCCCAATGTTCGGGATCGACGATCCAATTGCTATCTTCCCAGCCATGCTTTGCGAAATCGTACCTGACCTGAGATTTTATCCGGTTAGACTCTTCAATCTTCGTTGTGGATAAGATAACAATACATTTGTGGCGACGATGATGGAATCTAAAGTCTTGCCTGGAAAGTCGGTCCCGAACAAACATTTTCGCACGGAGGAACCGCCACCATCACAACCAACAACAAAGTCGCCCTTCAGTGATTCTCCATTCTCGCATTCGACCCAAGCACTGAGCTCATCCTGACCGACGGATACCACTTTGTGGCCCCAATGGACTTTGGCGTTCGGTAAATCGTTTAGTGCTTCCCAAAGAACGACTGCGAGGTCATAGACCGTCAACATAACGAATCCGCCAATGTCATTCTTCCTATTCAGGCCGGACAGTCGACCGATGACTGTGCCGTCCAGTTTTCTCCAAGTAAAGGAATCGGGCTTCAATCCTCTGTCGATGATGGTGTTCAGAACACCTGCACGTCGCAGTACACTACAGAGCGTCAGCACTTCATTCTTCGTTCTTTGAAATGCGAAAACACCAACGTCACTGCTGCTGGCCCATATCCCGCACCCCGAGGCCTTGAGTCAATTTCCCCCTGTGCCTCTACCACGTCGACGTTAACCCCTTCTTGTGCTAGCAACAGCGCGAGGAGAAGACCTGCTGGACCAGCACCGACAATTATCACTCGACCTGAGTCACTTGCCATTCTTGCCTGTTTCCGAAAGCTAAATGTTTACAAGTTTCGCTCAACTGAGACGGAATTAGATATCTTGGAGTTATAGAATTGTTGTAAGAAACCGACGTCTATTTGAAGTCTCCACCTGCAATATACATTATAACCGGGCCGCATCGTGATCAAGTCGTATGATGTTTGTTGCCAGACGTATGGGGGCATGAGCTACGATCCCTCGGTCCGACGCTCACTGAAGTGAGCTTTCGGTCCGTCAGCAAACCAGTAATTAGAAGCGAGCACTACCATGTTTGAAATACTAGAGAGTCACAAAATAAGGCCTATTCAACGACAGCGGTCTCGCCCTACACTATCGAGAAAAATCTTTCTAGAAAGCACCACGAGACTTGCACACCACACTGCACCTGTTAAACTACGCCCATGATGATTTTCCTAAATACGGTGGCAATTTTATGGGCTGTCATTTTAGGGGGTTCAGTGTTATACCAGGTGAGTCAACAATCTCCATCGCGCACTGGCTACATATTCAGGATATGGACAGGTCGTCAAAAATCTCTTCTTATCACCGCTGTCAAAGATTCCGGGGCCATTTTTCGCCAAATTCACCACCAAATGGTTGACCTTCATAGATCTTGCTGGGAATCGAACTACAGCTTTACATGAACTGCATCGAGTTTATGGCACAGCTGTGCGGATAGCACCAAATGAGATTTCGTTCTCGGATCCAGCATCCATCAAAGACATCTATGGTCAACAGACGACATTCATGAAAGCCCCAATATACGACACTATGAGTGTACCACCATTCGGAATCTTTAGTATGCGCAATCGAGCAGATCACTCACACAGACGGAGACTTCTTAGTCATGCCTTTGCCCAATCATCACTTTTTGAGTCTGAGCCTCTGATAAAGGACAATGTAAAGGCATTGATCCGCCGTCTTGATGATCAACTGGGGATGCCGGTGGACGTTATGTCTCTGTTCAGGCTGCTAGCTTTTGACGTCGTTGGTAAGAAATGGGTCTAAGTGGCCATAGCCTTGTATGATGAAATCTAAACCTTGCGCCCATAGGAGAGTTGTTTCTGGGTCAATCGTTCGGCGGCCTCGCCTCAAAAGAGCCACCGCAGTTCCTTCACGATATGGATTTACATTTCATGTGTTGCGCAATAGAGGCTACTTCTCCTTTGTTGTACGCGGTGCTCTCACGCCTGCCTATCCCTCCGCTCCAACATTTCTTCAAATCAAGAGAAAGGCTGGTTTTGGTAAGAACCTGCCTAGTCTTCATGTTCAGAGAGTTCTGACCACGTCCCAAGTACGGGCAAGAAGCATTAAGTTCATACTTATCTCAATATGGTCGAGAATCTGGCAGAAAAGATCTGCTTACAAAAGTGGTCGCATTGAAAACGGAAACTGGTACTCCGCCACTTTCAGACAGAGAAACCTATACGGAGATTGGGAACCTCGTGGCAGCTGGAACCGGTATTATATCATCATCATTGCAGTATGTTGTGCTTGTCTGTCGCTAATCTGAAGAAAACAGATACTACCAGCATGACTCTTACATACATGTTCTGGCAGCTAGCAAAGAACCCTAGTTGGCAACAGCAGCTGCGGAGGGAGCTGCAAAGCCATCTGGGCAATGAACACGGAATCATACCATCCTTCAATGACGTGAATCAACTTCCAATACTCAACGCTACTATACATGAGGCACTCCGACTTCATCCAGCCGCTCCTGCGAGTCTTCCACGGGAGACACCGAAAGGTGGGAAAGTACTGAATGGCTATTTCATCCCCCAGAAGGTCAGTAATCTATATAAAGCCAGTGCTAAAGCTAAAATTGTCAGACCATTGTCTCCATGCAATGCTACACAACGCATCGTGATCCAGATACTTTTCCAGACCCCGATAATTTTGATCCAGCTCGATGGTTGGATCCCGAGTCGGAAAAAATGAGAGATATGTTCATGCCATTCTCGAAAGGACCGAGGGCATGCTTGGGCAAGAACCTTGCCATGATGGAACTGAAGTTGACTACGGCTACACTAGTCAAGGACTACACGGTGAAATTAGCTGCATCCTGCACTGATGATAGTATGGCTATGACCGATCATTTCTTGATTATCCCAAAAGGTGGAAAATGCGAATTGCTGTTTTCGGTTGCGAATCGCAAGGCAGGCTAAACTTGCACGAGGGCCGCGGCAATCTTTCACAAGTTTAGAGTGACAGGTGTGCAGAAAACCAAGAACGCCCTAAGAAGAGATAGTTCTACTAGACAGTCGAGATAAGACTCCATACTCGTAGGCTTCGGCCCGCGCGATGATGATTGCCATGATTGATTCTCACACCCTCCATTTTGCTCCATGCGCCAAGAACACCATTCTCGAGATCCTCGCTTCGATTTATAGAGTGCAGCAATCAGCTCCTGACTAGGTCTAAACCAGAATCTGACACTCACAATCCGTGTGTCACCCACGACTACCTGTCTGGCACGTAGAACTTCGGAATCACGGGCGAAACAGGTCGAAACCCCATATGGGGATATTTTGTGGAGGCGGAGGGCCGACAAGAGTGACGAACGGGCCGAGCTTCGTAACTCGCTTGGTCCACCTCTCCCTTGGTGTCACTCAGGTACGTAAACCCATTGTCAGCCATTATGCATCGAAACCAAAGAAAACGTGCTCAGTTCTGCAAAGGCCCGACGGTTTGGACTATTTGCGAGACTTTCTCGTTGGCTTGCTAAAACATAAAACGGTGGAGATATCTACAGTGTATATCCCCTACCAGATCTGCCAGTTTATTGAATCTGGAGTTCATCAGACCCACCAAATACATTCAGAAATCTGTCGTCCCAACATGGCTACAAATGATGCTATGGCAAGGGAAAAAGGCATTACGGAGAACGTCATCTGTAACGATCCTACCGAGGCACACCATGAGAAGATTGATGCTGAAGAGCAGGAAAGCGTTCCACACTTCCATGCTAAGACCTGGCTGGTAGTTCTCGCAGTATCGCTGATCTACGCCGCTCATGTGATGAACCTAGTCGGCCTGGGCACGCACGGCCTTGACATAGTGGCAGTCATCGGTGGCGCACAAAAGTCGTCTTGGCTGATTGGAGTTAATGTCATCATGGTGGTCGTCTTTGGTCCCCCTTTTAGTCAGGCTGCTGATTTTTGGGGTCGCCGTTGGTTCCTTATCGTCCCAACTTTTTGTGGCGGAATCGGATCCATCATTATGTCGAGGGCAACATCCATGGATATGGCACTTGCTGGGCAATGCATTGTCGGTGTTTCGTATGGTGCACAGCCTTTGCTGCATGCCGTGGCTTCTGAGGTCCTTACGCATCGCAATCGGGTTGGTGCCCAAGCTGCAGTCAATGCTGGGTCAGGCCTGGGAGGAGTCGCAGGTCTCCTTCTTGGAGCGGTGATGATGGGAAATGGCAACCCAAGTGGTTTTCGCAATTACTGGTATATGACTGCGGCTCTATACCTCGTTGCTGCTGCTGTCACGACTATATTTTACACTCCACCACTGCGCAAATTGCAGACCGAACTTTCACTCAAGGAAAAGCTCGGCCGCCTAGATTGGATTGGATATGTACTTCTTGGAAGCGGCCTTGTTCTTTTCATGATGGCCCTTTTCTGGGCACAAAATCCTTGTGAGTAGACCACCCGCACGGGAATAACTACTTGTTAACACTCAAACAGATCCTTGGAAAGATCCACATATCCTTGCTCCTCTGCTGATTGGCGCGACAATTAGTGCTGCTTTTGTCACATACGAGTGGAAGCTCAAGGCAGATGGTATGGTCCACCACGGTTTGTTCTCACAAGACCGCAACTTTGCTATTGCCCTTGGTTGCATCTTCTGTGAGGGACTCGTATACTTTGCCGCAAACGCTTTCATGCCTTTTCAGCTGGAGATCCTCTATGAAACGAGCAAAATAAGAATAGCATTGCAGTAAGTTTCCAGATCGCCCACTGCCTCACACGGTCCTGCTTCCAGGCTAATTTTGTGAGCTAGATTTTGCATCGTTTTCATTGTATTCATAGCATCAGTCTGGCTCGTAGCTCTGTATTGCTACAGATATAGACGGCTTCGACTTCCAGTTGCCTTCTCATTTGTCTGCTTCACTACATTCAATATATGCATGGCAACCACAACAATAGGAAGTCGAAGCGCAGTATGGGCATACCCTGTGTTCCTTGGTTTCGGGATGGCATTCGCGCTTTGCGGTTTGATCACCGCTGCTCAGCTAAGCGCTCCACCAGAGTTGATGTGAGTCTCAGGCTCTAGCTTATATGATCGTGCATAAGTTACTTTGCTAATACTGTCCAATAGTGCGACTACCAGCGGCTTGATGGTTTCAGCTCGCAGTCTGGGTGGGGCTGTGGGGTTGGCGATATGTAAGTATTGCATTTGTTCGACGATGACAACTAAGACTAATTGTATATAACCGTTCTCAGACTCTGCAGTTTTCAATGCGAAATTGAACAGTACTTTGGCCGACCAAGTGGCAGGAGCTGTGCTACCTTTAGGCCTGCCAACGGCATCTCTGCCATCAGTGTTATCGGCACTTTCGGCCCACGGTACTGAAACACTTAGCCAGGTACCTGGAATGAACGGAGAGATCATGGACGCCGCCGTCCGTGCATTTTCCCAGTCTTTTGTGGACTCCTTCCGAGGCGTATGGATTACGGCTGCTTGCTTCACTGTTGTAGCTTTTACAGGTAAGGATTCTTGGGATTTACAACGCATAGCATGTTGTGACGCATTGGCACACTGGGATACTATAAGTAATCAACGAAACCCTTCGGCTAATTGGCATCTAACAGCGTCCTGCTTCCTCGTTGATCCGATTGAGGCCTTCAATCTTCGTATCGATGCTCCAGCCGAAAAGGACGAAATGATATTCGGACGAGCTTCCCAAACGAGGGAATAAACCATGTACAACTTCCGAAACATCTGTCGACAACTAGCAAGGGATGGTCTTATTTTTTGATCACCTCCCCCTAATTGCCTGGCAAGACTCAGAATTGTCCATGTAACTTCACCCTAATGGATATCAGTCATGAACGGTGGTATTGTTCTGTCTCTTCATCGCATAAACACTATATTATATTATAGTTCTGACAGAAACTGCCTGTGGTCACGTACAATGGCTGAAGCGCTATGGTGCTAAGAAATCAAACCCCGTGCGTGTAAAGATACATAGTACTGTAACGCCTAGATCTATGCCCACAATACAGTTTAGGGCGCTAAGACGAGATGGTAACTTATTGAGTCTGATCCGACCATGGGACTACAATGGAAGAATTCTATGAAAAACGATATGTACATGTTCATTGGCATCAGATTTTACATTGTTTCAAGTGTCACTCCTCGTTCCTTAGCAACCGTCCGGGTGATTGTCCATATTTTCTCTGTTTTCTCCTTTGGAAACGATAGCGAACTGATCTCGGGCTTTTTGGGATTCCACATGACTCCGAATCTGTCGTCATGCGATATCTTGCTTGTCGTCATAACTTTGATCACATTCTGAGCAGATAACTCCGCAGTGGTCCCAAAGTACCCCATAAGTCTCATCAAAAATGGCATATTTGGATCAGACATCGCTTTCGTCTTGGTGGACCCCACACACACTGCAGTGATGGACACAGCACGGTCCTTCCATCTCTGACGCGCTTCTTGGATGAACATGAAACTCAAATTGTGGGTTCCAAGGATTGCCTTCCAAAAACTGAACTTTGTTTTTTCGAACTGTAGGTCGTCAAGATCTGCCATCACAAAAGATGGGACTGCTCCTGATAGATGCACGATGCGGCCGTCTCCTGAAGCTGCGAGGTTTGGGAGGAGGAGAGCATCGATTACTACCCGGGCCTGGTACTGTAATGCAAATGCAAATTCCAACCCATCAGCTGTGATCACTTTGGTACTGAACCCACTCATAGCAGAGTGTACGATACCATCAAGCGTGTTACGAACCAGGTCACTTGAAAGGTCGCCAAGGGAGTCAAGGCACCTGTACCAAGGAAAGGAAG